TAGTAGTAGTAGTAGTAGTAGTAGTAGTAGTAGTAGTAGTAGTAGTAGTAGTAGTAGTAGTAGTAGTAGTAGTAGTAGTAGTAGTAGTAGTAGTGTCAAACTGATGTCGTAGTAGATTATACAGTTTATTTTATACTGCTCTGTCCATTCTATTTTATTTGGCTTCCTCCCCTTCCCATTTGACCTCGTCCCAAACCGCTATCATCTTGGCCTGACTCCTTTGCAAGAACTTTTCTTCGTCTGGGACCACGACGCGATTATACTCTTCGCCTTGAAAGACCTGTATCCATGTATCGTCAAGAGAAATGGAGAACTGTATCATCGGATTAGATGCATCCAAGGGGATCAGACTCACCCCATCAAATCCTCCAATGTTTCCGCGCCCATCTCGACTCCGCCGTCCCATTCTGCAACAGGTAGGCCGGCCTCAGCCAGGGAGTTGGAGACTGTCCGGTCGACGTGGAATTGGACGTAATTTCTTGACGTTGGACCGGACGATCGGGATAGAAAGAAAGGTTGGCGGGCGGCTCTTGGACCAGCTGCGGATGGATGGGTTAGGAACATGGACAGTACACAGCACACAGTATTGCTACCAGTGTGGGAATGGGCATATTCAGGAGGGTCAATAGGGCAGAGGAAGGGAGAGATGATGGTGAAAGTCCTCGTTTGAGAGGTGGTCGAAGGCCAATCGACCGCACTCGCTGCTAGGTGTATGGTTTCAATTGAGGAGGAAAAGAGCAGCCCCTCGACCAGCACGCGGGGGCTCATACGGACCTTACCACCGGCTTTGGTCAAGGGGCCTGTCCCTTCGACTGTCCGAGCAGATGAGTGGATTCTGTCATATACTTCTTTTGGATTGCCTGGCCTTGCACAGCCTTTCTGGTTCCTCTTGGGGCACTAACCGGCTGTGCCCCAGGATACGACCGCATCCCTCAAGAGCCTGACCACTTTGGTACACGAAGGGAAGGTCGTTCCTGTGACTCTGCGCCTCATGAATGGAGGGCTTGGAGACATTGGGAACTTTGGAAGGGCTTTGCACAACTGAAGGCCGGGAAGGTCAGGGGCGAGAAATTGGTCTATCAGGTAGGCCGAGGGAGCCATGTTCTCCATCTGTCCCTGAGGCAATATCGGATTAGGCGAACCCTGAAGGGTCCTCAGGGACATTTTCTGCTTCTAGGTCTTCTGATCTCTGGTTCCAGTGTCACTGCCTGGACAGCGCGGAATTTTGATGGACAAGACTTGTCAAGCTTGTGGCTCATTCCTGCCGCGATTGCGAGAGAGGACAATCCTCGCGGATATTCGGCGTATGATGCTAAGCCAGTACTGTAGTGCCTGGCCATCTCCCAAATGACCACTGGTGCTCTGTCTATGAAGCATGTGCCGAGCCCTGATGCAAATGCGGTGAGAGCCCCTAGAAGGAGACGGGGATTAGGCCCTGGCAACCAGTCACTTTTGGTCCTACCTAGGTAGAGACCATTCAGGTCTTCGCCCGTGCATGCCCTTACATTCCCGCGCTGCGAGCATGGGACCTTCTAGGACCCAACCAGCGTCTTGTCATGCAGCATTGCAAGTGCGATGCCTCCAAGACCAAAGAAGTCCCCCAAAAGCGGCGGGTAATTTCCCTGCAACACTTATAAAGTTGGAGTAATCGAGTGGCGTTATCCGCCTCTGCACTCCGTCCACCGATCAAAGATGCTTGTTTCATCTAGTGTCAAGTGCAACTCTCCCTACGGTTCAACCAGATCAACCCCACGATCCACGATACCTACATATCTGTAGTAGCCTCTCCAAACCCGACCATTACGGTTGTCACGTTGCTTCCTCCTTCACCGACTGTTCCGTGAATTCCAGCACGCCCTTTCAGTTCAGTCCTGTGGCCATTCACCGTCACCACTAGCATGTGAGCGTCGTCCACACCTTCAGCCTCCCAGCCGCCGTGATGGCCACCTCCATCCTCGACATCCAGCGCAGCATTATCCTTGGAACGATACGAGCCACTGCTGGGCGAGACTGGAAAGTTCTGGTCTTGGATGAGCGAAGCAGGAGGCTTGTGTACAACGTGACAAAGGAAGATGACATTTTGAACGCCAACATCACGAATATCGAACATATCGAACAGCGCAGGCAGACGCTTTCTGACACAGATGCCATCTATCTCTTGTCTCCATTACCACACGTTGTAGAATCCCTGAAGGCTGATTTGAGTCGGAGGAGATACCGTCGAGCACATCTAATATGGACTTCACAATTACCCCAGGATCTCGCAGAAGATATCTTTCGTTCGGAATCCCGAGCGCAGCTGATCCTCGAGTCCCGCACGCTCAATATCGAGTACTTCCCTCAAGAGTCCAATCTCATCACGTTTCGCGAACCTTGGAGCTTCCATATCCTCTACCATCCGGCATGCGACTCGTTGGTTAAGAGCCATCTGGATGCCTTGACTCAGAAGCTCGTTTCAATATGTGTTTCTCTAGGAGAATACCCGTTGATCAGGTATTACAAGCCTCGAGAGCATGAGCGATTTGCGGCAGATGTGCTATGCTATCACCTGGCGAATTTTGTACAGACAGCCTTGGACAACTACGCCCGCGATGAACGAAACAACTTCCCACCGCAGTCCCAGTCCAACCGCCCCCGAGCGGTCCTCCTGATTACCGATCGATCAATGGATCTGATGTCACCATTCGTTCACGAACTCACATACCAGGCCATGGCGATGGATCTGCTCCCTATCCGGGACGATGAAGACAAAATCACATACAGGAACGTGATCAGGAGAGGTCAGCCCGACCAGGAAGAAAAGGAGGTGGAGATCAACGAGAAAGATAATCTCTGGGTCGTTCACCGTCATATGCACATGAAAGATCTCTTGGTACAACTCAGCCAAGAGTTCAAGAGGTTCCAGGCGAAGAACCCCCAATTTGCCGATAATGATGGACAACCTGCTAGTATCAACACCATCAAGGACATGTTGGCTGGGCTGCCGGAATTTCAGGAAGGCAAAGAAGCCTTTTCGCTGCACATCGACATGGCCGAAAAGTGTGCTAAAATCTTTGCGGATCGCAAGCTCTTGGATGTCGTGTCCTTGGAACAATCACTCGCCACCGGAGTGGATGATGACAACAAAAGACCAAAGAATACAGCTGATCAAATTGTGAGGCTCCTAGACGATGACAGTGTGGTCCATGAGGACCGTGTCAGACTCTTGATATTGTATATTCTGTACAGGCACGGCATTCTGCGTGGTGACATCGAGAAGTTGCGGTGTCACGGACAATTGTCGCCCGCAGATGGCGAGATTGTGTACAACCTGATCACGTTGGGAGCAAAGATTGAAAAGTCACTCAAAGACACCACCCCAAATCCACCCCCTTTGTTCCCTCCACGATTGAGAGACAACACCAGTACCGAGGAAGTCAGCCTGTCACGGTTTGAACCCGCCGTGAGATACATGCTCGAGGAGCAATGTCAGGGAACTCTAGACCCGAACGTGTTTCCACCCGTCAAACCCCATCTAAATGACCCCAACTCGCAGATGAACACCGCTCAGACGTCATTGCGAAATGCCGGAAAACCCACCTGGGCACAAGCTCGGTCTCAATCCAACAAGCCCCGGCAACGTATCATTGTGTTCATTGCTGGCGGTGCCACTTATGCCGAAGCACGAGCCTGCCATGATGTTTCTAGCATGGCCGGAAAGGAGGTGTTTTTGGCCACCACCCACATGATCACTCCGAAGAACTTTTTGCGACAGCTAAGCCTTCTGAGTGCGGGTCGAAAACAACTAGACCTACCAACAGATCGAGCTCCACCTAAACTTCCGGCGTGGATGTCAGAGCCTCCTCCACAAATGCAACAACCGAGACCTCAGGCGCCTCCGAAGGCTAGTCCTCCAGCCTCGATAAGGCCGCCCACCGAGGCTATGCAAAAGATGGCCATCGGCGGAAGACCAGAAAACGGCGTTCCCGTGCCTGTGGCCTCGAGACCATCTCAGCCCTCGTCAGGGGGCGATGGCCGTGGCAAGTTGAAGAAGGAGAAGAAACACCTTGGCTTGTTCAAGAAGCACTAGCCTGTGCTGTTCAGGAATTTAGCGCGGCGTTAGGAGAGGGAAGTGCCTGTGAGAGTGATGGAGCGTGATAACCGACTCCCTTATAAACAAATGACATCGACCTGGGATCAGCTGTTTGGTCCGAGGTATTGCTCCAAGTCTGGACCATAAAATGATCTTCGTAGTCTCTCGGCCTTTTTCTTAGCTTCCGTGTCCATCATCCTGACTTGTTTGGCATTGAGTCGGACAATCGTCTCGTCCTTCTTCGCTGTGACTTTGCGCTTTGTGACTTTGCCATCATCTTCCACGGTTTCTCGAAGCCCAGCCGTGTCCTTCTTCTCTTTGGGCTTGACAGGTATTCTGATTCCCTCCTGTCTAGCACCAAGGCCTGTCCGACTGTCCGGGTCCCAGCCATAGCTTGTCAAATACCGGAGACCCACGTGCTCTCGATCGAGATGAGAGGGAGGATGGGAATGCTCGAGACAAACTTGATGTGCGATAGAAGACTCGTGGGCGCCCATTGCAACCTTGTCATTGGGCGACGATATAGACTGCCTGCAAACCGGGCAAGTCTGCATCACTGGCTCAACTTTGTCCGGTTCTCCTTCAGGTCCAAGTTTGACCTGGTCTGATAGCGCCACATCCCCTTCCGCTTCAAGTTCGCTTTTGTTCTGATCCCCAAGATCCTCTTTCTCTTTGGCGCTCTTCCGTAAGACTATGGACAAGTAGCGAGCTTCGGCGGCGGCGGATGTCGATTGCGGCGCAGTTCCGCTTGAAATTGAGGACTCGGGGGAGGTCGCTGGGACAAAGGCGATTCGTTTGCGTTTGATCCCGGCGCCGAACGCGCGCTGGTCTTGCACGGGCAGGAAATAATCTTCGTCTTCATCTGCCATATTGGAACATGTGGCTGTGGCTAGACCAACCTGCCCCAAGCAATGAAAGGAAGCTCACTTGGATGTAGAGCCACATAAAGTTATGCGTACAGCACGAATGGTGACGGGGGCAAGATGAGTGGCGCCATCAAAAGTCGGTTTCAGCCTCCTAGTGTAGAAGAACGAAATCTGGGGATCTCCGCCCACACGGCGGCCACGCACCAGCAACCTTCAACCTTCACCCAGTTGGTCCTAAGCCATATTCCAAATGCGACGTTTCTTCATGGTCTCCAGGTCGGATCTTATACGATTCTTCATCATTATATTCCCTCTTCATGTACATGGAAATGGGGCCGAGCCGACTAAATAGGATTTGACTTGGGCGCTCGCCTTCTGCTGCACCTCGCACTAACCTCGAGCGGGCTTTAGGCGCCCATATCCCCGATGTACATACAGAGCATATGTAGCAAATGGAGCAAACATTTCTGAACACCATTTGGACTCCTTTAGCTGTGGATGAAAGCCACGTCGCAGTTGTTCAACCCATTGTCTTTATCCAGCATACTGATGTGATGCCTGTTTCTCTGCTCGGAGAGGTCTTCAACCGAGGTCTTTTCAGTTTTTCCAATGTCTGGGCATTGGCGAAGTCCGTGGCGGTGGTCGGCGTCGTCGTCTTGCTGAAACTTTACTTTGAGGGAGCCAAATGTCGTTCCGAACGGGTGATGCATGGAAAGGTGGTGATGGTGACAGTATGTGTTTTCCTCCTTTGCATGTCTACATCTGACCAGAGCCAGGGAGGCACATCAGGCATTGGCGCTGCAGTCGTGCAGGAACTGGCCTCGAGAGGAGCCCAGATAATTCTCTTGACCCATCATGCACCGACGGACCCCTTCCTGGTCGACTATATCGAGGATCTCCGGACGCTGACGAATAACGAACTGATATACGCCGAGAAAGTCGACCTTTCCTCCCTGCATTCAATACGAGTCTTCGCGACCAAGTGGGTAGACAATGCACCCCCAAGAAGACTGGACATGATAATTCTGTGTGCGAATGTGATGACGCCTCGTTTTGGGACGAGTCAGAAAACGGTGGACGGCTTGGAAGCCGAATGGGCCATCAACTATCTCAGCAATTTCCACCTCTTGAGCATTCTATCCCCGGCCATCCGAGCACAACCCCCGGACCGAGACGTCAGAATCCTGTTCAGTACATGTAGTAGTTACATTGGGGGCACGCTTGCACTGAAGGACACCGAGACTGCTACAAAATCTGGCAGTGCTTCGTTTGCCAGAAGCAAGCTGGCGGTCATGACCTTCGCCTATGCTTTCCAGAAACACCTTGACGCATACAAACGTCCAGACAACCAACCCACCAACGCCCGAGCATACATCATTGACCCCGGCTTCTGTCGAACTCCCGGTACACGACGCTGGCTCTCTGGGGGCCTAATATGGGGACTATTCCTCTACCTGGTCACGTGGCCTGTTTGGTGGCTGATTCTCAAATCTCCCATTCAAGGAGCCCAGAGCTATCTTTTCGCAGCAATGGATGTCGAGTACGGGCGAGGAGCTGGTGGGAGAATGATCAAAGAGTGCAGAGAATACCAGCTTCTACGACCCGAAGCGCAGCATGAAGAAGTGGCAAAGAAGCTGTGGGAATATAGTGAGAAGCAGATCGAGCAGCTGGAGAAGGAAGGCGCTGTCAAAAGGGCTCTAGAGAAGAAGGCAGCGCAACAGGAAAAAGAGAAGAACCAGGGAGGCTCGACGGCAGATGCTATTGGTCGTGCATCCGGAGGAGAGAAGAAGCCTACTCCAGGATCCAGAAAAAGTCGAAAAGCAAAATGACTCAACATGTTGGACGGATTGGTGATAATCGGTGCTCCTCACCTCGCCACCTAGCTTTTGCTCAACTCGAGATGGAGTTTCAACGCCGAACACCAACCCCGGTTCTCCGTTATTTTGTGAAATGAAGAGAGCATTCCACGACTCCTCCTGCAATCCCAATAGTCGAGGTGTGTATGCCTACCTTGGCTCCGGCTGAGCCTTGTCAAGGTCTGAAAATGATCAACATTCTGCGCCCCTGCTTATGCACTCCTCTCTCAGAGATTTAGGAGATGCGGCAGACAATATGCGCCAACGTGATCTGAGATACGGGTGCAGGGGAACTGCTGCATGTTCTTGGGTTCGACCCTTTTGGAGAAAGAGTACATTATTCCAGATGAGGTAGGATTTCGCGCTTCGACAGCATCCACGTGGTAGAGTTTCCTGCCAAAGTACCAAAAAGACTGAACAAGGCCACCGACATTTAAAAACCGTCAACCATCCAGTCACACGTGCATCCATCAAGCAACCTCCACCGCCCCATCACTCAATGGTATGCTCATTCTCATAATGGGCTCCGTAGACGAGAGGGCTCGGAATGATACCAGCGTGGGAAACTTGTGCTGGATCAACATATTACCTGGTGTCACCGATCAGACTGAAAGGAAGAATCCCGTGGCGTGCAACTGCCGACAATGTCTGGTTCTCGGCCCACTCCTCCAATCAGTTCAATTCGACATCTCCCACTGGCAGCCCCGGTCACTGATGCTCACGAGGCGGTCGTGGTTCCGCCCTCCACGGCTTATGAGCGGAATGGGAAGGAGCTTCTGACCGGGGCCTTCCCCACAGACCAGCCGTCCCCTCACAACCAGTCTGGGGTCGAATGCGTCTTATAGTGGTCTATGGTCTTCTATCTTCTACAACCTGGCATCTTCTTCAGCTTCGGGTATTCTTCGTGGTCTTTGTCGCTCCCTTCCGGTCGCACTTGGTCCCTGCTCTAGATTTCGGTCGCTATGATTGATAACATTCTCTCCGGTCTTGTGGGCCGTGCCCAAGCCGCGCCAGTGACGTTCCTAGCATACTTCGTGGCGGCCTCTGCCGTACTATATCTCATCCTCACCGAAATACAGAGAGCACGAGCCCGTATTTCTGGCTTCGAAGGACCGTCGGGTTTGCCAGTGATCGGCAACATTCATCAAATCAGAACCGATGCAGCAGAACAATATCGATTGTGGTCCAAAAAGTTCGGGCCTGTTTATCAGATCATGCTGGGCAACATCCCGGTGATCGTGGTGAACGGCGCTCAGGCTGCCAGAGAGATCTTCGGGGTGAACTCCCAGGCGCTCGCTTCAAGACCCGAGTTCTACACTTTCCACAAGGTTGTCAGTTCGACGGCAGGAACAACAATCGGGACCTCACCGTTCAGCGAGAGTTTGAAACGCCGAAGAAAGGGCGCCGCAAGTGCATTGAACAAACCTAGTGTGGCGACATACATTCCTCATATCGATATTGAGACACGAGATTTCTTAAGTGAATTCCTCCACTACGGTGAAGGGGGCCGGAAGCCGGTAGACCCCATGCCCATGATTCAAAGGCTGTCCCTGTCCCTTGCCCTGACCTTGAACTGGGGCACGCGCATGGCGTCTCAAAACGACGAGCTGTTCGGCGAGATCACGCACGTGGAGGAGGAAGTGTCCAAGTTCCGATCCACCACCGGCAATCTCCAGGACTACATCCCTATTCTGCGGCTGAACCCCTTCAATTTCGGGAGTGCAAAGGCACGAGACATGCGTCGACGCCGAGACATTTATCTAAGGAGATTGAATGAGAACCTTGACCACCGTATGGCATTGGGCACACACCAACCATGCATCCAAGCCAACGTGATCCAGGACAAGGACGCCAAACTCAATTCTGAAGAACTCACTTCGATCTCTTTGACAATGTTGTCTGGTGGTCTAGACACCCTCACGACCTTGGTCGCGTGGTCAATGGCGCTACTGGCCCAACACCCAGATATCCAGAGGAAAGCTCAGCAGGAGATCCGAGCCGTGTATCCTCCCGAGCAGATCCTTTGTGATGCCAACGATGACCAGTCCATCCCGTATATTGTAGCGCTCGTCCGCGAACTGTTGCGCTACTATACCGTCCTCCGCCTGTCGCTGCCGCGCGCCACAGTGAGAGATGTCATGTACAACGGCCATACCATCCCCTCAGGGAGCGTCATCTTCCTCAACGCCTGGGCATGCAACATGGATCCCGAAGTCTGGAGTGACCCGGAGGTGTTCCGTCCTGAGCGCTGGCTTGAAGTCCCTGACGCCCCGCTCTTCACGTACGGTCTGGGTTACCGTATGTGCGCCGGCAGCCTGCTGGCCAACCGCGAAATGTATACCATCTACTTGCGGTTGCTGTCGGCGTTCGAGATCCGAGATGTCGAGGCCGCGGATGGCGGCGCCGTCAATACACATCCCGTCAAGGGCGTGGAGGACCACACCCAGCTTGTCAGTGTGCCTAAGCGATACAGGGTCAGGCTAGTTCCCAGAGATGAAGGGTGTTTGAAGAAGGCGTTGGATGAGTATGTCGGTGAACAGCATTAACTTGCCAGCTTGGACCAGGTGCCCGATTCCCGAAGGGCTACTGTCGCATGAAATCAAGCACCGCAAGCACTGCAATCACCTGGCGTCTAGGGCGCAGATGGCGTTAGCTGGCCAGTAGTATCGATAATATTTTCTATCCACGTCAATGCCTGACTTTTCATATTCTAATTTCCGTCTATTCATTTCCTAGCGAGGTACGGGCTCGTACCTCGAATGTGAACCCATCCAATCCAAGCAAGCCTGCAATATACTGGAGTTAGTTCTCTCATCCCTGGCGATGTTATCGATGCCTTCTATCCACGGTGCAATCTATTCTGTAGTGCTAGCCGTTCATTTGATGGTCGGCCGCAGGTGCGAGTTCTCCTCGAAGGAATTGGTTCGGTATCGCCTCAAGCCTTCCTCGGCGAGTTTCTTGACCGTCTTACGTTCTTCGTAGATATCCTTTGTCTCGTCTAGAATGGTCTTCCAGTCCTCAAAGGTGGTGAAGGGGATGCCTTCTTTCTCGCACCAGGTGACGAGATCTTGGCCGGCGCGCGCGAAGAGCAAATCCGTCTCCCTGGCGGCGCTGAGATCGCTCACACCGTCACCGGCGTACAGCAGCGTGGGCCGCTCATTGGGGGGCAGTTTGGCAATGGCGTCCGCGTAGGGGCGGATGGTCAGGCTCTTGTCATGGCCGAAGCCGGAGTCGTCGTGGAACTTGATGGTCCAGCCGTCGGCGACGTCGATCGAGTTGCCCGGGGCGAGCAGCTGGACCTCGTTGGCGACGATCTCGATGTCGGACATCAGGTCCTCGCCCAGCAGATGCTTCAGCAGCGTCTCCAGCACGGGGATCATGCCGCTGCTCAGCACAATCACCGGCACGTCGTGCTCGCGCGCCCACACCATGAACTGCTTGAAGTACGGGTCCAGCGTGATGTTGTCGCGCAGGATCTCGAGCACGCGCGGGAACGGCATGTGCCATGAGTCGATCATCTTCTGGAACGTGTTGCGGAACGTGTCGGTGTGGTTGATGACGGCGCGGAACAGCTGGCGCCGCTCCTCGTAGCCCATGCCGTAGTTGTCCGTGATGAAGTCGTTGGTGTCCTGCAGCGTGATGGTGCCGTCAAAGTCGGTGAAGAAGATCACCCGCGGCTTCTTGTTGAGCGTCTCGGGGAAAGGCATGCTGGGCTACGTAGCTCTGTCTGTCTTTGTACCTTGTAGTGCCGGTAGACGACGAGTTCAATGCGAATCTGGGCGAGGGGAAGCGGCGCGGTGAGCAACAGCCTATGTCTAACTTCAGAGATAAACAGACAGAAGGGCCACTTGACAGCAGATGATCTGTCCCCTTATATGACCGGGCAGAATTAATCAGAGCCGTGGGGTAGTCGACGGGCTCCAGTGGTGGGTAGCTGGGTAGCACAGAGTAGTGTTCCGATCGTCGCGGCGTGCCTGACCCATCGTTTCAGATATTTTCTGGCGGGCAAATGCCCGACCAGGCAAGCCGACACCACCGAGTGAGAGGGGAGCGCTGATGACGTCGCACTGTGTCCCGGGAAACCTTCCCCCCAACAGCACCCATAGTGGTACTAGCTAGGGAAATACTAAATACTACGGAGTACAGGTACGCACTGGCAGCCGGGGCGGAACCTGAAGCTGCCCTGGGCGCCGAGAGTTGACCGTGTTATAGGGTTATAGGCTGGCGTGGGCATTGGAACTCTGTCTGTTCGTGGGAGACAGCTCTTCCCACCTGGCGGCTCAGACCCTGCATCACTGCTGCTCGCGATGCAGCAAGCCCCTATACGGCTCTCTCAGACATTGTGGTCCGCCTTTCGAGCCGCAAAGCCCATCTCCCACACTTTCCCTCGGCCGCTTCAGCTTCAATTTTCCTCGCTGGTCCGGTCCTCCCCACAGCCATGGCCCAGACAAAGGTCCAGAATAGCTTTGCAAGCTCGCTTTTATAGCGATAACAGGACGGAGATTGAGAGGAAAGTCGAAGATGCAAAGAGTCGGATAGAAGAGAGCTTCGAGTCCCGGGCAGATACAGTGGCCTCGCAGGCCGATGAGAAACTCAAGGACCCTCAGCATGAAACAATCATTCATACGATTCCGGAGTCCTCGTCGATTGTCCATCCGTCCCAGGCACATGGCCAGAAAGAACACAAGCAGTCGCAACCTCCGCCCCCGCCCCCGCCGCCGTCCTCTTGGGACAAGAAGCTGCCCTCCCATCTAGCCTCTCGGTATTCGCACGTGCGAGAACGATTTACGCATTTCATGGACAATTTCCAGACCCATATCTTCACGGCGTCCCGGCGATTGAACGACCTCACTGGCTACTCAGGGATAGAAGCATTGAAGCACGAAATTGAGCATCAGGAAGCAGTGGTGCAGGAATGTCGTCAAGCAGTCAATGAAAGTCGATCAAGATACACCGAGGCAATTGCAACGCGGAGCGCTACCCAGCGCGAAGTAAACGACCTCTTGCACAGAAAACACACCTGGTCTCCTACTGATCTTGAGCGCTTCACCAGTCTGTACCGATCCGACCATGCAAACGAGCAGGCCGAGGCTGCTGCGCAGAAGGACGTGGCCGATGCAGAAGCAAGGTACGAAGAAGCCTCGTCGAAACTCGCAAAGGCAATCCTGGCACGCTACCACGAGGAACAGATCTGGAGCGACAAGATCAGACAGATGTCGACCTGGGGCACTTGGGGCTTAATGGGGCTCAACGTGCTGTTATTCGTCGTCTTCCAGATCGCCATCGAGCCATGGCGGCGGCAAAGGCTGGTCAAGGGGTTCGAAGAGAAGGTCGAACTTGCATTAAAGGAGACGTTCGACGAGGTGACTGCTGTGCAACCGGTGCGGCCGAACCAAGAGGGTGCCATAGCGGCCATGTCGCCTGGAGAGAAAGTAGACGCTGTGGCCGACAAAATAGTCGAGCAGATTGTCGACGCTGTCTCGGGCACCACCGTCGATGAAGCTGTTCCAACGCCCCCGCCCATAGAGACAACGCCTTCTCCTCCACCAGAACCCGTCATCGAAGCGGCGGCCGAGCAGCTCGCCGCCGAAGAGATCGCCGCCGAGGAAGTCGCGCAAGGATCGCTCGAGACAATCATACCAGAAGAACCCGTCACATCTCCCTCGGCGACGTCGCGCTGGACCGCCCCTACCTCCCCACTCGCGTGGTATGAAGACTCGCTACGCGCACTGTTTAGCGACGAGAACCTCCTCACGCTCACGCAACGGCAGTTGACAACTGTTGCAATGCAAGGTGTGGCCGGCGGCATGGCGCTGATGGGCCTGTTGGTTGTCCTCCTACGGCCCAAATGAGCTGTGGCTGTACTCTGTACTGTCTAGACCGAAAAAAGCATTTATTTGACCCACGTCTCATTGTGTAACTGTAGATAAACACCACCGTATGAGGTATGAGGGAAGACCTCATAAGACTCGAAAGGACATTGAGTGAGATACTAGTCAAGACGATATTCAACAGAGAAATGCCCCTCCCCTCATTCATGGCTGAACCAGATAATAGAGGATGCTTCCCTTCCCTGGTCAGCCTTTATTAGCCCTTGTGGCCTGCCTGTCTCCAATAGTCATCTCCTTCTCTCGACCTGCTTCAGCTTGCCAGATCAGGTCGTTGGCACTCTAGTGTTGACCCTGCTGCTGCTCGTTCGGCCTCATGTAATGCCGGAAACAACAAAAAAGCAAAGCAAAGCAAAAATCGGACTCGAACTGAACTCGGGGAGAGAAAACAGCCCTCGGTCGAACATGTCAGACAATGATATGTTTAGGTATGGTTTTATCATCTTTTAGGCTGCTCCTCAAAAGTCCACTGCACTCAAGTCCATCCCCCACCTCGGACATGCGATCTCAGCAATCGCAGCCCCAAAGGCCCCGTCGTGTCTCTAATATGTACAGAACCTAGCCGAGAATGTAGTTTTGCAGCTAGTTTGCCTTCCGCGCTCTTTTGGACGACTCCCGACACATACAATTCCCCCACCGGCCCGCCTCAAAGGTCTTGTCAAGCAGCTCAACTCCAACCCTGTTTAACCAATGATCAACTTGTCGTCTTCGGGGAAGTCGTAATTAGGAATCTCCAGGTTCAAAGGAGCAGGACCTCTCCGCACACGGCCGGAGATGTCGTAGTGAGAACCGTGGCAAGGGCAGAACCAGCCACCATAGTCACCGGATTCGCCGATGGGGACACATCCCAAGTGCGTGCACACGCCCAACATCACTAGCCATTCGGGTTTCTTGACGCGGTCGGCGTCCGATTGCGGGTCACGTAGAGTTGAGACACTATGGCACGAAAAGATTAGTACGAAAGCTCTTCGCGCGCGGCAAACATATGGAGAAAATAGGGAGCTCGAATTGATTCGGGCACTCAATGGAGAGAACGGAGCAGGAACGTACTCGACAGATTCGGCCTCCTTGATTTCGTCTTCTGTCCGGTGACGGATGAAGACGGGCTTGCCTCGCCATTTGATGAGGACGTTCTTGCCTTCAGGGATGGCAGCGAGATCGACTTCGACCTTGGCTTGAGCCAGCACGTCGGCGGACGCGGACATGTTGACAAGGAAGTCTGCGAAAGAAAGAAACAAACGTCAGCTCTTCATGCTCCTTGGTGCCGAAATTGATGTGTCCACGTCGTGGCTTTTTGTTTCTCGTGTACTAACCCTGAACAGTAGCCTTTGCGCCAGCGGCGGTCAGCAGGCCCATAGTGCCGACCATGAAGTATTGAAAGACTCGGTTCGTGATGGCCGGGGTGCTGGCCTGGTAGTGCTTGAAGCTCGGGATCTTGGTGGTGTCATATTTCTTCGCCTTGGTGGTGGTGAAGGGGCTTTGGAAGCTCGAGCCGCTGCTTGCAGCTTCGCCGGACTGTAGCCGCCGCTGTTGCGAACTTGGGGTGGATGGAGTTGAAGCTGAAGCTGAAGCTGCCGCGGCCAGACGGGACGACGGGGCTGCGGAGGTAGGAAGTGTGTGTCGGGTCCAGCTGCGCACGGCAGAGCCCGCGGATGCAGGAACTGGACGCATCGTGAGGGCTGTGTGAAAGCAGAGAGCGATCGTGGACGACGAGGTGAAAAGCTTGGAAGCTGAACGTGGTGGACGAGAGGCGCTGCGAACTTGAACTTCGAGTTGATCTTCGAATTGAGGTCCAAAGCCAAGACTCGTTTTGCCTCGATTGTGATTGGTGGAGAGATCTCGACGGTTTAGAGCTTCAAGTTCAGCGTCCACCATCAAACCATCAACATTAGCTGGAACGCCAGCTCGCCCACTCTCGATCACTCCAGCAAGATTCAACGAGTGGTTCCCAGAGTCTCTGGTGGGAGATGCTGTGAAACATACGTCTATTCTACCGTGCTCATCATGCAACGCTCGCAGTGCCTGTCCCATGGCCCCTAGGCCTCGCAGTCCGAACCATGCCCATAGCCCCGTCCTTCAGTACAATGCTTGCAGCTACACGCCCCTTAAGAGGCATCATTCATCATCGCCTGAAATACAGATTGACGTGTTTGTGCCTCAACCACTCTCAACCACTCATCTCGATGTCCCTGACCGGGTCCGGATGACTGTGCGTTCGCTGATGAAGTGATCTGTGACCGACGGAACCACCACTTGTGCCATTCGCATGCGGAGAGCCGTTTACCCCATTGACACCGTTCTGCGGCTGATTCTTCATCATCGTCTGGATCGAAATCGAACCAGTCTCACCATTGACGCCATGTCCAGCCGTCGAGGATGCTGCATGCGCAGCCTCCTGAGCCTTTTCTTCTCTGTACTGCCGGTAGGTCTTTGTCTTGGGAACCGTGTCGGACAGAAACTCGAGGTTGTCGATTCTAGATACCGCTGTGGCTTGGTCATAGTCAGCGATGCATGATCCTGGTGATCTGGCTAACCAGCGACTCACCAACGTCCTTGTATGCAATATTCCGCCGGGGCTTTCGTTCCGATTTGACCACGTTATATGCTTGTTCGGTTAAGTAGCGAAGGAATATCTCCTGGAAACATTATCAGCAACAGCGCCCTCCCTGGAAGTTGGCGCGGCTGAACCCACCGTCGCGACAGAGATCGCAAAAGCAGCCGTGGTGGAACATTGGCCAATCTCATCATCCATAGCTATGATTTTCTTCACTCTCGCCACTGTAGGCTGGTCAGCGATGTGTCGTCAAGACAATGGCACGAGAAATGACTCACTTGGAAGAGCAGATGAGCCTGTGACGTCCTGAGGTGGCTCGATAGGGGCATTGTTGTATGGCATGGCGACCTGAGACTTGAATTTGGTCGCTTAGATCAATCCTCAAGAGTTCCAAATAGCCTAAATGCTTTTGACACGACTTTTGGCTGTCGAAGGCTCACTGATGGCGTTGACAAAGGGATGGATTCTCCTTGTGAGGGTTTGCTCTTCTCAATGGATCGCCGGGCGCTTAGATGGACGAAATCCACGGCGAGACTAGGCCAGTGATACGTCTGAGGTGACGATGAGTTTTTCTTGAGAAGTAGTGTTCTTGCACGTCGTGTTAGGACCCGTTTGTCTGGTCGGGCGGGGGCTCGATATTTCCCATTTGAAGTCGCGTCGAGAGTTCTCAGGTCACGTTCTGGGCACGTCCGAAAGGGGAAAAGCGATGGTCGACCGGGAGGCCACCGAGTTCACGGGCTTCATCCTGCGAACAAACATGTGCTGAGCCATACTAGTACTCAACAGCCTGCGAACGGCAATCGACAGTCTAGACATCTCATTTCAGCCATGGTAGATGAGCCGGTGTTATGACCTCGCGTGCGTCCTCTTCTCGCCGACCCTCACTGTCAGCCAGGCGCCTATCCCGACGCCTATCCCACCTCTCCAGCCTCGAACATGGCGAGGCCCGGCCTCAGCTTGCGCCGGCCGAACAGTCTCTCACCGAAGAGATTGCAGAGATAAAACGCTACGAAGATTTCACTACAATCGACTGGGTACAAGATGCGGCCCAAGAACAGATGCGGAGACGCGCCCGGCGCAGAGAGTCGAGGTTCTTCGAAAGAGAGGGAGTGCTGGGCTGGCGTCGCAAGCTCTGGGAGTCCTACGATGCAGCACAGGCCTGGGTGGTGATCACACTGGTCGGGATCATCATTGGCGTCAATGCTGCCGCCTTGAATATCATCACGGAGTGGCTGTCAGATATCAAGATGGGCTATTGTACGACTGCCTGGTATCTCAATGAAGGCTTCTGCTGCTTCGGCTCCGAGAACGGATGCGACGAGTGGCGGAGGTGGACTTCATTCAGTGTTGTAAATTATTTGCTATACACCATATTTGCGCTTCTCCTGGCATTCATCTCGGCATACCTGGTCAAATGCTACGCTCCCTACGCTGCTGGCTCTGGCATCTCAGAGATCAAATGCATCATTGCCGGTTTCGTCATGAAAGGCTTCCTCGGATTCTCGACATTCCTCATCAAATCGATCTGTCTGCCTCTAGCCATTGCCTCAGGCTTGTCAGTCGGCAAGGAGGGTCCTAGTGTACATTATGCGGTCTGTGTTGGCAACGTCGTTTCACGATTCTTCGCCAAATACCGACGGAGTGCTTCCAAGACCCGAGAGATTTTGACGGCAACAGCAGGGGCCGGAGTGGCTGTGGCATTTGGAAGTCCGATTGGAGGCGTTTTGTTCTCGCTCGAAGAAATGGCGACCCATTTCCCCTTGAAGACGCTCTGGCGGAGTTACTTCTGTGCTCTTGTAGCTACGGCAGTGCTGGCTACGATCAATCCGTTCAGGACCGGACAGCTCGTCACGTTCTCAGTCAAGTACGATCGAGACTGGCACTTCTTCGAAATCGTCTTCTACATCATCCTCGGCATCTTTGGTGGACTCTACGGTGCAGTTGTCATTAAATACAACCTCCAAGCCCAGGCATTTAGGAAGAAATATCTGTCCAAGTTTGCCATCCCCGAAGCCGTCATCCTGGCCGGTGCCACGGCCATCCTCTGTTTTCCAAACATGTTTCTCAGGATCGACATGACGGAAATGATGGAGCTGCTGTTTCGGGAGTGTGAGGGTGACTATGATTACCATGGACTGTGCGAATCAAGAAACAGGCCGACGCTGATCCTGTCGTTGTTGGTCGCAACTTTCCTTCGCATGTTCCTCGTCATTATATCTTATGGTTGCAAGGTACCTGCAGGTATATTCGTGCCCTCCATGGCCGTTGGAGCATCTTTTGGTCGGATGCTAGGAATCATTGTACAATGGTTGTACGAGACTTTTCCAGATTCACGGTTCTTCTCTGCCTGTCAACCCGACGTGCCATGCATAACGCCTGGCACTTACGCATTCCTCGGCGCTGGTGCTGCTCTCAGTGGCATCATGCACCTGACCATTTCAGTCACCGTCATCATGTTTGAATTGACCGGAGCCTTGACTTACATTCTTCCCACAATGATAGTGGTAGGTGTAACCAAAGCCGTAGGAGACAGGTTCAGCAAAGCTGGCATTGCAGATCGGATGATTTGGTTCAACGGCTTCCCTTTCCTGGACAACAAGGAAGAACATACTTTTGGTGTGCCTGTGTCGCAGATCATGACCGCCCATGTCAGTGTATTACCCTCGAGAGGTATGGAAGTCAAGGCTGTACAAACGCTGCTGAACGACACAACATATTCCGGATTTCCCATTGTGGAAGATGTCGATTCTAAGATCTTAGTGGGATACATTGGAAGGACTGAGTTGCAGTTTGCCGTCGACAAGGCCCAAAAAGGCGCTATGCTGGCAGCAGACGCCAAATGTGTGTTCACTGCGGAGCGGGACGACGAAGCAGAGTCTGCAGCTCCGCTCAGTCCAGCCGTTTCCTTTGATTCCATGGCCACCCAGACCGTGGACTTCAGTCCATATGTCGATGCGACTCCAATCACTGTCCATCCTCGCCTGCCTCTGGAGACAATCATGGAGCTCTTCAAGAAGATGGGCCCGCGTGTCATTCTCGTCGATCACCATGGCCGCCTCGAAGGGCTCGTCACGGTGAAAGACTGTCTGAAGTATCAATTCAAGGTTGAAGCTCAGGAACATGCCCATGCCCACACCCTCCAGGACGAACCTAATCTTAACCCTGAACGAATCGTCGATCTCCTCAGCCGGATAGGTGATTACTTTGCCGATAAGATCAATAACCTATCACGCGGAAAGTTGAGACTCAGTCCTCCCATAGCTCAGGGATGGACTAGAGTGGCGGGACAAGATAGACCAGAAGATTTCGCTGATGGTTACACTAATGAGCATGAGATTTTGGATGGAACGGAAGATCTTACGGAACATGGCCAACATGGTGTTGAGCTTACAACTAGGCGGCGGGAGTGAAGGGCCCATGTATACATTTTCGATATTAGACAACTGCATATTCTGAGTTTTGAAGATACTGACAGTCTTTCCGTCTCCCGCCATCGCATGACACTGAGTCTGGGGGGAGAGCAGAGTCTTTAACCGTCGGGGCACAGCCCAGGTCGTCCAACGCATGTGTTTGTCCCCAGGTTCGACCCTCTTATCCTCTTTTCTTGACATTCTTTCCTCCCAGAACCGCAGCTCACCTTCTTCTGACCCGTCCTCCACCAACAGCCACCTTTTCCCCGGGTCATTTTCGATCCTCTTCAGATCGGCCATGTCGTCCCCTTTGGTCCCTCACCCGGACTCTAATCGAGAGCTTGGACGCGACCTCGATCTGGACTTGTCATTCGCAACCTCCCTCAACGGATCTATCCTTACTCTGGAAGACGAACTTGCCGATGTGTCCGACAACCCATTTACAGACGCCGGCATCGATCATAAAGAAGGAAATGGACAAGAGGATGGGGATGGTGATCAGGCTGCGGAGGAGCCACAGGACAAAGATAAAGCGAGCACCACCTCCGAGTCTAGTCTTCCTACAGGTTACCGACGTCAGACTGAGTCGTTCGTCAAACTCAACCAAGAAGCCCTCGAGAAATGGCGCGGCGATCTCGAAGTCATCATTCAGTCGCTTCGCCCTACAGAAAGTGAGGCCGAAATGGAAGGTCTCAGCACCACATTGCAACTGTTCGACCACGCCCTCGGCATATATGACTGGATAAGGCACTCAGTGGGACCGTACATAGCAGTCCTAGAAGCCCGCCAAGAAGCTGTGCAGCGTGAAATGGAGCGGCGGGATCGGGAAATCGACCTGTTGCGGGACGAGGCCGAGGAGGTGTTGAAGGCCTATTCGACGGAGTACGAGACCAGCCGGCGCAAGACATCGATGTTAGGAGAGTTCATCGATATAATAGATGTTATCGCCGAGGGGAACGTATCAGAGAACGAGGGCAGAGCTGAGGAACATCAGCTGGGTGATGTTGGACCTCATTGATTGTTGGATGGGGAGCAGACGGTGCTTCGAGCCAGGAGAACGATGGCATGGTGCGCTTGCAAGACACTGTCATCTGTGTTCTATGTTCTATGTCCTGCTCCTTGAGGACAGCCATGCACAGTCGTGGAGATCTTTCTCCCACACACGCTATCACGAAAACAAGCTGGTTGCAAAGGGATATTTAATATTGCCATGCGGGACGGCAAGGATACAACGAGATCCATCCCTAACCAACATTAATATTTGGGGATTAACCATTCCACTATTCGAATGCAACTTTGTTGCAAATGGAACAATGAGCTGCCAAACTTCCCGTCCTTGTATCCTGCAGACGGTTTCATCCATGTCTTGTTGATTGCTCTTCTGTGTATTGTGTACCTGTAGCTCGTCCTCCATCCGTGAGACTCTGGGCACGTGACTCGTAGCCTTGACACCTACCAGCAAACTCCTGCTGCTGCTACGGAATACGGAATATACATGTCTTGCTTCCTAGGATAGATGAACCCGGTACTCTCTTCTAACCGAGGGGGAGTTTTCTTCTTTCTGGTCCGGAGGCGACTCTTCAAATTTTCCAATCTGCCGCGACTTGGCGAGTTCGACGCCATTGAGTGTCTGACCCATATTCCCATCCATCTTCTTGGCCGTATTCTTGGCCATAGAAGTCACACCCGATCGCGACATTTGAAGCTGCCAGGGTTTGAACCAATGACATGGACAGATCTGCACCTCCACGACCCGATAGCAAAGCTGATAGCTTAGCTGAGGGTCCCCGGGTTTGGCGTTACATAACTGCCCCAAGTCGCGGAGCTGAGAACAACTTCCTCCTCCCTTGACCAGAGCGAGAAATTTAAGAGAGGATTTGTTGACGACAAGTTCAATTCTTCGAACGGTTTGCCAGGATGTCGTGGTGAAGGTGGTCAAAGGCGTCCCAATCTTGGTTCCAGCCTCGTTACATGGGCTCTTCAATGCACGGTTGGGTCGAGCCCGGCCCCGGTACCCAACATCAACTGCGATGCGAAGTCGGACTGCCCAGTCCGCTATATTCTTGGGGGATGGACCCCAGACCTGGTCACGGGAGCCACAGCAAGATGCTCATTGCTCAATACCATTCCGTGCGAGCCCTCGGCGCTGCATCGGCAAGGTAGGCATGACCCTCTCTTGAGGACTGCTCCGGGTCGGCCTCGTGGAAAATCTCTTCCAGATAATCTGATGTGATAAGATAAAATTCTTTCTTATCAATCTATATAATCTTGCATGCGAGGCCCTGGCCCCTGAGACACCCTCTTCGTTGGTTTCTTTCTCCGCTTTGCATACCATTGAATTTGGCTTCGTTGCTCTCATCTGTTCTCGTGCAAGATGAGGTTCCGATTTCCTCGCACCCTCGACTTGGGGCTGGACCGCGGCAAATCCTCCGATGTGGACGGCCCAGAATCAGCAGCTGGGCAGCGGGAGACCACTCTTGCCAGTCATGAGATCCGGGAGAAGGAAGCGGCCGTCGCTGGGGACTCTGACACCGGCGACAGTGGCAGTGAGAAGGTCGATGCCGACGCTCAACGAGGTGTCCAACTTGCTGAGGCCGTGACCGAGGTGTGGACTAGACGCGATTTGATCCTGGCTTACGTCCTGTAAGATGCCGTCGAGGAGCCATATGCGCAGATGATAGTGAGCTGACGAATAACTAGCATCTGGATCATTGAATTCGTCCTCGGCTTCTCCTCTGGCATCGTCGGTACATTGACTCCCTACGTGACGAGCTCGTTCGCAATGCACTCTTTGACCGCGACCACGGGCATCATCTCCAGCTTGATCGGCGGCATCTTCAAGCTCCCGTTTGCCAAAATCATGGATATCTGGGGTCGGCCCCAAGCGTTCATCTTGATGATCGCGTCCATCACGCTGGGCCTGATCATGATGGCCGGGTGCAACAACGTCAAAACATATTGCGCGGCCCAGGTCTTCTACAACCTCGGTTACTATGGGATTGACTTTGCCTTGACCATCTTCATTGCCGATACCTCGAAGCTGCGGAATCGGTCTTTCATGATCGCCTTTGCATCGTCGCCCTGGCTAGCGGTGACCTGGTGTTACGGACCGGCAGCCAACAGCGTGCTGGATACGATGGGATTCCGATGGGGATTTGGGATCTGGTCCATCATCCTGCCCATCACCTGCGCTCCGCTCTGTTTACTGTTCCTGCGCAACCAACGGAAAGCGATCAAGTTGGGTCTCATCCCCCCGCGGCCCAGCCGAGGAACGCCGTTCCAAACCTTCATCTACTACTGCCGCGAGTTTGACGTGATCGGCCTCCTGCTCATCAGTGCCGGACTGGCGCTGTTCCTGCTGTCGTTCAGCTTGTACTCGTACCAGAAGGACGAATGGCGGTCGCCCTTGATCATCTGCTTCATCATTTTCGGCGGGCTGCTCATGATCGCCTTCGGCCTGTACGAGAAATACCTGGCCCCCGTGACGTTCATCCCCTGGACGCTCCTCCGGAACCGCACCGTCATCTTCACCTACATCATGGCCGCCAGCATCTACCTGGCCTGGTACATCTGGGACGCGTACTTCTTCTCGCTGTGCATCGTGCTGTTCCGACAGAGCATCACGCAGGCCTCGTACATCGGCAACATCTACACGGTCGGGTCGACCTTCTGGGCGTTGGTGATCGGGGTGGCGATCCGCTTCAACGGGCGCATCAAACGGTACGCGCTCTTTTTCGGCGTGCCCATGACCATCCTCGGCGTCGGGCTCATGGTCCACTTCCGCCAACCGAACGTCAACATCGGGTACATCGTGATGACGCAGATCTTCATCGCCTTCGGCGGCGGCACGCTGGTCATCTGCGAGCAGATGTCGGTCATGGCCGTCTCCCGCCACCAGAACATCCCCGCTGTTCTGGCCATGGAGGCCATGGTCGCCAACATCGGCAGCTCGGTTGGCCTGGCCATCGCCTCGGCCATGTGGACGGGCATCTTCCCCAAGAAACTGGCCGAAAACCTGCCCGCCAGCGCCCAGGCCGACTTGGCCACCATCTACGGCGATTTGACCGTTCAGGCCAGCTATCCTCCCGGCAGCCCGACCAGGGACGCCATCGACAAGTCGTACGGCCAGACCCAACGCCTCATGCTCATCACCGCCACCTGCCTCTATTCCATCACCCTGGTGTCCACTCTCTTCTGGGAGGACATTGATGTCAAGAACATGAAGCAACGGACCAAGGGGTTGATTTGAGAGCCAGACCGAGACTGGTCATCACCTGTCTACTGTCCACCACGTCGGGCTCACCTGTCCACTGTCCACTGTCCACCACGTCAGGCAAGGTTGGGCCAGCACACGGTGCACCAACACCACAAAGAGACTTCTGTGTTCCTGTCCCTGTCCCATTGCGTTGACTCACCTGACGTGAGCTGGTGGATGTCACTTCGGTCAAGATACAAGATACAGTACACTCAAAAGAGCCACAGCGTTAGCAACGAGAAGGCATTGTTTCGTATTCATTTGAGCAGGGTGATGATCTAAAAAAGCTCGCTTCTCACTTCAGTCATTACTTCGTTCTTGTTTCCGGCTCGCAAAATTTGGCAGGCAATAATAAACTCTCGAATCGTTTCTTTCCGAGTCTTCCGTCTTGTCTTCTCCCTGTGCCTTGCCTGTCCTGGTCCATAGTCCCCGCCACAATTCCATTCCCACACCACACGACATGGCAAGATTGACTCTTTGTCGTTATAGACTCGCAGCCTCGGTGGATGGACCGGACCGGCTCACTCTTCACTCTGGCGAACCCTAGGTCTGGGTCTGGGTCTGGGTCTGCATGCTTGAACATGGAGTTCTCGACAGGTGTAGCGTGGTACCTTTGAGCCTCCCATGACAATAGACCATGTATGCTACGCGTACGGCAATAAGGCACCCGGTGGCCCTCACATGCCCTTTGGAACATGCGACTGTGTCCAGATCCTCATTGAACCGACATGGCAGCCTTGTGGTCTAGGTCGGCGCGCTTCTCGAAAACGTCAGCTGCTCCTTGACTGTGCTTGAGGTCACCTACTGCGCATGCTGGAGGGTCATGACTTATAGTTCCTTCTCCTCCCCAATCTTGTGGCATCTCGCGCCGGCTGTGGTGTGCTGAGTCGGTCAAAAGTATTCTTTCCCCACGAGGCTGAGGCACGATCGCCCTGGCGCGCTCAAACAGGTAATATCCGACATTTTCTGCACCTGGGTCCCACGCACTGGTTCAAGGTTGGGCCTTTGCCAGGCTGCTGCCTTTGTGTAAGATAACCGTAGTCCGCAAGCGTTTAGACAAAGGAGCCAGTGCCATGCTTATTCCGACCGCCTGCCAAAGTGCTTGATCGGCCACGCGTTGTTCTGTCTCACCTTGGTGGCCATTTTAGCCTTGCAGGTGCAGTATGGTCGACTCAGGCATCGCGACTGCACAAACCTTTCAATGTGGTCCTTATCTCTTGGTTCTCGTTGAAATGCAGTTTTGAAAGAAGGGAGGTAGATTCGCCAAGGGGTTTCTCGCATGCATTCTTTGGGGGCTGAGGGTTGACATCGTGTTGTGCGACCCGAACCGAACGGAATGTGCAGCGATAGACTTTGACGTCACGGCCACAAAGCCGACACGCCGAGTTGAGCTGAGCAGCAAGGTACAAAGGATGGATTGATCGATCGATCGACGGAATGGTTTGACAGTGGGTTGAACAGGGAATACAGAATGAGGCAGTGAGGCAGCAAATCGCAACGACCGTACCTCGGACCATTGTCGCCAACACTGAACAGCTACCGTACAGTACATGTACTGTACCTCTTGGGGCAGACCTCCTCCTCCTTCTCGGAGCATCGGACGAGCGCATCTAACAGCACAATACTAATCAATAGCAACCAGAGCTGACGGCAAACCCAGGGCCTAAGTATCGTCGGCCGTGGAATCGAGATTCTCAAGCGACAAGTGTCAGACCAGACCAGACCATCCCGTCCCGACTGCGACTGCGACGGTGACGCGCCGCGAGCAATCTTAGCCTGAGCCTTAAGCCTCCTAAGCCGAAGGGCTAAGGCCCTTCCTTTCTATCCAACCTAACCCAAGCCGACCAACTACAGACAAACAGAGTCTACTTGACCCTACCTAAGAGGACTGGCCTGGGCCTCTAAAATGTCCCCCAAAACAGCCCTGCTCGTCATCGACATGCAAGTCTTCTTCGAGTCGATGACGCCGCGGGCGCTGCCCAACATCCTCTGCCTCTGCAAGCACTTCTCGCAGAGTCAGACACCCATCATTTTCACGCAGCATGGCCACTCGCAGGACGAACTGACCACCGACCCGTCCCCCAGCCAGCTCGTGCGGAAATGGGGCCCAGCAGACTCGATCGCCGCGGGATCCGACGGCTGGAAACTCATTGACGAGCTGCACCCGTTCCTCCCCAGCGCTTACACGGGAAAAACATCCTCTTCGGCCACTGTCGTTCCTCTGGGCCAGTCGCTCCCGGCCGCTACGAGCGTAGAATTCCCCAAGGTGGTGTCGAAAAACACCTATGATGGCTTTCTCAACACCAGCCTAGCCGCCGTGCTCGAGGTAGCCGAGATCGAGCGCGTCGTCGTCTGCGGCGTCATGACCGACTGCTGCGTTGACACCACGGCACGGAGCGCCTTCAATCGCGGCTACGAGACCTGGCTGGTCAAGGACGCTTCGTCGAGTGCAAATCGCGCCCAGCACGAGGCGGGATTGCGTGGGTTCTCGTTTGCGTTCGGCGAGGTGCTTTCTACGGACGAGGTGCTTGCTCGGCTGTGATTGTATCTAGAGTATAGGCTTGATCGGTAGTGACTGTGATTTAGAGTACAGAGTACAGAGTACAAAGTACAAAGTGGTATAGTATGCAACGCAGTACATGAAGTGTTTCTCTTGAGTGTGCCGACTTACTCTTACTATTACTACTCCTACCACTGCTGCCGCTGCTGCCGCCGTTGCTAGCAAGAATTCTGATGAATGTATAGTGCAGTATTAGCTGCTGATGCGACCTTTACCAGGATGCGAATTCTTGCAACATATATTGTGCCAGTAGAAGTACTAACACTGAATGTGGATTCTGTACTCCGTACTGTGTACTCTCACTTTCTACTCTCCTGTCCTGGAGAAGGAACTTTCTTTCTGGTCAAGTCGAGACGCCATATCAAAACCCCAGGAGGTAAGTTCAGGAAATGACGGATGGGGCCCTAAGGCTCATACCACAGCACTACGACCAATATATCCACCTCATACCCCCTACATATATAACTTATCAAAAGATAGATGCAGATGTTGGGCTTTGACAATTTTTTTTGATTAGATTAGGTGGTTTAGCATGAAGGGGGGAGGGAAATCCCACAATATAGGGCTCAGGAGGCTTAGACCAGGCCCAGGCTCAGGCCCAGGCCCAAGGCCCCCAGCAGCGTTCTGAGCGTAGGTATGTAGGTACCTATAGGTAGGTAGGTAGGTAGGTACAGAGTACCATTGTAATCCTCCATACCCCCTACCTCCTACTCTGTACAGAGTATCCGTACTCCGTAAGGAGTACAGAGTAAAGACTCCGGTACGGATACGTGAGACTGACATTCACTCACTTGAGACAGATGGGTGAGCCGCTCTCAGCTTCCAACTTCCTGCTAATTACCAGAAATCAGCTACCAGCTTCATTCTTCCTTTTCGTTTCCTCGTGGGCCATGACCCTGGGCCAGAGCTGAGCTGGAGCTGGAGATGGAGATGCAGACGCGACAGACCATGATTCGAATATAGCAAGGATACTCTGTTGCCACTGCCCACTGCCCAGGATGGTTGTACGAGTACGGCCGTAGCCTTAGGGGTTAAGGGTACGAATCCTGGCCTCCTGGCCGTCGTTTGCCGTGCGCGTGGCATGGCGTGTCGTGTGAAACCGAGGCGGTAAGCGAATGGAACCCCCTGGGCAGCGGGACCCGAAGACGTACCTTAGCAGACCTAGGGTACTGTTAGTCTGTTAGGGTACTATACCTGGTACGTAAGGGAACGGAGCAATTAGGACCAAATGACCCGAGCGATGCTGCCACTAATATGTCGATGCTGCCCTCCTCTACAAATCGTCCGTAGATACCGAGTACTCTGCTGTGTGCTCCATACTTTGTGCTCCGTATCCGTACTTTGATCTGTGCCTGTCCCCTATACTTTGTACTTTGTGCTCTGTATTGCTAAATGTGCAGAGTGAGAGTGCAGGGTACACAGTACAGAATACACAGTGCAGTGTAGAGTATACATTGCAGGGAAGAGGTTGCCTCCATCTCCATATGGGACTTCAGCTCATGCTTCATATCAGACTTCAGCTCATGCTTCATATCAGACTTCAGCTCAGGCTTCGACCCAGGCTTCAACTCAGCTCAGCTCAGCTCAGCTCAGCTCTATTATGGATGGACTCAATTCAGCTCTGTTAGTATGGACTACGGATCATGCACTATACACTATACACTATACACTATGAAATCAAGAACGCAAGAAAGCATTACACTAGACGTGTGATATCATGGACTAGCTGGCTTGAGAAACTACAGATGACTTGAGTCATTGATCATCGCAGGTCTGAACTATATGTACCTGAGTAAAGTGAGGCGATAGCCTCAACGATCGACCAGACTTGGAGGGTCTACTGCAAACAAAGATAAGTCCAGGCCTATGAGGTTTCAGGTACTAGTACCATGCTCTCAGATTGTGTCAGTATCCGCCTTCACAGCTGTGACAGTAGATTCAGATTGTTGATCATGCTAATCCTCACCCACCACCTAGGTGCCCGCCATACAAGACCCGTTCAGTTCTTCCTCCTCTCGATATCTTCACAAGCCGGCTTGATTCTCTCTGAACCAAGCCGACTTTCAGCATCCACAGTCAGTATTGTTGCTAACAAAGACCACCATTATGGCACCAAAGGCAGCCGTGGCCGCGAAGGCGTCGAGCCTGCGTGGCACTCCCACCAGAGCCAGGGTAGCGCTGAACAGGAAACTCAGCAAAACAATCATGCCCATGCGAACCAGAGGATCTTTGATGAAGTACAGAGCAAAGATCGACGTTGCCGGTAGAATTGGCGCCAGAATCATGGTCAGGCCATCGACCACAGCCGGACTGTAGTGGTCCGGGTAGTGGGTCATATCGACCGGGTCTTCGAGCTTCCAGCTCGCATCGACTGAGATTTGTTCGTGTATCCGATGTCCAACCGCCCAGTGATAGACAGTCGTGATAAATTTGTCAAGCAGTCTTGAGAGCATGTCTCTGTTCCTTGTCCTGCCGGATAAAGATGTCAAGTCATACGCTTTTCCCTTGTGCCAGGTGAAATATTCTCCCCCTTCGAAGAAAGGACGATATTCAGGACCCTTTGAGCACAAGCGCCAGAGCCTGGAAAGGTTGGATTTGTTCACAGGAGGAAGCTCACAAAGCCTCTGGTACAGGATGAGGAACTCGCCTGCGAAAGGTCGAAAAAGAGGAGTTAGCGTGAGGACTGCAAACTGCAAACTGCAAACTGCAAACTGCGACCCAAAAGAAATCAATGACAGAATGGGAAGACGTGCCATAGTCTTTCAAAAGTGGACGTATCTCTTTCATGACCTGCTTTTGGCTCGGGCTTCCATCGTCGTATGTATCTGGAGATGCAAGGAGATCTCTGAAGTTGAACGACAACTGCTTTCGCTTGGGATCGTCGGAAAGACGGTCCCTTGCGATGGCAGTCACCAAGGCATCGTGTTTATGAATCAGCTCTGCTTCCATCAACAGAAGGTTTCTGCAATGCAAGACCTTGAACCGTCGAAAGATTGCAAGGTCGTCGTAGTTGCTCATACAAGCCGCCAACCTGTCGTAGGCCTCCATCTCAGCTTTGTGTAACGTCTGAGTGTTGGTGAGTTCGTATGGTAGACCAGACGGCCTTTACAAAAAGGAAAATCCATCGACGCTGGAAGGTAGACGGTCTACCCAAGCTCGAGGACACAGGCAGGCTGAGTGCCAACCTGATCGCAGCTCCCGCGGCCCAAAAAGAGAGGCTGCCTGACAGGCGAAACGGCCACGACGCATGTTGCTACAGGTGCGACGTCAATGAAGGGCAGAGAGATGCAGCCAAGGACAGGCTTCGGTAAGCTTGCGCCATCATTTCTGCCACTACCACCCTCCTTTCCAGAGAACAAATCAGTAAATAGTCCATGCCCTAGCCTTCGAGCCAACGCTGATTGACCGAAAGGGTGGTATGCAGGTAGGTAGGTCATGGACGCACGCTGGACGCCTGCTGAGGCTGGTGATGGCGGGAATAATAGGAGCTCGGCAGCGCCATTGGATCCGTCAGCGGCTGGCTAGTATGGTTTGTACGCACAATTTGGGGCTGTGACAGAATGCAATCAGGAGGCAAGCCAAAGGCATAAATAGACGCACATCCCCTCGCATTCGATATTGCATCCGCCCACCTTGTTTGCACCATGTCTTATCTTCCCAGGAAGGGCGGAGGTTGTCACACCCTCTCAAGCCTTTTACTGGTATAGGCAGTTGCTTTCTTTTGGCAAGCCATTCGTCCGACAAACTTCCGACCGAATCTCGGCTGTCCACGACTCAGGAGGCTGCCCAAGCTAGCAGGGATACGGCATGAGGTCGCCATCTCGCAGCGAAGACATGAACGCGAGTTCGCAGGAGTTCGCAGCATGATCGAGCTACTGGGGATCGAAGCATCTGACTCGACGAACTGATGCAAGAGTCCAAGGGTGCTGTGGGATGTCGAACTGCTGCTGCCACAATGCGCAATGGCGCAATGCAGGTCTGAGGACCGTTCCCTCTCTCCACGTGACTGCACTTAAAGAGGCGAGGGATATTTCTCTTTACGGCTTTCTTCACGACCCAGGTCACAAGCCACCGAGTACAGACAGAAGACTTACTTGCTGTCCACTGGCGCAGCTCGATGCTGCCCTTGGTCAGTGGGCTATGGCCGAGATGCACTCTCCTTTTCGTCTTTCGGTGTCGAACCTCTCTTGGGTCTGCTCACGCTCGCGACCACGAGTTTGGGCTGACGAAGACACAGTTTGTTTGAGTTGCCTGTTGGCTGCACGCTACGCTACGCTTATGTCCTTGGGGCGCAGCCGGTGGTCACTGGTCAGCACAACACAGAACACGCTATGGCGGTCTTATCATCGTGGCTGGTTGACCCGGCGCTACCCTGGCGCAAAACGGTGTAGTGCCCGACTACGGAGTAGCCAACTTTCACCGCGAACTTATTGGCCCCAAGAGCACGATTGAAACGAGCGAGAGCACCGGATCATGCAGCCAAAGCCGAACCGAAGACCAACCCGATACCATCATAATACCAGGAGAAGGAGTTCTCATCACACTCTGGATTGCTCCCATCGTGACAAGCAGGCCTTACGAGCACGGCGAGATGGTGATGAAGCTTCCCCAAGTCCTTGGACATGCAAGATGCTTCGGTCACGGCAGTGGATCGAGACTGGGGGGGTTCAAACCACTAGCGACTTGCTCCCCTGTGTTCTTTCCCCCTTTCCGGCGCGAAGTTGTGATGACTTCTAGCTGGCTGCATGAGGCCTACAGGTCGTCACCTTCACCGGCGACCTGGTTTGCCAACGCAGATGGAATCTTCTGTGACGGGTCTGCCGAGCTTCGTTAGGGTTTGGTTACTGATTGAAACAATCCCTCCTTGTAATCGGATGGTGCGATTGGCCGTTTTCTCGAGGCTGAGGTAACACTTGTTGGCTCGCGATGACTACTGGCCCAGCAACTCCTTCGAGGCTGCCTGCAATTTTGATCGCACACACAGCGTGGTCAGATTCCATACTCCTTTTCGGCTGGGCTCGTCTTGCTGAGTTTTCCCGCAGTTCTTCTTCCCGGTATCCGTTGACTGTGTCTTTGGTTTCTGCTGAACTTGACGCTCTGTTCTTTGCCCTTCTTCTGCTAGGATCGAACCGTCGAAAGCCTTCTCCCGACCTGTCCTGCCTTGTCCTGCCCTGCCCTGCCGATGCACACATTTTGACCGAATCGCTTCCGAGTAACACCTCACGACAATCTATTGTTCTGTCCTGTCTCGCACCGCCTACTTTCCATAGATACCACAAGCTATGTCGGAAGTGGTACATAATGGCCCGAACAAGTCGCAGTCTGGGGCACAAAAGCTAGCTCATGCTAGAGCGGTTAATGGCCCAGACACAAAAGGGGATATCAATGGTCACGGCGACGGAGGCGGCCTTAGAAGCCTCAGCCAATCTGCAGACAGCCCTGTTCATCATGACAAGAGTCCACAGCAGCGCAAGAAGACCGGCTGCTGCGAAGCATCAGATCAAATAAGACAGCAGGCGCTTGCTACACCAGGACTGGGCTGTTCTCGTAGCGTGGCAATCGTTGGGTACCAAAGGCCCGCGTCGTGTCATTCCAGCGGCAGACGTGCTCTCACCAAACGAGAGCTACAAGAGGCTATTCTGCTCCCAATCCGTGCTGTCGACATCTTAGGACAAGACCTACCTGTCGAGGCGATCCAAGACACGGGGTCAAAGGTTTCAATGATGGTAGACTGGATGGCTGAGGAATGGGGAGGAGAGATAACAACCCTTGACAAACCCAAAAAACTGACTGCCTTGGGCAACATCACTATTGAGTCAAGCCGAGTTGCTCGCATCCCGATCAAGACACCTTGCTGGCTCGAAACAGAGCCGCCGGTCGTGATCAAGTTCTACCTGTTTCCCGAGCACAAGCTTCCGTACGAGGCCTTCTTGGGCCTACAGGACACCGCAGACCTTGGTCATGTCATAATCGTGCACTGCATTGCCTGCGCAAATTCGAAAGCGCACACCGGTTAGGGCCTGTCCAGCTCCAGCTCTCAATCCCTCCCTATGAACAGGCCTTTAGGGCCTTGTCCCGGGTTTATGACGTGTCCGCAAGGGTCATGTCTATGCTCGCTGGCGATTTGTACGTAGCAGTCTTCAGATAGATGTCAAAAGTCCTTCATTTGTCGGCACGTATTCACCGACTTGTTGCCCGATATGCCTGGAGAAGAGGTGGCCGCTTGTCAGCCCACCCTCCTTTATCGATGTAGCCTTAGATTCGCAACGCTGAATGGACCCGGGAGCTTGACCGCTGCTTCCAGCGCATCCATCACCAAGAGTATGCCCCTGAACACGTGCACTCGTGTTCTCAATTCACAGTCGAAGCCGCGTCGCACTCGCTGCGGTGCTGCCCTATGGGAGCTCTGGGGCGCAAGAGGTTGGGCTAGACACTCCGAGCCCTGCGAGTGTATGTTTGGTGGAAAGCACGGCTGGAGGCAGGCTTGCGGTGGTCGAGGGGCTATAAGATCTGAAGCATCGGGAGCCCGCCTGTGGGATTGTGTAGTCTCGCCCTCAACTCATGTTTTCTCCTCTCCGCCCAATTTATCCTTTAGTTTCCTATACATACCGAACAAAACAGTCATGGACCGACTGTCTGAAGTACATGTCAGGCGCGGCATGTCCACGGATGCTGGTGCTGGTGTTGGCCACGCACAGGCCCAAAAGTTAACCGTCCAAATGTACCATTCGAAAGAACAATACATCCCAGTTGTAGTCGACCTTGAGCCATCAGGGAGCTGCTGCTGGATCACACGAGGTCTCCTGGAGCGCAAAGGGCTTGGTGTCGGCTTGATAGAGTTCAGCAGCCCGCAGAATCTATGCGACGTACACGACAACTCCCAACGAGTGAAGATCTGGGTCATTGAGAAACGCCGTGACCACCCGGTTTTCTGTATCGTCGAAAGCGAAGAGCTCGCCGTGGGCATGACGGGCAGAGAGAGATGTTGGCAGCCGGCGCATTCAAATATAGCTGCCCCTCTCACGACGAAGCGGGAAAGCAAAGGTTCGTAGACAGAGGTCACGATTACATCTCACCACTTGAATCCACATCCACCCTCCCAATACTGTTCGTCGGAATATAGAAGGCTGACTTGATGGGCAAATGTTGGTGTCTTGCAGCCGCCAAAGCCGCACGGAAGCGTACCGAGCAGCTCGCAGAAGAGGATGCCCTCAGAAAGCAAGAAGAAGACAATCCTCTTCACAGAGGGGCTCCTCAAAATCCGAACGATAACAGTGGTGGAAACCAGGGCCCGAACCAGAACCAGAACCAGAAAAAGAAAAAGAAAAAGAGCAAGAGCAAGAGCCATGCTAATGGACAGAGCAGAACTAACTGAAGTGCTCCCATGTGCACTGGACCTGGATGCTCGACCTACGATGACAAGATGATCAGACTGCGCAACGTGGGCGGGATGAAACATGTTCTTAGGTGTTCATGTGTTGGATGGTATATGACGATTCTCCGAAGAGTTCTAACGTTGATATTTCGATTCAAATGAGATGTGTTAGTATGGTATATGATTCAATCGATCTTCAATGTTTGTACTGTCCTCGTAGCTCCACGTAAAGGCGACCGGAGCTCTGGTATACTGGTCTGATGGCGAGACCTTAAGACTGCCCAGGGCCAGGCCAGTGGTCGACGAGCTCTCTCTGCATGAGCCCAGCACTTAGCATGGCTAGGTTGCTCAAGGGTCATATGCATCTGCATCAGGTAGAGCTCTGTATGTGAGAGCCCGAGTGGTTGGAGGTTCTGTGCTATCGAAAGCACCCTTCCACTGGCAATGAGTGATAATGGCAGTCATTGAATTAGCATCTGCCAGTGTGCTATGACACATGAGGATGTCGCCTTGCCGCTTTATCAACACCTAGTTGGGGTGCGCCTAACTTCAGCTTAGCCTCCTTAGCGCCTACTAAGACACGTTGGAGTTCTTAAGTTCAGGCTATCATCTACCTACATCATGGGCAGTGGTGAGCGGTTGAGACAACGGACCGATAGGATGTGACGGCCCCGGATGGGTCGGCTCGACACCAGGGGACGTGATCACTTGCGTGCGTGACAGAAGCGCTCGAAGGTTTCTGACTCTGGCCCGGTACAAGCCGGGGCCCACGGGCACCTCTCAACCTCATGGTGCTCTCGTCCCCTGCCTCGCTAAGGTCCTACGTCTATGATTCGCAGCCTGCGCTTAGTGTCGTCCACGGCGCCTGAGAGGGCCACTTTGGGTCGATTGCCACTCTTGCCTTCATCTTTGGATTGTGTTCAGGAAGGGTAGAAAAAGAGTAGTCGTGCGACAACATCACCACCAAAACCGGGGGGCGATTGGGTACACAAGTCAGTCTCTTAAAATGCTCTTAAAATGCTTGGAAGCTTAGCATGGGGCAACCATGAGGTTGCCAAAAGGGAAAGACGGCACAGAAATGCCAATAAAGGCATTATTCTACCCTACCTGAGGCTCGCTACAGACTTCTTTGCATTGCATCTCGTCAAAGAATGCATCGCGTCGCTACGCCCGCGTACCCAACAGGACACTCAAGCCTCTCATGCGGATGATCACACGGGCAGACCGTCTATCTGCACCCTGAGACTGCCCTGTCCAGGTTCATGCATGGTCTCAAGCCAAGATGTGGACGCCTTCAGAGGCCTGAAGCTGATTGTACGCACCCCTAGTGGTCGACTCGACTTGCTCACGGCCAGCATGGATACATGTGCAGATGGCGGTAACGCCATCGCCAAAACCACGGCCGAGTCCTACGGGTTCGAGCCCGTAGATGGAAGCATCAAATCCGAAATGAGCGTTGCTGGGCGCCAGAAAGTCAGGTCTTTGGGGACGGTCGTAATACCATTTCAGCTGCCTTGCGAGACACAAATGAGAGATACAGAGTTCCACGTCTTTGAGGATCTCGCTGGACACAGGGCAATCCTCAGCGTCTCCTTGACTATGCAGCTTGGCCACCTTCGGCGAAAGCCTTGTTCGGAATGTGAAGAAGCAGAAGACTAACCGGTGAAGAGTAAACGACGGTGCGCCGAATGGTGGCAGGGTTCGCTGGCGCTTTGATTTGTTACCTGTTGTGACGTGGCATTGACTCTCCAGAGAGCCATCTGCAACTATTGTACGAGGGGCTTCTGCACGTAGGACAAACAAGATATTTTCGAACGAATCATACTCGAGAATTACACAGAACACTTGCCTAGGGTAAAGCACGACCAGAGTTCAATCATTATCCAGAGACCCAGGACACCATGATCTTTCGGAGGTGACTGAACATCAGACTCATGGTAACGCCCGCCGGCCCCCCATTTCAGCCCGAAGCGTTGGTGTGTTTGCCCAAAAACAAGGCAGGCAGCTGGAACAATGCCGGATACTATGGCAGCTGTGTGGTAATCTCGAGCGTCCAAGCCATGAGGGTTTCCAAGACTAGTGACACCATAGCTAGGTGCATAGGCTAGTGCTCATGAGATCGCCGCTCCCGCCTGTGCGTGCTAGGCTGTGTCAAGTGGCCGAACCCCTGGTGGTGGTGCTGAAGGATCCCTGGAGCAAGTTTAACTAGAGACAGGCTCGCACTGAGTTGGCCACACGGCAACCTTCTCCTTCAGTAAGACATCAGACCAGAACGCCCCTACATCCTTGAGCTAGTTACGAAGATCGTCAGCAGTACCAAAACTACCGTGGAGCAACCAAGAGAAGTGGAGGTCCGGATAGCCAGGGAGCGAGCCTTGAAATGGAAAGTCGTGAAAGCGGCGGTAGATAGCCGAGCACCATGCCGGACCATTTCGGAGGAGTTCCTAGATACCGATCTTGTTGAAAGCGAACGGCTCAACCAGGACATCATGGGCGCAATCACCTGTCCCAACCATCAAAACTTCGTCGGCAAAGTCAGATTAAGGATTGAAGGGATTGGCTGTTCAATCGACGACCGGGCGGTGTACTGTGTCGTGAAGGACAACCACCGAGAATTGATCTTGAACGTGTCTGACAGCGATATCAACGCCAAGCCAGCACTCTTACCCTTTGGGCTTCCGACTCCTGTCTCAAAGCAAGGTTCGTAATGATCTTTCCCCCCGCCTCGGACGGGTAGGTGTGAAGTGTGTTGACTGGGGAAGTGACAACTGAATAACTAACCTGGTGAGAGTCGATAGATGACATCCGCAGGAAGGTCGCCTACCAACAGCAGAAGGAGGAGGAAAAGAAGAAATCCAAGGAGAAGGACGAGGCCTATAAGAAGAAACTGGCTGAGCAGGAAGAGAAAGAGAAAAAGGAGCAGGCTGTCGCTCTTCCACGCCTGTATGGCACTAGTCAGTCCAAGTAGGCCTGAAGGTTCATTGGGAAGTCTTGGGGAAGCCGACAAAACCTGTTGATATGACTCTGTAATCTTGTCTTGCTCTCCTGGAGGGTTTCGGTACAGTAACAAAACTGGATCTCATTAAGATATAATTGATCGATGGCACTCAGCACCCCCAACACACAAAACATAGACTCAGGACTTCTCTTCTGATACATATACATAAATCTATTGTGCAACCAATGCGACTATATTTTCGCGTCGAAGCACGTCGCCGTGAGGACTTAGAGGCGGTGAAGGGAAGGGAATGGGGCCTGGGCCCAATCAGAGCATTATCCTTGCCATCACGTGTAGCGAGGGGGGCTACACAGTCTACCTAGGTAACCAAGTAGTCTTCCCTGACACTGCACCCCATGACAGACTTTCAATGATGGTATAGGACTAACAGGTATCTGTCTACTTGCACTGCGAGTTTGATCACCTCGGATGCGCTTACTGACCGATTTTTGATTTTTTGACACCAGAACAAAAGTGGGGCCCTTAAAGGGGGCTCAGCCTTGCCATGCATGATGACAACCTCAACTTGAAGCTGACCAAGAGACCAGAATCTGGGATCTGTTCTACATAAACACAATCTACGCTCTACAGCCATGCATGCTGCTCCAATGTCCAAGGAGTTCGGTATGCAGAATGCGGAGCGCGCATGCTGGAGTTGAGGGATATCGCAACGAACGTTCTAGCATAAGGAACTGCGATTCGTAATCAGCAAAACGCTCTTCGCCTCGTACCTAGCATTCGCCGGAATACGTACAACTCCAAGGATTGGGAACTTGGTTAATCTATGCATATCGTGCTCCCTAAGTAGAGCTTCGGGAGCAGGGCTTCACATGCTGGGCCAGCTATCAGGGGGAGTATGTAAATGCCGAGCCGAAGTCTGGCCGCTGTATTCGACTACGATGCCCCAACTTTTCCAATGAGATCTTCTGTATATGCCCTGATGCTGAAGCTTGCTTTGACCTTGAAACTAACGGGTTTGCCGAGATTTGGAGGTCTGGCAGATGAGTTTCCCAAGATATACATTAGCTCAGTAGGTCTGCAAGAGCAATCTCTGCTGCTGCCGAGCGCCGAAGCCACGAGTCGAGTCATTCAATATTGTGGAGAGCGAGAAACCATGGCAGACAGCATGCGGTCTTGGTCTTGGTCTTGTCTTGACCAAATACTCGAGTCGCTTTGAGACGACGTCTTCCTTTCCCTTTTGACACCACCCAAAACACCATCCACATATACAGCAGCACGCCGCCTGCCTGCGGCGTGTCAACACCCAAGCTCGTCAGACATTGTCATGGCTAATTTTGTCTCCTCCAATTCCCTCTTCCTTTCTCAGTTACATCCGAAACTACCGCCACCGCTCGTCTCACTCCTCGCCGTCCCCGACGGATATGAACAGACGAAAAATGCCGGAAGTTAAGTAGAGACATCTTACCGTCTTATGCAGCCGCTCTTCGAACAGTTTGCCGGTCCACCCCCGCGATCCCGCGCCACCAAGGAGAAAATCACAGAGACCCTCGTTCCTCAACCCCGTCCACAGGGCAAATGTGCAGTACAGGCAGGACGCAGTTGATATCGACGGGGCTGAAGAGGGAGTCGACCTACTATGGGAGAAATTGGAGTCTGGTACGAAGAGCCCCGAGTCAGATCCAATGAAAGAAGGGGACAAGAGCAGAACAAATCACCAGCACTAGGGGGAGCGATTGGGCTACAAGTACGTGCATGATCACAGCAGAAGAAACTTGTCCTCCATGACCGGCCCAGCCTAAGCCCTGCCCATGGTCATGCTCGACCGGGAAAGACGCCTCTCCTCACGAAAGGCAAGCCAACCGCCTCATCCAAACACTTGTCGCTACTGATAGAGCTGAACCGGAAAGGGTTCCTACAGTATCAATAGTACATAATACCCGACCACCCGCTCCACCGTCTGAATGCGGGGGGATTCCCGCTTCCCCAGACCTGGACAATGTGAGGGTGACAACGACTTCGCCTACCTATTGGATCGATGGCATCCTGTTTTGGAGGAGACGAGCACAGACGAGGCTTCCCTCCGCATTTTCTGGCATCGACCCCGACCCCAACCGGCTCCCACTCGCTTGCCTCGGTTCTCCTGGGCCAGCCCCCTGTCCATCCTGAGAGGACGAGGGCGAGGGCGAGGGTCGTGTGTCACCTCGTGCCGCTCTCTCTAAAGGACGACTGAGCGATTGATCCTGCTGGCCATCAGAATGAATCTGGGCTGACCGTTGAGATTGCATTGCCAATTCAAACAGCGACAGAAACAGAACCAGCTTCAGCGTCAGCGACAGCCTCAACTCAAGCATGGCCCAACCCCATTTCGATGCCCTTGTGGTCGGGGCCGGGTTCGGGGGAATCTATCAGCTCCACAAACTGCTGCAGCAAGGCCTGTCGGTGAAAGTGATTGACGCGGCAGGAGACGTCGGCGGCACATGGTATTGGAACAGATACCCGGGCGCCATGTCTGATACAGAATCCTACAGTAAGTGAGCCTAAGCCCTTCGCATTCCACCCCGACCCATTCCATCCAGGATTGCAACATGGCCAAAAAGATGGTGTATACCGTGCATACTGCGAACGTTGGAGTGCATGCTCACAGGCCATCCCGAAAGTCTACCGCTACAGCTGGGACAAGGACGACCTGATCAACTACCCCTGGAAAGAACACTACCTCAAGCAGCCCGATGTCCTGGCCTATCTCGAACATGTGGTCGACCGATACGACCTACGCAAGCACATGCAGTTCAACACCGAACTCCAGCAGGCGCAGTACGACGAGGCCAACAACGTCTGGCTGGTGCAGTGTTCGACCGGCGACACCTTCACTGCTCGATACGTGGTCACCGGCCTGGGTCTGTTGTCCAAGACCAACTATCCCAACATCCCCGGCATTGAGAAGTTTCAGGGCGAGTTGTATCATACCGGGTACAGCAGGCCCTCCCTCGTCCTTTCGGAGTCCATTAGTCTCCCACTGACTCATTCGCAGGAATTGGCCACGCACGCACGACTTCAAAGACAAACGAGTCGGTATAGTTGGGAACGGGTCCACTGGCGTCCAGGTCATCACAGCCATTGCCAAAGAGGTGCGCCAACTGGTTTCCTTCCAGCGCACCCCGCAGTACAGTGTCCCGAGCGGCGACGGGCCGGTGTCGAAAGAATACCGCGATTCAATCAACAGCCGCTATGACGAGATCTGGGAACAAGTCCGCAACAGCGTGGTAGCTTTTGGTTTCGAAGAGTCCAAGATCCCTGCCATGAGCGTCTCTGCCGAGGAAAGAGAGGAGAAGTTCCAAGAGGCATGGCGGCGCGGGAACGGGTTCCGATTCATGTTCTGGACCTTCAGTGACCTGACCGTGGACGAAGAAGCGAACGAAGAAGCATGCAGATTCGTCCGGAAGAAGATCGGTCAAATCGTCCAAGATCCGGAGAAGGCAAGGAAACTGACTCCTCACGACTTCTATGCTCGACGACCGCTGTGCGACGCGGGCTATTATGAGCAGTTCAACCGGCCAAATGTTGATATCGTCAGCCTCAAGGAGAACCCGATCAAGGGTATCACGGAAAACGGGGTTGCCATGTCAGACGGCACCCAATATGATCTCGACGTCCTTATTTTCGCCACGGGATTTGATGCGGTCGATGGCAACTATACCCGCATCGCGATCAAGGGTCGCAACGGCCAGAGTCTGAAAGATCACTGGGATAAGACCGGCGGGCCCACGACCTATCTGGGGGTATGCGTGTCAGGGTTCCCGAATCTGTTCATGATCACCGGCCCCAACGGTCCGTTCACAAATATCCCGCCCACCATTGAAACACAGGTTGAGTTCATTGCTGCCACCATTGCCACCGCAGAAGAGCATGGCCGGGCAAAGAACCACGCAAGCAATGGCGTGGCGAATTCGAATTCGGCTGCCGCACCTTCGAACTCGTCTGCATTTGGCCCGGTAATCGAAGCACTGCAAAGCGCCGAGGACAACTGGACGCAGGTGTGTAAAGAAATCAGCCACAACAGCCTCTTCAGGAAGACGGACTCGTGGGTTTTTGGTGCCAATGTCCCAGGTAGGAAACACACGGTGCTGTTCTACTTTGGCGGCTTGGGCGCGTACCGCAAGGTTCTGCGCGAAGTCGTCGACTCCGGATATCAGGGGTTCAAGCCACTGTGACCCGAAGGGCAAGTCTAGGCATATCGACTGTGTTGGGCCGAGCCGTTGGCAAACTCCTGGAGCCGTGGGATCTTGCCGAGTTCAGTGCTATCGTGGAGGCCATGGCACAAATACGTAATTTCATTGTGATGCTGTATTGACAAATCATGAGGCAAAGTCGGGGGTATCACGAAATGCTTTTGTCAACATGTATGTCCATCTTAATGCCAGGAAATCCTTTCCCTCGGATCATACTCTGCCATGCATGCCCTGCTGTTCGTGCTGTTCAAACAGTTCTTCATCGACCGCTACACGAAGTCCCTTGTTTGCGCCTGAACGCCGTCGCTGAAACTGTTCGAGGAGTCCTCGCGTTGTTATCCCCAAATACCAGACATCCGAGACAGAGGTCAAACTCTAGTACTTGACTCTCCCCATCGTGGGCCTCCAATCCAACGGATGTGACTCGGGTGTCGCATCGGGGTCTGGCCTCCAGATCTTTATGGTCTTGTCTGCCTCGCCCATGATCAGCCGCAGTCCGGTTTGGTCGAAGGTGCTGCTCATAATTCCGGCCTCAGCGTCAAGCGAGCCAGGCTGTGCCAGCGACTCCGTTGACTGAAATCTGTGACCTGTCTTCCAATCCCAAAAGGAAACACTGCCATTGTCACCGCCACTGAAGAGAACATTGTCCTCGTTTACGGCGAGAGTGTTGATGATGGCGTTATGGCCATCAAAGTTTTGCATGAACGCTCCCTCGGGGCATTTCCACTGCTTGATGGAGCCTGCGGAGGCGGACGCGAAGGTGAATTCTTTCGGGTGGATAGCGAGGGCTCTGACACCCTTCTTGTGGTGGGTCAGCACCCCCATCGTCTTGCCAGCTGCAAGGTCCCACAGCCGCACGGTACTGTCGAGACTGGAGGAGATGACTTGCGGATCGGCTTCTTGACACTTGACATCGGTGACGGTGCCCTTGTGGCCGCTGAGGACGTGGATGTTGGATCGAGTCCGCATGTCCCAGACGCGAGCTACGCCGTCTCGACCACCTGTGACAAGCACGTCAAGCGTCGGATGTAGGGAGAGTGTGTAGACGCCCGATAAATGCCCGTGATAGTGGCGAATCACTTTGTTCGTTTCCAGGTCCCAGCATTTGACCATCTTGTCTTCTCCGCAAGAGAATAGGTATGGATGACGAGGCGACACCGCCAGCCCGCGAACAGTAGAAATATGTCCCGTCAGCGTGAGCCGAAGTTGTCCTGATGCCAGGTCCCAGATCTTGATCGTCCTGTCGCCAGCACCCGACGCAAACCACTGATTGCCGGGCTCGACCGCCAAAGCTCGCACCCAGCCTAGATGCCCTGAGATGACCCTCATCAGCTTCCAGGGCGCGTGCCACTCTGGTCGAGGTTGCTGCATGTTGGGTCTTCGGATAAGACTATTTCCTGTGCCCTGCCCGTTGGCTTGCGCCGATGGTGACTGTGAGTCGGCTTTCCCCTCGCTCTTTACCAATGCCATCTGGTTTCCTCCAGACTGTACTTTAGGTCTTTTGGGTCCTCGGGAGGTTGCGGCTTTGGCCTGCGCCTCGGCAAGGGCCTTGGGCAGCTCGCGGACACTTTCATATTCGACTTTTCGTTTGTATGAGGTGGTGATGGGGACAGAATGGGCGTCAGTCGGTGCGCCAAAATCGTCGCCAAATATAGCCCTTGTCCGCTCGGTCAGGGACTGTGCTGCGGCCGCCATATTTGCACTGCAGGGAGTTCGAATGGGAGTAAGAAATGGCGAAGTGTACGGAGTAGACAGCAAGCAGTTGTGCTGCTGTACTGCCTGCCACTAAATTGTCGATTTTCAGGATCGGCTGCAAACATGGCAAACGGGCCAAGTCTGATGTCAACTTGATTGGCCCGAATTTCATGCGGGGAAAAATGATCTCTGGACGCGACATGCCCCTCTGCCTAACAATACAAGTGTGCAACACCCTCGATATGGCTGCGACAGATGCAGAGAGCAAATATGCCATTCATGAGGCAGCGAGGGAAGGAAGAAGTGAGGATTCGACTGTACATCCTGCTGTTGTTTGAGTACTAACAGGATTCTGCCAGCCCAAGTGGTCGAATCGCTTCTCAGCGTCCGTACATTCCCTCCAACATTTCTCTCGAGATCTCAACTCATGCTAACGGGTCTCCAGGCGAATCCTAGGCTCGCCAAACTCGTGGATCAAGACGAACGCCTGGCAATCCACTGGGCATGTGCTTTCAACCATCTCGACATTGTGAAACTCCTCGCATCGACCCGATCCTTCGATCCCGACGCACAGGACGGCTCAGGATGGACATCCCTGATGATCGCCTCGAGTTTGAAAGAAAATAGCGGCGAGGCCATTGTTGAGCTATTGCTCTCGAAAGAAGCTGATCCCAAGATCACCACGAACATTGGTGCCACGGCTCTCCACTTCGCAGTGTCAAAGGGAAACCTCGAGATCTGCAAAATTTTGTTGAAACACGGTGCTTCGGCCAGGACCAAGGATAAACGCGGGCAGCTGCCTCTCCATCGAGCCGCGGCAGTCGGGAGCGTGCCGATAGTGAAGCTTCTGCTCGAGAACAAGACCCCTATCAATGCCACAGACATGGACGGCATGACGTCCCTGCATCATGCAATCAGCGAAGGGCATGCGCATGTGGCGGTGGAGCTGTTGAAAGCGGGCGCAGAAACGGACAAGAAGGATAGTGACGGCAAACTTGCAATCGAATGTGCACCAGACAACAAGGTCCGTTCGTACATTATCCAGGCTGCTGAACGGGAGGGGATCGAGTTCGAGTGAGCTTTGATCTATTGCTGGATGCTACAAACCACCAACCTGCCGACGCCCAACCATGCCATCGAATATGTCGGGATTATTTCATGGTATCTACCAACTGCCGGTACATCTGCTTCACGTCCAGGATGTCCGCCTTGAGCTCCTCCACTTGCTCGCTTTTCTCGCCGAGCATTTCGAGAGTGGTTTGGTGCCGCTCATTCAGACTCTGATGTTCCTTCTCCAAAGCGTTCAACCGAGCCTCAACCTTTCGTTTCTCTTCGACCTCGCGCATCAGACTTACCACCTCTTGTCTCGCTTCGTCACGTTGGGTAGCGATCCGCAGCAGCTCGTCTTTTGATGCCGCCTTCTCACTCTCCAGTCTACGAACGTTGGCAGACATCCGTTCGACCAACTGAACTGAAGGACCGGCCCCGACGGTGGACGCGGAAATGAGATCGTTCACGCCTCGATGAGAGTGATGACTTGCTGAGAGAGGTGTAGGAGGAATGTTAGCGAAGTATTCGTCCTGGTCCATAGATGCCACCACAGAGGGGGTTTCAGGGACGGAGCCTGTGGGAACGCCTCTAAATGAAGTGGTCGACTGCTGTGGAGGGGGTGTATTTGGGTCAACCCCTGGCATTACCGATGATCTCCGACTGCTGGGGCGTTCGTATTGAACGGGGCTCATCAGATGGTTCATGTCGGAAGCCATACTCGAATTCTTGCGGGTTGACAAGGCGGGAGATTCGGTGCGCTGAATGTGCAATGTTGCCGTCCATTTGGCTTTCTCTTCTTCCACTTTGCGTTTCAATTCGCGTGCAGCGGTTGCCTTTTGTTCCTCTGCCTCCTTCAGAGCGGTGGCCAGATCTTCTTCTAGTTGACGAACTTTCCGGCCCAATCTTTCCGTTTCTTCGTTTGCTTCTGCCAAGCTCTTTTCCATGTCTGCGTACCCAGTCTGTAGATTCTCTAGTTCTCTCTGGGCTCCTTTCAACTTGAGGGTAGCATCTCGTAGTTTCTTTCGCAGATCCGTATCCCTCGCTGCGACTTCGTCCCTTTCCTTCTCCAGGTTGGTGATTCTGCCGAGCAAGGTACTCTCAATACCCTGCCAATTCTGACTCGCCGAGGCATACTGACTCTGGAGTGTTTCGATCTGTCGGAGGAGTTTCGCCTGCTGATGTCCCTGGTCTGTCGATGCAGCCTCTTCTGCACGAACACGGAAAGCCTCGAGCTTGCTCTCCAGCGCGGCTTGTTCGCTTAGCATTTCACTCTCCATTGCACGAGCTTGCTCCTTTTCCTTCTCCAGAGTTGCCTGTAAGTGTTCTATCTCCCTCCGCAACTTATCATCAGAGATTTCTCTTTCGACTCTGGCACTGGTCAAATCATCCTCTAGCTCAGTGATCCGTTTTCGTTCCTTCTCCAGTTGATCTGATTGTGCTTTGCTTTCAGCAGCTTCTGCTCTTAAGTTTGCCTTTGATAGCTGCGTTTTCATCTCGGCCAGGGTGGCGTGGAGTGCATCTCTTTCCTTCTTGATCGCTTCCAGATCGCTGACGGTCCTCAAACTTGTCATGAGCTGCTGTTCCGCCTTTTTACTTGCTGATTCAGCCTTGCTCGCCCGATCCTCCATGGTCTTCAAGGAGCGCTCGGCCCTCTCGGCACGAAGTTTCATTGCTTCTTGTTCTTTATTTTTCGCTACCACTTGAGCTTTTAATCTCTTCAAAGCGGTCAGGTAAGCCATTTCAGATTTTGATAATCTTGTCCCTTCCTCAATAAGAAGAGCTATTTTCTCATCCTTTTCCGCAAGCTTCCTCTCGAGGCTGCCGCCATCTGCAGAAGTCGCAGCTTGCCTAGCTGAGAGGGCAGCCTCGTTGCTTAGATATTGAAGCTTTGCCTGCAGAGCATCTATTCTTTCGATGTAGGTGCCGGTCTCTTCTTGGATCTTCTCTGTCTCTTCGGCTTCAGGTCTCATGGAGGCATCGTCACCTTTCCTCGGTATATCTTGGGAGTCTCCCCTCAAGAGTGTCTGGCTCACTCCTGTAACTTCGGTAGAGATGCCAGCAGGTTTAGTAGTTGGGACCAAGTTTTCAAGTCCTAGGTCCTTCACGTCTTCGCCCGAAATAGCGCTGTCGCCGTGTGGTCCCAATGCTGCGTCCTCAGTCGTCCTCGAAGCATTTTCCGCCCGTGGTCCTTCAACCTCGGGTTCATTCTCAAGCCTAGTATTCTCAGAACTGGTGGCAGGGGCATCATCATTTGGGGGTCGTGTTGGTGACTGGTCAATGACAGTAGGCGGAGTCTCTGGACGGCTGCCATTCTTCTTTGCCATAGCCCGCGCAAGGCGTTCCTGAAGCCGGTCATTAGACGCTGACGCATTGCTACTACTCCGCGACAGTTCTGAGGATACTATAGAGACGTTAATCACGAGCGAGACTGTTGAGGCTGACTGGTGCATACTTCTCTTAGAAGGAGCCGTGTCCCGAGATGCTTGCGCGGGTGTAGTGCTTCTCCTCAGTGGGTCATTTTCTTCTGCGAGGATGGTGTCCAGCTTCGATTCGACCGAGGCAACGGCATGTTGTAGGAAATTCCATCTTGATGTAGGCTTCGATGTCATCTTGTCCAATGCATGAATCAAGAAATAGCCGCCAGCAAAGGTCGGCGCCGAAAGCGGTGCACGCCGTCGGACTTGCTACGATATGGAATCGGGGACAAGGGACGGACCTGGAGGAGTCGAAGCTGAGGACATTACGGCGGAAGAAAGGAATGCCTGTTGCGTGGCAGGATGTCCAATGTTGACGCGTTCTCTCTGTGGACAGGGTGTCGGGGGTACGAAAGCGTGGGTAGCGGCGATCTGCAGCGACGCCCGCGGCACGTCAAGAGACGCTGTCGCTAGCGAGCCTCACAGCTTCCTGCAGCTTCGATAACAGTTCAGCTGGAGCAATGACATCGTTTCCCGACGGGACATTCCAAATTTCTGCAATTTGAACTCATGGACCCGATTGAATAACCTACTCCTGCTCTTGAGCCTCGTACAACCTGCATCGAGTTGCATTGCAGCTGTGCCCAACATGTCGCTGAGCCCACCTGCCTACCTCAGCTCACTCCAGAACAATATCCGAGCCCGTCCAGTAGGTTCAAACTGTCCTCTTGAGACTCGAGCTCTCTGACAAATACCAGATTCCCTGGGACGGCGCAGTCCGCGCAGGGAACCTCACCGAAGATCAGCTCAAGAAGATCCGATCGGTGGATAAAGTCAGGAAAGAGCAGCGGAGGCAGACGATTGAACAAAATGTCGAAACATACAGCGCCCTGCTAGTCGGTGGCTCAGAAGGTGGCAGTGTGCTGGAAAAGGCCTTCAAGCGAACCGATATCATCCAATATATCTTGGTTTTAGCAACAGACCTGATCAGTGGTGGGCTCATTGACTCCGTTTACTGAGACAAGGTACAGCGTGACTGACCTCAGTCAGATGCACCGGCTCTTGCGACCGCTATCCTGAAACACCCTGAGCCCTACAAACTCTTTCTGTCGCTCCTCAACCAGTCTGGCAACCCAGAAGACCCCATCCCTCTCCTCGCGGCCACATTTTTGGTCAATCTCGTTGCCATTTCTTTAACGACGTCATCGAAACCAGCCTCACGAGACGACGAAGTGCTCCCACAGCTCTACTCCTACCTTGCAAAGTTGGTTAAGAACCAGGACAGTGGTTTACAAGACATCGGAGTCCAGCACACGTCACAGGTACTCCGGACAAGGCGGTCGAAAGAGCTGTTTTGGGGTCAAAGAAAGGACACGGTCGATCCTCTGTTTGAGATCTTGAGAAAAGCTGTAGGGGCAGCGAAAGACAATGATTCCACACTGTGGAGCGGCGCTACAAGCATCAGAAGCACCGACACAAGATTTGGAGGTGGTGTTGGCCTACAACTCATGTACCATGTGTTGCTTGTGATATGGCAACTCAGTTTCGAGGGCGAACTGGTCGGTGACGGACTTGAAAGGTAGTGCTTTCCTTGCGGGCTCTTATGTCGATGCTAACACTTAGCTAGGGACGAGGAGATTGTACCACTCTACACACAACTTTTGCGAATGTCACCAAAAGAAAAGACCACCCGTCTACTCTTAGCCACATTGAAGAATCTCCTGTCGACCAACAAGGAGACGTTGATTGCAACAGCTACAACAGCGAGACTTCCTGCGCTTCTTAGCAATCTCTCTGGCCGACATCTGACGGATCCTGATCTGTTGGAAGATCTTGATGAGCTCAAGACCATGTTGGATGAATACACCAAGAACCAGACCACCTTTGATGAATACGCCGATGAGGTGAGTTCAGGCCATCTGCGCTGGTCGCCACCTCATCGGAATCCCACATTCTGGAGGGAAAATGCGCGCCGAATCATCGAAGACAAGAGAGGCGAGCTACCTAAGAAGCTGGCCGAGATTCTGTCTAAGAATTGGGAGTCGGACAAACAAGTATTAGCAATTGGCTGCAATGATGTGGGCAATCTCGTGAAAGAGGTCCCTGAGCATCGATCGACACTTGATAGGCTGGGGCTCAAAGTTCGACTTTTAGAGTTGATGGGTGACTCGGACGAGAGCGTTCGGTGGGAGAGCCTCAAGGCTGTGGGAGAATGGATGCGATACACATTTGACAAGTGAAGGGTCGGGCTGGTTAGACTTCGGGTTGAGTCATGCAAAAGGCATGATAGGGAGGACACATCCAATACCTTGAATCGAGTGGCGAGGCCTGTGATTGCATGGAGCCGTGAACGACGTATCATTCATAGAGCTCCCAAGCTATGATCCCAGGTCCCCAAGGTCCTCTGGTGCCTCTAGGCGGCTCGGGTTGTCGATTCACATAGAAGCAGGCTTTGCCGTGAATTGAGAAGTGCTAGTAATCTATTACTATTACAGGCGAGAAGTGCGCCGGAGCTGCATGCATTTCTGACATGTTGGCTTGAGTCGATCATACTGGAGCTGACCATGAGCCTGAAGGTCGGAATTTCCTATCCCGCTGCCTTCATAGGGTCACTCTCTACCCTACTGGGTTTAACTAAAGAACACAGGCGTTGCAGTGAGCAAGACACGTTGACAAATTAGCATTATCGCTCTAAGCTACGCAGTCTATGTCTATGAAACAGTTTCTGTCGGACCTATTAATCAAGACGCGTCCTGGTGCAGCTCGAGTGATTATATATACGAAGTCGGAGATTAGATTGTGTTGCGTGCGCTCTCCAAAAGAAGGGGGACCGTACTCCTTTTGCTCGATGGCGGTGCGATTGGGATTGCGATTGCGCTCGTTACGGTAGGCCATTCTTTCCCGCGCGGTACTCAGCGGGGATCTTTGGCCAGGCATCGACACCGTCGAGGATTGCGATGCCCATTCCGCCGCTGAAATGGGTCTGGACGTGACAGTGGAGCAGGAAGGCGCCGGGGTTCACGCTGTGGTAGCGGATGGCCAGCCAAGAGGGCTCGGCCGGGGCAGCAGGGACGTTGGAGCCGTCTCGCTGCGGAGGATTGACCAGGTTGAAGTTCTCCGGGATGTACTGGATGGCCTCGGCGACGGAAGAATAGTTGAAGGCGCCGGAGCCGGAGCCGATGACGAAGAACTTGTTGGAGTGCTTGTGGATGGGATGAGGCGGCGACAGCGGCTGGGCGGAAACGATGATGATGTCGACCCAGGTGCCGTTGTGGGTGCGAATGGTGAGATTCGAGTTCTCGGCCTGGGCGGAGGTCGGGCTGTAGAGGAGAGGTGCGTCGTTCTCCAGATACTCGGCGAACGAGGCGTTGCCGCTCAGGGTCCAGTTCCAGGACTGGGTGAAGTGTTCCAGAGTCAGGATGTGGGTCACGTCGGCGACCGGCGCAGGGGCAACGGCTTCGAACGGGACGATGGCCGTCTCGTCGAAGGCGACAAAGTCCGCGGTCAGATTCGCTCCGGCGTAGTTGACGTACGCAACGGACGTGTTGTTGTGGGCGCTGCCGCGGTACGACAGTGTCGCATATCCGCTGTTGATCTGGTTGATGCCGGACACAGTGACTCGGATTGTGTAGTCGCCCACGGGCTTGTCCAGCTTAATCAGAGCCGAATACCTGAACCCGTTCGAGATGGGGAGCTGCTGCACCACTTGTGGTTGAATGTATTTCCCATCGGCGGAAAACACATACAACGGGTGCTCGTCAATGGAGATGGCCAGGGTGTTGACGGACGCTGGGCTGATGAAGTCGAGGCGAGCCCATCCCAACTTGGGATCGACCGTAATGACCTCTGTCTTCCCTTGAGTTGGATTACAGTCGTACCATGCATCCGCCGGCAGGGCCGAGAAGTTGTGCGGGTAGGGCCCTTGCGCAATGTCGAGTGGTGGCAAGCAACTATATATGGAAAGAGGAGTCAGCAAGGAGGCTCAGCTCGGGGCACATTGAGCCGTGAGAGTGAAGATCTCATCGCAAGTACTAGTACGTACCCTTTGGCAGTGACTTGGCTTCCATTCAGTATAGTTTCCAAGACCGGGGAGACCAGTGAGTTAATATAGTCTATCCCGGGACATATGATCGAACCCTGGAGTGAAAGAGAGTCAAAGTTAGCATTCGAACCCTGATACATACTATCTGGCCATCTCATGCGCATGTGCGTGGAAGCTTACCTTGCCGTTGATGATCGTGGCATCCGCACAATAGTCGTCCAGGCCGGACGCTTTCTCGATGGCAAAGAACTCGTCAAACGTATAGTGAGTCCAGTCCGAGACAAAGATCGGGATCGCGTGTACTGCTGCAATCTCAATGGCGGCGAGATCCTTGGAATCATTGCTGATGGAACGGAAGAATGACTCCTGGCTCCCGCGAGGATAGATGATGATTGCACCGTAGAGGCCGTCGGCGATCTGGCCGTATCGATGGGAGTGGTAGAAATAGGTCCCCGATTCGTCGGCAGTCCATCGGTAGATGAATGTTGCGCCGGGCTGGATGGGCTCTTGTGACAGGCCCGGAACGCCGTCGCTCCACGGCGTGCCGAGCTGGGTGATACCGTGGAAATGGATGGCCGTCGCGTAAGGGAGGTGGTTGTGGACGACGAATTCGACCGAATCGCCCACCTGCAATTCCAACGCCGGTCCTGGCGAGATGCCGTTGACCAGGATGGTTTTCTTGGGTCTCCCCACGTCTTCAACGTCCTCCAACGTCAAGAAGATTTCGAAGTGCACCTTGTCCGTCAGTCCCGACCTGGGCGAGAGTGCCTGGGCCAGGCTGGGAGCTGCGGACACCAGCTGCCAGTGGCATAGCAGCGTGGCCACGAAGAAAGCAAACAAGGACTTCATGACTTCGAAGCGAAGGGTATCGGAACGTCCAATGTAGATAGCTGACAACCTCTGGCAACCTCAGCACCGGAAAGCCTCCTCTCGCATCCGCGCATTCGGGCATCGCTGCGGACTTATATTCACGATGTATTGACAAAGGGCCACTCGTTGGAGCCCGGTGCTGGAGTCCGAAGGTCAACAACAATCACGTACACACCGACGGTTCTACGTACTCTGGTAAAAGTAGTAGTACTCTCTGTACGTAAAGAGCTGAGCACTATTCAGGGCTGAACGGTACTAACCTAGCTGCTGCCCCACCGCGATTTTGTACACATCTTACCTGGCTGGGTTCAATTCATGCACTCTTTGGACGTTCTTTTGGGCTTTTTTTCTTCTGTCTGACAGCCGGTTGGGAGTGCTGGGTAAGTACCCAAAAGCCCTCAAGCCCTCTGAGCCAGTTGTTAGCACCGGAAAGATACCTACTCCGTACTCTGAGTCTAGAGACATGAGCTGACGAAATCTGACGAGATCATTTAGCGTAGCCGTTGGACTCCGACAAGTGTAAACGAAAGCCGTCCGTCAACCCGGCTGGATCATGTCATTGGACCCGTGAGGATGGCTCCCAATGCAAGATCGCAAAAGCAGTCAAGACGTTTGCAACGTTGGATGTCCTGCGGCCATTCGGCTATCTTTTGCCAGCCTTGCTAGGCCGTAAAGGGTGCCCGGCTAGGACGATTATAGCATGGTTGAAGGGGAGCTGAGGAAGAATGATTGACCGAACTCCCAGAAGAGGATAAAGAGGATAAAAGGTGTCACTCTTTGACTGATTTGTCTAGTGAGATTGAGATTGGCGCTCGTTGACGAATCTCAGCTCAAGGAAAACTTGTCCAATCAGAAGCCGGTGAGCAATTAGCTCAACGTCCAATTCCAGCCAATCAGCCACGAGTACAGTACTCTGTAGCTTAGTCATGGATTCCAGTGCCCGACCACAGGTTGGAGATCTCCTGGGCGTGAAGCTATACGGAGTATGCGTACTCTGAATCCGTACATGTACGGATGTATAGCATCCGATTGAGAAGGCCACCAACATGGGCAGAATTATCCGTAGTAGCAATTAGCACTAAACTCCTAGCAGCATGACTGGCGGCTCGGCCTGTCGAAAAGTCGAAAAAAGCAACACTTCCCCTGCCAAGAGCTGCCGCCCTTTCCGCGCCGTGCACAAACCCTCTCACTAGTACTCCGTACCTAGTAGCAATTACTGCATACCTAGGTACTAACACTGCATACTGGCGACAGGCAGCTCTGCCATGTGCTCATCTTTACCAGGCACCTATAGGTACCTGTACGGATACGTCTAGCCACCACATCCGACGAGGCCAACTATTCGTGCCACTCCGCAGCAGCGTCTCTACCTTAGTACACCTTACAGACTGGGCTGAACTGAATGAGATCCAAGATCCCAAGATCCAAGATCCAAACCCAGAGACCAGAGACCAGTCACCATACCCGAGGCCCAAGAGAACTCCAGTAATTAGAGCGCTTTGTCCGAGACAAGATTGGACACCACAAATTGGAATCTTAGCAGGAGGACAGACACTGCAGTGCGACAAAGAAAGCACTAGAAATTACGGAGACCAAGTACTTCATAGAGACTCAAATTCGTAAGAGGCCTGGACATTGACAAAGCAGGACAAAGGCAGCAGTTGCGTTGACATCGTGACGGTTTCATCATGTACCCGGGAACAGAGCGAAGGCTGTCAAAAGAGGCTGGGACTTGGAGTTTGTCTCTTTTGTCTAGGATGAACCAGGATCATATGTCGCGTCGGTCTTTGGCCGGACGCGCTCCTCGAGGTCTCCATCACAATTTAGCCCTGTCATTTGGACAAAGCGTGGCATCGATCCAAACTGCCCCTGAGGCTGCAGATGTCTCGATCGAGGACTCCAAGCTGCCTGCAGTGAGCCATGTCGCAACGCCGACCCAAATGCGTGATGTACAGAGTACTCCATTTGTGTAGACAGCATTGCTGCAAAGTGATAATCTCGCTAGCCACCATCTCTCATCAAGCACAGATTCCACTTGTAGACTCCTGGCCTCACAAACCGTAGCCGCCAGATGGAGTTGGTGCGTTAATCTGCGCCCGACCCAATGAGCTTGGTACGCATATACCGACCTAACCTCAATCCGATCTGCGACAACTTAGCGACCACCTCCTACTCTCGACTAAACTCCCTCGACTCACTCCTCCAACGGTTGTTGCAACACTCTTCTCTCCACCGGCCTCGAGCTATTGTAGGTGGCTGATCTGCGTGCCAAACCACTGCTCGAAGCATGTCGCCCTTCTAGACGGGCGGGCGTCAAAGCGTCAAACCCTCGATCTGTCTGCGGTCGGTGAGCATCCACCGGCCGGGTCCCCCCCAAACCCGTTACGATCATGGACGGCCATGCGCAACCTCCTGGCAGCTTCGAGTCTCACCCGCCTCCTCCACCTCCCAAGGAGTATTCGGCGGTTCAACGTCTTCCCTCTCTAGCTGCAGCCTTGAAACCTCTCTCTCCTGCCTCTCCCGTCCGCCGAAAACCCCTCCCTTTGAACGCTGCTCCGATCGTTCAGTCTCCCGAAACACATACGCCGCCGCGGCCGTTTCAGGCCGTAGACTCTTCGCCAAAGCAAGACTCGAGTCCGGAAACACTTACTCCAACCGGTTCGACCGTAAAGTCGTAAGTCGGATCTCGTGAGACCCTGCCCACACTTCCAGCTGACCAAGACAGGAGACAGGAGACTGCGCCCTCCCTGCTTTTGGAGGACACAGGCGCCAGTACTCGGACAAGGACGACGACGAACGGTGCCTTACCTCCATCCCTTGAAGACGGCCGCCAGGATAGGAGAAGATCAAATGCTTCGTCGGTGGAAGTCGTAATCATAGAGGAGGACATGGGCTTGAAGCCGGGCCCGAGGCCGCCGCCTGTGCGGACGGGCTCGAGCTCCTCGACCAAGTCATCGACTGTCGTCGACACCAAGAAACCTCAAACACCTGGAAGCAAGTTCACTTCCTTTTTCACACGCAAAGCTACCGCCTCCCCGAGCGCAGAATCGTCGGTGACGGATATCTCTGATCGCAAATCCCCTCTGCCCTCACCATATGCAGTATCACCACAAGCTTCGACGCACTCCTCCTCAGGCTTCCCATTCGGCGCGTCCCTCTCTCGAGGGCCAGCATCCCAGCCTTCTCAAGACTCAATCGACTTCGATGGAGGCTCCTTACTTCGGACCGCGTCCATCAGCGACGCGAATAGCAAGTGCCTCCAACTCGAAGCAGAACTGCGGGAGATCAGCACCGAACTTGCAAACTCCATCAGACGCGAGATGGATCTGGAGGATTTGATAGAAAGCTTACAAGCCGAAGGCCCTGGTCTGAACAGAGAGGCGGATCGAACCAGTGACTACTTCTCAGACTCCGGCACAAGTTCTATCCGCCCGTCCACCAGTGAAGGCAATACCAAAGAGGACATTCAACGGATCAAGCGGGAGTCAGAACAACTCAGAGCACAGCTGAAGGTGGAGATGTCGCAGAAATGGCAGAACGAAAGGTCAAGCCGGCAGGCCTTGGAATCCCATATTCACATTCTGGAACAAAAGCTCTCACAGTCTCGTCGAGAACACAACATGTCCGCTGATGTCACGGCAAAGGCCAAAGAGCTCGAGGTGGCGCTGGACGATGCAAAGAGGCGGCTGATGGAGGAAAGGCAGACGAAGGAGAACTTTGAGGACTTGCTGACAGCTCTTCGTGTCGAACTGGAGCAGCATCGCAATGAACGCGACAATCTGCGTGACGAGGTTGTACCGCAACTCCGAGCACAACTGGCGGGACTCGAGTCCAGCGTATCCGAGTCTCAAAAGTCACCATACGAACTGACACGTATGCAACAAGAAATCCAAAGTCTGAAGGATGAAAACGCCGCCCTCCAAAGCGCCCGGACCATGAATATGCAATTTCAATCAATTGCTGAAGAAGGAGACTTGGCCGAGTCACCAACCAGCCCGTTCCCAAGCCGGGGTGCTGGTCTGCAGAGATCAAACACCATACACATAAACAGGTCGTCTTCGAAAGCTCCGACGAACCGATCGAATTCATTGTCAAGGTCCAATTCAATAGTGAACCGCGCGGTTCCGGAAAACCAGCAGTCGCTTGCCGATCAATTAAAAGAGGTGACCGAGCAGAGGAATGCCTTGCACTCGACTGTCAAGTATCTATTGAGAAGACAGGAGGCCCAACACCGCCAATACGAGAAGCGACTGAAGCTCGCCGAAGCCGAACGCGACAGGGCAAATACTCTGCAAGGTCCTCAGAAGGGAGGCTATGAGCGAGAAGTCCGAAAGCTACGTGCAGAAATTAATGTTCTACGGAAGAGGACGGACGATGCCTTAGAGCAGAAGTGGCAATGTGAGAAAGGTTTATCAGGGCTGAAAATGGATCTCGATCGAAGTAAGCAGGAAACAGCTAGCTTGCAAGCTCTTCTACAGCCCCGTGATGAGACGGCGCCAGAAGTTCTGTCGTCCACACTGGAAAAGGCATTGCAACAACTGAAGCAACAGCGGGATCATGCCCAACAACAGGAATCAGCAGGATTATTAAGCGACCCAGGGCTTGCCACCGAGTTGGAACTATCGGCACAAAGGTTCGAGACATTGGCCGCACAAGTCAGAAAACAAATGCAAGCGAACGGCGACTTGAGGGGTCGGCTCAAGGATGCAGTCGAGAAGGGCCAAAAGAACCAGCAAGCCTCGGCGGGACAAATCAATGAGCTTCAAACGAAACTTCGCAAACTGGAGGACGTTATCACCGTCGCACAAATGCAGTCCGAAACGGCAGTGATGAAGCACGAAGAGGAGGTTCGAGTTCTGAGAGCTAGCCACAACGTTCAACTTATGCGCACGAGGTCAGGCGGGAAGACGCCCGGCCTATTAACGCCTATACCACGATCTCCACTATCACCAATGTTTGTGAACTCCAAGAAAAGCCCCAGACTCGACCAGACCAGCTCTGGGCCAGGCATAGCTCTTCAACATGCCCTCAAAACGGAGTATCTCGAGAACAAGGTGGCAGATCTGGAAAAGGCCTTGGCTGAGGCGGAGAAAGAGATGGGAGAAGTGGTTGGAAGGATGAATTCGGCCCAAATGGGAGTGGCTGATTTGGAATCGGAAAGGTAAGCACAGTCTCTCTCCAATTCCATCGGGGTCAGCTGATACTAATATGTCCATGTCTACAGAGACGAAGCTCTCCGCCAGACCCGAAGACTTGAAGCCGCCATCGCTGCCGAGCGGAAGAAGGTGCAGGCCCTTCTTGATCGAGATTATACTTCGGATTACCCTTCAGACTACTAATTGCCGCTCCCTTGAGTCGCGACCACCTTAAATCGTTCGGGTTGACTCCGAGCAAAAACTACGACATAAATTCGTCACACATTCTTGTTATTATACCCATTTGGAACGACGCCTACTTAGCGACAGGGTTCGGGCGGTACCAGTATACATTTCTTGGAACGCATATCAGTTTTTGGGTTGGACTCGGCGTTGTCATCTGGGCATGGGGCATGGGACAGGGCATCCTACGGACGCATCCTTGGGGACCATCTGCAATTTTTCCATATCAGGCGAGGCATGAAGAATAGTCTGCCAACTTTGTGCAGGCACCCGGTTGTATATTTTTGTTAATCACCTACCCTCTGGGAGGACGAGATGTGGACGAATGGGCAAGATGAGTTGGGTTTGGATATTTGTGATCTGAGGTCGAAGCTGATACAGAGCATGAAGATAGAAAGGGGTGAGGCCTGAGCAGCTAGGCACACTCCAGCGTGATCGAAGCTCCATGGAGACCGACATGGATAAAGATGCCTTGCCACACAGATCGGCATTTGCATTTCGCCAATACTCACTCATGGTTCCTTCTCCAAGTCGACACCGACAGTTTCATGTGAGCATATGAAGAACCACATCGTTCTATACCTTAGTGCTGGTTGAGCGCACCAGAACCTGTGGCTAGATAGATACCTGGTAGCGAAAGGCCATAGAGGTGCCATCGTCCAGACCAGCATGGGCGCAGTCCGCCTTCCCGGTCAGCGGTCAGCGGTATCCGTATCGCCAGCCTTGCACGCAAAGGTCGATAGTACTGTAGCATGAAACATCACAGGCACCTTGTTAGGCATGTCTAGCAGTGACCGCCACCGCTTGTCTTAATACCACCCGCGGATGTCTGATATAATAGGCAAGCATACATATTTACGGAGTATACTCCATATATGAGATTGAGATCAGAAAGGGCTGGTACATATTACTAGTAGGTGCTAGTAGCTGTCACCAATGTACTCCGTACCTCCTCAGGTACGGTGCCTACCTATGCAGTAATTACGTACCTTCAGGTTTGTGGATGTCTGGTTTCCCCGCGATTGAAGGTGCACATTGGGGAACAAAGAAAGCCAGCTAAGGCTACGATACACAGTAGTACACACAACTCCTAACACCGCTTCCGTCGGCTTGCTTCACCCAGTGGAAAAGACACGATCTTGGATATTAGGTTGTCTGTGACTCTATGACGCTGCGACGCCTAAGCCAGATTCTTTGACACTGTCCAACACCGCAGCCATCAAATCTTACTATTTAGTAGTATTCTGGACGGACTCTCTTGGGCGACTAGCCCCTCTCGCCCTTCCCAAACCACCCTCTTACGAGGTCGGCGCGTCCAGGTACCCACGGCTACAGAATACTGTACACCGACATTGACGCTCACAACCCGATCGATCGATCGATCGATAAACAAATCAATCATACATACAGTACGCAACATCCCAGAAGCAAACCGAGATCGACTCCGACGAACAAAACACCATTCCACGCCGACAATATGCCTGCGACACCTCCTCCTGCTTCCTCCTCTTCTCTCTCTTCCATCATGGCCCAGCTCTCCGATCTGTACGAGGCCTACGTCCACCCGCTCCTCCCGTCGCCGATCCAGACCCTCTCGTCGCACGTCGCGCCTCTGATCGGGGCCGGCGTGGCCGCCGCGTCCAACGGAGACATGGTGTCGCTCGCCGCGTTCGTGGCCACGCTGTACTTCTCGCTCCGCATCGCAGACTACATCCGCCGCAGCGTGTTCGGGTGGGTGGTGTTTGTGCTGAAGTTGGTGGTGCTGCTGGCCCTGGTCAATGTCGTCGTCTATGTCAATCGCTACGGCTGGGACCGCGCCCTGCGCGATGCAGAATGGCTCCTCGGTTTTGTTGGGGGCTTCGTCCAGAACATGGTGAGCGGAGACAATAATGATGGGAATAAGGCGCCGGCATGGTACTCAAACTCGAAGGCGGGCTCGGGCGCCTACGCTGCACGCAATGGTCCCTGGAGTGCCTACGGAGGTGCCGGCTCGAGGCCGCAGGTTCCTGTGGGTCGAGGAGGAGGAGGAGCTAGAAAGAGAGCAGGAGGTTGGACTTGAAATGGTGTTTGCCATGTCAATCGATCACCGAGAACAAGAGAACATGGACCTTAGAGAAAGAGTAGCCTTGTCAGGTCGCACCCTGGGATATTCAATTGAATCATTGCGACATGACCACCACCACCAACCACCGACGCCGACGCTCTAGATACTGACTAACACACTGATCATCGGAGAGCAGACCAAAGAAAACACCCCCTTTTCAGCCCTCTTCCCAGGCTGGCTCTTCCATTTCCCTCTCCCTGGGATCTTTCGGTTCCTGTGCTTCGTGGAATTGGATGGCATCGTCAATATAACTCAGAATGTCGCCAACGCTTTCCTCATCGTTCACGTCCAGTTGCAGGAAGGATACCATACTGAAATCGTCAATCAGCCTGGCCACGGCACGGTTGAGCCGCTTGAATGAATCCCCACTCATGACCTGGTCGACTTCTCGGGGGTCACTGACGTCAACTGTGTGCTCAGCTGCCCCTCGACCGGTATCTTCGTCGTCGAGCAGGTTCGCATCGGGATCGACAAAACGCTTCAGTTCTTTCTTGGGAACTTGGTCTTTCACCAGATCCATTTTGGACAGGATGTTGATGTGTGGCAATTCCATCATGATCATTGCGCTCATCGCCGAGAGGGTTCCGGCAAAGAATTTGGCCTTGTCGACCACAAAGGTGGCTTCGAGCAGGTATGCAGCGCACAGGTTGATGTTCAACGGGCCCATTCTAGACAGATATTTTACCAGCTCAGGCAGCAGAGGAATGTGTGTGTATAGTTCGATCTGACCGGGTAGATCGAATAGGATGAGGTATTCTTCGGAGAGAGGCTCGATGGCATTGGCGATGAAGTCGAGATTTTGTAGAAGAAATTCGAAGCAGAATATTAAGCCGCCGTTGGGCCCTAATAACATCTCCTCCATTACATCTTCTAGAGAGATGAGATCTCGGATATCCAGATCGGGTTGATAGGCGAACTCATTGGCCGCGGGGTCGAGGTTGACGTAGAAACATGACCGGCGGCTATGCTGGAGATGTTGGATCATGGCGGTGCAGAATGTGGTCTTCCCGGCGCCAGCGGGGCCCATTACCAGGCAGCCGAACTTGGACATGATGATTCTCGGTGTAGGAGGCGGTAGTCCGAGATAGAAGGTGATACCGGATGAGATCAATCAGGACGTTGGGGGGATGGGAGATTCAAATGCATCAGTCTCCCTGCGGCACGCGTAGGACAAAAAAGTAATCTACCAGTTGTGATACGGGGAGATCGAGGTTGTGCAATCTTAGGTAGGTAGGTGAGGTAAGGCTCCGTGATTGTATGGGTGTGACCGTATAGTGATTGTAGGTCTTCTCTTCCATCCGTTTCAAGACAAAATCCTATCACGTCGGTGTTTTCAACATCCACAAATTCTGCCACCGCCTAAACTAGCTCAAATGGCAGGCTAAGGCTTTGCATCCGCGGAGACTTTTCCGGAGCGATGGGGGGAGGGGGATTTTCGATTGCGCGATCTCGCAGGGGTAAGGAGGGTGGGCACTGGGCACTGTGGCTGCTGGCAGGCTCAGGGCTAAGGCCTTGCGCCAGGGTCAGATTGATGCGAGTTGGGCTGCAAGAAATGGTCAAGGGTTGGTTTAGGATACGGCGTTGTCGACTAGGAGACGGGGAAAACAAGAGCGGCCCTTTGTATGGATGGCTCCGCTTCGCTGAAGGTCAAGAACAGGATGGGCGAGGTTTGTACAGAGTAGATACGGTGAGGAATCAGGATGGCTAAAAGGAGCCGGCCTGGCATGGGGCCCCTTAGCCACCTACGCCGGCCATTATTTGCTGCCTCCTGGGCCTGGCGGGCAGTAGTGTAGCAGGGCAAGTCCACTGGATGGATGCGTGTTGGGTGCGTGCTCGTGGCCTTAAGCCTAAGCCGCCATGCCCGGGCATTTTTTGGCTTTGCTGTTCTGCTTCCTACTGCCGATGCCGATAACGACATCGCAGGCTCCTCTTCTCCTCATCAAACGCCCCCCGACCCGAATTTTTTTCATTCTACAGCTTCTTCTTTCTCCCGCTCTGTCCTTTGTCCACCGTCCCATCGCCTGTCCCAGTCCTTTACTCCTCTACCGTTCGTGTACTGCGCTCGGCTGTGGCTGGATTCTAGTTTCCATTCATCCCGTTGTTGACCTCCCACCATCATACTGTACAGACCCTCCTCGGTCCTTCGATCTACCAGCTTAGACTGAACGCTGCCACCTGTCCCAGGCCTAACGCTCGTCACCGACTCTTTCAAGATGCCTGCTGCTGTCAATGGAGTCCCCAAGGGAGAGACTTTCCTCTTCACCTCTGAGTCTGTCGGTGAAGGTCACCCCGACAAGATTGCGTGAGTTCTGGCCGTGTTCGATCAATCCAGATCTCCGCTGATCAAATTCTCAGTGACCAAGTCTCGGATGCCATTCTCGATGCCTGCCTTAAGGAAGACCCTCTGTCCAAGGTTGCTTGCGAAACTGCCACCAAGACTGGTATGTGCCCACCGGTGGCCGAATCTAGTCCCCAGCTAACCCAGTGGTAGGAATGATCATGGTGTTCGGTGAAATCACTACCAAGGCCCGCCTCGACTACCAGCGCATCATCCGAGACACGATCAAGGACATTGGCTACGATCACTCCGACAAGGGGTTTGACTACAAGACCTGCAACGTCCTCGTCGCCATTGAAGAACAGTCCCCTGACATCGCCCAGGGTCTACACTACGAGGAGGCATTGGAAAAGCTCGGTGCCGGTGACCAGGGCATCATGTTCGGCTATGCCACCGATGAAACCCCCGAACTCTTCCCCCTGACCATTCAGCTCGCCCACAAACTCAACGCGGCCTTGAAGCAGGCTCGTGTTTCAGGAGAGCTGCCATGGTTGAGACCAGACACCAAGACTCAAGTGACCGTGGAATACGTTCACGACGGAGGTGCCGTTGTGCCCGTGAGAGTGGACACTGTGGTCGTCTCGGCCCAGCACTCGGAGAAAATCACGACCGAGGAGCTACGCAAGGAAATCCTGGAGAAGATCATCAAGAAAGTCATTCCTGCGAAATACCTGGATGAGAAGACCATTTACCATATTCAACCTTCGGGTCTCTTCATCATCGGTGGACCCCAGGGTGATGCTGGTCTCACCGGCCGTAAGATCATCGTCGACACGTATGGTGGCTGGGGTGCTCACGGTGGTGGGGCCTTCTCCGGCAAGGACTACAGTAAGGTCGATCGATCTGCAGCATACCTCGCTCGGTGGATCGCAAAGTCTCTCGTCGCGGCTGGCCTCGCCCGTCGCTGCCTGGTCCAGATGTCCTACGCCATCGGTATTGCTGAGCCACTATCCTTGTTCGTCGAAACCTACGGAACCAGCGACAAGAGCAGCCATGAACTCGTCGAAATCATCAACAAGAACTTCGATCTTCGACCGGGTGTCATTGTCAAGGAACTCAACCTGATAAACCCTATCTACTGCCGAACAGCAAAGAACGGGCACTTTACTGACCAGAGCTTCCCCTGGGAACAGCCGAAGAAACTGGAGTTGTAAATCTCCTTCTCATCGACGCTCCATAATACGGCATGATTATGACCGGAGCTTTTTTGATTGGACAAATGTCGAAAGAGAAATGGGATAGTGAGCATATATTGTTCGGCTCGAGATGATGACAGATCTGACATTTCCCGGTTTCAACAGACTCGGGGGTGGACTTTTCTTCTCTAACCTCTTGCTCATCTTGTTTGTTCTTGACCTTTTGCCATGTGGTCCGGGGCCGTGGAGCTTACCCGACACGAAGAAAGAAAGAAAAGCGCTCAACGATTTTGTTTTGTGGCCATGATAAAGAAGGTGAAAGCCTTCGTGGCGTGTTTGATGTTTGACGTTTCATTTGTCCGGGAAAAAGAAATCATTGGAGCGGAGCGCGGGTTCAGTCGTGACGATATTCAACATGTTATGATACCCATCCTGCGCGTGCGAGGTTCCTCCCATGTCATGCTCTCTCTACGGTGTTGGTTATGGGCGGTCATTGAAACGGATTGGCGTTCAACTCGCTATTACACTCGACGAGAGATGGAAATACTGCTCAGAGCAAGGACTTTGGAGCGTGCTGCTGAGAGATGCGGCCAAGGAAAGTAGATAGGAGAAGCCAGTGTCCCTAGGCCTTTATAGGTATGTAGTAGGCATAGGGCAATCCACGCCCCAACACAGCAGTTATAACTTGCACGATTAGAAGAAAGGTGTCTATCTGGGTTACCCCCTCACTTTCAGAGTGAGGTGATCGTGATCATTCTCCGGTATTTAGGGAGGCTACTCTGTACTTTCGGCAGTATGAAGTTGAGGACTGACTATCCCATTGTCAATCGTGGCCAGCGACCAAAGCAGCAAATAATATAATTTACTATACTCTGTACTGAGTACTGTACTACATTGAAATTATCGAACGGGCAGAAATTAAAGTTAAAATTGAACTTGGATTTGAATTCGAATGCGCACTGTCGTCACTCGTCTCAATCAACCAACCCTTCATGAACACAGTCGCACGGTGGTCCAGTCGCACTGTGGATTCGGGTTCGGGTCTTGCTATATATTATATATTAATATTCCTTACCTGAAATCTGACATCTGGGAACCACAAGCCATGAACAGGGTGGAAAGGGTGAAGCGGGAAAATGGAAAAGGGAAAATCAGAAAAGGGAAAATAAAGGGAAAATAAAGAGAAAAAGGATAGAAACAGATGTAACCCAAACATTGTTCCTGTCTGGCCTTTGATTCTGGCTCCAATCGACTCACTCTCCTTAGTGTTCCCCTCTATCGCTTTGTCTTGTTCAAACATATACATACATGTGTCTGCGTTTGCTCGCTCAATAGTGTGTGTGTGTGCTAAGGGAAGAGCCACCCAACGACATGACGCTCAGAAACAATTCAACGAGCTTCCCTTGCGTTTCTTCGACTTCCCGTCCTTACCAACAGTCAACAGCTTCATGCGCTCTTCCAACTGCGCACGCGCAGCCTCGGCCTCTCGGCGCTTCTTGACTTCCTCTTCGACGGCCTGCACGCTGAGCCTTTCGGAGCGCCGCTCCTTCTTGAGCCCGGAGAGTTCCTCCTCCATGGCCCACGCCTTCTTTTTCCAGTTCTCCGCGTCGACACGTAACTTGTTGGACTGTGTCTCGAGATCGACGAGCGCCTCTTCCAGAGTGGCCGTTAACTGCTTCTCGGCGTGGAGATGTTTCTCGATCGTCCGGAGCCGGTTCTCTTGTTCTTCGATAAGAGCAGAATGCCGCCGGATGTTTTGGGAATTGTTGGAGGACACAGCCGTGCCGGACACGGGCGTGATCGGTAGAGTCACCTCCTTGGAGGTATGGCGAGATTGCGGAGGGGAAGGGTTATTGGCATTGGCGCCGGCAACTTGTAGGCCATGTATGCTGGGCAACGGAGGTAGAGGGATGGCCGGGGGAGGCGACGGTAGCGAAGCAATAGACGCCGACTTCCGCAAATTCGAGGTCATGGAATTCGACCTCGGAGGTCCTCCTTCCACGGGCGGAGACTGTGGGCGATGTTGAGACTTCATTGTGTTGCTCCGTGACCCATGGTCTGATCCTCCCTCATTGATTGATCTTCGCTGATCTAGGTCCTTTTCCAGCACACTGATACGCTGCTGAGCTTCGACCAAGGCTTGGTTCCCTTGAGCTTGAATCATTGAGACCCGGTTGTTGTGCTGATCGAAGCTATTTTGTAGTTGCTGCTCCAGTTCTTCGATCAGGACCAACTTCTTGGCCTTTTCTGCCTCAACCGCCTCGATCTGGGCCTGGGCTTTCTTGAGCAAGTTGTCTTGGTCGCGGATGGTCTCTTCGTGATTGCCAACTTCATTTGCAAGGCTGCGGATGGTTTCTTGATAGTTCGCAATCTTGTTGTTGGCATTTGCAAGCTCTTCCTCCAATTCAAGAAGACTTTGTCTGCCTTCCAGTTGCCGTTCAAGTTCGGCATTGGCCGCAGTGATGCGTGCGTTGGCTTCGGCAATGTGGCGCTTCTCGTCCATCAGGTCCCGAATATGGCTCGCGAGCATATCGGCCGTCGTGCGGTGGCCAAGTGCGGTTTGTGCATCTGACACCAGTTTCTCCACGGTGGACAAGGCTTGCTCGAGATCTGTCTTATACGCAGCGACCAGTTTTTCGTGCTTTGCCGTCATCTCGGCAATCTGATCATCATACCCGGCCAGGTGACCACTGTGAGAAAGTTTCATCTCCTCAACTTCGTTTGCATGAGCTTCACGAAGCGCCTTGAGGCCATGCTTGTGAGCCTCTGCCGCCGATTCTGCTGCCTGGACCTTCTGTTCAAGTTGCGCTACTTCCTCCTTCAGGGCAGCTATTTCCTGCGCTTGAGATCTCACCAACTCTGATTGAGCATCGAAATCTTTGCTGAGGGACTCGTGCAGCTGGCGCAGTTCTGAACTCTTGGCCAATTGATCGGCGTTCGCAGCACGCTGCTCCTCCATATCTTGCTTCAGATTGCTAATCAGGTCTTGATAATTGCCACGCTCGGTCTGCATGGCTTCGGCAGCAGCAGCGCCGTCCGACGCCACGTCTCCTTCGCCAGTGGATTGTTGAGCTTTCAAGGTCGCTAGACTAGCGAGAGCTGCCTCGAGCTCCGTCTTTGTCCGACCATAATTCTTCTCTGCATCCTTCGCCGCTGCTTGTGATGATTGCAGCTGCGTTCTCAGCTCCGACAGTTCGGTCCTCAAAACGTCAATCTCCTTTTCGATGTGAGAGGGCGAGGAAGCGTCCTGTGCGTTGGCCCTTTCGGACGTCAATCGCTGAATCTGTTCTTGCAGACCTTGCTCGCGATGGGCATACTCTTCGTGCAGCAACTTGAGTTCCTGTTCTTTCTGGATGATTTGATCTCGCAGCTGGGACACCATGTTAAGGTCCACCGGAGATCCTGCCTTTATACTCGTCCTCTCCCTTGTCAAGCCAGAGATGATGGTTGATTTGAGTTCCATCTCCTTCTTGGAGCTCTTGACTTCGGCTTCAAGGGCTTGTATCCGGTCCAGTCTGGCTTGAAGTTCGTTGATAGCGGCGCTGAGGTGAACTTCTGCTGTTTCCATACGATCCGGCTTGGATTCAAATTCCTCGGCTAAAAGTGCCCGCAAAGAAGTCACGGAGCGTTGTCCTCGATCAACCCCAGTGCCGCTCTGCGACGTCATGCGTCGGAGCATGCCAGCAGTGCCGGGTGACCCAGGTCTGGATCGTTGAACCTGTGTCTTGAGTCGTTCCACAGCGGTCAGAGCCTCTTTGTGGTCAGCCTGCAACTGAGTATACTGTTCCGTGACTTCATGTATGCTGTGTTCATGTTCTGCAAGAAGATTTCGTAAACGTTCAATCTCCTGTGATGCAACTTCCATTGACGGGTCCTTCTTAGAAACCGGCGTGATATCGGTGTCGGTCGACGGCGTAGATTCCCCAGCCGAGGACAATTCCGAGGAGAGTGATCGTGATGAGGGCAACTCTTGTCCATTCTCCTCTTCGTGCAGTTCGCTCTCGTCTAAAAAAGTCTGGCCGGAAGCGCCTTCTGGAGCTCTACTCGACCGGGCCGATGCCACAGCCTGACGTTCCTCATCAATGGAATCTTGCATCTGGGCTAGGGTGCGGAGTGCCTCATGATATTTGGCAGACATGAGATCCAGTTCGTTAACGGTTGATTCATGCTCAAGTCGAAGGTCGAACAATTCCTGGCTGACCGCTTCAAATTTCTCGGTGACGAATTTTGATTGAGCAGGACTGGGGAGAGCTTCGTGCCTCCTGCCTGTGTGGAGGGATTGCCGCTGGGACGTAGCAGTCTCCAATTTTTCGAGGCCTGCTTCGTCGCTCTCGGCAGAAGGCTGCTCTGAAAGCTCTCCGGGTTCCTCAGCCAGCTCGTCTTCCGTTTCACTGGGCAGCTCCGTCTCCTCTGCGGCCGTGTATTGATTGTCATGTCCATTCTCGATACTATTGGTTGCTTGAACTGGTTCTTGCTGTGCTTTGGGTTTTGCATCTTTGTTTTGTACGTGGTCGAGTTCGTAGAGAAGGTTGTCCAGTTTCCCTAGACTTCTCTGACGCTCGACCAGGTGCTCAAGCCTCTCGACTTCGCGTTGCATGATTTCCATGTCCTGGTCAGCTTCGGCCAGTCGTTCTTCCAGGGTACAAATGTAATCTTCTGCATTTGTTTCGCTCTCTCTGATTCGTGCGATCTCCTTGCGCAATTCCGAGATGATGGCATCGTTCTTCTCTCCTCCAGAATGCTGATCATCTAGTCTCGCCTCGAGATCATGAAGATACTGGTCCGTGTTTGATTCTCGATCCATCAATTTTTGAACACGTGAATTTAGCTGCAGGTTCATGGTTTCAATATACGCACACTTGGTCTCTCTCTCCAGAAGCTTGCTCTCAGTCGTGGCTAGAGATGACCGAGTGTTGGAAAGATTCGCCTCGAGGCTCTGGATTGTCTTCTCATATTCCATGACAACTTGTTCAATCATTTCTTGATTGGCTTGAGATCGTTTCAAGCGATCGATGGCAGTTTCGCCCGCGATCGGGTTGACTTGGTCATGGATCTCGGCATACCTCGTCAACTCAGAGACGAGTTTTGCGTGTCTCTGACTGAGGGCATTGTAGCTCTCTTGGACATCCAACAATTGATTGTGCAGCTCGTTTTCCCGTCCATTGGGGCGATCTGTTCTCTCCGATATAGCGCCGGGTCGTTGCTCGCTCGATTCGGCACTGCGAATTTGCTGTCTCAGAAAAGCGATTTCGGCACGTAATCGTTCGATCATGGCTTGTTTGTCGCCGCTGTCGTCGATTTGTTGGATTTTGGGTTTGCTCTGAATATTCCGGGCGCGCTGAGCGTATTGTACCGTATTGAGAGTCTCGCTGAGGTGGAATTCGGCGGGCGTTACGCAAGCTATCATGTATGTGATCGCGTTACCACCCAACGAGTCCTGCAGCATTCGGGTCAATTTGGAATCCCTGTACGACACATATGTACCGGCCGTCCTTGATGACAATTGAGCAATGACTTTCCCCAGACTGGCCAAGCCTGCATTGATGGAAATGCCCTCCTTCGCACGATCGCCGGTGGCGCCAGTATTCTTGAGTCTCTCACTACCAGCCAGGTCCACGAAGTGAAGTTTGCTTTCCACCGTCATGGGAGAATCGCCTCCAGACAGTTGATCGATAGGGACCGAAGAGCGCTTGTCTTTGGTTGGGCTGAAGCCTTGAGCTTTGGTCTGGCGGAGGTTGATCGTGAAGACGGCGTGTGACCGAGAAGATCGTGCATTGATGGCGGTCGCATCCGTTTGACGAATGGCGGAACCGTGGTTGAGAACTCGTATCAGTTCTTCAAAGGTAGAAACCCGAACGGAATTGAGACCTTCGACGAATATTCGGCCACGAGGATCTTCTCGAATCTGAACGTTGGCTCTTTCGGTAAAAGGGGCGTCTTCTGGAAGCAGTAAATCTCTCGGGTGCTCGTTGTAGATCTCAACATAGGTGACGGACATCTCCCACCCTTTGTCCGCGAAAGATTTGGAGTTCTGCATGACTTGATTTAAACTTGTTACCGAGTATCTTGTGGGTGACTTCAAACCAGAATTCTGTCGAGAGTGAGGAGGCCCGCTGCTGTTATTGAGATGGTCGAACAAATATTGCGCGGCTCTGGGGATAACGCCTAGTAGAGGTGAGTAGGAATCCTTCGCCATCTGAAAGCCAGCTCACCTTTGAGAGCGACGTCAAATTGCTCGGTTGGACCAGATGTGCCCATCGTATAACTCTTGCCAGAGCCGGACTGGCCGTAGGCCAGGATTGAGACATTGTAACCTTGGAGGAAAGAGTCGACGCCATCCTGCAGGTATTCCCATATTGCGGGCTGTGTCGTGTCCTGGCCAAAGACGCGGTCGAATATGAATATTTTTCGGCCCTGGGGTGACTCAACGGCAAGACTGGTATTTGTATTCACTTGGACCATTGACCGCTGGAATCTCTGTGGAATGAGATCAAAGCCGGGATCGGAGGGGCCCAGAGGTGGCCGAACCCGAACGACTGTGAAGAATTAGCTGTCTGCGAAACCCGGCAGTCAGTTTCACGACAACCGACTTACCAACCTTGACCGATATCTTTGCATCTTCGTCTGACGCCCTGCTTGCCACGGGATTGCTACTCTGGCTCATGCGACTTTGGCTCCGCGCGGGAGGTCGACCAAACATACTCTGGGGACGTTGTTTTGGGAGAGAATCGGGAGAAGGGGCCGAGTACACGCTCTGCGCACGCATCTGGCGTGCGGCCTCGGGTGATGCTGGCGGCGAGGAGACTGTGTTGGGGCCCCTCTGATGTTCCATTATTGTATTGCGGGAATGTTTACCTCAACGGCGTCGGTCCGTGCCCAACGGCTGTCAGAGGGCACCGCACCAGGCAAGATGTCGCGGATCCCCAAACATGAAGTCAAGTCACGCGTCTGTCTTTTCGAGAAGGGAAAGCTTTGACCGCAGGCGGAGACACAGAAGATATGTGAGGTGTTGGACGCGTGGAGAAGACGTTGGGCAAGGTTCAAGGTCCAGGGATTCGAGGAGGTTGACAGGTGTGGACACGGGAAACTCGAGAGGAGGGAGTGGATGTGCGCGGTGCCTCGTGGGTTGGTCCCTTACGATTCGGGTGAGGGACGAGCGTGGCAGAGGTGATGGGACCAGGGTTGCGCAAGGTTGGCACGGTCTGTCTGTTCGGTGTTGGTGTCCAGGAGTGATTAAGGTGGGCAAGGCGGAGGCCAGATACTCCGTACGGATACAGCGCAATTCCAGCAGGCGCACTCGAGATCGAGGGATAGATAGGGAGAAGGCTGGACAATTGTTATACCAGCCGCGAGGATGTTGTGTTTTTAGTCAGGAGTCAAGCCAGAGTCGAAGCGCAGGTGTCGCGTCCGCGATGCCATTTGCGGTTAGCAGCCACTTTACATGGCGGGCGATAGGGCCTAAACCACCTAAGGGGGGCCACCAGGGCCAGTTGACCAGGGTTACCAAGCCTAATTAGCCCCCATTGGCAGCATCCTAAGCATCCTTAGCACCCTCTCTGGAGCCTAGCGGGCGACTTCGGCCAGTTGGTCACTCTTTAGTGGGCAGCAGACAGCAGACAGCAGACTGCAGATCCATGATAGACAGCTAATTAATTAATCACCTAGCACCTACTAGGTAGTAGATGCCCCTAAGCCTAGCAATTACTAGGTACCTACCTACCTAATGATCCTAGGGCTGGTTTCAGAGCAGATGCACCACTGTCCCCTATCCCTACACCACTCCAGAGTATCCGTACTCCGTACGGTACGGATACACCCACGGTAGTACGGAGGACGGGTACTACGACCAAGGCTAGCAACTTAAGGTAAGTATGTACCTAAAGGCACATCCCTGTTGCGTCTATACCCTTTATGTCCTCCTCGTCCTTCAATGGCCCAGTAATCATGCAGCCATCGACCAGGGTCTGCGTTTCAAAATGCCCCCCGGGACTTTCTATCAATCTTGCACAAGTTAGGGGGTTCAAACGGTAGGTATTTCGCTGCAGGGGATTTCAGAAGCGGCTCCATCATCCCCGTTAGGTGCCCATGGTCTGAGAACACCCACTTCCTTTCTCAGCAGTCGCAAAAGGCCATTCCTCTTCCGAACCATGTGCTATGGTGTGGTCGACTTTCGGGTCGCTCAAGACTTTCCTCCCGGGGTCTTGACGCTATATAGGTGGTCTTAGTGCATTGATCCGTTGTTTGGGTCTCTTTGGTCTCTCTCCCGGCTATGGAGCACATGGTTCGTGTTTTTTTTGCATGCCCCAGGTGACCATCGCTCCTGTGAACACGAAGCTGATAGTGGCATCAAGCACTCTGTGTGTCGCCCTTGGATAGGGATGGTTTGGTTTGTTCACAAACGTGGCGTGATCTCCAAGGTTCAAGACACTGCAGCTTCATCACCTTGAGCGGTAGGTGCCTTCTTGCCTCCACCGCGATGGCAGCTTGGTTTCGATCCCCGGATCTCCCCCCTCTCTCTCCCCCTCTATCTCTCTAACCTGAGAAGATCTGTAAGAGCGTGCTCCAAGAACATATGCAGGTACTCCTATTCCGTGCATCCAGTAGACACACTTTCCTCTTTTTGGCTGCGCAATGTTGCGCCTGCCTCAGAGCTCTCAAAAGGGATAACCATCGTCGACCATGATTACTTCCAATGCCATCGTTGCCGGAACTTCTGTCGCACAAGTCGAGCCTCCTCGTCACGGCCAGGGCCAAGGCAGTGTAACACAGACCAGCAGGTGTTGTTGATAGTCAGTGACAGACTGTGGGGTTTCTGGCCCCTTAGACCTGGTCCGTCGGACAGATTCCATCCTAGCCAGTGTGGGGGTTGGGAACTGCGGAGTCACTTTCTGTCTCATCTTCGTCGTTTTCTTCGTCGTTTTCTTCGTCGGGATGGTCCTCTGAATCTGTGGTATCGTGATCAACAGCTTCGGCATCCTTGGCGTCGCCGTCCACACCATGCTCTCTCATGTATGTCTCGAGCTCTTTGGCCATCTTCCTGGAGAATCCCGAGGCCTCGACTTCCACATCGAGCCTTCTGGCTCCGTCCTTGCCGACCGCCTGTCTAGCATCTTTGAAGAAAGGACCTTCTTCGTTGCTAGTGAACCCGAATCGTCTAGTGAAAAACCGCTTGACGCATTCAACGTCTCTGTTGAAATAGAATTCCGCATCGGCATGATCCACACTGACCATCTGAGGGAAGTCAATCAATACTGGTATCAACTTGATATTGTCGGCTTCTTCCTGCTCTCTGATCAAGATGTTGAATTCGTTGAAATCTCCATGGATTAAGCCAAACGAGCACAGTCGTAGCAGGATCTCCATCAACTCCGCGTACAGCCCTGCTGGGTCAGGGACCTTATCAATCTGTCGGAGGGGGAACCCGTCAATGAGCGACATGACCAGGTGATGGCGGTTCTGACCATGAGGAGTTGGTACGCTGAGGCCGGCGTCATAGAGTGCTTGCAAGTAAGCATACTCTTTGACGGCTGCCAGCCTCGACATGTACATCCAACTCCCAGCACCTCTCTCTTTCTGCGCTTTGGTCCGGGCATAGTCTCGCTTGTTCCTCACCCCCTTTTTGAAACTGACTCTGCCGAGCCGATGGATTTTAAGCACTCGCTGCTCACCCTTCTCGTCACTTACGACGAAAATGTCACTTTCTTTCCCGACTCCAACCTGGTTCCCAACGCTGTAGACAATGTTGCTTTTCTGCAGGGAATGCAAGGCCAAGTAGTCCAGCCCGCCGTAAGTGAGTCTGTACCCGTCATATTTGGCGTTCTTGACTTTGGCTATGAGATTGGCCTTTGCAAGCAGAGAGATACTGCGCTGAACATCTCCGACACTGGACTTCGAGAGGTTCGCGATCAGTGGTGTCGGGACGACTTCATGATTGCGACTGCCAGTCTCGACAGCAGTCAGTGTGCGCCAGTCGGTGGGGTTCAGGTATCGGAGGGCCTTTGTATCAAGCTTCATGTTCAACGTAAACAGGGACTCTCGCCAGTCGACATCATCGAAGAAGACGCTGGCGTTGAAGATGGTGGAGGAGGAAACTAGAAATTATCGGAACCGCAGGTGAGATAATCTAATCTGATTACACTAGCCGCCGTCCTCCCCTGCAGCGTCACATGGATCCCCGCATTTCCAGCCTCGCACCACCGCATCCATCTTCATCTTCATCTTCCGATGCATCAAAGCGCGTTGGCGGACCTTCACGTTCGCGAAGAGTTCGACAACGCATCATTTCCGGCCCGGAGAGGACAGTGGCATGGGCCGCCAGAGACGCTTGAAGCTCCTCAGAGACAATCCATGATAGATGGTCATCGAATGTAGAGAAATTGGTCAACCCGTCAGGTCCGCAGACTTTAGGGATTGCCACCCATTGACCTTGCATCAAATGCAGGGCTGGATCATGGTGTCACAGAAGATCTAAACTTCCCCACGGCAAGCCTAGAAAGCATCGCCAATAGGCACCATACATCCGTCTCGTGCCTACGATCGGCCTTTCCAATGGGCAAATGCAACACACGAAGCGATCATGTCCTACCTGTCCACATAGTAAATACAAATAGGCTACCTTTCCAAAGTTTAAACTGATCGTTCTCCTTTTTTCCTACTCACTTCTAATGCTGGGCAGCGGCAACCTCCTCGTCCGGCTTCAAGATATCTGGCACCGGCCCAACCGGCGTGATCGCGAACTGGTTGATCTGCTTATGACTCTTGGTGTAGTGTTTCTTAATATGTTCGAACTGCGTTGTTTCACCAAAGGCGGGAACATTCCAGTACAGGTTCCTCAGCCACTTGTGCAAGTTCGGATACCCGGAGCGGATATCTCTGATGTTGCACTTGAAGTGCTGGACGTAGACGGGGTCAAAGCGCACGATGGTGGTGTACAGCCTGATATCGGCTTCCGTGATCTTGTCGCCAAAGTAGTACGGCCCTGATGAATTTGCGAGGTCTGCTTCCGCGCGATCGAGAGACTTGAACAATTGCACCACACTTCGCTCGTAAGCTTCCTGCGTTGTCGCAAACCCAGACTTGTACACGCCGTTGTTGATGTCGTTGTACGTCCACTCGTTCGTCTCCTCGATCTTATCTTGCAGCTCTTCCGGGAACAGAACGACGTTCTTGTACTTGTCCGGCAGGAGATCGTCGAACTCGGTGTAGAACATGCGTAGGATCTCGGAAGACTCATTGTTAACGATGGTCTGCTTCTTTTTGTCCCACAGAGTCGGAACTGTAAAGCGTCCTTCGTAGTCTTTATTTACAGAGAAGTAGATGTCTCGAAGGTGTGTGAAGTTGGGATTGAGGGGATTTGGAGTGACGTTCTCGCCAGGAACCTGTTCGTCGGAAGTAGCGAAGCGCCAGCCTAGATTGCAAGTCAGAATGGGCCAGATGAGCTCCCATAGAACATACCTTTCGACTCCATATGCCAGTGTACGCTGGTGAAGGGAATGATGTCTTCCAGTCCCTTCAACTTCCGTACGATTAACACTCGGTGTGCTGTTCGAAAGACACGACTTCAGCATGCGTCTTGTGCATTAATGTCTGGGATATAATCCTACCCCAAGGGCACGCATATGAAACAAACAAATGATATCGATCCTTTTCCGCGGGAAATTCTGCATTGGCTTCTTTCGATATGAAGTCGCGGAACCGGGACTGCTGTCTCTTGAACTCGCCGGACTTGTCTCCCGGCAGGACCCAGTCGGTGATGGCTGACTTCGTGCCCTGCAAGACATTGTTCAGGATAAACGCGCCGGTAACAAAAAGGACGGCAACCAGGCCTGAGAGTAGAGGGTTGATGCGTACCGACATGGTAGAGAAGCGAGCTATTTGGCTGGACAGTGTCGAGACTGAGACTGGAGCGGGACTTCTGTTTGTCAGATGGGCTGCTTGTAACGACGTCCAAGCAAGGATCCTGGGCATGAGGCAGAGCTGGGCCGTGTAAGAGACAAAGACCTAGACCTCCCTGGAAGCTAGAGGATGTGACTGCACTTTTATGTATTTCTCATTGCTGCGAATGCAGATTGATGCGCGAAGGTCCAGGTGCGGGGGAATTCCACGCTTGCGCCACTCACTGATATGGTGGATACAGTAGTAAGCATGACAAAGATCCGGACTCACAGTCATCAGTCACGATGACCAACGTAGGTGGCTACGCTGCTGGTGCTACCGTGGTCACCATGAACATGTCACCAGTGTAGTTAGTCCAAAGTTCCGGCTTGTCATTGAACCTGATGCATATTTGCCTTGTCACCCCTATCTAATCGCTGGCTACACCTATCATGTCTCAATCTTGCTACACAGGAGAGAAAGAGGCCTAATGTCCATCTATTCTGATACAACCCAAGTGCATTGTCTCTCACTCCGTGGTTGCTACCCAAACGCCGTATGGACCCTTCCGGACACGATGGCCTTTTGATTTGCACCCTCTAGCCACGCACCTACTTCTTGTATTTTACCATCACATAAGGAATCTCGACATCCTCTTCAGTGGAATCCTCGGCGGTGATCTCGAAGATGATGTTGTTCTGATGCTCCGGGATGGGCTTGCGACTGATGGTCTCAAGGAGCTTGCTCATCTTCAACGGCATCCGGTCTTTGGTCTTGTTCGGTGGGTAGAAGCTGGCGTACAGCAAGCTCACTCCAGAGCTGACCATTGTCACGCTCAAACCAAGGTCTTCGAAGTGTTTCAAGAACTCTGTCAAGGTGACATCGTCAATCTCGAAGCGATCCCAAAGTTTGTCAATGGTAACATCTCCATCTTTGCCCTTGTATGTGCCCTTGGGACTTGCAATCGGTTCACTGAATCCAAAGAACGGCAAAGCAAGATTGACGAAGCCATTCTTGTATTGTTCAAGATCGGTCTTCCCATCGATGACCTTGTACAATTCAAGAACAACCAAGCCAGTAACCAGAGCAGTGGTCGTGGCGATGGCAGGAATAATCTTTCCAGCAATAAACTTCGTCTTGTGGCGATCAGCAACAGGGATGTTGTAGTTCAGGGCGCGAAGATTGCTTGCTGACGTGATAAAATCGATATGATGATTAGTGTCATCATCCTTTTCGAATTCCACCACGTTCAGGCGGAAAGTAGGCAAAGACTTCGGCGATGGCAGTTCGGAGATGATCTTGTTCAGCTCTTCAGCATCATCCGCAAATGATTTTGCTGGCCCATTTGGGTCGGGCTCATTCTCGTTGGCCTGGATTCTGACATTTGCGTCTGGTCTGAACTCAGGGATGATCATGCTATCAAGCACCTTGACATAGTCTTCGTGACCAATCTTAGGAACCTGTACACCATAATTATACGCATGAAGATGGGCAGCTGCAACAATGAATCCTATGTGAGTGGGGTCGTTAGGATCAAAGTTCAGAGGCGTCGGCGCCCGCTTTGGGCCCGACCAGAAGTCAGCACCGCTCGACGTTTTGGAGTCTTTTGGGAAGTTGTACAGCAACTGCTCAATCGCATTGTGATACTGTTTCTCGAACTGCACACGGGCCCAAGCAATGCAGTCGTTGAAATCTGCTGGTTTGTCGGTCACCAAGAACTCCTTGAGGGTTTCTAAGATCATCTTCTCATTGCCTTGTTGACGTAGAGTAGTGTTGATGTAGTCCGGTTGGGTGAGGTACAGATTGACCGTTTCTGGAGGACCCACGAAATAGGACTGGAACAAATCACGCGCCCAAGCAATAGTGTGCTCGATCTTGTTGGGGAAGCTTCGAAGGGTACACATCGGGAAGGACTGTTCTGGAGGATCCTGGGAGCTGGAGTACGACTCAGTCAGCCGTGGAAGTATAACTTGAGTGTTGCCCTTCGTGCCTAGGGTCCCGCTCTCAAGGAGCGGCTTCATGAAGAAGACACATCGACGGTCGACGTATGTGCGGGCTTCGACGTTGTCCAATGCGTTTGTGACGATATCGAGTTCATTCCAGAATTCTTCGTTGAAGATGTCTTCGCTGTCAGGGCCAATTCGATCTGTCAAAGACTTGATCTTATCCTTGAGATCAGGGTTCATGGCCTGAACGGCGGCAGCAGCAACCTCACTCTTTTGTTTTCCGACATCTTTGGCTCGGAACAGGAACTGACGATTGAGGTTGCTCCTCTCTATTGAGTCATTGTCGGTAACTGTGATATGACCCTTAGATCCTGTACCGAGTCCGATCATGGCATAATTCTTGAGCATCTCGCAACCAATGGCACCAGCACCAACCAAAAAATTCTTGACGTTGGAGATCTTCTCCTGAAACTCCTTTCCAAACACAGCGATTTGGCCATCGTATCTGGACCCGACAGGTTTGCAAAGTTCCTCATTTCGGGAAACAGAGGTAGGAAGCGACTCGAGAGAATCAAAGTAGAGCCACTGGACAACTGGGGTAAACTTTCCTGATACCGCCTTCAACACCTCTTGTGCTGCGAGGCCACCAAAAAATGCTGCCATTGGACTGACGTCACCCTGCGCTTGATAGCTAAGCTCAGTGATCAACTTGTCGCTGATTTCGACCTCTTCTCCACTTTCTTTGGCAGATTTCTTGGTGAGTTCTAGCACTTCCTTCGCATCTTCATCATTGTGAGGTCGAGGTAGGACGCCTTTATGACTCTCAGCAAAGGCGTGAAGAGCCTGGATTCCAAGATGAAGTTGGGCAGGTCGGTCAAACTTGGCGAAATCAGAGATCAGAAATTCTGGTTTCTTGATCTGTTCAGATAGCGGTTGGAATTGAAGAACCTTGGGCATCTTGACTTGCGAGAAAAGACCTCCGCCTTCGTATTTGCCCAACCCGGAGACATCTCCAATGGAAAAGGAGTATGGGCCCTTGACAGTGATCTTCCGAGGTGCAGCGCCATTGAGTCCTTCCAGTCCTCTGACTTCGGCAAACTCGACATAATCGCCGTCTTCCAACCCATGGCGCGTCTCATCCAGAGCAGACACCAGGCCAGTCTCGTCAATATCGGCGATGATGCCACTGATCGGGTTCTCTCCTGTAACATCGCCGACGGTGAAGTTGTCTCCAAAATCATTGAATAGGTAACCGAAGAGCCCGAAAGTGTCAGCGACCGTCAGGTAGATGCCGTTTTGGTGGCAAAAGTCGGCGATGGCTAGTTGGTCTTTCAGCGGCGTGTTTGTTAGGACCACTGCTTGGAATTGTTTGAGTTGACTTAGGTCTCCGGTCAATGTTTGCGATTTATGAACAGCGACGGGAACGTAGGAATTTAATTCGGCGACTCGCGGTGCAGTGACTTCTGCTCGTGGTTTTCCGACATCTTCCGCACGCAGAAAGAATTGGGAAGAAAGGTCGGCGATGGCTACGGGTTGAGGATCGAACAGAGTCAGCGACTTCACACCGGCGAGAGCAATGTTCTTTGCGATTTCCACCCCCAATCCCTTCAGGCCGACGACGAGGACGTTCGAAGAACCCATACGCTTCATTGCCTCATGACCAAGGACGTATAGCTGTCTGCTGTAGAGGGACTCGTCAATATCGCCATTCTGGAGCTCCTGGATAGCCGCCCCAGGATTGTCGACTTCCATCACAGAATCCGTCATGATTTTCTTTTCTGGCCGGGAGAGGTCCTCAGCAGAAGCCTTTCTCTTGCTACCGGCCTTGATGGTTTCTGGGACGTCGGCGTGTGGTGAAATTGTGACAGTGGCCTTGCCTCAAGCAAGACCCAGAGTGCGGCGGGAAACGATCCGAAGAGCAAACGGCTGCTTCAGAGAAGAGGGGAGACAGAGTCGAATCTGAGTGTTGAGGGCGTGAGGAGTTGGAAGGAGTGACGGGAGGACAGCGCAGTAGCCTGATTAAAAACTGATTAGAGACGCAGGCAATTGTTTGGTAAGGCAGCGGCTCGTTATTAGTCAGGAGGTTCGCGAAGTGAAACTTGTATGTGTAAACTCTAGGTAGAGAGTGATGGTTTAATAACCAACGCCTATGGCCAGGCTTGGGTTGAGTGATGCAATGACAAATAATGCGCAGGCAACTGCTTCGGCAGACTTGCTCCAAACGTTGGCGGGTTGGCGGGCACCTTCTGTTTGCCTCCCTGCGCCACCGCCGGCTTTGGGGGGCAGTCACTGTCACCGTCACCGAGCATCCAACAATGTACGGATACTCTGTTCTCGACGATTTCAAGTTGAAGAGCACTCACGGGCGACACTCTCCTTTGTGATTGACTATGCCCCGTTGCAACATCTTGTAGGCGGTCCATCCACCTTCAACAACCTGGAAGGTAGGTCACTCGCTGTAAAGGACCACTCAACGCGTTCTACCTCCCCGACACGCGTTGACCGCGACTCAGCTCCAATTCCAACATGGACATGTAGTCCCTTCAATGTGTCGCTTCGAACTCTTTGGCCGGCTAATCCTTTGGTGTCAATCTCCACACAAGTCTACGTCTTCTTTTGACTTCTCCCACGATCCTCAGCCACGCCTCCGTATGCGCCCGTCGCTCCAGCCCACGAAATGCTGCATGAAATACTCCTCTCATTATCCGGGCTCCAGTCGCCTATCTGGAACGGAACAAGCCCATCCGAAGATGCAGAGGAAAAGAAGTTCAACCAATATGTCTCACCACCAGAACGGGCTATGCTGAAAACCTTGGCTCATTTACAAGACTTGCACGTCAAAATCAGAGATGCAGCTACTCGGTCCGCAACCACACATCCGTCCATGATTTGTCGCGCTGTGAGCTCTTCGATAGTGGATGCACACCTAGGCAGATTCATGGACAAGATCGTAGAGGTCGAGTCGTCGATACTTAAAAGAGATGCGGGATATGTTGGCGCCTACGATATTGTGCCACTAAGTACGATTGTCTCCGAATTCGCGCCGTGGACTAGACGGTTGGAGTGGTTGTGGTCTGTTGCTCAGCAATTTGATCCGAGTTCCGAGGATGGTAACAGTCACAAGCAATCCGCTGGGACCAGTCTTCTGGACTTCCTGGAGAGGGAAACACATACGGGCTATTCGGACATCCAAGACATGGCTATTGCCCTCTCGGCCGTTGGGCAAAGAACTTGGATGCGAACAGCTTCGCTCTGGATTTTGTATGGAAAACTGCCTAGGTCTGGTGCGGAGGATTTCTGCATAACGTCGAATACTTCTCCCACTTCGGTAATGGATGCCTTCTCGATCGATCAGTCGCTGGTCCCTAAATTTGTCAACCCAGGGGCTGCGCGTGCCCTACTTGCTAGTGGAAGTGCACTTACTCAACTAAGGTCTCAGAATCTGTCTGCACCTGGCAATCTCACAGGTTCAGGCGATCCATCAATGCGCTTGATGCCGTTACATATGAGCCTGCTTCACTCGCTACACTATCCATTGAGTCCGGCGCTCTTCGAGAATGCATTAGCTTCTATCAACCAGTCTATCTCTGGGAATGCGCTATCGCAGATTCTCCCTCAGCCCTTGGTTATGCAGGTCCTCCAGGTCATCTTGCGCTATATGCTTCTCGACCATGGCGAATTTGCTGTCTCGCTGGTGGCTCACGCAGACGAGCGCATCAGGAGTCACCGACAGAGACGAACTGTGGCTCGTCCAGTGAGAAAGATTGGTAGACTAGATGACTTGGCTATTCAGGAGGTTGAACTAAATGGGATCTTGAGCAAATCCATGGCAGATCTTGCCGCATATCAAGCTGACGACGATCTTGACGACGATCTTTGGAGTCTGGCCAAAAAGTTATTGTCTCTCAAGCCAGCTGAGATTTCACATGGCTCGCGCCTGATATCAACCCTACTGCCGACCCCGACGAGCCTTTGTATTACGATTCCACCATCATCTCCCCTACACATATTCTTATCTGCTCAAGATACTCAGACATATTCGCTTCTGAATGCATACCTGCTTTCTATCCGGCGAGCCGGTCTCCATTTGTCCGAGTTATGGAAGCTTTCATACCATCGCCGCTGTTATCCCACACCCCTGGGTCCACCCAGAAGCGCTTCAGGGGCAGGACAGGCGAGCCTGGCGAAAAGGAGAGAGCGAGATTCTGTGAGAACAAGGAGAACACGACGGCATTGGACCTGCGCCAGCAAAGCGTTATACATGATTAATGAGCTTCAAACTTATCTCCAAGGCGAGGTCATCCAGAGCAGTTGGACACATTTCGAAAAGTGGATTACTGGGGAAGTTTCAATGGCTACCTCATCCGCAAAGTCATCAAGGCCCGGCACGGCATCGTCTGCGGGTCTAACAAGAATGACAGATCCATCGAATGAATCCCACAACATTGCAGAATCTACACCCCGTCACGGATCCAGGGACCCTCCATCACTGGCCGAAGCACACCGATTATACTTGCACGCTCTGGAAGATGCACTCTTCTTCACGAATGCTGATCTTTTAGGCACGCTGGAGAGCCTTCTCAATCAAATTGATCACCTGATCGCACTCTTCTCGCGCCTGCAGGTAGTCTGGGAAGGCTTGGACCTGCAAGAAGACGACGGGGTGCTCGACGCTTTTGCCAACCACGCGCAGGATGAGCTGGAAGTGCTTGACGAGATGGACCGCACGAGGGATAGCATTGAGGCCACACTTCTCGAGCTAGTGCATATGATCCGCGAGGTGGAGAAGGAGAAACGTAGTGGCTTGGGCATGAACAGTCTAGTTGACGCTGCGAGCGAACTCGATTTGCACGGAACAAGATTTGTCCCTTGGCAGGCTAGAACGGTGGACAGATTGGTGATGAAACTCGACAGTTTGGCTGGCAGGCATGAGGAAGAGAGAGAAGGGGTTGGGACTGGTATTGGGGATGTTTATGACGACGAATAGAATAAGACGATTTAGGTAGTGATGATCTCAAGGCGATGAATTGAGCCATCTCCAAAATGAAGGATCCTCGGTGGTTACAGAAGGAACGGAGAACGTATGTACCCAATCTTCCAAGAACTAGAGACATTAGAAAGGACGGAATAGTTCGACAAACCCTGTGTGAGTTGTTAGTCTACTTTGCCCAGCCAGCAGCGAACAGTACTCTCTTTGACGGCAAGCAAGGGTAGAAAAGCAGAAGAGAAAAGCCTCAGATAAGCCGGATACCTCAGTCCCATCCCCACCAGACTGATGCACCGCATCACGACCCCATAACGGAGTCCATGACAAGCACGATCAGCGCAGGCAGCAAGAACAAACACCTCTCCTGATTAATCATTCCGTTCTCGAATCCCCCAGGCTCCGGCCAGGCAACTCCACAACCAATCATCCCTGCATCCCTGCCTGCTCACCGTAGCGAGAGGGTGAGAGAAGCAAGTCCGGTATGAGGGAGAGTGGATGGATGTAGGGGGATCAATACTAGGGAAAAAACAGGGTCGGGATCGTTGGATAGGCGTCGCCTACAAATGGCGAACTCAGAGAATGGATAGACTAGGTGTCATCATTGAAGGAGAAGACAAGGGTATTTGCTGGGAGACCAGGGGTGAGGACTCACGGAGGGATATGCGGCATGCGCGCTGCTGCTACGGTGCCGCGTCAACTCTGAAGCTGAAAGGAGGTGAGAGAAGAGAAATACTATGGATTGCATGGTTAGCCCATATAAAGTCTCCCAAGAGCGCCGAATCAAGGTCGAAGGGATGGTCCAAAAGAGGAAAAAATCAGAAATTTGGTAAGCTGGTAACGGTTTCTTCAATAAAAATCAGAAGCAGAACTGTTTGTTTGATAACCTTTGATCATCACTGGAAGTCTGGTGTAGAGGATACATGTGTCCTTGGACCGGGGCAGAAGATGCTGGAGTCTTACCTCGTCAGTAGCCTTCCGGGGCACCGTCATCACTCTTGATTGTACATCTATTTTGAGGTCAGTCAGACGGGCTCTTTTGACTGGTACAAGGATGGACGTGTGAAATTTTTCATGGTAGTGTCAGATGGTAGTGCATGTTAGTTCAGAGGCTCATGAAAGATCGCCGGAACAAAGTGTAGGTTTGCTTTCATCACAGGAAGTGTCGGATATTGCAATGCAATGCGTGGAATATGGGATATGGAGCGACATACCAAGTAGATCTACATGAGAATGAGCACCAGCAGAATCCAGCAGATTCATTCAGTGCATTATATGAAGGAAAGAAAACAAAGTCGAAGAAAACACGAGTGAGACAGGTCAATAAAATTCCAGCTCAAGTTAAACCAGGGAAAACAGCCTGCTAACCCTATTTGGCTACACCGGCATGTCTTGGCATATATTCACGTGATGTTTAATCTAACTCTTATGACGCAGCCTTGCAGGCCGACTACTGCAGAGCATTCAGAAGGAAGGATGCAGCTTTCCGCTCCTTGGCATGAATTTTACGACGAACTCCAACTCCAAACTTGAAGGCCGGTTCAAGTTGAAATCGGCGGTGAAAGCAGACTTCTCGCTCAGTCTTCACGTTCATCTCTGACCAGTTCAGTTCACATTGGACGTCCATTCATTTCCATACCGATTGCAATGTCATGAGTGACCGGCGTCGACTCAACGGCCCTGCTGGCACGACCAGCCCTCCAGTCTTTGCGCTCTCCAAGAGTTCTACGAAGTCGTCTCAAAAGCGGACAAGGAAGCCCAATGAACTACGCAAAATATGTATGGTGCTCTCTGCTAATATCCGGCTCACACTGACATTCTGCAGTCCTGCAAACTGGAGTGGTCCCTTCCGCAACCGGTTCCGCATATCTCGAACTCGAAAGTCCTCCGGAATCGAAACCGGGGCTTCTAAACACTTCCTCTACCTTAAAGCTATCATGCTCAGTTCATGGGCCGAAACCCCTGCCGAGAACCGCTTCATTTTCGCCGAACCTCCAGTTGTCTGCGTCAGTCAAGTTTGCTCCCTTCGCGACCTGCGTGCGCCAGGGCTACATCCGCGATTCTACCGAAAGAGATATTGGGATGCACTTAGAAACTGCTTTAAAGGGTGTTGTCATACCTGACAGGTGGCCGAAAAGTGCGATTGAAATTGCGGTGACAGTGCTAGAAGGCGAGGACGATCAGGTTGACGGCGATCGAATTGGAGGTGTTGGGCTGTTCAATTTGCTGGCTGGCTGCATTAACGTTTCTATGGCAGCACTCGCAGATGCAAGGGTAGACTGTCTAGATCTACTCGCAGCGGGAGTTGGCGCCGTTGTCCCTGGTCCTGGCAAACCTTTCAGAGTCCTGGACCCTGCTTCCATTGAACATGATCTGATTCTGGCAAGTTGTCTAGTCGGCTACCTGCCATCACGAGATGAGATTGTGGAAATCTGGTCGAATGGTTCTGTATCGAATCTAGGGAGGGATGAAGATATCGGGTTTGATGGTTTGGTGGACAGCGCTGTTGCTGCAGCTCGTGGATCGCAAACAGTGATCAAAGAGGTGTTGATCGAGTCTTTGACGAGGACCGAAGTCGGCGCCGAAAAACTCCCTAACGACGGAATGAATGATGTTGACATGAATACATGAATGGTGCTACCCAACTTTCAAACCAACTCTCGATGTCTGGATACTATTACCAATCCAGACTTGCCCTCTTGTGTCGGCGCCAAGCATCAAGACTTCTGCCGATCTATATCAGTCCGACTTGACGCTACTTTTATGTCACTTCAGCCTCACGAGCGTACAACACAGAGGGTCTTCAAATCACCTCAGATATCTGCCGGCAGTGTCTCGTGTATCTCAATCTTGTATGACGCTTGACCTCTCGACCTCTCGACCTCTCGAACTCTCAACCTCTCCGTCGTCGTCAACGCTACGTTCACAGAATATCTACCGGCACACCATGGCTCCAACTAGCGCTGTCGATGGCAATTCTGTCTTTCTATACAAGTGTCTGCAAGCTTCGCAGGGACATGGAAGGGTGACGCGCATCCCATGCCTATCCAGGATGTGTTGGTTAATGATGCCTAGATCGACTTTCATGCAGTGGCCGCTGAGACAGGCTTGACTGTGGGGGCTGCAAATAAGCGATATCAAAGACTCCGAGAGAAGATCGAGCGCTCGGCGGCATTCGGCACGGCCAGTTCTCAAAATCCCGAACAGACGCCTAGAAAACCAACAACTACCAAGGGCAATGCTTCGCTCAAGCGGAAGGCCGATCTTGTCAAAGACGAAGAGCTACCAAAAGCCTCGACTTCCATTAAGAAGGAGCCCCAAGATGAACCAGCTGAGGAAGAAGCAGTCATCGAAAACACCGTCTCAAAACGCCAGACTCGAGGCCGAAGACTCAATTACAATACGTCAGGGACGTTTGACGTTGACTCTTCTCGCCCAGGCTCCGTTGAAGACAGCGAAGATGACTTTAAGCCGGATGGTGCAGAAATCAAGCAGGAGGAGGACGAGGACGATCTGGAGCTGGTTTCTGACGGTGCAAAGCCCGCTAGCAAACGCGTTAAGAGGAACGCCGGAGCATCAACCGAAGCATCTGCAAGTCCGAAATCAAAGTCTCGAAACAGTGGCAAGAAGAGCACGATCAGGACGCCACGCAAGTCTCTAGTTGTATCAGAGGCTACAGCCAAATGCACCATGCAATCGCAGAACAAGCCACTTCCGAGTATTGAGTACTCTCCCTCAGCAACTCACACCCCTGAAGGTGATAAGCGTTATGCAGGACTCGATGGGGACATTGAATTGAAATCCTTGCAGCCCGGCACTCTTATCACGCTGCCACCGAAGCGTCAAGCACCCGTTTGGCCAATAATGTCGGCCGGTCCTTCAGCAGGGGCCCGCTCTTTATCCGCATCGTCGCAGGACTCGGCTGGCAAGATGCTTCAGCGTGAACTTGACGAGGCTGACATGATTCGTCCCGAGGACAGCATTTCGATGGTCGGACGCAAAGACACTCCTCCAAGCCCCAGTAAGTTGTTTTGCCTTTGCATCGCAAGCGTTTTCGCTACGATTCCCAGTACTGACAAGCACCGTGCAGACCAAAGCAAGTTTGAGCGCATCAAGGGTTTATTGCCGTTGTGGAAGAGTGGGTGAAGACACCGCGCCACGCCAGAATGGGCCAAGACTATCGACCAATGGGAACTTGGCTGTGAGGTACACTGCGGAAGAGCTGGCAGAGACCGAAGGTGCAATGCAAATTGTTAGCTGCAGAACCGGTTCAACTAGCTAGGAATACCGTCGAAGAGTGCTTGAAGACTTGAAGAGTGATGAAAGGGAGACCAGTTCTTGTTGAATTGGCAGCACGTGGTGACAGGATCAACTTGAGGCGCCGAATTCCTGATCGAAGTCCAAAGTTGGCATCGTCACAGTCCAAAGCGTCTGAGACTTCTTGCCGGAACTGTGAATGAAAGGTGCCATGTCAGTCGGTCGGTCGGTCGGGCTTCCGTGCATTCAATAGGATTCTTGTACCTACATCTACATACCTGAGATTGACTTGGCTTGGATGGCTTTCCCCTTACGGATTATGACTGAGCAGAATGGATTGAGTAGAGCAGGGCAGAGCAGAATAAAGCAGAACAGAGCAGAACACATGACTAGCAGAGCAAAATCAACAAGCCTATCCACTTGAATCGGATCCCTTGTTTTCGCATTCCCACACTTTCTATTCTGTTCTCCGCGTAGAAGTAGAAGTGTGTATCAGACAGGAGTGCTGGCGAGACACTTTGATTGTAGTCTAGATAAGGAGTAGATTAGCTGCAAGCGCCAGCTAGTTGTGGGTGAGCTGAGCTGAGGAGGGAGAGAGTGAGAGGCAGTCCGGGGACGGGAGTGGGAGATGGCGACGGCACCAGACGGGTGTTGTATGACCTGGTTGAGTTGTTTTTACGAATTCTGTGTTATATGCTATGTGTATCCGTATACCTAGGTAGGTATGTGCTATGTGAAGGTGTATGTGAAGGTGTATGTGAAGGTGTATGTGAAGGTGAAAACGCGGCTGGCTATTCTTGCCTTTGCCTCACTTTTCAACTTGTTCTGCTCTTCGGCTCCAGATTATAAACACTGTATGTAGCTGGTTGCTTTTGTCTATTTATGCTGATTGATTGATTTGTCCCCTTGCATCCAGATGCTTCTAGGCCAGAGCCCAAGCCCTGTCTGTTCATTGTTGGGCATGACTTGCATGCAGGATGGCATACTGTAAGCTCTGAACCACCTATGTATGGCCTGTGCCTATGCCTATGCCGATGATTATGATTATTATTATGATTGTGTTTCTCGGGCGTCATTTCGTTTCGTTTCATCTCGTTTCGGAGGTCGAAATCCATTCCACCGGATTCCATCTTCACCTCCAAGTCGTCCGTCGTCAGTCGATCGTGGCCAAGTTAGGCAGACTCAATGGTTTTGCAAAACAGTCCACTCGGAGCAAGGGCACAAGACGTCGCCGTAGATGGTGCACAGCTTCGAACACCAGCATGAGTCCCAGCAGATGCATATCCTGGCGGCCTTGTACTCCTCCATACTCATGTGGCCCTGGTAGTAGCGGTACTGGCCGACAGCGACACCTTCGAGGCGCGCAGCGGCACATTCGCGCTGGACTTCACGACGGAGGTTTTCCTCCGACTCGGTACGGGTCAAGATGCGAGCGGCACGCACAGTCAGACGGTCGGCGTACGAGAGGGCAGCGTTGCGCATGGGGAAGCGCTCGAGATCTTCCTTGGTATAGTTCTTGGACGGCCAGGTCGGGTCCGTCAGGAAGTTGGTGTGGGTGAACTGGTTGTTTGGATGCAGTGGGTCACCACAGGTGAAGTGTATACGTGGGCTTGGGATACCAGTGGCTACACAGAAGGTTAGCTTAGAGGTTTGGGTGGGAGAAGGGGGGATGGTAAAGGGGGGATGGACTCACTACGGCAGTGGAGAAAGTCGATTTCGTAGCTCTGAAACTGGCCTGGGTAGCCGGTCAAGGCGGCGTAGGGACGTTTGCGTTGAGATATATCCTCGTTGGTGGCGACACTATACGAAGAGTTCGAAGCGGCAATGCTGCTATAGACGGAGGAAGCTCGCATGCTCTGGACATCTCGACTATGGCGCTGCTCCTCGACACGGACTTTCTTGGTACAAAGTAAATTGACGTCGTAGTCTGTACATGGCCATTAAATAGTGCAAAGGAGATGGATAAATGGAGATACTCACCATCCTTTGAATCGTTCACGGTTGATTTGGTCAGGAAAGAGTCTCGTGCACAGCGCTTTTTGACTGTAATGATTATGAGAATAAGTCACTGTCTCTGTCACTGGGAGTTGAACTCACTTTTTCGGATGATATCCGGGCTTGAGGGCTGAACAGCTGGTGCCGTTATGATTCTCCGAGGAGCAGCGTTGATAGGCTGTTCATTTCGCAAGCAAGTCTTTGACTTCTGCGACTTGGGCTCAAGAATGACTTTATGTCTTGGGGAGCTCTGAATCTGGCTGAACTCAAATTGCATAGGCTCTCCCTCTGGATACCTGAGCGAGTCTGACGCCTCAGATGCGTTTGCAGGAAAATGATCTTGACTGCTGCGAGTCGGTTCTACCTTGGTGTGAGTCAAAGGATACCTAGTGAATGGCACACCTACCTATTGGGAATATATCCACACCAGCTTGTGCACAGGCAAATTGGGCCAGCTCAGCACTGTCTAGGCCGATACTGGAACTTGACGAATCCGAAGTAAATGTGGCGTATCTGCCATCAGTAAGCGGTTCCGGTTGCGATGAGACGATTTCTCCTTGTCATTAGCCAGGCTTTTTTCGGTATAGCTGATAGAAACCCTACCATTGGCATGATTGGTCTCGAGCAAAGACTCTGCCGTGGCGTCGGGCTTCTTATCCTTGACACCAGCATCGGCAAACATGTACTCAAAATAGGGCGGTTGCGGAAGAGGAGGAAGCGGCTTGTTAAGATACTCTTCAACGCTCGGGGCTCTAGAATGAGAGCTGCGCGCAGTGAATGAGCCACCATTCATACGAGGAGCCTCGCCATTGGGATTGAGACTCTTGTGGTCTACACCGGATCAGCAGGCTTCCTGCTTTGGGAGAGTGATAGACTTACCTTGCTGACGAGACTTTTCAAGTTTGGCCATAGTCTTGTAATACCAGTCACGATTCTCCGGAGCGACGACTTGATCGATGATGTCCTTCATGCCGTTGGCGGCCCAGTCTCCAGGACCATGCCGGCTTGCAGCTGCATACCAAACCTCCACGTCGGCCTCAGTCTCACGAATGAGAGACATGACACTTTGATTTTCCATTGAGCCGGGTGATTTGTGACTCTCGTGTAACTCTGGGGATAATGGAGTAGTATAGATGGAGAGGACGGGAAATCCACTTGCAGAACGAACAGTATCTTGAGAATCGAAACTGTAGAGGCAACGAGGAGAAAGAACTGGTGGAGGAAATTCGATATACATTTCGGTGCGCGACCAACCTCACTTCACTGCTTCCCAGCCGTATTGTCCATTGAGACCTTGTGTTCAATTGAGGGACTGAATGGCTCCCATTGGGGAATTCTGCCGTACCTCTCTGCATGAATAGCTGGGTGCGGCAGAATCCAACAATAGGACTTCATTCACCGCTGGAGGGTGCGGCAGAAGGCGTGACGAGCAGACGACTTCACTCACCATCCCGTCTTGCGCAGTGTGTTCTTGACAACGTTGCCCGCGGAGTGCCCCCGACGTACTTCTCGTGTCTATGGCCATCGTTTTCCGAGCGGCCCCGAGCAACTTACCTCTTCATGTTCACGTGTGAGATGGGCAAGCAACTGCGCATTGCGTGCTCCTGCGACCCGGCCGAACGTAATATTCTGCTTACCTTCGATTAAGTCGACATCGCCCTCGCCGGAGTCTGTTCGGGAGAAGCCACGCTCGGCAACGCTCCTTGCGTCAAGACTCTATATCATGAGACTTACTGCAGGACCAGGAGAGGGTCGAGACCGAGCTGTGAAGGTAAGGAATCCCGGATGTTGAAGACTCCGGCTCGAATGTGGAGGGAGTTTGTGTTTGACCATACTGGCGGGATGGACTTCTGGCGGACGCTGTTTCATAACTTGCAATGGACGTTGGACGTTGGCGGACGCTCAGATCTGAAGCGCGCGCCACGCGCTCGATCCGAAATGGGACGCGAGGCGCAGGCGCAGGCGCAGGTGAAAGGTGGCTTGCTGGCCTGGGGCCCCCTGGCTAAGGTACTGTACGGAGAACATGGGCTCCTTATAGGTTCCTAAGGCCTGTCACTAAAGGTGGCGGCTGCTAAAAAGTCCAGGGGGCATCTGGGCTGACGGGATCTGACTTGTCCTCACACTCGAAAAGGGCAGTCAATGAGCTCCAACACCCTTTTCTTCTCTTTTTCTCAACTGTCTTGTCCTCGCCGTTCTCACCTCTCTCGAGTTGTATCGTTTTCTCACACTTGATTATTCCCTATTATCTTGTCCCGCCTGACTGCGCGTTCCACATCGAACCGAGATGATAGCTAAGCGATAGTCGACCTGCCTCCACCTCCTCAACCGCCCATCTTTATAGCCCGGCCGGCCCTGACCCTTGGCTCATACACTCCGGCATGTGGCTGGCAAGGTCATTGCCATGGGCATTGGCCGCCCTGGTCTGGGGAGCGTCACCAGCGAGGGCGGAAAAGACCGCAGCCGACTACTATGTACACTCGCTCCCTGGGCAGCCAGATGGCCCTTTGTTGAAAATGCATGCTGGGTATGTGATGCTCTAAAGGTCGTCGGATTCCACGTACTGATTGGCTCCAGTCATATTGAAATCACTCCGGAGCACAATGGACACCTCTTCTTCTGGCACTATGCAAACCGACATATTGCAAATAGGCAACGGACGGTAATCTGGCTGAATGGAGGCCCAGGATGCAGCTCTATGGACGGAGCACTGATGGAACTGGGTCCATACCGGGTCAAAGAAGGTGGGAAACTTGGATATAATGAGGGCTCATGGGACGAATTCGCCAATCTGTTGTTCGTGGACAACCCCGTGGGCACGGGATTCAGCTACGTCAACACGGACAGTTATCTGCACGAACTGCAAGAGATGGCGGATCAGTTTGTCATCTTTCTGGAAAAATGGTTCGCACTATTCCCGCAGTACGAAGGCGACGACATATACTTCGCCGGCGAGTCCTATGCCGGCCAGCACATTCCTTACGTGACGAGGGCCATACTCGAACGCAACAAGAAAGCGCGTACGGAGGGAAAGCACACGTGGGACATCAAAGGTCTTCTGATTGGGAACGGATGGATCTCGCCAGCGGAGCAATACCAGTCATACCTCCCATTCGCGTATCAGGAAAATCTCATCCAAGGCGGAACACCCGAAGCCCAAAGAGTCGAGGCCTCTCACACCCGCTGTATAGCCGAGTTAGGCAAGCCGGGTGGAACCGAGAAGGTGGACGTGAACGACTGCGAGACGGTCTTGTCCATGGTTCTGGATGTCTCGAAGCGAAACGGCAAGTGCTACAACATGTACGACATCCGACTCCAGGATAACTGGCCGTCTTGTGGCATGGCCTGGCCTCCGGATCTAGACACTGTGACGCCCTACCTGCGCCGACAAGATGTCATTGATGCGCTGCATATCAACCCTGACAAACGTACTGGATGGACCGAATGCTCCGGAGCGGTATCGTCGGCGTTCCGCGCGAGGAACTCGAAACCCAGTATCCAGTTAATTCCCGGAATTCTGGAGGCCGGAGTTCCCATTTTGCTGTTCAGCGGGGCCAAAGATATGATTTGCAACCATCTGGGCACCGAGGACCTGATCAACAACATGAAATGGCTCGGGGGCACCGGCTTTGAGATTTCTCCCGGAGTATGGGCACCCAAGCAGGATTGGGAGTTTGAGGGCGAGCCAGCTGGCATCTATCAAGAAGCGAGGAACCTCACCTATGTTTTGTTTTACAATGCAAGTCACATGGTGCCATTCGATTGGCCTCGTCGCAGCCGGGATATGCTGGACCGATTTATGGGAGTCGACATTGCCAGTATCGGCGGCAAACCAGCTGATAGCCGGATTGGCGGTGAAAAGGCTGGCAGTGAGACGAGTGTGGGAGGCCACCCGAACAGCACTGTCGCGCTTGAAGACGAAAAGCAAAAGGTCAAAGAAGCCGAGCTCAAGGCATATTATCGCAGTGGCGAGGCTGCGTTGGTAGTGGTGCTCATCGCTGCCGGACTGTTCGGTTGGTGGGTATGGAGAGGAAGACGAAGAGTCCGGGGTCTGGGATATCTCAGCGTGCCGCTGGCCGCCGGGTCAATGGGGAAAGGGGGTGATGTGGAAGCGGGAGACTTCGACGACAACGAACTGGACAATCTCGAAGCCAGTCATCGACACAGAAATTTGGATGCAGAGCCTTACGATCTGGCTAGCGACAGTGACAGTGACGATGAGGATATCGGACACCGGGCAGGAACCAAGACCAGGGAAGCAGGGCATATGTAACGGCAACGGCAACAGCACGAGAATACTAGGTAGTTAATGATTATAGACGACGGCGGAATGGCTACAGTATGTGTACATACAATATGGTGTCGTCGAGTGTTGCATCCTGCGTCCATTTGTCCTTTCCTTTTCCTGTAGCTATATCTGATATGTATGGAGCGCAAGAGATCACATCGTGTCTGGTCTGTGCTCCTGATCAGTTTGCATTATGTATCCGTATGGAGTACGGATACTGTGTACGCGTATTCTCTGGGCCCTTACGTATGTGACAATCAGGCTAACACCAATACGTAGGTAAGGAAGGGCCCAGTTGTCTGAGAATGAAACATGAAGCGAGCGTTGGTGAGACTACTGTATATGGTATATGTACAGATACTGTACGAGTAGTCTCTCTGCTAATGAATGTACAGTACGGATAAATTGGCCGCCAGTGCAGTGGGAGATTCGGGAGAGTTTCTTCTACAAAAGACGCCTATGTTAGGTAGGTAGGTAAGCTTCCTAGGCGGCGGCCTAAGGGCCTAGGGGCTTAGGCGGTCTTCTAACGTCCAACCTTATTGGGCTCAGGGGCCCTTAGCCCTAAGCCTTTAGCCCTTAGGCTGCACGAGGACGCCTAGTACGTAGGACTCTGTAGGTGCCCAAGTGCCTGGGATTAGACCAATTTAGGGCTCAGGCTCAGGCTCAGGCTCGGGCTCAGCTGCTAGGTGGCGGTCGTCTATATTTAGTTACCTACCTGGTACCTAATTATTCAATTACCTGCCGGTTTCACCTTCTCTGTCCGTGTCTCGGTCTCCTCTGCCGACGCGTCACACCCACACTGAAACATGTACAGATACAGAATACTACCTGGCACCACCTGGTATGTAATTACTGTGTCTTATACTTACCTCCTGCGTAGTAGTCCTACGCACCTACTACGGAGTTCTGTGATAGCTGCAATCCTGATCTTCACATGCCCCGTCGCGGAGTTCCATCGCACATCCTTGTCGAGCCTCATTGTCCAACCTCCTCGTCTCTTCCTTCGTGTTCCACGTCCAGGTTCGGACCCAGTTATCCACATGAAGTCTTCGCCTCTCTCTCCACCCGTCAAATCCACATCAGCCGTGGCCTTCAGCTTCTTCACTCCAGGGTTTCTCTTGTCCCCCGCCTACAAATCACTCGTACCGTAGGAGGGTCGGTTCAGGGCGTTTGCGTATTTGGAACTTCTTCACTTGGTTTGCCTTCCATCCATATTTGCGTCTCCTGTTCCTCTTGTTCAGTTGTTTGATATGGCTCCCTGATGTTCTTCCTGCTCACCTCCGATCCGACAATGCGATACCATGCTCCTCCCTCGACCTTCTCGACCTTTATCCCGTGCATGGAATCGTCGAAGGTCGGCCATCGTCGCCCCTTTGCTGGGCTTGATCCTGTTCCTCCTGTTCCTGCAGACTCGCATACGCCGATCCTCTCCCTCTGGCGATGGGCAGCCTGCAGCAATACTTCCTTCTACCCGTGCACGGCCGAGTAATCCTCTCCTCAAAAGCCAGGCCTCGTTTTGGCGAGATCTATATCTCATCATCTTGAATAATGATCCCTCCTGCGACCAGCCGCCGGAGGCGGTGGTACCTCAGAGTCTGGATATCGGGTTCGATCCCTCACACGACCACCAGCGGCCAGACATCCTGTACATGGATCCCGCCGATATCAAACGCATGCGTGAGGCACACTCCAACTTCGTAAATGATTTGAAAGATACTCCCCCCAAGATGCCATATGAGCCAGGTACCAGAGGCATTGTCGTGACGGCCGGATACAACCAACTTCCTGTCCTTGTGATCTCTCTACGCATGCTGCGGAGGACGTGGTCGTTGTTGCCAGTCGAGGTCTTCCTGGCCGACGACTCCGAATACGACGACGAAATCTGCAATGTCGTATTGCCCACGTTGAATGCCAAATGCCTTGTATTCTCCGACATCTTTCGGGCGGCTGAATCCGGAGTGTCGATTGATCGGTTCCAGTACAAAATCATGGCCGTCATCTTCTCCTCCTTTGAAGAAGTGCTTCTACTCGACTCCGATGCCTTTCCTATCTATGATCCTCTACCTCTGTTTCAAGAGGAACCGTTCAACAGTACGGGGATGATTATGTGGCCGGATTTCTGGTATGCCTCGGAGTCGCCCTACTATTTCGACATCGCCAAGATCGAAAGCATTCCGCCTCTCAATCTACGACCCGCGGTTGAGTCGGGCGAGGTCATGTTCTCAAAGTCGAAACACCATTTGTCGCTGATGCTGGCTGCATACTACAACTACTACGGTCCAGCATATTATTATCCCTTACTGTCTCAGGGAGCTCCCGGTCAGGGCGACAAGGAGACATTTGCTTGGGCTGCCACCGCTTTGAACGAGCCTTTCTATGCCGTTCGTCGGCGTGTCATGGCTCTCGGTCGAGTCGACTCCGCCGGATCTTTCCTGGGAAGTGCTATGGCCCAGCATGACCCCGCCGCCGATTTCGCCTTTGCGGAAGCTCACCCGCTGCCTCACGAGAAGGTGTTTGATGTCCCAGCAAGAGAAGTGAGGCCATTCTTCATTCATGCCAATTACCCCAAATTCGACCCTTCCACTATCTTCACCGAACAAACACGGGACTTTTCGTCCAAGGTCATCGGGACTGGCGGTCCCACTCGTGATACCAACGGAACATGGGTCCGGTGTTGGATGGGCGAGGCTCGTGCCAATGAAGTCTTCGGGTTTGATGTTGAAAGGAGGTTCTGGGAAGAAATCAAAGGCACGGCTTGCGAAAATGAACACCAATTTGGCTGTTGGAAAGGCAAACAGGGCATCTGTGACCGTGTGAAGCACTACTGGCATGAAGTCTTCGAACCTCTGCCGACTGGGGGACATGGATCGACCCAGCCTCCGCCGCCGGGACCTTGACCAATACCTCGAAAGGAGCTGTCGCACATTTTCTTGACCTATTGTACATGACTCTCAGATACCGGCAAGGCAACAATTGTTTTCTCCGCATTCAGCCTTGTCTTCGATTGGAAGGAGCTTTTGAGACACGTGTCTGCACTGTTGGCAGCCAGTTGACACGTACGTGATGTGAAATGAACGTAATGAGATGCACGACCTGCAGGGCTATAGAGGGCCAGAAAAGTTGAGCATACCGATAACTGATGGACTGGTTTCAATACACGAGGGGATAATGGAGTGCTGGTGGCTCTTAATTGGCGCTGTGAGAAGGATATGGATCGCAGGATTGCAGGGATTGTTCTTGACTCGGCGAGGCTGAGCATGATTACAGTATATGGTATACATAGTTATGCCATGGTGTTTTGTTGCAGGTTGCAGTTTCTGATGAATTCCTTTCCTTCCATGTCTCCGTAGACTTTGGTACGGTGCACCAACACTGACCTTTTCGTGTCTCGTATCTCGAGCTCATTGCTCCCAAGTTGTAAAAGGTAACTTGGAAACTTGTGATCAAGTCGTAAAAGGTAGGTAACTTGGACATTTGTGATCAAGTTGTAAAAGGTGACTTGGACATTTGCTCCCAAGTCGTAAAGGTAACTTGGACATTTATCATCAATGAACATGGCCCAATCTAGGCGTGGCGGTCTACGAGTACGGGAGCCCCCTAGCCAAAATGTTAGGTTGCCCTGCCCTGCCCTGCCCTACCCGCAAGGCTGAGCATGAGCATGAGCATACAATACTCCAGTGACAAGTCTAATGGTCGGCATACCTTCCAAACCTGGATGGAGCACCTTAGCACATTCATGTTAGGGGCTTAGGAGACCTTAGGTTCCTAAACCTCAGCCTCGGCCTCCTGAGCCCTGAGGCTCGACCTCCTTTCTAGAAAAAGGAGTATCAGTAGACATCTCCGCCGCCTAATTACCTACCATGAATCTAATGTACTAGTACTGTACTACTTATTTGGATTACGACTTGCTTGCATTGAGAGAATCGGATACCTACCTACGTACGTACCTACATCCATATGTCTCAGGTGAGAGACGTACCTACCTACATTATATCACGCATGGCCTCCTATGTCTAAGGTGAGAGACCTACCTACATTATATCATGCATGGCTTATCCTATGTCTAAGGCGAGAGACTACTTACATCCAGTCGTGCATGGCCTCTCCTATCCTATGTCTCAGGTGAGGCGAGACGATCAGAGAGATGGTGAGAGCGAGCGCCCAACCAACCAATTAACCAGCCCGCCCCTGAAGAGAAGGCACAAGAATGGTACACTTGCTTGCATTGTACGGATCGGATACCTACATTGTGTCATGCATGGCCTATTCTATGTCTGAGGCGAGACGATGAGACGAGACGATGAGGGAGATGGTGAGAGCGAGCGCCCACCCAACCAACCGGCCAGTCAGCCAGCCAGCCAGCCAGCCAGTCCCTGAAGAGAAGGCACAACAATGGTACTGTAAGTAAAGACGCGCGAGTCTGAGTCTGAATCAGAGTCAGAGTCATTGTTATTGTCTCCTTTTATCCGTACATTGAAACCGAAACCGAACCTGAACCCGAATCCGAACCCGGACCCAAAAACACAATAAAACAAAATACAGCCACAACCACAGCAACAACACAGCGCCACATGACGGTCGTGAAGATATAGCAAAAAGCGAAAAGCAAAAAGCAAAAAGCAGGGATCCGCACCACCTCACCACACCATAAACACACCACCTCCGCGGAGCCAGAAGACCATAGAATCCATGAAATCCACAGAAGCACAGGATCACAGGACCACAGGATCACAGGACCTTACTGTAAAGGCGTCTGACCAATTCCCTAACACGCCACACCGTACCCCGCCGCACCCTAAGGCGCCGGTACATGGTCTGTCATGGTCTGTCATGGTCTGCCATGGCAAGGCTACCTCGGGCGAAAATCAACGCACAAGACAACAATCCCAATCCCCAATCCCAATCCCCAACCGACCCAGAAATCCCGGGTGACAAGGAAAGCACAAGAAAAGAAAAAGTACCAAGCGAAAGAGAGGGAAAAGGTTGGACGGAGGAGAGCAGCCAACAGTCCACCGTCTCGTGCCTCTCTGGTTCCATTTCTCTCTCGTCTTGTACTGATCCCGTCTCCTTTCCCTTTTTTCCCTCTCCTTTCCCAGTACACCGGCATAAAACCAGGCCCCTGCGGCATCCGAATCCCGCATCGAAAGAGATGGTGAAAAAAAGAAAGAAGCCAGAGAAAATCGACATTGACATTGCCACTCGTTGCTAGCACAGATAGATATCTGACAAGCCGTGGCTCATCTGCCATGCCCCGTCTAACCCATGTCAAATAAGACTGTCAATCAATACGTCTCTTCCAACTCCGTGCTCCACGCTGCATCGCTGCCCTCAATTCTGACGCCGGTAGCCCCAGTGTTGACGTTTTCATCAGACAGTTCTCGAAACCGTTCGTACTGCTGGCCGTGATGATACCCATGGGTCTGGTGGACTTGGTAGGTTTGGTGATGATGGCGATCATCATGAGGCCGGTCATGATGATGAGGAGGAGGACCGTGATGACCGTGCACTCTGATCTTAGCAGGTGGAGGCCCCATCGGTCCAGCTAAAGCCGCATCATTCACTCCCGCGGTCATGGGTCTCTTGCCGTTCAAGTTATGGCTCATCCCCAAGGCGTTGGTCGTGGTCGTGGTCCCCGCGCCAGCGTGAATTTTGGCATAATATGCCTCGCGGGCATCTCGTTCCGGTTCCATCTCCGATGTGTCAGAGTAGGTCTCCCAATTCTCGCTGCCGCTTGCAGTAGTCCCCGTGGTCATGTTGGATGAGGTGTTGGATGTTTGCCGAGAAGCGCCAGACATGGTCGACGCAGGGGCCGATGGGTGGTGAGGCCGGGACCCTTGGCTGTGGCTCTGTATCGAGGTCGAGGTAGAGAGCGAGTGAGAAGGTTGATATTGGGGCTGATGTGAGTGGGAGTCGGAACGAGAGTGCTGTGATGGTGGGTAGTGCGGTTGCTGTTGTTGTCGGTCACGATTCAATACCGACGTTGACATATACGACATTCTCTCGCGATCGTCATACACGTCTTCAGGGCTTATCGGTCGAACATACCGACTACTTTCGTTCGACCCGGAAGATATCGTGCTCGTGGGTCGTGTCGCCGGTGGCGGAAGGTGAGAAGAGGTCATGGCGGCAGCTGGACTGGGTTCGGGAGGGACGAAAAGATCTCTCATCTTGGGTGGAGGAGCTCGAGGAGGACCCATTGTCCTGGCACGTTGCGGGGAATTCTGGACGGGTTCCTGCTGGAAGCTGCGAGAAGACGGTTGATGGACAGGCCGACGTTCGGGAGAGTTGCTGCCATGCTTGAGGTTGCCCAGGGGAACGCGAGCCGGGATCTTAGAAGGCGATTTGGCTTGTGATAGAGACGCCGTCGATGTTGAAGGAGGCGCTGCTCGTTGCCGGAAAGTTCCAGCGGTGGGGGTTTTCGTGGTCGAACGAGGGGGAGGCCCTTTCATCACACTCTGAGGTCGAACTGCCGAAGCAGTGCGTGATGTGCTGGCGGCCGGTTTCGACGAAGCTTGGGTAGCTGCAGGCGTCTTCGATCTCGGGGGAAGACCGTTGGGTGTCTTGGATCGCGCGGGAGGAGCTTTGACTTCCGTCTCTTCAATCTCGTCGAGGAATCTGTCGCCATGGACCAAGAATGGGCGTCCGTATTCGTCTTCGTACTTCTGTAACGTCTTCTTCAATTCGGCCGTCACCTTGGGCAATTCCTTAGCAATCCTCTTTCTCATCTTCTCCTCTCGGAGGAGTTTTCCAGGATCGCGCTTCTCTCCCTTTTGTGGCTTCAACAGCAATCTGGACGCGTCGGCGGCAGATGCAGCCAACGCTTCGCGATCGGCAATCAGAGACTTGTATTTCTCGACGGCGGCCAGCGTCGGGGCTCGCTGTTCCTTGAGCGTGGTCAGTCTTTCGATCTCGGCTTCGTGAGCTGACAATAGCGCATCACTATACACGTCGGAGAAGGCTGGGGTGAAATCCAACATCTCTTCCTCGGAAAAGTAGAGGGCGTCCCACAGCTCTTGAAGCCTGACACGAGCATCCTCGACAAACAGATGAAGATTCTGCCTCTTCAGTTCGTTCAGTCTGGCCAGCTCGTCTTCGAATTCATTGATTATCCGCAAGCCGCAGCCGCGGTTGGCGGCCAGGAAGGCCTTTCGGTCCGCATCCTCAATCCCCAGACGGTCCCACAGGTTCTCAATGTTCTTTTTCAGATCGGCCAACCTCTTCTCCCGACTTTTCTTCTCGTCCATCAGTTTGTCACGACGACTTCGAAGACGATCCAAATCTGCCTGATGTAGACCTAGTTGTTCGGGCGTGTCGCGATAATTTTGTACAATCAAGGAATCTGTCTGCGCCTGAGGGATACCCAGTTCGGACCACAGTCTGACGATTTCTTCTGCCGTCTGCTGAACAAGGACCACCCTTCTGTTGTATTCATCGTAGACTCGGGAGAATTCCTCGTCGAGCGTGGTGACATAGGAGGGGGACAGATCGAAGTTGGGTGGGCACGTGTTGGAGGAAGTGGGTGGCAGTCGAATCTTGACGAAGGACGACTCGAGGTGGGAGGAGTAGGACTCGAGAGCTTGAACCAATTTCTTAACCTGCTCAAACCGCTCGCGATGTAGTCTGCTGACCACGTTGTATTTCTCTTTGAGGTCGCGTAAACAATCAAGGAGGGGGTAGGTAACGCGTAAACCGTCGGTGTCCAGGTCGTAGCCGTTGTCCTTTTCATCGTCCAGCGATGCTTCCATCTGTTTGATTGTTTTAATGATGTTGTGGGCTTCCTCGGTCATTTCATTCTTCTCACTGGCAAGACAAGGTCAGCATACGCATTCTGGGACGACGGTCGGAGGTGCGGTGGGACGTACTTATTGACCAGGCGCAGCTGGTTGTGCAGCGTCTCGGACAAGGCTGCGAACAGCTCAGTCTCTCTGGACTCTCGTTCATTGCGCGGCACCCCGATCTCGTCGAAGATGGAATGCAATTGGCCTATGATCGTGGTGACCTGAGTGGTCAGGTAGCTGGTGTCCATTGGCGTAGTCGTGGGCGTGGGCATTGGGGTCGGACTGCGGCTCGCGGCCGAGCTGGACGATGATAGAGACTCTCTCAGAAGACGAATATTCGGTCGCGGTGACAGCTTCGAAGGATAGACATTTAGACAGAGAAGACGTGGAGAATATGGGCACCAAGTGGTCGCGGCGTCAGGGCGAATCAGGCTCAAGTGGTGGGTTGGGGGAACGAAGGGACCATGGCGATGTCCGGACGGAGGTGTTGATGGCGTTGGCAGAGCAACTGACTCAACCAAGCTGCAGAGCCTCGTCGTCTTCACCGCCTTTGACCTCGCCCGGCAGAATCTCCCTCCACCAGGCGCCACCAGGGTCAGTTCGCAGTTCGTCACCGACACCGCCTGAGGCACAGCTCTCCACGCCATACCGCCATATCGCCATATCGTAGCCGACTCCCACCCCCCTCCCCTATTGCTGTTGCTGGTTTGCCCTTTGTGCCATGTCGACCCTCTCTGCCCTGCGCACCTGGGAGGCCGAGAACGACATCATCACCGTCGACCCAGCCCAAAATGGCCTCTACAATCTTCCCGACCCCGCCGCCTACAAAGCGCTACAAGACGCTGCACCCTGGAAGAAAGATCCCAACTACTTCACCCACGTGCGCATCTCGGCACTGGCACTCCTCAAAATGACTACACATGCTCGGTCCGGCGGCAGCATCGAGATCATGGGCCTCATGATCGGCTACGTGTCGGGTCGATCGCTCATCATCACTGACGCATTCAGACTACCTGTGGAGGGAACAGAGACCCGGGTCAACGCCCACAACGATGCAGACGAATACATGGTCAATTTTGGCATCGCCTCACGCGAAGGAGGAGGGCAGCTGGAAAACGCAGTGGGATGGTATCACTCACATCCGGGCTATGGATGCTGGCTGTCGGGCATCGACGTCAACACACAAATGACGCATCAGATGGTTAACGACCCGTTCGTCGCTGTGGTCATTGACCCCGATCGTACAGTGAGCGCTGGCAAGGTCGAGATTGGCGCTTTCCGAACATACCCAGAAGGCCAGCAGCCCAAAGACAGACAGTTCACCGACGACAGCGACGAGTTCCAGGCGATTCCCACGGGCAAGATTGAGGATTTCGGGGTCCATGCCAATTCATACTATGCACTGGAGGTGACGCACTACAAATCGACGCTCGACACACACCTACTCGGTCTCCTGTGGAACAAATATTGGACTTCGACGCTGTCGCAGTCGCCCTTGTTCACCAACCGCGACTATGTCAACAAGCAGATTGTCGATCACGCCATCAAGATCAAAGAGGCAAGTAAGAAACAGCGGACACACGCCAACATGGGCCGGCGGACGCAAGAGTTGGCGGGCAGTGGAGACCAGAATTTCAAGGTTGTCAGGGACGGGTCACTGGAGCAGGTGGTCAGAGGGGGCAATACAATCTCGTCCGAGGAAGTCGCGGGTTTACTGGCGAGCGACGTCAAGAAGAAGCTGTTCTGGGGTGTGGTGCAGGAGGCCCGGGTCAAGGCGGCCGGGGAGCAGGCGACGATCGCTGCTGCCGGGCTGGCTGTTACAAGCAATGGAGGTTGAAACTTGCGATGGCTGCCAATCCAATCGTGATGCAAGCAGCGGGGGCTGGGAATAATCGTCTCCAGAGTAGACCAATCATCCGGTTTCCGTGGGACAGGCCACCTTATCAGCTTCTACCAACAAGAACAACAACAAGAGCAACAGCAACAGCACCAGTTTCAGCCATCACCGCCGTTGGAGAGAGACCCAGAGCGACCCAGTGGCGACACGGTCAGCTCACTCGTGGGACGCCGTGGCCCGGCTCCGACAAGACAAGACGAGATGAGATGACTGCGCACGTTCGACTGAGGAGGAGGTACATACATCCCATATACTCACTGGCCGCAGCCGGTTCGTGAGCGGTGATCCGTCACACCACACCACACCACACCACACCACGACGCGAAATCTCTTTGTCGAGCACAAATGAGCGAGCTCTAGATGGCAGATTCGCCCTCGCATGCGACGCTGGTACAGGCCGTGCACCACACTGCCTAGGTAGATACTACATACCGTACAGTAGATACCTTATGTAGCTACCGTATCATGCATCACACGCAGGATTCTAGCGGCCCCCGTGGGGCAAGGTCCCTTAGGCATAGGACCTAGTTGAAGATGCCTGATGCATGGAGGATTTCCGTCTAGCGAGAACTGCGGCGTTTTACAGTTCTAGGCGAAATGAAACGTTTGGAACGGGTGTCATATTTGCTCCAGATCGCCGCCGTCAGAGCCAGACGTGCGAGGACATCGAGCTCTTGCAATGTGGTGTCTGTCCTGCGGCTGCCTGCATGCTACATACAGTAAACCGCTGCTCAGTCTGTGTGCCATCAATAACAGAGCCAGATCCGGTGCGACCGACTCCTCAAATCCCAGATTCCAATCCCAACGGCCGTAACATCCTGAGAATCATCACCCTTCGTCCGCAGTTGCCTCAATCCAACCGGGTAACTGGTAACTGGCCACTAGGTTCGTCAATTTCAGGAACTCTGCCTTTTTGACTCTGGATCAATGTTCCCGCCCTCCAATGACCAGGTGCTTTCCTCGAACGTGATGGTTGTTCCACTCGATAATATGCTTCCGAATCCCTCTGTTCTTCCTTCCATGCCAAAAATCCATGGAGCAGACACTGCCTTCCCCCGTATAGACTAGTAGATGACTGAAGATTGAAGCAGCCATTTCAATGCAGTGTCGAATAGACCGGCTCGGCTCAACACAACCCCGCTCACCGCGTGGAGTTGCACCCCATATCGCAGAGTTTTCTTCATATGATCCTGAATGCCTCCAATTGAAATCCAATTCCGCTAAAACAAGGCCGCAAATATGCTGGAAACAAAATGAAATACGCTAAAAGGCAGTTCAAAAAGGGGCATATGATAATATGGCCATGGCCCCTGGGCACAAGGCCTAGACCCTCGCCCTTCTCGGATTCGTCATTCGAAATTGCGTGATATCCACGACGATGGAGCTCTGATCGCTGGCATCATCGACTTCGATGTTGTCAGTCATCAGGCCCGGGTTGCCGTACGACATGACGGGGGCACTGAAAAATGCACCTTGAGACTTCATGTCTTCCAGTGTGTGACTGATCGCGAGGTGACTGCGATCCATCGTGGCACCGATCTTGGGTGTATGGAGAACATCAAGCGAAGGTTGAGTAGATAACGTAGCGTCTGAATCTCCGCAGCTCTGAAAACTGTCCCAGTTGACCTGATCTGCTTCCGAGCCCTGGGGGTTTCCTTGCCGAAGGTTCTTAAGTGACTCTGCCATGGTGGTGGCTTGAGCAAGGACGGCGTCCAATTTTTGCCGAATGACATCCAATTCAGTCGAGCAATCTCCGTCTCGAAGGAACTGATGAGCAGCAGTCTCACAGAGACTCTGGACCGACTCAAGATCCTTGTCGACAAGAAAGAAGGCAGTTTCATCATCGGGTGCTGGTTTGGTGGTCGATTCGGTAGGCTTCTTCTCTGATACTAAGAGTGATGTGCTCCGTGACCGAGTAGAAGACCCCCGGACATTGTCGAGTGAGGGATACCCTCGGCCTGGCCGGGTGGATAGAGTGGAAAGAGAGAATCCTTTGGCAGCCACCAAAGCATTTTTACCCTTGCGAAGGTTGTTTCGACCGACTCCAATGGATTTCACCATGGCATCCAATTGTTCTTGCAAATACGCGTCATAATACACGATGACTTGGTTTTTGTTCCTGAATTTTTGAGGCCCGGAAGCCCCCGATCGGATCGAGGTGCCAGGTCTTCTCCTCCTCCTTGCCTGTGCGTATAGATATTTGTTCCCGGCTTCGAGCGGATTTATTTCGACCCGGCTAAGAGGAGCTGGTACACTACCACTGCTCGGGGCGACCTCGTCGGGCCGCTCAACTTGTTCATTATCGTCCGGGTGAATCGAGGCCATTGAGGGTGTCCTCCGGCGCTTGGGCTTTATCTGGTTGACCAGTCGGGCATATTCGGCGACGAACTCGGTATGCTTCTGATCGGCGTGAGCAGACAATGAGTCGACGCTGGCTTTCCAAGTGGGAATGTTGTCGAGGAGGTAGACAAAGCTCGAGTGAGCGTCCATGGATTGAGCCATGACGTCTACCACAGCAACGGACAGGCGACTGGAGGTAGAGGATGGTGAGACAGGTTATGAGGGCATTGTTTCGCCAACTCAAGACGTGTGATCGATATTGCACTGACAGGATAAGCAGGCGGGATGGAAAGGCGGAGGGAGAGGATCGACTTGGTGCGGTGTGGGGGGTTGCTGGTGTTGAGAATGGCTGAGAGGAGGAGAAGGAAGAGGAGGAGGTCAGTAGAAGGTCCTGAGCGAATCGAGAGTGATGTTCGGGTGGTGCAAGGATGCAAGGTCGTAAAGGTTTGGTGATGAGAATTCAGAGCAAGGAGGATGACGGTATGCGAAAGGCGGAGTCGATTGAATTTCTTTGACGGTAGTGGCACTGGCAGTCGTGGGCAGTCCACTCAGTTAGTGGCGGTGGAGGAGGAGGAGGTATGTATGTACAGACACTGTGAGATGTGATGCCGTGTCAGATGCAAGCAAGCAAGGTAGGCAAGCAAGCAAATATCACGGATCAATCAATCGATCGAGTGAGGATGATTATACAACGGTGCGGTACCTAGGTAGGTAGTACTCTTCTGTTGTAACATGAGCAAACTGTGCGATGTAACATTACGCGTTTGTACGGAGTACAGTACGGTACCAAGCCACGTGACCTTACCTGCCGTCCTAAGGTAGTGCCTACTAGGTCTACTGTGTGTGCCTAAGGGAAGTAGTTAGGGGCCATAGTAAACTCATACTACTATTAATCTCTGCCACCTAGGTCGGTAAGGTATCGTACAAGGTATGTATCCATACAAGCTGGCCATTTTGATCCCGGCACCGAGTACCTAAGGAAGCCTAAGCCGCCTCTCTATAGGCAGCAATTTAGCAGCAGCGTTAGTAGGCCCCGACACCAGACCAGGGGGCCTAGACTGCATTTCGGGGTCGGCCTGCGCCGGTTGGTGATGGGGCTGACGGGGGCATCCCAGCACAGTCCGTCAGTGCACAGATTTGCCTGGGCCAGATGAGAATTACTCGTTTCGGCCGCTGCAGTGAGGGAATCACGATACTATGACATATGCGTATAGGTAGGTTCCTGGGTTCCTGCACCTGCGACATATTGAAGTTTCGAAGATACTATGGATCTGTTGAGCTGAAGGTACAGTATCTACTACCCATACGTGCGTACTCCTATGTGAGGTGTCCGTATCTAATGATCTCACGCACGGCAGGCTACCGCTGCGGAAATGTCGTTCATTGATTGACAGCTGCACTACTATCTACCTGGCTGCTGGTAGTCTCTACTCTATTCCCTGCCTGCGCCCTGCGCCCTGAGCCGACGGCACTTTTTCCTCCTTCCCTGGTCCTTCCCTGTTTCTTCCCTGGTCGCCCACGACGCCAGTCCAACCTCCGTCCTCTCTAACCGCTGCGCCTAATCATCATTAATCATGGATTAGGTGCAACATTCCCGCGTCAACTCCCGCGGCCATCGTGCGACCTTTCTTACTCTGGTAGTCGGTCAACGCTCTATCTTGCCGCCACTCCGCATGTGCATCAACATTGAGCTGCTCTTACTGAGGCTTAGGCATGCACAGTCACAGTCACACACGACCATAGCACGCAATCCACCGAAAGCATGCCGCTGAGCACCATGGGCAGGCTCCGGTCGGTCCGGGTCGCAGCTTAGCCAAAACAAAAAGCCCTCTCGCTTCAAGTCAAAAGCAAAGCGGTCGATTTTCCACTTGGACGTACCCACTATGTGTACTGTATCGATGACCGACAGTACTGGTACCTACCCACAGATACTACTCCGTACACTTTAACTGTCTTTGTTCGGGTCACGGTCACAGTGTCACGGTGGTCTCGGAGGTAGTCCGCCTCCGATACGAAGAGCCCCCACAACAGCGAATCGTCTCACAATTGACACGTTCTCCCCTCCTCTCGCTACGAAAGCCTCTGGGCTGTCTCTGGGCTTACCTGCATCGCGCTCATGCAAGTTCGTGCATCATCCCTTGCAACTTCAGCCAACAAGTACAGTCTCAGTATCAGTATGAGGACTCCTTGTCCGCATCCATTTGTCTCGTCGCCACTCATGAGCTCAGTTGGTTTACTTGCAGATGGTCGACTAAGGAACCGAACTCGAGAATCCTGGAAGGGCTGCCTGCTGCCTACTGCCTGTAACCCACAAACCTCCTCCTGCCCGGAGGCCAAAGTAGCTTGCGGGCTTGCTTGTGCCACTGCACATGACCCGTCCAACAAGCATGTGTCGCTTGATCTCTCAACCCAGTCTCTCCTTTCGACTAGCTGTACTCCGTATGACCCAAACCATCACGGCCTGTTGGACAGGAGACACTCATGCTAGAGTACGGAGTATACACGATGCCCAGATAATGATGCGCTGGCGCTCATCTGACAGGGACTACCAGGCACCTACGAGGTATCCGTAGGTGGAGAGGAATCACAACATACCTTGGTCTGCTATGTGCTAGTGTCCAGTTTCGGCAAAAGATCTGTTCTCACCGACATTTGGTCCCTTCAGGCTTCCGTGGCTTTAAGATGATCGACACGCCCACCCTGTTCCAGCCGTCTATAGCAGCCAATGCAGAAGCCACGGCTAAAGGACAACCAGGGACTCGACTCGCCGAAACCAACAAGTGCGGCACGTCCTCAGATCACCACGGGCCGGATCCGCCAGTCTCCGATCTCCAACGCTATTAGTATTGTGATTGTTAATTGACCACCGTCGTTGTCATGCAGTGTCAAATTGGCACAGAGAGTGTAGCATACTCCGTAGCATGGCATGCCTCATTTCTCTCCTAGTACCTGAGCCAGGGTGCAAGACAAGACGAGGCCGGAAAAGACAAGACAAGTCGAGACTGGCTGCAGTGAGTGACAACCTACCTTACCTACAGCACGAGTACGAGTACCTAAGCTAGGTAGGTAGGTATGTACAGATACTAATTAGTGGCAAACAAAGTACAGAGTACAGAGGCGGAAACCATCGACGAGCACCTAGCTTACCTAGCTTAGCTATATTACTACAGCTAGCTAGCTAGCGAAAATAACTAGAATACCGATGGTGAACGACAGAAGGAGATCATCAATTAGACTAATAATTAATATTGGCTTAGGTACTATCCGTACATACTCCGTATACGTATAGCATCCCGCCATCAAGGGTATCTCTGGTGCAGTGCTCCCCAATCAACAGCCTTAGGCCCAACCTCCCACCTGTCTGTATCACGAATCCTCATCAACGCCGACCCCGACCCCGGCTCCGGCTTACGGCAGTCACAAGCAGTGCTAGGTAGAGCACTTCTGCTCATATCACCACGCCCCAAAAGGCAACAGCCTCGGAACTCCAACCAGTTGATCAGTCCCCCCTTTTTCTACTCCGTACACACCATTTAATAGTATATCTTCTCCTCGAAAATAGGGGGTCGTCCGCCCGACGCCGCCTCGTCCCAAAGAATCTTGCCCTTTTCGTTGAAATATGCACCTTCGTCCGTCATCGGCGTCACCTTGTTGGTATGCAGGCATTCCTGTTTCGACACGCCCATCTTATCACAAGGCACCCACAGTAGAGGAGGAGCGGCGTTGACGGCCGGATCTTGGTAGGCGTCCCTCTCAACTTCAGGCGAATATCGTATCTCCGCAAAGTCCTGCGGAACCAATTTCCGCAGCACGCCGTAGCTGGCATAGATGTCGGGTCGGAGGAACTTTTTCAGCCTTGACATTGCTTGGTTTCCTTCAGGCGTCATGGACGCCTTGCTACTCCTGAGCTCCTGCATTGCGTTCTTTTCATACGCGTGGTCCTGCCCGTCAGTCTCCGCAGAAGTCAAGGTTGGGGATCCGTTGTCGAGCAAGGCAGCTTCCTCGACTTCGAGAGATCGCGGCAGAAAATGCAAAAGCGGTTTAATGGCCGATGTCAGAGAGATGTGATAGAGAATCATGAAAATCAGGAACACCACCATCAGGACGAGCGGTCCAATAGCTGCCCGAATCGCAAAGAGTCCAATGAGACAGATGGCTGCCAGATAGCACCCAACCAGAGTATGTTGCAAGGCTTTGGCGTAGACCAGGCCTTTGGTGTCAATGGCCGAACTGTCGACGAAGAGGAGGTTGTATCGGAAAGCAAAATAGAATAGCCCGAGACCAATGGTGGCAAAGCCCAGCATGAGAGGAGCAATTGCCGCATATGTGATGGAAATCACCGTCATCAACCTGTCCGACGTTAGAATTTGGGATTTCAGTCAGAAGGGAAACACGTACTCCATGACGGGAAAGGTGGTCCCCCAGCCAACAGATGATAAGATGGACCATCGGTTGTACATCTTTCGAGGTGTCTTGTCCAGTATCTTTGACAACGTGTTGGAGACAACCAACCCGCTGATTCTCAGGAGCTGTCCCGAAGAGAACACCAACCCTTGAAGGATGAAGTACGAGATGTAGAAGTTCGAAGAGAGTGGGAGATTCTCGGCCAACAAGCTCGTCACAGATCCGGGGTTCTTGATGACTTGTGGGACAGCGGCGCTAGCTGCCGATGTCATGGTCGTAACTAGAAAGACTTGGATGACCTGGAACCAAAAGAAGGACTCGTGACATCGGAGTTCTATAAGAGATGCGGTAGGCTTCCCGGCAACCTTGGCCATGAATTTCATGATGGTTGGCACCAGGGACATCAAGACCGAAAGTAGAACCACAGGAAGCAGGTTGGTGATCACCCCCAGGATGATTTTGGGGCAGTCGTTGATGAAGCTCAGGAACGGCGCGACCTTGGTCAAATAGGATATCTGGGAGATGGACCCAACAACAGCAACCGGGATCGACCTAAAATTATTGTCAGACGCAAGCAGACCCAGACAGCAAGATCGGCCTACCAGAATATTATGAGCGCAGTCACAAACCCCAATGAGACGATGTTGCGGATAGTCCGAGTTTTCCAAGTGATGCCCAAGTTCGACCACACAATCTCTTCCGGACTAGGGCCGACGACGCGAGGAGACATATGCAACGGTTGATGGTGAGCGACCATTTGAAATGCGCTCTGCGCCTGCGTCTGGTTCCAAAATTCCACGAACACGGCATTCTTGGGTTTGGATTCGCCTGACCGGTACTTGTTCTGCTCGGCTTCAATGCGTGGGTTCAGTTTTGCGATTTCCTCACGGCACCAGTTGATAGTGTCGACCTTCTTGCCGACCAGGAATTTCAACCGGTGTGTCGGCCGATCCTTGGGCCTGACCCAGCGCGCGGCAGCGGCCCCGGACTCGTTGCCATATTCCTCCTCATAACTAGCGACCTGTCGGTTGCCCATTTCCGACTCCTTTCCTTGCACGGATTTCAGGCGGGCATCATTGGCAAGCTTGATAAGCTTTGTTTCGGCAGTCTCAAGTTTGATGCACAGCTTGTAACGCTCGTCAACCATTTCAGACAACTCTTTAGCATCCGAGGCGATCCAGACGTTCTTGAGTTCATCCCCAAACAATCGCCGGATTTTGGCTTCATTGGCGTATTCGGTGGGAACGGACTGAAAGAGAACGGTGCGGGACGAAAGTCGTGAAGCGTACAGTGGAGACGAAAGGTACGCTTGTCGCAGGTTGATGTAGTAGATCATTTCTCTGGTGACCAGGAAGAAGATGAAGCTAATGAAGATCCATGCGATGAAAGTGTGGGCAAAGTATCGGTTTTTGTCCTTGACGTTACTAAAGCTGAGAAGGTTGAGTTGTGTCTGACCACCGTGACCAGTTGCATTGATAGGGAACAGGATAGGCCATGTGAGGCAGCACCCCACGAAGCAGATGACAATCGATATCTTGAGATAGCGCAATAAGAAATATCCGTCTAGGGAATTGTGCTGGAGGACGTACTCGTCCGGCAGCTAGAGGCATATCATGGTTAGGCGGAAATTCCCCTCAAATTTGCTATCACTCACCTTTCTCATAAACGGGATCCATCCGAGCAGAGAGCCCGGGGGAGGCGGAGTTCGCTCCTGTGGGCGCAATGCACCCATGTACGTCCTGGGAGCATATTGTCTGGGGAACTTTGTTCGCAGAAGTAGGAATATGGCAAAGTAGACCACAGAGATGAGGAGAGTCGGCACCAGAGTGGACAACAACCCAGACAGCGAGGGATCGGTACCCCGGCTGGATCCAATGTTCTGATCATCGTTGGCGTTGGTGCTTGGAGCCTGGCGAACCTGGAGCAGCGTATGGAGAGTCTCCATGGCTGGAGGTACACCACGGTGCACTGGAGGGAGGGTTCGGACGTTGATGTCGATGTGGAGATGTATTTTACCGTCGCGTTGGGGCGATGAGCTTGGGAGACGCGATAGCAGGCCGTCCGCAGAGAGGGCTGGGAGCAGCAACGAACACCATGTGCTCAAGAAAAGACGAGAGCGCGAAAATCAACAGCGTTGAATATAATGCCAGTGGTTCGTAACTTAAGAGATATGCCGATACCCTGCACGGTGAACATGGCCGAAGTGGATGGCGCGTCCGCTCTGGGCTCGTGCATGATGAGCGAGGAATCGGATTGCCCGCTGAATGGGTCTTTCGGCTGCCATCTTCTTATTTGCACCCACTAACCAGACCCTGCCGAGCTGACTCTGGCTGCGGGCAGAGCTAGTCCAGGTCTACGAGATTACGTCGATTTTGATGAGCGTCCAGCAGCGGTGTCTTATAAAGACTCTTGAACTGCAGAACCACCCTGCGCTCTATCTGCTCTCTGGTCTTGCTCTTGCAGCTACATCGCAGACACAAAGCTGCAACAAAGAGCACACCTTGTCTGAACAGCTCGCCATTCGAAGCACTCGAAAGTAGCTACGGTGTACTCCTATTCCCCAGACAGATCGAATTTGCTGCACCCTATAGGGCCTTAGCCTACGCCTACGTACGCACCTTGTTCGGTAGCTTCAAGAATGCTCAAGTCGGCACACTGCGCTGCGCAGTGACAACCCCACTCAACCGACCCTCGCGTACGCCGTACTATAGTTTAGCACCTTTCTGCCGACTGGTCAGCCTGGGTCCCTACAAATTCTGAAGAAAAACCCATATCATTGAGCACAAGTTCAATCCTGGCGGCTTTGTTGCTTTTTCGGCGGCTGGAAGCGCACTTGAATTTGCCTGCGACCCTCGACCGAATATGCCGCACAACGAGGCTGACATCGAACCCTAGTGAAAGAAAAAAGAAGGGTTCAATGTACTCCTTAGTGGTCTAGAGAATGAGGACACAGACCCATAGAATACGGCTAATCATTTCTCTAGAGCCTGTGGGTGGCTAGAGGACACACTCCACATGCACCATCTCAGCTGAAAGCTCAGATCTCACAGAAGCAATCAACTGAGCCACACTTCAAAGTCCGACTCTCGCTGCATGTGGCTGAGTACAAAGTAAACGAGGGAATGAAAGACCCTGACTTGCATAATCTCTGGGGAAGATGCTTCGGTTCGTTGGTGGCACATGTTGACAACTCCTATACTTGCTACAATCAACCGCCTCATTCAGAAACCAGAAAAGGCGTGTTGGAGCGTCGACTAGCCCTATATATCACCAACCCATGTGTAGGTATGTGACCGGGGGTTCGCTCCAGTATGTCTGTAGCCGAAGGGCGCAGGTAACAAGGCAAGGAACGAACTGGTGTCCGCATTGGGCGCTTGGATGTGCTGTCGCATGGACCAATTGATCATGTCCTCACAGTATATATGTGCGGAGTACTTACTAACGGCGGCCGGGCATACTTCCTGATAGCTCTACGGAGTACAGACCCTGGCATTTAAGTAGAGGTGCAATCATGCAAAGAATGCATCAACAGAGGCAGTGCCACCCAAGCGGACGAACACCACTTAGAGAGCATGGTTGATCAACAATGGGTCCTGAGATTATCACATGCAAGCACCAGCAATCTTGGTAGCAACCAAACTGGAGATCTGCGAAAAGATATTGCGGAAATCCACACAACAAACGGCATGCTGACGTGAAGATAGACATGTTGTAGGGAATAACTGTTTCTCTGTTTCTGTTTCTTCGCCTATTCCAACCCCGTCATCAGCTTAAATCATTGTTGGATCTGATCGAAATCAAGACTCCATCTCCACTACATCTCACTTTATTCAAATCCCCCTCTTATCGGTGCGATCAAGATTACCATTGATGATTGTGGTTTTGGTAGATGCCACCTCTTTCAAGGAAGTCACGGACTCCCAGGAAGTAGGTGATAGGACACGGTAAGCAAGAAAGTTTGGTTCATGAACCCTATCACCAGTATCGCTCCACGCCGATTTCCGAGAAGAAAGTGAATCCTATTGCTCCCAAAAGCAGTGTCTGCAAAATAGAAAAGTCGCATTCTCTCTGCAAAAGAGAGAAGGTGGTGAAGGGAAAAGAAAGCTGGATGATGTGGTGCATCACGAAGACGCCATGGTTCGCCGACCAGCCAGCCAGAGGGGTAACCATGTCTGCACCATCTCGGAATCGTAAAGTCGTGATATGTGAAGGAGTCGATGATCATGCCACCGACTCTTTCAGTGATCTTGTTCAGATCCACGGCTTTGCCAGTGACCCAAGTTGGTCCTCAAAGATACCACCGTATAGTCCAGCGATTTCGTCCAGGTAATCTTCCACCCCGAATTTGCACAGTCCTTTGCTCATAATTTCTTGCTCTTCTTCATCCAGTAATCTGGCGGTCGCACCGAACTCCTCCGCAATCTCGTTAACCTGCGCCAGCTCCCTCCCAAAGGGATGATTGGGGTCCGTGGTCGAGCCGAAGATGTCTGCGCTGTCCCGGACAGAGGGCTTGGTGAGGCTCGACGGAGGTGGCGACATGCGTTGGATGGATCTCTTTCGCGACAATTCGACATGCGCCTTTTTGGAATGAGACGGAGCACGTGTCGGGACCACAGGCGCATCGAGGGCAGGCGGCGAGGCGATGGCGGGTAGCAGGGGGACTGATTGCTTCAGGTCGAAGAATGATTTGACATCATCCGTTGCAGGTGTGATTGGGGTTCCTGGACCACTGCTGTCAACGGAAGAGTAATCGTTGCTGGAACGGTTGAGGAAGCTTCGGTCGATGGTGGAGAAATCGGAATCATTGCCAGAAGAGATGGAGCCAGTCGTGGACGACATATTTCGAATGTCTGGAGCCGTCAAGGCTTGCACATTGGTGGTTGAAATCAACTCGGTGGGAAGGGAAATGAGACTGCGGTTGATGGTTCCTTGTGGGTATCGGACACTGGCACCACGTTGAGGAGTCTGAGGGTCTACGCTGCGTTTGGTGCGCTTGGTGAATGCTCGCGCGAGAGACATTGTAGTGGAAGACATGATGGAGAGAGGTGTAGTGGTAGATTTGAGTGCTTTTGAACTGATTGCGGTCACAAAGCCCCAATGTTAGCTTCTGAAAGCAATCAGGGGGGTCGTTTGCCTGCGTTTGGATCGTGTTGTGCGTGCGTTTTGCGTAGGTTCGTTGCCAGGGATTGCGAGAATGAATGAGGTTTGTTCGATATTTCCAATTGAACTCAAGGCTTGCTTAGAGATAAGGAGCGGTGGTGGACGATCGGCCAACGCAGGACACAGTCCGCGGGAAGGAAGGATCGATGAAGTATTGAGTTGTGGCGGTTGGTGTCGAGAGAGGGATGACAAGCCAGCGCAAACACGAATGAATGTATAGAGAGGGTGGTTTTGCGACGAATCGACCGTCGAGCAAAGAGTGTGGTTGATGAGAAGAAAGGATTGACAGCAGGGTCAAAGGAATGACTGGACCGAGAGAAGCGAAGGACTAGACTTTTCCCTTTGGTCGGGAGAGGATTCGGCGGGAATCTCTTGACGTTGAGGGAGGCAAAAGAGAGAGAGGGTGAGTGGTAGAGACGCAGTTGGACGGAGTATGGTTGTAGCAGACACGGCATTGACAGGACGGGGGTGAAGCCAGGGATGCCAGGGATGCCAGGGGTGGGGGATGGGCGCGTGTTGATGGGCTCAGGGCCCGGGTGGGCGCCGGGGGTAGTGGCGCTAATCCGCCCTAGCCACAGACCATCGTTTTTAGAGGCTCCGGGCGCGGCCCCCCTGCAGAATTCTTCTCTTTTTCTTCTCGTCTGGAATGCACAGTCCACATTTCACAGTTTTACTGAGCATCTTCACCCGGCCGCGTGGCGGCTCAAAAACCCCCCTGTCTCTCTCAGGGCAGTGGCGTCAATGCTGCTCGACTGTCTGAGTGGTGCAATGGACGCCACCACGATATCCCCTGTTTTCTCGTCCGCTCTAGAGCCAGCTGTGGGAACATAACAGTGGCTGCACCGTTGCACAGAGATCGCAGCAGGGGCCGCCCTTAGCGTTCCAGCCGGTGGCCTGAAATGGTTAGCAAGAGATGCTCACAGCGATTTGTTATGGTGAAGCTCAAATTATAGTCAAATTATAGTTGTCCAGCAGCTCGGTATAACTGGTGTAGCAAAGCAGCGAGTAGGCTGATCTCTGCGCTAAATCCAACTGTAGTGCACTAAGTACTACCTAACTAGGATTTCCGCCTGTCTTTCGAAACGACCGTTGGAAGCGTCCGAGCTTAGCGCCCATGCGTTCCCTCTGTCCCTTTGCGCATCCTCAGGGGGAACTCTATTATATGGCGGCAACCCGAAGACTTTCTCCCCAGCGGCTGAGCGGCCATTTACTACCTGGTGTTTATAGCCGCCCAGAACTCGGGAGCCAGGAGTCGAGGATGAAACGCCCAGGAATCCATCCAGTGGTGACATCGATCACGCGAGCTTTTCAAAGCTCCTGACCTACTCTGTATTGATCGCACATCAACCATCAACCATCAGCCATCAGCCACCGACCATCGACCACAACAACCTTGACAACAATCGAATGCGGGCACGAGCCAGAAGATAAAGAAGGCTTCATAGAAGAACAGACTCAATTCCGACTTCGATGCGGGGCCATCGGAAATGACACGCGCTGTAGTCTTTCAACCACCTGTCTGAGTTTGGCTGAGCCTTGACCACGATGCCGGGCTAACGGACAACAAACTGTCTGGCCTCAGCTGAGCCTTGAACATGCGGCTTTGCTTCATGCAACGCACACGCCAAATCTACAGCCGTAGCCTGATTCAAGCATCTGAGATTCCTGGAACAATACTCCGTACTCTCCCTAGTTTCTTTTCCGGTGTACTAATAGTAGATCCCACGATCGGACCGTGAACAGATATTCGCGCGGACGTTTGAGAATATGCAACGGGAACATGCAACTCCAAATTCATCCACAGTCCTCCTACTACAGGATAATGCGTGAGTTGTCAACAGGCAAGAGTAGGCGAAATTCACCTTGTGTATGCCTTACGGGGACTCTGAACACATCGATTGAGTGGAGGTGCGCATCGCCGTTGTTTCATAGAGCGACATCTGCCCCTGAACGGATCCAAAGAGTCAGTCATCCCCCAGACTGCTTGTTTCAGGTCTCTGGGGGTTCGTGCACCGTCTCTCTCTCTCTGCCTCTCCCATTATCTCACGAGCCGACTTTCTCAAACCAGGCCTTGGGGCTTTCTGCAGTCTACACTGGCCAGGCCGGAGGAAGTGTAGTCAACAATTCAAGATACAGCACCAATATCAATAATGAATGGACTTGCATCAGAAATGAAACGGTAAAGTCCTGCTACTCAGTGCAGCGTAATTCTCCGTAGTGCGGAGTATGGTCCTCCGTACCTTGATAGTTGGAGGTTGGGTCCCATGTGCCGGTCGAGCATAGCCTTGCCAAGCAGCTAGGACCGCAAGGCTGTGTGACTTGGTTGAAGGTCAAGCCTCCCGCAGTTTTGCATCTCGACTCCGCATGCAGTACTCCGTACACAAACGGTACAATCGCGCGCTTCATGGTTATTGCTCAGATTCAACTCCGGCCGCCCCATGTGAAGTAGTCCGTCCGCCATTATCATTATTGACACCCTTTTCTCACCATGTTTCGCACCTGATGATCTGGCGTCGAACCCCTACCACCACCAGCCCAAGACCACTCGGACCGCAAGTCGAAGTCTACCAACCTAACCCGCAAGTCGCGATCCAAAATGGTCCGCCTCAAACACCGCTATCTTCTCTTCAACATTCTCTACCCGACCCCGACCCCGACCACTACTTCCACCGCCAACTTCAACACCAACACCACCGACGCCTCCTACCTCCTCTTCGCCCGCCCCAGCCCGACGCACCTTACAGCACAGCTCCTGCTCCACACACTACGCAGCACCATCAGCCAAGTATTCGGCGAGCATGGCCTGGGCACCACCCAGGCCGGGTTGAAGGTGGTGTACTTCTCGCCCAGCACGTCGACGTGCATCCTACGCGTGACCCGCCCGTATTTCAGACTGGTCTGGGCGAGTTTGACCTATATGGACAGTATTCCTGGGCCTAGTCCACACAAGGGTGGTAGCAAGGGATATAAGCCCAATTCCAATACCGACACGAAGTCCAACCCCAACTCTAACTCCAATGCCAATTCCAACACCAACACCAACGACGGTGTGCGGTGCGTCGTGCGCGTGGTCAGAGTAAGTGGGACGATCAGGAAGAGTGAGGAAGAAGTGTTGAGGCGCGCGAGGGCCCAGATCGTGCGAGCAAAGAGAGAAGGGCGGTCGGTCGACTCTGAAAACGATGGTGTCGAATCATCCACATCCTTGCTGCTGGACGGCTTGATCGGGAAGAGTCAAACTGCGAGGGCGAGCGTGTCAAGGGCCCACACCGCCGCCACTTCGACGGGGTCGATGGCGGGAGCCGCACAAGATGAAGATGAAGGGATCGAAGATCTCGATGACGAAGATTACGACCTGGATGATTTATCGGATTAAAGAGACGGTCACTGTTATGACATTACTGGCAGACGTGAAACGGGTATCTGTCCGCGCCAATGCAAAAAAACCAGGCCCCATTGTGGGAAACACCGACGCCGACGCCGGCAATGCAACCAACTCCGGCATCATAGCGACGCAAAACTTCTTGCGCCCCTTTTGGGGCTATGAAGGCGGCGGTGGGCGGGGAGAGTGCGAAGATTGTGAGGGTTGCTTGCTCTCCCCTCTTCTCACGACCTTGACACCACTACCTACCATCGGTAGCGGTACGTCCGTCCCCAGGTCCGTATCAAGGTCCTGATCTTTGTTGGCGTCCCAGTCGGCTTCTCTCCTTTTCTGCTCTTCTTCCCACTCCTTGCGCTCGAGTTCATCATACTCTTCCCTACTATCTATCCAACGTTCCTGCACATCCCGCACATCCATCTTGCCTAGACCCTCTCTGACCGCGACCTGCCAGACAGTATCATTGGCGCCCTCAGCCGCGCCAAATGCGTACCCGCCGGCGCGATCGATGGTGTGCAGCAGATTCATCATGCTCTTCTTATCCTCGACCGCGAGCGTCTCAAAGCCGACTAGCCCAAACTCCTCGACCAGGTTGACAATGGCCTCGTTGAGCGCGGCGAACTTGCCCTGTCCGAACATGGGCGACTCGGCCTCCAGACCGGGAATCAGGTACGACAGGTCTTGCACCTCAGTGTAGAAATCAAGGTTGAACGCCAAGGGCGGGTATTTGGCCAGATTGTCGATCTTGGTCAGGACATTGATGTGCGTCAAGTCGAGCTGCAGCATGCTGCGCAGACACAGCAGCAGCGTCGAGATATACAGCGACGGGAGCGTCAGGGCATATGAGTCAATGAGGTTGACGACGACGAGCTAGAACGAACGAGAAGGAGGTGTTAGCATCGCAGCATAGGCGTGGACGACTTCGGCGAAGCGCAAAGGGGACGTTTGTAACATACTCGATACCCCGCCTTTGCGAGTTTCAGGAAGATCTTCCGCAGACTGTCGTGGTGTGTAAATAGTTCCACCTGTCCCGGACAATCAAAGAGAACATAGTCGTCGCCGAGCGCTTCCAGCCGCTCCTGCAACCAGTCCAAGTTTTCCTCGACCTCTTCCAGCGCGTAGAGCACGCCGCCGTTAGGACCGAGGCCGGGTCCCTGTTCTTGGCCATCATCGGCCTCGGCGGCCATGATACTCTCCAGCGTGACAAGTTCTCTCACGTCCACTGCTGCCGTGTACGAGGTCGCGTCGTTGGCCGGGTCCAGATTGACCACGCTGCACTTTCGCCCAATGGCCCCCATGAACTGCTGCATGCCGTTGCAATAGGTCGACTTCCCGGCCCCGGGTGGACCGATGACCAGTTGGGCAAACGGCATTGTCGTCGAAGGTGGTGGGAGAGAGCGCGGTACTTTCCTCGATCGCTGAGCCGGTGGCACCACGGGCTGATAGAGACTGATACCAGGAGATGTACAAATGTATTCCAACTCGGTTCCTTCTCCTTGCGTTTTCAAGCCCCCGAAACTCTTTGTTGTCGATGCGACGGTACGCAACAGCTACGCCCCGCGACCCAGGGGCCGCAAAGGCTGGATAAGGGTCTCGATAGAGCCTCGGGTCTCGGCTAGGAAGAGAGTTGAATGTCGAGGTAGGTAGGTAGGTGGGTGGGTAGGTAGGTAGCACCTTTTCAGATCTCGGTTTCTTGCTTCTCGTTTCCGTGTGCGCCGCGAATATAGGGGATCGATGCAGGACAAGAGGGTTCTTTGAGATAGTTCAATACTGGAGTACTACTGGGCCCGGACTATGACTGTGGTCGATGTGTTGGTGTGTGGAAGATGCGAATAAATTTATTACGTGGAATCAATATCGTTGTAACCGACTTGACTTGACATGACGTGCGGCGGGAACCCACAAACGCAGCGATGGCGACGGCGACGGCGACGAGGCAAGACAAGCGGCGGAATTCTCGACAGATCTATCACAGTATCTTTGGTAAGTGTTCTTGAACCTACCTACCGAAAAACCATCCTTCCTGTCTTATAGAACGAACTTGTTTGTCACTGACCTTCGGGTTCTGTCTAATCAGAAAATCTACTCGTGACTTAACCCCCAGTTGGGGACGAGGGTGACGCCGCCCTGTGTTCACCCGAATCGGGCGATAACATCATGTTTCTGACGTACCTACATTCAGGTAAGGTACCTAGCTGCAGGAGGTGTTGTACCTCACGCTTCATCTGAGCATCTAATAAGGAGTTACTCTAAAATTTCATACTCTTTTCAACTCTCCTCTCTCCTACGAGGTCGTCATAGACTTACTCCAGCACCACTATACGCCCCGAGGTTCGGTGCGGTATAGTTTGACACATCATGACCAAAGAAATCCAGGTTCCCATTGCCGTGCACCACCGAACCCTTGGACAAGACCGGGGAGTCGGGCTTGACCCGATAGCCAAAGGCAGCACCTAGGGTTTTCCCGGCCAGGCCGGGATTGACGAAGCCCGGATTCCCTGTGAAGCCATTCTCGGTCGGCGGGGTGACGGACTGGAAGAAGTTGCTCTTCCAGTCGACGCCGCTCCCCGTCGGCAAGGTGGCATTGGCGGTGCCGACGAAGATGTTGTTGACAAAGTGGGTGGTGGGCGGTACGTTGATGCTGAAATCCTGCTTGGGGCAGTAGACTACGTTGTTACAGAACCACAACTCGGGCAGCTCGCCCACGCTGACCATGCGGCAGTCGTTCTCGAACACGTTGTACCGCACGATCTGGGTCGGGCCCTTGGGGTCGCCGCAGCCGTCGCAGTTCAGGAACGAGCCGCCGGCGTTGTCGTGGCTGTAGTTGTACTCGACCAGACAGGTTCCGGTGTTGCCCCAGTCACAGTCAAAGGCCTCGCTGTCGTACAGGCTCATGGCGCTGCCGTAGACGACGTTGTGGGCGATGACCGGGTTGTGGTCGCACATGACCCACATGGCCGCGAAGTTGCCTCCGGTCCAGGGGTATTTCCCTTTGCCCAGGTTGGAGGCCACGTTGTGGTCGATGGACGGCGAGTCGGCATAGGCGATGATGACGCCGTCACCGCCACACGCGTCGATGCTGTTGTACGACACCCGGGCATTCCGCCCCTGGTTGGTGGCTTGACCGGGACGCACCTTGATGGCGCCGCCGCCGCAGTCTTGCACCTTGTTGTCGCGCACCCACACGTCGTCGATCCGGCTGCCGTTGCTGGTGTTGATGGAAATCCCCGCCGACCCTGCAAAGTCGGACGAGTGCGTCGCCTTGTTCGTCTGGCCGGCCACGTCGTACACGGTGTTGTGATCCACCACCATGTCGCTGTGAACCTTCCCGTCGTCCGCCATGATCAAGATGCCTTGGCGACGGCCCAGGTCCGCCGCAGGGTTGGTGACGGCAAGGTTCGAGATGCGCCAATGATCCTGGTTCTTGAGTAGCAGCGTGTAGTTGTTGCCGTCCCCGTCGAGGATGGGGGGCCCGTTGATGGAATCTGGTGGGTACGACATGATGCGAATCGGGTGGGTGAGGTTCCCGCTGCCTAGGGGAGCCACGACGCCTTTGCATGTGATGTTGGATTTGAAGGACAGCACATCGCCGGGCGAGAAGACGAAGCTGTTGACCGAGCCGAGCGAGTTCCAAGGCCCGGCCAAGGACCCGTTGCCGGGAGAGGTGGCGTTGCAATCGACATAATACTGCGTCGGGCCGCCAGCCACAAGAGAGCAGAAGAGGGCCAGGTAAAAGAAGATCATGTCGTTGGTCGAGGATAACTATGACAGTTAGAAGCTCGGAGCAGCCGAGTATATTGTGTGGCACGAGAGGTTTCCACTGAACAGAGGTACGTGCTCCATGAGCGAGTTTATATAAGGTAGTTCCCCAGATCCAGACACTGCGGCGGGATGCCATCCACCATCCGTTGAACACTCACTCACCTTGGTAACTAGATAGCTTGGAACCCAGCTTTCCCAAGCCCATCCATACCTAGGTAGTCTCGGTAGTCCTGGACATGTTTGGATCAACCAGACGGTTGGAAAGAGGTTACATATCCACGTTACTCTCAGGCCATATCCAATCAGGACGGGTAGGAGGTTATACAAGACGTTACACATCCAGGTTACTTCAAGTTCGATAAGCCAAGCCAGACGCCTGGTCGTGGGAGATGCTACTCTGCCTTCCTGTCACTCTACTTGGGATGATGGGAGGGGGCGCCCGGCGGCTTTTTCGAGGAAGGATGGATCAATATGGAGAGAGGTGGGCATCTGTGGGCATTCCTGTGCGATCAAGTCTATGGGGACATACGTTAATATAGCTTAGTCTACCACAAGGTATCGCCCGATGCCTGATCAATAGGTTGACAAGGAGAGGTGGTAGGATGCAGACAAGGCAAGGCTAGCCAATAGAGCGACTCTATCCAAATGGCATGGCATTGCAGGCAGGATAGGTAGAGGTAGAGTCGACAGGATAGATGACTATGACTTGCATTGTCTCCAAGCAAGATACAGATTGTTGCCAATGATTGAACAGCCTCGTACTAGTATGCCGGTGGAGGACCCTACCTAGCATTTAGTCCTATTTAGTGAGAAATGGTCTTATCTCGCTTGCTGTGATTTATTTGATGAGATACGGCCGGATGTCGGGGCTCCCAAGGCTAGGTTCTACCCAATAGTACTGTAGTAGTACATACAAGCAGGATCCGTACTTGATTATAGGGTACAGATAAAGATCCAGTACTTCGGCTGCCGGATATCGCTCTTCATCCGAGTGCCTATCACAGTCCTAACAGATCACATTATGACAGACAGGGCAGTGGCATAGCACAGGACAGCACAGCACACGACATTCTCATCTTGTAGAAGGTGCAAGGGGAGACGACAGTTTTCTTGAAGCCCGTCTAGCAAGGGAATGGGAATGGGAATACTGTAGTTGATCCACCCACTGAACAGTGGACAGTGGACACAAGGTCCCCTCTGTAGATTTGCCGGGCCAGTCGAGTCAAAGAGCGACAACTATAGGCTAATGGCTAACATCGGGACTGCACTGCACTGCGAGCTGCTAGTATCCGTCCCAAAGCCACAACTCACCATCTATGGGCCTGGGGAGCGGGGCTGTAGATGTAGATTAAGATGGTTCAATATATGTAGACAACGATAAGAGAGTCGTGGCTGTTGTTTTCTTGGGTGGGATTCCAATGATGCCTCATGGCAATGCTACCGTCGAGATTAGGCCTGGGCGTATCTGAGATGATACGATCAAGTCTTGACAGAGAGAACCATGTAACCCGCCGGTGAGAGATTCGGAAGCGAGGTGAGATGGGGTTGAAAGCGGCGCGGCCTAGGTAAGTTGTTATTGCCGAAAACAGCGGTCGTGGGCTTAAAGCGGCATCGCTTAGGGTTAGGGTTAGGGTTAGGGTTATACACCGGGACCCTGATCTCTTGTACCTACATATAGGTACCTACCACCACTACCTAGTAGGTACCTAAGGCCTACCTAGGTACAGGTACCTCGCCAGCCTTGCCAGCCTTGTAGACCACGGCACGGCTACGGCGTCGGCTTCACCAGATCAGCCACGCCACTTCCCTCTACCCTCTACCATCTCCCATCTACCTCATCTGCTCTTCTTCAGTCCACTGTGGCCTAAGGGCCGTCGCACTTAGGCTCTAGGTTGGAGCTTGGTGGGCGGTGGCTTCCTCATTCGGGCCGCACAGCATACCTACCAATACCAGTATGTCCTTCCCGGTTCTCAAGTCTCTCGGGTTTCAATTAGGAGCGCAGGCCTTGCCATGGATATTGATTCTGGCCTCGACATCATTCTTTAAGCCCAAGCCCTAGTATCACACCCTCTACATTCTGTTGTATTCTTGGTTATCACGCGGATCCTTTGACGAGTCAGTGGCTCGGCCTGGCTCTCGCCATCCTTGCGCCCGCTACTTCTCTTCCTGCGCCACCTCAACCCCCAGCAGTCAACCCCAGCCAGCTTCGCACGCCCGGACGAAAAGCCTGACTGCGTCTTCTCATGCATCATTATACCCTCTTGGCCGAGTCCACGAGCACCGCCGTCTCCTACTCCTCCGGGCACATCGTCCTCTCCTACGTGACGTCTCTGCTAGGATGCATCACCACCTTGGAGTTGTTGCAGCGGCGAACCTCGACCAGAGGGGCGTATAATTGGTTGGTCAAGATCCGACGAAGATGAACATGAAGCAACATTGGATTGACACCCAGCAGGTTCCTGCTCGGAGCCGCCGCGGTCACCATGGGTGCCATCTCGATCTGGGGGATGCACTTTGTCGCCATCGGCGCTATCATCCTCGCCCACGGAGCTCCCGACCGCCAGATCCTGTACAAGCCCGGCTTCACCGCCATTTCCTTCTTCGTCCCCATCCTCGTCCTTCTCATTGCCTTCTACATGCTTGGACAGCCGGCCCGGGCCCGTCAAGTCCATGTGGCCATCGCCAGTGTCCTCATGGGCGCAGCAGTCTGTGGCATGCATTCCCTGGGACAATATGGGTTGCAGAACTACCGCTGTGTATACAAGGTCCCCAATCTGGTGGGTTCGGCCATCATTTCGGTGCTGGCGAGTTTTATTGCCCTCAGCGTCTTCTTCCGCCTGCGAGACACCTGGACCGACTGCTGGTGGAAAAGAGTGCTGTGTAGTGCTATTCTCGCCCTCGCTGTGTCGGGCATGCATTGGACGGCGGCCGCAGGCACCACTTACCACTAGAAAGGGGACGGGACTGTCCACGGCCGCTTCGGTTCCCAGACCACCATTGTTGCCTCTTCCTTGGTGAGTGCGTGTCTGGTGTCTGGTGTCTGGCCTGCTTGGGTCGCCGCTAACGGCCTGGCAGTCCATGGGCGCCTGTATTGTCCTTCTCGCCGTTGCTTTCATCCGCGGCCGGCGCATGCACACCGCCCGAATCAAAGCGCAACGGCTGGTGCTGGCCTGCGCTTATTTCGACCAGGATGGAAAGTTGATGGTCACCGAGGAAGGCATCTTGCCCAGCGAAAAGATCACCAATCAATACCTAGAAAAGGTCGAGATCGGTGCTATCCTGTCCATGTTCGCTCTCGAGGCTAACGTGCAATCGCAGAACTTTGGAGAAGATGAACTCAGCCGGTCCCAAGTGGCCTTTCTCTGGGTCTTCAAAGCATCTCGGAACTGGGCATTACTGAAGGAATTCCTCCCTGCCATGGCCGACTACATCAGGACCGACCCAGCCGTGAAGAGGTACCGTCCCGGGCACACAGCCTCCCACTCACGCATCGATGCAAGTGAGATTCCGCTCAATTTTGCCCCGGTTTTCAAGCAACTATTTTGCATGGCCGCACAACGGTTGGCGAACCACCTCCATGAGCCACTGGAGCAGCTGGGAGTGTTATTCGAGGAACCCCTGGAGACCGGAGCGCTCTTCCTCTTCACGCCAAGCAAGACGGCGCTGGCGGACCTGTCCCCACAAGTCTACGCCACCACGGACGTCGAGAGTGGCCACTGCATTGCACGAGGTAAATACCTGTTCCTGACCCGCCAGCTGAAGAGCGATGAAACGGCCAAGTTTGCGGCGCTGGGGTACCGGTTCGCGGCCGTGGCACGCATCGCCGAGCCCATGGCCAAAAGGATGCAGATCAACCGGGACAATTTGGTGGCTCGCATGAAACGAATGCAGCTGAGCGTCTCCCCTGACCATCTACCATCGCCGGGGGTCCATCTGGCGTGCTTTATACTGAGGCCCAGCGTCTATACAAGCTTCGACGTTTTAGTACCCGAATCTGTGCAAAATCAACTGCCTCACACCACTATCCAGCCGCACGAATTGACCGCGGAACAGTCCCAACAGTTGACAAGTCTGTTCGACGAGTCAACAGTCACTGAGGCTCTGAGGGCCCTTGAAGATCGATCCAGTCGCAGCGAGCTTGACGCCGACTTCGGCCGGCGACTTCACCGGGCCATTATGAAGCTCGTCGATGTGATGGGAGACTCGGACAGTCTGATGCAAGCCAGGATGTCCGCCCGACCGTTCCAAGTGCCATGTCAGCCAGACCCGGGTGACCTGTCGCCGCCGACATGTACTTTCCTGATAATGCGAATGATGCGGGATGTCCACGCCTCGTCGGCAAGAAAAGAGCTGGTGTACGTGCCGCTCTCCGCCTTTCGGGTGCAACAACAGTATTTGACCGCCGGGTGGCGGGACGAGCAATTTGCGCGGGAAGTCAATGCAGAGTTCGGCCACCTTCGGCAAGACAGCGTGAAATGGAGACGATTCAACAGCATGCAGCTGGGTAGGATAGCGACCTTAGCAGGACCTGGTAGCCCCGGTGCAAGATCATGCCGATGGACGAGATGCAAACGCCTGGCGGAAAGAGCTCATGCGAGCCGCCGCCGCGGAGGCGAAGAAGGGGCCACGGGCGAGTGCGAAAAGGACCAACCTGGGATAGTAGAGGAAGAAACGACGGCAGGGGTACTATCAGAGGATGCTAGTCCTATCGACGAACCAGGGCTAGTGACACTGACACTGACACAGCGGGACCACCGAGGATCTCTTGGGGGCGCCGCCCAACCCGACACTAGCAACAACTGGGTCACGGAGACACTGGCTCTCTTCCAACTGGGGACGGAAAGCTGGAAATCAGTACGGTGTAGAGCACGAGAAAGGGACGCCAACCGTGGGAATGTATCTGAGGGGGAGCACGAGACCCTCGGGAGGAAAGACTGAGAGTGATATGAGAACAATGTACTCCGTATGGCATGCCGTCTTCCGTCATGCATCTATGTGGGACTAGAAGGTAAAATGCATCAAGCCGGGATTCAAGACCAAGGGCAGCAGAAAGTGCATGGCAACCATGATGATCTGGGGGTAGATGGCGATGAAGCTCGTGATCCTCCAGTCGTGGCGGAGCAGGGCGCCGAGGGGGCCGACGCCGGCGAGGACGAGGACCATGGCGACGGAGAGGATGCAGTAGATGAAGGTCAGCTTGAACTTCTGGATGATGACGGGGATCTCGCGGAAGAAGGAGGTGTCGGTGGCCTCCTTGGCGGTGGCGCCCCAGGACATGTCGATGCCGAGCAGGTAGCGGACGAGGGCGCCGGAGACGTGCAGGGAGATGCCGCCGAGGAAGATGGTTATGACGAGCATCCAGGTGATGTTCTCGATCAGGCAGGCGAGCAGCGAGCGGCCCTCGGCGCGGTAGCGCAGCACGGCCAGGCTGACGGAGCCGGCGGCCTGGAAGACGATGACGAGGCCGAAGTAGACGTTGAAGCTCTCGGCGTAGTCCTTGTCGAGGTAGCCGTTGAACCAGCCGAGCAGGAAGTAGTTGAGCAGGGTGAGCAGCCAGGCGGAGCCGATGGCGAAGTAGGTGCCGACGTACGACATGATGGTGATCTTGCCCATCCAGCTGATGCCCGGGCCGAAGAAGAAGCGGCGGAACAGCGGCGTGAAGGGCCCGCGCGTCGGCCACTGCCAGAACGGGTGGAAGACCAGCTCGGCGCAGCCGTACGCGTACTTTTCCCACCGCTCCAGCTCGTCGTACACGGTCAGCGACACGCCCTCTTTAAAGTCCGGCCCGAAGTAGGTGCTGTAGCGGATGATGTAGCCTAGGGACTGAAGCCGGAGCGCCATGTCGAAATCTTCCGACACGGTGTTTTCCGCCCAGTATTTCTCGGTTCCGGTCCGGGTGCGGGTGCCGGTGTCTTTTCCGCTTCCGCCCCCTTGGCTGTCTTTTTTATTTTCTTGGCCGGTGCCTTCTCCACTTCTGCTTCCGCTTCCTTGGCTGTCTTTTTCATTTTCTTGATCTTGATCTTGTTTCTGACCTTTTTCTAGATCTTGTTCTTGGTTCCCTCTCACTTGACTGCCGGACCCAGACTTGCCACGCTTCCACTTCCACCTCCACCTCCACTTCCACCTGTTGTCAGCCACCGCCTCAGTCGGGTCGGAATAGTCGACATAACGAATATCCTGGACGGCGGACCAGCGCAGCAGGGCGTTGTGGCCGACAAACGGGGCGACGTCGCCACAAGCCACGGCGAAGCGGATGGACGTGTAGATCAGGTTGGTGAAGAAGGTGATGGCGCGCTCGAAGAAGCTGGTGGTGACGTTCAGCACGCCCGACGAGAACTGGATGATGGCCACCTCGGGCGTCGCCGCCATCTCCGACACGGCGTCGAGCAGGCAGTCCTCGGGCACACGCGTGTCCGAGTCGATCAGGAGGATGTAGTCGCCGATGCGGATGTCGCCCGCGGCCCAGGTGCGGCCGCGGTCCTGCTCGATCACGGCGTCCAGGGCCCAGCGGTAGAGGCGGTCTTCGTCTTCTTGATTCCAATCTTCTTGATTCCAATTTCGGGGGCGGTCTTCGGGTCCTGCACCTGCAGCTGCGCCTGCGCCTCCGGCTCCGGCCTTGGCTTCGGCCATTATGTCTTCGACGCGGTTGCTAATGTCCAGACAGTAATTCATATTGGAGGCCTTTTTGAATTTCCCCGGGCGCACAAACACGTTGCGGCCTTGGGCGTCGCCGTGTGGGGCGTGCTTGGGACGGGCGACCCAGCCGATATTGTAGTCTTCGTAGAAGTGCACGCGGCGAGCGGCCTCGTCGACAGGGAGCAGCTGCAAGCCGTCGTCGTTGACAAAGATGCCCGCGCTGCCGCCCTGCAGCTCGTAGGTCGAGATGGCGCGCTGCACCGACGCCACGGTCGGCCGGATCACCGCGTCCAGACTCTCCTTGTACACGGGGCACTGGATGGTGACGTGCGGCAGCGGCGGCGGCGGCGGCGCGGCGTCGGGGCCAGTGGTTAAGCTGACTCCAGGCCCAGGCCCTGGCCCTGGCACTGGCAGCCCAGTCGTCAGCCGCTTCGACGGCACGGCCGAGTAGTACTTGGAGTTCCGGTGCATCTGGGCCACGGGGCCGACCAGCTGCGCGATGGCGGTGCACACGGTCATGAAGAAGAACCAGCCCAGCCACAGCTGCAGCGGCGACACGATGATCAGCAGCAGCCGCGTCCAGTTGTGCGAGATCTTGATCTCGATCGCCAGCGCGCGCCAGCCGATCGAGAGGCAGAAGACGGTCAGGATCCCCGCGCACGCCACCACCAGCGGCTGCCACAGCAGCGTCGCCCGCGGGCCGTCCCACACCTTGCCGGCCTCTTCGTCCTCGACCACTACACCGGCTTTGCCTTTGCCACCGTCATCGTCACCTTCACCGGGGGATAAGGATGATGAGGACGAGGACGAGGAGGACGAGGATGCTTGGTCCGTCTCGTTGACGTGGTCATGGTGAGTCTTGTCCTGGTTGAGGTGATCATGGTGTGTCTTGACTTGGCCCTCCCCCTCCCCCTCGTCGTCCAAATGCATCGCCCACGGCATCTCGACCAGATGTTTCTCGATCCGCACGGCGCGGTCGACAATGGCGGCCGGGTCGTCGTCCCACACGACCAGCATGGCGTGCGGGTGTCGCACAAAGGCGGCGTAGTGGTTCCGCTGGCTGGGCTGCAGGTCGTGGATGGTGTCCATGATGGCAATGCGTTGCCCGTGCATGTACGGCATGTGTTTCAGCCGGTACGTGGTCAGGAACAGTCGGATCACCGCCGTCTTGACTGTCATGCCCACCTTGACATTCAGCCGCTTCATCAGCTCGTAGAAGCCGTTCCCGCGCGAGGAGGTTCGCGTCGCCAGCTCCGCCGGTTGGCAGATGTAGTGGCCCTTGCTGGTCCGAAGTAATACCCCTTCTCCTTCTCTTTTCCTTTTCATTTTCCCTTCCGCTGCCTCAGACTCTGATTTCCTTTTCCCTTCCGCCGCCTCAGACTCTGACTTTTGCTTTGACTCCAAGTCCGAGTCCGAGTCTGAGTCGGAGTCGGAGTCGGAGTCTACCTCCGCCTCTGCCCATCGCTTCTCCAGTTGCTGTTGACGCAAGTACAGGAGTCGCATTTCCAGCTTGAACGCCTCGATCTGCTGTTCCCGCGCCGACCGGCCACTGGGTTGCGACGACCGGCCGTTGAGGTGCGACGCCCGCGCCGTCACGGCCGAGACGCCTTCGAACGTGGTGTCGACCGTCTGTTCGGCTGGCCTGGTGCCGAAGTCGACCACTTGAGTTTGGGGCTGGGTTTGAGTTTGGATCTCGGGGTCGGGGTCCCTTGACGTTTCTGGACCGGTAGCGGCATCGGCACCAGCACCGACACTTTGAAGCCCGGGCGTAGTTGCCGATGGGAAGCCAACAATCTCCTCCTCTGCCTCTGTCTCTGGCTTTGCAGGTTTCGACGGCCTCGGCGACTTTTGCAGCCGACGACGTGGCCTTGTTTCCGCGCTCGGCGCCATGGCCACTGCCACTGCCAATGCAGATGCAACGCTGTACTCTACCAAATTTGAGCAGAAGCAGAAGCAGAAGCAGAGAACTGTCAATAACTATGCAATGGACGTGGTGTGGTCATGGTCATGGTGCCGGTTCGGCGTTTGCGGGTTTTCTACCTCCTCGCCTGGCCTCGCCTCGCCTCTTTCTCTATCAGAATCACTCACGCCACATAGGACACAGGACACAGGTGAAGTGGGTGATGGTGCTGGTGGGTGGTAGGTGGTAGGTGCCAGCGGTCTAGAGTTGGCCTTGGGCTCCGACTTTGGGCCTTGCCTTTTCCATTCTCATGGATCACTAAGCATGATGGTGTACGGAGTATGTGGATAGTGAGCATCAGACTAGGTATTATGATGGATGTGCATCCCAGATGGTGATGGTGATGTTACATTGTGTCTACTGTACTCTGTACTCTGTACATGGAATTGTTGAGGGAGCCACCCATCCTAAGCCTGCCCGGATCCGCTTGGAAGATACCGCGAGCACGGGGCACCGGGCAGGGCACCGGTCCGGAAGTCAATGGGAGTGGACTGATATGATATTGATATTGATATTGCGACCTACCTAGTAGTATACCTAATCAGGAGTTGCTATACTTTAGGTGGTAGTAGTAGCAGTGGACAAAAGTACGGAGTATCCGTACACAATATACCCTCCACTACATGTACGTACCTACGTAAATAGTCTGTAGTCTGTATATGTATACATCGCCCGACCGTCAAACCAGCCCAACACCAACGGCGCCTTAGGCCCACTGCATGTGGATCTCGGCACCGTTATCCGTCCAGGTCCAGCCAAGTATCCGTACTCGTACCTAGGTACTCCGCAGTCGTACGAGTACGGAGTACGTGCCTCGTATGGCATATGCCGACAAGGCTATTGAAAGGCTAGGAGGCTAGGGGGCTAAGGGGCCATCAGCTGATCCCTAATTGAGGCGCCTTACTTTGGACTCTGGACTCTGGCCTCGACCTTACGTAGGTGGGAATAGACTCTAGAGGGATGATCTACGGCCTGATCTACAGCTAGGAGGTCTGGGGTCCTAAATAGGAGGTATGTACGGAGTACTACTGCTGTACTTGGTCTAGATGGGAGATATCACTACTGTACTTGGTATAGATGGAGATACCACTGCTGTAATTGCCACTTGATACTTGGTACTAACTCGTATAGAGTAGTCCTAACTGCTACTAGTACCCGTACCACTCCAGTATCTGATAGATGTCAAGTCAACATCGAGGGATATGATATGTGTACTACTACGTACTACTTACTAGTGTACTCCGTACTACTATTATTAATGCCGGAGCACGAGGTGAGGTGGCCCGCAGTTGTAGTTGTAGTTGTCCCTGTCTGTCATGTTTCTCTATAGTATATAGTATACAGTATACGTATGCCAGCCTTACGACTCTAGAATCACATCAGACACAACCGTATACGATGCGATGCCATACCATGCCATGTCATGCCGTAACCTAGCAGCTTCATCCCAATGCTTCATTCATTCTTCTTTCATTCTTCTTTCCTCACCGAAGCCATGCCTGCCGTACTCCGTCCGTCCTTCCTCCGTCCTCCGTTCTCCATCCGGTGCAGGCCCGTGCTCGCCTTCCACCGTTCTAGATCGCCGTTTCCTTCCCACCATTGAACATGACCCAAAACTAGACAGAAACGATTCCCCATGAAGATTGTCACCAGGGTCGTGCGCAACATCGCTACTCCTCCATTGTACGCCCGTGCCGTCGCCTCGTATGATGGAAATCTCCATGCGTCGCTGTTGACATAAAAATGCGAATCATGGAAGCCGATGTTTCCGGTCTGTCCGTCCATTTCGGCTTCTCACGTCCTCTGCTAGTGCCCTCTCTATCTTTGGTGCTAGAGAGACGACCGCGGCGAGGTCACCACTGTATCAAGCAGACTGCCACCCTGGCTATCTTCGCTTCTTTAGAAAAGCTATAACTATGCGAGCCGAGGGTGATCCGCCGTCTGCTGGCGGTGGCAGTGGCAGTGGCAGTGGCAACGCTTCCTTGAGATCGACCGCGTCGCTAATTGCAGCTGCAGGACCGCCGCAGCAGGATCATCATCTTTTTCACCACCATCATCTTCTTCACCACCACCACCACCAAGAAGAAGAAAAAGACTGGGAGGATGGGTCGTCGGGACATCAATCTGACGCCGAAAGCCATGCAGAAGGCACTGAACCCTTCCCTGAGCATGAGAAGGCAGCTGTCATTGGCATAGCTTTGCCATATCCTCCTCCCCCAGAAGCCACAGACAATACAGCATCCAACTCGGACTCGGCCCCAACCCACCGGCGCCCTAGCTGGAGCAGACGATTCGGCAGATACTGGAGAGGAGACCTTGGGTCGGAAACAGGCGACTCGCGGGCGGATACCGGTGAGCCTGGTTCTGCAGCTTCACAGGAAAAAGCGGCCGAGCCAGAAGGAAAGCCCGAATCCACGGTTATCGCTGAAGAGCCAATAGAGCTACCCAGCGACGACTGGCGCCAGCTGTCCAAGGTCATCAGCGTGGCCAGATCCGCGCAGGGCAATGTCTCTGAACGGCGCCGATCGTCTCATCGAGTGGACGAGAAAAAGGCCATCCGACCGGGGGTCTATTTCCGCTCACGGAGAGTGAGAGATGGCGAAAGGGACACTTCCTGGCTGCAGCAGAACAAAGACCCTCGACAGAAATGGCTGAGCATCATCCCCTTGGCCGGCCTCTTTCTCGGCTTTTGCGTCGCGGGGGTGTACATCTATCTGGGCTACCGCTCGGTGCCGGTCAACTCGTACTGTCTCGTGTACGAGGATGACTTTTCCGCCCCTCATTTAAACAAGGATGTCTGGCTCCAAGAGGTCCAGGTGGGAGGCTTCGGGAACGGCCAGTTCGACGAGACCACGGCCGACGAGGAGAACGTCTTTATTAAAGACCACATGCTCCATATCCAGCCAACGCTTCAGGACGAATACCTAATGACACACAATGCCACCGTGAATCTGCTTGACCGGGGAACCTGTACCGCAAATACCTGGGCCGATTGTGTAGCCGTCACCAACACCACCAATGGCACCGTGGTCAACCCGGTCAAGTCAGGTCGCATCAACACCAGTCGGGGAGCCAACCTGAGGTTCGGGCGCGTCGAGGTCGTGGCCAAGTTGCCCCAGGGGGACTGGCTCTGGCCGGCCATCTGGCTCTATCCCACAAACTCCGAGTATGGGACCTGGCCTGCGAGCGGCGAGATCGATATCGCAGAAAGCCGCGGGAATAACTGGACCTATCCTCTCAGTGGCAACGATATCATCTCCTCGACGCTTCACTGGGGGCCCACCACTTCCAGCGATGCGTGGTGGCGAACGTACCATAAACAAAAGGCGCTTCACTCGACCTTCTCCGAACGTTTCCACACGTTCGGGCTCGAGTGGAATGAGAAATACCTGTATACCTACCTCGACAGTCGTCTCCTGCAGGTCCTCTACCACAAGTTCGGCACGCCCTTTTGGGAGCTGGGTTCGTTTGCAGGGCTCAGTCTGTCCACCGCAGGCAACATCTGGTGGAACGGCACAATCGCCGCCCCATTTGACCAAGATTTCTTTCTGATCTTGGATGTCGCAGTCGGGGGCACGAATAATTGGTTCCAAGACGGACTGGCTGGCAAACCCTGGGCCGACCAAAGCCAGTTTGCGAAGAAGCAATTCTGGGAGGCGCGCGACCAGTGGTATCCCACCTGGCAGAACCCCAACGGACCGGCCATGCAGGTCAAAAGCGTCAAGATGTGGCAGCAGAAGGGATATAATGGCTGCGGCGACAATGCACGACCCGTGGGCTGACCTCAACTGCAACACGTACATGTATGTACTCATTTTTGGAGAAGTAATGCCTGTGGTTTGAAAGGATCCCTGACACCAGCTGGTTGAAGAATCAAAACATCGACGTACGGCCTGGTGCTCGGCACCTTGTTCGCGGATCCTAGCTCCGCACACCTGCCTCGCCTCCACTCCAGGTCGCTTGTATCTCGAAGGAGAAAGACTCGTACGGCTTTGAGCTGGCCGGCCTCATTCTTGCGCCAGCAATTCAGCGTGAGAGGGAAGTATTGGCGACATAAATGTCGCCAATACTTCACTACGAGCCACATATATGGTCCAATGACGGTGGGGATCGAGGCCCAGTACGGCCATTGGGGGGTCGTTTGCAAGTCTTTTATTGGCATTGGGAACTTCACACCCTCTGATGTGGTTGTGATGCCGCTAGGAGGACGCCTCTTCGATGGTCCATCGACGGTTATGTCGCCAGATTTCTCGAAGCAATCAATAGAAGGCGCCAAAAGACCCCACTGATCTGCCGCCCAAGAACGATTGTGGGGAGGTAGACTTCCCGCAGGTGCTGTCCAAGCGAAGAGAGACTCGTCGAACGACGGACGGCTGATTATTTTTCGCTGCAGATGTTGGAATGCTTCATATATGCCCTCTGTATACGACGTCATGAACTGGATCCCGAAGAGACCGGCGAGGCTGTACGCAATGTCTTCCTCTTTGCTCGTGCGTCTGCCGACTTGCCAACTCAGTCTCGTTGCAATGCTGGCATTTCGAAACTCCTCTGTACCAGTCAGATACCGGGCCTCAATGCCGGTGATACGTGAGATGTCGGCCGTCAGCTCAGCTCTCGTCCCCATGGGTTGCCAATGCCTGTCGAAGAATTCCATCTCGCGCGGTGCAAGCAGCTCTTGCAACGTCCAGCCGCGCTCAAACCATTCCGAAGGCCGTCCCCCGCGCTGACCCTCGGTCTCTAGCCGGTCAAACAGATCGGCACTCGGGGTTGAAATCTCGACGTCTGAAAGATAGGTGTAGCAGACCCTAGCTTGTTGATACCACCGGAACATTGAGTTGATTGATTCTTGCAGCTCCTGAGAGCTGTCTCTGTTGATGCAGCAAGAGTCAATCCAGATCCAATCCAACTTTTTTTCTTCCGCTCGCGCGCAGGCACCTCTGATTTTGTCCAGCTGCGGCGATTGTTCTTCAATGTTCTTCAGTTGAGCGGCACTTAGGGTTTGGAATGTTATCTCCTCTGTGTACCAGCGGTGGGAGAGTATTGCATATTCGGTGTTTGGTCCGATGTCTTTGAGCTCTTTGAGCTCGTAAGTCTTTACGTTGAGCAGTCGCATGGTGGCAGATTGACCGAGCAACGATTGCGGCACTGGTCGCACTCAAACCAACGAAGGCTACCTTGGTCGTATTGGAGGGATGAGGGATGAGAGATTTGACCGTGGTCGTGAAGAGGAGGCAGTGCTTGGAGCAGGTGAGTTGGTCTTGTGGGGAGGTTGATAGTACTACTACAGAGTAGTAGTTGTAGTAGTAGTAAGGCTGCACGATTTCGTGATAAAGATGCCAGTGACAAGCACACACCTTGCAACGGGTGCGGTTGGATTCTGGGTTGGAGCCTGAGTCGAAGACAGTGCAGCCTGCGTTGACGATGATTTAGAAGACTATGCTGTCGCCGTCAATGAGAAAGACAACGACGGAACAGGCGATGAAGTGCGGCTTGTGAATCTCATGCGTCCAGGTGATTGCTGATGCGGCTGAGGCTGAGCTTTGCAAGGGCGCCACTGGCACAGGCACTCATACGTGCTGAGTGTAACAATAGACTTGTCCACCAATAGTATCGTCATCGTCGTGCAACTCCTGTTTACAGATGGCTACCTAGGTCCGTGGTAGAGAAGAAGACTGATATTACGATGATGAAATCGGCCACCTGTATGAGGCTGGCCATGATCAGGTGCTGAGCCGCTCACTTGCAATGAGCGCGGTACTAAACACCTGGCTAGGGACCCCGTCCTCCGTCGTCAACAGTCAACTCGAACGCATTGAATCACAGCCTGACTGGGTTGGGACATGTCTTCCTCTGCTCCCAAGTCGAAGCTGCACTGTCTGAGTATGTATCCGTATCTCGATTCCGCGAAAACGCCAAAATCCCCGGGAACGCCAGGCAACGGCAACCCCTCCAGAACCTTCCTGAATGCAATTCGTAATGTACAGCCGACCGACCGTGTGACCCATGATTTCATAGAAGCCAACCAATTGATTGAGATCTTCACGCCAAAACGATAACAAAATCCTCCAGTATTGCCGTCGTCACCTTCCCTCCTCGTCCCGAACGGCACCAAGACACCACCACCAGTCCTCCGTGGTCTCGTAGCCTTTGCTCCACGCGTCCATTTTGGCAAAGCCGGCTTGTATGCACCAGTCGAGGATGAGCTCAACCTCGGTTTGGTCCAGTGCAAATCCCAGAGCTCTCGACAGGTCGCCCGCCGTAATGCCGGGAAATTGTACCACGAGCCCGATGACGCCCGCGAGGCACATGTCCCACAGCGCAGATTGGACGTTCCCATGGATATCAATCCACAGCGGGATAAACCCTCGGGGCTCGTCCGCATTTCCCCGCGGGATCGTGAGGTGCCTGTCATGTTGGCGTCCCGGATCGCCGAAGACGTAGGCTTGCGTGGGTGCAAACTCGACACCAAAGTTGATCAGCTTCTTGTCCATGTTTCGCGTCTTGTAACCGACACGCTCGTGATCGAAGCCGTAGCGCGTGTCGGGCACATCAGCCCCTGGTCTGGGCCGGATCTGACCCATGGCCATGAGGTTCAGAATAGCCACCGTGTCACCGTCGTCCAGGGCGCTGTCTTTTCCAATCACCAAGCTTTCGCCCATCTCGAAAGCCGCGTCTACCACCTCTAACTTGTACGTGACGGCACGCCGGAGCATGCTGGTATTGATCATCCTCCGTTCTTCGAGACGCTCGAAGAGTCTCCGACTTGCTTCCCACCCGCGTACGGTGGAGACTTGCTCTGATGGTCGGAGGGCGCGCTGAGCAAGGCGCTGAACAAGCTTCTCATCCTGAAGCACCCTTAGGGCACGTGTGACGAGAGCTTCACATTCCGTAGGCGTAGGCGCAAGCCCAGATAGTTTGGCATGAGCCAAGGTGGGGTTGAACGTCGATTCCGGCGTAAGAATCGTGGCGAGGACCCATGATCTCGCCAGGCGGAGGTCTGCATCTGATCTTTCCACCTCGTATCGCGGGACAAAATGAAGCCCCGGTGTGGCGGTTGTAGGCTTAGAAGGTAGAACCATAGAATCTGTGCCAAACACAGTGGAGCAGACGACATCGTCTTTGACAGGGTTGGTATGCTGCGTGTTGTACCCCGAGAGATGGTAGGAGCGTTTGGGCTCGTTGAATTCCAGAATATGCGTGTCAAGCAATTCTTCGCGAGTTCCAGGGAGCTCGTCAACCTGTGTCGAATTGAACTTGTCGAGGTTCCTCATCGCCCAATCGATAATCCCGCGCCAATCGGTGGCCTTTAGGTCTTGAAAATTGACCGAGGGCACCTCGCCGGCTTCCAGCGCTCCCAAGTATTTCCATTGAAGGTTTTCCGTCAGTCCCTGGATATCACTCCGGTATTTGTTCAACAATGTCTTCCAACGACTCTTGATGAACTCTTCCTCCTGATCAGGAAAATTGGTCATGACCAGGGGCCAGTCGATGTAACTCTCGATGCCTCCTGCCAATGTACGGACGACAATCACAGAAACGGCGATGCGATAGATCGTCTCCGCGGGCAAGGCTCGAAGGTACTGTACGCCTCGAGTCAGTTTCGTGGCACTGTCATGATCGGCTCCCAGTGTCCTATTCCGAGCACGAGTTGTGCGAGACCCCTTGGCACCCGCTTTTCGTCGTTTCGGTCGAGGGGCAAAAACATCCTCCTCATCACCACCCTGATCCTCCACCTCCAACTTTCGCTTCGATGGTCGAGCGGAACGTCGGGCTCTCTTTGCCTTGACAGGCGACGGCCCTTGAGGTGATCCTTCGGAATCTCGTCCTACGATTCGTGAAGCCTCTTCCGCAGATTGTTGTAGCGCCGACACGAAGACTGGCCACGATTCATCAACGGGATAAGGAAACTCAACTTCGGACCCATTTTCGTCAAAGGCAGTCAAGCTAGCAAAGTCAACGGTGGAGGGATGGACCGAAGCCGAATAAAGTGCAGGCGGAACCGTGTGGTTGATGAAGGCGTATCTGGTGCGGCCCGACTGAAAGGACTCTCCTGCCTGTTCCTCCCAAGCGCGAACACCCTCAACTTCGCAAGCAAATCGCTGCCAGTCAACGTCGTCAGACTGAACATCCTCGAACCTGATTCTGAGATCGGGAAGCTGAAGAATGTCTTCCACGCATGAGGGAAAATCCTTCGCCTGTTGCTTTGCCCACACGACTGAACGACCCGCTGGGCGAGAAGTTGCCTTCAGACGGCCTCGTCTAGGTGCTGGAGCAGCGCCCGAACCCAGCTTCCGAGGGGTCGAAATGGTAGTATCAAAGCGCAGAGCTGTCACCGGGGCTTGTGTCCTCCAGTTGTATATTTGCACAACTGGAAGTGAACCCAGAGACGGAACTTTGAGCGTAAGAAATCCAGTTGCGGCTGACACAGCAGGAGGTGGAGACGGAGAAGAGCTTGGCTGTCGCGTCCCGCTACGGCTGGCACTTCTGGTGCTCGGCGATGCTCCAGTGTCAACTGTTCTGTCGGTCTTTGCTGAAGATGCCCGTCGTCTTGTTGGCGGAGGCGTGCTGTCAGCCTCAAGTAGCGTGCGTTGAGCGTTTTTCCCCACCAAAGGAGCGCGAGCGCCTTCAGCCGTCCACTCTGGTGGAATGTAGTCAGCGGGCTCTGCATCGATCATCTTCTGCTTGACGTCGTCAACGAGGTCGGAGAGGGGACTGATGTTCGGCAAAAACAACACCGCCCGTTTGACCATGATTCCGCTCTTCCCACGAAATGTAAAAACGACTTGTCTCAGCTTTCCTGATTCGCAGAGGGCTTTGATCGCGCCTTTGACGGCTTTGAGCAATGGTCGATCCTCCGCCCCAGCTTCTTGCCACCGAGGTGCTGAGATGCGCTTCAGAGTCGACGGGTCGTTCGGCACGACCCCAGAAGTCTCGGAAATGAGTTGAAGAACAATCTTCCTACACAAAGCATTTGCACCGGGCGTGTATTTGACTCTTCCCCCATTCTGCTGCTTTCTAGACTTGCCACCCGCTTCCGAGCCACTCGGTTGTGAAAAGTCGTCGTCAGGTTGGCTTTTGGCGCGTGAGATACGCTTCTTGATACCTTTCCTTGAAGGCCCTACGCGAACGGGGGAAACATTGTCGTCTACCGCCAGAAGAGCAGTTTGTCCGGGCTGCCGTGTTTCCTCCGATATAGAGACGTCTCTCGGAGCAGAGTCCGTGGTCTGGTCTTGCTGCACCTGTACATCGGATGTATCAATTCTTCGAGACTGATCTTCCGTGACACCTGCGACGTGCGAATCTTGCCGTAAAGGTATGGTTGATGCCTCAACGATGAGAGCTGTCTCAGAGACTGGGGCTAGGTCATTGACCACCTCCTCAGCTTCTACCGTAGCCGGCAGGGAAGTGCTACCCTGATCGACCTGCGTCGTCGCGAAACGCTGCTCATCGATTGCTTCGACAGGAGATATGTCCTGTATGACCTCTTGGTCATCTGACGCAACTGGAGTAACAACAGAAGTAGATCCAGTTTGATGAACGGTGTCTAACAACCGACTCTGCGTGGACTTCGACAGTTGGGCCACGTTTTGACCCGGCACGTGTTGCTCAGGTAGTGCTTCCGGCAGGCTCGAAGCGTGTCGATCCTTTGTCTCAGGTCTATGTCCAGCGAGATTATCCGGCTTGTCTTGGGATGGTCGAGGCTCTTCGCTGATGGATAGCGGGCTGTTCTGCGTAACGTGTTCTGACCCTATAGATCTCGTAGATGCCCTTCTCAAAGATTTACCGTTTCCTTTAGGTTGATGAGTCAATTCCGGCTCTGTCTCGGTGACTTCCATCGAGTCGTCAATCGAAATGGAGACGCCCGACGGGTCTTCAGGCAAACACGGAGCAGGCGTCTCAGGAACAAGGTCCTCAAGAAAGACACCGACTGCTGGGCCTGAATTTCTCCTCGGCCTACTGGTTGGGCGCGGTTTCTTGTCCAGGCTCACTCTGGTTGGCCGCTGCGCCGGCTGCTTCGTAGCAGCCATACTAGGATAAAACGTCCGGTACGCGAAGCTGTGTGCTGCCATTGAGGAGATGAATCGAAACGGGTGTACCTTGCATCGATCATTAAAGTCGACCTGTTGCAGACGTGGGGTCTTGAGTATCAGGATCTGAGACTTGATTTTTACGTATTCGGCACGTACACCTTGAGGTGTAATGTACACACCATGGGATTGACGGCTAAGAATCCTTCTTGTACCAGCAACCCAAGCATCGGTGATCTCGTTAGGCGTAGCAGGTATCGGTAAGCCAGCTTCGATCGCCTCGACTAGAGTCTCGTCGAATCCGGCGGGACGCCGTGCATATAGGGCAAGGCCGGCAGGATCTTGCATCAATCCTTTCTTGCGTAAAGCAGATGGTCCGCCTGACTCGCTCCTAGCTTGCTGGAATTGCATCCTCCAGAATTTTTCTGTGCCTTTCAAGTACTTGCGAGGACGACCAATCCGTACGTCCGCTGATTCGCAGGGGGAACCCCCTTTTTGGGCTTCAGGGGGTTGAGAAAGCTGCTTTTTCGGCCGGCCGGGAGCGGATTTCCGCACCTTGAGCTGGGAGGGAATTGCATCGCGATACTTCAAGGACAATACTCCGTCTTTCTCAATGATTGATGGTTCTGCGGCACGATGGACAAAGTCTCCAGCCGCGACGGTCCGGATGATATCCTCGAAACTTGCTTCTCCGTTCTCGAATTGAAGGGGTAGCAATGGTTGAAGGGGAAATCCAAATTCATCGGTGTTGATCTTCGACTTGGAGGAGATGGCATCGGTCCTCTGTTCCAAGCCGTCTGGCAAAACGGTCCGAAGAGCTTCTTTAGCACCTGGTACCTGGTTGATGTCGACTTCCTGCCTTTCGGCCATCTGGCGGAATACATCCCACGAGTAATGAATGTACTGAGCAACGCCATCCACAACTATCGACACTCGGACAACTGCAAGGTGGCGCAAATGTGGTGGTTGGGCTAATAGCGACCGTGACGAGATCCGATGCAGCAATGATTCCATTGTTCGGCGGACAAAAACGCCAGTTATCATTCGTCTGGCATCCTGTTCTAGGTTAGCATAGGACTAGCTAGATGTGCTTGAGTTCATCCACGTACCCAGTTTGTGAAACCTGTATTTCCCATAATACGCACAGCATCCACTACCACGTTAGGCATTGAACGGTCTGGGTTCCATCTTGCCACATGACGGGCGGTCCCAGCCTCTTCTTCTTGGTCGTCTGTCGTGGAAAAGCCGGCAATCGTGTCACCATTATCCGCTGATCCTGCAGCGGAAATTAGCTCCTGAAGGGGTTGATCGAGGGCCAAGTCTTCTGTGTCAAACCGCCCCAACTCTTCGGGTCCTGGAGGGTGCAGAAGCTGGACGAATTGTTCCAGATCACTGGCGGTGGCAGAGGGACCGGTCGCAGTTTTCACTCTCTTAACACATTTCAGTCGCTCAAGCCGACGAAGAATTCTCCTCAAAGCAGCAGCCTCTGCAGCAGATTCAAGATTCAACTCTTCGGCGAGTTTGGTCTGGGGTATGAGGTTCTGGCGGAACAATTCATCGAAGATTCTCCGGACGACGTCCCTTACAGTCGACCCTCGAGGCGATGGATCCACGTTCTCGCGGGAATCGGTGGCAAATTTCTTCAAGACAAGTCGACTTGTCTTGTTACCTTTCCGGTAGACCACTTCCTTAATGATGTAGCCCTTCTTCTCCAAGGCGTCAGTTCGCTTAGGCACGGAGCGTTTATCTTGCCCGGACGCTTGTCGAAGATCCCCCTGCAGAATACCGTTCGCTCGTGCTGCGGCAATGTGGGAAAGAAGGTCGAATTCCATGGCAGACACTTTGCCGAGGTCTGGAGGGTGGCCGCATATTGCCTGGTAGACGCGTTCATTGTTGACATGTATTCGGGGCCCGTCGTTGGGCTTAGGATGCTGAGTGGTTGAACTGGGTTTGGTAGGGGAGGCAGTCTGTCGAGACTGATCCGAGTCCTGGCCTACCTTGTTGGTAGGCTGATTATCGCCTGTTGTGGCGCTGAGATAACCAGGAAACCGATGCTCAACTTCGGCCAGAGATATCGCATTGTACTTCCTGTCCTCGCCGATAGAGACATCTGGATGGCGTCCGAGCCATGTCCAGATCTTAGACAAGAATGGTGGGTCTACAGCGACACCGTGGTAGGGAAGCGGTTCTGCGGCGCTCGGATTTGAAGGAGGGTCACCGCTGGGTTCATGATAGAAAGATGAGGTGAAGGCTGCGAGATCGTTGATGGTAACACCTGAATGTGTAGGCGCCGGTCAGCAACACTAGGTCCTGGTCCTACCAAAGGGCACTATTCTTCCCTAGATTCTGGGGTAGCCCGATACATGAGTGTGGGGCAGAGGACAGGAGTTAAGGATGAGACGGGGAAGAGAGATTAGCCTGGCATAGGATAGGACAAGAGAGTGGTGGATGGAGAATGGAGACAAGGATCGGAAAGATGCCACGGAGCACTGAGCCCAGCAAAACTCGAGTTTCGCGTCCACGCCCGCGCAGACGCAGGAGGGTGAATGAACTGACCTTGATTTCCACTGAGAGCAATCTCCTCCAGCAGATGCTGGATCAGATCATCCAGGCTCTTCGCCATCGTTTGTGCCCCATGTCCAGATGGATGCTGGCGGCAGGTGTTGCAAGACGGGAAACAGAGGTGACGAGGTTCGAAACAGTGACTGAGCGCTGGTTTATTTTTTGGGCGGGCGCCCGGCCTGCGACTTCACTCAGGCTGGCACTGCGCAGCGCATAGTACGGAATGCTAATAGTCAGGTGCTAGTAGGACTATTTAGTATTTAGTACTAAATACTCCGTACTAATAGGTTAGGCCCTTGATTAGTACAAAGCCCTAGAGTAGAACTGAGGTAGGCAATGGCCTTGGCACCGCTTTCGCAGTCCGGCGTGATTGGCTAGCCTTCGCCCTGATCTCACTGCCTGGCTGTGTTCTCACTCAAGATTCTGGCTCTGGCACTGGCTCTGGTACTACGCCGCGTTGCATGCCACAAAACGACAACATTGAAAGGCAAGGCCAAGGCGTAACAAGCACTTGGGTGTAGCATCAGAAGCTCCCCCGCCCGATATTCGGAAAGGCAACCTATTTTCTATTCTTCTAAGGAGTGTTTGTGCTCTGCTAGCTGCGGCCGGGCCCCGGTGAACTTGTGTAGACTGCGAGTAGAGAGACTGACCCTCAGATATTTTCGAAATCCGTCCCAGTCCACAACCTCGTCCCTTGTAATGCCCGCACTTTTCCCGAACTCCTGGATGCTGAATAAAGCGAGGAAGCAACCAAACCCTGCGAAAGCTGGTTCGAAGAAGGAGGTGGAGGCCGAGCAGAGAATAGAATAGCCAAAAAAAGAAACGCTGAAATCTGCCCTCCCACTTGCTGTACTCCGAATCTGCCACAGGCTGGCCAGACTATGGAGGGAGAAGACAACTAGATAGATGTACACGGAACAACACATCGGCCACTGACCTAGCTTCTCAACATAGCCGACAGCAGGTTGATTGGGATCTCTGGAGGCGTTCACGAAGCAACCGCTCTGTGGGGTACGTTTCGTCGGTTGTTGCGTTGTTTGTTTGGCTTCGACACTGTGCTCCAGCCGTCCTCTTCCAAGGCCACAGTGGTGCTTCCTTCAGGTGCTTGCGCCGGCTGAGCATGAGCACTTCTCCAAGCGCCATTCGGCTTGGTGGAAGTGGCGGTCTGCACAACCTCCTTGGGCTTGACCGCCTTATCGTCGACCGGGAGTTGTACATCGCCCTCCTCTTCGTGCCCTTCGTCCGCAACCATATCATTCACACCAGAGTCCGCGCGACGCAAGATGTCGAATTTGGGGGTAGGAGGCTGCGTTGTTTCGTCGCCATTTTCCTTTGCGGGAGTAACTTCCTTTGCCTCCTTGCTTGGCACTTCCTTGGACTTCTCAAGCTCTGCCTTCTCTCTGGCCAAACGCTTCTCTTCAGCCTTTTCGGCCCTTGCCTTATCATCAGCTTCTCTCTTCTGCCGAATGGCGAGTTGTCGTTTTTCCTCGACTTCCTTTTCTTTCGCTGCCGTATCAACGGGGCGGGCAGCTCCAAATGGGCTGGCCTTTGAATCACTTGCTGGTGCAGAGGATTTCGCCGGGTCTGATTCAGAGACAGTCCTCTTCTGCAAGTGCAACTTCGGCCTGGTCGCAGGAGCAGGGGCCGGGGCTGGGGCCGGAGAAGATGGCTCGCTGGCTTCTGGGGTGGGTGCTTTGGCTGGGGCGTCGGGCCTCATCCGTGCTCGCCATTGGTTATCAAGTTCGGGGGCCGTGGGTTGCCGCTCAGGGGGTGGTCGTTCTACGTACTCGCGCCGTGGTGGGCGGGAGCCATCTTGAGATCTCCCTTCACCCCAGGCAGGGGACCTCCTTCGGAAAGCTCCAGAACCATCCTTGCTGGGTTGTCTCCCACCTTCACGGAGTGAGGTAGGCCCACCTGCGGCAGGTGACAACGGTCCCTTCCTCTCCCAGTTGGAAAAGTCCCTGACCTTCCCGTCTCCCTGGTCGAATCCGCGCCGACCACCTCGCTCGCTTCCCGCATCGGACAAGTTGTCAAAGTTTCGACCACCATAACCACCCGGTCGCTCAGAAACCCGACGTTGTTCTCTCGGAAGGTCCGGAAGAGGTCCCTTTCTTGACCAGTCACTGAAGTCTCGGGTGTCTTGTCTATCTTTCGCTGAGAAGGTGTTAGTTTGTCCTCGAAACTCATTGTGCACCACTTACGAGGCTCTGCAACACTGACGCGAACCTGACGTCCTGCTAAGTTGTTGCCACTCAGTCCCAATGCAGCCTTCAGGCCATCCAGCGTTGCGAACTCAACATAGCCAAACCCCTTGGGTTTGCGATCGAGTTTATCTTCCACGATGCGAACATTTGTGACCTGGCATTCTGCGAAGAAGTCGTTGACGTCTGTTTGGGTGGCATCAAAGGACAAGTTTGCCAAGTGGGCAGTGAAGGGAGGTTGGGTGGGAAGAGGGAGTTCTTCGCGAGATGGGTAGGTATCTCGTCGATCTAGATCTCCACATGTCAGCTATCTCTCCCGTTCGACAACGAAATCAGCGCACTCACCTGAATATCCAGAATATCCATTGCCCATGCCGGTAGTTGAGCCAAAGCCTCGTCGATCGCTCCCGTAGCTAGTTCGACTGTCCGTGCCTGTTGTTCACACATAAGATTAGCACACATGCTCGCAAGACAACGTGTCGGCACGAAGCGCAAAGGGACGACGTACTAGGCAGAGGCATATCCTCCATTTCATCAGCCCATGAGCCGAAATCTGTAGCCAATTAGCGACTTAGATCGGCTGCACCAGACCTGACCATCACTCACTCTCATCTTGCAAGAAGGTCCCGAGGGACATCTTCTGGTTCTGGTTCTTTTTAGGACCTGTCGCGCATCAGTATGCTTATCCAGAGATTCATTTGGCCACGCAAAGCTTGCACGGCCACTTGATATGTGGTGGTCGTACCCATGATGGCGAAATCTTAGCAGGCGCACTGATTAGTGAGTGCCCGGTGGATGTTGATCGTTTAAACTGCGCACAGGTCTCAGTACGTGCAGGAAAGCACTGGTGGTAGACAAAGGCGAGGGAGTCGGACAAGTTCAGCTGACAATCTAACGCGCCTGGAGGATAGGCACAGTTGGGCGAAGGCCTGAAAAGTGTCGAGGGTCTGCACTTTGCAGTCCAGTTCAAGTTTCTTCCGAGCCGCTTCCACAATGGGTATGGCGTGCGCTGGTCTTGGCGAGGACCTCGAGCGACTCGCAACTCACCGGCACTGGCAGGCTGAGCTGAGCCTTGCCTGCTGCCAGATGCTCGTGTGGCCGCAAATGGGGTTGTGACTTTTGCCCATCATTGATCTGCTACTAGTACTGGGGTCTGCGATGGAGATCTTTGCTCGTTGAAAACGCTGAACGTGCCCGCCGTTACTGCCAAGATGGGGGTTGATGAGTCTCAGACCCTGCCACGGGCCTTGGTGAACCCCTTCTACCCTGCCTTGGGAGTAGGTGCTGCTACAGGTGCTTGCCCTGGTCCGATCCCGACATACTACTAGTCGTGCTGATGCGCCTTTTTAGGAGCTCTTGGTGTTGCATATGGAGGAATAGCTGCCGTCCTCATTCAAACGCCGAATCCGACAATATACACTAGTGTGACTGGGCTACAATGGTTTTGTGGCGGGTCAACTTTTTTCTGTTCGTTCCCGGCTTGCTCTTTACGACATGGCTAACTCGTTGGAAGATTGCCGCAGTGCTCTCCTCGCAGGCCCCTTGTCCCCCGATACTGGGCTCCATCGAATTGCTGCAAGCGGCATTGCAGGGTCTTGTGCCGGCGCCGTGGCTGCGGCATTCCGTAAGTGATGTGATATAACCAGCTGAGCCTGCTCTGACCCTTGCCAGTGCCACGAGGGAGCTTTGTTTCAGGCAGTATCATGCTGGGAATCATTGCAGCCGCCTCTCAAGCAGGAATCAACACCATCGACAACTCTTCCCCAACCCCTGCGTTGTCTTCGCGCTTCAAACAGAAGCTATTGGGGTTAATCCCGATGAAGTCCCTGACGGACGACGAGTATGCACATCTGCTCCAGGATAAGCTCCTCAAATTGGAAGCGGAAATCTCAATCCTGGACGATCAGATTGCAACACTGCGCGCAGCGAGCAAGCAGCAAGCTCAGGGCCAAACAGGGCGATCGAAGAATGCGACAAGTTAGCCCAAAACAAGGCCATCCGTCCACCATAGCCCCAGGATGCAGGCGTCGACGTAGGCGAATCTAGAACATTTTTCAATAAAAGGAAGACGCTGCGGACTGGGAAGCTACGCCACAAGGTACGTCATGCTACGGTGGAAAATCTCGACATTCTATCACCTTCAGCTTTCGGCCAATATGGCCACGGCCACGGCCACGGCGTTCCTGTGAACAACGCCCGAGAAACATAGATGGAAAGGTCAGGCAACGCAAGCACGATCGATGGGGCCTCCATCAAATGGAAGAACCCAGGGGTCGAGCAGAAGAGAATGGAGACCTGGACACAGCTCCGGTTCCAGCAAGAACCGCCAGACGCGATCTGGCTGTACGGAAGAACCCACCAGGATCAAGAGGAGGTTGTAGAAAGTCCCCTTCTGTTCCAGTGCAGCATCTCGAGAACCAGAAGGTTAGCAGAGGCGCGATAGAGACTTGGATGGAAAGAGCAGAAAGGAAGGGTTCGATAAGAAGCACAAGCACAAGCACTGAAAGCTTATCATGTTTAACATAGATACCTAGTTGGTAATCAATCGTTATTCAGGCTCAGTCACCAATCAATAGGTGCGGTGGTGTGGTGCGAACAGGGGTTTGGCCCTGCTTAACCACCGCAGCGCAGTCATTAATCCCACTCTGAGCTCTCTATGAAATAGCACAAATTGCTGGGGCGGACTCCACCATGGGGGCGCAGCATCTACAAGGGCCTTAGGAGCCTCCACCTGGGCCACGGCCAGGAATGCCTCGCTTCGTCCTATCTGAACCAGCTCGCTCATTTAATAGGTATGTCCAGTGTACGGATACCCCGTACTCTTGCGCATTGACCGGCTCGCCGGCACCGGCAAGCTGTCCCTCCTCGTCCGCCGCACCGCCAAAAAGTCAGCATTGTCAGGACGAGAGGCGTTAGATCGAGGGCACCTCTACTCTCGGGTCTTGTCTGCTCCTCGCGCATTTGCATCCCTTGCGCCTGTCGCGAACCCCCGGCGCTCTAAATCGAACAGCAGTTTGGCCGTCCACAGTCTCAACTCCTCGACGGTCTCCGTGGCGATCGTGTCGATTCGCCCACACACAAAACACCCTGTATAGAAGTCCTCGCAGGCAATGGCAACAGCTGCCTCAACTATCGGCCCATGCCGCGGTCGCCGTCTCGAATGCGGTCAGCTCGCTCCCCATCTGAGATGACCTTGGATATAACCAGCATCCCTATTTCCTTTGACGGTGTCGGAGCAGGATCCGCGGGCGCGGAGCTTTCACCATGCCTCTCGTCAATTCAACCTCGGTCATGGCCGTCATCTTCCTACTATACCTGTCCTCTTTTGTCCTCCTCGCGATCCTGCGCATTGCGACCGGCATATCCATCCAACGAGTCGGCTATTTCAGTCTGAGGCACATATCCTACACTCCAAAAGAAGGGCTGCGCGTGGATCTACGGGGACTTGGCTTGAGTCTGCATAGACCTACTTTTGCTCAGCCGACATGGATAAGTCTTGTGTTTGAAGACCTGAAGGTTACTCTCGATCCAGAAGTGTACGAGAGCTCGTCAACAAAGCCCAGCAGCTCGAGACCGTCTAAAGAGCGACACGGCCCACATGAGCCTGCGCGCGGAAATGGCGCTCGTCGACCGGGCGGAAGAAGTAAGCTGTGGAAGCAGTTGACCAATGTCAAAGAACGCATCAAACGCGTGCACCGGCAAATACACATCTTGCGTATGTTCGACATCAGTGCCTTCAATACTACTGCCGAGATTGTGGGTGTTGGCTATGTGCACGTTTCATCATTTACAGGAGCTGTCTACACCCGGCGGAAGCTTCTGGATCGTGGCCGCTTATTCCGACACAAAAAAGACCCCCTGGGTGGGCAGCAGCCGGCTGAATGGGTGTTCTCAGTGAAAAGCATCCTGATGGGGGTCGGCGGCCGCGACCCGATCGAGATTCTGGATGCCATGTCGATCAATGTACATGGGCTTCTTTACAAGGAGAGAGCAGGGCTACGGGATACTTCAATCGCGATTAAAGCCGGCCGCCTTCATGTCCCGATCGATGAAATTCTCCAATTCTCAAGCCGAAGCAAGAAGATTGCAAAGACGGCACGACACAGTCATAGCCCGAATCCCGTTGAAGATGTCTCGTTCGAGGATCTGGTGGAGGAGCTGGAGAGCCCGGGGAGTCGGGAAGCATCTATTGTCCAGACCGTGGCTGATTCGAAAGAGTTTTTCAGCTCGATCCTTCAGAGTGTTCAAGAAATCCAGCTCGGAATGAGTTTCGTGCGGATATCGAAAGAGATCGAATCCCTTAGGCAGGCCAATCTACCTTTGGTTGCCAACATGGTCATCCATGAAATTGGCATCGATCTCCACCGACTGGACCAGAATGCTCCAGTTCATCGCATGTACTTTTCCAGAGAAGATGTCGCCCACCAAGCCTTGGTGGCCGCAGTGTCCATCTCGGTCAGTCTGGACGAGGATGACTATTCGCCGACCAAAATCATGTACATTCCGATGGCTACCACGACGATCAGGACTACATTTCCTGCAAAGACAATGAGCTTCACCGAAGACCGAGATGTTGCCGAGAGGAATACGAATGTCGTGTTTGCCAACTTTGTGGTCACTTCTCCCTCGATCGACTTGGTACCGCAACACCTGATCAGGCTGCTGGCACTCACCAAATCTCATACACAGCCCTCTGCTGAGCCCCAACAAAATCGACATCGACTGATCTCCCGCTTGCTTCCGAAGGCTAGCATCAAATTTTCAATCCATGAGCCAGTTGTGAGGTTCGTGTTGCCCGTCGCCGATCCTGCCAATGCTGGCCCTGGCGAATATGACATGATCATAAATTCGATTTCCTCGATTTCGCTGGATATCGAGTCTTTCCATTCGTCAGGTGGGGAGCTCCTATACTCTCTAGGCTCGAACCTGCGTGTCATGTCACATCAGCTCTATTATCAGGCCTCCACAGGCATCAAGCATAATATCCTCCTGACTGATTCTTTGGAGATAAAGGGCCAAGTTGATGCTTCAACAGACGTTTCCGTCAGTATTGCTGGGAATCTTCGCACATTCTCCATCATTATGGTCCGGGAAGAAGTGAGCAAAGCAATCTATAACATAGTAAGGCACTTCAAACGACACACCCCTGCTGCAGGCGGTCCCGGCCCCGCCCCGACCGTCTTCCTGAGGAGGCTTCCTCCCTGGCTCATCGACATCCATTTGGAGGGTTCCGGGTGTAGCATCGAAGCTGCCGGGGTAGATTCTGCAGTTTCCAACCAGACCCGAGGGGTTGCCTTGGAGCTTGAATCCTGGACTGCGCACTACACGTCTTCCAGGGCAGACGTGGCTCGAAAGCCGCTTACGAGGAGAAAAGGCAGCACGTCGCTTCGTTTTGGCGATACCTTTTCAGCGGGCAAATATCAGTCACCTCCTACATCACCCCCTCGGCGTCATCACACTGACCCGACGGATGGCCGCCGCCTTGCTTTCCACGTGAAGGGAGTCGAAGGCTTCATCATCGAGGCCCTTGACCGATGGGAACCGAAGTCTTTCATGACTGTGCCAAGATTCGAGGTCGCTTTCAGCACATCTCGAGATCAGCAAGGTCCGCTCTTCCATATACACTCTGCGATCCGGGCCTTCTACCTGGAGTATTCACTGTACCGGTTTTATTCGATAGGCGTTGCGGGCACGATCGTCAAGGACGCTTTCTTGGGCCCTGCATCTGCTACACCGGACCTCCGACGGTCCACACCTCATCCCAGTTACGAGGAGGTTGTCCAAGAGGCGCGGGCTCCTACTCCCCCAGGCGTGGAGTTGTTCGTCATTGATGTGAAGGCCAATTACGTCCAAGTGAAAGCTAAGATGCCGGCGGACCCTCCCATGCTGCTACAGATCTACCAAGTCTCTGCTGGGCGGCATAGGTGGTCGGCGCCATTCCTCAAAGCGCAACTTCTTCGCCTTCATGCAGAACCTCCTCGTCTCAAAGGTGCTTGGGCGCGCGTGGTGGGTGCGAGCAACGTTCGGATCGACCTGCGTCACTCAAGGAGGAAGTCGCAGGCTGGCACGGTGGAGGAGAGCTCGATCGACGTCTCGACCGATTTTATCCGTCTCGCCGTGCCGCATGGCATGCAAATGTACAGAGTATTTGATAATTTCATCAATGCTAGCAAGGCCATCGCACAACTACACCATCGATTCAAGACGCGGACAGACGAATACATTCTTCGGAAGGATCCTGTGAGTCCCAAAAAGGTTCCACGGGTCTCGCTGCGGTCCAAAGCTCTTTGCTTCGAGCTTGAAGATGACCCCTTCGAGTGGAAGCTCGGTGTCATCTACCGCGTCGGCCGCATTGAACAGAAACAGCGACTTGCCCGTGCCGATGCATTCCGTCTCAAGGTCAAACGTCTAAACGATGAAAAGCGCCCACGGTCAACTTCTCGTTACCGTGCCACATCAAGTCGTCCCGGCTCCCCAACCGCTTCCCGTGATCATCGGTCTCGACGATCCAGAAGCCTTGACAACACTCCACGGAAACGATCGACCTCCAGAGGGAGGCGCGGCAAATTGTCTTCCTCGATTCGGTACGATCGGGAAGGAGTTTGTGCATTGAGCAGCAGCGCAAAAATCGAGGCCAGCGAGGCATGGGACAAGCTCCTAGAGCATAACGCAGGGAGCTGGAAGAGGCGGATTGACTGGATGCTCCGGCTGCAGAACAACACCGTCCAAAAGATTCGTCAGATGTTCCAAGGAGCCGATGAGCCGCCTCACGACAGTGCCGAGGAGGAAACCATTCTTGCCATCCCGAACCGTCCCGGGCTGATGACTGTGATAATCAGTGATTTGCATCTTGTGGTCGACAAACCCTCGTTCCCGCCGGCCGAATTGCCCAAGTTTCTCTACGAAATCGGCAAAGGGATACCCTACGATACTCAGTATGCACTGCTTATTCCGGTCAGCGTCAGTTTGGACATGGGTGAAGCCCGAGTCATGCTTCGAGACTATCCGCTCAACCTCCTCCATATTCCTGCCATCCGCCCCGGCCAGCCTCCCCGACTTCCGAGCTGGTCCTTGAGAACCGACTTTGTCATTGCCGAAGAGTTTCGAGACGAGGAGTCGATGCGACATATCAATGTTGAAATTGTTCCCAAAGGGCAGTGCGGGCCCAGAGGGGAGGAAATCCCTCGCTTTGCCATTGATGTCCAACGGACCGTGTCACCCGTCAAGACATTCTCGAATCCCGTGGTCGATATCAACACGAGCCAGTCCACCACCATCTCCTGGGGGACGTCGTACCAGCCTGTCATACAAGACATGATGATGATCATTGAGGGTTTCACGAAGCCGGAAATAGACCCGTCAGAAAGAGTGGGCTTCTGGGACAAGATCCGATTGAGCTTTCATTCGCGCTTGACCGTGAACTGGAAGGGGGATGGAGATGTTCAGCTGCGGCTGAAGGGCTCCCGAGACCCTTACGTGGCAACTGGCTACGGCGCTGGGTTCGTCATGTGTTGGCGCAATGATGTACAGTGGCTGATCCACGCTGTGGACGACCCGCGCAAGTTCATGACGGTCAGAAGCGGCGAGTATGTGTTGGCTATCCCAGACTACAGCCACGAAGCCCGCAACTCCCCCGAGCAGAAGGCGAGTCACGACTCAGACAGCATGTCGAGCAGCAGCACCCAGAAGAATGCCGCGCTCTTCAAGAAGGTGATTATGAAGGTGTCGGGCAATGTCCAATGGACGGCCGGGCTGGTCTTCGAAAGGGCGTTGGATGATGGAGGCCGGACGTCAAACTTCAAGCACCATTACGATGTGGTCTTGAAAAACCCCGCCCAGATGCACAACGTGGATCTGAGCACCTACGATGCCTTCCGTGGGTTCCGAAGTAATCACATCCATCTGTCGGTGACGCTGGCAGCCCCTTTCGACCGAGACTGGGTTGGTGCTGACGCCGCTCCTTCGGAGAGCTACAATAGCGTTCATCTGAGCCCCCGGTTCTTCTCCCACTTTTTCGACTGGTGGTCGTTGTTCTCGGGGGTCATGTCTCTGCCAATCCGACAAGGTCCGCTATGGAGAGGCCCGGAGACATCGAGCAAGAAATTTGGCCGTCATCTGGCGACCATCAAGTACGGTCTCCTTCTATCGCCGCTGTTTATTGCGCATGTGTATAAACACAAGGATGCCGAGGACTACCAAGAAGACCTGGTTCATGCCACCGGGTTGAAGATCAAAATCGACAGCTTCATGCTGGATCTGCATCAGCGTCGCGAACACTTCGACACTCTCTCGAAGGGAAAGGCACAACAGATGAGGACGAGTGCCATGAAGATCAACAAGGCCGAGCTGGATTTTGTCCGCGCCGACCTGCGGGCGGTGGCGGCCAGCATCGCCGGGACCACGGCGGAAGAGCTCCAAAGGGCGTCGGACGACATGTTGTCCTCATTGCAGGAGGTGCCGGCAAACGTCGACATGTCCCAATTCACCATCCCCGACCGCGACTTTACTTGGATCGACATGGACGACTTTGTGGAGTTGGATTGGGTTCTGCCCGCCGAGTCCAATCCGGAAACCAAAATCTTACCCCTGGCATTTTGCCCCCGGTTCACGTATTTCCGGCAGACCGACCACGGCGCCGGCATCCAAGGCGACGAGTCTCGGACCAGCCCTTTCGGTGACGAAGACACCCATTTCTGCGTCATGTCGAAGCACAACGACCCGCGCAAGGTGCAGATGGACTTGATCGGCACCCGACTGCATGACCTCGAAGAGAAGCTCAAAATCCACTCGAAGCTCATGGCCGAGCATGAGCTGCTTGTGATCCGCGACGGAGACCATAATCCGAGCATCAAAGAGAAACACAACACCCTTGTCGCACAAAACAAGGAGCTGGAGAGCAAGCGAAGATTCCTCGAACATGGTCTCCGGCGTCTCGGGGGCCATGCCAATCCCGGAGAAGCGCAGCCACAGGAAGCTTCTCGCAGCCAGGCGCCTCAGGGGGATCCATTGACGGCCGAGATCGATGCTCAAATCAACGCACCGCCTCATGTCGACATGGATGCATTGTACGCGGCCCCCCACGACGAGTTTGCGAGTGATTTCAACAACCGATTTATCATCCACAACGCGCAGTTCAAGTGGAACAACTCTCTGCGGAACATCATTCTTCGCTATAGCCACCAAGTCAGCCAACGTCGCGGGTTTGTGTATTATATGTCTCGCCGGGCCGTCAAATTCATCCTTGACATCGTCGATGAGCAGGCCAAGGCAAAAGAGCTCCGTCGCAAACAAGAGCAGAGGCCAGAGATGCAAGTTCCGCCCACCCCCAGCGTCTTCTCGCCCACCGAAGAAAAGGACGAGGATTTTGTGGTCGAAGACAGGATACAACAACTCTTGAACGACGCCAAGCGGTTTGTGCAAGCTGGTGACGACCAGGCTGACGAGTTGCCCGCCACGCACGAGGCAGATACCACGACGACCGGCCCGGAGCGGCGACCATCCTCGGTGGACCTGGGTGACAAGATCGCCGAGAACTTCCAAGCAATGAACAGCTATCACCTCCGTCTGATTGCGCCACAGATCCAGCTCCAAAGCGAGAAGAACACCAAGTCCATCGCGCTCATTGCCACCAAGGGGATGCAGCTCAAGGTCGTGGCCATCATGGACAAGGCCCGCATGTCAGACGACGTGAGCGGACTGGTGCAGCGCCGGTTTGCCCTGGACATGGATGGCGCGCAGTTTTTCGTGGCCAGCCAAAAGACCCTCGCACAGTATCTGCATCTCTATTCCGGCAACCGCTACGGGAATACTCCTGGATCGTCCTGGCCTCCGTGGGTGTCCCTCGAGGCCATGTTTGACTTCCACCTGGAACCGTTCGGCTTCCAACGGGTGATCCAGAAGACATCGGCGAGCCTGCGATACGAGCGGTATAATCCTCTCCGTCTGAAGTACAACGAGGAAGTGGAGAGCGATGAGAGCGGTGAAGTCAAACACCCATCCTCGGGCCGCGAGAATCGGATTGATCATCTCTGGGTCGACTTTCCCCGGGTCCGTGTCCGATGCGACTCGGCGCAGTACTATACCATGTATATCATCGTGCTGGATCTTCTTCTGTACAGCGAACCGTTGGAAAAGACGCGGAGTGAGCGGCTAGAAAAGATCATGCTGGCATCCGACTTCAGTGACTTGAGAGGCGCTCCCGAAATGGCGGAGAGCCTGCAGCAACGGATCCGACAGCTTGAAGAGATCAAGGTCCATTTCCAGATCAACGCCAAATATCTCGACAAGCAAGGCTGGCAGGATCGGATCAACCTCGAAAAGGACCTGGCCAGCTGCGAAGACGAACTGTTCTTCCTCATGAAAGCCATCAACACGTCGCAGCAGAAGAACGACGACCGGAAAGCCTCTTCTCAATCCAGTGCGCTGCTGCGGTGGTATCTGAGCGCCTCGGAGATTGTGTGGCACCTGATGATAGACCAAGACGAGGCGTTGCTCGAGGTCCAGCTCGGCAATGCGGCGTATGAGCGCATCGACAACAGTGACGGCTCCAATCATAACGCCATGGAGATTGAGCACATCCGCGGCTGGAATCTCCTGCCCAACGCCATCTACCCCGAGATCATCGGCCCCTATTTCGAATCCGGCGATCGACGTGGCAGCCTGCCCGACGGCGCCAAAATGGTCCAAGTCCACTGGTACATGCTGGAGGCCATTGCCGGGATTCCGGTCCTGGAGCAGTTCCATGTCACCGTCTTCCCCCTCAAGGTGCAATTGGAGCGGGAACTCAGCAAGCGGCTGTTTGAGTATATCTTCCCCGGCATCGGATCGAATGCTTTCGAACAGGGGAACTTTTCACCCCTCATGGTCCGGACCATGGAGCCGTTGGATGATGGCGAAGACGAAGAGCTGCGGAAAGCACAAGAGGTCTTCCGCTCGGACTCGGATCTGCCGGGCTCCAATACCGAGTCACAGCGTGGCACTTCGCCGGGGGCCATGGCCAGAAGGCTGAAGCCGACGTACAACCTGAACTACAATGACAGAGACAGCCCGACCTCGACGCACGGGAGAAGAGGCCTGGGGCTGGGAGGCGATCACAAGTTCTTTAAGCATTTCAACTCGTCGAGTGCCCGATCGGTGCTCAAGGAACCAACGCGCAAAGCGTCGGCTAGCAGCTTGAGGTCGAAAAAGACCGATGCTTCGTCTACCAGTCTGGTCGCGCTGGGCACGGCGGAAGAGAAGAAGCGCAACATGATACATCGGACGACCAGTAAAGAGCTCGGTCTGGCGTTGAAAAAAGACAAGAAGGAGAAGCCGTCGGACGATCTGTCGCAGATGATGTCCCGGGCGTCCAACTACATGACGCTGGCGCACGTCAAGCTGGACAGTTTTGTCGTGTGCCTCAGCTACAAGGGCAAAGGGGAGCGGAACTTTGAAGACCTGCACGACTTTGTCTTCCGCATGCCGACGTTGGAATACCGCAACAAGACCTGGTCCAACCTCGATCTCGCGCTGCGGCTGAAGAAGGACGTGATCCGCGCCTTGATTTCGCACACGGGCGCCATCATCGGCAACAAACTCTCCCGCCACCGGCCCAGCAAGCGGCAGGTGGAACGGCTCAAGGAGATCGCGCACTCTTCCACCATCGCGCCCTCCGAGTTCAGCCTGCAGCTGTCCGGGACCTCGGACACCACGAGCCTGTACAGCTTCTCCCAAGACGACCGAGACGACGACTTTGAGTCTTCGGGCATATCTTTCCAGTCCCCGACCGTCACCAACGGACACAAGAGCGGGCCTTTTGGAGGGCCATCGCCTCTCCTTCGCAGCGGATCGTGGCACGCGAGCAATATCAACCTCGCCGCGGGCCACGGCGGCGGACTGTCACTGGCACCGCCCCCGCCACTGCCAGCCGCCAGTAGTCACAGTGGCCCTTCCAGCAGCCACTCTCAGTCTCCCTCGTCCATCGCCCCAGGCTCGGACCGGCCCAGCACGGCCAACTCCTACAGTTCCAAGAGTCTGCTGAAAGAGACGATCAGGCAGCATTTCTCCAGCGACACGGGAAAGGGTCGGGTGCATTTCAGTGGCTTAGGTCTCATCAAGAGCGAGGGCCATCGTGAGAGCCGAGAGAGCAGCGTGCACCGAGAAAGAGACAAAGACCTCGATGAGGACAATCGTGCCCAGGATCCGAGTCCGCACAAGGATGACGGCGGTGGCGGTGGCAGTGGCGGCGGCACCACCGAGAGTGACGCCGATGCCGAGAGTGGTCGGCGAAAGAGCGTCTTGTCGCTGGGGAAGAAGGTACTGAATCGATTGAGCTGATTGGATTGGACTGGACTGTTTGCCCCGGGTTTGACGGAGGCTGGAAACCAGATCAGGATCATCCCATTCCATTCCGCCCAGGCTGTACTCGTACACAGACACTGGCAGGCTTGTTTTGAAAAGGACCAAGCAAAAATCCTTGCTTGCTTGCTTGCTTGCTTCCTTGCTTGCTTGCTTGCTTGCTTGCTTGCTTGCTTGTTTGCTTGTTTGCTTGCTCCGAAAAGTTTCCCCCTGTATCTATCTTCCTGTTTCTTCTTGTTTCTGGGCCTGGGCGGGTTTGGAGAGAGAGAGAGAGAGAAAGACGGCCGTATTTGGAGGAGCCTCCCATCCCGGTGGCTATTATTCTATCGGTGGCTAAGGCTCTCCCAGTGGCCCACGCAGGAGGAAGGATGATGTTGATATTGATATTGATGTCGATGTTGATGTTGATGTTCATGTTTGGTTGTTTATGCCGTGTGTATTTGTATTTGTAGCTGTAGCCTACCTAGTACCTTAGCTAGCTATTTGGTTATGAGTTCGTTCGTTCGTTCGATCTTGCAAGACTCACTCCTTTCCGTCCTGTTGGATCCGGGGATTTGATGTCATGTGTAATCTCCGAGAGTGCATCATTCATTCATTCTATTCATTCATTCATTCGTCGGTCCTGTCCCTGTCCCTGTCCCTGTCCCTGTCCCTACTCCCCCATCGGGCATTGTACTAGGTACTTATTGTTCCCCTCCTCCCTCCCCTCCCCCCTTGACCGTTCCCCTTCCCTTGTCCTTTTCCTTGTCCTTTTCCTTTCCTCCACCGCCGTCTTCGCCTTCTTCACCACTCTTGTCCTCGCCGTCAAACTCGTCCTCGTAGTCTCCCTCGACGTAGTCAAAGGCGCCTCTAACAGGCCTCGGCGTCTTCCAGCCCGCCATCAGCTCGTTGTACAGAAACTGGTCGAAGGTGGGGAAGACATCGATCAGCTCGTCGAAGAACATGATGCCGCTGTGCAGCTTGCGCACGGTGGCTTCGAGGCGCGTGCCGACGCGGAGGTAGGATTGCAGAATCGATTCGATCAAGAAGACGTATTCTTCCTCGTCTGCAGCGCCATCGTTCTCTTGCTGCTTGTTTTCGGCCAGAGATGCCCGCTCGGCTGGTGTCAGATCTTCGGGCAGGGAGTCGGGGTTCTTCCATGGTTTGGCGTACACCCGTCCCACCGGCCGGAAATGCTGCGAGTTCTGAACATATATTTTCTTGCACTCGGCCGTCGGAGGGATGATCTTGGTGATCTCAAAGCCCACGTGCTCTTTCACCCACTGAACTTCCAACGCTGGACCGCCTTTCAGACCGGCGAGATAGGCAGCAAACACGTCCTCGGAGGCGGCGCCTGCGACGCCAAAGTGGATGATCTGAGAGGCCTCGTCGGGTTTCATGCCAACAAATACTTGGTCTTCTGTGGTGGTCTCGGGGCCCCACCATGTCTCGCCGTCGTAGTTTCGTGCGTAGCTTCCTCCGAACAAGGTCGAGCACGCAATGTTGAAGTCGCCTGGTAGACGACGCGTTGCTTCGGCCACGTTCCACAACTCGGTTGGCACTTCGCGGCACAGGTTGCGCGTGGCCAGTACGTCGTCCCGGTACTCGGGACACACGTCGTGCTGCAGCAGATAGTCCATAAACCGCTCGAGCGTGGTGGTCAGCATGCTGACTTGGTCGCGCGTCTCCAAGCCATACAGGTACTTTGCACGGCGACTGAGAAAGCCCTTCATGCAGCCCAGAAAGTCGACTTCGTACAGGCTCGTTTCCGTGCCCAGGTTGAGCTTGTCGTCCGTCACCGACGCCTGGGTCAACGTCGCGGACGCTTGCGTCTTGTCCATGTCCTCGGTGTTCTGGCCGCCTTGGAAATTGTTGGGCCCGACCTCGACGCCGCCGTAGATCAGGTACTTGTACAGCACGTCGCGGCGTTCATTGGTCATTTTTCGGGTTCGTTCGAACCGACCAATCGCCGTGAGGATGCGGGTGACGAAGGGGAGGTCTCTATGAATGCAGATAGACAGCACATGTTAGCCATCATCATCCTAGGGTTGTAGATGAGAATCGCATGGTTGTGCTTACGCATCATAGAGTTGCTGCTCTTCAGCATGTTGGACGGGAGTCATGGGCGTGTCGGCGAAGAAATCCTCGAACCCAGTGGGTTTGCCCTGACCGGGGGTTATGTCTGTTAGTCTAGCTGAAAAGAAATCTGTGACTGCCATGTCCAAATGGTTGGGGGCATCTCACCAGTCCACGTTGGCTCTGAGGCTTTCTCTTCGCCCTCTTCTTCTTCTTTTTGGGTTGGAGTGGGGGCAGGTCGGTGACTTCTCCGTAGTCGTAGTCCTCTGCATTTTCAATCTGGTTTCCGTTCTCCGTCCCGGTGATAACTGTCTCGGTCTCGGCCCTGGTAGAGGCGTGGTCGGGGTCATGGTCATCTTCGACAGCAGCACTTCTGCCGTGCGACTTGCCGCCCTCTTTGGGTCTCAAGGGAAGGGTGCGAGAGTCGAGATCAGGACGGGGAGTGTCGTTGGTGTTGGTGGTGGCCGTCACCATTGCAGGACCTCGGCTGTGGTAGGATGCCTGACTTGTATCTTCTCGTCTCACGTCTTCGTCTTCGGCCATGTCGATGCAGTAGTCGATGTAGTAGTCGATGTGCTCTACCTGGCCGCAAACAAGAGGGAGGCGTGAGTAGAAAGGAGAAGGACAGGTGTAGATGAAAAGGCGGCCACAGGACAAAAAGGACAAAAGGTCCTCGCGAGGGGCTGGCTCGAGAACAGCAAGTGAAGCAAGCCTACCAGCCTAGGAATGGTTCAAGGTAAAGTGAAGAAGAAGGAGAAAGAGAAACCGGGCATGATTCACTACCAGTGGCACTGGCACTGGCACTGGCACTGGCACTGGCACTGGCACTGGCAGGTGGATTTAAAGGCAGAAACTTGAATAGAAAGATCAAGGGTGTGGGTATTGATGGCAAAGGCAAACAATCAGTCAAACAATCAGCCTGGCACACGGCCAATCTATTGTTGCTGCTGCGCTTTACGTGCCTCAGGTCTCAACTAAGGTTTGACACAAGGCTGAGGTCAACCTCCGCAGGCTTGCCAGTTCAGCGCAGTGCTGCTCAAGTTGTAGTGACAATACTGTAGTTTAGCAATACTGTATTTTCGCTAAAAGGAGGGATGAGTTATAACTATCTGTTTGGGAACATGCGTGATGCCGCCCTATTCTCAGAGACATTCTATTCCACTTCACTCCCTAGTATTCACCATTGACCCAATTTGAAGTGCTGGGCGAGTCGCAGCTAAGTTCCGAGCAGTGTGTGCCTATCTTTCACCGCTATGTACAGAGTCCATACTAGTATATCAAACCTCCCATCCTGGAGGATCACAAATCTGTTCATGCCAGTCCTTGATCCTTGACGTACAAGCTCACCATCTGATTTTCCATTTCCTCTTGCCTTTACCATTCCTGTTTTCCAGCGTCGACATGGCCGATTCCTCTGCCTCGAGACTGGCCGCCATCCCCTCGGCCGCCGAGCTGGTCAAATTCGACCACAGCGCCGCCGGACAGTAGGTCGTCGCGCTCGCACATGCATGCCTCCCGATGGCCATGATCGCTCTGCTGACATGCATTCTGCCGTAGTGAGGGCATCAGCTCCAATGCCTCGGGGTCCCTGATCATCAAGCCGTGCACCCAGGCCGAGATCGACTTCTATGAATCCGCCAAAGCCCACCCTCTGTTCCAAGCCCACATCCCGACCTTCCTCGGGTCGCTGTCCCAGAATGAGGACCAGGAGGCAGTGCGACCGCTCCTCGATGCCGGTCGGGATCAGTCTCTACAAGGTGGCCCAGGCGCGGGCACGGCCACAGTCACAACAGACCCCACGCCAGGACCGGTGAAGCGCAAGAGCTGGAAGCCGTCGGGCGGCAAGAAACTGTCCACGGGACTGGCGGTCGTGCTGGAGAATGTGGCCGCAGGGTTTCAACATCCGAATGTGCTGGACGTCAAACTCGGGGCGCGGCTATGGGACGACGACGCGCCAGTCGCGAAACGCCAGAAATTTGATGAAGTCGCGCAGCGCACCACGAGTGGCAGTCTGGGCTTCCGGATCGCAGGGATGAAGCTGTGGTGCCCCCCTCTTGGAGGAGGAGTTGGGGAGAAAGAAGGCCAACAAAGCTCCGCAGTCCCGAGCGACGAACCCAACGTCGAGTGGAAGAAGGGGTATAAGAGCTACAACAAGTTCTACGGCCAGTCGTTCTCCAAAGACAACGTGGCCGAGGCGTTCACGACCTACCTAGGCGGCGTGCGACGAGACGAACAGACGGGCAAGACAGTGTTCAAGCGGAAACGGGCACCCTTGATCGCTCGGCGCCTAATTCGCGAGCTCGAGAGCATCCAATACGCGCTGGAGAACGAGGAGAGCAGAATGTACAGTGCCAGCGTGCTCTTGGTGTACGAAGGCGACGAGGCTGCGTTGGAGGTCGGTCTCCAGGAGGAGGAAAAGGAAAAGGAAAAGGAGAAAGAGAGAGAAAGGGAACGGGAAAGGAGTCGGCACCAGGTCCGGGAGCAGGACACCGCTGAGCACGACGACGAAGACGAAGACTATGACGACGAACAGCTAGCCTACGACGAGTATGACGACGAAGAGTATGGCAACGAAGACTTTGACGACGAAGACGAGCAGGCCAATATACCGCGAAAGGTACACGAGGCCAGACTCATTGATTTCGCGCATGCCTCGTGGACCCCCGGCCAGGGGCCCGACGAGAACGTTCTCAAGGGCATTCGGAGCCTGTTGGACATCCTAAGGGGCTTGGTCGAGTAGCCTCAGCCCTTAAGCCTTAGCCTGCCTGGTCTGTCTGGTAGGTAGAACGACATGATGCACGAGGTTGTGAAGGCTGCCTGCTTGCCTGCTTGTTCAAATATTGCTTGTTCAAACATCCCCGCTTGATCGACCATCTTATGTAGCCTACGTCGGACAATCACAAACACAAGCACAGGCACAGGCACAGGCATAATCACTGATTACGGGAAGGGAAAATGAAGTTGATAGACATAAAATATGTTTTCCTTGGAGCCGAATAGACCTGGTTCTGATCGACCGCCAACCGCCACATTTCATGGCCCCTGATCTGCCATTTTATCTATCCGTCGGACCGGGATCGCTGGATTCTAGCGGATCCCTCTCAAGATCTGTCTATCCCAAGAACTGGCTCCGGCCAACCTGCCCAGACGATGGCGCGGGCGGGAACTCGGCCAGCCACGGGGCTCAGCAGACTAATGCGACCTCGCGCCTCGTCTGTGTCCGTGACATAGAGAAAGCCCATCACACTGCTGTCTCGAATGGTTTCCTGTTCGGCTTCAGCTTCGCAGTTCATCACAGCGAGGATGGCGTTGCGCATTGCGGCGTAAGGCGCAGAGACTCGTTCGTAGATTTGTGATGCCGGGAGAGCCACCTTGGATGAGGATCCTCCGGGATATGTCCCAGATGCATCATCAGTCATCCCACCGGGCAGGAAGGTTTCTTCATCTTCGTCGTCGAAGCTGGCTCCGACAGATGCTGACGATGACGGATCAGGGGTACTGCTGATCCGCCGCCAGACAGTCAGAGTCGAAAAGTCCACTTGCTGCTGGCGTGGCTGTAGCGAGATCCCGTTGCTGAGTCGTGGGTTGCCATAGAAGTATGCTTTGATCTGCGCTGCACGAAACGCTTGCATGTATGCTTCATCGCGGTCGACGCAGCCGCCCGACTTGGTGAGCTTGATCACCGAGATTGTCTCAGCGTGACCAGCAGTGGTGGATCGAGAAACTGTAGGTTGCCTGTCAAACCTTTTGACCATGTCACTGTACAGCCTTTCTGATCCTAGACAGATAATGGTCGAGACGGCAAATTCCGACACAATATCTTGAATAATATCGTAGCCCACCTGGCCCGTTTTGCTGGACGTGAGACTACCAGGAGTATCGATGATGAGTCCGCTTTCTCTGGTTTCGGCGTCGTTGGCGAGTCGTCCGCTGATAGCGAGCGCTAGGCGACGTATTTGGGCCTTGTATACCTTGCCCTCCTTTTCCTCCGGTCTGGGACTACCGTAGAAATACACCAGCGGCAGTTTGACAGGGATGGCTCCATTCGGACCGCTCATGGGTGCAGTGCCCCACCCTTCTTCGATGTCCATCAAGGTCTTGAACACAGTTGCAGTGAAAGTGCCTGGTATACTCATCACTCCCTCCTTGACATCCAAGTTAAGCACGAGTGGTGAACGGGAAGATCGATTCGAATATCCTGTGAGGATCTTGGCCAGCGAACTCTTGCCTGCGTTATCAGGTCCCAGTATCAGCACCCGTGGCCCCTGGCGGCCATGCGCCTTGGCTTGATCGCGGAGGGTCTCAAGCGCGAAATGTACATTGATGTATTCACTCATGGGCGTTTCTTCAGCGATATACTCGCTCTGGAGAGCATCTCCGCGGACCTCGAAGGAACAGCCATGCCAGGTGTAAATCGCGGCTTTGGTGGCTGTGAAGGTGTAGGTGTTTCCAATGACGAGTTCGGTTCCAAATAACTCGGCGGTGCCTCTCAGCAACTGGGACAGTGTCATCAGACCAGGCTGCCAAAACGTAGTGCAAGGGGAAATAAGTACCTTAAGCTGAATGTATTTCCCAACGGCGACCTCGAAGCGCCATTCGTTATCTTTGGCTAGGTCATGCTGACTGGTCTCGGCTGTATGAACCTCTTCGGGCTCGTCTAGTCCAAGGCCCGGCAGAGACATCTCATTTCGAGAGATGATGCTCAGGAACAAGGTACACAACTAATAACAGTAACAGTACGGATACTTCGCAGGATGTGAGGTCATTTTCAGGAAATTTCAAAACAGAAGGTTAGACGAGAAGAGCTATGGAATATTAGGTTTAGCGCCACGCTTATATTAACCCTTGCAGCCTTAGTCAGCTGGTAACATGTATATCAGTGATCATCTCTCATACCCAAACCAAAAAGGGGCTGGACAGAACCGCACAGGGCCGGACTTTCCAGGTCCGTGGGTTCACGTTATGTGTTTATTTCATCGAGGCGATCGCCGCAGTTCCATCACCGGCTCAGCCGATGCATGGGACGACTTGTCGGATGGGGAGAGTAGTTGGAGTCGCAGCGTTTCGCCAAAGCCGACAGCCTGATTCGTTTCAAGGCGGCTTCGTCGCCCGTCCAATCCTCGGAGATGGTGTAGCTCACACGCTGGACACACGAGCCATGAGCATGCTCTTGTGCAAGGTAGTTTGGGCGATCTGCCGCATCCGCCCTCAAGCTGCGACCTCGCACAGAATCTTTCGAGTCGAGAACTGCGGTTGCCATCGCCTGTACGGCAGCCACTCCACCGGTTGATGGAAAGCCGTGAGACAGGCGATCTCGGCGAACCCACGATAATTTTCGCTGAATGGAAGCGAAATCGGATCCAGCCGACTTTCCAGAGACACACCGCAGGCCTCGACTTTCACATCGATAGCAGGGCCACGAGCCTTTTCCGTCAATCACTGGAACGGGAGGATGTGAGACAAGACAAAACACGTTGGCAAGACTCGACTCGACGGGACCGATCAAGACAATATCTCGAGGACTTACTTGGGACACAGATGGAGCCGCTCTCCCGGCAGTCTAGACAGTCTCCTTGATGGACCCCGAGTTCCTTCAATTGCATCTGCAGGGCGCGGTCAGAACTGGGTCAAGGGGATGTAAGAAAGACGTGCAGTGCAGCACTCACTTTCCATTCCATGCTTAATCGCATATGTTCCGGATAATTCATCGCGTCTGTCGTGGGCAATGTCCACCTATATTTACGGTCGCCGGCGTTGTGATGATCGTTGCTAGCCACGGGGCTCGAGATGAGATGGGGCGTGCTGGCCTTTCCTGGCTGCTGGAAACCACTGGCCGGTTCTGCATCCGCACCTGCCACTTGGCTATATGCCGCGCTGGTGACCAACATTTCGTGAGCTTTCATGCCGCTTCTGTCGCTGGCCGACGAGCCTGCAGAGTTGGGTTGGTTGGGAGGCGGAGTCCTTCCGTTGTTGTGATTCGGCCCAAGATGCAGCGAGTTGTAGCCTTGAGCAGACTGCAGGGTCAATTCAAAGTCGTCAAGTGTGGCGGTTGATGTTGAGTCTGCCACAGTCCGATGCAGTTGATGCTCTGCAGGGGGTAGGTGACGAAGCCCGCCAATACTGTTGTGTCTTAGATGAGCGACGTTTGTCGGGCATCCCGGCTTGGAATTGAATTGAAAATCTACCGCTGCCGATTTTCGCTTACGGTTCGGGCTTGACTGGCCGCGGCTGGGGCTGCGAAGCGGGGAATCCCACGCCGGTTCCAAACTGTGGCTTTGCCGGGTGGCATAGGGTTGTCTGAGGTGGGATATTCCGGCGTCAACATGAGGGCGATTCGGCGACTCGGTGCTGGGGAGCATGGGTCGGAATATAGAAAGCGGATTCATCCCAAAAGCGACGGATAGGCTGATCAATCCGCGCGTTGGTTCACAGGTTCATGTGAGATGCCCATCAGGCTGTGCGTGCGCGCGCTCAGGCCGTGAATAAGGTGGCAGTTGGACGGATCTCCTCTGTAGCAGTCTGTCAGGCGCTGGCGGTGTCCGATGGATAGGTGATCAGATATATGGGGATGTTGTGAGAAGTGGTGGAAAAGAGGAAGAATGCCAGCGAACGTCAAAACAGAGTGGTGAGTCAATGGCAATGCCATGCCAATAGGCAGAAGTGATGTTGTAAGTGGCGGCTATCCGTCCAATGATCTCGGGGCCATCGCTATTTGGCCTCTCAGCCTGACAAGGCTAAATCATTCCCAGCATCCCATTCTGTCTTTCAGCCGTATCTCCCTATCATCTGGTCTGGGAAGATAGGCGATGCTTGGTAGATGGTAGATGAGAGATGGGAGACGGTAGATACAGCCTTAAGTGTGCTTAAGCTCCCAGTTCCTCCACGTCCATCCCTTCCACCAACCCTCCAAGAAATCGCCGACACCGTAGCCTTTGTTCCAGCCCTTCGCACCATTCCGGTTCCTCTGACTAATGTTCCAGAAGAGCGTGCCGTCATAACAACCGCGGAGGTCGTCCTTCCACACACGGCCATCCTCCTGGAGCAACAACCAGGTCGTCCACAACTCCATAAACCCAAAACTCCAGCCAGCCGGATCCGCAGCGCACCGGTTCTTCTTCCACATGGCCCACATCTCATCCGCACTCAGCCCACCGGTGCCCGACGTATCCCAGCGGTCAAACATGGCGTCGAACCTGTCGGCCTGGAAATGTCCATCCACGTCAAACACGTTGGTATCGGATCCGTGCTTGGCCTTCTGCAAGCTGCCCACGAAGATGCGGAAATAAGGGTCGGGCAACCAGCTGTGGCCGAGAGTGGTGGGGTAAGAAAAGAACAATGGGATGAGGAGCGAGCCGAGGGAGAAGACGACATTAAACCCCAGCTCTCGGAAGCCGCCGTAGACGTCCCATGGGTAAATGATGCCATCGTTATCACGGTCCCAGAAAAGGACATGTTGTTGTAGAGCGGTCAACTGCAACTGCCGAGTCTGGATATCCGTACCTGGAGGATACGGGGGCGGGAGGCCATCGGAGAGCCCCTTGGTTGAGTGTGGTTGCTTGACTGTGGCCGAGGGCATGTCGGCAGGAGAAGTCTATGCAGAACCGTACCGTTTGATGAGGGGAGATGTAGACCAAGATATCGATGCTCGTCAGGTCTAGGAGGAGATTGCGTGTCTACTAGTTAGTATCACGCTTGTATCTGGGCGTGCAGGAAACAAGGACAAGGATGAGAAAGAGCACATGTCAATCCATGATGATGACGATCGTGGCTGGAATGATGATGTTTGGCTGCTGTCCGCAAGCTCAAGCTCAAGCTCAACTCCGCTCTGAGTGGTGATGCTTGATGCTGGCACCACGAGCAGAATTGAAGGCTTTGCTCCCTGGCTATCGACCTGGGGACTGTGAAGGTGAGTTGACACTTGATTGTTGGGATGGCCGTGGAGGGGAGCAGGCGCAGGCGCAGGCGTCCAATCACGAGCGGAGATCTGCCGAGGCTGCAACGTGGTCATGTGATGCCCATTAGCATCACGTGATATCAGAAAGACATAGTCACGTGGCAGGCTCTTGACAGGGGGTGATCTTTAGCAGTACAGAGTACTCCCCACCTACTCCCGTACCTGGAGGTGGCTGTACGGAGTACGGAGTACAGAGTACGGATACTCCATACCTAGATATCTACCTACGTAGTATCTAGTATCTAGTAGCCAGCAATGACCGCAGACATCAAACACCCGTTCTCCATCTTGACACGCCCTCTTGGAGACCAGCATAGTCACTCTATCACTGACTCTTGATCTCGCCTCTCGAACAATGGGTGACCCTACATCTTCAGCGGCTAACCCAACTTCCATCTCTGCCGTCGATTCGAACAACACCTCCTCTCACCCCGACCCCGACACCCATGTCGGTGATCAATATGAAGTCCCAACCTACGAGCCGCATTCATCCTTTGCGTCGCTGAAGGAACGCATTCGGCATCACTACGAGCTCGCCTCGGACTATTACTACTCACTCTGGTAACGCTACGCATTCCATACAACGTCATCCGTCCCATCTTGCATCTTGCTCAATCATACTCATATCTACCATCCACCCCGCGCATCTCTAACATGGCACCCCTTCTTCTCTCCACAGGGGCCAGCACATCCACCACGCCTACTTCCTCTCCCCCACAGACACCAAAGAGACCGGGCAGATCAACCTGATCAATCTCCTCCTCGACATCTCCGGTCTCGCGCCTGACTCCACGGTCCTCGATGTCGGCTGTGGCATTGGCGGCACCACCCGTCATCTGGCCCGCGAACACGGCTGCACCGTGACCGGGATCACCATCAGCGGCCGACAAGTGCAAATTGCCCAACGGCTGACCGGCGAGGAAGTGGCAACCTTCGCAACCGGCACTGGCGGCAGTGCTCCCAGCCAAACCTCGACGACTGGCGGTGCCGACGCTGACGGCTTCACCGCTGACGGCCCCCGCGGCGGCCGAGTCAAATACATCGAACTCGACGCGGAGAAGATGGAAACGGCATTCCCGCCCTCGAGCTTCGACTGTGTCTGGATCTCCGAAGCTCTCAGCCATTTCCCAGATAAACCGCTGTTCTTCCGCAACTCGGCGCGGGTGTTGCGTGGCAATGGCAAAGGGAAACTCGTCATTGCCGACTGGTTCCGCGCCGAGAACCTCACCGAGCAACAGACCGAGGCCGATATCAAGCCGATCGAGGATGGGATGCTGTTGCCCCCGCTGTGCACCCAGGCCGAATACGTGGCCATGGCGGAGGCGGCCGGTCTCAAGCTGCTACATGCGCCCAAGGACATCAGTAAAGACGTGGCTAAGACATGGTAAGTGTGGCGCATCGCATCACATCATATTGCACCTCTTCACCTCTTCAACTCTTCGCCTCGTCTCCCTTCGCCCCTGCCAATGATTCAGAATCACCCAAGCACAAAGGTAGAAAATTTCTAACCCCCGTCTGCCATCTCTCCAGGGACATCTCATGGACCCTCGTCTCCTCGCCCTCGCTGTGGGCCTTCGCCATCTCCCAGGGCCGCGACGGCCTCGCCTTCCTCCAAGCCTTCCGGGCCATGCGGCGCGGCTACGCCAACGGCACCTTCAGATATGCCGTCTTGGCTTTTGGGAAGCCGCAGGATCGACTTTGATATTTGGAATGTGAATACAGCCGGAGGGGCCGAAGGCATCAAAAGCCAAAGAAAGCCTGAGAAGGAGGCATGTGCTATTGCAGATGCAGATGCAGTTGCAGATGCAGTTGCAGTTGCAGTTGCAGTTGCAGTTGCCGTCGCTCCTGGTCTGGGGCTCGAATCAAACATCCGACCACGCTGTGCGCCAGAAGAACGTTGACGACCTATATGAAATGAATGGTCTGCGTCTAAATTACGCCACGATGAGAAAATCAACGAGGAATTATAAAGCCATCATGTTGAGTAGAGCGGTAAATGTAGATACACAAAGTTGACATGCGCACCAGGCTATGCCGCTGCCGCTATGCTGCCGCTATGCTAAGCAAGGCTTTTTTGCTATTTAAAGGCAATTATCTACATCTGAAATATACCAATATGCGACAAAATCCAGTCAAATGATTGCCCGTTCGTCGACATGGACAAGTATGACCCGGCATGGCCGGTGAAAGTCTTATCTCATCTCATTGGGTGCGTGGGCTTACTCTCCATCACTCTCGTCCTCGGCCGTTCCTTCATGGAAGTTCTTGCCTTCGGTCGTCTCGTTGATAACACCAGCCCGGATGGTCCAATCGCCAAAGTGTTCACCCGGGTTTCTCTCCTTCGCGTACCGGGCCAACAACCCTGTCATGATCTCCAAGATCTCATCTTCCTTGATGCTGCTCCGGTACAACTTGTTCAAGCGTTGACCGTGGTAGCCACCACCCAGGTACATGTTGTAGGCGCCGTAGGCCTTGCCGACGAAGGCGACCTCGGCGAGCCACGGTCGGGCACAACCGTTCGGGCAACCTGTCATGCGCATCACAAGGCTGTCCTGAGCCAGACCGTTCTGCTCTAGACAGTCCTCAAGCTTGCTGATGAGTTGCGGAAGGTACCGCTCCGACTCAGCCATGGCGAGACCGCACGTGGGGAAGGCAACGCAGGCAGAGCTGGACAATCGCAAACCCGAGAATTGCGTGTTGTCCAGCTTATATTTCTTCATCAACTCGGCAATCGCCGGTTTATCCTGGTCCGTCACGTTGGACAGGATGAGATGCTGGTTGCCAGTCAGGCGGAACTCGCCGTTGTGGACCTTGGCAATCTCCCGCAGTCCAGTGCGCATGGGGAAGTCTGCGGTGTCTTCAATGCGGCCGTTCTCAATAAAGAAGGTGAAGTGGTTTAGCCCCTTCTCGTCTTTCAGCCAGCCGAAGGTGTCGATGTTCGAATGGAACTTGAAGGGCCGAGGGGCGTCGAACTTGATTCCAAGAGGGGTGAGCAGTTCTTGCACTTTCGACTTGAAGACTTCATTGCCCATGTCATCCATGGTGTACTTCAGACGAGCGTGTTTCCGGTTCTTCCGGTCACCGTAATCGCGCTGGACGAGCATAATCTTCTCACAAACAAGATGGGCCTGGTCAGCAGGGACATAGCCCATCATGTAGCCAGTTCGAGGATAAGTCTTCTTGTTGTTATGCGTCACACCCATACCGCCGCCGGCAAGAATGTTGAAGCCCTCAAGGTGGGCGTTGTCCTTGGATCGAATGGCAATCAGGCCCACGTCATGAGCGTAGACATCCGTGTCGTTGTGGGGTGGAATGGCAATCGTAATCTTGAACTTTCGAGGAAGATAGGTTGGCCCGTACAGCGGCTCGTAGTCTTGAACAGCGTCACCCGCCACTTGAGTTTTTTCACCAGTTGTATCGTCCTTCAGCCAGATCTCATGATAAGCGGTGGTTGATGGTAGCAGATGATCGGATATTTTCTTGGAGACGGCGTGCACTTCTTGGTGATACTCGGACAGGGTAGGTAGACTGGAACACATTACGTTCCGGTTGACGTCGCCGCAAGCTGCAATGGTCGTCATGAGGGCTTTGTTGATTGCCCGCATGGCTGGTCGTAGTTTGGATTTGATGACACCATGAAACTGGAATGTCTGTCTGGTTGTCAACTTCATCGTCTCGTTTCCGTGGGCTGAAGCGATGGCATCCATTTGTAACCACTGTGAAGGCGTAGAAACACCTCCCGGCAAACGGCATCGGATCATGAACGAATAAGCCGGCTCAAGACCTTGGGCCTTGCGTTCGTCTCGTAAGTCACGGTCATCCTGCATGTAAGTACCATGGAATTTGGTGAGCTGCTGGTCTGACGCAGAGATGGCCCCAGTCGAAGTGTCGGCCAATCCTTCAGCAATGGTGCCTCGCAGGTAGTTCGAATTGATCTTCATGTCTTCGTTGGTCAATGGCGGTGGTTCATCAGGTACACCCTCCACTTTGTCAACATTCAATGCTTGCCAGAGTCGGGGTTCCCATTCTTGGTAACCCGTTTGGTAAGTATCCGGATCCTGATCATCACCAAGCCCAATGGGAGTTAACTGTTTGCCTCCGAGGAATTGGATTCGAGCATCGAGGTCCTTTGCGGGCTTGTTGTAGAAGATCTTATCCTCCTTGCGAGGCCAGTAGTGGCTGTCGCCCAACCCAAAGACAGAGTAGTGGACGTTTGAGAGATCAAGATCGGCCGTGTCCTTGATCCCCTCCCAGAATGCACGAGCATTCTGTGGGAACTCTCCTTGACCGGCTGTACTGGTGATTAAGACAACGTTTTCTTCATTGGGAAGATCCTCGAGGGGATAATCATCCATGGCCATGACCATGGTCTTGAGCCCTCGAGCCTTGCCACGATTTCCCAATCTCTTGGCCAGCCCTTGGCCATTGCCATTGTCAGATGCAAATAGAATGGTCAATGGGGCTCCGTACAAGCCCTCCAACATCTGCTCGTAAGCATCTTTCGCCTTGCGCTTCTGCAGCTTGCGTACTTCGGAGCCGTAAGACTCGGACAAGTTGGCGGCAAAGTTGGGGTGTCGATTCATAAGTTGGGTAAGCTGATTGTCTCGTCGGAGGAATTCTTCCAGTTCACGTTTAATCCGTTCGGAATCCAAGGAGAAGGTAGGCTCCCCCTTATCTTCGTTTGATGGATCCCATCGGTACAGCGGCCAGTAACCCAGATCCACGGCTTTCTTGGTTTCTTGCAAAACAGTCAGTGGAGAATCAGTCTCCTTGTGGTAGGGCAGGTAAGCCAGTATGACCGAGGGTCCATTGAACTTCTCGGCTTCGATCATTGCCTGTAGCACTTGGGTGTAAGAGCTGTACACCGCAACCGACGCGACGTAGGCGTTACCGTAGTTCATGGCATAGAGGCCAATGTCCTTCTTGCGTCTCATAGAGTCTGCAGCAGCTCGTTCCGAATATGGTTCAGAGTCAATAATCAGCATGTTGACGTTGGCACCCGAAGCCAAGACATGATGAACTCCAGAGTTACCCAGATCATATGCCCAGGCATCGGACCCAATGAGCCACTGGGACTCTTTGAAGAAGAAAGCCTTGTTGTCGAGTAGCTTGGTCGATAATCTTGAGCCATCGGTGGATAGACGAGCAATCACTTCAGGCGCGTACTCGTTCGCCTTGACAGAGTCGGAGGCGTTGAGCGCCCATCTTGACAGCCACTGCTTTGGATTATCGGTGATGAATTCATTACTGCGTGCAGCTGTCTCGGCCTCCTTGACAAATTGTTGACGGTTCTCGATTCGAGCAAGAAGGGATCCAAACCCGTATTCAGGCGAGGCGGCGAGGGTGGCGGAAACACCCGCGTTCCTCTCCTTTAGCTGATTTGCAATGTAGAGTCTATTGCTAAACAACTGGTCAAGGATTTTGAGATACGCGTTTTCTAGCTCAGGCTGGTCAGGGGTGAAACTGTCAATGACTGGTTCCAATTCCTTGCCGATGCTGAGGTTTTGGATGGATCTAACAGCAGTCTGCGAGTGGCCGCGGCGTCGGGAATGCTTCCTCGGAGTGGTTGGGGGGGCTAGGTTCTGGAAGATCCCACGTAGCGCTTGAAGGGCTGTTGCTTGGTCAATCTGGCCCAGTCTGTATTGCACCAAAGAAATGGAGGTTTGGCCACCAGCTCCAGGGCTTAAGCTGGACAACAAGTCAAGGAATGAAGGACCCCATCTTGTAGTCTTTCTCCTGATTTGTTCCAAAACCGCAATCTTTTTGATCGACCTTGGGATGGAGTCGAGGAGGACAGCACTCCCGAGCCAGGGGCGATATAACCGAGCGGTGATCAAACCAACATTGGTCAAGTCAGCCGGGCACTCGTCGGAGTCGAGAACATCAACGAAGACGCCTGTTGATCCGAAAACAAAAATGGCGGCCTCGGCGTCTGGTGGACCAGAATATTCAATGGCGGAATAACTGCGACCGGTGGCTCGTGAAATGATGGCCCAAATATCGCCAACATAGGTAAAAATATCGCTCGCTGTAATCGGACGGGTGATGGGAGCATCCACTGTGGTCGCTATGGAAGATGGGGCGATGCTGTCGGAAGAACTGTCCCGTCTCGACGATGGCACCGAAGAGGTATCGGTGGTGCCATTTACAGAAGATGTAGGCTCAACGGGGGACAAATTCTGCCTAGTCACTCCCGAAGATGCGTGTTGAGGGCGAACCTCTGGCAAGCCTAGGTCAGTCACGGTGGCAGTCCTTCCACCATTGGCATACAACGTCTGTTCATCAGAGTCGGTATGTGACGCCCGTAGACCTACACCAGTCTCGAGGAGCTCTTGCACCAGCTCCCGGCTCTCAGCTGGAATGGGGGTATCTTGGACTGAGTTGATGGGGTCGTAGAAATGGATGACACCTTTACCGCTCTTGATTGCCAACGCATGGGAGGCCAACGCAATGTCCTGCGCCTCTTGAAGGGTTTCTGACTGCAAAAAGGTAAACCCGCACTGTCGAATGGCGCTGATCTCGGAAAAATCCGAGTTAGGCGTGGCCAGCGCCACATGCAACACCACAGGGTATTGAGCAAGTTTATAGAGGTGAGGAATCGAATTCAGGAGGATGGAGGACGGGGTCGTCACGGAGACGAGTTTGCCGGCCTGCAAAGGAGTATATGCTGAGAGAAGAGGGTCTGCATTCTGGCGGACTGGGATGACTTCGGGAAGGGCCTTGGAAATGAAGCTTTTTGCGTTGTTGGCAGTAAATCGAGATAGATGGTACGAGAATTCGGAATCGGTACTCAGCGACGGTTGGACCGAGAGAATGACATCGCTGGCGAGATAGGCAATCCTCGCAACTGTAGATGAGTCTGTCAGTACACAGGATCCTCGATTCTGCGGAGACCCTTGCTTTCACATACCTGCCTCTGCGGGGCTCGAGACCGACCCCATGTCTCTGTGATGGAATTCTGAACCGAGAGAGAACCCCAGAGAGCAGGGACAAAGAAGGAAGAGAGGTGGGAGCTGTGCTTGGGAAAAAAGCGAGAGGCAGCAGTAGTAATGTTCAATACCCCAAATCTCACTGCACGGCTCCTTCGCCGTCCACTACTAGTAGTATCATGGCATCAGTCCCCTCCAACGCCCTGCGGTGCCTCGCCGTCGGTTACCAGGTACTTCCTGGGCGAAATTTTTACGGCAGTCGTGCGGCAGTCGGCGACCGCAAGCTCGTCATTTGTTCTGCAGCTGCGGTGATTGGTGGGCGTCCGATGGCGACATCGAGTGCCATTTGTTCGATGCTACGGTGGGGAAGAAATAATAGCCGGCTAGTGTGGCTGGAGCAGGGACTTCCGTATTCGGGCAGGGTACTCGGTACGGTGGACCGCAGCGGACTATTAGGTACTGATTTGGAGTCACGTGACTCTATTCCATTGGAAATGGGTACATAAGGTACTGCACACAGTGTTGGTGATAACTGCCAGGTACATGACCCCTATATGGTACCCGTCAACCCTTCGAAGTCCCGTCAACCGTTGGAAGTCTGTGTATGGAGTATTCCGTATCCGTGCATCTCTATAGCTCTTCCCGCGCCGGCTTGCGGCCATACACCACATAGCTGCTAATGGTCAGCACACAGCACACAGCACATTCGTGTAAGGTCGTGATAGACCGCGGAAAATTGGTACTCACTATTGCACGTACTGGTGATAGTTCCGGTTTTTGACATCCTGCCGAAACCCCATCATGGCCAGCTCCGTCTCCTCTCGACTCCAGCCGTAGGTGTGGGAAAAGACCCTCAACCCAAATGCCGATGCTCCCTCAATCAAGTTGGTCAGCTCCAGCGCCCCAATCCTCTTCATCCGTCGGTCCTTGGGCCATGGAGAAGAGGGAATCTTGAAAATGTGCTCCACGACGTCGATATACCCAGCGTTTCGAAGGTACTCCGCGAACCGGAGGCAGCAGTCCAACGGAGCTCCTAGTCCATACGACGCCTCAATAAAGCGGTCACAAATGAACTTGAACATCGACTCTTCCGGCATTGACCCGTCATCGCACATGGCGCAGGGATAGACTGAAGCCAACTCACACCAGCCTCCGGGTTTGGTGTGCTCGAACGCCTGTCGCATCAGTTTCGGCCAGTCCCGCACCACATAAAGCGGATCCCGCAAATGGATGAAGTCAAAACTTTCTTTCCGGTAGGTCCACGTGTCCTCGATATCGTCAATCTCGAATTGACAGTTTGGGGCCACCCACTTGGGCTGGATCGGCGCAATGTCAACTCCTAGAACTTGTGCACAGGGGTACATGTCGGCCACGTCGAGAGCCCAGATGCCGGTGCCAGTGGCAAGATCGAGAATGCGCTGAGGTTGCTCGCCAATAGGTGCTAGGAAATGCTTTTCGCCAACGACCATCTCATATTTGCGGTGCTGCAGGTCCATTCGATCCATTTCTGCTTCGTCAATGGGCATTCCATAGCTGTGTTTACCATATTGTGGGTACAATCGTTCATTCTCCAGGATCCCTCGCGAGATCTCCGAAGCGATCGAGGTCACATAGCTAGTGCTGGTGCTCTCAGCATATGCCTCGTCGGTAATATCCAAGTCTGGCAGGATCATCGGGGCAATCTGCGTGGTTGTTTCAGATATAGCTAGTTCGCCATCAGTCTCCAAAGTCTCGACGGATGCGTCACTCGTCAATTGAAAGTCGATTTGGCCTTGAATGCTATAGTCTCGAGGGCTGAATGGTTCATCTGCCAAATTCCCTCCAGATGACGCTGCGCAATCCAGCTGGGGCCCGTCATTTGCTGGCGGCATATCTTGCAGACGTTGCTCCTGCCGTGTGTGAGTCGAACTTTCTGCTGAAGCATGCTGTACATTTTCCTCCGGCACCTGATGCTCCTGCTGAAACATGCCGCTCGCCGTGCAGAACATTGATTCTTGATGGCACGACTCAACTGGTGCAGAGAGTGCTTCCCTCCAAAGTTCGAGGGGCGACGCGATGATGGTCTTGCTGTGGCAAGAGCCCTGCTGCCGGACAAGCCAGACCAAGTTTCGCTCTTAAAAGAAGGCGTGGTCTGCGGACTGAAGATGCAGAAGCCAAGTGGTGTATCAACGCAACGAAGAGCCCTGCTAGAGATGTAATGGCAAGGAAGAAGGGACCCGAAGACCATGAACCATGAAGTAGCACCAAGATGAGCTTTTCAAACAGCAAACATTGACACCGCAGGGAAGCAAGCGGGCAAGGTGGGATGCCGATCGAAAATTGCGGTCAAAAGGGGAGGGAAACCACTCATGTCGGCTTGACAGTTTTGTAAAGTCCAAGACCGAGAAATGGTAGGAGTGGCGGGGTGTCATCTGTGCTGTACCACCTGGAACCTTTCGAGGGAGGGCACCTGCAGCGAAGCCGGTACACGAGCTGATTGCAGTATGTGGGTTACAACGAGCCGTGTTGAAAGGAGGAGACCGTGGTTGAAGCTGTGACAGTTCGATCCAACCCTTGTAACACGCAAGAGACAGCATCGTACCACAGTCATCGGGACAACGTGTATTCTGCGACCGGAAAGGCCTGAGAAGAGGGATTAGGGTGGTAGAGCTTTGAATAGAGAGCTTTGCACGGTTTCAGATGGAGAATGGGTGACTTGAGTAGAGAACGTGGCGAACAAAGGACACGACCCGTTGGACTGTGGCTCCAGGACAGATCCAGCGCGCTTGTTCGTCAGGTCAGCAACACTGAACTACCACTCGCTGGTGTGCCCGTCGGCGCAAATCGTGATTGCTTCCAGTTCCAATGAAGACCCTCTGCTCTTACTGGACAACCAAGTAACGGTCGTCAGTCATTGTCACATCCTAACACCAAGCTTGGTACGCTTTCTCACCAGCGCTTATCCGGCGGAAGGGTTGCACAGGGTGCATCAGAGCGAAAATCGACTCTGTAATTGTGATGATCCTGACCGAACGCAAGCCCCCGAAAGGAGTGCGCATGGATGCATTAGAGTGAGAAGAGCCACGTGAAAGGTGCGTTCAGGCTGTTTTCGAATCAAGCACAGCTGAGGTATTCGAGCTCTGTGGAAGTTTGCCCGCGGTCAATTTTGGAACATGGAGGTGAATCTAGCGGTCTGACATTCAACGATGGCGACAAATCACGAGTCATCTTTTGAGGGGCCCAGGCCACGGATAAATCCAGGTGAACATGCAACCTACCTTACATGTAGATGTTGTTGTGACCGTAACGTGGCAGTACGAGGACCTATGTGTCAGTATGTGTCATGCGATGGAGAGAAGCAGGGGAGGAAATGTAGCTTAAGAGGACGGAGTACCAGGCTCCTAAGGCTACAGATAGGTGATAGAGGTATCCTAGTGCCTAATGCTACAGGAACCTTCAGCCTAATAAGCCTAAGTGCCCCTAAGCCTAACGGCTAAGGGACCTAACCCTTAGTGACTTGGCCTCTTTAAGCCCTCAGCCCCTGCTAAAAAGTCACTGCATGTAGAATTCAAGCCCGCGTCATGCGGAGCCCAAATCGATTCTCCGCAGTCCAACTCTTGCGCCTCTTTTTCTGGAAGTTCTAGAACTATAGCATCCCACAGAGCATCCAGGAGGCTTTATCACCTGAACATCTCTCCAAAATCTCACGAGTCAGCAACAGTTCTCGTTCCGATTTCTCCAGACGTACAGACCAGGCAGTGTGGCTAAGACGTGGTAGGTGGTCTTGCGTAACCAAAGTTTCTGCGGCCAAATTTCATATTCTAAATCATTTTGCTGATCTTGAGTGCCCGGCAGACCAACCATGGCTGACGACGAGGACGACCCTGTCATCGCTTCCTACGATGTCTACCTTACGGAACCTCCTAATAGCAAAGATGCGTCTTCGAAATTATATGTCCTCCAATACCCTTCGCACCGACCTTATTGGAGACCGTACGATGCCGCAACATCGCAGACTCCCACCTCTCTCCGCCTCAAACCAGACTCTGGCTTTGTGGAGATCGACGTGCCCATCTTGACACATGAATATTACAATGAGTATGCCGGCGAAAGATTCGGCAAAGCCGTTGCTGAAGGCCGGACCATGCAAGCTGGTGGTTCACACGGGCTGGCTGGAGGCTTCAGCGCTGGCTCAACACAGTCCAGATTCAAGGACGTTCCGATGCATGACCAGCCTGCCTCCTCCGCCCCGTATCTGACTTCTCAAACTTTGGGTGGGAAGATGGTAGCTCCAAGTACCCGCGATCCTATCTATCTGGTGGGCTGTTTCAAGCAAAATCAAATCCATCTCTCCCATGTGGACTCTGTCGTCCAGATGCGCCCTCAGTTGCACCACATAGACGCGGAAGATGAAGTCAGCCAGAAACGACTACAGTCGGCCAACGCGGCTGGGTTGGCCAAACAGAAACCTGGCTTGGAGGCTCCCACTCCAAAAGTTGAGTCCAAAGCCATCGAGCTCAAGATTAGAGATAACAAGGATGACGCCAAAGACCGTGGCCTCAATGAGAATGCAAGATTGTTGCGTGATATCCAAGTGGAGGAATGGCAACATCATGACTGGGTCAACGAGGACGAATCTGAGTCTAAAACTACGTTCGGCACACACCTGCAGCTCCCCAGCGATGTAACTCATGTGAGTGCGAGGCTACGCAGCATCATCAGCAACGGCGACTGGCTTGACAGGATAAGTGCACCAAGAGAAGATGGGAAGAAAGGCCTCTTGGCCAAACTGCGCGGCCGAGAGCGAGAACGTGCAAGGAGAAAGAAGGCGGAAGAAGAAAAGCGCCAACGTCTGAAGGAGGCCACAGGTGGTACGGCGGCTAGTCATGGCGCACTACTCGGCATGAGCTCAGACAGTGATTTGAGCACCCCAGAGCCTTCCGATAGCGAGGCTGATGAGGATGTCACATTGACTGGGGCTGGCATTATCGACAGAATCTCGGTCAAAGATGAACCTCCTGCTATTTCGATGGCCACTGTTGGAACCTCGGGGCCAGCAGCGACGGCGCATACTGCACCGAAGAAGAGAGGCCGACCGAGGAAGAACCAGGAAGCTATCCAAGTCGACGAGTAAATGGAGCCGTTTCCCTGATCTCCGGGCGGCTCGAAGGAGAGAGTCTTGGTGTCCAAATCAGACGGCCAAGGTATCTCTTCAAGCAATGGCTCGTTCTGGTTCAGAACCTCTTATCCATCCTAAGAGTTGGCGTTTTGCAGCGGACGCCTCGCATGGACAGCCTTCTGAGGCGACCGCCAAGTTCACGAGCCAGCATGTGATCGCAACCCGGCCTTCATGATCATCTGGAAAATCCGCAAATCTTCCTTTGCATCTTCCGCAGTCGTCTTGACACTTTGGCCATGGACAACCATCCCATACAACTCCTTCATTTCCAGCGTATAAGGATCCTCGTATGTCCTCCGAAGGGATGTCTCCCTGTACACTCCGTCGACGTTTTCGCGAACAAGCATTGTAACTGGCAGGCCCTTGATATAAGGGGTGTCATAAACAACTCGTACTGATTTTGTGATGCTATACACCTCGATATGAGCGTCGAAACGTGGAATCTCGTCGATTCCGGATTCATAGGTCAAGGAGAACGAGGGATACTGTAGGATCGCACTTCAACAGGTCAGTCAGCGAAAGGGGCTCCGATTCAAAGCCGAAGGTCACAAACCTCCAGAAAGGCAGGTTGAATGAAGCACCGACCACGGCCTGTGGCATGCCCAGCGCTTCACGCATCGCCGACAGGTCGTGAGAACCCAACCCACCGAGCAGTCGCCACATGCTAGTTGTTTCCGGCGTGGCGGGCACGCCGCATTCGACTGACAGAGCTTCATGGATAATGTCTGCACCCCTAGCCTTTCTATCTTGAAGGACTTCGGGGCTCAAGTCCGTAAAGACTTTAGGGAAGGTACCTGATTGGGCCACAAAATGACTGTTGGGGCCGATAATGTCTGTCGAAGCCAATTCTTGATTCAGCCTGGACTGGGGAGGCTTTGGGGTGACAACCGGTCTTACCTCGTACACGAGCATAAAGGATCTTGTCCATGCCACCTATTTCTTTCACCGCGTCCAAGAACGCTGCTGCGTACCGGCGCATATAGCCAACCATAACTCTGCCTCTTGAGTTGGCCTCTGCCGCAATGATAGAATCAGCATCCTTCTCACACAACGCCATTGGTTTCTCAATGAAGACATGTTTGTCGTGTTTCAGACCCTCGATGGCATGTATCGCGTGATACTCGTCCGAGCTGGCTATGAACACCAGGTCGACGTGAGGCGATGCACACAGCTCTGAAGGATCCAGCGTGGTCTGCGGAACGTGATTGACGACCCTTTGGGCGTTGTGCGCAAGACACGCCGCGGAGACATCGCAGAGGTAGGTGATGGTGAATAAGTCGGAGAGGAAACAGAGAGTCGGAATATGTGCCACCTGAGTGATTTCACCACAACCTATTATGCCAACCCTGACGATCGTATTGCCCGCCATGGCTTGTAAGAGCGCAACGACTGCACGACCATGAATTTGTCGCCCCGAGCGACCTACCTGTTCTCTACGGAGGGTCGTCGGATCTCTAGAAAGAAGGGATGTCGAGAGCACCAGAGGGTTAGAGCAGATGACGTCGATCCGTACCAATCAATATTCCAACGATCTACGCAGTTGAGCAATCAGCGCAACCAGCCGCAGACTACGGCTACAAGGCAGCCTGACCCTCCCTTCAAGCGGTAGACGGTAGGCACACGAGCAGCATGGATGTAGATAGGACTGGGGTGACTGTATGGACAGAAGCTGGAAGCTGGAGAGCGTCTACTCCCAGTGGCTCGAAGAGAGGTTGCCTCACGTGAGAGTTGTGCCCCCCGATTGGGCAGCTTGGGCGGGCCCTAAAGCCTGCGATGCTCCTGAAAATCCGCCCAGTTTGCCGTCTGAAATCTTTCTTGTATCTGTACAGAGGACATCGTCTTGACCCTGTATCACCACTTGTTTATTTCTTTCCTCCTTGTTCTCTTTTCGTCTTGAGGAGAGCTGCTCTGACTGCCAGGCTCTTGTCTTCTATCTTTACAGATTATTTGATCTGTTCTGCCATTGACTTGGTCGTACAGTCCTGGCGCAATGCTCACGCGAGCTGCCCGTCGAAGGCATGCACTCCTCTATTTCCAACAGGCTGCAGAAAGAATTCAATTACCATGGCTGTGCCCTGCCATCGCACAGCCTCATTATACTCTTCACCAACAAAGGTCGATAACATCTCGCCCGTCAATCTCCCGGTCGAAAACCTTGCCTGCGCCCATAACCCAAGCCAGGCATCTCGCCTCTCCGGCGGCCGCTCCTGAAAGCTTCGATCGTAGCGATGACTACATTCCATTCGTGTATGGTCCGCCAGACTACCCGACCCCCGAACCTCCAGCTCGACGTCCCGCTGCAGATTTGTCCCCTTTCGACCTCTCGCAGATCCTCATGCTAGAGAGCACCACGGACCTATCACATGACTACAATGACACCAATCGTGCAACAGGAGCCAGCCTCAGAAAGAATAGCGATGAGATTGAGGCTACACTTGACGCCTGTCTACAGGTGCATCGGTGGGATCGAGCATTCAGCCTCCTATCACAGTTAGCACTTTGCTGCCCAAATAACCCAGACAGGGTGCTTGGCTCCTTCAACCGAGTGCTTGCCGCAATGATTGATGATCTCCTTCAAAATCGGAATCAGGAGCATGAAGCACGAATCAACAATTGGATCGAAGTAGACATGCGAAAAGCTGGAGTGGAGCCAGATGCACATACATTTGCATTGAAAATAAAAGTTTCGTTGGATTCGCTAGTCGGATCGAAGCGGGACCGGACGGTGCGGCGCTATTGGGAAATGACACAAAAATATGGCCTGGAAAGCAAGGTGCTCAGTTTAAGAGAGATACTTGACGATCGGGATCTGGGAAGGCTTTCTCAGATATGCCCTCTGGAGGTCAGAGCGTTCCAAGCTGAGGAGTTTGCCCGTTCATCGTCGGCCAACCCCTCTGCAGTCTCTCCTACGGCGAGAGAGCAGCTTCATGTCCGGGAAACAGAACAAAAAGGTTTGGGGCTGACTTCTCTCCGACGGTCGTTGTCCATATTTTCCAAGCAGCTGGACTCGCAGGACGACGCAACCTTTGAAGAAGATCCCGCCACGGCAAGGCAACGCAAATTGGAGAGGGATGCCATACAATCTGCACTGCAGCGGTGGAAGACGGAATATCTGAAAAGAGCCAGGTCGGGAATTACAGGCGATCTCGCTCACGGGAAAATTGGTGCTTTGCTTTGGCAGTGGCACGAACTACTGGCCGAGAAGATCACGAATGAAATCAAGCTGGCCAGGGAGGATGATTTAACACCAGGCAAGAAGTCGGCACAACAAAAGTTGCGGGCGGAGTGTTCGCCCTTTCTCGAGCTTCTACCTGCTGAAAGAGTGGCGGCTGTGACATCAGTCGCCTTGATGCAAATTATGAGTAAGATCGGAGCCTCGAAGCAAGCAAAGCTGGTTCGGGTGGTCACCGAGCTTGGACAGGCAATTGAAACCGAGTACGACGCGACTCAGGTCGCTCGAAAAAGAAACGCCATGTTGAAAGCAAAAGAAAAATTGGCCGAGAAGACTCCCGGGGCTTCGTTCCAATGGGACGAGACACTAGACACGACCTTGCACAGACGTTCCTCTCACCACGCCGCTACACCTTACGCGTACAAGAAAAATTGGTCCAAGGTTATTCACACAAAGCTGGGTTCCGTGCTTTGCGAACTGATGTTCGACACTGCCAAGATCATGGTCACGCGAGAGGACAAGTCAACTGGCAAGAAGGTTTCCAGTCCTCAACCGGTATTCATGCACTCTACCAGTTACCAGAATGGTAGGAGAGTCGGCATGGTTTCCCTCCACGAGGATTTCGTCAAGATCCTTATTTCCGAACCAGCGGAACACCTCATTGCCAAACAGTTACCCATGGTCTGCCCTCCGAGACCGTGGAAGGGCTTTTACGATGGCGGGTTTCTGGAATCTACGCAACCATTCTTGCGTGTCAAGTACAATGAGACATCGCAAAAGGACTATGGCATGGCCGCGGCCGAACGAGGTGACCTTGATCAGCTGTTTGAAGGCGTCGATATCCTCGGCCAGACTGGTTGGAGAATCAACAAAAATGTGTTCTCAGTGATGCTTGAGGCGTGGAACAGTGGAGAAGAAGTCGCCAATCTCCCACCTCTCAACAAAGTGTACCCAGAGGTCGAGAGACCGGGCGAAAACGCACCTCCCCAAGAGCGCTGGAACTGGTTCCTCAAGATGCGTATGATTGACAATGAAAGAAGCGGCATCCATTCCAATCGCTGTTTCCAAAACTTCCAGATGGAGATTGCCAAGGCATATCTGGACGAGACGTTTTACCTGCCTCACAATGTTGACTTCCGAGGGCGAGCATATCCAATTCCACCATATCTCAACCAGATGGGTGCGGACAATGCCCGCGGCCTTCTGCTGTTCGACAAAGGCCGCGAACTCGGCGCTGACGGTCTCCGCTGGCTAAAGATTCACATGGCCAATGTTTACGGTTACGATAAGGCTAGTTTGTCTGACCGCGCCCAGTTTCCTATGGATCACATTGACGAAATCTACGATTCAGTCCAGAACCCCCTGACAGGAAAGCGGTGGTGGCTCACGGCCGAGGACCCTTGGCAGTGTCTCGCGACTTGTTACGAGCTTACCAATGCTCTGGACTCAGCCGATCCTACCAAATACGTGTCACATCTTCCCATCCACCAAGACGGCTCCTGCAACGGACTACAACACTACGCTGCACTAGGTGGAGACCTCGAGGGAGCACGACAAGTCAACCTAGAGCCTGGAGACAAACCTGCAGATGTGTACACTGGTGTTTGTGAATTGGTCAAGGCGGACATTCGGGAGGATGCCGCCAAGGGCGACCCTCTCGCCAAGATGCTCGACGGGAGAATCAGCAGAAAAGTCGTGAAGCAGACAGTCATGACCAACGTGTACGGCGTCACCTTTCTTGGTGCGGTGCGGCAAGTTCGAAAGCAAGTTGAGGCATTGCTTCCGGATGTCGATGAGGCCCGCCTTTCTGGTAAAGCGTCAGCGTACATCGCGCGCAAAATTTTCAAGGGACTGGGCGCCTTGTTCTCTGGCGCACATGAAATTCAGTACTGGCTGGGGGATTGTGCGAACCGCATCAGTTCGTCGATTTCACCTGCCCAGTTGGAGAGGATGTACCAGAAGGAGTATGGGGACCGACCTACGCTTCCGGAGCGCGCCATGGCACGGTACAAGAAGGTCAAAAGTAAGGAGGTTTATGAGTCTGGCCGATTTCTATCCACCGTGATCTGGACGACCCCGTTGAAACTGCCTGTGGTCCAGCCCTACCGTGTCAACAAGGGGGTGAAAATTCAGACCAACCTTCAAAACATCACCTTGGCTCAGCCTACCGTCGGCGACTCTGTGAACAAGCGGAAGCAACTGCAGGCTTTTCCTCCGAACTTCATCCACTCTCTCGATGCAACACACATGATTCTCTCCGCACTGAAGGCCAATGAGCTTGGTCTGACCTTTTCCGCCGTCCACGACAGTTTCTGGACCCACGCTGCCGATGTCAATACTCTCAGTGACTTGCTACGAGACGCTTTTATCCGAATGCATAGCGAAGATATCGTTGGACGACTCGCCGCCGAATTCCGAATGCGATATGAGGGTCACTTCTATCTGGCTCAAGTTAACAAGACCAACGTGCTGGGTAAAGCGATCATAGCATATCGCAAGAAGATGGTGGATGAGGGTGTTTTCAATGCTGGCACAGGTTCCAAAGGCGTTCAACAACGGAGACATGTCGAGTTGCTCCGAGAGATCCGGAAGAAGAAATTGATGGAAAGTGCAGATCCTGAAGAAAGGGCGGAGGGAGAGAAGATGGTGACGGCGGCCAGTTTATTTGAACAGTACGACGGAGAAAAGTTCCTGTTCCATCAAGACTCTCTTGGTGAAACAGCCATTGGTGCGATCCCGGAGCGTGCTAGCGAGGAGTTGGTGGTGGAAGCCATCAATGCTGCTGGAGTGTCTGACGATGTAGATCTGGTCAGCACGCTGGATCCACTCCGAGAGTCTGTTGCCAACGAGGAGGAAGATGTCACCAACGAGGGGGAAGAAAGAGTCGATATCGAGGCTACTCACCGTCTCCACGGCGACATAGGAGGCGGTCGAGAAATCAACGCCTTCGGGCAGAAGGTCGGCAAGAAGCAGGCTAAAAGGGGCCTCAACAACCAGATCTGGCTCTGGCTGCCGCTCCGGTTCCGACCTGTGCCAAAAAAGGGTGATTTCGACGTTCGACGACTGAAGGAGAGCACCTACTTTTTCTCGTGACTAACCGACAGCATACATTTCCGTTGACGGTTGAAGAGAAGACTTGCCTCACCCAATTCATGATTATACTTTGATTAGAAGAGGTCGGCTGGCTGTACAGGAGCGATGATGGATGACGAAGCTGTCGTCCACGAGCATAGGAGGCGTCTCTGGGTGTACAAAAGGGGTATAATGCAAGGCGAATGCGAAGGTGGGCGGCATTTATGTGTTGGGCGATATACCAGCTGTATAAAAGGTTGGACAGGGCAGATCTGATGCAGCAGCTCTGCTCCAGTTGTGTTCAAAAGTGAGATGGACTTGTGGCCTGTGATCTGTGATCTGTTGCCATGATTGCCCAGTTACGGTCTGGGCAGCCGTTCCAGTTCCAGTTCTCTTTACAGATTCTTATGTACAGTACATGTATCTACAACGTTTCGGCAAATGCTACCTGATTACTGTATATCTAAAGACTATACCCCATTGCTGCTGTTCGAGCATAACTAGTTCTACCCTGGTGACCCCCATATGTACTCTGTACTGCGTACTCTAAGAGCGGCGAGACCAGATACGAAGATACGAGGCAGACCTCAAAAGCGGCGACGGCCGGGGGGCCAGGTCACTGTCACGCTATTCCCAATCAGGATTAGACCAGACACTTTCGCGACGCGACGAGGCTGCGGTTGGAGCCGGGGCCGGGGCCGGATTGGGCGCGGTGTCTGGCGCCGCCGAGGGAGGTACTTTTTCTGGTCGTTCTAAAACATGTCTCATGATTCAGGGGCCCAGGGGCGAGCGAGGCTCCTCTGGTAGTAGGTACAGTAGTAAGGTACTAGTCATCTAGCTAGGAGTAGCAATTATTAGTATCTGTATGTCCAGGATCCTCCTGTTAGGTGCCTGTGTGCTTGGTAATTGGTGCTTGCACCTGCACCCATACTACTTGCATCGCATCTCTTTCGCCGTCGCCATCGCTGTCACTGTCGCCGTCGCCGTCGCGTTCAATGTCCCCCTCCCTCTCCCCCTTCGACGCCAACGCCGACGCCGATGCCGATGCCGATGCCAATGCCTCGAATCTCCTTGTTGCGCGTCCTCCTCCTCCCGCCTGCATGTTGGCTGGCCCTGGTGCTGCTGTGGGTGGTACTCCCGGCGCCGCCGGTGCCATGGAACGATGAAGCGTCGGAATACCTTTGGCAAGGGGGTACGGTGACGAGGGTATACAAGTGAGTGGGCATTCATTGCTAGCTGTTATATCACATCATATCCCCTCCTCGACTCGGGCACGAGAGAACGTGCGGCGGCGTGCGGCGTGCGGCGTGCGGTGTGCAGTGTGCAGCTCATATCTGTACTCCGGAGCCAGAAGGTCACAAGTTGTGTTTTCGTATGTGTGCGTGCTGACCGTGGTGACTTTTTTGTCCGCGTGCGCAGGTTCGCCGATTTCTTCCCCTGGAGCGATCCTCTCCCTGCGGTCCAAGACGCGCGTGGCACCGGCCGCACCGCCTTTGCGGTCGACTATACCTACTGTTGGCGGACGGGCGAGTTGACGATCAGTGGCGGCACAGGGGCATGGGCTTCGACTTCGACTTCGATCTTGGGGTCGGGAGCAGAAGCCGGAGCAGAAACCGGAGAAGAAACAGAAGCACGAACACCAGCACGGTCAGGATCAGAACCACAATCACACGCACACGCATACACACATACGCCCTATGCAAATACCTATAATATCTCGGCGCTCCTGCACTCTCCCAGCCTGCCGTACACGGCGGCTCCTTTCATTCTGCGCGCCAAGGCCGGTGATCAAGACGGCATGAATCTGCCCTCGTTCCCCGAGGCCGATGCGACCTTGTTGTTCTGGGAGGTCCATGGCGATGTGGCGGAGCTTCCGCTGAGAGTCCGGGTGGTGAACGAGAGCACGGTGCAGATATGGCCGGATTCCAAGTTTTGGGTAAGTCCATGTCCACGTCCAGATGTCGTCTCCGTACTTCTGAGAAACGGAACGGGACTTTCGTTGAATTGAATTGAAGTGGGTGTTGACCAGTCTACAGGACGCAGACCGAGCCAAAGGCGTACGAAACCGCGCCGAAACCCCATCGGCCTTCCCGCCCTTGTTATCCATCACTTTCAACACGACCCGGACCAAGACCGGCGACAAGGCCAAGAGCGTCACCACCGTCGACACCTTTGTCCCGTTCCACGTGCAGTTCCCCAGGTCTGCATCCACGGCTGAATCCGAGGTCGAATCCGAGGTCGAGGTCTACTCCAAGCTAGAGCCCACCTCCTCCTCGCCCTCGCGCACCTTTGTCGTCCGCCGCACCATCAGCGCGCTCGTCGTGCCGGTTGGCCTCTTCGTCATCGACCATGTCTTCGCGCACATCTGGTTCCCTGTCGAGATTGGGTTCCGCATCGCGCACGTGCTGTTTTTCCTGCTGGCCGTCTATGTGGCCGTGGTCTTTGTGTGTTGGAAGGCCCAAGGGTCGCCGCCGTACTGGCGCTTCACGCGGACGTTCTGGCTGACCAGGCCGGTGACTGCGTATTTGGGCCCAAGGTTAGCTTCTCGGGACAACGAGAACGACGACGACGAGTTGTTTGATGGGACTTCACGCGGTGAAAAGAGGGGGTATAAATCTAATTTGGACGACGACACGTTTTCGCTCCAAAGGCCAAGGTCAAGGACAAGTTCTGGCCCCAAGCCACTGACGAGCTTCAGGGCCTTTTTCTCCAGTCGATCGCCCCTGGACGACCTATTTGTCACGTTTGACTCGACCCGAGGCTTTGTGCGGCCGTTGGAGATCCCGGCCCGGTTCTGGTTCTGGAGGCCGAGGGAGAGGCAAAGGGAAGAAGAGCGTGCCGACGGGGACAGGAAAGTAGACGGTGATGAGGACGGCGATGAAGAGAGCCGTGTTGGTGGTGTCTACGTCCCTGCTGAACCTCATTATCATCATCATCAACAACAGCTTCAGCGCCAGCGCCAGCACCAGCACCAAGGCCAAGGTAGCGAATTTCAGGCCGGCCCTGACTTTGACCTCGACACCCCCGGTTTCGACTCTCCTGAACAGGGAGAGAATGCGAATGCGAATGGGAAGTCATGAGCTCACGGTGAGCATGAACATGAACATGAACGTGAGCGAATTTGGGTATCTTCAAGTCTCGTTTTGATTGGCTTTTTGAATGCGGATTTGGATTTGGATTTGGATTTGGCAGGCCTTGATCATGGCGATTGAAGAGCGAGGAACAAACGTATACGATATGATATCACCGAATGATGTCCATTTCATAGTATATGAAGCAATTCCTACAAATCATGTCCAACAGCATATGAAGTAATTTCTACAAATCATGTCCAACAGTATATGAAGTAATTCCTACAAATCATGTCCAACAGTATACGAAGTAATTCCTACGTATTTTTGCGGAACTATACAAGCTCCAGTATCCGTGCTCCAGTAGACACTGCGCAATTACAGGTCCTTCCCAGATCTAGGCAGAATTGGTAGAGAAGGAGTCGGCACATTCAAAATTCTCGGCGCGCCGCGTGTCGCCGTGACCCAGATATCGCGCCACCAAGGGATACATGCACAGCGGGCGGGTGAACTTTTTGTCAATTGAGGGCTTGGTTTTGATTTTGATGTTGATATTGTCGTGGTCATCATCGTGACATCTGCTCTTTTCTTCAAGGTTGGCGGTATCGCCGTCTGCATCCTCTCCAGGAAAACTCTCGCTCTCCAGCACGTCCGGGGCAAGGTCGCGTTCAACCCAGGCGCGCAGCTTGGCCATGACATTCACAGGCAGCGCGCCCGGGCCGGAGCCGCAGTGTTCGACGCCGGGGGCGAGGAAGAGGCGGTAATAATCCGTCACGCCATCAAGGTTACGGTCTTGAGCTTCTGTGTTTGTGTTTGTGTTTGTGTTTGTGTTTGTGTTTGCGTTTGCGTTTGCGTTTGCGTTTGCGTTTGCGTTTGCGTTTGCGTTTGCTGCTTCGGTCTCACCGTTGCTCCCACCACTGCTCTTCTCGGCCGAGGCCACCGCCGCGACTTGTTCATAATACGCGCGCGACTGGGCCGGCATGATGCTGCCATCGCTCAGTCCGTGCCAGGTGATGATCTTGCCGCCGCGGCGGGCAAAGGGGGACAAATCGGCGTCACTGGTCGACAGGAATGAATGGTACAACTCCTCGGATTGGTGGAAAAGGTCGACCCAGGTTTCGTGGGTGACGGATCGCGCCAAGTCTGTCAGGCCGAGCGTTGCATCCTTGTACATGAACAGTCGGAGCCATTCGCTGGCCAGAGGGTTGGGAGCACCTGTACAGCTGCCGTTACGGAAACACGTCGTCCCTCCCAACATGGACAGCGGGGCGGAACGGCTCAGTGGGTGCCAGAGGCTGGTGTTGCGGGTGTCGACGGGCCCGCGCCAGACCGAGGCTGCGACATGAGCGGCGGCGTGACTGATGGTGATGGAGTGTGTGGTTGGTGCAGACACTGTCTCTTCGGTGGCTTCTGTTTCTGCTTCTGCTTCCGTATCTGCATAGCGTTCCGTACAAGAGATGGTCGTGCCGACCAGCGTAAAGGGATCGAAATGACACTGTTCCTCGGCTGAGACAACGCCATCCTTGACGCCATCCAGCTCGTCACATGCATCAATCACGGCGCGGTGGATTGCCTCAAGCTCGCATGCATGAGGGTACTCGCCCAGCTGATTCATCACCACCTGCGCCCAGTAGTGGCTCATCAGTAGTTTGGGCATGTAGATGGCCGGCGCGGCGGCGAGAATGCCGTCGTAGTCGTGCGGGTAACGCTGCGCAAGCATCAGGCCTTGCCGGCCACCGGTCGAACAGCCCTTGAAGTAAGAGTAGGTGGGGGGGACGCCGTAGAAGGATTCCACCACGGCCTTCCCGATCACGGCCATGTCGTGCAGTGCGACAGATGCGAAATCCTGGAGGAGATACAGATTGACATTGCCTGGAGATACGAGTGCCCACGAGTCGCTGGAGCCGTCGGTGCGGCTGTGGCCACCGTCGGTGGTGGAAATGGCGTAGCCCTGTGCCAAGGATGCGTGGGAGAACATGTCCGGCACCGCGGTCAAGAAGCCGCCGCCGCCGAGAGACAGGAACAGCCCGTTCCATACGGGAGTGGTCGCCGGTGGTGGTGGTGGTGGTGGTGCTGCTGCTGCTGGGGCCGGTGCATCGGGAGAGACGGACACAGGCAACCACAGGTTCACATGGATGGTGTCGTGCTGGCCCGGGTGAGTGTAGGCCACAGTGACATTACAGAAGGACAGGTCTGTGGCTGCGTCGTACATGGGCGGGTCGGAGTTGAAGAAACTGGGAGACGGAAACGAGGCTGTATAGTTGGACAACAGCGACGATGTGACACTGAGGATGTCGGCACCAAACAGAGTCGGCGCAGGAAGAGTGTTGGCCAGGCATTGGGCCGTCAGGTTCAGGCTCGTGGCTGTGGGCGGGAAGGAGAAGGGCGTTTGAGCGGCGAGAACGTCCATCGTCATTGTGGTCGTAGTGGTAGCAGTAGTAGTAGGAGTAGCAGGAGGATGGCAGGCCCTTATTCTTATTGTCTTTCTTTTCTCAATTGCAACTCCTGCCCTGCCCGGCCATGCGCCTGGGCGGTGTCATGTGGGGGAGTCGGTCGTCCGTCGTCCGTCGTTGGATGGCGAAGGAGGTCAACGACGCAAGGAACTTACTGGGCCAAAGGTGAATGTCCCCTGAGGGTCTGGCAGTCCTGGAGGGGAAGAGATCAAGGTCGAGGACTGCATATGACCTCGTGTGGCCTGTGGCCTCTGTAAAATGAATAATTAACCAATTACCTATAGGTATAGGTATAGGTATAGGTATAGGTATAGGTATAGGTAGGTAATTGCCATCTATACTCTGTATTTTGTTTGCCTGTTGCCTGGAGTATCAGGATCGTGCCACGTGATGCCTAAAGCGGCGTGTCTCTCCGTTCTCCGCGGGCGGTGCGCACCTGCACCCGCACCCGCTCATCATCCATCCATCATCTCGACTCGACACACTTCCACCCTCGTCTGTTTCCCAGCCGCCAGCCTTCCAAGTCGTGTGCCATGGTCAAGCTGTGTGTGTACACCGTCTCCCCTGCCGCCTGAAGCAGGAAAGAGGAAAAGGTATTCGAGTCCAGGCGGAAGTATGAGTTCTTCCCCTCTCCCTCTCCTCCGCCCCGCCGTCCTCGTCGTCTCTGACACTGCCGCCGCCGGCCCATCCACGGACAAGGCGTTCCCGATTCTGAAGGAGACTTTCGCTCAAGAAGGCGGCGGAAAATGGGCCGACCCCGTGGTGGAGATAGTCAGAGATGATGTACTGGAGATCCAGCGCGTCGTCCGCTCTTGGACTGACTATGAGCCTGAGCCGTCGACCGAATCAGCCCCAGGCCTGATCAACCTGGTGGTCACAACGGGAGGAACGGGCTTCGCTCGACGAGATTGTACTCCCGAGGCGATCACGCCACTAATCCAGCGTCACGCTCCCGGCATCGTGCATGGCATGTTGGCCACCTCGTTCCAGGTCACGCCGTTCGCCCTTATGTCCAGGCCGGTGGCAGGCGTGCGGAACAGATCTGTCATCATCACACTGCCGGGATCGCCCAAGGGCGCCAAAGAGAACCTCCAGGCCGTCTTGAAGTTGCTCCCTCACGCATGTCTCCAGGCTGCCGGCGAAGACTCAAGAGCCGCACATGCCGGCGGAGTCAAGAAGCTGGAGAAGGATGCCGGCGTCTCTGCTTCTGCTTCTGCCGGTGCAACATCGGCAACGGCAATCTCGACCACGGGTGATGGCCATCGTCACGACCACTCCCACCACCACCATCACGACCACGAGCACGACCACAGTCATGGCCACAAAATCCCCAAAGCCCACACCACGCCGTCGGACCGGCCACAGTCCAACGACCCCCGACTCGGCGCCACCGCCCGCGCACGCTCGTCTCCGTACCCGATGCTCACCGTCTCCGAGGCCGTGACGAAGATCCTCGAGCAGACTCCAGCACCGACGCCCGAACTGCGCGACCTCAGTCCCGACCTGACAGGCTACGTGATATCCGAGGACATTCGAGCCGTGGAGGCGGTGCCGGCGTACCGGGCGAGCATCGTCGACGGGTACGCGGTGATTGTGCCCGACCCGACGAAGGGACCGACATCTCCCACCGCCAGCATCAAGGGTATATTTCCCGTGGCGTCTGTGTCCCACGCCCAAGCCGCATCGCTCCCGCCGCCTCTCCAGCCGGGGGAGATTGCCCGGATCACGACAGGCGCCCCTCTCCCGGACAACGCCAATGCGGTAGTGATGGTGGAAGACACGGCGATCGCGAGCGTGACGGCCGACGGAACTGAAGAAGCGAGCGTGGAGATATTGACGGACCAGCTGGCCGTGGGCGAAAACGTGCGCGAGCCCGGCAGCGACATTGCGCTGGGCGAGCTGATTCTCCGCCGCGGCACGCAGATCAGCCCGCTGGGCGGGGAGATCGGGGTTCTCGCGGCGGCTGGGGTGCGACGGGTGCCTGTCTACCGCAAGCCGCGGGTCGGGGTCATGTCGACGGGCGACGAGGTGACGGACACCACGACGCACCCAGGCCCGCTGAGCGGCGGCATGATCCGCGACTCGAACCGGCCGGCGCTGCTGGCGCTGCTGCGCGGCTGGCGGCTGTGCGACGAAGTGGTCGACCTGGGGGTGGCGCGCGACACGCCGGCCACGGAACTCGAGGAGAAGCTGCGAGCCGGGGTGCGCGAGGCCGAGCTGGACGTCGTGCTGACCACCGGCGGCGTCAGCATGGGCGAGCTCGACTTGCTGAAGCCGACGGTCGAGCGCGGCCTCGGTGGCCAGGTGCACTTCGGCCGCGTCAGCATGAAGCCCGGCAAGCCCACCACCTTTGCCAGCCTGCCGGTCAAGGACAGCCGCAGCGGCCGCCGCCACCAGAAGCTGCTGTTCGGCCTGCCCGGCAACCCGGCCAGCGCCCTCGTCACCGCCAACCTGTTCGTCCTGCCGTGTCTGCAGAAGATGGCCGGCTACCCCGACCCGTCGGGCCTGCAGCGCGTCAAGGTGCGCCTGCGCGCCCGTGTCCGCTGCGACAAGGCCCGCGTCGAGTACCATCGCGTCGTGGTCGGGGTCGATGTCGGCCTGGATCCCGCCAATGCCAATGCCCATGCCAATGCCAATGCCACCCTCGTCGCCACCAGCACCGGCTTCCAGAGGAGCAGTCGCGTCGGCAGCCTCGCCACCGCCAACGCCCTGCTGGAACTGCCGCAGCGCGACGGCTGGCTGGAGGCCGGCGCCGAGTGTGACGCTTTGATGATGGGCATGCTTCTGGGTTATTGAGGTTCGTGTTCGTGCCGTGAGGCTTTCCAGGGGATAGAGATCTAGATCCTTGTTCCGTATCTGTATATATGTGTGGGTGTGGGTGTGTGTGTGTGTGGAGATATACGTATATGTAAGATCTAGCTTCCTTCTATACATATCGTATATCAAGAGATGTCATATCAAGGTATCCTAGGGAACATATATATCCTCTACCTATACCTCTATGCCTGTATCAGTACCAGCATACTGTACTTTGTCAACCCGATCGAGTCTCTAGTATATTGTACATTATACATCCTCGACGGATGCTGTAGCTAAGTATATGTGATGGTCATGATCTTATGCTCGTTTCTCGTCGCTGGTCTATCCCCATCCTCGTCCATGCCGGCTGGACTACCATGTCCCCTGTACGGAGTATCTAGTCTATACCAAGTGCCCGGTCCTGCCTTCTCCTCCGGCAACCCAGCGTCCTCACTTCCCCACTTCCTCGCTTTCCCCTTCCACTCCAGCGCAAAAAGGGGTATCAATGTCATAACAACAGCAACCATGCTGTCCCAATCCATAAGCATGAACTTGTAGTCCAACAGTAACACCCAAAAGACCTCAACTCCTGTATATCCATTCACTGGCAAACATGCTTCAATGCTGTGTCCTGGTTGGAATCCGAACCCCCAGCCAAGCCGCTTCTCTTCTCATTCTTGAACGGCCCCTTAAGAAATGTTGCCCTTCTTGTACTCTCTCGTCTTGACGGCCCGGAAGATTGGCAGCGTATGAGTCTTGCCAGGCTCGCGCCCAATCTCAATTACCAGAAACCTGACAAAATCTTGCAACACCCAATAACTGCTGTGGGCGCTGAGCATGCTGAGATACTGAATCTCAAGGGGCCCGCCTCCCGAATTCAAGAACCAGTCAATCTGTCCATTGTCGTTCAGGAGATACATGCGCTTTTCCGCGATTTCCTCCCGCGTGAAATTGTGAGTCTCCATTTCCACCGTGCTAGGTAATTGCTGGAGCTCAGGCCGCGCGGTGGCTACGGCAGCACTCGTATAGGCGTTGGATGCTGATCCAGATGCCCACCGCAAAGTGTGCCCGAGTCGTCTCATAAAGCTGGCACTGGCGCTGGGGATGGAGGCGGGTTGAAGCGAGGCCGCATACAGTTGGTCCACCGCCGCGTTCAGCAGGTACGAGATCGGGTCGTTTCGGTGGCAGATATTGTAGAGGTTGTCAATTGCAAGACAGCCGTACTTGGCTTCGCCCGCGATCCCCGGCTGCCTGTCTTCCCCTTCCATGCCGGGTTTGTTTCTTCCCTTGCGTGGAATGAGATTCGCATTGTTGAGAAGCAGGAAAAGGCCAGAGGGACTTCCACAGCAGAACAGATTGGTCGTGTCAAACTCAAAGATCTTCTCGCTTGGCTGATGGCGGTCGAATTTGATGTCCTTTCCGATCCGTGTGGGCTGCTGACCGAGAATTTCCATGGCCATCACGGAACCGAGCGAGTGAGCGATGAGATGAACTCGGCCATAGTCTTCGAAGCCTGGATTGTTCCGACACCATAGCCGATAGACTCGGTTGGCTTCACGGATGACTGCCGACGTCATTTTGGCTTTATGGTGTGACATGTAGTACGGAATGTCCAACATCACGTCGCTGATCAGAGACCGAACGCCTGGGAGAGTGTCGGGCGTGATGTCTTTGAGTGCGTATTTGTTGTCCGCATCCTGCTGGGAAGCCTTGACATCGTCGTCAAAGGAGACAGTCAGACGCCAGTTCACCGGCAAAACCATGATTCCCGTTCCATTCCTCAAATTGCCCTTTACCGCTTCAGTCGACAACTCCACATTGAACTCTCGCCTGAGACCATTGACGGCATGCGTAAAATGGAAACTGTCCACTCTCTCTGACAACTTTTGCCCGATTCCATGAATAACCAGTACCAGGTCTGAGACCCTGGGCGCTTCGGTCTCTTCCTCACAAGCCGCGCAAGACATGCGTCGGCCGCGCGTTGTGGCATCTCCGGATTGAGACATGTATGCTCCCACCTTGGCGTGAGCGGCTTTGGCATCCAGCTTGGGGTTCGGATGGATCTTCAACCAAGCTTTGCGGTCGAATCCACGAACAACCGCCACCCCAATCTGACTCCCTTTCCTAAGGGAGCTCAGCGGTCGCCGATTTTTGCTGATGGACGGTAACAAGCTCGGTCTCAGGATTTGAGCGTTCCTGGCGTCTGTGTAGATAACACTATGTGTGCCAAAAAACCGTCGCTCCGTGGGTTTGCGAGGATCGGCGGCCGCGTTCAACAATCTTTCAGGCAAAAGTCCGCTTGTCGCCTCCTGGGACACCCCTTGATCCATCTCCTTCGTGTCTGTGGCGGTCCCAGGTCGGCTCAACTTTGGCTCGTCGGGCCAAAGCTTATAAACCACCTTCATCTCGGCCGAAGCGCCATTCTCGATGCAAGCTTGTAATTCTTCCTGATATGACTCAGCATATGGTTTCATATACTCATAGCCAACCTCCAACCGGTTGGCAACTTCCGCCGGTACCGGCAGCATGGTGTCTTTGTAAAACCAAGTGGCCCGAATAACATCGGAGGTGTCGTTTATGGGAGACCAGTAAATCGGTTTCATAATGAGGTCGGGCATCTCGACTAAATGTAGCCGAGACACACCCACAGGCACAAACACCTTTTCTTGAACCCCTTCCTCCCTATGATGTCGCCCTACACTCCGAGACCGACTTCGTTCCTCGCCTGAGTCATGATCTAGTTCCTCAGGAAGAGCGAAGGCTCCTTGATACTTGGAAGTAGAACTTAGATTGCGTCCACTAGGCTGTCGAGCGAAAGGTCGGCCACTGATATCCGAATTGAATCCTACATTTGGTTGAGGAGGAGGTTGTCGAGTGTCGTCCGAATCCATAGACTTGGGCGGATCATTGCAAACTTCCTCGCCTCCTTTCTGTCTGTGTCGGAATGGAGAAAAGTGTCTCCTATGCTTAGCAGGGAGGTCTTCGGCGTCTCGGGCTTGATCCAGTTCCTGTGCGTCGACTGGTTTTGAATCGGCTTCAGCACCTGAGTCGGGCTCCAACATGACCTCTGCCTCGGTCGTAGGATGTTCCAGTCCTTGTTTCGTGTCAGGCCCAACTATGTTTTCTGACCTTCCCGATTGTGTGGCGGGAGACTTGATCCCAGGAGAGCCACCAGTACCTCTGAATGCTGGGAAGGAAAAGACACCTCTGGCAAAGTTCCATCTCGTTTTTGCGTCACTGTCTCTTTCAGGACCACCCTGTGGAGGCTGAAAGGCCTGCCAGGCCTCTTCTAAGGCCGCATTATCTCGTGCAGAAAATGGTTGAGGGCGGAGACGTGTGGTTTTGTCGGCGGAGACTGGTGGTAAGGGGGATAGAGGGTCATCAATAGGCTGGGACGAGACATAAAAGAATTGGGCCTTGACGTTGGGTGGGTGCGAGCCGTCGGTATGCGAATCTTCGTGGTCTTCCTCGTAGTATGCGCACGTCGGTCCCAAGGAATGTACATGATGAGCCATGACAAAAGGCGGATGATCACCAGCGAGACGGTTGAGAGCCCGGCCGTAGGAATTCAATCTCGGAGGTCCGCAGGTTGTATCTATGGGCACTATATGCCCTCGAGAGGCAGGCAAGAGAGGAGCGACGGTCTCTGTCTCAAGTTGACCGACAGAAGGCTAGACTGGCCCGGCTTCTGGTATAGGAGTAGAGACAGGGAATAGGGTTGAGGTCTCCCAGGAACCTCTTTTCCTGTCCTTTAGAAGAAGACTCACATGGTTGGAGCCTGGAGCGTGGCGGATACAATGAATGCTATTTGAAGGAGGAAATTCGAAGAGGAGGGAAAGCCGCAGTGACGTACATAGTCTGGGACGAGTTACTCCTGCACCTACGAGTAGATTGGTGCCATTGACATAGGACACGCCGTAATATTTACGAGTACAGAGTACAGTCAATGTCCGATAGTATACGGCATTAATTGATTGACCTGCATATACAGTATCTTCGACAGAGATACACTGTCTACGTATCGACATCCACAATGTGAACCTTGCCACCCAAATCGGGCCAGCGTTGATGCCTTTCTGACCACGCCCAAACGCCTCGGCGTGCATCCCCGCCAGCATAAAAATGTCCTTCTGCTCCTGCCTTCGCGACAAGTGATAGATGTACACGTCTGAGAGGAAAATATCCTGGTCAAAAGGTCGCTGACCCCGCCAATCTGACGGTCATATCGTCATTGTCATGAGCCTCCCGATCGGATCTTGTACAACTGGGCCTCGAGCCATCATGCACCGCACCTTGGAGGTGTCTCCATCTACAGACACGAGTTTCCCGCTGTAACTTGCTCCGTAGGCCAACAAGTTCCCCGAGCTGATTGTCTTTTCCTCTGGCCGGAGCTTTTTCAGGGCTCAATCGAATTCCAGTGCCTTGCTGCTGAGCAACAGTCCGATAATAAGTCCAAAAAGCCCCAACACGCTGGAGAAGATTTCAATGACCAGCACCTTGACGAAAAGGCTTGGGTCGGCAGCATCAGCCAGCGCGGCACTGCTTCCATTGATTCCAACGCTGACACCGCAGATGAGGTTGCACATGCCCACCGTAAGACCGGCCCAAAAGAGGGCGTACCCTGTGTAGTAGTTTGCGCCGGTGTACAACCTCTCCTCTGGCACCAGGGATAGTTTGGAGGCAAAGACAATCGACATGATGACGCCGTAGATGGCGACAACTTCGCAAAAGATAATCGAGATCAAGTTCTTGGTGCGTATCCGTGGAGCTTTGACGCCGCCGCCGAGGATTGAAGTACCGGTGATGAAGATGCCCCTACGTGGCATAGATTAGCATGCAGCCACAAGGCCAATCTCAACTGGAGGAGTTGGGAGTATTGTAGTCTTACCAAGCTGCGCCCACGACAGATAGTCCAATACACAAAGCAATGCCTAAGTCTGCCCATGCGTATGGGGATACTGTCTCGAGGAATTGGCCGACCTGCACCCCGAGCGTCAGTATGTCTTCAACATGAACTCCATATATTCCACTTGTGACGCACGTTGAATTGCTCGCCTTCGCCGTTGAAGAGCATGTCTGCAGATCCAATTAGCCGGGGCGACTGATACAGCAGGACAGGATAGTGGCTTACAAAGTCCAACAACGCTCAGGGCAGCCACAGCGCCCCCCGCAGGGTAGATGAGACTCATCTTGCACCCTTGCAGCTTTGAGGATCTGCAATTGCCAGCGTGCGAGAGAATGGCGCTGCTGTTTATGGATGGCTGTATTTCGAGGACCGAAGCTCGCGCAGTCGCCGCAGGCCACAGCTTGGAAGGGACGTTTCCCCAGGCCCAAGTATGGAAGGTGTCCCGACAGGCCGGTCACGTGAGAGGCTGACGCTCGTCAACTAATCCAGGGGTCGGTGCCAGAGAGCAGACTTAGAGCAGGGACGAGCGCACAACATCTAATATCCCTTATCAGTGCCAGAAACATATATTTCTCCCTGTTTGGATGCTATCAATTTAAACTCTATCAGAAAGAGTCTGATTCTACCCTGGTAATCGATAAAGCCGCTCCCAGAACGCGCTGCGTGCTTAGGTCTCAATCCTTATTCGTAAGTCGTCATTCATTGCCCATGAACTCATTCGATAGATTTCCAAATCGCAATGTTCTTTTCCATTTCTGCCCGCCTGTCAATCCCGGCCTTTTGATCCATTTCGTACAATTTATGCATTTCTTGCAGCCGGTGTTCCATGCTGTACCTGTATTTTGCCGCGGTCTTCAAACCCTCAAAGTCGTTCCTGCTCACAGCCTCAAAGAAGATCTTCCTCATGCGGTCGCTGTAGAGTTGGCAACTGATCCCTGACACGAGCTGGCTCCGTCGTGAGGCGGGCACAATTTTCAATGTTTTGGACACATCTCGTGCTATTGGTCGGTCCCTCAGAGGCCAGACCACTTCTTCAAAGCACTCTTCACAGATTGTCAGCTCTGGAAGGTCAGGGATGCAATGCCATGATGGCGTTGCCAGCATTGTATCTTTGGCACACTCCCTGTGACGGGAAATGCGACGGACAAAGTCGACAAAGTCTTGAATATCCTTCTGTCTGAGCTGCTCCTTCTCTCGCCGGTCTGCCAGTCTCTCCAATTCAAGTATGATGGGGAAAAAGTGCCGACTGCTGGTGTTCATGTTGCACACTTTCTCCTGGCTAGGCTTATTGGCTGGCCGATCAAACAAATGGTATTGGAGTTTAGGGAAAATCAAGTCAAGATTCCTGACACAAGCGGAGCATATATCAAAGTTTTCCACCTGTCTTGCGGTCCTGGGATCAGTGAGATGGTACCATCGCCGCAGGTCAGCTTTGGATCCAGCACAAGGCCGCGTTTCCTGAGGAGGAGGAGTGCTGATCTGCCAGACAAGAGTGAGATCCTTCCTGTCTTGTTTAATGGTTTGGATCCACGCGACCCGAAGCCAGGAGAAACTCATTGCGCATACGACTGGCTGCCTCGGATCTTTAGGCAAGCTAGGGATGAAGTGGTCCCGGAAGCGAGATGCACCAAGAAAACCCATGCATGTGGGGCAGAAGTCGAGATGTGGCAGATCACGAATCGTGTACCAGTCGTGAAGTCCTGCAATGGGTCTCGAACGAGGACATGTGGGAAGTGAGGTAGGCCTTGGTGGCAGGTGGACAGAAGGAGCTGGATCAGGGGTTATCGGAGCCGACGACGCGGCTTGATGAACAGGAAAATGAACCGGTGGGTGAAATCCTTGGCTTGACGGGCTTGACGTGCTCGAGTGTGCCCTGTACAAAACAGGTGGTCTTGCCAGGTCAGGGGAATGTGAGTGCGAGTGCGAGTGCGAGTGTGAGTATGATGCCGCTCGTACGCTCGGGCGGGGGGGTTCGAGCGTCACCGTCGGTGCATATGTTGCGCTCAATGGTAGCGCGCGGTTCTCATGAACAGTGTAAGTTGTAGTACGCGTCGACGGCCCCTCATCTCGAATCGCAGTTAAGTTTGTATTGGAGAGGTTGTAAGATATTGGCGCTGGCTCTCCAGAGATTGGAGATGGTTTCCTCGATCGTTGACCGCTGCTAGGATGGCTCTGAGAACCGCTACTTGGTGTCTCGCCCGAATGGGAAGTGGGTGATCTCGACAAGGTTGGAATAGCCTTTGCGACAAGCGAGGTGCCCAAGGTTGCTGCACCAAGGAGCGACGTGAGAGGCTTGATATCTCTGAAGTGACTGTCATCCCAGGAAGGCGGACGGGATCGTGGTCTCGAAGGCTTCGCAGCACTTGATGGCGGCTCGAAATAGTCTCTGGCCGAGCGGTCACTCCGCGGCGTTCTGGGAGGACTTTGGGGAGGCGACGTCCGGGGAGACACTGGGCGTGACTGACTGTTACCGAGATTTGCACGCTTATTCTGATTGGCGACAAAAGCCTTTGCGAAATAATCTTCCATGGTTTTTGGAGTCCCACTGGCAGGTGTCCGGGGCTGCGGGCGGTGGCGTTCATCTGAGGACTGCAGCTCATAGTTTGAGTCGCATTTACTTGCTCGGTCACGGCGCCTGGATGCAGCTCGAGTTAAACGAACCTTGTCTTCGTTTTCAATATGTGACCTAGAACCTCTCCGTGAACGACCGCTGCGCGTCGCCCTCCTTTCATCGCCAGATGCAGTAAGGCGAGTGTGTGCTTCTTCAGCTGACGATGTATAAGGGGAGTCAGTAACGATTCTTCTAGCACCATATCGACTATCCACAGACTCGGGTACCGCCGAATGATCTCCTGCAGATGATTTTGCCGACACATTTGGTAGCTTGGGAGTTTGAGGTGGCGTGATGCGGTCCTGCCCTGCATAACTGTGCCTATTCAAAGCTCCATGAGGTCCAGGACTGCGGTGACGATGTGCACGGCGGCCGAATGCGCCCTCGGGATCCTGTTGTCTTGCTGATGTGGTCGCTGATCTGTACCTTTCCGAGTCTGAGCGGTCCGAGTGTGATAAACTCTGTCGTTCAGCTCTACTGCGACTTCGTTCAGATCTCCGCTTTGGCTTTGACTTGTGATCAGAGTCACTGTCGTCATGGCCTACAAAACGGGTCCTAGGATGTGCTGACAACGGTCTCCTAGGTCCATGCGCATCCTCCGGTGACAATAACTTGTCACCATTCTGAGGTGTCGCAGATGACATGTTCGTGAAAGTGGATGGGTTGGAAGTATAAGGAGAGGGTGCACGGCGACGACCTGTGGCCATTGCCCCAATATTAGCCCCCACGTCAGTTTGTAGTCTTGGAACTTGAGGTCTCCCTCTAGGGACGCCATGCTCAGGAAGTTCTGTGGTCGATTTGGAACGATGGAGATGTTCGGCTTGGTGGGTTAATTCCGCCTCCAAGTTCTGAGAGGGGATGTAGACAAATCTCTTTTCTTGGTTTGTAATTTTAGGAGGCTCAGATCTAGCCTTCTCTCCCTCTTCTGCCAGAGGGACATTCTGTGAACCCGGGTCACAGTCCTGGTCCGATGCTGGTACATCCCCGGGAGTGATGGCAGAAGCAACACTGTCGAGGATGATGGGATATTGGTCCACCGAACCTCGCGTAGGAGCCGGCTGGTTCTCGCTCCTCAAGTCACGTAGAGGCAAATCGAGTCTGAGCTCCTTCGCCAGCGCCACTTCTTCGTCCTCCACGCACGGGGACGGTGGCCACTGCTGGATCATCTCAATTTCGCCAACTCGACAAAGGTATCATGGAGCATGTACTCAATGCCAGATGCTCGCGTGCGGGTTTCCTGCTTCAATTGGGTTCGAGTTGCAGACCATTAGGTCTGTGGAAAGAGCAAACAATCTTTGTTTGTGCTTGTTTCCCGACAGGAATTCGACGTCAAAAGGATTGTTGGACAAGGCTTATCATTATTTGAAGCAGGATCCAGGACGGGGCGCTAGCGGGTTGGGCAGTCGGGGCAGTCGGGTTTGAAAGGTGTTGCAGGAGGCGCGGGCAGTGTAGGAGCGTGGACAGTCGAGATCGAAATCAGCACATCATCGGTGATAGGGCGCGGGCGAGGTCGAGGAAGACGTGCATTCACTGCGAGGCAAGAAACCACGCAAGCAATTGAAGCTGCCCGTCTTCTTCGGGCCGGAGCCTTATGTGTGGTCAACGCGGAGAGGCGAAGGACTTGACGGAAATGCAGAGGCGTTCGGTGTCTGTACTAGGTACTCCGTAGACAGCTTACGCCAAAGGCAGAGGATGGAAGTTGCAAGAAAGGACACGCGAGAAGTGGTTTGAGGGCGGCCGGGTCAGTCGACGAGTGTACAGAGTAAGATAGGCAAGGGCAATGCGGCACAGTCAGTGAGACAGAGGAGGGAAGCATGCCTGCTAAGGCATCTGAAGAGGGCCGAGCGAACTGTCGTTGCGTGGCAATTGCATGCCTCCAGGTTCGCACAATGTCTGAGGCAAAAGTGGAGGTCAAGCTACGGAAAGGCGGTGTCCTCGGTGAGGAGCCGCTGAGCCTGGCATTGTTGTCGATGGACAAATAGATGGGAATGAGGCTGTTCTGTGCTGCAGACTAACTGCCACCCGACTGGGATGCGCACTGCGGGCTGCGAGGTTTGCTGGATGCCCCTGCACACCCCACACAATCCATCCGCCTCCAAGTTGCAGTTTGCCTGTCGCTCGCTGCTCACAGCCCATTAGCGGCACGTCGCCTGTCTTCACCAACGCTCTGCTGCACCTAATACGCACGCCATGCAGCTCATGCGTGCTGCTGCTGTGGCTTCCGCATTCCCGGCGAGCAACTCAGCTTGCAGCAGCAATGCCGCAGGCCTGATTAGCCCCTGTTCCTGAAGCACCCTCATCCTCCATGGAGTGATACGGACGCCGATCCAGCCAGAGAACAATCGCTCGATTACTTCCTCGGCCGCTGTCAGGAGAGACGGGCGGATATGCAGAACGCCTAGACCAGTATACAGACAGTACTGTATGTACGGAATACATACTACCTTATGTACTACCTACCTGAATACCCACGACCGCGCAGCCACCACCGACAATCCTTCGGCCCGTTTCTCCCTCCACGTCCACCGTACTGCTTGGTGCTTACATGGCCACTGCACAGCCTTTCTTTCTTCTTGCGCCGTGTCGCCCATCCTCTATCACTGCATGGTACTTCTGGCACATGCTGAGGTGAGGTCAGATGGGCTTTGATTCCGGCAGCCCATGAGGAGGGGGCATGTTCAATGTGGCAAGACCGAAACACGCCGGGTCATCGCTGACTAGGAAGCACACACAGCCACTCAGTTGTGCAGAGTCCCTGGCAGATCGACGGCTAATTAGAAGATTGCTGTAAGTAACCAACTGCAGGACAAGCGGCCGAACCATCTGGCTATGGAGGCTGTCAGGGCGCAGCTGGAGCCACTGGAAGCCCTCGCCATCGTTGCGGTGTCTGCCCAAGCCCTGTTGGCAATACGTCAATGGCCGCATCTCGAAGTTGATCTACTTTCGTGCTTGGCTCCAGAGCATACAGCATGATGGAGTACATTGTCAAAGAAGGCGACCGCTCAGGTAAAATAGCACGAGTCACCACATTGCTTCCTAAAGAACCCCAGTTCCTCACACCACGTACTATACGAGTATTGGGAGCCCGAGTCGCCCCATTCCAAAAGCCGGCTCCGTGGGACATTCGGACACTCCCGCAATTGATAACATGTCGCCTGCATGGGGGACTTCTGTGCAACATTCTTCGTCCTGACAGGCTGATCAGGGCACACCGGTCTGAGTACTCCGTACTGGGCATCCTGGGAACGCGGGGGCATACATAATTGATGTCCGTTGCATGTGCTTGGGCTGCCTGCCATGGTGATCATGCGACAGCTTCTCCCGCCTTTTCATGGCAGACAAGTATCTGCTTTCCAATCGAGTCGTCGTTACAAATGCCTCAGCTTTGGATTGACTGTTGAGTTATCTGGGCAAGTCTTCCAGCGAGAAGGCTGACATGGTCTTATCACCCTTGTGATCGATGACCGTGATATGGCAATGTAGTCTGTACACCGGTCGACGTGCAAGACTCCTACCTCGTAGCTCGAAACATCCAGGTTCGGAAACTTGCCAGCTAGTAGACGGAAACTGTGGCAGCGCCGTGGTTCAATGATGCTGGAACATAATGGTTAGTATTTTCATATTCGTATGTACCTATTCGATCCTTTTCACTTACTTGTATTATTAACTCCCCTGCCCCGCACTGCGGAAAGCATTCCAAAGCCGGCGCGGGACTGAGGGGAATATACGGACATGCATACGGAGTATAGAAATAACAAGGCGCGGCCACTATTGACGCCAACACAAGTTTTTAGTGTAGAGATAGTCTATTTGACTAAACTTGAGTCCTAGACACTGCCAGAAGACGGATGTAAGGACCAGTCTGAGGACTATACAGCGTCGCAGCCTTCAAGATTCCTGGTGCCCAACGAAAGAGCTGAGCTGCTTACGAATCGAGCGGGACTTCTACTCGGTAGTGTCTATGTCGGTTGCTTCTCTCCGCAGTCGACCTGCATGGTATAGATTGACCAGCACCAGCACCAGCACCAGCACCAGCACCGCAACATCTTCCAATTCTCTCCGGTTGCGTGCCGCACCCCCTCACGTCTTGCCGTGCCTCTCGTCGAACTCCAGCTCTTGCCTTAGGCCTCGAACACCGCCCACGTCGTCCATCCGCCTCCGCAGCATGTCGTCGATCTCGATTCCGGCCAAGATGAAAGCCATCCTGGTGCCCCAGCATGGCGGGGCCGACGTTCTACAATATACCGAGTCGCAGCCGCAGCCGAAGCTGTCGGACGGGCAGGTGCTGGTCAAGAACAACTTCGCCGGCGTGAATTTCATCGATACATACTTCCGCACGGGCCTGTACCCTCCCCCGGACGGGTTTCCCATCATCCTCGGGCAAGAGGCAGCGGGTACGGTGGCCAAAGTCGCGGGATCGAATCCGCTGGGGTTTAAAGAGGGCGACCGCGTCGTCTGGATCTTCCGCGGCGCCTATGCTGAATACACCGCGGTGCCGGAAGACCGAGTGGTTAAGATCCCCGCCGAACTGTCGGACGAGCACGCCGTCGGCGGCTTCCTGATGGGCATGACGGCGCTGAGCCTGGTCAAGGAAGCATACCCGGTGAAAAAGGGCGACACGGTGCTTGTGCACGCCGCCGCCGGCGGCATGGGTCTGCTTCTGTGCCAGATCCTGCGCGATCTAGACGTCACCGTCATCGGTACCGCCGGCGGGCCGGAGAAATGTGCCCTGGCCAAGCAGAACGGCGCGACCCATGTCATTGACTACAAGAGCTCCAGTGGGCCGAGCTGGGTCGAACAGGTCCTGAAGCTCACCGACGGCAAGGGCGTCGATTGCACCTTCGACGGTGTCGGCAAGGATACCTGGGAGGGCAGTCTGGAGGTTGCGAAGCGGAAGAGTAAAGTGGTGTATTTTGGAAACGGTCAGTCCTGTCCCATCCCACCTTCCCATCTTTTCCCTCCCTTTCTTGTGTTTCCCGTTCTGTCTGTTCGTCTAGCTGGCTGGCTGGCTGGCTGACCTAGATGCAAATCCAGCAAGCGGAGCCGTCCCGCCCTTCAACATCGCCAAATTGTCGGCAAAGAACGTGTCGATCATGCGCTCCACGCTGATGAATTATATTGTGACGCGTGAGGAGCTGGAGGACTATGCCACCAGCGTCCTCGACCTGATCAAGGTCGGGAAACTCAACATCCGCATCCACAAGACCTATCCGCTCAAAGATGCCGTGGAGGCTCACAACGATCTGGAAGGTAGACGGACAACGGGCAAGTTGTTGTTGAAGATCTAGTGGAGGAGCCCCAAATTAGGGAAAGGAGAGAGGAGCAGGAAGAGAAACAGTGAGAGAGAAGCCTCAACAGAAAATCGTAGAGTAGTGAAAAGTCCTGATGAACGGAAAACCCTCCTGTCATCCAGCTTGTATACCGATCATTGACATGACAAGAGCTCTGAAAGAGCACTTGCTTACAATCATTTGCTCGACCTTTGGCATGTCAACACTTCGTGCCGTTCCCATGGATCGATTCGTTCCTTGTGTCTTTGTACAACAGCTCTTATTCTTCGCTTGCTTGATTGACACTTTGAATACCAGCAGGGGTGCAATACTTATAGCCCAACTTTGGCCATTTCCTCTCCATTTTGATCATCCAGCCGATTCGACATTTCGTGCTCTTCTCCAACAACGGTCGCCCTTCAAAGTCGACGTGACACTCGTTCGTTCGAGCATATGGTTCCATGACATAGATTTGCGTGAGACCATTAGACCTAGGCCTTCCATGGCAGCGCTGCCACATTGGAATGTGGGTTATCGAAGCCATAGATGGGAGTGCCCATCTGTAGTGGCGATTGTCAGCTGATTTGTAGTAAACATTGCTTTTAAAGAATGGCGGGTGTGTGTGTGTGTGTGTGTGTGTGTGTGTGTGTGTGTGTGTGTGTGTGTGAGAGAGAGAGAGAGAGAGAGAGAGAGAGAGAGAGAGAGAGAGAGAGAGGAGGGGGCACTTACCTGCCGGAGCACAAAGACCACATCCTGCGTAGTGACGGTCTGGGAGATTTATAAATTTATTAGCCTGACGTTCTATATGCCGGGGGCGCCACCAGCCGCAGTGCCATATGTACCTTTCTGGCATTACTGAGGGGAGCGATCTGTTTTGGACCTCTCATTGTCGGATGCCCGAGGACAATCACGAGCCGCTCGATGATCTAGAAAGATAGGATTGCATCAGGTCAACCTGAACTCGACCCAGATGAATGAGGGTCCCGGATCTTTGCCTGGAGACTTGACGCTTACCTCTTTCAAGCGGAGCTTGAGGACCTGGCGGACGCAGTCGTAGATATCTCGTTGAATTCGTATGATTCCGCCTCGGCGTGCAAGACGACTGGAAAGAACATCCATCCGTCAGCAAGATCGAGTGCCCATCTCATCCCACCGAGGAGCACTTGCTTAGACATACCGGATGGCTGGCTTCGCTGGATTCGCCGACAGTTAGCATCTGAGCTGCCCTTGAGGTGAGGATATGGCCAGTCATGTAGATGGACTTACTGATCCCCATGATGGGGTCGAAACGACGCCTTGCCTGACGATGTCTGTAAGGGATGTGACTTCCATGACCAAGCCCATGGCCGTACAGAGGTTTCGGGACAGTCATCTCGGCTGTAGGTTGACAATCGGACTAACTGAACAAGTGTATCGACAGCGAGCAAGGCTGATGAGGCAGAGGCTTTTGACTGAGAAGGTGGGAACGGAGAGAAAGAAACGGTTGAGGGGAAAGATGGCGAGGAAGAAAGTTAGAAGGAAGGCAACACTGGAAAAATGTGAGATGAGGTGAAGAATTCTTGAGGACTGAGGTGGAAGTGATGGCGAGTGTGACGAACAGTTCGATAATTCAGGAAAGTTCACGTGGACGTGGACAGGGACAGTGTGTTATAGCCAGGATCCGAGAAGAGAAATGTAGGAAAATAGGACATTAGACATTAACAGGTGCTGGTATATCCAATCGTAGGTCATCCAGCCATCCAGTCTGCTGCAACATAAAGTGGTATCGTCAGGCTATGAACGTCGCTTCGGCGAACATTTTGCCAGCTTCGGATATTTCCTCGTCGCCAATCTTGAGCTTCAGAGTGAGTTGATCCTTCGGGCAATACTGTTTGAAGAGGTCAGTCTCAAGTTCTCTCGAGGGTGTAAGAGTCCTACCTGAAAGATATGTGGTTTCAAGCCGGTTGCACCACTGATGAAAGACTTGACGAAGCCAGGCAAATGAGCCAGTACATCGATTCGATCAGATCGAGCTGGCAGATCCCCTGTAATCTCGCCGACTACAGGCTTGCCATTCTGTTCGCCTTTCCACTCATAAGCAATTGTTTTTGGTTCCGGCCAGTCGTCCTCAGTATCCTGGTTTGCAGTGACATGTTTCGCGGTGCACAAGCCGGCGCACACCAATTCATTGTCCTTTGCGATCCCGCCAACAGAGACGACAGTCCTCCCATAGGATGCAGGCGTTGTGTATTCCATAAGCACGGCGGAGTAGGTTGGCGATTGAAAGTTGACAAAGTTCCATCTGACTGCCAGGTGATGCGGTTTCATCCCCTGGAGCGCGTACACATATAGCGCTCTCCCATCCACCTTGTACTCCCTGGAGGGCGTCTGCATGGTTCCGGTGACCGTACATCGGGGCCAGAACGCATGTCGCATAGAACCCCAAGGGTTTGCGGGATCGGTGCCGAAATAGCTTGTGCCATCCTCCCCCAATTGGAAGCCGGGGGCAGTTCTTGTCACCGTCAAATTGACAATGCAATTGTCGTTGACCGCCGACTTGATTGTGTAGGTATCGCCCGCCTCATTCAACTCGAACGCCAGGTTCTCGGCATAAAACGATGTTTGTGACTCGTCAAATCCGTAATCACTCAGCGGATCTGAGCACCAAAGATGTTTTCCAGGGCCGTCGTGGTCAAAGATCTTCATGTTAAACTGCGCAGTTGTGTGGATGCCACTGGTCCTGGTCAGTGATGCAGGCACGCGACAATGGAGCAGGATCTTACCCAACATTGCTGTAGATGATCTGCGCATTAGACATAGTACCATCGTCAGCCATGAAATAGAACGTCTCGGTCTCGACATTGGTGCTGTCCATAGCCTTCCATTGGAGGTCGCTCCTGTTGAGAATGGAGTATGGCTTTGAGTCTCTCTGTGTGCTCACAGGCTGTATCGCGGTAGGTCCATACTCCGGTTCCTCGGTGCCGACAACATTCGCTAACTGCTGCTTGAACCAATTCATACTGTCTATTGAGATGTGGTGCAAGTCTAGGGAGAATCGCAGAGTGAATGGATGTCGGTGCGTGTAGTTGGAAAAATACTTTAATATGGTGAGATATGCCTAGGGGCACGAGGTTAGATTGTTTTCGACGTCACCGTACTGTCCTTGGTACCGCACTAGTAGTACAGTAGTACGGGATGGATCATTGGCGTTAAAGCTCTAAGGCCTAACGGCATCCTTGGCCTAAGCAGCCCCCCCAGTCCCGGGTGCCTGCTGGAGCCTAAGGAGCCCTGCGTTAACGGCGCAGAGGCCAGTAGGTGCCTGGAAAGAGGGCCAAGGAGGCTCCAGGGCATACTAAGTAAGGTAGTGCCTAAAGCACCTACGCTAAGCCAACACGGGACATTGTCGAGTCTCCAGTCACGCCGGTGTGCACCCGGGAGCTTCGTTTATGGTACTCCGTCCAAAAAAGCATCAATATTTTCTGCCCGTCACCACCAACAGCGGATTAGCCAGCTACTTCCCCTTCTCGTTTCGTGGCTGACACAACGCGCCAGCTGCCGTTCGACAAGCTCATCCTCACGCCTCTGCATAGGCTGCTAATTCTCAATTGGCCCTCTCCCTCTGCATCGACGGTTACTCGCCCATCATGGCTCGAAAAGTGCCTGCTCGCGACCAGATCGTCAAATTGATAGTTGGCGCCGGCCAGGCAAGTCCTAGTCCGCCTGTTGGCCCGGCACTTGGTAGCAAGGGCGTCAAGAGTATAGATTTTTGCAAGGTATGTTGATTAGGGCCAATGTATGATACAAGACTTGCTCATGCTCGAGAAGGAATTCAATGCCCGTACAGCTCACATTACCCCTGGAGTTCCCATTCCAGCTCGAGTCACCGTCCGTCCAGATCGCTCTTTTACGTTCGAGCTACGTACACCCATGACCTCCTGGCTTCTGCTCCGAGCCGCCGGCGTGAAAGAAATCAAGGGCAAAACACGAGGAGCACAACGACCTGGTTCCGAAATTGTTGGCACCGTCTCGCTCAAACACATTTATGAGATTGCCAAAATCAAGCAGAGTGAGCTGCGTTTGTCGGGTCTCAGCCTCGAAGGACTATGCAAGAGTGTCATCTGGCAGTGTAAATCAATCGGCGTCAAGGTTGTGCCGTGAAGTATCGTTGCCAGATCCCGGCCTGCGGAAATGATATGAAGCATCTACTTCGGCCCCTGATAACACAAAGGCATGACTACTTGTTCTCTGCCTAAGCGGTACCTTGCCCCAACGATAGGACACATGAGAACGATGCCGCGCATCCGGCCACCTTTCACTCCACAGGCCTCACAGAAAGAACTAAACATCCCAATGACGAGAGTACAAACGATTTTATTCTCGATGTCGATGGACTGCTAATAGTCCCTCAACTGGGGCTCCAAGCATACTAGTCCTCCGCCTCCTTGGATCATTTTATCCTGGAACAAAGGGCCAGTGGTCAGCCGCACCAACGCCGTATCTGGACTCCCCTCCTGCATCTTTGATGGCCAATCGACTCCATCAAATATAGAAGGGAGAGGTCATTGCAACGGGAAACCACGGGTGCTTTTCACTGCAAACTGGGGTTTGCTGGGGCATACGGTGTTCAGCTCGGGCCGAAAGTACACCGAGGGCGGTTCCTCTAAGAGGATTGCTGGTGGGCAGGTATGATGGAGGGATGTTCTTTAGTGTTTGAGGCCGCCGACTTTCTGACATCAAGAGACTTCATCCACCGACCCCATGGGGACGAGGGGGACGAAGCACGAGCATGTGGATGTGGACGAGCTGGCAGAAAATAGCATCTGACGACGGCGTTCAGCGGACTGGATAGGACGGCATGCGCATACCGTACATAATCAAGTGTTTATCGTGAGCCATATACTAGGAATGTAGCTCGACAAATCAAAATGCCTAGGTACACAGAGCTACGGGACATGATGACTCCTCCATTCTAATCGAGCTTGAGCATAAGGATGACGTGGGGGACACGAACAGGCAGACAACGTCTTCTGGCAAGGCGTCAGCAGTACAGTACGTACGAAAGAGAAGTACGAGGAGGGCAGATCCGGGCAGATCTAGGTTGTTATCCAAGCGTCCGGGCGAGCCGGAATGGCAGCTGAAAGTCAAAAAGGAGAGTGAAGAATAATCATCGCGAATAATCATCGCAGTGCAAAGACAGTAGTAGTAGTAATGGCGGGAACAGGTGACACGACTACCTGCCTAGTATGTGCAGCCGTACGGAGTACTACGTAGGGGAATGATTTGTCCAGACTCGGTCTCCCTTTCAATCAATGGTGTTGGAGGTTCGACCGTGGCTTGGGGATCAGATCAAGGGTCGGCTTGATGCACTGTGGCTTCTGGATCCTGGCGGGGCAAAATCTGCCCATCCCACCTCGGGTGGTGGTGCCAGTAGTCGTGGTGACTGGTGAGGGAGAAAAGCGACGGACACTGGGACAGGGAGAAAGTCCGCTGTTACTCACTACTCGCCCTGTGCCGCGGGTTGACCTTCAGTTTGGCAGTCCGAGTGCTCTGCAGCGTATACGGAGTACGCACCGTTGAACGGGTTGCCGCTTTCATATGTCAATGCATCAGCGTCAGACCTTTCAGGCTTTCTCTGCTGTTTGTCTCACTCCCCTCTGTCCTCCACGCTCCACCCATCCGCCCGCCTCTTCCCTCTCGTTCGCCTTGACGGACGCGTGGTATCAAAATCTCGCATTCTAACATACTACGTGAGTTGCGCCGTCTCCACTGCCCCCCGACCAATACTCGCCCTTCCCGCGCCGTCACTAAGCTCATCTGTTCCCTCAGGACTGGAGCTCTCGATCCTTTCTGACGACAAGCCTGCTCAGATTCTTCGTCTCTGTTTCTGTTTCGCACGAATCTCACCCGGAGCCACCGACGTCTGAAATACTATCGCTCGTTCATGTAGTCACTCGTTTGTCTCCGGCCGCCGACCTCCAATACCCACCGAAGATACCCGAGCATGCCCTCGAAATTATCCGCAATGCTTCTCCCGGGCGGTGAGGCGAAGAAAGAGAAAGGTATGGAGGGGTCGAGTGCACAGAAATCAGGTCGGGAAGCTGATGTGCGGGATATAGATTCAAATGACGGGCAGACCGAAACTCCCGAAAACCGAGAAACTGCAGAGTCTTCACAACACAGCGTGCGATTCGCTTCGCAAAATGAAGAGATAGATCCGCACGATGAGAACAGACGAGATACCCCGCAAGCAGGCGCCGTGAGAGACGAGGGCCTCAGTTCCGAAGCGCATGAGCAAATCCGAAATTTGGCCATGTCTCTTCAGAGATCAAGATTACAAGAAAACAGAATGTCGCACTTTGGCTACGAGGCGGTCTCGATGCCGCCCTCGCGAGTATGTGGCCTCCTCGCCGACAAAGATGTCACTGACCGTACAAATAGGTACCATCGAGAGAGAGTGATGCGCCCGAAACTCCACGTAGCTCAATTCGACAGGGCCACGGTTCTCTATCTTCAGCCTTTCATTCGCCTCCATTGACACCACATGGCTCGAAAGATAGCAGAGCTGATATAGCCGGAGCGGCCAAAGGTCAGCAAGCATCCAATGCCATCACTCCGCAAACCTCTCCTCCTCCCGACTCACACGGACGAGGTCTCTCTCAATCCACATCCCCTTCACAGTCTGTATCAAGACCGTCATCCTCCGAACAACAGTCCACCCGATCTAGCCTAGGGCACCATAAACTAGTACCCAAATTCGAGATTGGGCCGTCAGAGTCTGCAAGCCCGACAGACGAAAGCCCTGTTGGAACGCCCAAGCTTCGGCCTTCTTCCCCGCAACTGGAAGTCCAACCGCCTCAATCTAAGACTGGATCATCCGAACACAGGCATTTCGGAAGTACAGGGAAGAATTCTCTTGCCCCAGCGATTGCAGCAGCGGCAGAGCGGATACCCCGAGCAGGAAGTAGTACCGACGTTTCAGGAGACAAACGGTCTTCCATCTTTGGCAACAAGAAAGATCCCTATTCCTATCTCAGCGACGCCGCGAGTGAAAAAGGTGGTTTGGAAGGAAAGAAACATGGGTCAATGTCTGAACTGAAGCGGTTCTTCAGGCTCGGCGGCCACAGTAACAAACACAAACACCACCATCACCACCACCACGGAGCTCCCCGGGACGAGTCTCCAGCCTCGTCAGTTCCGGCTTCCCGAAGATCTACAAAGACTGGGACAAGGACGCCACCTCATCAAGCACCTCCCGTGAATGTTCCATTCATGGATGAGCACAGCCTTGAGGCCAAATACGGAAAATTTGGCAAAGTTCTCGGGTCCGGTGCTGGAGGCTCTGTCCGATTACTGAAACGAAGTAGTGACGGTGTGACTTTTGCTGTCAAACAATTCCGAGACAGACATTCTTGGGAGAGTGAAAAGGACTATAACAAGAAGGTGACGGCCGAATTCTGTATCGGATCTACGTTGCACCATGGCAACATCATTGAGACCATGGACATCATCCACGAAAACAGTCGATGGTACGAGGTCATGGAGTACGCACCATATGACCTGTTTGCTATTGTCATGACGGGCAAAATGACAAGAGAAGAGATTGCCTGTGCATTCCTCCAGATCGTCAACGGGGTGAGCTATCTGCACAGTATGGGCCTCGCACATCGCGATCTCAAGTTGGACAACGTGGTGGTGAGCGAGCACGGGATCATGAAATTGATCGACTTCGGTAGTGCCACCGTGTTCAGGTATCCTTTTGAACACGAAATTGTCCTAGCTTCAGGTATGTTATCGTTTCCGCATGGGCGTTGCGGCTGCTGATCCCCCACTAGGCATTGTAGGATCGGATCCTTATCTAGCCCCTGAGGTGTACGAGGAGAAAAAATACGATCCCACAGCCACCGACATTTGGTCCCTGGCGATTATCTTTTGTTGTATGTCGTTACGCAGATTCCCGTGGAAGCAACCGCGGCTTGTCGACAATTCATACAGGCTGTTCGTTGCTACGCCCACTCCGGGCACACCTGTACCGGATTCTAAACCTCGGAAGTCCTCACGAACACTTGCGGAGCCGGATGATGGATCTCGACGCCCATCGGAAGCTCACGAAAGCTCTTCGTCGCACCACCACCAGCATCATTCCGAGAGTGCAGGGACGGAATCACGGCCTGGGACATCTGGCGGGGATAAACAGGAAGTCATCAAAGGTCCTTGGCGACTACTTCGCATTCTTCCGCGTGAGAGTCGACATATCATTGGCAGAATGCTCAAAGTTGATCCTGCGGAACGTGCAACCATGGATGAAGTGCTTGAGGACGAGTGGGTTCTGAGCTCGCAGGTCTGTTATCAGGAGGAAAACGGCGTTGTCCATCGCGCACAAAATCACACACACACCCTGGAAGCCGGATCTGGAGGACCTCCCCCTACCAAGGTGTAGGGGTCGATACTTGACTTGGGGTTGATGGTCCCAAGCACGCTTGATTGGATATGCTCATCATGTCACAGCGCTACGGTTATGGTTACGGATTTGACGATGTTAGATGTTTCTTGAGGAATGAGACGGCAACGATGCACAGAACTGGATGGAGGGGTACGCATTGCGGCGTGATTGACTGATTGCGCGGACTGTCGTGGGAGCGAAAGGTGTCCGACGCTCCAGTGGGTTTATATTGTAGATGACAGTGATTACGCTTCGCAGCATTTGAGAACTTGAGCCATTGTTTGTCCAGAACAGAGTCCTGGGAGACCACCTACAATCCCAATGGTCCAACACCCTGTAACCGTATATTAGCCGTATACGGAGAACTGAGTACATAGTCGTAGAGTGACGGGTGCGGCGAGACGGCGTTGGTCACCGTCGGGCTAGGCACCCGCACTTCGCGCCCCGGCTTCTAGAATGGATCAACTACTGAGTAATTACTTGGGTAGTGCCTTCAGATACGACCAGCTCTGCCGACCCAGCTCCTCGCCAATCCCACCCACCTCCTTGCAGTTGACATACAGTATCCCCCGCAGACCGGTTGTCAAGGCGGAAGCTCGATAGTACGCCAACTCTAACGACAATGGCTGACTGAGAGCATACAACTCGCAACTCGCAGAGACAGTCGAATCTACCTGCATATGGCCAAGAAGAAGCGTCAGAGGATCAGCTATGGTCAGGCAACCCTGCCGCTTACTGCTGATCGACTGGCACATGGCTAATGAGCAACAGTCCTGCCTTTGGCGAGCACGCCAGGCGGCCATAGACTTGGGGTGAACGGATTAGCCTTTGACGAAGAACGCAATATCTTGTACGCAGCCCTTCCTTGCCCGTGAGCGGCACCAACAGCTACTGAGATATGACACAGATACACCGGTGGACGCGATGGAGTCGTGTGTGCCTGGGACCTCGACCTCAGAGCGCAAAAGAGGAATCCCTATACCGATGCCACGAAGGAGAAAAAGAGCACCGTCACCTTCCGCAAGCAGGTGCAGGCACATACACACTGGGTGAATGATATCATCCTGGTGAAGAACAACTTGGGCCTGGTATCCGCGTCTTCAGATGTCACGGTCAAACTATGGCGACCACATGGCCACGAAACTGCGCAGGCATACACCATCGGGTCCCATAGCGACTATATCAAGTGTCTGGCCGTGCCCGACCGCAGCTCCGATTGGGTTGCGTCTGGCGGGTTGGATCACAAGATCTGCCTGTGGGATCTCAGTGGAGCTGGAAAGACGCTCGAAATCAACGTCAGTAAGGCTGGCGACGTCGTCAAGGGCTCTGTGTACGCCCTCCGCGCTCGGGGGTCGATGCTTGCTAGTGGAGGTCCGGAGAGCGTGGTCCGGCTTTGGGATGTGAATTCCGGCAAAGGCATCACCAAGCTCGTAGGACATACAGACAATGTGCGAGATATCCTGATCAGTGATGACGGTGATACTTTGCTCACGGCCTCGTCCGATCAAACCATCAAGGTTTGGTCTATCGCCGCTGGACGGTGCATCCATACCCTGACCATGCATAACGACAGCGTTTGGTGCATGTACTCAAACGACCCGAACCTGGCCGTCTTTTATTCGGGGGACAAGTCCGGCCTGGTGGCAAAGACAGATACTCGGCACGCCATGGAAATTGACGATGGTGTGTCAGTTGCCGTGTGTCAAGAACATGATGGCATTAGTCGTGTTCTGCCCGTTGGCAACTCGGTATGGACAGCAACTTCAAGCTCCAGTGTCAATCGATGGCTGGACGTTGATACGGAACTCGACATCGAGACACCACCCACTTCCCCACGTCAAGAGCGTAGAGCAAGCCTAGAGACGAGGAATCACCTGTCGCCAGATTCTTCCGCCACGCCACCTCCAACCTCCAACGGTGAGGGCGACAAGAACAAGATCCCTCATAATGCCGTTCTACGCATCTCCAATACTGCTCTACACCCAGGCAGGAAGAACTTGGGCAGGCTTCCTAATACGTCTGCAACGAACGTCAGGAAGGCCTCGGAAGCCATGATCACGGATGATCTGAGCCTCGTTGTCCCCATTCGAGGACAACCAGCCGAAACCATCGAGGGCCAAAATGGACTGATCAAGCATGTGATGCTGAATGACAAGAAGAGGATCCTCACCTTGGACACGGCCGGAGAGGTTGTCCTGTGGGATCTGCTCAAGGTAAGCCACACCCCCTGGGGGGATGTGGGCTCTTCCCTAACATGGTCGACCAGTGTGTTCAGATCAAGTCCTTCGGCCGCCGACACCTTGACGAAGTTGTGCCAGAAGTGAATACAACCGAAAGCGTGGCCAACTGGTGCGCTGTAGACACCAAGACTGGCAAAATCACCGTCATGCTGGAGGAGAACTATTGCTTTGATGCTGAGGTTTATGCGGACGAGCTAGATTTGCCCAATGACCTTGCTTTCCGTGAGGATCAGAGAAGTGAGTATAGCCGCAGATCCCCATCCAAAGCCGCCCAAACTGACGTCCCTTTCACAGTCAATCTCGGGAAATGGGTACTGCGCAACCTATTCTCAAAGCTGGTTGACGAGGAAATCGCGCGAGACGAGGCCCATCGACGCACAATCTACATTCAGCCGCCCCCGAGCAGTGGCCTGAACCGACCAGGCGCACCCACTAGCATTATGCTGCCAGAGTCCGTCACGAGCACTCCTGTGGTATCTCCTGGGAGCCTTACAACGCCGCGGGCATTCAACGGGCATCCCCACGTTCCCGCGACCCCCAGCCTGGCAATTGGAGCGGCGACTCCAGGTTTCGCGCCGTTAAGTGGCACGCTGACATTGCCTCCTACAGCCGAAGAAAATACTGCACAAAGCAATGGCGCTGTGCCGTCAGTGCAGCCGACTCCCCCAGCTACCGAGACACTGAACGATTACTTTTCTTCTCCCACTCCTATTCAGAACCTGTCCGAGGCATCGTCCGAAAGCACCAAAATCCCCCTGACTCCAGGTGCAGTAGAGGGCACGGCGCTATCCATACCGACATCGCCAACCGAAGAAAAGAAAAAGGGTCTTTTCGGCAAGAAATTCCCAATGACATTTCCCAAGAAGCTGTCCACCAGGACATCGACTGAGGTCAAGGCCCCCGTCGCGACGGAAGAAAAATCGGACACGGCATCCTTTAAGTCGTCGGAAAAGGAGGAGAAGGTCATCGAGGATAACTTTTTCGGCGTGATCCAAAAGATCCGGCAAGAATATGAAGACCACTTGGACTCCAAACCAGATCAGCCGCCCCCACCAGGCATTACGCCCAGCTTGCCTATTGAGACGCCTGTGTTGACGCCACCGCCGCACACTGCCATTATCATTCAGGAAGACAACCCGGAATCCGGGGGCTTAGCAGACCAGTATCGAGGCGAGATAGGCGATCTGGGCAGTGAGGCCGACACGTTGGAAAAGATCGCGCCCATGTGGCTGGGTGAAATGTTGCTCAAGGTGCGTACTCTAATCAAGACAAGCCCAATCCAGTCCAATCCAGTCCAGTCCAGTCCAGCTGCTCCGGCGAGCCGGTCTCCCTTGTTTCCCGCCTCTTCGCGGGTATGTTGCATCTAACCATTTTTTTTTCTTTCCATCCAACCCGTGTTTCTAACTAACGGATGGCTGCTGTCAGAACCAAATCCCATACAAAGACAGCGTGAAAGTCTCGTTCGTGCTCCACCCCTATGAAAACCTGTTGCCATCGATCGCCTCGCCGGACGGTAACGCACGTCTCAATGCGAACCGCATGCTCCGGGCGAAGAAAATCATGGCCTACATTGCCGAACGCATCGAGGCGCCACCGGACCCGGACCGGCCTGGGGCAGACCCGGAAAGCGACGCCCTCAAGCCGGAAGAATATCTCGAGTTGTATTGCCAGGGCCAGCTGGTCGATCCGAACACGACGCTGGCAACGCTCCGAGTGCATGTCTGGCGCACCGGCGGCGATGTCGTCTTGTATTACAGGACGAACGGGCGCAAGGAGCTGAGACTGCCGCACCCATCTGACGTACCGACTACAGAGGAGAGCGAGGAGCACACTGGGGTGGTGAGGTAGCGAAAAGAAAAAAGGAAGAAAGAAACTAAAAGGTGCCCCGACGAGCATCATCCAGGGTACAGGGTACATGGTACAGGGCGACCGGAGTTGAGAGGGCATGGTAAAGTGAAGGAAAGCGGAGTGTGTTCCGGCCGTGGCTGGCTCCGTCCAACTGCTGTGCCAGCCTTCAGATGCAGATGGAGATGCAGGATGCAGGATACAGTATCCGTATGCAGTCAGTGGTTACGTGAACGTGAATGTGAGCGTGGTATGATGATGACGGTCGTGGTGCGAGCTGAATTCACCCTGAATGCCGAATGCAGAGGCCAATATTGCAATGGATGGCAGGCCTGAATCCCAAAAAAGTCCGTACTGTATGTGTTCTTTCTTTTATGGTCTTTGTGCATGATTACATCGTACAGAAGATGCGGGATTACAGGCTTCTGTAGCCTGGTCAGCTGATCCATCCCCGAGAACATATGCATTACTAGTACACGGTGCAGGAGAACTTCGATCGTGCTCCCCTGAGAAAGGTCAAGACTGTGCTCCGGGGTTGAAGACCTGAGAAAGATTCAACATGGCAAGGCTCTCGTCCAATTTGGGGGCCGACTGCGCGCTTCAAGACTGTTCCGAAGCCAGGATATTCCAAACGTATTGGTACGTCCCGAGAAAGATGGCGCCGCCGGTGCTGATCCATCCAATCCGAGGCACGATTCCGCGGAACAGGCCAGATGGTCCTTCACTCTTCAAGATCTCCTGCACCACCCTGACAGGGCCTGCTCTTGTAGGAGGAGAAGTAATCGACGAGGTGCCCGAGCTTGAGGGGTTTGTTTCTTTGCGCGCGAGCATGATTCTGGTCTTCAGCACATCCAACGGCGTAGTTAGCCCCGCGGCAACCGCACCCGCCATGCTCCCGAAAACTGCGCTCTCCGTAGCTGTGACAAGTCCCTCTGGACGACCCGTGTCTTGATGCTGTCTAGCTGAATAGGACGCCTTCAAGTATTCCCACAGACTGAACTGGACGATCGTGAAGGGGATTTCGCGCATAATCGTGACTCCACCACCTCTGTATAGCTCGCGCACCATTGTCGCGACACCGTCTGTCTTGCGTAGCGCCAGGATGTCCTGGAATGCGAGCAGCGAGGAACCGCCAAACAGGCCTGCTTGGGCCCGTTGCTTTACTACCTCGGTCGGCACGCGAATAGCGCATGCGGCGATCTCACCCAGCGATGATGCGATCATGTGCGCGTACGTCCGCGTCCAGGAGAAGGAGGATAAGGTAGAGGGTGTCTGACTCGAGTCCGTCGCCAGTGACCGTTTCACGCCGTCGTAGACCAGGAAGAAAAGTGCCGCCGAGGGCATCGATCCCAGCATTGCTGACGGCAGGCCTGCATACATGCTACGCAGCGTTCCGCGCAGGGTATGACGCGGGAGTAAACTCGCAGTTTGGCGCCCATGGTTACTATTGAGTAGGTTCGACTGCAGGCGTGTCTTGATTGTGTCGAGCGGGTACAGAGAGAAGTCGACCGTCAGTCCGGCAATGGCGCCCGCCTATATGTAGTGGCAAACAAGTAGTCAGAGAGAAGTTCTCGTGTAAGAGACGTGGCATGGCGTATGAACGACGGGGAATGGCAGAGGGAGAGGCGGTGCAGCTGGAAATGGTCATGGTCACGGACAATGAGCGATCGGGACCATAACGAACCCACGAGCGGCTGGGCTCGTAGAGCTTCCGACAGCGCTACATCTTGCTCGGTCATGCCTGAGCTGGAGCTGAGGCGAGGCCTTGCCGTTCTTCACACAGCAGCGTAGGCCTCTGTTGGTCACGGTTGTCAGGGGGTGGATTGATGGACTGTTGGGAGTCAATGGAAGAAAAGTCTGGAGGGCAAATAATAATCATAATGGTTGGAATGACATCAGCTGCGGTCGACTTCCGAACTCGGAGAGAAAAGGTCCAGCAACCCAGAGAGGTATTGTTGTAGCATTACGGAGTACAGTGTATTGTGTATGTCATTCTTCACATTGAGTTTACCAGGCTGATCATGATCAGCTGAATATCTATTGCCTCAGCCTTCTACCGCCTTGGTCGTATGATGTCTGATCATGAACCCTCCGTCCGCTTTCCTCACGACATGTTGGATCCAGCCTATCCCACCGTCTCACCATCCATGTCGATCTGGCTTTGCCCGAGCCAGTATCTCGAAGTCAACCTCCCGACTATGATGTCTACAGACGCTGATGGGGTTGTATAGGCGTGTGGTTCGGAGATGTCAGGTGCGTACCGTAGCAGGAGCTTGCAATAGCAGCCGCCGATCAGTGTGAGAGCTTTTTTTCGGAAGGGAGGACATGTAAAGAGGCCCGAAACATCCTTGCAGGTCCAGCCTTCTACACATTCAATAGTCATGGTGTCCACATGGCGCCTGAAACCTCAACGCTTCAACTCTTCAACTGGGGTATCGGGAGAAATTCCTGCCTGTCGGGCGGCAGTGAAGCACCCAGGGCGGAGCACTGCTCCACGGTTTTGAGTGTTGGTCGAGATAAGGGGATGAGGGGACAAGGGGACCATGGAACCATCGTTTCGAATTACATTAGGTAGGACGTGTTGAGGGCGCAGTTTGAAAGAGATGCAACGCAGTCCAAGTTGAGGGATGCAGCAGCAGGGCACTGCAGGCGGTGTTGCCTGGCAACCGGAGGTGGAGGCCGAAATCTCCGCATTCGGCAGACCCCAAATACCGCCCACGAAAACGGTGGCGCATTTCCCATCCAGACGAAGAAACATCGCGTCGCCAAACTGATAACAGACTGTATGTGTATAAGCGGCCAAACCACTCACGTCCCGCGCACAACGCACGAGTGCAGCCTCTCCCCGCGGCCATGTTTAAAGACAGCATTGCTTTCTTGTATCCTATACCACTATCGAGTTGAGCTTTGAAATTACTCTAGCTGGCTCAGCGCAGTGGGCGCCCCCGCGTCGTCCCATTATCTTATTGTTTTCGTGACTCTGTCACCTTTCCCATTTCCCATACCTCATTCATAGTTGGTCTATCCTCACTCAACTACGGCCTTGCCAGCGCAGCCCCAGCCCCAGTATGGAACCCTGGCTAGACTCCCTCTCGGAGGATTGGAAGTCGGAACACCCCTCCTCCTCTCCCGCACCGTCGCTCTCGAGCAGCCGCCAGAATCATGGCAGCGTCGTGCTGTCCCGCTCCCAAAGCCAAAGCCGCATTCCACATCTGGCCAAGATGATGCGAAAAGACTCATACTCATCTACGGGGAGCTTCTTGAGGCATAGGTCTACCAGGGGCCAGGCACGACCAAATGGTGAATCCATCCTACGGGAACGCAGTGCATCAAGCCTCAACATGCCCCCTCAGCCGGGGTCCCAAAAACACACAACTCTTCCGCGCCGTCCCTCTAGTGCTTTTTCCGACTCGCAAAACTCCGTCCAACACTATTCGATCAACGAAAAGCCTGCGCCAGATCAGACACCAGAATGGAAGAGGAGGCTTGCGAATGGCGAAGACATAGGCAGCGACGGGTTCGACCTCTTCTCACCGTCCAAGTTGGAGGGTATCTTCAAAAAGCCAATGCCATCGAAACCATCGAGCGAAGGCAAAGTCGAACCCACCGATCTCGATTCGACTTCTTGGAAGCCATTCACCCTCCCTGTCTCCCATTCCTTACCGGACCAATACAGCAGCATTCGACAGACCCGAAGTCTGCCCAACCTGGAAGTCTTGGAAGAGGTCAACGAGGAAGAGGAGCTGTCTCAGGACGACCTATCCGCCCTGTCTGCAGATTCTGCGCGTGAGGGATCGCTCCGAGGTCTTGTGAGGCAGCGGGTCCAATCTCTTGAGCGTGCTAATGCAAACGACTCCGTGAGACCATCTTCAGCGTGCTCCATGGATCCGCAAGAAAGGAGCGGATATGATATGCACGACTCCCGATGGAGGACGGTCAGTGGTCAGGAAGAGTTAAAGAATGAGCTCATCAGCCCGGTGACGGTGTCAAAGCAGAACTCGATTCGCGCCACAGTCCTGCGCAACTCTCTTGAGGCCAATATAAAGTCGTTGGATAGCAGATTGAGGAACATTGCGCCGGCGACCGCAGACCGCCCAACCTCGAGCTCGAGCGACAGAGACGTCAGCTATGGAAATAGTTCCATTGTTCATGCCGCTACCCATGACGAGCCTCTACCCGACTTGACCTCCCAGTCTCTCCCGGATGACTTGTCAATGGGGACGCAGGACTTCATTTCGCATGGAGGATTTATCAATTCAAGACGCGGTGGTCGTTCCAATGAAGCTTCTTTCCTCCGGAAATCTCTCAGCTTGTCGCAAGATCATTCACAAATCGAGTCAAACTCGCGGCCGGTCTTCCAATTCCACAGTTCGCCTCCTCAGCCCTCTCGCCTGTACGATGACAGTATTGAGCAGAGTAAACTCAGCGCAAGCGCTCCGACCACACCCCAAGATACGAGCGTTGTGCATCACACCGAGGCCTATACCAAGCCTGCATCGTCCGGAAGCCCCCTCAAGCTTTTCGGCAACCGAGATACTTACACAAACAACAAATTAATGCGGATATTAAGCCATTTCGAAGAGCCAGGCGACCAGTCAGAGAATTCAGGCAATGACCACTCACCCCAAGAGCAGCAGGATAACGCTCTTCGCATGAGCCAGTTCGGAAAAGGGGAGCTTGATGGCTTCGGCTTTGTCCAAGACATTCCCAAACCCTTGTCTATCGAAGCAGCTGCGGTTGGATCAGATGGTAGAATTTTCAAACCTGTCTCCACCGATGCTGGCAAGGACCAGGATGCACCAGATCAGGCTGGCAGATCAGAAACCGGCCCCCAAGAGGGTCATATGCAAGACGAGCTGTTGACCGATGCCGGCATCTCGGGAAAAAACAGGACGACCAAGCGACGCAAGACGCTTGTTAAAGACAAGGTCAGTGTTGAAGGCCACGAGCTGGAATTCAAGATCAGCCAGTTGGACGAAACCGCCACTCTTGCCGGAAGGAAGCGAAAAGATGCCAGACCCGGTGATGATGGCACGTTGGCCGACCCTGAAGTTCTTTCTTCGCGGAACCTGCTGAAGCCCAAGTTACCGAGAAGAGAATCAGTCGGTCGGATTCCATCGGATGCGCATGACGGGTCGGTGGTGGGGGATGCTGTCGCAGACAGTCCTGCAGATGGTCTTACGGAGGCCCTGGCGGCAGAACTGGCCTCATTTGCGCAAGGGGCTGCTCAGGTCAATGATGACTCTCGCAAACCATCACTGGCCACCAAGGACTATATGGAAGAGGCAAACAAGGTCATGCAATTCATCCGTTCCCGGGGCAAGCCCAAGCCCTCGTTGCCAGATATCAGCGAGCCTGGAAACATGTCGGAACTTGATCCAGACGCGATTCTTGACCTGGAGATCGACGCAGACTCGACAAAGGATGACTTCTCACGGCCACCATCTCGCGAGCGCAGTTCGAAACCGGTGCCAGATCGGCGCCATGCACGACATGACTCCAGGACTGCGAGCTATCTGAGGCAATACCAAGATCAAGATGATATGGACGTGTTGGCGAGCACGTCGGTTTTTGGAACATTGGCTCCGATGAATGACAAGATGGTTCAGGGACAAGCACCAGTTCCTACGCTCGATGAATCACAGGAGAGCAGCCCCCCAAACATGCGCATCCTGAATCATTCCGAAACGATGAGAAAACGGAAATACTCGACCTCGACGGTGGATGGACCTCAAGATTCGCCGTTGACGCGGCCTCTACACAGCCACCACTCTGCAGGGAGTTCGACGCAACATACATTTCCCACCAGCTCGTCCACATCTGGTCATAAAGGAGTCATTGCGTCTGGAACAGTCTCCATCCCCGATCATGTTGGCCTGATGACCTTTGACCACGAAAAGAAAATGTGGGTGAAGAAAATGGCACTGAAGGAACCAGCTCGACCGGCCAGCCGACTTGAACGAACCGAGGACGACCCTTTCGGAGACATACCTGATCTCAGCATTGATGAGCAGCAAGAGATGGACTTGAGAGCCCGGCGGGTACAAGCGGCAGGGGAAGACAACCGTCCCACCGCGGCTGCAAAGGATACAGAAGTCTCTGCGCAGGCTTACCGACAGCCTCTAGCAGAACTCGACCTGGAAATCGTGAAAGAGAGGGACCAAAGAGACCGGGTTGGTACGGAGACGGAAGATGAGGATGAGCAGGATGAGGATGATGAGCAGGATGAGCACGATGAGGAGGATGAGCACGATGAGCACGATGAACAGATGAACCAAAGCTCCCTGCGCTCAAAGGCCTCGGAGCACGAGGTCAAGCTGCACGATGGGGCCGCGTCAGTGCCTCCTCTCCAAGCCAAGGAAGGTCGGAAGCAGGCCAGAGTCGTGACCATTGCTTTTTCGTCGCCGGTTGTGTCAGCGGTCAACTACGCAGAGATGTCGGAGGAGGACTTTGACGATTTACCCCGTGAAGAAGATCTTCCGCTCGATGACTCTGAGATAGATCTGAACGACGAGACGGTGGACCACCGAGAAATCCCTCGAAGCTTCCCGGCACAGAAATGGACGGACTCACTCCCACAAAGAGGACAAGATGCGTCCGGTGAACACAACTTTACCGTCACCTTCCAGCCGCGGACCATATCGCCGATCGCGGAGGGCGACGAGGGGCAGTTCGATGGGCCCATGAGCATGATCCGGGTGAAAACATCGACCGAACTCACTCCAGCGGGCCCGAGGACGGTGTCGAAACGTCAGAAGGCCGGGAACAAAGGCGCCAGCATTCTCTGCCTGACTCCCCTGTCCGACTTCTCGGTGCATCAGGTGGACAGCGTCAAACATGGCGAACAGAGCTATGTGGACGAGAGAAAACACCCCAATGCCCTTCGACAAGCGCATGGCTCGCTTGCTTTGGCCGTGGACGAGCTGGTCAAGGCGATCACGGACGCCGTGCCCGACGAGCTCTACTGGGAACAACTCCGCCGGCTGACGCTGAAAAGCGAGGGGCTTTGTTCCGTCCACGGTCTCAAGGAGTACTGTCCCGCACTGGAGGTGCTCTCGGTATGCGGCAACCAACTCACCCAGGTGGGGGGCCTGCCAGGGTCTCTTCGTGAGCTAGACATGCATAACAACATGCTCAATGACTTGACCTCATGGGGTCACTTGCACAATCTCCAGTATCTCGATGTCTCTGGGAATCAGCTGGAGAGTCTGGAGGGGTTCAGCTCGTTGGTGCATCTGCGAAACCTCAAGGCCAACAACAACCGCATCAGCAACATTGACGGCATTCTGGATCTCAGCAGTCTCCTCCAGCTCCAACTCGGCGGCAATGAACTCACGACGGTCGATTTCGAGGGCTCCGAACTCAGTCGACTGAGGACACTAGACTTGAGTCACAACCAGCTGGTCACGGTGCAGAACCTCCACTGTCTCCCCGAGCTTGCCGAATTGGATCTCTCGCACAATCTGCTCGACGAGTTTCCGCCACCCAGCGTGGACAAGGCTCTCGCAGTGCGCGACCTGCGACTGGCACATAACCACCTGGCTGTGATCCAGCTCCAGGCGATGCCATTGATCACCCGACTAGACCTAGACGGCAATAGCATCCAGGAAATCAGAGGACTCTCGCTGGCTTACAACCTTGAGATGTTGTCGCTGCGGGAACAGCGAGAGTGTCCGCATGTGATTGATCTGGTGCTCTCGACGCCGAACGAGTGCCGCGAAATCCGCCTGTCATCGAACCAGACTCAGAGCGGGACCTTCCGTCTTCCCAGGCTGCCGCAGAACAACCTCCGCGAGTTGGAGATTGCGGCATGCGGCATCTCGGAGCTGCCGGCAGGGTTCGGAGCAAGCTTTCCCAACTGTCGAGCCTTGAATGCCAATTTCAACGCCATCAGTGACATCGCTCCGTTGCGCCAATTGGTCCAGCTGAAATCTTTGCTTCTGGCCAAGAACCGCATCAAGAAGTTGAGGCGAACCTGCCTGGTCTTGTCGAGGCTGGAATCACTACAGCGGGTTGACCTTCGGGACAATCCTTTGACCGTGGGATTCTACAGCCCTGTGGCCAGTCAAGCGACGGACGGCCACGGCTTGCCCGAGGCACGATATCATCTGCCAGAAGGTTCGCCAACGGAGGATATGAGCTGGATGAAAGTGCTTGACGAGGTGACGGGGTTGAGACGACGCACCATTGAGCTGTTGCTGGCCGATCACTGCAAGAATCTCGTTCGACTCGACGGCCTGGATTTATGTCGTGAACGGGTCAGCAATCATGACGTGACATGGGGGAGACTGACTGCTCAGGGGGTGCTCAAAATACCGGCAGCAACTTCTCCCCTAGCCTAGGTCGAGAAGGCTGGTGATGGTGATGGTGATGGTGATGGTGAAGGAAAAGTGACGAATGATGCGCGGTCCATTCCGCTTGCGCCCAGGTCGGTCAATAGTGATGGCGATGTGTTTGGTGGATGATGGGGATGAATGGTTGGGCAATAAAGATATTTCGGTTGTGTCAGGGAGTCCCGGTCCCGGTTGTATGGAGTGATTGGAAAAGGGGACTCTGGGATATGTATCATTCAAAGCAATGGGTAATGACGATGACGGTGATGTTTGTATGCGTCTCCTGTCTTTTGTGCATTTCATCTACCGTACCGTGCGACGGTGTGTTCATCTACCGTACTGTGCCACGGTGTGGTGTAATAGGCAATAGGACTTGTTAGTCGAACTTCCTCCGGTCTTTGCTTCGCCTTCTGGCTTTGTATGCAGAGTTGGCTCAGCGCAAGGGGTGAGGAGCCTTCTAACCCTAAGACCTTGACCCTAACCCTAACCCTAACCCTAATCACACCACTCCCCCTTGGCTCAGCCTCGTCGGAATTTGACCTGACTCTTGGCCGCAGGGGAGGCTGGCTGGGTTAGGTTGTCATGACAGCCTGGCTACCAATAGAGAGAGGATTCGGTATCTATACAGGCCAGGCCAGGACAGGACAGCACGGGACAGGAGTAGCCATGGGCCAGCCCCATCTACTGACTGTACTGACTGTACTGTACTGTACCGTACATTCCAGAAAGAAGTCGGGAAGAAGTCAAGACCCACGGACATGGACGTGGACACAGACACGGACACGGACGAAGATGGAACGTGGATTGGAATGTTGGATTTGGATCCCGGTCCGTAGAAGGTCCTCAGCACCATCAGCATGTATGTACATATGTTGCCAGCCTTGTCCTTGTTATGCTTATGTTGCCAATCTTGTTCTTATTAGTATTGGTATTGCCAGCCTTGCTTGTCCTTATTTATGTTGTTATGGCTTGTGGAACTCGCCCCCCACATCTAGATATTCTCCAGCCTGCTTTGCTTGGCCCATCTCTGTCCTGTCTATATGCAGATATCTGTCCATCTGTCCGTGCGTGCCTTGCATCGGTGCCATGGGGAGGCTAGCATTACACGGTGTGGCATTGCCTTGTTGTGTTGACGAAGATATAAGATGGGTATATATATAAATATAGTTCTGTCTTTCTATCTTCCCTTACTTGCTATTGCTATTACTATATACACCAGATCAATCTATTGCCACAAAAATATCCAAGTTATCTGGTCTTCTCCTTCTCTTTCTCCTCCATCAAGCGCTCCAAACCAGAAGATATCTGTTCTAGCACCAGGGTCCCGATCCCAACCCGTCGGTGGAAAAGATATAGATCTATTTTCGAGAAGAGGAGAAGATAAGAAGAGAAAGAAGAAGAAGAAGAGTCGACTCTACTCTCTCTAGTCTACAGCATGATCGACGTTTACATTTGTACCTGGTTCGCCATCATCTACGTCTTCATCTCCGGCGCTGACGCATCGCCCATCGCCATCGCGCTCCCCATCCCAGTCGCAGTCGCAGATGCAGATGTAGGAGCTCAGGGTGGTGCGGCATCATCACCATCGTCATCAACGGCGTCGGGGTGTGTTGGGACATATTCGGGCGTCTTTGGGATCGCGGCGATGAATATCTCTGTTTCTTCTGCATCAGCATCAGCATCAGCATCAGCATCAGCATTAGCATCAACTTCAGTTTCGATCTCATCCTCTGGAAATGTGAATGAGGATGGGAATGGGGATGGAAATGGAAACGGACACAGAAATCGAAATCGAGTCATGGGAAGGAGACGAGATGCTGCAGTCATACCCGTCGCATCTACTTCTACTTCCTCACCCCCAGCCTTCACCGCCATCATGGGGGAAATCTCTCAGATCGGAGACGGTCAGGTCCAGGGCGGCATGCACACGGTGACCATGACCATGGCCACCAGGACCATGATGCCCGTCTCACAGATCAGTGATGGACAGATCCAGAATGCGGTCGTGACGAAGATGCCAGCACTAGCACCAGCATCAGGCGCACCGTCAATCCAGTCTGAGCCGTCAGCCTCGCCGAGCAACGATGGAGGTTCGTCTGGGTCTGGATCTGGGTCTGCCTCTGCCTCTGCCTCTGCCTCTGCCTCTGCCTCTGCGTCAAGGCCGCCTTTCGCTATTCCCACGAGCAAACCACCGACTGTGCTCGAGCAGGCGTGCGGCATTGAAACGCGGGTCAGCATGGCATTGCCGTCGTCGTCTTCGTCGTCGTCTTCGTCGTCGTCCACACCAAGTCTCAACGAAGCGACCACGGCATCACAAGACACAGCGCCCGCACCAACATCAACACCAACTTCGTCGACAGGTTCTTCTTCAAGCACCAACACGGACACCAACTCCAGCACGACCACGACCACGACCACCAGGCTGTCTTTTGTCTCGTGCCTCACCAACTCCACCCTCCGACTTTCTCTGGCAGACGGCACGCTTGTCGACGCGCACAACCGCACCGGCTACATCGCGTCCAACTATCAGTTCCAGTTTGACGGGCCGCCGCAGTCTGGCGCGCTGTCCACCACGGGCTGGAGTATCTGCCCCAGCTCCGACGGGACGTCGACGCTGGCGCTGGGCGGCACCACCACCTTCTGGCAGTGTCTGAGTGGCGGCTTCTATAATTTGTACACGGAGGATTGGGCTGCGCAATGTAGTCCGATCGAGTTGAGGGTTGTGGCGTTGGTGCAGTGTTGATTCGACGGAGCTGAACAGTGATTCTGATGAACAGATTCTGATGAACTGATTCTGACGAACTGATTCTGACGGACTGATGGGTTGATAGACTGCTTTGTTCATGTTTATGGATGGATTTGTCCTGATCGGCACCAGAAAAAAGGAGAAAGAAAAAGGAAAAGGAAAAGAAAAAGGAATAAAGGGAAAAAGGACCCAGGGTAATACGATATAAAATGAAAAAAAAAAAGAATACAGACACGTCAGAAAATATACACAGTAGGGACCTACTCAGGGCAGATCATAGAAGATATAGTCAGTCGAAGCCGATGAGAGGATAACCACAAGGCTTCACCCGTATATGTGAGGAGCTTGAAGCCGATGAGAGGATACCAGCAAAGGCTTCGCCCGTATAGGTGAGGAGCCTGAAGCCGAAGATTTGTCCTAATGGCACTGGGAAAGAACCTGCAGGGCGGGTGAGAATTCATCCTGGCATCGATGATAGGGACAGAAGTAGATGACAACAGGCCCACGGTGGTCCACTTCACATCCTGTTCTTGTTGAGGCTGTCGATATTGATACTGACATGACATTGATTCCTATCTTCGCCGTCAACAGTGACTTGTACCTTCTCTCGAGATCGGTATAGATTCGATGGCGTCTGATTCAGCCACCCACTTCAGACCAGACTAGACCACACTGCTTCTCCGTTCTTCGCTCTCCATTTTCCGCTCTCCTGTCCCCAGTCGACCCTCACAAGCTCATGCAGTGGCTGCCCATTGAGATCTGAAATTGTTCAGACCGGCCAACACCCCAAGGACGCCTACCAATCCGTTATTCATGCCCTTGATGCCGCCCGGGTACAAGCTGTAATGGATGGCCAAGGGCAACCAATACGCAGCAACCCGGAACTCATTCCACCACTTGCGGTCATACTCCTCCCTTTCTCGAACCGACTTGGTCAAGCGTTTGGGCTGGTCGAGCTGCGCCTCGCGCCACAGCCGCAAGAAGTCGGCGGCCACGCCAACCAGCCATGCACGACAGCTCCAGGCGACCCATTTGTTGATGCCGCCGCGTTTGGCAACAACGTCGGCGGGCACCACACCCTTGCCCACGAGATGGTAGATGTTTTCCATCGCCTGGTAGCCGATGTAACCGGCGCATTGCAGCAGGGCGACCCGGCGCAGCCCAGGGTCCATCTCGGCCGCGGACTTCTTGGACAGCAGTGTCTTGAGCCAGATATATAGCGGGATCAACCCCGTCAAGCGCAGCGTGGTGCGGGTGTCCGAGACCAGAGAGCCGAGCGGCGTCAGGAACGACGTCGAGGCCACTGGAGCTAGTGCCCCGGCCGGCAGCTTCGAAGGCGTACGCCCGATCAGGCGCGAGATGTATGTGATGACTGCGGCGCGAGTAGGTGCTTTGGAGTGCAGGTACGCGGCGAGGTAGATGGCGTAGTTGAGGGTCGAGAGAGCGGCCCCCAGCCCGGCAGAGGTTTTGATCAATCTGTAGCGGTTAACGCCTTGTCAGTCTGTGTCCCCGAAAGAGACTTGGGACAGAACCAGAACATACTTGCTAATGCGCACGATGATCTCGTCGGTCTTGGAGAGCGTCGTGGCGACATCTTTGGGCAGTTTGGCCAACGCTGGCGTCTCCTCGACTTTGATGGGCTCGATGCCTCCCGTCGACTTGTCGGTTTCGGGAACGGGAGGATTTTGCGGCACCACGCTGGGATCTGGGTGCGTGGACTCGCTGCTCGACATGGCTACGAGTCGGGGTCTGGAAGGCGTGCTAGAGAGCGAAGATGGGTGCGCTTCGAGCGATGTGATGGATGGAGGGTGGTTAGATTGAAAGTGTAAGCTGGGCCAGTCCTCCGTACAGAGGAAGGTAGTTGTAGTGTATCCCCGCAAAGTCTTTTGTACCGGCCGGCGGAAGAGGGAGCTGTCTAGCAAATACTACACATACAGAGCATAGGTACACATACGTATATGGTCACCAACAGAAAACGGGGAATCTGGGGAGGTTGACAGGCTCCCTGGCGCAATAGCCGAGGCAGCGTCCGGGTGGTGTATTCCAGGTTGGTACGGAGGACCGGGACCGGGGAAAAGCCATTGCATTTATGGCTCATATGAGCCGCCGGAGAGAGTATGGAGGGTTTCGGAGGAGTGCCAGGTCACCAAATGCTGGGAGTACGGAATACGGAGTACGCATTCCGAGGTACGATCATGCGTTGCCCCTCGTACCAGGCACCTACAGGTACCAAGAGACTCCGTACTCCGTACCAGTATTCGTACCTCTAGGTACTTTTTACAGAGTATTCGTACAGGCGGCGACCACCGCAACGTCATCGTCATCTCCCTGTCACCACTGTCTGCTGCCTCTTCACATCTGTCGAAACGGCGGGTTCCATCATCTTCTTAAATCGCTCAGCCTCGCCGGCCCCCAAGGATCTGGCCTCCGTCGTCGCAGGCACCCACGTTTCCTTTTGCTGCTACTGACCGTAGTACGCCTCGACCCGTGCAGAAACTTCCCACTCACTATCATTAAAGACTCGACTGATTCTTGAATCAAATTCGCCATCCAGTTTTTGGTCCCAGCAAAGTAACACAACGCAACACAACACTCTCCCCCAACTTGATACCACGGCTTCCATCCAAGAACGACACGTTATCATTGCCATGTCGTGCGGCGACATCTTCCTCGGCCTTATCGCCATTCTGTTCCCGCCTATCGCAGGTACGTTCGCCGCCCACATCCCATCTACATCCACATCCACATCTACACCTACATGCCCGACATTTTGCGTGCGCTTGCGCTTGAGCTTGAGCTAACTGCGTCTCCTCCAGTTTGGATCAAATCCGGCATCTGCTCCTGTGACTCGTTGATCAACATCCTCCTGTGCCTACTCGGCTACCTGCCCGGGCTTCTCCACGCATGGTACATCATAGCCCGCAACCCCGAGCGCGACTTCGACTACGAGTCCATCCCAGATGCCGAGTCACAGCGTGTCACCTACTACTTCGTCCGCGCCCAGCCAGCGCCGCCACGAAGCTACGGCACCCAAGCCCATAATCGGCCCGCCCCTCCTCCGCCCAAGCCCCAGAACCGACCAGCCCAGCCAGGTGATCGTCACGCTGGCGAGGCCAGCACCAGACCGGCACCACCCCCTCCAAGCCAGCCTGAAGGGCCCAGTGTAGGCGCTGGAAGCGAAGAGCCTGGGGCGCCCCCTAGCTATTCCGAGGTGGTGAAAGGCGACAACAAGATTCAAACTTAAGATTGAGTCTTTGCCAACAATAACAAACTCAAAATATCCAAGGGTGTGGTTAGGCGCTTCTGCCTGGAGTTGAATTGAAATGGCGTTGATGGTCAAGGCGTGCACGGGTGAGAGATATCCACGCTTCGGTGGCTATGAGGATCAGAACCTGGGCGTGGGACAATCAAATTTGTAACCATAATGAATTTCCATGAAGGCATCATCATGTAGTTATAGAAATCTCCCACTTTGGAGAGAGACCTCTACGAGAAGCGATCGCCCCGAGCCGGTGCACTGTGATACTGTCTACTGTCTTAATGGGTGATGGTCTGATTTCAACACCGTCCCAGTGATCTCGGCCTATGAATGATCAGACTCCTTGTAGAGTCTTAAGTTAGTGGCAAGGCATAGGCCGTCGGCAGTCCAAACCGAGTATCCCAGTATCCAGTGCTTGGATAGAGTGGCATGCTATGATCACAGACATGCACACGCCCTCTCTTGTCTGAGAGCCATCAAACTAGGCGTTGCTGTTGATGATCTCGACGACTGTTCAGAAAATTGGTTAGCGTCTTCAACCAGGTTGTCATTGATCGAGCGACGGCACTCACAAGCAGGCTTCAAACTGGCACCACCAACCAAGAAACCGTCGACGTCGGGCTGTTTGGCCAATTCTGGGGAGTTCTTCTCGGTCACGCTACCGCCATAGATGATTCTGGTGAACTCTGCCACCTCGGGCGTAACGGCGTCCGCAAGCCATTTTCTGACTGCTGCATGGACTTCTTGGGCTTGCTCTGCATTATGACAGGTCGGGTTAGTGATTGAATCCTTCATCGCTCCTGAAAACACCCGGAGACATCGATGCAGATGACGTACCAGTTGTAGCAACTTTGCCTGTTCCAATAGCCCAGATCGGCTCATACGCAATCACCACGTTTTTCCAGCCATCCTTGCCAATGACTTTGTTCACTGCTTGCAATTGTCTCGTGACCACATCGACAGTGACGCCCTTTTCTCTCTCCTCAAGAGACTCTCCACAGCACAAGATGACGTTGATACCAGCATCCAATGCGGCCTTGGTTTTGGCAGCCACAAACTCGTCCTCCTCCCGGAGGATAGTGCGGCGCTCGGAATGGCCTAGGACAACCCACGTGATGTTGCTGTCTTTCAGTTGTTGTGGAGAGATTTCGCCGGTGAATGCGCCACTGGGCTTGTCAAAGACATTCTGGGCTGCGACTTCGATGTGGGGAGCAAGATGTTCTCGGGCGAGGAGCAGATACAAGCTCGGAGGAGCGATGACGACTTCAGTATTGGGGTCTGCAGAAAGTGGTTCTATGCGTTAGAGTCTTTCTCCCACAATGCCAGTGTATGCAGTCACCTCCCTAAGGCAGGCGAGTCTCGTGGGTCTGAGCGGAGAGGATGCGAGGGACACGAAAAGCAATCGGAAGGGATCAAGGGAACAGAACGTACCGAGCTGGGCCGTGGAGAGGTTGTGGACGATCTCTGTAATGGTCTTGATCGTCCCATTCCTAGGAAACCATGTCGTGTCAGCTGTTCAGTTGTGGTATCAAATAGACAGTGAGTCTATGCTGAAACCATACATTTTGAAGTTTCCTCCAACGAAGAACTTGCGGCCCATTTTGGCGGTATGACGAGTGGGTTTCGGTTTTTGGTGGAATAAGGAAAGTAACGATTGAGCTCGAGAGTGATCCGAAGAATAGCACACTTCGTTTCTGCGAGAGGTAACACAAGTACTACAAGTCGACAGACAGGGGGAAGAAGGAATCAAATAGTATGGAGAACTGGGAGCAGCAATGCTTCTGCTCTCTTCTGTTGACTGCGGGGCTGCTGCTGCTGTGTCCCCGACAAGTTCGCCCTCGCCCTCTCAAGGGCAACTTTTCCGAAGGGTTTATCGTTATCGCCCTCCGACTTTTCACGACGAGGCTCAAAGCAACACACGTGACCTGGCATGATGAGCATGGTGAGGACAATACGTAAGGTACGTAGCGTGCTGTAGTATTTATTAATGTCGATCTCTCTCCGCGTCGCCATTGTTGTTAGTTTGTACTCCGTACGGCCATGGTATGGTTGCTGGGACCGATCTCCCGCCTCAAAACGCGCTGCGATGTCTTGACTCCCTTCTCATCATGGTGACTGGCCAAGGAGGGCTCCTTTGACGCCGACTAGAGATGATGTCGTTTGGTATTATTTCTGTTCTGTATCCGAGTCCGACCCTCCTCGTTACTGGGGACCAACGATCACGCGACTGATCGAACGAGAGATCGTCCAGCCTTGTCAAGCCTCACCAAGGGGGAGGTTTCCCACTAGCGATCATGTCCCGTCAGCCCGGTTCCTTCCGGACAGGAGTTTCTTGACAGACTGCCGGTTTCAAGTTCTTTCGCGTACTTCTATGGCCAGTCTGGATTACAGCCTAGGGTCAGACCCAGAATTTCCACAAAGTGTTTCCTTACACCCTAGGCTTTCGTCATCTGTTCGTCTCCACTGTTTGGGCGGTTCACCGTCAACGGTCCAGGGGTGAAAGCCTCGCCTACGCGCTATCCGGACCCAAATGAAACGATAGTGGACCTTTTTGGGATACCCTGAAAAAATCCGCTTTGTTTTGCTGCCCTGATCTTTTCCTTCCAGTCTCCAGAGTTGCCCGGCTCTACAGCAAACCTCTGATGAGATTGGTCTGGGATCGGGAGCTGTTCGGTCCGTTACCCGGCGGTTCCCAATTTATCCCTAAACAACCTCACAGGAATCAACAAGCTTCGAATTGGATGGCTGCGAACGTCGATGGAATGATTCGAGTTCGACGAGAAAGAGTGATCCACGCGTAGCAAATCTCTCTGGTATCAGCCCCCACTGGTGTGTTCGACAAATCTGGAAGCATGTAATAATATACACCGCGGTCATATGAACCGTCGGACCTGGTGATCCGTTGGTGACCGGCCTTGGTCCCTTGAAGGATTGTGGTCCTGTCAAAGCCCCAACAAGAGCACAGAGGATTATGGGAATGATCATAAACCCCGATGATCTTCGAGTGGCGTTACTGAACTTCGAAACTGCGGTGTGGTGGTCAGGCCACTCACACGTGGGGAGTGGAACGCCCCAAACCTCATCCTGGCTAGGGTTCTTATGGGCCTGGTTAGAAATCGATTCAATAAGAGGGAAGGTCGGAAACTGGTGGTTCGTCACCGCCTATTTATCAGGAATATCCTCCAATCTGTGGAGTGGCTGCTACAGTCCCAGCTCGGTGCCCTGACTTCAGGCCATTCTGTCCTGGGCTCATCAGAGTGATAACACTGTACCTTAAGCAGCTAACCTGGAATATTGCACGGCACGATGGCGGAAATACCAAAGGGAATGGAGCACGTTGACCGGCGAGAGCTTTATACTTCGCTACCGGCCAGAATCCAGTACCTCCAGCAATTCCTCGAATTCGGAGCAGGTCAGCGGCCCCAATCCACCGGACCCGTTATCAGTGTACCGTAGAACCGGACTTCTAACATGAGGTGTCCCAGATGATGTTGTCGCCCTGATCGACGGACAGAAGTATATCAAGACCATTATTCCGGCCATCGTCAATATGGTGTACAAGAAGCTGTTGAAACACGACATCACGGCGCGAGTCTTCAGTACACGAGACAGCCGGAATGAGGAGAACCCAGACCGGTGGATCAAAGAAGAAGATGCACAGATTACGCACAGAAAGATGTTCCTGAGGTGGTACCTCACCAAACTCAATTCTGACCCCAGTAAGATGGAGTATTGGCAGTACCTCGATAAAGTTGGGTAAGTCAAGGCCGTGGGCCTTCATCAATCGTTGCGCACGAGAGCCTGACAACCTACAGGTTGATGCACGTTGGCAAGGGCCGCCGGAACCCTCTCCACGTGGACTATCTTTTTCTCGGTGCTTGTTTGGGATATATCCAGGACTCGATGACAGAAGCAATACTCTCTCATCCGCGGCTGGAGCTCACGCAGAAGATCGCCATTGTCAAAGCCATTGGGAAAGTCATCTGGATTCAAAACGATTTGATGGCCAAATGGCACGTTGAAGACGGCCGTGAATTTACGGATGCGGCCGACGACGAGGAGATCCGAGCCGAGGCCGGCGAGCCTGAAGGTTACGTCCACGGGAGGAAAGTCTTGGGCAGCGGAAGTGAGGAGAGTAGTTCAATCGATGCCTCGTCAATATCGTCGGAAAAGAGTACCACGAGCCTCGGCCGATCGATCGAGCAGGTTCGCCTGAGTGGCGAACAAAGCAAATGCCCATTCAGCGGCATGGCCGTTGATATGGACAAGCAACGAGCTACCACATGGCGACCCAGGCGACATGAGCCAGAAGCAAAGCCTCCGCCGACAGGCATTCCGCGACTGTACGTGGTCGATGGGAAGACTGTCTGTAAAGAGAAGCTGGAGCCAAATCCTTGGGACGAAGACTAGAATGGCAAGAGATACCCCTAAATTTGGAACGAAACCATGCACCGAGTCGAGCTGAGAAGTACGGAGTAGGTGGCTGTCCTTCTGCACATACAACCCACGTCCACCGTGGACTCGTAGACCTGTAGACCCGAGAGCCGCGGAGTGATACTACAACTTGGAGCCAATGCTTCACAGTAGCTGTACGGCGGAACGAAGGCCGTTCGCGGCCTAATCTGGTCCGATATTTTTTTCCGGCGTACAACTTCTTGAACAACAGATTCAAGTTGTCGGCATACAACCGCGTCCCCAAGGCCAATTCACCTGCGTTCTGAGTAGGGCTGTGCCTTCCGTATAAGCATAGAAGAAGCACTCCCTGCTGCGACTTCCTTGACGAGCGCGGCTTTCCCACCTGTGTCCCAATCATCCGCCCTCGCACAGAGATGGCAGGCAAACACTCTGAGACTCTAAACGGTGCGCCTGCAAAACGCCAGAAGACATCTGGCGAGATGAACCCGCAAGACAATCCTTACCTTGCCCATTGGCATGACAACCAGCCCAACGGCTATGCGAACGGCCATGCCACGCCTCCAAATTACAGTGATGGTCCTTTGGCAAAACTGCAACGCCACAAGACAACCGCAGCCATAGCCAAAGCGGCCGAAGATGGCAAGATCAATCCCTTTACAGGCCGGCCTCTATCTGAGAGATACATTTCTATTATGCGCGGTAGGAGAGATCTCCCCGTGCATGCGCAGCGAGACGAATTCCTGCAACTGTATCAAAAGTCACAAATTCTCGTCTTCGTGGGAGAAACAGGTTCTGGAAAGACCACGCAAATACCTCAGTTTGTGTTGTATGATGATTTGCCTCAACAAGTCGGAAAGATTGTTGCCTGCACGCAACCTCGACGAGTGGCTGCCATGTCGGTTGCTGAGCGTGTCGCGCAAGAGATGGATGTCAAACTAGGCGAGGAAGTCGGTTACAGCATCCGATTCGAGGATATGACGAGTCAAAAGACAATTCTCAAATACATGACGGATGGAATGCTTCTTAGAGAAGCCATGAACGACCATGAGCTGAACAGATACAGCACCATCATTCTCGACGAGGCCCATGAACGGACACTCGCCACAGACGTGTTGATGGCCCTGCTGAAGGAAGTTGTTCAGCGCAGACCCGACTTGAAACTCATCATCATGTCTGCGACGCTGGATGCTCAGAAGTTTCAGCGCTACTTCAACGATGCGCCACTGCTGGCAGTACCTGGACGTACTCACCCTGTAGAGATCTTCTACACCCCAGAGCCCGAGCGCGATTACGTTGAAGCTGCCATAAGGACGGTTCTACAAATACATGCCACGGAGGCAGAGGGCGATATCCTGCTCTTTCTGACCGGAGAAGAAGAGATCGAAGACGCTTGCCGCAAAATATCTCTGGAAACAGACGAGATGATCCGCGAGGCTGATGCCGGGCCAATGAAAGTCTATCCTCTGTATGGAACCTTGCCTCCCGCTCAACAACAAAAGATTTTCGAGCCAGCACCAGCTCCGCGGCGACCTGGCGGCAGACCGGGACGCAAGTGTATTGTTGCCACCAATATCGCCGAGACATCCTTGACCATTGACGGGATCGTCTACGTGGTCGACCCAGGCTTTTCCAAACAAAAGGTCTATAACCCCCGTATCCGTGTGGAGTCTTTACTTGTGTCACCAATCTCAAAGGCGTCTGCTCAACAGAGAGCTGGTCGTGCCGGGCGAACACGCCCAGGAAAATGTTTCAGACTGTACACCGAAGGTGCATTCAAGAAGGAGCTGATAGAACAAACCTACCCCGAGATTCTGAGATCCAACCTGTCATCCACGGTCCTGGAATTGAAGAAACTGGGCGTCGATGACCTCGTGCATTTTGATTTGATGGATCCTCCCGCCCCAGAAACGTTGATGCGGGCCCTGGAGGAGTTGAATTACCTTGCTTGTTTAGACGATGACGGTAACTTGACAACCATGGGCAGAATGGCGTCCGAGTTCCCTCTGGATCCGGCACTTGCCGTGATGCTCATCTCTTCGCCCGAGTTCTACTGCTCGAACGAAATCTTGAGCTTGACAGCTCTGCTGTCTGTGCCTCAAGTCTTTGTCCGACCTGCATCAGCCCGAAAGCGTGCAGACGAGATGAAGAACCTGTTTGCTCACCCGGATGGGGATCATTTGACTTTGCTGAATGTGTACCACGCCTTTAAAGGCCCTGAGGCGCAAGCTAACACCAGACAATGGTGTCATGATCATTTCCTCAGTCTTCGAGCACTACAATCAGCCGACAATGTACGCATGCAGCTCAAACGCATCATGGAACGTGAAGAGTTGGAGCTGATGTCGACACCCTTTGAAGATAAGAAATACTACGAGAACATCCGGCGGGCCTTGGTTTCGGGATTCTTCATGCAAGTGGCCAAGAAGGAGGCCAATGGCAAGACTTACACAACGGTCAAAGACAACCAAACGGTACTTCTGCACCCCAGCACAGTTCTGGGCCAGGAAAGCGAGTGGGTCGTCTACAACGAGTTCGTGCTCACCAGCAAAAACTACATTCGAACGGTGACGGCAGTCCGAGGCGAATGGCTGCTCGACATTGCTCCCGGATACTACGACGTCGACAGTTTTCCCAAGGGCGAGGTCAGGACGGCACTGCAGCGGATAGCCGAAAAGGTGGCTCGGCGACAGAAGATGAAGGGTGGGAGATAGCAGCAGTGCAGGAGTTGTTCTTATGAGGAGTCAGATCCAAATATGGATGCGGCGGTGAAGCAGGTGTTGGACAGGAGTGTCAGCAGGGCCGAGGTTGTCCTAAGGCATGGCTTACGGGGGGCCTTCACCACGGAGGAGGGCTCCTAAGGCTCGAAAGGGTTGTCCGAGTGCTAGCTACATGTAGGTACCTAGAGCACATCTTCCTGCCGAGACAAAATCCAGAGGCCTGGTCCTAGTTGATTCCGTCTGCCCACGCCTATGCCGTTCCTGTCCGCTACGATGAGTGGTACTACTATGAGTATAGATAGAGCCGAGTAATGTACCTTCGTACCGCAGTCCAGAGCGCCGAGACAAACGTGCCAAGGTGACCCATGATTGGTTCTCTCCCCCAGCTCGCAGCTATTCCTCGCTCGCTTTCTTTGTCCCAGTCACCTACCAGTCTCACCGTCTCCTCCATCACCCTCATCCGGCTAAGGCTCCAGGGTCAAGATGATTCCATCCATGTCTGTGGTCAGCGGAGGGCGGTCTGATTCCATCCCCCATCTTCTCCTAGCCTACCTCGAACCTCCTCCGGAGTGATTGGTCACGGATACGACCCCTTCTCTCGTTCCTGCGCTCCGCCTCCTCAGCTCTCACTAAGCCTGGCCTCGTCTCTGTTTTCGCCCGGCCTGTCTCGCCGAACTTGAGAGGCCTAGGCCTTAGCGGCAGTGGGTGTTCGTCGTAAAGCGAACCCGTCTGACAAAATTGCTAGCCTTGCTGTTCCACAGCCCAGAAGGGTGAAACCGTCCGTCATTCTGTACCACCAGCCTGATTCTAGTCGTCTCTTTGCATGGCGACCTCTTCCGGGCAGTGTATTCAGGCCCAGTCGCCCCTCCCGCAGAGCCGTCGAGGCTTTGCCAGCTAGCGTTCGGCATGGCCTGAAGCTGCTTCGTTACGGTGTTGGCCACATACATGGGTTCGCTACAGCATATACTGTGATACTCGTGCAGCACTGCACCAAAGGTTTGGTTGCTATTGTGTCGATACTTCGCCTTGTTTTTTTCTCGTTGCAGAATCTCCTTCGCTCTCGAACCCCTCCCTCATTTCTATGCCTGTCTCGACCTTCTCTGGCCACGATCCATTCCGCACGACGACGACTGGCATTCGGACGGTCAAGTCTGAGGAAGAAAGATTCAGAAACCAGGCCGAATCATGGCGCACATACGACGCCAAGATGCCTTTGATGACTCTGACTATGAGTCGTGCCCTCTCGGAGGCGAATGGTGGAAGTGTGAGGACGTCAACTATCCAACTTTCATAGGATGCTGTTCTAGCAATCCCTGTTCAGGACAGATGTGCCCGACAAACCATCTCTATCCCATGGGCTTTGGCTCCGTCACAACTCCAGTGCCTGATTATCCAAACCATTCTTGTCCCTATGGAGGCTTATGGTATACCTGTGCCGACAACTCGATCACTTTCCAAGGTTGTTGTGAGAGTGATCCATGCAACGGCCAGGGCTGCCCTGCCTCGGATTTGCGACCAGCTGGCCTTCACACAGTGGCGGTTGCTGGAAGCTCGACATTCACTATCCCCTCCTCGGTCGCAACGGCAGCTCCAACTGGTGCCTCCAGCGGAACAGAGGCAGCCTCGAAGACATCGAGCCCTGCGCAATCAGCGCGAAGTGCGACCGGCAAGCCGAACACCGTTGCTGTAGCCGGAGGGGCTGCTGCCGCGGGAGTGCTATTGGCGGCAATTATCGGAGTTTCTCTGTATTGCTGTGTGCGTCGAAAGAGAAAGAGGAGAGTAAAATGTGTTTCAAACAACACTCTTCAGCCTCTAACACCGTCGTACGAACACAAAGACTACTATCAAGCACCAGCCACAACCGGTAAGTCAATTAACATGGATCTTGCAAGCATATCACTAATGCTCGACATCCAGCCTTGACCCCGTTGCCTGAATACAGCAACGCAGTGGCAGCAGCAGTGGCACCTTTGCCCTTCTCCCACAATCCGTCTTCTCCCGCACCCACGTATACGCCAACATGGACCAAACAAAACCAAGAGATGGAGCCTCAGGAGATCATGGGACTAGGGTTGACTCCAGAAGAGTTCAACCGCCGGAACAAGTCAAGATCGCCTGTCCAGGTTCTCGATGGTCCTGTGGAGCTAGCATCTCAACGATTTTCCGCGCTGGGATTAGAAGTCGAAGCTCAAAGCCCGCTTCTTCAGTCGAGATCGGCCAAATCGAAGGAGCGAACTTCCCGACTTCGCAGCAGTCCGAGGATCGGGAACCTCAGAGCACAGGCTTCCAGGAGCCCGTCTAGAAGCCCTGCCAGGTCTGTAAACTCGGACTTTTGAGAGTCTATAGACACTCTCAGTCACCGTTCCGAGACATCGCAGCAGCTACACGCCAGCTCCTTGAACTGTTTCGCCATGTCTGCTTAGCTTAGCGAGAGATCGTAAGCGTGTGAGATTGCAAAGGTCAATATGGGACTGCACAGTAGTCGAGCCGCTGTGGCGGAGATCCGAAACGATCGATCTGCCTGGAATGGACGAGACTTGGGAAGAGCCGCTGCGAAATGAGACTGCAGGTAGGGTTAGGACGCAGCCTTCTATACAGATGGATGTACGGATAGGGATACTTCCTCGGAGGCTAGATATCTGTCTAGAGTATCTGTCTAGACGATCTTGATCTTGATCTAATCCATCTTATCTGATTGGACGGTGGGAGGCATTTCTCCACGTGACTCTATATTTTTCCTGGATCGTTGAACCTCGCCATGTTGTGCGTATGATCTCTTCATGTCTCGTGAACTGAAGCTAAGCGGCTTGTCAGCAGTGCCATATGTTCCATAGTCGACTTCTGTGCACGACGACCTTGACTATTTCGCCCTTTGCCTTTGCGACCCGCGCTGCCCGAACCACGTTTCACCGGCGACTGTTCCATCAGCGACGACGAGCAACAAGGGTTGCGTCAAAGAGATTTTCACAGTCCGCGGACTACAATGCAGCAGCGATAGTTGGAGACATGATGCAAAGACCACGGATGGTTCCCGGGCCAGTCAAGCGCCAGAAGGTTGCCTCGAGAAAGCTGCTGAGCGAAGGGACGCCGAGTGAAGTGCTCACCTTCGAAGCAGAGGCCCTGCTGGGCCAGCATAGAAAACAAGCCAACGCCGAACTGTCAGAACAAGGAACAGGTCAGGCCCCCGAGCAGTACATTCCTCCCGCGGCCCAGACGGAACTGGAACTCGAGATCGAACAGCTTTCGTCGACGGGCGATGGCCTGGCCTGTTCAGCCCACAAGAACCATGTCTACGTCGTTCCCTTCTCCATCCCTGGAGACCGCGTGCTGGCCAAAACGTTCCCGCAGAGGCCCAACCCGCTGTTTACGCAGCTCGACTTCGTCAAAGTGCTCCGGCCGTCGCCCAAGCGCGAAGGCGTCACGCCCGGCTGCCAGTACTTTGGGGTCTGCTCTGGCTGCCAGCTGCAGATGATGCCGTACGAGGAGCAGCTGAAACACAAAAAGACGATTGTGGAGAAGGCGTTCAAGTACTTTTCCAACCTCGACCCGTCGCGCATCCCGCCCATCGGCGACACCGTCGGCTCGCCGCTGCAGTATGGCTACCGGACGAAGCTGACGCCGCATTACGACAAGCCAGCGAAGAAGGCCGACGCGTCGCTGCCCGCGATCGGCTTCGGCCTGAAGAACAGCCGCCGCGTGCTGGACATCGAACAGTGTCCCATCGGCACGCCGATCTTGAACGAAGGCCTCGCCATCGAGCGGCGCAAGGTGCATGAGACCTTCAGCAAGCGTAAGACCGGCGCCACCGTCCTCCTGCGCGAGTCGACGCAGCGCAAACCCATCTCGGGCGCGGACCTGCCGGAGACGGCGGCGGCGGCGGCGGAAAAGCAACAGACGGCCAAGGAGACTTCTCCTCCGCCATCGTCCCGTTCCCTCACCCTCCCCGTGCCGACACCACGATCGGAGCAACACCGGGTCAAAGACGGCCTTCCCCAAATCATCTACACGTACGACACGTACCAGGACGTGAAGACGTACACGTCGACCGGGACGGCCTGGACGACGGAGCACGTGGGAGAATTCAAGTTCGAGAGCCGGGCCAACTCGTTCTTCCAGAACAACAACTCGATCCTGCCCAGCTTCATCCGCTACGTGCGCGAACACTGTGTGCGGCCTGAGAACACGGACCACACGCCACACGATGATAACGACCGGAAAGCGACCCCCGCCGACGCTGGTGCCGTTCCACGTCCACCGATCAAATACCTCCTCGACGCCTACTGCGGCAGCGGGCTCTTCGCCGTGTGCCTGTCGCCGCTGTTCGCGTCGGTGCTCGGCATCGACATTGACGTGCAAGGCGTCGAGGCGGCGCGGCACAACGCCACGGCCAACGCCATTCCGAACGCCGGCTTCATCGCCGCCGACGCCGAGTGCCTGTTCGCCGACGTGCCCTTCCCGCCCGACCAGACCTTGGTCGTGATCGATCCGCCGCGCAAGGGCGCCAGCGTCGATTTCCTGCGCCAGCTGTGCGCCTTCGGCCCCCGCCGTGTCGTCTACGTCAGCTGCAACGTCCACACCCAGGCCCGCGATGTCGGCCTGTTGGTCTCGGGCTTCGACGACGCCGACGCCGCTTGGAGATACGAGATCGAGAGTCTCCGCGGCTTCGATTTCTTCCCCCAGACCGGCCATGTCGAGGGCGTGTGTTTCTTGACCCGTGTGCCTAATCACGTTACCGTCACCGCCCCTAATGGTGATGGTAATGGTGGTGCTGGCAACCGCACGAGTGAAAATGAAAATGTCACCGTCGCCAATGCCGGTACCACGTCCACCGTGGAAAATGCCGAGGATGCCGACCTGGCTCGGGCCTGAGTTGCTTTTGGAAATATGTAACAGTACTGTATCACCGGCGCGAATCAGAGCCTGTCCAGGCGACAATCCGCTCGTCTTGATATCTTTCAATAAGGAGTTATATTGGCAATGGAGCCAATAGTGACACGCTCTCTCTCTCCATCGTGACTGTGTTAGTTGGCCTTCTGATACAAACTTCACTAAACTCAAGTGGGTGCACAGCTAACGCTCAACCTCTCGCAAGGCTGGTGACCGAACAAGACTACATTGGATTCTCATAAATATCTGTTTTCATTGGCAAATTCACCCTTCTATGAGCTGCCAGGGCCACCCAGCAAGGCAAACCTTCTGACAATACTAGGCCCTATCTCCTCGTACTCGGCCTTGGTGTGACAGTAACTTCGAAACTCAGGCGTCTGACCAAGTAAGCTGCCACCAAACCATGGGCCATGCCTCTGTCGCTTGTGCGTAACCACCTGCACGTCCAATCCACCGCTCTTCGCCCCCCCGCTACGGGCCTCCGATGCTCGAATGCGGGCGTCCACCAAATGTCGGATGTCTCGTTGTAATCTGCGGCCAAAGTCCTTGTACAGTGTTGAACCGCCTGACAGAACAATGTTCTTGTAAAGGCCTCTGCGCACGTCTATCGGCGAAGATTGGATGACCCCATCGACGACAGTTGGGAGCGGAGTGAGAAAGTCCGAAGAGTAGATCTCGGGGTTGAAGAAGATCTCTGGGGCCAAGAATCGCTCATAGCCGACGTCGATTGTGACGGACCTTCCATTTGGCGCGGTGACAGTATGTTTGAGGAATCGATCGGGCTCCTTATCATATCGCGCAAATTCTTTGACAATATCTGGACAGACGTAGCAGTATTCTTCCTTGACTCTCTCAGCCGTCTTCAGACTGCTATCGGGCTCTCCTCGATCGCGGAGCAGGCTCTGCACGAAATAGGTGATGTCTCGTCCTGCGATTGGAATACTCTTGATCGACGATCCAATTACATAACCCTCGGCAACGGGAATGATATGGGTGACACCGTCTCCAGAGTCGATGACCGTTCCCGTGAGAGATCTGTCGACAACTTTGGAAGACGTCCACGAAGCAGCCAAAGCGAGAACGGCCTGGACCGCGATGTACAGACCAGCACAGTTGAAAGACTCAAACATGATCTCAGCAGTATTCTCGCGGTTTTCGGGAGGGTTCAGGGGCTGCGAAGTCGTCAGTCAACAGCCACAGTAAATGCAGATATACCACGTACTGGTTCGGTGAGGAGGAAGTAATGGTCTTCCGGCTCGACTCTTAGGTATTTGAAGATGGAATTTGACCAGAAGCGTTCCATGTAGTCCCAGTTCTCGATCTGCCCGTGTCTAATAGGATAGTTTATACTGTATCCCGGGCCATTTGCGGCGGCGAGGGCTTCGTCACCAATGAAGAAGTCCAGGTCCTCTGTGCCACGTTTCGCTGCTAGATTCGAGCTGGCGCCTGCACCTCCTGTCAAGTACGAAGGTTTGTTTGCCACTGATGGTCTTCCTGAGCCTGATCCTGCACCGCCTCCAGGGCCTTTCATCGCGATAGCTGTAGGAAATACCCACGAGGGAGCATCATTTCCGGCGAATCCTAGTGACAGGCAAGTCAGAACATTGGGGCGAGCACACAAGGGAGGACGAGCGCACCCAGTTTGGAGAATCCAGTTCCGCTATCAGTGTTGTTAGCAGATGTTTCAGTATCAGCTGTGAGATGTACCTACTTGTCCATGACAACGGCTGGGGTTTGGGAAGCCATTCTGGAGGATCAGCAAGTGGGCGGCCTTGAACGGCAGCGAAGGTGTAGTGGCTTGTCAAGGCGGGAAGCAGGTCGCTAGGAGAAAGCAGTAATGGTCTGTATGCTCATAGCAGGTAAGAAGAGAGTAGGAGAACAGGCGACAACGAGTACCGACGCCAGTTGTGTCCCAATGCTAGTCGCAGGCAGCTTCGTTGTAGCAGAGAGCGGGAGGGAGACGACGAGGGCCAGTGCTTAGTAGTAATAGTATATAGCCAGGTACGCGGATGCAAGTGGGATGCACGTGACTATCAAATCCACTGCCCACCGCAGTGCATCAAGGCCAGTAGCGACTTGGCAAAGTTCGCAGACTTCATGTTCCAGTCCATGGATTCTATATTCTTCTTGACCCATCGCTAGAAACCTTCGAGTCGTGGGCCGTTCGGGTCTCGGTGCCACCAGATGAATAAGACACACGCTGGAGCAGGATGAGAACAATTGAGTAAACCACTGTACTCCGTACTGCATCGCACACTCGCAGCTGCACCGCCAGTAGCATTGAGGAAATCATGCCAAGCGCATGCTGAGCCTGGCTTCACTTCACACGACTCCCTGGCAAGCTGAGACTGCGCTCAGTGCAGTGCATGGAGTGAAGTTGCAGCGTGTTGGCGGTGGCAGCGATTGCTACTAGTACCAGTATCACTACTGCTAGTATTGTTGTCCCTCACCCTTTGCCTCTGGTGCAGCCTGCGGCCAGCATTACTGCCGCCAGAAGAGAACCTCCATCTTCCATATTGCCTCTTCAAGCACCTTTTTGCGCAGCACAGCTTTTACAAGGCGTAAGCTTTAACCTCCTTCATTCGTTTGTCCAGCCGCTACTCACGGTCTTCGGCATTCTCTCTGTTTGTTACCTGGGCGATTCTGACATTGCCTGCTTAATGGCACACAATCTACTCTGCGCACTCATTATTCATTGACTGAACCTGTCACCTGCATGCCGCCTTTTCAGCTCAACACACCCTCCCTCCCACCATCTTTGCAATTCACTGTTTACCGGTAAACCAGAAGAGGCCAAGCATCGGAAGCGCAAGCCTGGGAGCGATCTTACCCCTCTGACACCACCATTTCAGTTTCATGTCTTCGCCAATCGACATCATCAAATGCCGCGTCGATCCCATGACAGTGGTGACCTTTGTGCCGTATTCATCCACGCTGGAGCCGGGTATCATAGCCATCAGAATGAGCGGATGCACCTGACAGCTGTGAATGATGCGGCTAAGGTGGCAATGGCTGTGTTGAAGAACGGAGGCGAAGCCACCGATGCAGTCGAGATGGCAATCCGACTGCTGGAGGACAAGGAGATCACAAATGCTGGATATGGGAGCAACTTGACCATAGAGGGCCAGGTTGAATGTGACGCTACCATGATCGACCACCTGGGCCGCAGCGGGGCAGTCGGGGCAATATCACAAGTCAAAAACCCCATCGCGGTAGCCCGCCTGGTTCTTGATGAATCCACGAAGCCTCTGTCTCTACAACGGGTGCCGCCTAATCTCCTTGTCGGGCCTGGAGCAACCGACTATGCAGCTGACAAAGGCGTGCCTATCCTGCCTCCAGACTTCCTAGTCTCGGCAAATGCTCGCGAACGTTGGTTCAGATGGAAAATAGATCTTGAGGAGGCAAGGATGAAAGAATCCGAGGACCCTGGGCAAGAGCAGACACAATGGCAAGCTTCCACCATCGGCCAAGGGCTCCCTTCTACCCCTCCAACACCAGGCTTCGCCAGTTCTTCACCTTCTCCATCAACACTTGTGCCGCGTCCGACCCTGTCAAAGCTTCCTCCCATGGTTCGGCCGTTGGTCGCTTCGGCTGCAGACATACCAAATTTAGCACGGGTAGGAGATGACAGGAACCCAAGAATTCCCTCACCCAAGAACATGTCGCCCGTCTTCGCAACAGGGCAACACAGTGCCACCGAACCTGGATCAGCCGATGAATCGGAGCCGGCCACTGATGACCACCCACCGTGGCTGAGGTCGGCCCCCAAGCGGCAGAAGCTAAATGGATCTTTCGATGGTCCAATGAGTGACGAGGTTGAGATCTCCAAGAATCATCTTTTAGTGGTGACACAAGAAATCGGTGCGAGGGACGATGGCCGAGAAGACAATATCACCGACACGGTAGGAGCAATAGCAGTGGATTGCTTTGGTCGAATAGCCGCCGGCTCGTCTTCCGGAGGGATCGGTATGAAACACAAAGGGCGCTGTGGCCCGGCAGCTCTTGTTGGAATTGGCACATCCGTGATTCCTGCCGATCCACAAGATCCAACACAAACGTGTGTTGCCACTGTCACCAGTGGTACAGGAGAACACATGGTCACAACGACTGCGGCGGCCACTGCGGCGGATCGGATTTACAGTTCGGTGCGCAAGGAAAACGGCAAGCTGACGGCGTGTAACGAGGACGAAGCCATGCATTCTGTCATCCAGCACGACTTCATGACCCACCCTGGAGTCAGTAATAGCCACTGCGCCGGGGCCATTGGCATTCTGGCGGTAAAGAAATCCCGCGATGGCATTCACTTTTACTTTGGTCACAACACGGATTCGTTCGCTTTGGCGTCCATGCACTCGGAAGAACGGAAACCGGTGTGCACAATGTCGCGAAGCAAAGGACATGGTTCGATTGCGCAGGGCGGTCGAGCTACTCGAGCCAAAGGTGGCCGGCTCCGAGGCTGATGTGGTCATGTTTCCCTCTCTGGTCATTGTCAGGTCTGTGCTGGGAACCGGTGGCTCAGACCGAGGAAAATGGGGCTTGACAGTGTATCGAGATGAGGAGCGAAAGCGGATTGTACTTGGACCGGGAACACCGAGGCTTGCGGATGGACAACGAAGGCTACCTGAACCTGGGAAGCGACAGCAACTGTGACTTGTTAAGTGGGCTTGATGGGAAGGCTAAAGATGCCAGGCACGGACAAGAAGAACCAAGCAAGGGTGAAGAGCATATTTTTAGTTATTACTCGGACTCGTAGACACGCCCTGCGTGTCCTCGGGGGGGCCCTAGAAGAGGATAGCGACCTAGATAGATGGCTACCCAGTATCGACCTAGACTAAGCTGTGTGGTTCTGTCCTGTCGCCTTCCCACCAGACGCAGTGTGATGTTTCTTTTTGGATTTCCTTGCCACGACGACGGGCCTGGCCCCGTATCGCCCGACCGACAAATGGGTGCCGCATGTCAGACAATCGCCATTCTCCGGCACGGAGCAGAAGATGCTCAGACAGATGCTGCACACAAAGCCGATGCTGACGACGTTGCGATGGCAGAAGCAGGCAGCGCGGAAGTCCACGTCAATGCGGGTGGGGAGAATCAGATGTGCGGAACGGGTGGAGGGTGGCGGGAGCAAGGAGGCCAACAGATAGGCCAAAAACGCTTGTGATGCTTGCGTTGTTGTAGAGGACGATGATGACGAAGAGGCAGAGGCAGACGGCAGCTGGGCGGCGATGAATATACCGTGGGTGGCGTCGGCGGCTTGTTGGAGGAACACGGTCGAGTTTGACGACGAGGGCTGTGACGGCGATGGCGATGACGATGCTGTTGCAGCTGCTGTGTTGGTGGAGGGTTTGTTGGGCTGCTGTTGTTGTGGCTGGGTTGTGAGTGAGGGAAGAGGAAGTTGTAGAACATCAATCGGGATGGATAGTCTCTGGCACGCGAAGATGGCGTTCATGATTGGAATGTACTGATGCGCGAGGTCGGTCGAGGGCGAGACGGAGACCAGGAGAATGCGTGACTGTAAGGAGTTGCTGTTGCTAGTTGCTTCGGTAGCAGACGAGACGGCCGCGGTGCTAGGGTCGGCGGCGGCAGTACTCGCCGTGGCGACGCCGATCAGCGATTCCGCGTGAGCAATGGCTTCGCGGTTGATGTTGCTCAGTGCCAAAGTCAGCGCGCCGGCGATCATGGTGGTCGGGCTCCTCGACACCGCTTCGGCGGTGGTGCTGGATAGCAGCCTCGTCAGGTTGCGCAGGAGTTCTTCTTCCACGAGCCGGAAGGGCCGGTACTTGTTACCGGTTTCCGCCTCCGCTGACGCAGAATCAGGATCAGGTTTGATGTCAAGGTCGACTGTGGTGAGGCCATTCTGGTTGCTGAGCCTCAACCGTTTCGCAGACTCGGACAGGTCGCTACGCTTATTGCGATCTGATGAAGGTGGAGGCGGTTTCTGATCGGTGGGACTGGGATACAGCCATGTTGCCTTGTCGCAGTGGGAGGCAATCACCGCGACCTTGTTGGCGTAGTTGGCAGCAAGGTGCGCATTGAGGAAGACCAGAAGGTTGGCGATGGCGGAGGAGAAGGGGAGGGTCGAAGACAGCAGTGACCAGGCGGCCGGGTTTGTGTCGAGAATGATGGTCAGTAGAGCAGGGGATTGTTCTATGTTGGTCAGATCCAAGTCAGTGTTTGAGATGAGATGAGGTGTTAGTTGTGGAAGTCGTGATGGAACTGTTAATGCGTGGGTTGCTTCACGGATGGAGGTGTTTGTGTGTGCAGCCTCGTCACATATTTTGATCAAAGCCTTACAGCGTGGCAAGGGGAGCAGTGTTCAACAAGGTAGACTTACCGTGGGAGGGTTTGTCGAAGTGGTCGGATGCGTCGACAGCGTTCATGTTGACATGGACAAGGGACAACCTCGACGGTGACTGAGGAGTTGGCTGTGAGTTGAGAAATGGGTGGAACAACTGAGGCGGTAATACGCATACCACTCACTCACTGCCCACTGCGAGTGTCTGGGTGATGGTTGATGGTTGATGGGGTTCGCCACTGTTAAGCCACAGGATCAGCCACAGGATCAGCCACAGAGGCTGGTGCCACAGTGCCTGCGCTGCGCTGCACCGCCGTGATCCATCCGCCTGCTGTATACTAATATAGTAGGATTAGGCGCCAGTCTAGGCCCTGAGACCTAATGAGCCCGCCCGGCGCGGCATTTAGGCATCTCTAGGCCCAAAGGTTTAGGGGTCGTCAGGCCCGTGGCCCTAAGCCCTTTTGTTGGGTCAACGTGGCGGGATTGACTGGACGTGCCACTGCGACTGCTCTGTCAGTATCCGGATGCACATGCACCTGTGCGGTGCCTGCGCCCACCCACCCAGTACTACGCGAGTACACCTAATTCACCTAATACACCCAATACACCCATTCTGCCACTGCAATTTGACCCAATGCAGGCCTAGTCCCGACTGAAATCCCTCGTTTCGGCCATAAACTCCGTCGTAGCACCAGATGGCCGCGCACATGTCGATTCCATTCGTTGTCGCCGTGCTTGCTGACTGATTATTGTGCCCTGAGCAGTGAGCCCTGATTCCTTCTGCTTATTTTCCTCTGCAAGATATCCATAATACTGTATAACCGAGTCCTACTGCCCATATCAATTTTTCTCCTCCTCGCCTTGCCTCTCTCGTCTTCTATCCCGCCAGCCAGCAGCCAGCAGCCAGCAGCAAAAAGAAAACCATCTCCCGCTCGGGGTGAGGCCAGCATTGCACACCGCACATCGCCCATCGCCGCGGCTGTTGTTCGTCGTGTCAAGTTGTGGCCGTCGATCAACAAACTCTTTCTTTTGCCTGACGTTTCTTTTCCCGCCCAAAGAAGGAATTCCCGCCCAATCAAATCATTCAACGCCGTCCCTCCTGCTCATCCTGCTCATCCTACTCATACAGAGAGGACTGAGGACCGAGGACCTTCTGCGTCGCCTCCCTTTCCCTCCACACCTCGTCCTCTACAACACCACGTGTCCGCGCGTCGAGAGCAGTCGGTGTCTTCATCATCTGACCAGACCGCCTTGCCTCGGACTCCGGCCTGCTTCCCACGCTCAATTACTTAAGAAACCATGACTGGCACTTCATAATCTCACCTCACCTTTGTGGCGACTTTGGTCCCTCGACCTCCTTCGTCCTTGTCCTTCTTACTATCCCTTGATACGACTTGTCGCGTCGTCGTCGTACTGCCTGTTTGCCACGTCCTCTTCCAATGTCGACTATGACGGCAGTACAGCGGATGACCCGGAAACTGTCCGAAGAGCGAGCCTCGACTCTGGCCAAAGAAGCCGTCGAGTTGTCTGTCGCCGGTGACAAAGCGGTACGTCTTGCCCTGTTTGATCTGGAACATTGCCCATTTGCTGACATCTCGGCAGCAAGCTTCTCGAAAGCTGAGAGAGGCAGCTGCTCTTGGTCATGACAATCCAGACGTCCAGGCCGCCTTCCTGGCCATCCATAACGATCAACTCAATTCGCCACTCCTAGACCTGTGTCGGAGATATGCCCTGTACCACGATAATCGAGCCGGAGACGAGACCGTCGGGTACTTGAAGAGTCCCGAGGCCGCAAATGCTGCCCCTGTGGCCTTGGAATCCCTTCGAATCATCCTCGAGAGCCAGCCGGTGCCCACCATGTCCAACGCACAGAATTTCATCATCGCCGAGCTTGCCAGACAAAGCCCCGCTGTCCGGCAATATTTTGCCTCCGAACTGGAGGAGTCCACGACCAAATTTTTCGACAATGTCTATGAACGCGGCGATGATGCGGCCAACTGCCTTCGGTCTGTCGTTCTCGATGACAAGCTCTGGTCCTCCGAAGACGTCCGACTTCGGGTGGAAGATGATCTGTTCCAGTTGTTCCTGGCCAAATTAATGGAAAGCGGCCACGACCACGATGGCAGAGCTCTCAAGGGCATCGCTCTTTTACTCATGGCCGATACTCATCGTCTGCAATCCTTCATTGACGAGGACGCCTTCGAAGCGCTCATGGGCTCTTTGGACGTGAGGCTCCCCGCCGACGTTCGCGGCCAGGCTACGCTGGTGCTCTCCAAGTTCTTCGAAGTCGCCAACGCCACTGGGCAGGAGTTTCTCTACAAGTACATCACTACTCACGTCGCGCGGCAGAAGGGTGATGATCTTGTCCTAGCTTTCTCCGCTGCCGCAAATCTCTTCCCGGTCATTCCCGGCATGATGGCGGAACTATTCCTGACCAACGGCTTCCTCAGCTCAATCATGCCCTTTCTGGGAAAACAGTACCGTAGCCACGTTGTGCACGATGCATTTCTCCTCCTTCTTAACGCTGCATGCATTGACGGGGCATGCCGCACGGCAATCGCGCAATATTGTGCCACTTGGCTATCGCACAAAGTCAACAACGGTACGGGCAAGCAGCCAGCAGTGGCGGCCACCGTCCTGGCCAAGTTGAGGACGGCAGGCGTCAAGACTGGAGATCAGAGAGCCAATATGGCCGATGATGATGTTAGTGAACTCGTTGATCTCTTTAAAAGCACTCTTGCTGTTGTTGAAGAAGGGCGGAATGTGTCTGACTCCATTGAAGGCCTTGCGTACACATCTCTGAAGCCCGAGGTCAAAGAAGCGCTCGCCAAAGACCCGGCTTTTCTCAAGTCTCTTCTCACGGCACTCGAGGCAAGCCCCGAATCGCCCGAAATCATCGTTGGTGGCCTGAGTATTATCACAAATCTCGCCCAGTACGCCCCAGTCCTCTCAGAAGAACAGAAGAAAGTCTCTCAGTTAAAGGCGTACGCGAATGCGACAAAACCCGCCGAGCCCAGTCCTTTAGAAGACGACGATCACGTCCGAGCCCGATGTGCCGCCTTGGTCCAGGCTGGGACTGTTGCCACCTTGACCAAACTAAACAAAGGCAGATCTCCAGCAGCCGCTCAGCTGACCGATCGAGTTCTTTTGGCATTTTCTAGGAACCCCAAAGATAGAGGGAAGATTGCTCAACAGGGAGCAGTCAAGCTTTTAGTTTCTCACGCCCAGAAAAACCTCGAGTCAACAGATATCGACAATTCGGATGCTGCTCATGCGCTGGCCAGAGTTTTGATCTCGTTGAATCCAGCACATGTTTTCGCCCCCGGAACTACTCCCGACATCACCGAGGCAGTGCCGCCTCTAGTGGCGCTGCTGAAACCTCCAAAGAGCGGAGGACTTGCTGCTGATCACCCGCGCGACCTACTCCCCGTATTCGAAAGTCTCCTCGCCTTGACCAATCTTGCGTCGGCACCGGAGCCGTATGCAGCGAACAGCATCATCAAGTTAGCATGGGACGATGTCGAAGACCTTCTGATGGGAAACAACAATATGCTCCGGCGTGCTGCCTGTGAACTAATCTGCAATTTGACCGTCATACCCGCCGGTGCGGACAAGTTTACAGAAGGCTCAACCCGGGCCAGGACACGGCTCCATCTTCTCGTTGCAATGGCTGACGTCGACGATTTACCCACCCGAAGAGCAGCTGGTGGTGCATTAGCCATGCTTACAGAACAAGATTCCTCGGTGGTCTCTGCTTTGCTCGACCTTGAACGTGCCCCTGAGATTGTTCTGGAGTTATGTCAAGATGAAGACCCTGGCGTTGTTCACAGAGGATTAGTCATTGTCAGAAACATGGTGTGTGAACACGATGCGGAACTGTCAAGGAAGGCAAGAGTGGCACTCAAGAAGAGTGATGCGGTGGAAAAAGTGAAGACAACGTTGAAGACGACGAAAGATCCCGCGCTATTGCAGATTGGCGTGGAGGCGCTCAAGGCGTTGGTTGAGATGGAGAAGTAGTGAATGGGTGTCGTCAACATAGGGTCAACTTGATCCATCACGGTCTCCCACGCCCTTGGCTGACCGAGGCCTCTGTCGAAGATCTATTGATTGCATTCCGCGCGGTCGTTCGAGTGAGTGGAGGGAGTACACACTTCACTCCGCTGGAAAATTCTCGAATTCAAGTTTACAGGGTGAAGAATGCCGTTTACGTTGCTACGAAGGAGTTACTCTCTGTATTGCTACTGGAGTTTTAGACGGTCACAGGTTATCGGTCCCCCAGGCGTCAGGATCAGCGGTATTGATGACTGGGGACAGCGCAACACGGTTCAAGTCATGGAGGAGCATTTGTCGGTTGATTGGGTTTGGGACTGACTTCATGGTGTTCATTACGTACTGCATCGTTATGGTGTCCGGAATCCGGCGTGCAAGCCAAGCTTGGAGGTTTGGTGAGACAGCGAGTTTACAGATTACAGTGATCAGACTGACGAAGGGAGTTCGGCGTCTTCTGTTCTACTTGAGGCATAATAATTAGAACCACTTTAATTCATTTGCTCATCCGCCTCACTGCCCTCCCCCCTTTCTCGCGTGACAAGGTTCTTTCACGTGTACTGGTACGGAGTACGGAGTACATCTATCTCGACGTCCTAGAGGCATTCCTCCCTCTACTGTCCAAAGGACATTTATATATCTCAACACCGTCCACCCCCGAGCGGCTCACTCGAAATCATCTGTTGCAAAACAGCGAATGGCAATTGATGGAGTGGCAGTGGTTCATCTCAGAGTGGCTGCTTGGCGCGGATAGAGTGGCTGCACATGAAGTGTCTGTTCCGTACATACATCTGTCGCGCCCATCTGTCGCGCCCATCTGTCGCGCCCATCTGTCGCGCCCATCTGTCTCGCCCGCTGCTGTGCTGGGCTCTAGAACGTCCAGTGCATCTCAATTGCCGCCCTACTGGGGACATGCCTGGTGGGAGGTAGTGCTTCTATTCCGTGCTGGCCGGGAGTCCATGTGCTGCCGACCAGTACTCTGCCCGTCGGAGCCGGCCAGGCTGACTGGCATGGTTCGAAGTTTGTCTTGCTGCAAGTGCACTTGAGAGGATGAGATGGTTCTCCCAGACCAGGGTCCGGCTAGGCGAAGGTAGTGTAGCGCTCTCCTGTCCATGGAAGGCCAGGCTGGTCGGAGGCATTGGCTCTCTCTTCAAAAGGTCCACCTCGTGTCTCTGCTAGATTCCGGCTGCTTGAGAACCATCCTTGGTTCGACGGCATATGCCCGAGTGGTCACTGGCTGGACGGTCTCGCAGACTAGACAATCATGCTGTGTTGGGCTTTGTCTGAGCCAGAGAACCAGCGTCAAGTCAACGTCATCTCATTCTCAGCACTTTGTGACCGACGTGTATATCACGCTTAGGACAAATATCGAAGCTAGGATCCGTATCATGCCCGAAAGTCAATTCTATGCCATCCCTTTGCACGAGGAGCGTAGAACGGCTCACGACAGGCGTGCATTCGGATCTTAACTCCATCGTCGACAATCGGGGTCGGTTCAGTTGACTGTCTCTCCGCTGGCATGGGCCGAAACGTGAGTCCAGGGACAGCCTTGAATGGAGCGGCTCTTTTCCTTTTGATTGCGGGATTTGTTGATTCTGATGTCGGCGTTGCAGCAGAGGATGCAGAAACTGACGCTGTCGGTACAGCTGTTGCAGTTGGGCTTGCTACTTCGACATCTTGAGATCGCGTCTGCATTGTCCGTTGAACAGCACTTGCCAGCTTCTGTTGCTGCACGAGTCGCCTGGCGATTTCTTTCAATTCGGAAATCTCCCCCCGAAGCTCTGCGTGTTCTTTCGCATAGGATTGATTTTGGGACTGCAACTGTTCCAGCGCAGATTTGGATTCTCGTAGTGCGTCTTGCAACTTGGCAGTTGTTCGCTGCAATTCTTCCTCCCTTGCCTTCCTCCCCTCTTCCTGCTGTTGGGACGCAATCTGCTTCTGTTCCGCGATAGCCAGTTGGCCCTTGAGTGTGGCGATGGCTCCGTCTTGCGTGGCAATTTTGCCTTGGAGATTGATAATGTCGTTCAGACTGGCGTCGCTAAACTGGCGCTGGAAGGGGTTGGATACCTCTTCTTTCAGTCGTCGTCGCACAGAGTACCGTAAGAAGTGTGTTGCAGCAGGCATAAGGACCAGTTCACCGCTATCATCGACTTGTGAGGGTCTCTGTATCGGTGTGGTTTGGCTGGGGATTCCCTCCAAGAGCGATCTACACCCTGCCTGAAACTCTCTGACCTTTTCCTCGGTAGAAAGGGACTTTGCACTTTCCGGGACCGGAAGGGACTCCCACTCGAGCAGAATGCTGCGGCCCCGAGCGTGGAAGGGCTTTCGGTTATTGCGGTTTTGTGCAACAGTTGGTGGTGTGATACCTGCATTGACCGCCGCATCCAGGATCATTGTATATTCTGGAAGTTTGCGACAACGCACACATAAGTCCAGCATGCGAAATATGACTCGGGAAAGAGCGTCCATATTTTGGGTGGCGATGGACAACGCGTGTTGAACTGATCGCCGTAACCAGATCTTGCCCCTGTCCCAGTTACTGTGCGAACTGTAGTAGGATAGAAAGCTTCGAAACAGATGGTCTTTCCACACAGTGCTGTAATCCGCCTCTTGCAGTAGTGTTAGCCAGCCTTCGGCGCGCTCTGGCTGTTCACATCTGAGAGCTGCGTAGATTAAGCCCTGCAGAATGCCCGGATGCAACGACACTGGGACGGGCAGATCCAACCCATTGCTGTACACCTTCTCCCATTTTGTCTCCAGATTTAATTGGTTGTCTGACCTTGCAATAACTTGCAAAATATGGTTCAGCGAACGAGAGTCGCACGCCTTCCCGATTTGAAAGATGATGTGGAAGATAGCATCGTCCGACAGAGGTAGGGTGCTATTCTTCAGAGCGGCGGTCACATGGTAAGCTAGACTGAAGCTCCCTATCTTGGAGAGGCTTCGAATAAGTCCAGTATAGGCCCAGACAGAAGGAATCTCCTCTGACTGCATGAGTGCCTTTCCGAATCCATCCACCAGGTCAGTAAGGGGAATTTTACCCTCGTCAAAACTATGAGTCAACTTTCTTATATCCCTAGTAAGGGCTCCCCTTTTAGCCTGTGCTTCGATCTGTGGCGCGACTATAAAGAGGTCATCCCACTTCTTGAGGGGGCGAATCTCTTTTCGAGTCATTTTCAATAATTCAACCAACTGATTGGTGTCCTGGGGAAATTGTAGATCTGCCCTGTCTAGGTCGTCATCACCAGGGAACATCTCGAAAAAAGGGCTTGGTCCGATGCGGAGGTGGAGAAGCATTTTGATAGCCAGCATGATTGCGTTGAGTCGGTGATAACGATGGAAATTGGCCATGTCCTGAGGTGAGTACATGCCTTCGGCATGTTTCCTAGATCTGGATTGTGCATCACTGGGGTCTGTCGCCTCTCTGGAGGATACCCTGTGACATAACGGGTCACGCTCTCCGCCCGCCCATAACGGCGTGTCGATGTCAAAGTCCGTCTCTTCAGGTTGTTCCCGGACATGTACTGCGGTGGCATAGCCTCTTCGTTGCTGGGAGATTACATTTCGGAAGGACCGTAGCTGAAGTGACTGCCAGACCTGCGCCTCCCGTTGTTTGAGTTCGTCTATTTCTTCTTTTATGCATGTGAGCTTCTGATCCCAGTCTCTTCGTTGCTTTGCCTTCCAACTCGTATCTGCAATAAGGGCGGCGGCGAGGACAGGAGTCAACAAGACTGTGAAGACATCGTTGAAGGTCGGGCGTCGTCTTAAGGGTGCTGTGGTGGTTTTCCGGATCAGTATGCCCGTAATTGAATCAGACGACGCGAAAGAGGGAGGACCGCTCAATCTTGGTCGAGAGATTTGAGACCATAGTGCTCGCATTTCCTCGAGCAAGAACCCTCCACCCGACGACCGACCATGGACTTCGCGAAAGCAGGAATGAGGGATGAAGCTTGCGAGGTGCTGGAATGACCCAAGTGCAAGCGGCCGGTAGAGAGTACGGAGCACATTGGAGAGCTTCAAGGCCATCACGTGAGAACCAGTCAAAAAGTAATTTAGTCTGACGTGTGAATATTCCCGCGGACAAGCACACCGAGGTTGGCTGTTCCGCCGGGCAGTTCTAGTCAGACAGAATGAGTTTCGGGTCATCGATAGCCTCTATTTTATGTTTAGAACGCTCCGCTACTGCTACTTCGAGTCTCAGGCTTCGTACGCGCTCGTCTTGCCTCCAATACCAAATGTGAGCTTCCTCCACCTATTATGAATGGCTGCCAGGAGCCGGATCCTCCCTGAGGGCAGAGATCATGACAAGAAGGATGGTTTCGCCCCCCGACGCTCGAATCCACGCTCGTTCCTCACTCGATCGATACCCTTCCGTCGCAGGCGCGTGATACTTGTTTTGGTGGCAGTATGGCTGCTATACCTCTTTTTCAAGAATATGCCTACGGACCTCCCTCCTGCCTCCCAGCGCTATGACCGCCGCTACGGACGACTACATCCAGGCCTACCAGGCCCAAGTGCATGGCAGCCCGAAGGACAACACGTAGATGCAGATGACCCGAGTCAAAGCTATGAGGGCCCGATCAGGTTCTACGGCCTGCCTGAAACGTTGCGCGGCAAAATGTATGCTCCTGGCTCGAAGGGACACGTTCTGTTCGCCGTTTCCAAGTTGGAAAGCATCCCACGAATCATCCCCATCGCCTGTTCAATGGCGCAGCACAATCGTACTCGCGTCCATTTTGCCTTTATGGGTCGCCATTCTGCGGAGTGGGAAGAGATCCAAAAAACCAATGGCATATCTGAGAATGAATGTGAAATAAATTGGCATGATGCACGGCCCGATTTCTCGGCACAGTCTTCAGAAAAACGGCTGGGCGTCAGTGCCGGCGCAAGCCTGGGGCATATTCACTCTACTCTGCAGCTGCAAGCAATTCTCGCTGGAAACACTGACTACGAAGATGAATGGCTCGTGGAGGCACTAAGGGACAAGACCAACTCACTCGGTCTGCCGCTGATCAATTTACCTGCTGGTGGAATTGGGGCCCTCTCTTGGATCTCGAACCTTGATGCCTCGTCGCTGGCGCATATCAGTAAGATCCACATCGACGTTGTGGTCCAGGCAGAGCCTGAAACTTCAGCCTCTTTGATCAGGCTGTTGCGCTCCATTAAGAATGCAGACTATACAGGGTGGACGATACCCCGAATAACGGTCGAACTCTCTGCCGACATTGACCCATTCCTCATCAAATATCTATCGAATTTTCGATGGCCGGCCGATGCTACGGGCAGTGAATCCAAGTTGACAATTCGGCATAGAGTCGATGCCAGCTTTCTTTCGTCTGAGCAAGCTGCCCTACGGACCATTGAATCATTCTATCCCTTGGTGGCTGAGGAATCTCATGTTCTATTGCTCTCGCCCAGGGCTGAGCTATCCCCAGGTTACTTCCAGTTTTTGATGTACACGATCCTTGAATACAGATATGGAGCAAGCCACACTGACCTGAGCGAACGTCTTGTTGGTATCTCGCTTGATTTGCCAGCTTACGCTCCTGACATGCAGACCAAAGCGCCATGGGATCCAGAAACTCTTTCAGAACCGCTCGTCCTTTGGCAAGCACCATCATCGAATGCAGCGCTGTATTTTGGTGATCGATGGGTGGAGCTTCATGCTTTCCTATCTCGTCGAATTCTAGCCGATCCGAGGTTCACCAAGAAGGTCACATCAACGCCGCGTCTTGCTCATGAATATCCAGCGTGGCTTTACAACGTCCTAGAAATGATGCAATCCCGCAACTACTACATGATGTATCCTGCTTTCACCCTCAAGGAAGGCTTCTCGCCAGTGACAATGCACCACGAGCTATATCGACTGCCAGAAGAATATATGACGGACATTCGAGAAGACGACAAGACGTTGAAATATCAGAAGCCAACTGGTGGTCCGGCAGATGACCAACCACTTACCGCGGCTGATGAGATTGGGCGATTGATGCAGAAAGAGCAGCATGTGTCCACCGACTCTATTGTCGCTCCATTGCTCGCCGCAACCAGTGTCGAACAGCAAAGAGGGGACGTAGTTGATGAGTCGAACATTCCCGTGATACTGTTCGGCGGGAAAAGAGTCGATTGGGCAGGCTCGCGGGCGGCCTCATGGAGATTTGCCGAAGACTTTGCGCAGTCTGTTGGAGGCTGCGCCCAATATGATGCTACCAAGAAAGAGAACGGTGATGTCGAATCGTTATTTTGTACAGAACCAGGCAAGGCAGGCTAAGGAAGGACACTATCGGAGCGGGAAAACGGGGTTGGATTCCCCTCCGGAAGAATGCCCCATGCGGGTCAATGGGGCTTCTGTGAATATGGGTACCTCGACGCATGTACGGATACAGAGAAGCAACAGTCTGCGCCAAACCCGTGCCTTGGGAATAATGCGTTTGCCCGGCGTGGAAAAGGAGGCAAATTGCAGAATGCCATGGATAGGATGGAGCGATGCTTCGATCGGCGTCAGTTGTGTCGCATGTTTGGCCAATTTGCCCAAGGGTTCTAGGCTTGAGGATCCATGTCGGGCAGCGGCATTATTTTTATTAATCGTGGATGGCAGGTCGATCAAGCACAAATCGAAGATCTTGCAGGGGGGGAGGAAGCGGGTTGGGCATCTCTCCAAGTAGGGAGTAGTGAGAGGATGATCAGGGCGGTTGATCAGAGTGTGAGGAGAGCTGGATCCCTTCTTACCATGCTAGTGTATCATCTCAGTATCAGATCAGTGTCAGAGGTAGACGGATAATACCTAGCTGATCATGGGTAATGGCTATCAAGTCGATCATGTACTCACCTATACTCTGTACTACAGTGAGGCCAGCTGCTTTCCACGGCGGGAAGAGGAGCATTCAAAGTTGTGGTCAGACTGCGGTTGCGACTGCGACTGCGATTGCGACTGCCCCTCCATCATCACCATCATCACCTTCTCTGCCGCGCAACGCATATCCGACAAACACAGCCACCCCACCACCACCACCACCACCATCGCTGCATGCTCCAGGCTGTCACTGTCGCTCGCGGCATCTCGACTGATCAAAAAGCAGCTAAAGCTTGGGTCCATGCCACTAACATGTCCAAGCTTGCTTCCCTGCCATCTTGCTCCAATCACGCCTCGAAGCTCTCTCGCCAGCCGGCTCCAAACGCCAACAGACTGCGCTTGTCAGGGAGCCAGCCAGCCGTCCTGCCCCTCCATCGTCCCTCCCGCCTTCCGCCCTCTGCGCTGCATCTCTCTGCATCTCTTTTGCCTCTATCCGAGGAAGACGCTCGAAACTCTTTGTACTCCTCCTCTTTGCTGCTCGCGCTAATGCACTGGACTGCAGGCGATTGACCTCCCCGGCGTGCAGCATCCTGGCCCACGAGCCTAAGGGCCCTCGCCCTCGCCATCCGCTCCCCTCCACCTCAACCGACGCTATCATACGCCGCCCTGGTCAACTGTGCATACTGCATACCGTACCATCCCAACCGCCTCTGGCACTCATAGGACAGCCCTGGTCCTGGTCCTGTTCCCCCGGCATGATGAGCCCTCTGCTCGGGCCTCATTCTGGCTCTGGCGCGACCTTCGAACCCTACTCTCTGCCCCACCCTCCTCCAGAGTCTCATCAGTGGACTGCAGACATCGAGTTGTGTTGAACACCACCCGCGTCCATCCACTGCATTTCTATCTGATACCCTCTCCGCGAAATCTAGCTCGGGTCACCCTGCGGCAACGCTCCCAGACTCCCCCATCCCAACCCCCAGTGATCGAGCCTTCGGTCTATGATTGTTCGTGGCTGTCGACAAATAGCATTTGCGGCGCCTTCAAGAGAGACATCTTCTGTGTTGTCCCTAATATTGTTCTCTGTCGTCGGTGACCAGAGCCCCGGAGCATTCCTGCAGTTGCACCTCAGTTGCACCTCAGTCGTACTGTTTTTTGGTTCGTGAGGACCATTCTCTCTGTCATCCATTGATACTACTGGTGGCTCGCTTTCTATTCTTCAAAGAAGCCACCTTCCCACATATCGGCAATTCAGCAGGTCTGGCTAGGACTCCTGTCGACACAGGATGAGCCTTTGAGACGTTGCTGGCCATAACTGATCCATAACTGGTCACAAATACCTCACTGAGCAGGAAGGATGGCCACCGTCGTCGTCCAGCAACAACCATCCATCCGACAGCCAACTCCTCCGCCTCTCCCCGCAACGCTCGCATTGAACCAGCCTCGACAATCCACCCCGGTACCTAATAAGCATCTACCCTACTGTCCTCCAGGACCGGTTCCCTCACAGGCTCAAATCACTCCTCCAAACTCCCCTCCCTTGAGACAAGTTGCGTCGAAGCCGACTTCGCTCCTCCATCCTCCCCATAACTATCCAAAGCTATGCAATTCCCCGCCCATCTATGGTATCAATGCCTCGGGCCTCGCCGAAGCTCTTGAGCACTACTCCTCTCAACCCCTGCCGAACCCATCGTCGGTATTCCCTTGGCTGCATGGGCTCCATCCCGAAAACCACATCCAACTGGCTTTCTTTGTGGCAAGAAAGAAGTCCTTGCGCAGGATCCCAAGGTGCTTCCGAGGCATAACCATTATTAAAGCCGGTGGAGACCTCACTCGGTCGCGGATCAAAGGTGCCGTGGCCCCCGATGAGATCCTCAACCTGTCGGACGGGAATGGTCATGGGTTTCTGGAATGCGATCCTCGAGAAGGCTTTTCGGTCCGCAATTTTCACATCCAAGCTGCCAAAATGGCCCTGGTCTCCGACATCGTCATATATGGCGACGAAGACACCGATCATCGTATCATCAAGTCTGTCGCCGAGCGGACTGCCTCTGTGCAGAGGAGATGGCGAAAGGAGTTGGAGAACATGGGACAATGTCCCGAGACTTACCATACCTTCGTGCTGACCCAGCCGTTCGAAGACCTTGAACACGAGTATCCCGAGTTGGTGGCCATCGATTCGAAGGGACAGTATGCAGATCGCACCCTCGACTTTGTGCAACAGGAGAGGCGGGAGATGTGCGCCATGTCCAAGGCTTCGGAGATTAGCCAAGGCGTCTTTCAAGGCCCAACTCCTGGATCTTACACCGACCCCCCTTCCACAATCGATGATCCAACCTATGATCTTTATGTGGAGGCTAGCGATCATGCATCACTTCCAGACGATAAATTGCTGGCTGCGAAGTTGAAAAAGCTAGAGTGTCGTGATGACGATGATCCTGTGCACCTCGCATTTCCAAGTTCTGGTAGTATTCTGCCGCCATCTTGGTCCCAATCTGAAGTGACCGGAATACTCCGCATGTGTCGATGGTTGTATAGCTTAACACATGGCACCGAGCCCGCCGACGGCACCACGGACAAGGATGGTGATATCCAAATGACAGAATTCAGGCGTCGGCCCCGTCGGGTCTTACTGCATTGTGCTGATGGGTATACCGAGACCTCCATGCTGGCTGTGGCGTATTTCATGTACGTTGAAGGTGTTCCTGTTCACGAGGCTTGGATCCGTCTACACTGTGAGAAGCAGCGGAATTTCTTCGCGTATCCGTCCGATGTGGCGCTCTTGAATGCGATCCAGGATCGATTGTTGGAAGAAAGTCCCAAATTCGTCGACGCAAAGCCTCCGTCGACATCGGCTCCATCTTGGTTATCGAAATTTGATGGGAGTCTCCCCAGCCGCATCCTGCCCTACATGTACTTGGGAAATCTCAATCATGCGAACAACCCAGAGTTGCTTCGAGTGTTGGGTATTCGGCGCATCCTCAGTGTTGGGGAGCCGGTGTCATGGTCCGAGATGGAGATGCAAACCTGGGGTCGGGAAAACCTACTCATGGTAGACCGGGTTCAGGACAATGGAATTGACGAACTCACACTTGAGATGGAGCGATGTTTGGCGTTTATTGGTAAGCATTCCCATCAGCACCAGCAGCACGCAGAAACTGACGTTGGTCAAGGAAGAGGTCGTTCGGATGGTACCGCGACGTTGGTGCATTGTCGAGTGGGAGTCAGTAGATCTGCCACCATTTGTATCGCAGAAGTTATGGCTCGTCTAGGGCTGAGCTTTCCAAGAGCATAGTGAGTTGGTTTCTCGACAAGAGCGAAGGCCAATGCCGACTAACCCGATCATCTAGTTGTTTTGTGCGTGCACGACGACTCAATGTCATTATTCAACCACATCTGAAATTTGTATATGAGCTGATGAAGTGGGACGAACAACAGCAAGAGAAGAGGGGGGAGCCGGTGAAGAGAGAGCTCGAGTGGGCGACCGTGGCCCGAGAAATCGCAGCGATGAACAGGCCGTATGCCAGGAATTGAGGTCCGGGTATCGCACCCGGGTGTCACACACTAGGACCACACTCTTGCGGCTGGGTGCAACCTTGACGCAGGATCTGAGGCAAAAGAGGCCCGCCAGAGCTCGATGAATGGCTGACGACGAGATGAGATTTTGTTTTTGATCAATGCCTCTGTGCATTGATGTCGATGTTGATTCTGATGACGACGATGACATGGACTATGGATGAATATGAAGTTATGAGTGTTATTGACGGATGAAGATTACCTGGACGGGTTTGACAGTGACGGGCCGAGGGGCTAAGGACAGCGCATCTGGTTTTGATTTTCTAGCGGAGGGCAGACTCCGTGGCAGTTGTCCGGGCAGCTGCTCTATGTGGGGGACGGGGACGTTGGCGATGTTGTACAATCGAGACACACGTCCGTGTTACTATTGTCATACTGGTCTCTGGGTGATCTTGGGTTTGGAAAGGGAGGAGGAAAGGGAATGGGAATGGAAATGAAGCAGGATGTCGTGTGGGACTGATGCATTTGTGAGCGAGGCAGAGAGACTAGTATGGACAATTGTCGGGTGATGCTCCGTCCAGAGTATGTAGCCTGGCTGCCCAATTGTGGATTTGGATTTTGGCTCACAATTACCAAGAACATGCGAAAGTAACACGGAGATGGTGTTCTTGACGAGATGCAGTGGCGCTTGTATTAGGATGATCTATGATACACGGAGTAGCACCCAAGTAGTATTGTTTAATAGGTACCCCTGAAGGCGCCAGGTAGGTTAGGTAGTGCGCACTCGCCGGAGTACGTGTTTCTGTACTCGAGAAGAAGCGATGCACGGTCTGGTCGATGTCGTGGCAGCGTTCCATGATTCCTTTCCCTTTTCCTTTTCCTTTCCCACTCTTCTCTTGATTCTTCTCATAACCTCTCTGCGCGATCTCTCAACTCGTCGGCCAGCCGGTCGAGGTAGGCCTTTGTGATGGCCTTAGGGATGGCCTCGGGGATGCCATGTCTGCCGTGCCCGGCTCCATTCCCGTCCCCAGCCGCGGCACGAGTCTCTGGCGATTGCGCATCTCCCTTGGCACTTGTGGAGAGGAAGCGGCGCACGATCTTGTCGATGTCGCGGCGGCCGTCTTCGTAGGCGGCCAGGTCGCGGTTGCCGTAGACGTCGCGGCCGACTGCGTAGCGCGACGCCGGGAGGGAGCGGAAGAAGACGTTTAGGGAGAGGTTGATGTGTGAGTATGAGGATGAGGATGAGGGTTCAGGGTCCGAAGGTGCTGTGGCGGATGGTGCGCCGACCTTGGTGCTTGTGTCGACTGGGGAATGCGTCGTGACACTGGCACTATTACTGGCACTCGAAGTCTGCTGAGATTGATTAGGCGCAGGTGCTTGGTGGCTCGGTGCCGGCATCGGCGTGCCTGCGTGCGCCCAGAGAGGCGGGATATAGAGCGCGTCTCCGGGGCGCAGAAGCGCGATGTGCGGATGGGTATTTGGGATCAGGTTCAGCCGGTCCCATTCGGTGGCAGCTTCGGTCTCATCGGCGGCTGCGGGCTCGAAAATGTCCATGGTCGAAGTGGTTGAACCTGGCGGGAAAGAGAGGTGCTTCAGATCTTCGGGCGGAAACAAAACGAGTTTGCGGGTGCCTCTGATCTGAAAGAGCACGTTGGCCATGACGTCGTAGTGCAGCCACATGTTGACGTTGGCGCTGATGCGTAGCGGGCTGCTGTGCTGCGTTTCTCTGGTCAAACTGAGGGACGGCGGGAGGACAAAGTCGTCGGCCAATTCAGGCCAGTCGGTCGCGAAGTCGGCAGGCAGCTGGGCCGGATTGGTGTTGGAGAGGGACCGCAGGTACATGTGCGCGGCCGGCTTGGTGGTGAGGTCAGTGATGAAGTCGTGGAACGGGAGGGGTTTGTAGGCAAAGTCTTTGCGTTGAAAGTTCATGGTTCGACTGGACGCTGAGTGGACCACAACGGATCTCGACGAGGGAATCTTGGACACAAGGTACGACGGCGTCCATAGTGACACGCAGGGGCCGATCTCAAGGCTTGTCAAGAGTCTGGGAGTACCTTCACCAAGGACGCGAGCAAAATCTTGCTCACCGCACAACTTGATGGTATCTACCGACACCGGACGGGGGGAGGCCCCGACCCTCGATACAAGGACCGAGGCAGGCGCCGGTTTCGACGGCGCCGGTTTCACAAGAGCCCAGGGTGAACTCACGCCCGGCTCGCGGTAGTACAGCAGCCAGCAGCCGGGGTTCCAGTACGCACCGAAGCTGAAACAAGTCGCTCCTCCGCCGGCGAGGAGCGTGGTTTCTTTGGCGGTGCGGTGCGAGGTGTGGCCGATCAGGAAAGGCCGGGGGACGTCGGGATCGGACTTGGGAGTCACACAGGCGACTCGCAGTTCCATTTCCTTCTCGAATTCGCCAAACGCAGAGAAGCTGCCCAGGATGGACAGGATTTCGTAATCCCTGGGAATGCAGCCGTGCTTGGCCACTCCTCCGATAACAAGCAGCTCGTTTCGAATCACACTGTACGAGGCCCCGAGTCGAGCCAAGAAGGGGAAGATTCCCGCTGATGCATCTAGAGCGCTCGAGGTCTTGAAAATGATGCCGGCAACGTGGTTGTCTCGGATGATCAGCCTCCATCTCCAAAGGCCCTGGCAGATCACACCGTCGTGCCGCATACCGCCAAAAAGAAGTCCATGGTTGAAGCCCAGCCTCACGAAGCTCGCTCCGAATCGTGGCATGGGGTCTGATAGTAGGGATCTGAGCCTCTGCCACCCGTTTGTGTGGTCCCAGAGGAGACAGTCCAGTGCGACCTTGGTGGCCGAGATCTTACCTCCAAACACCACAACGCCATACTGGTTGTCGGACAGTATCACAGCAGCAGCTCGATGCCGAAACCGCGGCTCAGGAAGATCTTGGATCCTTTCCCACTTGGACCCCGTTTGCAACCAACAATCCTTCAGGGGCGCAGAAGGCGACAAACGACCACCAACCAGCACATTCTGTCCGTTGCCGAGAGATGTTATCGTGTGACAACATCGGGTTCCGATCTCCGGTGGTGGGACCGTGGGGAATGACAGGTCAGAGTCTGCAGATGCATAGACCGATGTACTTGACAGACGGCCCTGAAGACCTATTCCGCCATGAACGCCAATGGCATCTTGACCTGGGATGGGGAATGCTGACGCATGGTGGGTTCTTCCTTCCTTGTCCGGGTTGGGTGTGAACTTGTATGCGAACCACTGGTTCTGTACCCTGTACGGAGACACGGTTCTTGTCGAGAGATCTGAAGCAAAGCTGTCAACCGACGCTCTCCTGGACCTGGGCTCCTCCGGGATCAGGGGATCAGGACCAGTTTGAGCCACGACCAGACAGTAGTGGGACGCAAACAGAGCGAACTCTTCCCTGAGTCAGAGCTTAGTGACAAGTCCCTTGGGGGGAGCGGGAGAGCGGATTTACCATTCGTCAAATGGCTCGACCTCGTCCAAAGAAATCCTTTGGGACGGAGAGAGGAATCTAGAGTCGGCCCATAGTTCCCATAAACTCTGTATTTCAACCAGAGGGAAGCCTGCGTCCTGGAAGCGAAGAGTTTGACTGTGGCGTCCGGGGTATTTGAGGACGGATCGAAGTGGTGTTCCAAGTTTGGCAAAATGTTTCAACATGGCCGCCGTAAATGGATTGTCAGGTCGATCGGGGGATTGCTGCTCCAACAAGCAGAATGTCACGTCTACAGTGATCAGCCCAGTCAGAAGGCGAAGTGGTCACACGAACATACCAGGAGACAGAGTAGTGGTCCATGCAATCAGAGCATCCGAGTCTTCAGGCGACATATAGGTAATGCTGACCTCGGCAATGCAGAGTACCAAGCATCGGTCAATGTCGACAACGGATTTGACTAGTCGCTCCAGCCGTCGTAAATTTCGAAGGTCACAGCCCAGCGCGGTGTACTCGTCGCTGTCCAACACAACTCCATTCTCCGCGGGCAGATCGGCGGGAAGAGAAAGCAATTCTCTCATCTTGGGGGTATTCAAGATGACTTCTCTCTTGGTGATCATGAGCTCCTCAAAGTCGATGTCAATGAATTTGGTGTTCCCACAAAGGTCTCGGTCTTGGGCCATCCACTGGAAGGGGATGGGATCACTGGCATTGTGAGTTGGATTTTGGCCAGGACGACGACTAATGGCACCCTTACTCACTAGCCACAGCCCAAGTTGATGACAACCTTCTTCTGCTCTGAACTTCTCTCGAGAAATTGCCTTAGCACCCAATCAATGGCTCTCATGCGAAGCCAGTATCCACGATTGATAGTTGGGGCTCGCCTCTGTGGTTTCCTCACGAAATAGCGATAGAAGTGTGGTTGGGGGAGGTAGAGCCTCTCCACACTTCGTTTGGATACAATGCTGCTGCTGTTTGTCTATGGCCAGTTGTCAGTCATCGGCAAAGCATGCTTGGAAAGTCGGCTCTGACATACCCCCATGATCAAACCAGCATTCTTTTCCAAGGCCAACTCCTCATCCAAGCCCTCGCGTTGGGGAGGCATTGGAGACGCCATACCGGTAACATTCGACGCCCGAGCACAAGTCGTCAGTAGGTGACGAGAGTACAGTTCAAGAGCAGGAACAGGAGCAGGTACTGCTCAAGATGGAGGTGTGTGACTCAGAGCATGAGCATAGTCATAGACAAGGCTTTCGTCACAAAAAGTTCCGATCGTCGGCGGTCATGTGACGGTCGACGCCAAAAACAGCAGGATTATGTAAGGAGAATCCTTGGCGTGAGGTTATGTAATCTATATATGATTGGCTGTTTCAGACGACGCCTCGACTCTTCCGCTCGCCCTCGTTGGATTGTGAGGCTAGAAAAGACAGCCATCTGAACCCCGAAGCCTCCTTATTCACGCCAGAAGCACTCTGAAGAAGGCGCAGCCTTTGCAATGGACAATCCCGCACCATCGCTGAGAGAACTCTTCACCGAGGCAAAGGCCCGTCAAGATGAGCTAGACACTCTCGACCCTCGGAACTCAAGGTTCAACGAGTCTTTGCAGTCCATCATCGACAACCTGCAGCAGTGTCGGCAGCTCATTCGGAAACTCGCTCTGTTCAGTGCCAACGAAGAGCTGGAGGATATCTCCACACAAGACCTTCAGTGCGTCATATTCAGAGTCTTACTCTGGGGGAGTGTCGGCTGACAACAGAATCCAGATATCTCACCGTGGACTATCTGCTGGCTGATATGAAGGTCAGGGCATACGGGACAGATAGGGAGTCATCTCTACGCGAAGCATCCGAGTTGTTCGAAAGCTACTTAACCCGGTTAGATCACTACGGGCTTCTTGAACCATCAGATCGACAGCTTTACGAACAATTTCTTGAACAGCGTGCCTCCTTCAGAATAGTCCCCTCGAACAACCCCGAAGAGAAACGTAAAATTAAGGTGGCTCGATTTCAATCAGAGAGGTCCCTGAAACAAAAGCTCGAGGTGCGTGCGAAGCATGCTTGTCTGTTCATGAACCCTTGCTAACCGTAACAGTACTTGAGAAACGAGTCACGGAAGCTGAATGTTGACGACGAGATCATCCGGAAGCTCTATTTGGCAGAAATCGAATTGTTTGTCAACAATACATTTTCCTCTTTGGACATGATCACTCAAGAATCAGAGATTTTATCCCAGATGCGGCAGGCTGAGCCGTCTCGACGAGAACCTCCACAGGATCACAGAGCCCCGGTCAGAAGTGATGACCACCTGGACCGCCTTGATGGTCAGGTCACCATGTCGGGATTGGGCCGACGTGGAGGCCCGTTGCTCGACCCCAAAGGCAAACCCCTTCAGCCATTCACCCTGACAGATAAGCGCACCCAGCTTCAACAAGGAGTCTTCAGGCCCGGGCATAACCTCCCGACCATGAGTATTGATGAATATCTTGAAGAGGAGCGGCGACGAGGAGGGATTGTGGATGGCGGTGGCAATGCCAACGCACCTCAGCCAGAACCTGATGAAGACGACATGGAGCAAGCTGACGCCGCCACAATGAAGGCACGCGAGTGGGACAACTTCGTCGAAGCGAACCCAAAGGGTGCGGGCAATACTATCAATCGCGGATGAGATTGGACGCTTTTAGTACCACCACCGTTAATGCGAATCCGCTCCCGTGCTCCCGTCTTGCTTGCTCTAAATCCTTGATCTCAATTTGGCTTTGATTCTTCAGCCATCCTTTCCTTTGCGGTACTGTCTGCTCAGTTTGGTTGCCGTCAACATGTTTGTGTTTAATTTTCCTCCAGATCGGCCGCGGTGGTGGGCTTCTTCGCCTTGATTTCAGCCAGAATACTGTCTGCACCTCTACGAAGTAGTTCTGACGCGGCCTTGATCCCGAATGATTCGGCGTCGTTTTTGCTTGCTACAACTTCCGTCAAGTCGATCTCAGACTTCGCTTTGCCGTCCGTGCTGACGACGATCGACTTCAGTCGGAGAGCTGTCTGTCCGTTCGGGTTCTTGACCCAGCTAGTCTCGACGCCCAGCGGAGCGCTGCAGCCTCCTTCTAAAGTTCGCAGAAGGCTGCGTTCAGTGGCTGCTGCGAGATGGGTTTCGTGATGGTCTATCGCACTAAGAATTCTCTGCACCCGGTCATCGGGCGATCTATTCTCGACCCCGATGGCCCCCTGTCCGACGGCGTAGAGCATTCCTCCGTTCTCGGAGTCAAGGTACTGAGTGATTCGATGGCCAAGATCTATCCGGATCAGCCCGGCGGCCGCAAGAATCAATGCGTCAAAGGAACTTCCTTCGGCGTCAAGTTTCGACAATCGCGTGTTGACATTGCCTCTCACATCTTCGACGCGTAGATGAGGATAGAGCAATGCGATCTGGGCTGTCCGTCGGACAGAAGACGTTCCAATGACTGATCCTGCTGGCAGGTCCTGAATCTTACACGGGTTCCTCCCAGCCTTCAGAACAAAGGCGTCTCTTGGGTCCTCACGAGGCAGCACAGCGCCTATTTCACAGCCTGCTGGCAGCTGCGTTGGGACGTCTGGAAGATGCATTAGTGCTGGATTCCGATGTCGGTCGAGACCACGACTGACCCTTGAGCGAGTGAACAAGAATGTCCAGCTGGCCTTCAACCATCAGAGTCTCGAGCTCATGGGTCCATAGATTCTTCACTGCCATGTCTTTAAAGGGAGTGACCTTGTCGACATCACCAGCCGCTGTGTCTCGAGCCTTGATCGTATAGACATTGTCTGGATATGCCGATGCAAGGGCCTTGACTACCAGATCTGTCTGTACCAAAGCTAGTTTCGATTTTCTGGTGCCAATATTAAAGGTGGCTTCAGGATGTGCGGCACCCCCATCGGCCGACGCCGAGGTGTTTGCTCCCTGAACCACGGAGAGGGTTGTCATTGAAGCGGATTGTGGATTGCGAGGGAAGGATTCGGTGCAGGGATAGTCAAAGATACTTTCAACGCTCTTGGGACCCGAGGACGTTGACTGGAGTGCTATTAATTACTACTCAGTATGGAGTGCGGGAGGGCGGATTACTGTGCAGTGTGCAGTGTGGCTAGAAGAGTGATCATGTGACCGGATTCTCTCCACCCCTTGCCTCGGCTGCGGCTGCGGCTGCGGCGACGGCGAAGCACGACAGTAGTACGATAGTGGTGAGCCGGAACTCATGGAGTTGCGGCAACATCGAGCAGCTTCCATCGCTTGATCATGTTGCTGTTGCCTTGATCAATCAGTCATCACTCCCTACAGACCCCCGGAGCCTTATAAACAGCCCTTGCCCTTCCCCCACTCCCTCATTCTTGTGTCACCTCCAGTCTCGGTGGACATAGTCACCATCATGGGGTACACGGCAAAGGCGACCATCCCTCTCATTCCTCTAGCAAAGGACTCAGTCCTTCTGCCCGGTATCACTCTGCGCATCTCAGTCTCCAACCGTGCCGATATACCCCTCCTTCTATCTTCTGCCTTTCAACGCGCCACGAAAGCGAGGACGGGAACAGCACAGCTCCCGGTCGGCTGTGTCCCGCTGAACTCGCCCTTGCTGAGCCCCGATGGCAAGCAACTGCTCGACAGTGCCGAGAAAGAGAGCAGTCGCCACAGCGAAGACTCAGACATTGGTCCGGGAACTGCCAGAAAAGAGAACTTGTTCGGATACGGGACTCTTGCAAAGATAATCGGCGTCCAAGGAAGCCCAAATGCAGATCCGTACCTCCTAGTGGAGGGGGTGCAAAGGTTCAAGATTGATCGCATCAGGCATGAAAAGCCACACTTTGAGGCGGAGGTGACCTTTTACGAGGACGAAGTTCCGGATCTCAATGACGGTGACCTGCGAGCAAGCTTCACCCAGCTAAAGCAACGATCACGCGAACTCCTCACTTTGCTTCGTCTTTCCTCTCTCTTCCGACCGGCATCCATGGTCCTCTCTCCACTGATTGTCCGTCGATTTGAGTTGTTCATTGCGAAGAAAGATCTCTCTCAAGCCGGTCAGTTGGCTGATTTTATGACCGACATTGTTGAGTCGAGTTTTGAGGAAAAGCTCCGGATATTAAGCACTCTGGACTTGCACGAAAGACTTGAACGTGTCCTGGCGTTGCTCAACAAACAAATAGCCGGCATTAGTGGGAACATTAAAATCACCTCGATTACATCCACAGCTCTCCCGTCGAATCTGGGTGTGGACATTTCGGATCTGAACCAAAGCCAGCGAGAAGCGCTAGCACGGCGTGCCTTGTCTGGACTTACGCCGCCGGGAATACCTGGCCGGAGTCGTGGAGACCCTGATGAGGAAAATGAGGTAAACGAAGTTGACGAGCTCAAAAAGAAGGTGGCCGAGGCTGGTCTATCGCCTGAAGCGAAGAATGTCGCGGAGCGTGAGTTGCGGCGCCTCAAGAAAATGAACCCAGCCAACGCAGAATACGGTGTGATCCGCAGCTATATCGAGAACCTCGTGGAGATTCCATGGACTAAAGTGACGGATGACCAACTAGGCGCGGATACTCTAAAGCGAGCTCGCAAACAACTAGACGATGACCACTACGGCCTGGAGAAGATCAAGAAAAGGCTTCTGGAATATTTGGCGGTCTTGAAGCTCAAGCAATCAGTCAATGCTGATATAGATCAACAAATCACCCGGCTCACCAAGCAACTCACGCCTGTTCAAGAGGGTGCGGAAAAAGAAGTCGAGCAGATTCCGGACAATGAGAGGGACGCTGCCACCGCTAAATTGCATGTTCTCAAATCAAGGCGGATGATTGACAAGTCCCCGATTCTACTCCTCGTTGGACCACCTGGAGTAGGTAAGACCTCTCTCGCAAAGTCGATTGCTTTGTCTCTGGGCCGCAAGTTCCACCGCATCTCTCTCGGAGGTGTCCGGGATGAAGCCGAGATCAGGGGTCACCGGAGAACCTACGTTGCCGCCATGCCAGGTCTGATTGTCAGTGGCTTGAAGAAAGTAGGGGTGGCAAACCCCGTATTTCTGCTGGATGAGATCGACAAAGTGAGCACAAACAACTTCCACGGCGATCCGTCAGCCGCCATGCTGGAGGTCCTCGATCCCGAACAGAACCACAGCTTTAATGATCATTATGTCAATATTCCACTTGACCTCAGCAAGGTTCTCTTCATAGCAACAGCAAACACTCTGGACACTATCCCCCCGCCGCTTCTTGATCGGATGGAAACCATCCAGCTCTCCGGCTACACGACGATTGAGAAACGACATATTGCAAAGCAGCATCTTATTCCAAAACAGATTCGCACCAATGGGCTCTCAGATGGCCAAGTCGTCATTCCTGATGATGTTCTGGATACCATCATCACTTCCTACACTCGTGAGTCAGGGGTGCGGAATCTGGAACGTGAGATTGGCTCCGTGTGTCGCTACAAAGCGGTCCAGTATGCGGACGCTCGAGACGCAAATGACTTGTCAAAGTACAACGCCACGGTCAGCGTGGAGGAACTCGAAGACATTCTAGGCATCGAACGGTTCGAAGAGGAGATTGCTGAACAGACGTCGAGACCTGGCGTCGTCACCGGGCTCGTTGCATACTCGTCCGGTGGACAAGGCAGCATCCTCTTCATCGAAGTCGCAGACATGCCGGGCAAAGGTCGCGTGCAGCTCACTGGCAAGCTGGGCGATGTGCTCAAGGAGTCCGTTGAAGTTGCCTTGACGTGGGTCAAGGCACACAGCTACGACCTGGGTCTGACCCATGATCCGCACGAAGATATCATGGAGAAGCGAGCAATCCATGTGCACTGTCCTGCTGGGGCCGTGCCAAAGGACGGGCCTAGCGCTGGCCTCGCGCACACAATTGCTTTAATCTCCCTATTTTCAGGGAAGCCAGTTCCGCCGCAGATCGCCATGACTGGCGAAGTCAGTCTCCGAGGACGAGTCATGCCGGTCGGCGGCATCAAGGAGAAACTGATCGGCGCCCATCGCGCGGGTGTCAAGACAGTGCTGCTCCCTGCGCACAATCGGAAGGACGTTAAAGATGTCCCTGAAGAGGTCAAGCAGGACTTGCAGATCATTTATGTCAAGTAAGTGCTGTTGCACACCAAAGTGTCTCCCCTCTTCTTCGATCGCGTTCGCTAACCTCATATTGTAGACACGTCTATGAAGCACTGCGACACATCTGGCCTGACTCGGGATGGGCCACGGACCGACATTTTGCGGAAGTCGAGAGTAGACTGTGATTCCAGAATTTGGGTATATATTTTTATCTCTTTAGCCAGCGGTATTATACAGAGCTTGTCACATATCAAAGTCACCATACGGCTCCTTCTACGCGGTATAGATCAGGCGGGTAGCCCTGCCTTCTTCCCAATGCAATCCTCCACATGCTGTGTTCGAAACGGGGAGAGAACCGGTCACACAAGGTCAAAGGCTTGTGCCTTGTCTAACACAATCCCTCGATTTACCCGTGCCCAAGAAAATCGAATCAGACCGCAAGATTGCTTGCCACTGTATCTTCCCTAAGGGCAAGAAGTAACCTACCGACCGGTAGGTTCGCTGGACTGCATGATCGAGCACTGGTGATGTATTATTTTACACGTGCGCTTGTACCAGAAGCGCTGTTGGTCGTCGGTAGCGACGCAGGGAGCTGTGTTGCTAAACCTTGCATAGCCTTCGTATTGTCTGCGAAAGCCTGCCATGTCGGTGCCCATTTTGACTTTCTTCTGAGGAGTTGCTGAGCTTGATAAGCAATGGACTTTCGATGTTCGAGGTTCGGCTGTGTGCTGCCCCAGATGGACTCTTGTCGTTGGTCGGCTATCAAAGCCTTCATTGTCGTCCAGTAGCTGTCGTGCTCCCATCTAAACTGTGGTCAGTAAATGTGCCGTTGAGGGTCATGGAGTGTGACCTACGGTGACAGATCTTCGATCTCCTCCGGATACACGAATGGCTTTGCAAGCTGCACCGTCATTTTCTTCTGACTCGGGGGGCGGAACAATGCGCCTTGTGAATACGGAGAGCTGGGGTCAGTCCTCTGCACTTTTGCCTGAATGACCACACTTCGAATGTGTAGAACATCCACATTGTAAATATTTTTCAGGTATGCCTTCATGTCCAGCTTGCTAAAATGGAGTGGGACGTCGAAGGCGGCGTATCGGGGACCCAGATGGGGAGTGCGCATCAACACAACAGTGTCCTTGACATCAGGGCTGCCGACTGATTAGCAACGAGCACGCAAATCGGCAGCGGCAGTTCCAAAGAGGGCCTACAAGTATATCTGCTTTCGCTGTTCCAGGGGAACATTGGAGGAGGCGGAAAAATAGCGGACCGGACTTCGCAGGAGCTGGAGGATCTTGGATTCGGTCAAGGCGTGGGAATTGTCTGAGATAAAGGACCTCACGTCGCTCGAGACGTGGCAAAGCTGTGGGTGTGCATCCATGAATTTGTCGAGGTGCTTCCTGTCCAACTTCCACCATTCCAGCTCTCCTCTGTCGTTGATGGTTTTGTCAATGGCGTATAACTCCGTTGGAGCAAACTTCTGATGTAGCGATATTCCATTTCGAGAAGGATCCTGTTGCACACTGAGATATGCGCTATACCATACGTGCGGTGGTGTCTGCTTAAACTGCTGAAACTGTTCTGGATTGAGTCCTTTGCTCGTCTTTATTCGTCTTTTCGCATTCCATAGTCGAGGGCCATCGGTGGCGTCGCGCGGGTGCTTCAGCTTCGTAAGGAGCGTAGGTGGAACACGTGAACGAGGCATCTCGGGGGTTGAGTAGTGGCCGCGATGATACTCGAAGCCGTGGACAAGAGAGTAACGATGCCAAACCGACGGTTTCTTTCCGGCGAGGAAACTGCGCCAAGGCCGCAGCCTTGGAGAAACGCGTCGCCGTAGGAAGTAGTGCTCCGTACTCGGTACTACGGAGTACACATAGTAAATAGTACGTATAGCAGCAAGTATTCGTACTAATGTGGTACAGAAGTTAGGTACCTTAGGTAGCGGTGGATCGCCAAATGGCCTCCCATCACGCATCCATTCCGTAAGCTGCTTGACGCCTGAACCACGGTTTGAGCCTTCAACTCGGTTTCTTGTATCTTAACCTTATCCCTGTGTTATCCAGCTGTTTCCTCCGTTCCAGATCACCAGCGCCCTTCGACTGCTCTATCATCCTTTCCGCAGTTTATTGGCCACTCACGGGCCTGTAACACGATGGCGCAGGACGAAAAGAAGCCCACAGCCGCAGAGAAGGGCAAGGCAAAGGCGGAGGATATTCCCATATCCAACGGAGACAAGGACGCACATGATGAAACAGACGATAGTAAAAAGCCTCAGGGCAAGGCGGAAGAGCATGTTGAAGAAGAGCTCAGCGAGGAAGATCAACAACTCAAGAGCGAACTCGAGATGCTCGTGGAGAGGCTAAAAGAGGACGATGCCAGCCTATACAAGCCTGCCATGGACGCTATCAAGAATTTCATCAAGACGTCCACCTCGTCGATGACCGCCGTGCCTAAGCCCTTAAAGTTTCTCCGACCCCATTACGACGAGCTGACCGCCCTATACGACAAATGGCCAGCCAGTCCCGACAGAGATTCGCTCGCTGATATGCTATCAGTATTGGGCATGACATACGGTGATGAAGAGAAGTTCGAGACACTGAAATACAGGCTGCTGTCCAAATCAGACGACCTCGGCTCGTGGGGTCATGAATACATCAGACATCTTGCGCTTGAGATCGGTCAAGAATATCAGAATCGCTTGATAGACGATCGAGAAGTTGGGGACCTCACAGAGCTTGCCTTGTCTTTGGTCCCCTACTTTCTGAGCCACAATGCAGAGGCGGATGCTGTGGACTTGCTCAGTGAACTCGAGATGATCGAAGAAATTCCTCGATTCGTGGATGAGAATACATATGCACGAGTTTGTCTCTACATGGCCTCTATGGTCAGCCTTCTCACCTTCCCGGAAGATGTCGCGTTCCTTAAGACGGCACATGACATCTATGTCAAGTACAACAAATTAGCGCAGGCAGTGGTGTTGGCCATAAGATTGAACAACGTCGCTCTTATCCGGCAAGACCTAGAGTCTACGGACGATGTGGCGCTGAAGAAGCAATTAGCTTTCCTCGTTGCTCGGCAGAGATTATCGATCGATTTGCCGTCCGAGACCAAAGACGAGCAAGAGATCGCCGAATGCTTGGGAAACACACAACTGCCCAACCACTTCAAAACCCTTGCCAAGGAGTTGAACATTCTAGAACCAAAAGTACCAGAGGACATCTACAAGACACATCTAGAGAGCGGACGGGGCAGTTCTGCTGCAGCAGACTCGGCAAAGCACAACCTGGCCAGCGCATTCGTCAATGCCTTTGTCAATGCGGGTTTTGGCACCGACAAACTCATGCTGGTGGAAGGCGACCAACGACCATGGGTGTGGAAGACGAAAGACGACGGAATGCTCTCCACTACTGCATCGTTGGGTATGCTCAAGCAATGGGACGTCGAGGGCAGTCTGGACGTGATTGACAGATTCCAGCAACTATCTGAGGAACCCATCAAGGCTGGGGCTTTGCTGGCATATGGTGTGGTCAATTCTGGAGTACGGATGGAAGGCGATCCTGTCATCTCCTTGCTGAGCGATGACGACGTCCTCGAGAGAGGGAGCCCCGCCATTCGCGTGGCTGCCATCATGGGTCTAGGCCTGTCATATGCCGGCTCTAACAGAGAGGACTTGCTAGACTATCTTCTTCCTATTGTCGAGGACAGCTCGCTGGAGATGCGGCTATCTGCCATGGCCGCTGTGTCTCTCGGTATGATCTTTATCGGCACGTCTAACTACCAAGTGGCCGAAGCAATTGCAACTCAACTGATGGACGATGACCGGCACAAGCAGTTCAAGGACAAGTGGGCGAGGTTCATGGCTCTCGGCTTGGCTCTGGTTTACTTTGGACGGCAAGAGGAGGCGGATGTCATATTGGACATTCTGAAGGCGATCGACCATCCCATGGCGAAGCCGACCGCCACTCTTGCCTCTGTTTGCGCATGGGCAGGCACGGGAGCCGTGCTTAAGCTGCAGGACCTGCTGCACATTTGCAACGACCATATCGAAGACAAGGAAGAGACAGCAGGCGAGCAACTAGTCCAGTCTTACGCCGTCCTGGGCATCGCTCTGATTTCCATGGGCGAGGATGTGGGTCAGGAGATGGTCCTTCGACAGTTCGCCCATCTTATGCATTACGGGGACGCCAACATTCGGAAGGCTGTACCGTTGGCAATGGGTTTGATCAGCCCCAGCAATCCTCAAATGAAGATCTACGACACCCTGTCAAGGTACAGTCACGACAATGATAACGACGTGGCCATCAACGCCATCTTTGCAATGGGATTGGTGGGGGCCGGCACCAACAATGCTCGTCTGGCCCAGTTGCTCAGGCAGCTCGCTAGCTACTATCATCGCGATCAAAATTCACTGTTCATGGTACGGATCGCCCAAGGACTTGTTCACATGGGCAAAGGCACCATGACTCTGAATCCCTTCCATACCGATCGGCAAGTCTTGTCCAGGGTCGCTGCTGCGGGCCTGCTCACTGTTCTCGTGTCTCTCATCGACGCGAAGCAATTCATTCTGGCCGAGGCGCATTACCTGCTGTACTTCCTTGTGACAGCCATGTACCCGCGGTTCTTGGTCACTCTCGATGAAGACCTGAAGCCTCTCACAGTCAATGTCCGAGTGGGTCAAGCGGTGGACGTTGTTGGAGCGGCAGGCCGACCGCGGACCATCACTGGCTGGCAGACACAAAGTACGCCAGTCTTGCTTGCATACGGCGAGCGGGCGGAACTGGAAGACGAGGAATACATCTGCTTGACCAGCACCTTGGAGGGATTGGTCATTTTGCGCAAGGTCAGTACAGTACCCTACCCATTGAAGCGACCACCTTGACAATCTGCTAACGCTGGCACCAGAATCCTGAATGGGAGAGCACAAGCTGAGAGGGCTCTGGCTAGATGGCCATAATAGGGCAAGGCTAGATCATATCATCCATTGAGCAGGGCTGTACTAGTATCGTATCAAAGGTAGTTCAGATGCAACCTGGGAGCCGGGAGGGAGCCAACCCATTATCATCGGCAGGCGCATCTTAACTAGGTCGACAAGGATTCAATTCAATACACTTGTCGAATATAGGTACGCAGGGACATGTGTGACCATTGGATACGACCGTACTATATCCTGTATCCCATATTATCCTATAGTACCGCCGGGTAAATCCGTCGGTGGGGGAAGCTTGCGTAGTGTTTAGACGGAGTTGCACCATCCTCATCCGCAGCTCCAACTCCTGCCATGACTCGCCAGGCTCCAGACTTCATGCCAATACAGTGACAGTGCCTACATTGATGAGCTGGCATACGCGGGCAACATGATGTCGCAGAGATGAAGTGGGCATCATGATCTCTCGCTCCTCTTCAGTGGCACATCCATCGACCGGCCTGAAAGAGGTTGTCGTTGTCAACAATGGCATCCATCTCGCCCACCTCCAACTCCAACCCGCGCATCACTGCCCTCGACTTCGACTCCCACCGCAGACACCGACGGCATTCCCACGGCTCTCGCCCTACCTTCGGCGACGATGACTTTGACTTCATGGGCGAAGTTGCGCAGGAGATGATTGAACGAGACCGGCGCAGAATGCGCAGGGAAGTCGTCAGGGTTCTGAGCTTCATCTGTGCCGTCCTGAGCTGGTGCGTTGCTTGCCCTTTTCCACCTGAACACATCCTCTGATGGATACATGAATGAACGAATGCTGACCCTTGAATCTACAAAGTCTATGTGCCGGCTCCATCACCTCCTTCTCGCTCTATGGCGCGCGCTTCTTGACCGATCTTCACTACACCCAGTTTCGAGTCAATGCAGTCTCTATCGTCGCCGAACTGGCCATGTACCTGCCCGTCCCTCTCTTCGGCTACCTGTGCGACCGGTATTCGCCTCCGCCGTTGTCTCTCTTTTCCTCCCTTCTTTTCGGCGCAGGCTACTTGCTGGCCGCCTACACCTACAGGTCGGGCCCACCTGCGGATGCCGCGAAAGACGGCCATGGATGGCCTTTCGGCGTCATGATCCTGGCTTTCGTCGGGATCGGGGCGGGGACGAGCTGCATGTACCTGTCTGCCGTGGCCACATGTGCAAAGAACTTTGCTACAGTCAAATACCGTGGGTTCATGCTGGCGGTGCCCATCGCCGCATTTGGCCTCAGCGGCATGTGGGAGAGTCAGGTTGGCGCCCACCTGCTGTACCAGAGACTACCCAACGGCCAAAAAGGAGATGTGGACGTGTTCAAGTACTTTGTCTTTCTCGCCGGCACGTTGCTCGCGGTGGGCCTCCTCGGCGTGGTCGGACTACGAATCGTAGACGAGGAAGAACTCATTGAACATGGCGTGGAAACCCTCGAGCGAAGCGGTCTGTTGGACGAGAGCGAGTTCTTCCATGACTCTCCTGATCCGACGCCCCGGACCTACGGGACCATTGATGACGGCGACCTCTCTGGCTCCGGCACCGCCACGCCCTCGGACACCGACTCAGAGGCGGACGTTGACTTGTCTGAATCGCAGCTGCTCAAGAAACGAGACCAGGAGCATCGGCTTCGGAAGAAGAAATGGTGGCTCTTGAACCACGCAACGCACTCTTTTCTGACCGATCACACAATGTGGCTGTTGGCAGCAGGCTTCTTCCTGCTTACAGGGCCTGGCGAAGCCTACATCAACAACCTAGGCACCATCATCCCGACATTGACGCCGAGGAACTACTTTGATTTGACGAGTCCGCCGGCCGGGCACGCCTCGACGCATGTAAGCATCATCGCACTCGCATCTACCATCGCACGCCTCTTCACAGGCAGCCTTTCCGATCTCTTCGCCCCACCTTCGCAGCCCGACAATCCACCAACCACTCGAGTCAGCTTCTCACGCTTGGTCCTACTTTTGCCGTCGGCGTTCCTCTTATTTCTCGCCTTCTTGAACCTTGCTTTCCCCTTCCTCACGGCGGAACACCCTCGCCTCTTTCTCCTTTCCTCCGCCCTGCTCGGCCTCGGCTATGGTGCCTCCTTCTCCCTAGTCCCCATCATCATCTCTGTTGTCTGGGGGGCGGAGAATTTCGCCACCAACTGGGGCGTGGTGGCCATGATGCCCGCCGGTGGAGCCGCAGTCTGGAGCATTGTCTACTCGGTGGGCTACTCTCGTGCGAGTCTGCGCCATGACGACCACGGAGACATTGGGTTCGGTGATGGCGAGTGCAGAGGATATGCCTGCTTCGGTGCATGGGCATGGGGCTGCTCGGTGAGCGTCGTTATTGCCATCGTCTTATGGAGTTTCGCTTGGAGACTCTGGAGGAAGAGGAGCGTTGTCGTGTAGGACCCGACCGACCCTTCTGGGGTGAATGAAGGCCGCGCGTTGATCCAGGTCAGAGTTGTGATCACTTTATCTGGTCGTCAATGATACAGCACCGACCCTGGGGGACTGCCCTTCGACTCTAGCATACACATCATCGCTTGTTAGCCCTCGGCCAAAGGGCATCTGTTTTGGGGCGAGGAGGCGTTCTTTTCAGACAGCATGAGCGGTCGCAGCGTATATATTATTTCTATAAAATCATGGAGCCGGCGTTTGCATAGTTCTATGGAGATTGGGTCGGGCCTGGCCGGGGTCGGAACATATATACGTCCACACATCCATTCACGCACGAGCAGGACAAATAGCGCAATGAAAAGGCCCTATGGGGACGCAGATTATCAATGTCACTGCAGGTCCACGACTGCTCAGGGAGCGCCTGATACTCCCTCCCCATCCCAGGGGAGGCGTCTGGTCCTGGAGGCATACGGAGTACACTCCTCTCAATCCCTCCAGGAGGCCGCGCGACGTAACCTCCGGGTTCAAGGCCCATAAGCTCCTCTTGATCATTGGTTTCCTCTACGTTCTAACAATTGTTCGTCAAGGGTATCTCGTTTGCTTCATGATCATTACGTCTGCCGGTCGATCCGAGGCTGGACCCTCCTTCCTCTTCCTCCATTCATTTCCTGTTTCATTACGTTGATACCCATCAATCCCGAATTCCTTCGACATGTCAAACCAACTCCCAGGCTGCAACGCCAACAAATCCCATGCCTACTCGGCCTTTGCCGTCGCGGAACTCCCGCACCGTCAAGCCCCGGGCATCCTGCCTATCCCCAAAACTCGTCACTGCGAAAAGAGTGATTGTTTGCCCTGGCGCCCCGAGTTCCCTGGCAGGAATATCGACGAGCCACGTATCGCCCCCTTGGCCTGCAACGCCAGGATGATGGTCCATGGGTATATGATCCTTGTTTCGGCCGTCCACGCCGTTGACTGAGACAATGAAGACCGGCGGCCGACCTTTGCGTGTGTGTTTCTCCAGGGTCCAATGCGGGCAGAGCAGGTTAAACTGGAAGCGTACCAGGTCCTGCTGATGGACATTGATTTTTCTGGTTCGAGGGTGAACCGTCTTTTCGCCAATGTAATAATCTTCTTTGGCGTTCGTGAAGATGGTTGGACCTTCAAAAGTGTCAGGCCAACAAGCAGGGTCAATGACAATGTATTCCTCCCATTTCATTTGCCGGCCACCTGGAAGGAAGAATTGATCTTTGTGGCTAGGGAAGTGCTTAACAGCGAATTCCTCGTTGGGCATGGTGAAATACTCGGGACTGAATTTCTGAACATATGGGCAATGTGCCCCTTGGACATAACCTGCACCCCAACAGGCATCGACGAGCTTCCATTCTCCATTGTCGATTTTGACCGCATTCCAAGCATGACCTGCATTATACGGAGGAAGTGGTGAGCCGGGCGCAAGGGCACTAAACCCGTATCCTTTTCCGTGGCCTGATATGACAACTGACTCAAGACCAGCATAAGTGGCCAAGTTCGTGAAAAGAGCAGCGTAGCCTTCACACACCGCTAAGCCACTCTGCAAAGTTGACTGCGGCGTGGACCCTTTTACATTGTTTCCGAAAAAGCTTACCACATCATAAGCAATATTGTGGTGAAGCCAGATAAAGATCGCTCGGGCCTTATCTGTCGGTGATGGAAAGGGTGAAGTTAATTGATGAGCAAGTGTCTGTAGCGAAGTGACCTGAGTCCTTGGAAAAAGGGTCGCTTGGTGATCCGGCCCGGAGAAGTCACGACATATAAGACAGTCTGTACCTCTTAGCGATGCACTTGCGTCCAGTGCTGATGTATTTGTAGCAAAATGGGGTTTAGTCGCTTGGATGGCGGATAGATCTGGGCGCGATGAGAGTGGTATTGGAGGGGGTGCTGGTTGATGGTGGACATAGTGGTTGAGTGCCTCTCTTGCTGGGAAAGAGCTATTCTCTCTTTCCGATAAAGCAACGTGTTCTTGAGCCGGGTGGACTTTGTGCTCTCTTACAGGCAGTGGTACGTGCGATTTTGTAGGTTGAGACACAGGATCCAGGATTCTGACCATTTCTGGATGTGCATAGTCCTCCGTTGGAGTACGAGAGAATGTGGCCTTCTTTGCTTTCTTAATCGCATCGATCGAGGGAATAGGGAGGATCTTTCTCAGAGGAGCATTCTCGGTATGCTCACGATGTTCGGACTCCTGCTTTCGAGAAGGAAGTCTAGGCGGAAGAGAGGGCCTTTGCGGAGGAGATGGCTTGGCTTCTGTTGTCCTCGCAGGTTTCCCTACAGGAGCATCTGCAGGAGCTCGATTCGCGTATTTTGGTCTGTCATCCGAGAACTTCCTGCCAGTTGTTGTCTCTGTGTGTGTATTCCTAGGAGGCAGAGGCGGGAGTTCACATTCTCCCCACGCTGGGGCTTTGACTCGACTCGCAGAATCGGTTGACTTTGTTCGTGTGGCCGAAACTCTTGGGATATTCGCCTCACTCGTCCCGCTAGATGTAGTCGATGCTACCGAGCCCCTCCTCTGGTCGTCCAGCGAGTTATTCCGATTAGGGAGCGGAGGAGGCTGTTTTCTCGCAGGCGGTGGAGGCGCCGGCTGATTGCCCGCTTTGTGGTCTGTGACGGATCCATTCACTCGTTCGGGAGGGTTGTTGATGGTATGTTGCTGGACGAACGCAGGCCGTCTTGTAGGAATAGAAGGGGCCGGCTGCAACGAAGGTCTAGGAGGATCACCAGGGATGCGGCCAATATGGGCTGCGTTTAAGGCTGCAATCCGCTGCTGGAGGGTCAAAGGCTGCGGATCCTCAGCCATGGATGATGAGGTTGCAGCCTAAACCAGAGGCATGAACGTGAACAATAATGCGAGAACTCCAGGATTCATACGGAGTACGGAGTATCCGTACTTATGCCACAGTGGCCATAACCAGGCGGAGTGAACCTGTGGTAAGGACGACGATGGCTGGCGCTGCGCCGGCTTTGAAACGAGTTGGGGCTTAGGAGGCCAGATCACGTTATCCGGGCGGGGGCGTGTCAGCCTCAGCCTTGACCTCCAGGTGGTCTCAGCCTCGTGCTACGACAAGGCTCTGAACCCCTGTCTCAAGGAGTTGGCTGATCCCACTTGTTGTACTACGCATTGTTGTAGCACAGAACCCGCTACCTGCACAGCCACAGATTTCGACTCAGGAGCAAAGCAATCCCAAGTCACGTCTCAGCACGCAGTCTTAGAGTAAGGTATTGTACTATCGGACAGTGCTAGGCACTTCGTTCGCTGGACTTCCTACACCCACTTCCTCTACCCATGTTCATGTGTGTCGTGACTCTCGAACAGCCGCAAGAGCAGGACGATTTACTTCGCCTCCACTTTCTCCTGAACCACCACTTCCTCTTGCTCTTCGACCCTTCCCTTGTCTTCTGCCTCTGTGTCCCCTCGCAGTCTGGCCTGAAGAACGTGCTTGTACTCCTTTCGCGCAAAGAGGACGTCTATCTCCTCCAAGCTCAGTCCCATCGTCTCCTTGACACAAAAGTAGACAAACACCACTGCCAGGACATTGAACACACAGAAGAGGAGGTAGAAGCGCCATCCTATGGACTGAATACCCATAGGTCCAAACTTGACAACAATAAAGGTTATAAACCACTGTGTGAACACCCCCATCGCTGTACCCACATGCCTCAAGTTCAGTGGCACTATCTCTGGCACATACACCCACGGCAAAGAGCACCAAGAAGCACCGAAAGAGAACTCAAACAAGAAGATACTGACAACAGCAAGCTTATTGGATGAGTCCGTATCGACAGCCAGACCAATGGTAAACAGAATCATGAAAATAGAGCATAAAATGGCGCCGTAGAGCATCACCGCCCGTCGGCCGAGATGCTCAACCGTCCAGATCGCGGTACATGTGCCACCAAGGAAGAGTAATGTAACCCCGCCAGACGTAATTGCGGCCCGATCCTGGGACATTCCAAGCGAGTTGATAAAGAGATACGTCGCGTACTAGCGTCATCGGTCAGTAAACCGCATAGCAAAAGGCCTTTTTCGATACTCACATAAGAGACAATGTTGTTCCCATCCATTTGTTGGAAAAATTGCACAAGAACGCCTAGCCACAGCCTCCAGGTGGTGTTCACTGGAGAAGAGTCGTAGAAGAAATTTTTGAGGCCAAATTTAGATTCTTTCTCCGCCTCAAGAGCTGCAAGAACGTTGGAACGGTGGTTGGCGACCTCCAGGCTATCAACGGGAACCGAGTAGATGCGAGCCATGATGCTGTCGGCATCCTCGGTGTGACCATTGGCATAGAGATATCGGGGAGACTCCGGCAGGAAGAAGATGGAAGCCCAAGTGAGGATGATGAAGATGACTTGGAATGCTATTGGAAGGCGCCAAACAGCAGATGTGCCGGGATGATTGCGGATCATTCCGAAGTCAAACCAATATGCTATAGTGAGCCCCAGAATCACAATAGCTAGTTGTGCTGCGATGAGTGCACCCCGTTTGTTAGCCTTGGAGGTCTCCGCAACCCAAATAGGTACCATTGTGGTGTTCAACCCCATGCCTATGCCCCCGATCACTCGACCTGCAATGAGATAGGAACTCCCTTTCGCCCCGGCCTGCAGCCCGGCGCCAACGCATAGCAGAACGCCTCCGATAGCAATGTACAGACGACGTCCCATCTTTTGGCCAACAATGCCTACAATGATGCAGCCAGTGAGGCAGCCGATATCGTAGATGGCAACAATGGTGCCCTGTAGGTCAGCATCGGATGGGGCGATTCGGTTGGCTGAAAGGAAGGCGGGCAGTGCGATCAGCCCGCCGAGGACTCCTTGATCATAGCCTGGCCAGCGCGCGGTCAGCAATGACCGTATAAGGATTTGGTGGCTGTGATGCTGCTTACCGAAAAGAGTGAATGCCCAGGCGGAGCAGAGGGTGATGCCAGCTTGAAGCCAGGAGCCTTGTAGTGACTGAGCATAACCTCTATTGAAGGCGCCCATAGTGATGTGGTGTCTGATGAAGATGCAAGCTATTGGTAGATGGTTGTCGCATTGATAGCTGCTGGAAGAGAGGCGATTTATTGTATGATATGTACATGCTGATCTGGTAGTTCCACGGAATTCGTATTTAGATCTCATCTGTCCTGTCCCCAAGTAACGTAGCCGGTTCAGGAATCCTCGTTGTACTTCACCGGCCCCAAGCCCGTCAAGCCGGGTTTCCGGGCATGCGGGGGTTGGCGCCATCTGGCAGCCTCCTGCAAATTACCCCAGATAAATGTAGAGGAACGGGGCACATAAGACCTCCTAAGCCTCGGGCTCGGTCAGACCTGGCCGAACCGGATGAAGGTCATTGGTGAGGCGTGAGGAGCTTTAGCCTGAGCCCCTCGGGCCGCCAGTGGATCAGCGTATGGAGGATCGTCTGTGGTGGAGGTACGGCACACTCCCCATGATAACCTCCTCCAAAACGTGGCGTAGAAGGGACAAAGTTAATTCCTCGGCTTTCGTCCGGCCAGATGTCGACTTGCCGTCGCCAACACATAAAGTACACCGAATATGGCGCAAGGACCGTCTCAAGTGCTGGGGGTTGCAGTGTCCTCTTTGCAATGCGCACCGGAGTGACAGGGTGTTTTAATTATGTAAATGCCGGTTCTGGCCTGGGTCTCTGACCTTAACCAAGTTTCGCTCTTTTAAACCTGTCGCCTGCGAATGGATCCTCTTGCCAGGTTTGTCTTAACGAAGTGACCACGTCCAAAGCCCGCGATGCACTCTTGTAAGTTTGACCCATCTCCCCAAGAGACTGGATGCAGGTCAGCAGGTTCTTCTGCGCCTCTTTGTTCGGAATGCTTCCTCCAGGCCAGACACAGAGCTGAAAGATGTGGATCAATGCGGCCGTCATGGTGACATGAACCATATGGTGATGAGGTCGTCTCAGCCCATAAACCTTTCGGAACACCACCAGGATACGGCATATCTCCTCGGCGCTGTTGATGCATTTTCGCAAGGAAGAGCTTGAGGCCTCAGAGACTGCCTCCCTTGTGATATCCTCGGCCGTCATTAACGGCCTGTGCAGTAGTATGATGCATTCGTGGTAGCCGAGATGCAACTCAAGCACAGCCGGCAGATGGAACAAAGTTGAGGTTGACAAGTCGAGAGTGAGATTCGGCGGCAATGATGCCAACCATTCCTGGAAATCGCAATCTGCTTTTTCGACAAACTTCTCGATATCGCTTGAGATTTCGGGTACACCAGAGTATAAAACCTCAGAGACCCTAGCTAGGATAACCATGAGGGATGCAAGGTAAACATGAATGTAGGCGGCTGCTTGGCAATCGAAGTCTGGTGGAAACTTGAGGGTGCTGTATTGGTCAGTATAGTACTCCCACTTGTATGTAAGAGACGGCAGCGGGAGCTGGACGTTGTGAACAAGGCGCTTCATCAACGATGGCCGCCCGATGTGAGCGCTCCACAATGTATCGATTGTGTTCGTAGACCAAAACAGGTTGCGGCGCAGACTAGCCACATCGTCGAACCCAGTGTCTCGTCCCTCCAGACGTGAGTATTCCTTCTCGAGATCAAGGTGCAGTCCCAAATCCGTAATGATCTGTACAGCCATTCCAGAGTAGATCCATCCCCGTGACTCCCGAGCATGGGCGGCTTCATGCGATGACAGAACTAAGACGGCTTGCGCAGTGGCAATGGTGGGGCTGTCTATCTCTATTTCCAGATACGCCTTGGTGCGGAAAGCGAAGAATTCGTCTGTCGCCTCCTTAATGGCTGGGTGTGAGCGGTCGGTGTACGCTGACCCAATGCAGAACCTGTCAAGGGTGAGTCCTGGAAGAGTCGGTATCGGGAGCGAGGCGAAGGAGGCCGACTCACACTGCATTTTCTAGAGCTGGTGAGTAGAGGTCGGTGGTTTGCCCCAGTCTAAATAGATGGCGTTCTCTGACAAATATATCCCTGTCAAGGACATACATGAGTGTGTTATGCCACGAGAAGAAGAGATTTATGAGATGATCTTCGTAGACCTCGTCGCCTTGCCATTCAAGACCGGCTTGAGCAATGGCAGACTCTCCATGAGTAAGGACATGCCGGATATTGGGTTGCACCAACGAATTTGGACCGCTGTGGAGAATGTGTAGGTTTGAAGTGGCTCCGTAATAACGAGGCTGGCCATCTTCAGCAATCTGCAGGCGTCCCATGCGGCTGGTCAACTGTTTTGTCACATCACTCAGGCCAGGAGCGAGGTCCTCTTGCGATCGCATCCTGCTCAGCTTGGTAGTCACTTCTCCCGAAGAGGTCACCGGATCACTAGCGGGGAGCTGCACGATGTTGGCAGTAGGAGGGGATAGATCTTGACTTGCCGCCGAAGTTTCAGGAGTGTCGGCGAAGACATTGAATGTCGTCAGGTCGGCCTGCTCGCGGAAATCGAAAGCTTGGTCGTCAAAGAATGGAAGAGATTGGTGATAGTCTATGTCTAAATTGCTTTCAAGAGGTGTAACCACTACCCCCGGTCCGGTTGCGAAACCCCATTCCTGTTCGGCATCCGCAATGCCCAGTGAAGGGAGATGACATACAGTGTCTTCCTCATGCTGTGGCTGTGGCTGGATTTGAACGTTGCGGAGAGGAGCGCAGTCCCAACGTGAGGGCGAGGTCCGTTCAACACGATCGGATGGCTCCTGAATAGCATTCTGAACGGTATGGATGTTGTCGGAGGGCTCGCCACCTCCAGCGCCACCTGATAGACTGGCTTTTCGGCGACCTTCCGACACCCTAGACACAGAAAGAGTGAGAAGCTGAGGCGGAGGCGGGCGAGGGCGAGGGTGGGCAGCGTGATGGAGAACTCACCGACGGCGATCTTGACCAAAGACACACTCAACGTTGTATAGGCTGCAGTTGGAACATCTGGGTCTGTCGTTGTTGCACTAATGGCGAGGGGGAAGGGGAATCAGCAACGCCGGGAGCCTGCTGTAAACCAGGACGCTACGCACCTTGACCTTTCGTTTTCTACACTCCAAGCAGGCGATTGATGTATATCTTCTCTCTCCCTTCTCCCTCCCCGCCTTCTGCTGTGACATGTCCACGATCGTGAGAGTGTTCGAGAGGGGTGTCGGCTCGTAGGGATGATGGATCACATAAGTACTGGGTTCTCGGCAGAGCAGAGGAAATCCTTAAATGCTGTCGGAGTACGAGTACGGGGTAGGGAGTGCAGAGTGCAGAGTACGGATATGTACTCCGTACAGTATGCGGAGACCCCGCAGCGCAGCGCAGCGCAGGCTTCCAGCATACGGAGTCTCATGGTCTTAGTTACAGCACCGCGAGTATAGGGCATAGGGTATGCTATGGTTGTTCAAGTACCTATAGCTAGCCTCAAATCAAATCTGAATATGCGCCGCATGCTATCGGATGTCGTGGAAGCCACCGTCATTGACAACTATGGACCCGTTCATGTAGCTGCTTTCATCGCTCAGCAGGAAGCTCAGCACGCTTGCCTGCTCTTCGGGGAACGCCATCCTTCTCAAGGCGATCTGTTTGCTCACTGGTGACTCTTGATTCTCCTTTGTGCCGATGGTACCTTCCTTGCCCATGCTATGCTCTATCATTGTAGTCAAAGTCCACCCAGGACACAGCGCGTTCACTCGGACACCGTCTGGTCCGTAGAACTTGGCTCCATTTTTGGTCACGCCAATTGCTGCATATTTACTCGCAGTGTACGCAGCCAGACCCGCAGCTTGAAGTCCTGAGATCGAGACCACGTTGGCAATGGCTCCTCGTTGACCTGGGATTGCGTGTGGAGAAGGGGGGTTGAGGGATATGGGCAATGGCTCTTGCTTCCTCATTTGCAGCGCTTGATGCTTCTGACAAAGCCACAGACCGAGAGTATTGATGGCGTGCGTCCTGAGATCATGGATTAGCCTTGACCTTGCACGGCGAATAGCAATGTCGTCCATACTTCTCAAACAGCTCGGTGGTTATACTTTCTTCTTCGGCCCAGATTGATTCACAGATCCCGGCGCAGTTGGCAGCGTAGTCCAACCTTCCAGTCCATTCCGTCGCTGCAGCAATCGCGTCCTTGACCGCTTGTTCCTGGGTGATGTCCACTTTGAGGAATCTACTGCGGACATGCCACCTCTTTGTCAGGTCACTGGCGACCCGAGTCCCGTCTCGTTCGTTCATGTCAACCACCACCACAGAGATACCGCGGCTTGCAAGCTTGTGAGCTGTGGCTTTACCGATGCCACCAGCGGCGCCGGTCACAAAGGCGACGCGTCCAGCGGCGGCAGTCATTGTAACAACTTACAACGATGGGGAAAGGTGGGAGTTTCAAGAATAGGTGAAGAACCTACCTCCACGACAAAGGAGGGCTGGCGAGTACATTTCATTTACAGTGAGCAGCCCAATGCTAGCCTGTCCTGTGAAAGTAGCGAGCATGCCTGTACCTTGCCTCCACTTGCAATGCCGTGGAAGTGTCGAGATTTGGAAATCGAATCTGGCTTATTGATCTCGAAGGAGGATGAGGAGCGGTCGGATGCGGGGTTCTCTCATGAGGACACTAATGTTAGGGATCAGTGGGTATCTAGGTAGGCGCCTGAAGGGACATTTGCTTAGCTGGCAAGTATGTACTGTACCCCTAAGCCCGCCTAACGGGGATACCTTACGTACCTAGGTACCTACAGCTACGCACCTAGATCCCTAACATACCTGATCCAAGTGGTCCTGTGTCGCGTTGCGCGTAGTGCTTAGGGGCTCCTTAGGCCGAGGAGGCCCCCTAAGCCTCTATATCTCAGTTAGGTCACTAAGGTGCTGTGCTCATCCTTGAAATTCCGACTTCTGTGTCACGCAGCTTGCTCAACAATTCTCCCTTCATACCATGTCGCTCATGAAAGACACCGCTCGCCTGCTTCTACTCATGCAGGGAGTATGTTTCCCCTTCGGCTACTCCGCACCCATTGGCGCGTGAACCGATGTTGGGCTGCCCCAGATGCAAGGTATCGAGATGAATTCCATGGAATTGCTCAGCCGCCAGACAACCTCCATGGTGTTTTGAACCATGGTAGATTGCAAAGCTTGCCCAGGCAAGTCCGCCAACAGCGGCTCTCTCTTCAAGTCTCTTGAGAATCCATTTTCTATTTCATGGCCTTGACGGGTCCTGGATACTATTCAGGACGTGTATCCTCCGCATCTTCGAAGTTCCTGCTGCTCACATTTACAGTGCAACATGAAGCCAGTAGCTAAAGACTTAGATGCCCTCATAGTCGGTGCCGGCTTTGGGGGCATATACCAACTCTACCGTCTGCGGCAGATGGGTCTGGCCGTCAAGGTCATTGACATGGCCAGCGACGTTGGGGGCACCTGGTACTGGAACCGATATCCGGGGGCCATGAGCGACACCGAGAGCTTTGTGTATCGGTATTCTTGGGACAAGGAAGACTTGCGAACCTATCCCTGGACGCATCACTATGTCAGGCAGGCTGATGTTCTGGCATATCTACAGCACGTGGCGCAACGGCACGATCTGCGCAAAGACATGGAGTTCAACACAGAACTTCTCGCGGCCGATTGGGATGACGCTTCTGGCCTGTGGCACGTCAGCCTGAGTACCGGCAAGACCTATGCTGTGCGATACCTCATCACTGCCCTAGGTCTACTCTCCAAGGCCAATTACCCGGACATCCCGGGGATCGATACCTTCCAGGGTCAAATGTGCCACACGGCCGCCTGGCCAGAAGGTCTCGACGTGACCGAGAAGAGAGTCGGGGTGATAGGCAGCGGATCGACAGGAGTGCAAGTCGTTACTGCACTGGCGCCGAAAGTCAAGTCGCTGGCCTCCTTCCAACGGCATCCTCAGTACACGGTCCCAAGCCAAGATCGACCAGTCGAGCCCAAGTATCGAGAATGGGTCAACGAGCACTACGACGAAATCATGGACCAGGTCAAAGCCTCAGACGTGGGCTTCGGCTTCGTAGAATCGACGCGGCCTTTCCACTCCATCATGTCGGCGAAAGAACGCGACACCATCTTCGAAGACCTGTGGCGGCAAGGCAACGGTTTCAAGTTCATGTTCGGAGGCTTCAGTGACATTGCAACAAACAAAGAAGCCAATGAAGCCGCATGCACGTTCATCCGGAACAAGATCTCGCAGATTGTTCGTGACCCCGAGAAAGCCCGGAAGCTGCAGCCACACGACTACTACGCGCGGCGCCCACTCTGCGACGGAGGGTACTATGAACAATTCAACCGGCCCAACGTGGACATTGTGCATTTGGGGGAGACACCCATCACACGCGTCACGGCCAAGGGCATCGAGACCACCGCGGGCCTGCACGAGCTCGACATCATCGTGTTCGCGACTGGCTTCGACGCCATCGAGGGCAACTACAACCGTATCCGCATCCGAGGCCGCAACGGCCTCTCCCTCAAGGACTATTGGGACCCGACCGGTCCGACCAGCTACCTGGGCGTGGCGGTGCCAAATTTCCCGAACCTCCTAATGATAACCGGCCCGCAGGGTCCGTTCACGAATCTCCCGCCGGCGATTGAAGCGCACGTCGACTTGATCTCGCGACTCATCGAGCACGCGGAGGCCGCCGCGGCGGGTGCACGGACACAGCACGAAACCAGTCAAACTGGTGTTCGTCTCTCGACGTCCGCTGCACCGGTCATTGAAGCCGTGGCCGAGGCAGAAAAGGAGTGGGGCCGTGAATGCGATCTCGAGGCGGAAGGGAGTCTGTTCAAGGAAACCGCGTCGTGGATCTTTGGCCAGAACGTACCGGGCAAGAAGTACGCTATGCGGTTCTACTTTGGCGGACTCAAGGCGTTCTATGGGCATGTGCAAAGAGTCATTGACGACGGGTATGCCGGCTTCCGCCCTATGAAACCTGTGGCGGAGGGTGGTGATGGTGATGAGAATCAAGTCGGTGACGCTGGCAAGATCGGTCAGGAAACAGAAACAGGAAAGGGGATCGCTGCGCCACTCATCAGATCGATAGAGGTGCCAGCGTTGAATACCCCTGAGGTTCAAGGGGCTTAGAATGCTACTTGTGCAGATGGAGTCTGTTTCACTAGTACGGATATACAGAACGTCCTCTCCCTTGGCTAGACCCTGGCAAAAGTCACGTCTGTTGTGTGACTTGTCACCTACCCTCGTCGATGAGACCGGATCTCTCGTGCCTGTGTACCGCACTGGCAGACCAGGCTCCCACGTACCTTAAGGTAGGCCGAGTTTCGTTTATGATATACCTACCTAGGTATGATGCCACGGAGTCCGCGATCTACTGTAAGAAGGCCTACGCATATAGAATACAGATACTGCGAAGTCTTGGACGCTACAATTTACGATCCTAGGAGACAACCTTGACTTAGTGAGTCAGATGGGGAAAGAGTGGACAAAAGGGAAGTTGTGATTGAAACTTGATTTATTTATTGCTCTAGCTGAAATCCAATAGAGCTAAAGATACGAGCAAAAGAGAATAGGGGCATCACTGATGCCGCATAGCAATGGCTATGCAAGATCCCATAGACAATCATAACTGCATCTACGCATCCCAAAACCGGAATACCCAGTTTCCACGAAACAGAAATGAGACAGTCGAGCAAAGCAGCCACCGTCAAAAGGTCGATTTTTCAAGTGTCATGCCGCTGAAGGAAAATCTCGTCCATGTCGTTATGCCCATCTACCATCGGCTACCGCCCCAGCTGCTGTTGCTACTGTTATGGTTCTTCTTCTTGTCTTTCAGGAAATCTTCGGTGATGCTGCCCAAGATGGCGCCACCAACCGTACCGAGGAAGCCATGGTTGGCTTTCTTGCCTAGCATATGACCACCGAATCCGCCGCCAATAGCGCCGAGTAGGCCGCGATCGGTTTCGGTCATGGGGGGAGCATTAGGATCGTAATTAGGGGCATTTGGATCGCTGGATTGTGCCTGGAACTGGTGTTGGTTCGGATCGGGATACTGGCCTGCTTGTTGACCGCCACCTTGGGCTAGTTGTGTCTGATAGGCCTGGTTTTGAGCATAGGCGTCGTTGCCGCCATGGCTTTGATGTTGAGGTTGTCCATAGTAGCCTGGGTGTCCTTGCGGGTTGCTGGCATCATAAGCGCCATACTGCCCGCCAGCCTGGCCGTGTTGGAAGCCGCCCTGCTGAGGGGGGCCGAAGGAGTCCTGGCGACGAGGAGGACCGAAGTTGTCTTGCGAGGGATAGTTGGGGTAGCCTTGCTGAGGGTACTGGGGTTGCTGGTAGCCTTGATCGTAGCCCTGCTGAGGAGGATAACCGCCACCGTAACCTTGTTGAGGATATTGGGATTGCTGCTGGCCGTAGCCAGAGTACGAATCGTAGGGGCCAGACATTTTGAATCAATACTAGTAGTAGCTTGAGAAAGGCGTTGAAGAGGCTGGATAGGATAGGTGGATTGAGAAAGGTATGTCGACCAGAGTGATGGATGGAAGGAAGAGGTCAAGGACAGGAGTAATGAAGCTTTATGAAGAGATGGACGCACATTCACTGGGGGGGAGCTGGGAGAGCTCTCGTAAGTCAGTCGTCAGCTCAGCCCCGCGGCAAAAGGCGACAAGCCCCGAGATACGGGTTTCGCAAATTGCACTGTAGTCAAGTGAGGGGGTGCAGTGGTGCACTCGGAGTTGGCGACACCAGCAGACGTGGTCATCCGCCTCCGCCTACACCTGCGCCGCTGCGCCTGCGCCCACGCCCACGCCCTCGCCCTCAGCTCCTCACCGCCACACGCACTGCACTGCAGTCACGGACACAAGTTTCTTCCGTTCCGGCTTGGCCGAAAGTGGTGGCGGAGTCATGCCACGTGACCTGGCCAGCGAGGCGCAGTGCATCAGCCACACACGGTTTGCATCTCACCTATTACCTACCACCTAGCCTACTATACGGAGTGGTGGGAGTATCTGTCTCTGTCGACCAGCACCTGGACCAAGTACCAGCCGTAGTCCTACACGTACTACTAGTAGTACAAGGGACTCGGCGGTGGACTTGCTTTTCGGACTTGCACGACCTATTTTCGATATCTTCGCCCGCCACGGTGCGTACTCCGTACATATGCTATCATTCTGCCTATTCATCGAATCAGCTCTCTTTCCGCAGGTGTAGGCCCAAGACGGCCTCCATCACAGACCATGGTGCTCCGCTATCGCAATGAAGCACATATCGACTATATCCGCCATGCCCGGCTGCTTGTCAACATGCTGCATTTACATTTATAGGCACACTGCGTCTTCTTCTCATCCTCCGCCTCGTAACGTTCAGCCCTCCTGAGCTCTATCAATATGGTGACGCATGACTACAAGGAAGCCTCGGCCATCGCCCGTAAGAGAAGGGCCGCCAGCATTGCTGCATTCTACAAGACTCCCACCTGGAACGAAGAAGACCTACCCAAAAACTTGACCGAGTTCGCTCTCAGTTCAGGCTATTATACAGATGCCGAACTTGCCATCGTCCAAACCGAGGCAGATGCTATTCTCGAGAACATCAAGACCAGAAAATGGACCGCTCTCGAGGTTGCACAAACATTCTGCAAGGCATCAGCTCTAGCCCAGGAACTTGTATGGCAAATCTCTCTGCTCAAACCCATAAGGAACCATTCGCTGACGACATTCTAGACCAACTGCGTGACTGAGGTGCTTTATCCTGAGGCGATGGAGAGAGCAAGATACCTTGACGAATATCTTGCGCGTACGGGCCAGACCATCGGTCCCTTGCATGGCCTGCCCATCTCGCTCAAGGACTGCCTCGTTACCGCTCCACATCCGAGCAGCAACGGCATGGCCTGTTTCGCCAATGAGCCCATGCAGAAAGACGCGTTGTTGGTGAGCATCCTGCGAGATCTTGGCGCAGTCTTTTATGTCAAGACCAACGTCCCTGTGGCAATGATGATGGGCGAGACCAACAACAATGTGTGGGGTGAGACTCGGAACCCTCTTCACAAGCATCTCAGTCCCGGCGGGTCCAGTGGTGGAGAGGGTGCTATAATAGCCTTCAAAGCGTCGCCTTTGGGAGTTGGGACAGACATCGGTGGCAGTATTCGCATTCCATCTGCTTGGTGCCACTTATACGGCCTCAAACCCAGCTTCGGTCGCTATCCAACCTATGGTGGGAAACCTGGCATAGCCGGGCAAGAATACATCCTCGCCGTCAACGGGCCGATGTCGAGATCCTTGAAATCCCTTCAGCTATACTCCGAAGCTGTCTTGTCAGAACAGGTTGCTCCGTGGGAGCATGATCACAAATGTGTTCCAATTCCTTGGAGGAAAAGTGTCATCCAGCCTCCTGGACGCAAGCTCAGGCTTGGTCTCGTTGGTCTTGATGACGGCCTCGTGACCTGCCATCCACCCGTGGAACGAGCATTGAATATAACCAAGGCAGCACTGGAACGTCAAGGCCACGAAGTGGTTCCTTGGCCAACCGAAGACCATGAGGCAATCGTCAAGGTAGGGTTCAAATCTCTACGCCCTCGTGTCAGGACTGTAGCCGCCCGACATATACTGATTCGAAGGTCCCAAGATCCTGCTACTTTGTTTCAGGATTCTCTCGTCTCTTTGAGCGATCCCCATTGGCTCGTGGACCTTCGCTGACACCTCGTCCCTCCCGCCTATTATTCTTGAACGTGATCGCAGCGCTTGACAAGCCGCCGCTAACCATCCCGCAGAACCTACAAGCCGCGTTCTTCGATCTGGGTGGCGCCGCAATCATGGATTTGGTGAAACCTTACAATGAACCCATTTTTCCCTCCATGCAGGGCTACGCCATAGCGGCACAGGCTGGCGAAAGTGAGCTTGGCCCGACGAAGATGCGTCTGATGAATATGCGCCGCAATGAGCTCCAAAAGGCATATCTCGATCGCTGGAACGCGTCTGCCACGGACGAAAAGCCACGTATCGACGGTATTATCCAGGCAGTATCGCCCTGGGCAGCCCCTAGGCTTGGAGAAACACAGCGTTCGGGCTTGTATGGTGGGTAAGTATTGACCCTCCAGCACAGCACTTGGGTTCCTACGTGAGTGGAGGGCGTCTTCCCAAGCTTTGCTGGGAAGAGTACTGCCATCAAGAGAAGAAACTCAGGCAGGAAGACAAAGATTCACCAAGTCCATCCTCATATTCTGTCCATGACTAACGTATACGCGCACATATACAGATACACAGGTGTCTGGAATTTCCTCGGTACGTCACAGCCCCAAACATCCGTTTCCCCTTTCCCGGCCACCATTCCCATATCTCTCTCACCTTTCCACTATCCTGTGCAATCCTAGTTAACATATTATATAGACTTCGCCTCCTGCACCTTTCCCGTGACAGTTGCCGACAAGAACCTCGACAAAGCTCGAGATTTGACGACGTTCAACCCCCTCAGCGACATCGATCGCCGCATTCAAGCAGATTATGACGCTGACTTCTACCACGGCGCCCCCGTCGCGTTGCAGATTGTCGGACGCCGGTTGGAGGAGGAAAAGGTCCTCGAGATGTGTGAAGTCATTGACAACTGCTTGAAGACGCGGTGATTCGATGCGCTGTTTGGGCCAGTATTGAAGTGATACTTAGCACTAGTTACCCTGAACAAGCATTCTCCTCTGGCGCTGCCTGCGAGAGCTTAAAGCCCGGTCTAACCATTGGTGGCTTGACAAGGCTGCCACTCAGCCTTGCTATCATGCTGTGGGTGGAGCATTGTCACGCATGATAGGCGGGTATACAGAAATCTTTGTCTCACCCTTGTGCCAAACAATACCACTGGGTTCTATCCTATCGTGCGGACCTAGTTTGGACCTAGTTCGACCATATCTGTTAGGTCAATGCCTATTGTCTGTGCTTGTGCGAGCACCCTCCTCATTACCCAGACGCTTCCGGAAATTTAATGCCTCTTTGAAGACCATCCCTCGAGTACTCGTACTACAGTGGATCCAATCGATAGCCCGTTATCGATGTTTTACTCAGCCATGGTTAATCGTCTTCCAGCGCCGCGCAACTCCCCATTGATCTTGAAGCCAGCCGTAACCCTCACCCGTGCTACTGAATCGCTGTCAATTTACACAGAAACTTCAACTCGTCCCTCGTTTCCAGATCCCTTGGCAAGGGTAGGCAAGAGGTATGTGATGTCATCCCAAGGATGCCTGCCGGGTAGGTTAGTTTCAATTCGTCTTCCAACACTCAAAGTAAGGGACGAACCTGTAGAGGCCGGTCCGAAGGCGTTTCTGGTCCAGGTAATGAGCAATAAGACCAATAGAGCGACCCAGGACGAATAAGCCGTTGAGCACACCCATCTTCAGGTAATCTTCAGCTTCTTCGGCAGAGAAGACTCCAGATCCTCTCATGAGATCAACAAAACAAACAGCCACAGCTCTGCAACAACCGATGCGTCAGTATTGGCCTAGATGGCAGTATCCATCAAGCTGGTGGAAGAAGACTTACCCGTCAACGTTCAGGATGAGGTTGTCCTTTTTGGACGTGGTGACGGTCTCAACAGCGATGGCATAGTCGAGCAATTTATGAGAAGGGAAGTGCTTCGTCACATATTCCTTGACGAGTTCGACACGAAGATCGGGGTTGTTTCGCGACTTGACTCGGTGACCAATACCAGGGACTGGAAGATGGTTAGCTAAGTTCTGCCGTGCCTTCCGATCCACTTACTCAGTTTGTTCTCTTTCCTCATAGTGTCGACGAATTCTCGCGGCGACCAGCCCTTGTCGAAAGCCTTCCCAAACTCTTCAGCAGCGCCATCCAGGGCACCACCGAAGCGGGAACCGATGGTCAAGAGACCAGCAACGAGAGAGGAGATCAAATCCTTGCCAGCACGAGTGGTAATGATGGTGTTCATGGCACCAGACACCGCCGGACCATGGTCGGCGGTCAACATGAGAACCATCTCCAAGAATTTGCTCGCATAGGGTGGAAGACGACGACGGAACCACAAGAGAGACATAACACCGCCAATACCGATGTCCTCCTTGAAGACATCTGAGATAGGCATGCCAGCATAGAGCAATTCCTGGCCTCTGTCGTCGGAAATGGTGGAGATGAAAGCAGCGGGTTTTCGGATGAGACCGAGTTCTTGAGCCCAGGCGTAGTCCATCGGAATCTTGGGAGGCGATGGTTCAGGAGCTGGCTTAATGGTCCCTTGTTTGACAAGGTTCTGGTAGACCTCGGCCAGAACTTGAGGCATATCCTCGAAAGTTTCGGGAACATAGAAGCCGGCTTCTCTCATCGACTGGTTCTTGACAACGGCGGTCTCAAGTTGAGAGTTGGCTGAAGCACCGGCGTGACCGAACTGGACTTCTGTCTTGAACATGCTTGCGCAGGTACCAATGGCCCATGCGACGATGGGCTTGGTGATCTGGCCCTTCTTCACTGCCTCAATGACCCTGTATTCCTCAACACCACCAACCTCGCCGAGAAGCACAAGAATCTTGCAGCCAGGCTCATTCTGGTATCGGAGCAAGTGGTCGATGAAAGACGTGCCCGGATATCGGTCACCGCCAATGGCAATGCCTTCGTAAACACCATCCGTGTTTTGGGAGATAATGTTGTTGAGCTCGTTGGACATGCCACCAGATTTGGAGACGTAGCCGACCGAGCCTGGGCGGTACAATTTCGAAGCAACAATGTTGTCCATCATACCCCCAGTATTTCCAATCTTGAAGGCACCGGGCTTAATACCACCAACCGTGGCGGGACCAACAATGGTGATTCCCTTCTCTTTTGACTTCACCATGATCTCTCGGGCGCGTCTCTCGGGAACACCCTCAGCGATGATCGCAATCGAGCGAACTTGGGGGTAGTTCATCAATTCAAGCGTTGAGCTATAGACTGATCGAGAAGAAGCAAAGTTGACAACCGTGTCGACATCGGGGTGCTTCTCGAACGCCTTCTCGACGGATTGGTAAACGGGCAGGAGGGTCTCGCTGGTGCCCCAGTACATCTTGCTGACGAATTGGCCGCCAAAAGTATAGATGATACCGGCAACCGATGGCGTTGTTCGCTTGCAAATGAAGTCAAAGTCCAGCATGCCCTGGACAGCCTTTGGCTGCATGCCACTGTGTCGTCTGTCAGCTTCCCTACGCCTTCCATCTTTGTTGTGTCTGCAAAGACTCACTAGACAAAACATCTTGTCTTGTTGTGGAACAGAGCATGCTGAGCAGGGCTCAATACCCTTGACGGAGGGTCGAAACGACGGATGTTATCGTTGGCCGAGATCAGGTTGTCCGATTCCGGGGTGGACGAGCCATCTTGGACATTGATTTTGGGCACTCCATTGGAAAGGGGAGCAGGTGCCTCTGTTGCAGCAGGCATGGTGGGCGATCTTTCACGGACTGGTAATCCCACAGCGTCAGTGAAAGAAGCGGAAACCAAAGGACGCGAGATAGTGAAGATGAGCGTCTTTCGATGCAATAAGGAGGGGGACTTCACTTACACGGGGCAGGATAATTGTTGGGCGATGTGTAGGAGAAGAAAGAAGCGTCGCAAAGGTCGGTTGGAATTTGGGTAAAGAAGAAACACTGAAGAAGGGGAGATGAGGAATTCCTCTAGGGATGGTGTTCGACGTGGAGTTGACTGTACTCGTTAGATGATGCTGAGGGTAGTGATCCAAAAAAATGGCGAGTGTTTGGCGCAGCTTCAACGGGGATGGAGCGTTGAGACTCAACTCCGGCTACTAAGCAGCTGCAGGTGCTAGCACCAGGGCTGGGGCCGAAAATAGGAATGGCGGCCCCCAATGGCTTTGGGCTGCAGAGAATCAGAGCCCTGCGTTGCGGGCGGTGAGAGATGCGGTGGAGATTTCGCCGTCCAACACGGCAGTTCAGCCCCTTCCCCCCCTGCGCCTCTGCCGGCCGGGCTCCGGAAAGGCTGAATGCTCGGTGGTCTTACTTTTTACAATGTATGTGCTCTAGGGGTCTCCCCAACTAAAACGTATTACTCTGGAGTCTGCACCACTGCATGTCGCGTATTCCTCGCTTCGGAGTCCGGTCTACTAGGCCTACACGTCGTATCTCGTACCGCCTGGGTGGAACATTGGGCCAATGCCAGAGCAACAGTCACCTGTGTTACGTTGCATACTCCTCTGTACGGGGTTTACTACACAAGAATGAGTAAGGAGAAAGATCAATGCGGCCCAACAGAAAATTGTGGCAGTCTCGAGGCGGGTTAGGAGTCTAACAGTACCATCATCATCCATCGCAGTATCTCGTCAGACACGGCCAGGCGTTTCTTCTCATCCAACAGAATGCGCGCACGCGAGCACAGACAACGTCACGCAGTCAGCAGGCGGTCACCGACATATGCAGTCTTGGTCAAATCACAGCTGAGACCGTAGCGACTTATTCGGGGGAGGCTGTTCCTGGCGTCGGTGCCTCCCTGTAGTACTGTACCTAAGGTAATGTAGTGAGCTTCAGGGTGACAGGGTGCCAGGTGGTGAGGGCCTAAGCCCGGGCCCCTAAGCCCCCGCTCCGCCTGTCGATTTGGCGGCTTTACGGCCCCCCTGGCTTAGCCCTTGGGCCATGGATAAGTTTAGCAGTCTCCAGAGGAGACCCTAATTGCCGGACCCCTGCTCCCAACAACCGCCCTCCACCAAAAAAATGTTAGGGAGCTTCTACTCTCCGAACGCCAACATTACTGCCATCAATAATTCTGACCCCAGCAACTGCGCGAGCCTCCCCTTGCCCTACACCACGCCCTCCCTTCTCACACTCTGGACTCGAGTAGTCGGCCATCTTGCACACTGTCAATTGTCTTCTTTACCATCTCATATTTCTTTATCACACCGACTTCCTCGACTCACAGGTGATACGAAAACAGCGCTTCCCTGACCATCTCTCACTCTACCCCTCACTACTGCGACGATGTCTGCAAAGTCCATTCTCGAGGCTGATGGCAAGGCCATCCTCAACTACCACCTAACTCGTGCTCCCGTTGTTAAGCCCACGCCCCTGAAGTCTACCGGCGTCCACAACCCTCCGCCCAAACTCGCTTCTCTTTACTTTCCTGAAGACGAGTCTGTCAAGACCGTTTTGGACCAAGCCGAGGCCACCTATCCCTGGCTACTCACTCCCGGCGCCAAATTCGTCGCAAAACCAGATCAATTGATCAAGAGAAGAGGAAAGAGTGGCCTTCTGGCCTTGAACAAGACTTGGCCAGAAGCCAGAGCCTGGATCGAGGCAAGAGCCGGAAAGGAACAACAGGTTGAGACCGTCACTGGTTTCCTCAGACAATTCCTGGTTGAGCCCTTTGTGCCCCATCCTCAAGACACCGAATACTACATTAACATCAATTCTGTTCGAGACGTAAGTTGTGCAGCTGCTGGTGGTGTGGATCAGAACTAACTAGGCTATTAGGGTGACTGGATTCTCTTCACCCACGAGGGTGGTGTCGACGTGGGCGATGTCGATGCGAAGGCTGAAAAGATCCTGATACCGGTCGATTTGAAAAGCTTTCCCTCAAACCAAGAGCTGGCAGCTGCTCTTCTGAAGAAAGTCCCCACGGGTATTCACAATGTATTGCTCGACTTCATTATCCGACTCTACTCCGTCTACGTTGATTGCCAATTCACCTACCTGGAAATCAACCCTCTGGTCGTTATCCCCAACGCCGCCGGCACATCGGCCGATGTTCACTTCCTTGATCTTGCGGCGAAGCTCGACCAAACTGCGGATTTTGAATGTGGCACAAAATGGGCTATTGCACGAAGCCCGGCTGCCCTTGGTCTTCCCGGCGTCAAGAGCGACGGAAAAGTCACCATCGATGTGGGCCCACCCATGGAATTCCCCGCACCTTTTGGTCGTGAACTCAGCAAAGAAGAGAAGTACATTGCGGACATGGATGCGAAGACCGGTGCATCGCTCAAGCTTACCCTCCTGAACACGAAAGGTCGAGTGTGGACCTTGGTCGCTGGCGGTGGTGCCTCGGTGGTTTATGCCGACGCCATTGCCTCCGCCGGGTTTGTCAGCGAACTCGCCAACTATGGTGAATACTCAGGCGCCCCGACCGAGACCCAGACGTACAACTACGCTCGCACTGTCCTTGACCTCATGCTACGAGCACCCAAGCGCGAAGAGGGCAAGGTGCTCTTCATTGGTGGAGGCATTGCCAACTTCACCAATGTCGCCTCGACCTTCAAGGGTGTCATTCGTGCCTTGAGGGAGGTCGCGTCCGCGCTCAACGAACACAAAGTTCAGATCTGGGTGCGTCGTGCAGGCCCCAATTACCAGGAAGGTCTCAAGAACATCAAGGCTGTGGGCCAAGAGCTGAAGCTCAACTTGCATGTGTTTGGACCCGAGATGCACGTCAGTGGTATCGTGCCATTGGCTCTCCTGGGAAAGAAGACTACCGTTCCCGAGTTTGGGGGTTAGACCGTGGAATGAGAAAGAGGGATGAGTGATTCTGGTCCAGAGCGTATCAATTATCAAATCGAGTTTGAAGGGTCGGCATGCGCCTAGGCGATCGGAAAAGGGGCCCTTGGGGGTTGTTCTTCCGGAGTTCATTCTTTGTGTTGATTGCGCGAAGGGAGGGAGTAAGGATCGTGTGACACGTTGCCGAACTCGGACACGATGAGCGGTTTCAATAACATAGCTAGACCGGCACAATAATGACAGCTGTTTACGCAGGCAAGCAAGTCAATCGATATTCTTTGCCCATGGAAAGAATACTCTGTAGATGGAAGCTCCCTTTCCATCGGACGACTTTTCGCAGCGCAATGCAACCAGCTCTCGCTAAACTCCTGGCTCCCTTGTATGCCATCCCCAGCACAATATCATGAAGAGTGTCGCACAGCCGCCTGTAGTTTGTACCTGAACCCTATGCGGCCCGGAATCAGTGGGCGACCACTGGGCACTCCACTCGTCATTATTTGACACAGCTGCGATCCTCACTGCGATCCTCACTGCGTAGTGCCCTCCCACCGAGTTGCTGGCTGATACTAGTAGCACATGTGTACCACCTCGACCCACCCTACTCCGACTCAAATCGGTGCCGTTCTACTAACCCTGCTGCTTGAACTCTTGCCCTTACTCAACAAGAATGACCCTGCCACCAGCCAACTCATCGATATACGCCAAAGTGCCGCACCCTTGACTCGTCTTCTTGTCCTCCTCACGCAGTAGCACGGCGAGCACTTCGACTGGCGGCTCCAGGCCGAGCATGTTGGCGCGTTTCCACCGTTGGAGCCGTGTGATGCCAATGCAGGGTCCGTACTGTGAGGAGAGATCGAAGTGGCGTAGTATTTTTTCGTGTAGTGATAGGTTTTCTTGGTGAACTGCAGCATATGTGAGTCTTTGGATCCGTTGAGTATTTAACTTGACGGCGAAGCAGGATGATTGAAAAAGCAGAAGAAGACGGCGAGGGGTGGCTTGAGCTAAGTAGCCAGAGACAATAGATTCAGGTGCGGCTCTGGAAAGTGTTGTAAACGTACCTCTAGGAGCAAGCCGACTGTCCTCCTCAGCCTGCCAGTACTTCTTCAACTGCGCTGCCGTAACCTTCTCCGCCGCGACTTCTCGAGCATCTTGTCCAGCCTGTACAGTTGTCCTCTTGGTCTTTGGTTTCGTTCTCGGCGATTGCGCCGGCGTGCTCGACGGCGACTCTCGAGTTGCTACGTCAATGTGGATTGACTCCAACTCTGGCTGTGGTTCAGGCGTCACTCCGACCTCCACCGACCGGGTCTCCGGTTTCTGCTCTGATGTCTGGGCTGCAACCACTTCCTCTTCGATCTGCGCCGGCGCCGACTCTGAGAGGTGGTTGATTACCCTTTTCTTCGTGGTTTCATCTTGTCTGGTGCTTGGTTTTGTCACTCGTGCTGATTTACTGTTGAACGAGAGGGTGGATTGAGCATGAGAGGCGGCGGAGCCGGTACTTGCTTTAGGCTTACGACCGCGAGGCATGATTGACAAACTGTTGATGATTTTGCAACTCTGTGTTCTTTAATTTGGAGACCGTGAGTACCTACAAGCGCGGCTTGAGTATTGTGATATTAATAGGACGACGAGGTTCGTAATATTGTGATCCAGACGGATGTGGTGTGAAGTCCGGACCACCACAGGGAAGTGCATGACGTTCTCAACTTCAGCCACGCTGCCTCAGCAACCGCGCCAAGAACTTGACTATTGCCATTTGAGTGTTTTTTCACGCCGCCCCGAGAGGGATAATTCGATCTTGGACACAATTGGCGCTTCAGCGCGCGTCTACAAAAACAGCCCAAAGCAGCGCTATCCGTCGCTGGCTTCTGCTTAATTGCTTGCAGATGGGCAACTCCTGAACTCACCCCCTAAGGTAGTAATAGCATACCTAGGTAGCTCATCATCTAGACCAGTTCTCAGACGTGGCTTACGGCAGCATAGAACGAAAAGCGGAAGACACTTTCCAAGTTTGAGTCCATTCATTTATGCGGTCCTGTATCGGTTTGCATCAAAGACTCCCGGGTATCGTATGTTGTTGACAGACCACTTTCGTGTACGCCAGTCGCTGAACGACACGAGGAAAACTCCTCCTTGCGCAGGTAAACGCCTTGCTACGCCTGCTGCGTGTGTCACCATGATGGACACACTCAACTTGCATCTCTTTCAATCCCTTCAGCAGTCATGAAATTTCCTTCGTCACCCTCTCGTACCTCTGTGTTGGGTTGCTCTATCAGATTCAGCTTTTGTCCTCTTTCAGGGTTGACTCATCGCGCGTTTCGGTCGTTGCATTCGTGGTGCATGGTACAATCCTTCCCTCGTCATGGAGAAGCAGCATACTCAAGTAGTCCCAGGCAACCAAGCCCGCCACGGACGGCGGAACCAAGACTGCCTCGAGCCCCATCCCCAGGTGCCTCGGGTAACAGAGTCTAAATCATCCACGTTCAAAAAATCAACTCCTTCTTGAACTAGAGTCCGCCACAGGTGGTTTCTCATTCCTTTGGGCCAGCTGGGAACTCCCCAGTATCGTACTTTGAGGCCACGCGAGTGCGCCCCTGCAATTTGTTTGCGGAGTTTCTCGATCTGTTCGCTGGACAACCGTCCATGCCATGGCGGACCAATGGCACTTTTGAAGGAGACGGATGCATAATACGAGTTAGCCCGGGAATATATTGAGGGATTCAACGGGGCTGCCCCGGAGAGACCTTGGCCTTGGTCCTTGTCCTCGCTTGTTCGCTTGCTCCGCATAAGGCGCACGCCCTCGACCGGGGTGCCTTGTGGGGTTGGGTGTTCACCTGGCGGGGTCATATCAGACAGCTTTTCCATAAGAGCCAAAGGAGCATCGAAAAACATGTCCCGATAATGAGGATTTGCAACCACGGCGTGAAAGGGGGCATTCCCGGTGACCACGACGGTGACAGGCCCATCAATGACATCGCTGCCATTAAAATAGGTGAGATAACCCTTTTCGCGGAGAGGGTCAATTTGCTCAGAGACATATGGCCAGATGGCGTGACCTTCGTTCTTGAAATCGATCAGTAAGATGAGGGTTTGGGCCGGGTTGGTGTCGAAGACGCCATGTCGAGGGATGTCAAAAGAAGGTTGGAATGAAGTGAGGGGATTCTGTTGGTCCAGGATCTTCATCAATGGGTCGATGTAGAGACTACGGAGAGTCCGTTCCGGAGTAAGAGCAGAGGTGGAGTGTCCAACATATAAGTCTTCATCATACAGCCACACATCAGCCTCGACCCCGGTGCAACCTGCGTGCAATGCGGAAAACAGAGGCTCCTTGCGCCAATAGTCATTGTGAGAATGGCAAGCGACGGGCTGCACATCAGCGGAGAAATCGGTGGGCCAGTGACCTAGGTGTTCCGAAAACCCTGCAGAGAGTTTCCAGGAAACGACGCGTTCGTCCACTTCGTCAGGGAAGAAGGAAACAAGGAGGCCGCATGCTAATGCGATGAATTCAAGGAGTCCCCTACAACATGCGTTAGAAGAAGAAGAAGGATGGTAAGGACACAAGACGTTTGCTCACAGAAGCATCAGCGAATAGGCCAAAAGGCGTAGGACTTTTCTCAGCACAGTGATTCGATGCGGTGCGCATGAACGTCTCTCCAGGATATGCTCTTTGTGCACCACAGCACAGCCCCGCCAATCCAAGAATTTCAATGATGGGGTGATATCTGCCCAGTGCCATGTAGGAGGAAAAGCGGCTGAGGCGTGGTCAAAGGAAGCGTCGGGGACGGTGACGGCGACGGGTGTGCAGGTGACGATGATGGGTGATTTGGCAATCTTGATATCGGGGTTGTCGGAAGATGGGTCAGTGTACGGATTGGCTCCATCTTCTAGGTCCGGGCTCTTGAAATACAGGTGCTCCCGCGTCAGAAAAGGAACATCTTCTGACTGGCGAGACAATGCGTAGCTATGAGAGGTGATCTCGTCGTCGCCGTCATTGTTGCTGTTGCGGAAGGATCGAATGACAGAAGACAGGAAATGAGGCATGGCTGGTAAGGTCGAGCCTAGCCTAGAGCGCAGCCCGGCGAGGCTTGACTGAGGCTTGACTCTGGACGCAGTGCGCGAGTGTGGATGGGGGGCTTTGGGACCCGGTCAGACTCTAGTTCTAGCCCAAGATCGGTCCACCAACCCAGGCGCAGCGCAGGCACTGGATTAGCGCGGGGAAACCTCGTGCAACAGCTGGACTGATCTTTGGTGGTTCTTCGTCTTTTGTCTGTGCTATTGCGTGACCAGTGACTGATTGCTGAGCTCAGCATCCATGGGTGGTTAGGCGACTGTAGAGATCGATCGCCTGGTTTCGCGACAGAGAAAGGAGGAGCGACGCCCAACGGGGCTGGCGGTGTTGCAACCCTGATTGTTAAGGTAGACAGTCTAGGTCGGCATAACGGACGTGCAAAAGCTGCAACAATGATGTGGATGGAATCGATGAGCGACTGACAAGTGGAAGAGAAGAGTGACAGAGGTGGAAGTCGAAAAGAGAGACAACGACGGTAGAGTTGGATGCTTGAATCAAGGAGGGCGTCCTCCCAGGGTCTATGTGAGGGTCATCGTTCCTGGCAGGGTGTCGTCGAAGTGAAGCGTCACTTAGAACTCAGATACTACTGACGGCTACAGTGGTCGAGGGTCGAGGGTCGAGGGTCGAGGGTCGATGGCAGGGTATTTGAGCACTTTGCAAGGCCTAGAGCCACGGAAGAATGGCAATGGTGTCGCCATCGCGAACCGGTGGTGAATTAGTCCCTGGTGGCATCTAGTCTACACATACTAACCATAGTACGGGAGGAGTAGATTCCAAGAGCCGTTCTAGCAAGTTGGTGCCCGGAGCGCACAGGCCCTGACAGCGATGGCGCCTCCCAACTCCCCAATAACGTTGGTGGAGGTACAGTACAGTACAGGATCTTATCTCGCTTCGTGTGCGACTTCTGTAGTATCAGCAGGTGTCAGTGTATCCGTATAGTACCTAGTAGTAATACATATACACTACTATTATTACCTAAGACACCTGGGTACTAGGCACCGACTAGGTACCTAGTAGGTACCTGACTTAGAACTGTGCGTGGAACCGCCCCGACCCCTCCACCTTCGTCTATCCCACCACCAGTCTGCCTTTCGGATCCATCAGTCCTCCTCCCAACCGACCATTCTTGCACATGGCTGGCGCTGCACCTGTTAATTGGATCAATCCACATTTCCGGAATCTTAGCTTTGGCTTGTGCCCCTCGCCATTGACACCATCGCGCGAGATGTTGGCCACATGAGCTTGAGCTTCACCGCAGATTCGCATTCGCCCAGGAGGAAAGGCGAAAAGCGAGATCGGCCACCCATCCACCAACCCTTCCACCAATCCTTCCGCCTCGTGTCCCAGCTCAGCGAGATCCTTCGGTCGCTCGAGGCGGTGGCTCCAACCTCGTTTCCCCAGCCACATCCCAGTGCACGCATCAACATCCGTCCCTTCGGTCGTCTGACCTAAGTACAAAACAGCATCATAAACACGACGGGCCCGAAACTATAAGATGACACCGTTGAACGTTGTTCTGCGAACCACAAGGTCATTCGTTTAGCGGTGCCGCGGCTTCAAACATCCCAGAAGCTCGGCTGAATGAATGGTGGATAGACACGCCTGAGCCTATGCTCTCCGCCCTGTTTGTGCCGCCGATTCTACCCGCGCTGTCTAGGGGCAATACTCTGTAAGTGTATACTAAGTGGTCTACTTAGCCTTAGCTCAACTACCTCACACCTACAACTACTGTTCCAGACTTCCACACGACCACCACCCCGGTGGGTGATCTTGTGTCTCTTCGAGGGCCTCAGGTTGCAGCTCGATGGTATCATCGGCATTGTTTTCTAGCTTTTCTAGCCTGCTGATGCGGTGCAGTCTGCGAAAGAAAGGAGAGGTTGCGAGCCCATGCATTGTTTCGAGGTGACTGGTGCAAATAACGATATTTCATTCCAACACCCGCAATATTTCTTGGCCGGAGGATAAATCATCACCTTCTTCTGGATATTAGATCGACCCGAGTAATCGTTCTGACGACAATGATGGAGGTAATGTTGCACTGATCCCAGCAAGACCCCTTCCAAAACAAACCCCAAAAAAGGGTCAAGATCAGTACCGTCAAAGGCACCATCAGGAACACAAATGGTGCAAGAAACGCCGCAAAATTCGAAGAGCTAGTGAGGCCAGTTCTGCCGCCGATACACCGTCACAAGATAACAGCCTGGTCCTGCCGCAGTCTTTCACAGCCTTGTGTGTGCACCAGCATATTTGCAGCCCAGGTCAGTCCATTCAGGTTTCTACTGAATCACCTGAGCCGATAATGTCTCTCCATCTTGCATACATCGCTGTGTTTGTTGTTCCTGTATGGTCGGCCACGCCGTCACGGGCGCCTTCTCTGAATCCGAAGACTCACGCTAAGATGATGACACGAACAGAAGATATATCCGAGCAAGACATGGCGACGATACAAGATCTTAATCACATATCAGAAGAAGACCGAAAGAGTTTATCTGTGGTCTCATACTATGATTAAGGTGTGATGGCGTGTGTGGAACGGCACGAACGAGCTCAATGGTGCCGTTGAGTGACCTGCCGAAGATGATGACAGTAGTGCTGTGAATGGCCCGACACTCTTCCCGAATGCCTTCAAACTCGACGAAGATTGAGGGACCTAGGTAGGGAAAGTCGAGGGACATGGCGTGATCGCGGCGAAGATGTAGTATTAATAGGAGCTCAGAACCGGCAGTTCTGTAGGACCAGGCTGCTGTTCAAGCCGGTGATGTATCCTCAACTTCAACAGCTCGGCATCATTTCCATTGCTTGACTCAAACCCCTGCCTAGGATGAAGCCACAAGTTGACTCAGGGGCAGGCCAGGCTGGGTAGAACCTGCCAAGCCACAACTGGCCAATCACAGCGTGCCAAATTCAGCCTCGAGGCCCCTTTTCCTACTATTAGGTACGACCAAAAGCCAGTCAGGCAGGACAACCGGCGTGACTCTCGCCCGTCGAGCGCCATATTCGGTGAACATCCGGGGTAAAGCGCCTGCTATGTCTTGCAGCCGTCACGGTGCAGAGATAACTCACACACGATCCAGCCGACAACGAGATCTCCAGAGACGCAAGGTCGATATGGTACTTTAATACGCAGCATCTAAGCCAATGGAACAACCTGAACCCAAAGCATTCATCTGCTTCTGCCATGCTCCAGCAAGTACTGTATCCATATCATGAGAAATACACATACACCTCCCACACTGCACTGCCAAAGTGCACTTGATCTGGCAACAGAGCTACCTACAAAGGGCCGTTGGGATGGATCAAGACCTTGGTGTACCCATCAATCCTTTTGTCGAACTTGTCATACGCCGTCTCGGCATCTTCGATGTCAATCTCATGGCTGATCACGAAGGACGGCCTGGCCTTGCCGGCGATGATCAAGTCTCTCAAATACCGGTTGTACTGCTTGACGTTGCACTGCCCGGTGGCCAGCGAGAGACCCTGAAAGAAAAGCAACAACACACCAGGCGTCAGTCTTACTTTCGAGGCATCATCATCATCAACGTCATCACCATCGTCACCGCCATCTTGAGAAGGGCGGACGGGGGCGATAAAGATAGAGAGAGCTGGAGTCAGTCAACGTACCTTTTCGAACAACTTCCCAAAGCTCAGACTGATCATTCCTTTCGCACTCGACTCGTCCGGGGCCTTAGGATCGGACGGAATATACAGGCCGGGAATTCCCATCCCTCCGACCGGTCTTGTGGCCCGGATCATGTCTTCCAGCACGATGTTGGGCTGTTCCTTCTTCCCGCCGGTGTCGACGGCTTGATAGCCGACGGCGTCTACGGTGCGGTCGACCATATCCCCGTTCGCTTTGAGGATCTGATCGACCGCATCGCCCTTGGAGAAGTCGATCGGTGTGCAGCCGATCTTCTCCGCTGCCGCCAGTCGTTCCGGGACCCGGTCCACCACGTACACCCGACTCGCGCCTCTCAGGACGGCTGAGTACGCGGCCATCAAGCCGACCGGGCCGGCGCCCCAGACGGCAACGCTCTCGCCCGGCTTGAACCCGCTGAGTGTTAGACCGTGCCAGCCTGTGGGGAAAATGTCGGCGAGTAATATGAAGTCGCTCTCGTGCTCTTTGCCGGGAGGTAGTTTCAGTGCGTTGAAATCCGCATATGGGACCCGGACGTATTGCGCTTGCCCTCCTGTGTATTACAGTACATGAAATCAGCCATCAGCAATCAATGGTCCCGGTCCGGAACCCTGAGAGGGGTATGCCTGCTCGAGAGGAAGCCTTCACTGCTCCGGGGGGAGGGGCGGGGCGGGGCGAGGCGGAGAGGAGAAAAGGGAGAGGGGGGGTGTGGGTGCGGCGGACGCGCCGCGGTGTTGGTGTGGGTGCAGCTCACCTCGATATGGCCCCATGGCAACATAACCATACGCGCCACCCGCAAAGCCCGGGTTGACGCCGGTGCAGAAGGCGGTTTTTCCTTCTTCGCAATTGCGGCAACGGCCATCGGCCACATTGAACGGCATGACTACCCGATCCCCCTTCTTGAGCAAGGTGACACCAGCCCCGATTTCTTCGACGACACCCATGTTCTCATGGCCTTTCATACCGCGGCGTCTGTCAGCCTAGAACTTCAACCATCTAGGAGTCGCTGGACATGAACACATACCAAAGGTAATGCCAGGCTCGGCACCGGTCCGCCCTTCATACTGTCCTGCGCATCAGCACCACCTTCTTCGGAGTTGGAGCAAGAGGAAGAGGGGGCCACTGTTATCTATGCCGGGGCAGCTCCTAGGGCTTTGAAGGAGCGGAGATACAGTGTTCGCAATGCTCACTCACCATGTGCAGGTCCGAACCACAGATGGCTAGATCGTTGTATTCCGCAACAGTCAGCCAACCGACCCTCTTGCCTCTTCAACAGCGTTCGTCTCGCCTTCCTTGAAACCTGGCTCTGCCCACTGCTCAGATATCGGACTTTGTACTCACCAGCTGTTGTCACTTTGACCACCACATCATCGGGATGTTCGATCGCTGGTTTGGGCACCTGCTCGACCTTGACCTTGAACGGGCCTTGGTAGTTGACCGCCTTCATTTTGGCCGAACCCGACTGATCGACGCGGACTTCAGTGGCCGACATTGGAGGTTATCAATAGGGTAGGTTGGTCTCGGACAGACAGCAGTGGATGCCTGCCTCTCTGGCAGCTTTGGATCGGACACGAATGATACGAAGGCTCAAGAGTTGGATTGTATGTCGGGACGGTCAGAGTGGCATGTATAGTAGAAGACGAGGAAGACACAAAGACCTATCAAAGGTGGAAAGGTTCGTTCTTCTCTCTCAAATTGGCCTGGGGGAGCCTTGAGTATACAGACAGAATGATGGCAATGAGGCTGCGGAATGTTCCTAGGAATAGTTTGACAAGCCCGAGATTCTAACCTGCCTCCTCCCCCGTCCTTTATATCCCCTCGAAACCCTGACGCAACTCCGTCGTATGTATCGGCAATTGCAGATACAAGCATCCCCGCCCTGCCGACGGCATCCGTCCGACATGGAGAATGGAGAATGGAGAGGGGTTCAGTCCTGCCGATGATGATCCAGATGCTGTCATGTTGCCTCATCGTACGTGCCCAAGATTGCGGGGTCTATGACGGGTACAACCAGAACCAGAGCCGGGTGCATGGGATCTGGGCTGTGGGATGCGGTACATCAAACCCCACGGAAATACGAGGGGCTGCATACCTGGTAGAGACGACACACACGACGGGTCACAGGTCCTAAGGCTTACGGCCTGCCCTTCCTCAGCGGCCACTCACGCCTCCCGGTCCGGCATAGAACTATCCTGCTTGTCATCAACCGCAGTTCACTACGGAGTGTTCCCGACGCCTCAGGCCTCCTGGGTCCGGGTTGACGCAAACGCCCTCGACGTCTCGATACTCGGCGGGTCTTTCTGCACAGCTGTAATATTGAAGCGTCTTACTAGGTCCGAGAGAACCGGTGCGAGGTACACGAAGCACAGGAAGCAAGAAGCAACGGAACAGACCTCCCGGGTGAATTGATCGTATTGGACTAGAAAGCAGTCGACATACATTGGCATGGGCTTCAGCTCAAATAAAGGACGCCGGACGAGACTATCCTGCCTGATTCGTCATTATCTCGTGTCCTGAGTCTTCTTTCTCCTCCTTTCTGCGGGTTCGTCCCCACATCCATGCCGAGATTCAATAAGCCTTCAAATTCTCTGCCTAAAGAACGCCTCTATCACATGCTGGGTCGGGTGATGTGCTATGTCGATTTGTAAGGGGTATACATGATGGTGCATCTGGTTTGGGTCGTGGATGATATCGCAATCGTACTTCCAAGAGGACGGGCGGGTGGATATGGTGCTCGGCGGAACTAACGAAGCGGGTTGCGGGACTGGGTGACTGGGTGGTGGTGCTGTGCGGGTGTTGTGGTACATGTTCAGCAAGCTGACGGCTCACAACTGGCGGGATACTTGGCCTTTTCAGATGGCTCTCGGTTGCCTGGCTTATCTGGAGCGCCGACGCGCACTGCCGTGGCGGGATCTGGCGACTTGCCGGTTCCTAGGACAGTTACATATCCATAGTGTCGTTGCCGTTGGCGAAGTTGAACTGGCCTTGGGGTTGATTCGACCCGAGTGTAAAACCGCTGGCGTTAGCTTGTGGTGCCAGCTCTTCGATATCAGCGCCAGCATCTTCTTCGTCCGAAAAGTATCGCTCGATGATGTTGTATGCCTTCATGTAGATCTCCTCGTTGGCGTTGTTCTGGCAATCATGGATCTTCTCCATACCACCGGCCTCTTCAATGAACAAAGCGTATCGATTGACCTGTGCCTCAGGGGCACGCGCATCGGCAGCCTCCTTGTCCATTTCTCCAACCTTGAGGATATTCTCCAAGCCATCCAAGGCGACTTGTATGATCTTGTTGTCGGGGCACGCAAGCAAGTCGCAAAGGGGCTTGATGCATCCTTGTGTCACGAGATATCTGATTTGCTCAGGCTTCTGGAGGCCTCCGGAAGTAGCATTGGATATAGCCCAGCAAGCTTCTTTCCGAGTCTTGAAGTCACCGTTGGACAGAAGATGGATCAGAGGAGGAATAATGCCGGCATCAACGACAGCCTGGATTTGAGTGCTGTTGCCAGCGGTAATGTTGGAGATGGTCCAGCATGCTTCCTTGCGAATGCCATCCTTCTGGGAGCTGAGTAGAGACAGGAGAGCCTGTAGTGCACCACAGTTGATGATCACTTGTGTCTGGACGTCATCGCCAGTAACAATGTTTCCAACGGAACGTAATGCGGGAGTCTGGACCGACGTGGAAGCGTGCATGAGAAGTTCAACGAGACGTCGAGGAATTCCTGCTTCAATAACTGCCTGGATCTTGTCGTTGGAACCGTCAGATAAGTAGGAGATGGCCCAGCACGCGTCGATGAGGACCTCGTCGTCGAGCATATAAACGAGTTTTGCTAAGACGGGAAGGGCGGGGGAAATCTAGACTCGTGTCAGCTAAAGATCGTGCTACCCTAGGAGCGACTGTGCCTACCGTATTCCAGTCTGGCTGTGGAGTCTTGCCACGGCAGAAGTTGCTCAATGTCCAAGTGGCGTTTCGAAGCATACTCAATTTGCGCCCATCAGCGATCAGGGCAAGGAGCGGTTTCAAGGCACCCTGGCTGAGAACATAGTCACGACAAGCAGGACTGTCACCAGCAATGTTGCCCAAGGCCCAGACGGCTTGTTCACGAACATCCGGCTCATGGCTGCTTAGAAGTTCGACAAAAATGGGCACTGCGCCCGCCTCAATAACCACCTGTGTTTGTGCTGCCGAGCCGGATGCAATGTTTGTCAAAGCCCATGCTGCCTCAAATTGGACGAGGGTATGGGGAGAGCGGAGGAATTCGACGAAGCGACTAACGACGCCGGTTTCGATGACTTTTTCGATGGGTGGGTTGCGTTCTTTGGACAAGAGTTTGCGGAATTTGGTGGTGGCTTGGATCTGAGCATCGATCTGGTCCGAAAAGACGCCTTTAACCATTTCTGGCAGTTCTGTGCTGAGCTAGAGACATGGTGAGCGGTGAATGCTTAAGGAGACGGAATCTGAGACTCACCTCACTCTCGATGTTGCCGGCCTCATCGTCGCTATCTGCCTCAGTAAGGCCACCGATCCCGATTTCGCCATTTCCACGTTGGACACCTCTTCGTTTGGCTAAATTCTCCTCTCTCTTCTGTCGACGGATTTCGACCTGCTGCTCCTCGCGTCGGCGACGCAACTCATCAGGCTTGAAACTGCCTTTAGCCTTGAACTGGGTGCGACGGTGCTCTGGGATGTATCTGTCCGCCATGATCAAAGATATTTCAGCAAGTAACACAATCTAGGTTGTTGCTGTTGAAAGGGCGGATCGTCAACCTGCAACTTGTCCTGAGCGATGCTTTACAGGACAAGGCTTGGGAACTGTCAACAAGGAACGTTTGGACGACAGTGATAACAAAGCGCCAGAGTGGATAAGATGGGCAAATTGATCAAAGGTGCAAGTTGCCTTCAAGTTCAAGATGCAGTGCAAACCGTCGTCGCGGGTTCGGGTTTTGGGCACATGCCACATTGCTTGGCACAAGGTCACGTGCCTGCGCGCCTTTCTTGCACCTCAGGCTACAGTCGCGTGCGTTTGAGCATCAACGCGTCTACAAGAGGGCTTGCAACCTCACCGTTCAACTGCGCTGCTGCTGCTGCTGCTGTTGCGGTTGCGCATGTCGACCAATCCAATTGTTCGCTTCTCCCCCCTCCTGCAATGCGGTTGCCAGCCTGAAGCTGCCACGGCCCCTGGCGCTGTTCCTGTTCCGTTGCTGCCCGCTGCACCTCGTCCCAACCCGAGGACTCCAAAATGGATCCCGGGCCCATTCCAGCAAATTGTATCAGCCTAAAGGATGCCTTCGCGCGCAGTACAAACGAGCATTACCACATCATGGGGGTATGCGTGGATTTCCTCGAGCCCGTCCTCTCCAGGGGTTCGGATTTCACGATGAAACTCACCTTGCATGACAGAACCTGGGAATACGGCTGTGGTATGACCTTCCGCTTCTTCTGTAAGCAACTAAAGCACCTACCTACGGTCCAGAACCAAGGAGATGTGGTGATCTTACGCAACTTCAAAACCATCAATACTCGCGGTGAGATCTTCGGCATCTCCAACATCCAGTCGGAGTGGGTTATCTTGCCAGCCACAGCGTTGGCAGAGTCGGACTCTGTGCAGGACGTGCAACGCCAGGCTAGATGGTCTGGCCAGGATGATCCCATCAATCGCCACCAAAAGGTATTCAACGAGCACGAGCTTCGATATGCGAGATGGCTAGCAGACCAGGAAGATGCTGCTCAATGGCGTCCACTGCTCGGCTCTACAAAGCTGCAGCGCGATCATATCATCTCAAGCAATGGCGGTAAAACCTCGCCTTACGACGGGAAATTCCGCCTGATCAAAGACCTTGAGGTGCCCCAAACCAACAAGTATTTATTTGTGGAACTACTTGGGGAAGTGCGAAGGATTTATGGGACCGACTTTAGGACTGAATTATATGTGTCTGACTACACCATAAATGACAGGCTGTATGAGTATCGCTATGGAGACAATGAGGGCGGCCGAGAAGGCGATCCTTTCGGCTATATAGAAGACTCCTCCAGCAAGTGGCCTGGTCCATGGGGCAAGATGACCATGAATATCACCCTGTTTGATTCTCATTCGGTATACGCACAAAGCGCAGTCAAGGAGGGCACTTTTGTGTACTTGCGGAACGTGCAGATCAAGATGGACAGGAACGGTTCACAATTGGAAGGCTGCTGTCGGGGAGACCGATCCAATCCTACCAAGGTTAATGTCGACGTGCGGAAGCCGCATGAAGGAGTCAGCGACGAGCGTATGAAAGCCCTCCTATTGCGCAAACGAGAGTATGAAACAAAGGCCAAAGCGGAAAATCTCCGGTTTGTACGCAATGCGCAGGTGGCGAAAAAAAGGCAGAATGAGGGAGCAGATGAGCCCAAGAGTAAAAAGACCAAGACAAGAAACCGCAAAAAGAAGGAAAGCAGAGCAAAGGATGAAGCTGAACAGCGATCGGACGAAGCGGCCGCCGCCAGTGAGAAGACTTTGACCAAACCAAATGGGACCGTTCGCTGTGAAAATGTCAGTGTGCCTTGCAAGACGATTATGGATATCGTCGACCCAGATATACTGGTACGTACAACAGCCAAGGGTACCACTTTCAGACTGCCGTTCCAAAACAGCAAGTACAAGGCAAATGTTAGGGTTGTGGACTTTTTCCCGGACGACATTGCGGATTTTGCTGCACCTCGACAGAAATCAGAGTACGACTGCCTGTCTGATTGCGACAATCCTGAGGATTCGGACATCGACCTCACCCAGAACCATGAAAATGAGGTGAAATGGGAATGGCGGTTCTTCCTCCTCGTTGAGGATGCTGCGCAGCAGATGGTTGGAGGTGGACGGCGTGCGCGTATAGAACTTCTGGTCGCCGACCGTGACGGGGACTATCTCCTCAATATGGAGGCCTGCAATCTGAGGGATAAGAGCAATGCACGTGAGCTTGCGAAAGTGAAGGAGAGGCTATTTCATCTGTGGGGGGATCTCCAAGAGAGGAAAGAAGAAAGTGCCACTGTCGAAGAGTCGAGCATGAAGCCCAGCGCCAGACCTTTCCAGTGCCTGATCAAGGAGTATGGTGTGCCGATACGGAGTTCGAGTGGACAGCCCAAGGACAGTTTCCAGTACGAGAGAGTATTCGGCTTGTTCGGAACGACAATCTCCTGTTAGCAGCTGCTCAGTTCAACAAAATGCGACAAACACCGCAAGGCCCCCTGGCGTTCGATAAGAGAACTCATCTCTACACCTACAGGTCGTGCTTGCCACGGGCGAAGCCATGTTCGACGATTGACACACCGTGATACTAGTGAAGTCCGGCCGCAGGCCGAGAAAACTGCAATCTTTGAGCGAGGCTCAGGACAACCTCGACTGCCGCCGAGCTCCCGAAACAGTCTGTCAGGGCAACAAGTACTGAATCAAGACTCTAGAGGGACGTTGCTGAGGTCGACTGATAGTGATCGTGATGGTGATGGTGAGCAGGTATGGGGCGGATAATGTTCCAAACGGCGACATGGTCTCTCCACATAAGAAGCTGTGTGCCAACTTTCCAGACTGCATGTATGATGGATTCACTTTACAGGACAGATGTGTGGTTCTCTTGGGTGGCAGATCCACCCTCTTCTATTCAGCAAAAGGAATGCAGATTCAGCGGAATGTCGATCTCCCTTCACCTCACAAAGTGGCACGAAACTTTCCCCAACAAATGCAGCACGGTTAATTACGCACGAGGGGATCTGCATCACCGCCAACCAAACTATGTTGCGGCATCCTGGTATGATGTGGCTGATCCTGGACATCAGGGGACACGGAGGTCGGGTTCGAGGCCGATGTCGGGCCCAAGCCGCGTGCGATACGAGCTGTGTTGCCCTCGCCTCACTGGAGATGTGACGTGGGATTGCTCTGTGGAAAGATTGCTCGCTTCTTCACATGGAAGCTGTGAGCAAGGCAATCAATCAATCGTACAGGCTCATGATGACACTTTAGCTTCGAAGCTGTCGTCCATGTCTAGAGGTTGTTCTATTCTGCCAGAATTAATGGTCGTGGCCAAACCGCAGGGGCATGTAACAACAGTATGGCACGGCACAGCTTTTGTCCAGGTATACTCTGCAACCGACGCTGGGATGGGGATGCAGACACTTCCTTCTTCAGCAAGGCTGCACGCAGACACGCCGATCCTAACTGGCAGCATGGCCTAAGCCGCCCGGCACGTCGATCAAGATGGACTGCGAGCGCCTCAGCCCATTCGATTTGCCATGTCCAGCCTCGTGCACCGGCAGTCAGACCTCATGCAATGTGCCCTCTGGAAAACTTAAACATACAGACAACCTCCAGACTTGAGTTGACTTGACTTGACACACTGCAGCAAAGGAGCGGGAGCTGGCTGACCCGGTCCCATGGGAGGGGCAACTTCCTCACAATCCTGCCGATCCTGACGATCCTGACGATCCTGAAATGCTCTACAGCCACGTTCGTGCTACGGCCATTATAATTCTTTCTCGAAGGAGCCGATCAGTCGCGGCTCGGCAAAGATCATCCATCAATCCTGTGGATCCTGGGATTGGGACCTTGGAGTCTTGGACCAGTCAATGCATATCACATCCGTTTGCGTAGTTTTGTTTGTCGAGTCGGCTGGAAGGGCATCTTGCCACGACCTATTAGGCACGAATAGCAGAGGACAGGACGGTTGGTGGATCACTTTCCAGAGAATACTGCTTTGGCCCTGTTCAACCGAGACTGCATGCTCTCCAGTCAATACAAGGTGTGGTTGCTTCCATCGACAGTGCTAGTGCACATACGATCCACATGCTGATGCACAAATTCAATCAGAGTCCATATTTCCGGGCCAGTCAGGTATGTCAGAATCGATCAGGCATCGCAGTTGCAGTCTGGCGACCGACTGTGAAAGAAGGGTCCTTCGCGAGAGATGAGGCCTTTGGCCGTCGTAGAGAGGCAGGAGTCTCGCCGAAAGGCACGGCTTTTAGGCACGGCTTTTGGGCGAAAGCCGCTGAAACCTTCCAGTGGTCTAACATACGCGTCCATCGTCGACAACTTGCTTCAAAATACATCCTGTGGCGGACACTGGGGCGTGAGTCTGTTGTTGTGTTCTCTAAGGTTGGCCAGGACAGAGCCACGATGCCAGATCCAGATTTCGGCCAGGCTCTTCACGAAAAGCACGTTTTAAACCCTACAAATTTAGGACACCCGAGGCTGAGAGGCCATCTTTGGCTCACACCATCTGCACGAGGACTTTGACAAGATTGAGACCCGCACATCATGGGTGGAGCAGCGACCGAGCAAACGAGGTTGAAAGCAATGGCAGCCCGCAGTAGCCTGTGAGTTAACGGTCTTCCTGCTGCGTTCAAGAAAGGTTGCGCGGCAATTCCCATTCATGCGCCGCGTGGTACTCGTATGTGGTATGCCGCCCCCAGGAGCAAAGGACGTCTGCGGAAGCGATGAGCGGCGCAGTTAAGCCACATAGCGTTAGGCACTTCACGGCTCTGGAGCAGGAAGACGGCCGATTGTGGGGAGCCCACCGCATTTTTGCCTGTGACAGTTGTCATGGCGCTGTCTCATGACCACCCCAGATTTGCACTCAGTTCTGGAATAGCACCTGCACACGGACCATCCTCTCGACGCCGGTACAGGATGGAGGATGGATCTTGGACCTTGGACCTTCCTTTCTTCGGACAGAGAAAGTTTCTTAGGGCTCGTCCAGAAGGTTTAAACTTCACTGTAGCATCGATGCAGAATAGTGGGATAGACACTACAAACGCCTGGCCAACTCCAAACAAGCCAGTCCCAAGACCGTATGCGTAGACACCTTCCCTCGGGGAAGATGACGTGTATGATTGACAATCTGTGCTTTCCGGTTGTTGCGGGCCTCATCTGATCGGGCTTCTAGCATCCTGAGTCCCGTCAGATACGAACTCGACGCTGGGTGGTCTGCACAAAACCATGGGGACATCAGTGGTGGAGAGACGGGGTCGACGACAGGCAGGTGGGTTCGTTTCTTTTGACATCTTGGTTTGTGTGTAAATACTCCGTCCTGCTCTTCAAAATCGGGACGGTGGATGAGTGGTGACGAGCTGGAATGACTGAACAGTTCACGGGATCGGTTGATGGAAGGCAGGGTCAAGGATGAGTTGTGTGACAGCCGTCAACGGCAAGTAGTCTCGAAATTTGGAAACGAGCCGTCGCCATGGACGCACAGGATTCAAGGAGTGACTCGGTCCTAGTGGCACTGGGGTTGGAACTGGTGGACCTGTCGAGCTGCGGCCGGTGCAAAACTGTATCGGAAGGATCGTCCGTGGAAGACTGAGTACGTATGCTGCTTGGGGCGAACCTGTGCTTGAATCTGTGGCCGTGTATCACGGTGCCCTGATGGCCATTGTTCTGAGCCTGAGGAAGTCGGAAGTCTGGCAAGAGGGAAATGCGAGGTTCGAGGTACTGCTACTGAGTCTGCGCACCTGGAATTCCTGACCGCGAGTGACTGACAGACAGAACGGCTCGAGACAAGCCACAAGTCAACAGTTGATCTTAGTGCCCTTAGCCCTGGAGATGAGGTGCATAGGGTTACCTGCTTTAGCCTGGACATAGTAGTCTGGACTCTGGAGCATGCAGGAGGCCTGGGAAGATCCCTGGCTGGTCTCAGAGGGTTGCCTGATTGATGTTGCTACCCTACATTACCATTACTGCTGAGGTGCATTCCATACCTCGTAGGTCTGTGTCTCATCGCGGGTGAATCATAGTACGGAGTACGGAGTAAATAATTCGTTACTGTAGTACAGTCCTGCATGTTACTATGTCGCAGATCGATTTGGGAGGCTGATCCCTGTGGCCACGGGCGGGACTGGCACATCTGTGGGGTTGGAAACTCATCCAGTGACCATTCCCCGGGCTATCCACCGGGCTGCGAACCACGCCGCTCTCAGCTCGCAGCTTCCACCACCTTTCCACCGCCAACTGTGCCATACCTAGAACCACTCCACACCTCTGTAACGCGCCATATGGTGCACAATCATACGGGGGACCCTGACAATCTCATACTGGATTCAGGAGGTACAAGGTCACATATATTATATCTAGGAAGGTACTTAATGTATACTACCCTATTGCTGAGCTGAACCATAATGACAGCCTTTCGGTGACGCTCCGTTGGACCACACAGTCACAGTGCCGTATCTATCGAGACCTTGAGAACGTTGGTAAGTTATCCCTAGTAGGTCCTGAAGTACTACATGTACCTAAGGCACCTACCAACCTACCTGACCTGCCTGCCTGCCTGCCTGGTAGCTACCTAGGTAGGCACCGTAGCTTGTCAGCCAGCGCATGCCGTACTGTAGGCTACTGTGTAGCTACTACTGTGTACTGTGTGCAGTGTACGGAGTACTGCTGGCCAGAGGTCAGTCAATAGCCGTGCCTGGATATACTGAGATACCTGAGTACAAGGTTTTTCGCACCGGCATGACACTACGGAGTCCTGTGCTCGGCCTCGGTCTTCTGAAGAGGAAGTCCCCAAAGCTGAAGCTGCAGTTTTGGTGCCTAGCAGCAAGGACTGGGGACTGGGGAGACTGTTCGTTTAGCCGCGGGCATGTCCCTGGGGTAGATGAGCGGCAGGAGTCCGCTGTGGGTTCGCAGTGCACCCAATTGTTATTGTTAATCCAGTTGCATTGAAGTTGTGCCTCGCTCCAAGCCACCCACTAATAATACAGACATGTCAGGGCACAGGGATATGTATTATTCCATCCCTGACGTCTCCGTACACTCTAGTACCCATATCCGTAGGCCCGTCGACATCAACGCATGGCTAAGGCCTCAATAATGTAAGAAAGAGTCCATCCTGCCATCCACCAAAGGTCCCTCAACAAGACGACCTCCATCATCACTGTTACGACTTGACTGCCTTTTCAATTCACTGTCACCCACTGCCACTGCAACTGCACTGCATCTCTCTGTCCTTCACTCCTTCCATCACCACTCCGAAAGGTGCCGTTTGTCGTTCACGTTTCAGAGCCCTCTGTGCGGGAGTATCTGATTCTTCGCCCGCGCTCATACATAATCCACCACCACTACTACAAGCGACCGCCGCCGGCGCTGCACCCTCCAAGAGTCCAGGAAGTCGCGTCCCTGTTCGGACCACTCACATCGAGTCTTCTCCCGCCAACGGCTTAGCCGTTTTCAAGACCGCTCCGCAAGCAAAAACTCCATACCCCAGACAGACTACTCCATAGTACATAATTACTCCATACCTTGGCCATCCTGCGCAGAGATCCTCGGCCTGCAACGACCCTGCGTCGACCGGCATCCTCTCCCAGCCCAGGCGCGGCGACCTCCAACCCACCATCACTGCCACTCCAGAATCAACAGTTTTTTGCCTGAGTCGACCGACTGCCAATCCTACTGCTTCTCGTGTTGCCACTCGAGAGCCACGACGCCGCCGCCGCCAACCACGGTCGCATCCTTCCCATCTCTGACGTTCAAAGTCTAAAAAGCTTTGTCCCCTCCGGCCTTCCACGCTATCACGAGTACTCTTGTACACCAGCTTCGCCCTCAGTCATTTCATTTACTGCCTCGTATGTACCTTCTTGCCCTTCGTCGAGGTCCGTAAATACTTTTTGAGGTAAGTAGCTTAGCACACCCGCCGACGTGTGTGGTTTCTCATTGGATTTTGCCCTCACTCCTAGGTCACTTCCAATGCTAAAGTTGCGCAGAGGGAAATATTGGTCAAAGTGTACATGACTGCCTGGACATCAACGACGGTGCTACGTCTCTCTCCTTCCGACTTACTGTATAGTTCTACTTCAAACTGAGGCCTCGGTCCTTCTCCGCCTAAGTTGACCCTTACGAACGTTGTAATTTGCACCAGCATCATCGAACTTGCCTTCTTGATTTGCCGGTCACAAGTGCTTTTACTCCTTTTGCTGCACGACTGCAAGTCTCCGGCGTCTGAAGCCTTGCATATGCTCTCCTGTCAAACCAAGCCATTCGATCTCCGGTTGCTGCCTGGGTCAAAGGAAGAGATATTCAAGAGCCTGGGCTTGGGAAGGCTGGCTTGCGGAATAACCCCGACTGGAGCGCTGAGAGCCGATGCCAGTTTCTATTGAGGATAACAGACTGGGCACGGGCGTCATCGCCGCAGCCCCTGCCGAAGCTGTCTCGAATGTGATGATGGACGTCAATAAACCTGACCCGGGTAAGTCAGGGATGTCAATGTCTCTTGCTTTGACTGACATGGTGCTAGTCCCTAGAGAGGAAGAGAGCAAAGCTTCATCAACCGGTGAATATGTGCCTGCCAGTCAGTTAGAGAGACCACCAACATTTCCCCTTCCGAAGACCGACAAACCTCGCCCTCACGTGTGCTTGACCTGTATGCGATCTTTTGCCCGTTTAGAGCACCTAAAACGTCACGAGCGATCCCACACCAAGGAGAAGCCATATGAATGCCCTGAATGTGCGCGATGCTTCGCCAGGCGCGATCTGCTGCTCCGGCACCAACAGAAACTCCACTCCTCGACCACACCATCCTCGCGTCCAAGGGCTGGTCGGCGAGAAAGCGCTGCAGGGGTTGCGACTGGGAGAGTGCGCAAAAACTCGACGACAAACGGAGCGCCGTCGATGAGGCCACGGGCAAACACTCTGAGCCACGTAGACTCTTCGACCCTCGGTATGCTGGCCAATTCGACTCGGAATGTTGGTCGGACGGTCAAACCCGGTCAGAACCATCCCGATAACGTGGGCACAATAGCCAGCTCCCAGGGCTATACCTATTGCGGTGCAAATGTCAACACCCAAGACTTCCAACTTCCCAAGCTTGAAACCCACGGACTTCCTCTTGATCTTTCGAGTGGCCTGCGTACTGCGCCACCTTTCGGCGGGTTTGGTGCTGAGTTCGGTATGGGGTTTATGAGCTTCGACTCAGACCATGGGGATACTATCAATCCACATGCACTCCACATGACTGGCTTACAGGGGCTGGGGCTGGATGCTTCATCATCGCCCTTCCAACACACGTTGCACGGGATGACAGCTTCCCAGGCAATGGCTGACGATGATGCAAGCTTTGACTGGATCGCGCAAGGCTTTGAAAACCAGATGTCGTTTGTACAAGCCAACGAGAACGCAATCGATGACTCTTCCCCTTCTGCTATGAGCACCAACAGCCCAGCTGGGTTGAACGACATGACAAGCGATACAAGCTGCGCAGCAATGCAACACACTGCAGCCTCCAATGTTAGTCTGTGGTCTACCAGCCTTATGGCACAGGCACCTATGGCCAATAGCCCAGTCAGCATGGATTTGATGTCCACCTTCACTGAGATGATGCATGGCCCAGTTGAGACGATTTCACCGAAGTCATTGTTGCCTCGCGGAGCTTCTCTAGACTTCAGCCTTCCAACTCCGCCAGAGTTCGGCTCCCTGGACCCGTCAACAATGCAGTCAAGCATGCCCTTCAGTGGTTTCCAACTACCACTTAGTACAGACGGCCCCGCTTCCACCTCATCCACAGCATCGATGGACAGTAATAGCCTTGGCAAGAGTTCTGTTTCGACAATGTCTTCCGATTTAGTGAGTGACCATGTTCGGAGCGTCTTGATTGCTGGTCTCTCCCAGAATGCCGGCTTTGGACAGCGGAAGTACTCGCAGCCGGCCATTAGTTCACCATTATCTCCTGGCAATCCTTGCCGAGCGCAAGGGTTCAATGCGAGCACATTCCCAGGCACCCAGGAGCTCCAACGTTACGTGGCCGCATACATCAAGTATTTCCATCCCCATCTCCCCTTTCTCCATATTGCTTCGCTCAACTTTGAATCATCGGACCATATCAACCCAGTCAGGCTCGTATCGGGCCAATCTCAGTTTGGCCAGACAGCCGTTGCCGGAGGGGGTAGTTGTCTGATCTTATCAATTGCCGCCATCGGGGCTCTGTACGAACACGAGGTCTCCCACTCGAGGGATCTCTTTGAAGGTGCCAAACGTCTCATTAGCAGCTATCTGGAAGAACGGCGCAAGGCCAATATGACCAAAACGCAGTTCGCCCCGCGACATGCTACGGAACGGGAGGACACGCCGCTCTGGCTGGTCCAGGCCATGTTACTGAATGTCATATATGGACACAACTGTGGTGACAAAACAGCCGCCGAGTTAGCGAGCAATCACTGTGCAGCCCTGGTCAGCCTTGCGCGCGGTGCCGAACTTGCACGCCCTTCCCAAGGACTCTCTGCGCCCGGCCGTCAAGTCCACTCTGTCAACGGTCAGACGAGTGGCATCACGCGTGACGGTTGGAATCCCATGATCAATGACACGGAGGACTCTGACTGGATAGAGTGGAAAGTGACAGAGGAACGCAAGCGGACTTTGTATGCTGTCTTCATACTCTCAAGCATGCTGGTGACAGCATATAACCATCCTCCAGCACTCACCAATTCCGAGATCCGGCTGAACCTACCTTGCGATGAAGAGTTCTGGACTGCCGAGTCGGCTCTGGCGTGGCGGACCCTTGGAGGAGCAGCAAGCGCAGAGGCCAGCTGCACCACCTTCGCCGAATCATTGACTCACCTTCTGATGGCTGCCCAACGACAGAGGCGGCGTAGCAGTGCAAGTCTTTCGCACGTACCCGCCAGCGAGTCGGAGCTCAAACCGAGCACCTTTGGCTGCCTGATCCTGGTCAATGCTTTGCACAACTACATCTGGGAGACTCGTCAACGGCATCTCGGACGGCAATGGACCGCAAGTGAGACTGAGCAAATGCACGCTCACATCGAGCCAGCACTTCGTGCTTGGCAAGCTGCTTGGGCGAGCAATCCCAGCCATAGCCTCGAGCGCCCAAACCCTTTTGGGGCAGGACCCTTGTCCGCTGATTGCATCCCACTGCTTGACCTTGCGTATGTCCGCCTTTTTGTCAACTTTGGGAGGTCGAAGGAAGCCTTCTGGCAGCGTGACTACGATGCCATGGCTGAAGAACTGGCAAAAGGTCCGGAGTCGACCCAAACTCCAGAAACATCAAATGGGCTCAAGAATCATGCATCGCCGACAGCTGAAGTGGAAAATAGACGCGAGGAATCAGCAACATCATCTACAAAAGGTGAGGCCGATCCAGATGTTTCGGGACCAAGGGGACCGGAATTCGGAGAATCCCAATTGTCACGGCGAGAACGATACCTCCGAAAGGCAGCTTACTATGCAGCCGATTCATTGTCAATCTCGGACAAACTCGGTCTCAGTTTCGCAGAGCATACTTCTCGGGAGCTGCCCACGCAGTCGGCGATGTGTGCCTTTGATTGTGCACAGGTCTTGGCCGAGTGGATAGCAACGGTCCAGGAGCGGGTGGGTAAGTATCTTGGGATTATCGGCAGAGACGAGATAAACCTGATGGAGGTCCCTGGTATCCTGCTCCTGGAGGACGAAGACAGAAAGTTGATTCACAAGATCGACGAAATCCTGGCAAGTGCTGAACTGAAAATTGAATCACAAGCTGGCTACGACCTTGCGGGCGCTCGAGAAGGCGGACACGGAAGCAGAATTCTGGTCCTGACGGCATATCTACTTGAAAGAGATGCTGTTTGGCCGGGTGAGTCCGTCGTGTCCCATGTCATGCGGTATACTGATTTTCAAATGCAGTTTTCAAGCTCATGGCCCGTTCACTCGAAACCCAAGCTGGGCATATCAGAGAGCGAGCCTTGGCCTCAATCGCCCGTTCCTGACGCCATGAACAAGCTCCCGACTGGCGATATGGGGACGAATCTAACCACTGGATCTGTTTCCGCAGTCACCTCAGCACGCTACTGGACGCAGATCTTGCTTGAACCGTCCAGTCGGGGCCACGGTCTCGGCAAAAAAGATGCCGGTATATATGAATTGTGAGGACATAGGATCGCAACATATCTTTCCGATACGAAACTACAACGATCACTATTTGAGGCACCATCTTTAACCTCAAATTTGCAAAAGTACAGGATTATTGGCATTTAACGGAGTTTTCCACCTGGAAGGACTGAAAATGCGGCGCCTGCACAGTGGGCCGTAGGAGGTTCCTCACGTTGGTTTGGCGAGGCAATCGCCGGACCTAATAGTCCAGAGGAAGACAGAGAAAGGGGCAGATGGAAAGGGTACCTGAGTCGGCATTGGGCGGACAGGCTTATTTTAACGACCATGACGCATGCAAGAGCATTGTTCTTTGATTGAGATGACCCACGGAAACGGCGGTGGTCGTGGCGTGTGCTGTGACCCAAGTACTGCGCTGGCGTTGTTTACTCGGTTGGCCCTTTGAATACCTACTTGATGCTTCCTACCGGCTCCCCATGGTATTTTTGCATTCATGAATAGTGCTGAGTCCTTCGGCGGGGATCCAGTAAAGGCATGGAATCTCACCAGACAGGACCGCCAGTATTTCGGACTGTTTCTTTCCTTTTGATGCAGGCAGCCAACTGCAGTGCCGGCTGCAATTTTTAGGTCCGATGCCAGTGTGGAGGGCTCAGGGCCTAAGGCTTCCGCTCGCGTAAACAGAGGCAAGGAGGAGGGCCCCAAGGCTGATGGTTGCAAAGAGGATCGTCTCCAAAGGCTATGAGTTTGCAGGCGGCCAGTGGATGATGGTGAAAGTGCGGCAGGGTGGTTGGTGAATCTGTCTTCCATACGGGCGTACTCCGTCCTGCGTCCTGCGTACTCCGTACTGTGTACGGATACTGTGTGTGATGTTGCAAAAACTTCAAGTTCGTCAGTCCAAGGATGCCAAGCCCAGGCCGGGTCTTGGTCGTACTTGGCCGCAAACTCGGTGCCTCCTACCTAGTAGTAGCCTGTAGGTGCCTGAGGTAGTAGTATTAATAGCGATATCAAGGTAACGTGTCCGTACGGAGGACGGAGTACTTCAAGTGCACCGGCAGCGACGTATATCAGGCAGCCGTGGTAGGTTATGTAGTCTCCTTACCTTCTTGATAGAGGATGAAGTACGTACTCTGTAGTATCTGGGGACTGGGCGCCCACTGGGCCCTAAGGCACCCCACCAGTCTCTATGATTTGGCGCAGCTGCGGTCCTCACCACTACGGAGTACGGGTACGTAGTACGTACTGCCCTCCCACCGAGTCACCGCCGACTACGTACCTAGTCCAGAGTGGTCTCTAGCACTAATCTAGGTGACTCCAGCTGCTCGGCACTCCTCGCCACCGCGAGAACTACGTACTCTGTACGGATACAGAATACTCTGTGAATCGCGCGGTAAGGAGACATTCTCTCACAAAAGCAACTGGAGTGAGGCTATCGGCCACACTGTATCTGTCGCCATTCCTCAACACTCGACACACTGGTGTGTCTTCCCCCAGCGAGCCAAAAGAGGACAGTATCGACCTTTCTGTCGTTTTGACTTGGGTGGAGTTGCGCCCCATGCCGGAGAAGGGAGCCCAGGTTGTGACAGGGATCTCTACTGTAATCAGCACCCCGAGGCTCCAACTTCGACACTCACTCGCGTTCTCGCAACTTGGCAGACAATCTTTTCTTTTTCTCGACGGCACCAATCTCTCTCTGGTGCTGAGCGAGCTTCGATCATTATTGGCTTGCGTTCCCGAGCGGCAGTCCGTTTTATCGCAAGTACCTATCCTAATCACTTTTGACGACTGCGCCTCCGTCCGCTCTTCCACTCTCGCTCTTCTGGCCCAAGGCAACCTCCATCTCCCCGAGACCCGAGCACGGCACCGCCTTTCGAGGCCACTCTTTCCTTCGGCTGCTCCGGTCAGCGCACGGCCTCACTGTTCCCTGAATGCAGCGGATACTGCACTGCGAACTCGATCCAAGACAAAGCAAAGACTGGGGATAACCGCTGCGTGTTGGCCGGACCAGGGCGTTTCTCTGAAAGCTGCAAATGAACCTTGGTTATACCACAATCTTTGGAGGAGTCTGTCACCCAGTCCGAGTCTGGCGTTCAGATACCAGAACTCATCACCTCAGCAGCGCAGCCTGTCACGGTCCTGATCACAATCTTCTACTTCTACCGTCAAGATGGCATGGGATCACTTGTCTATAAACAAACCGCATTTGGTGTACATCATTCTTGGCGGATTCACCAGCATATTTATGCTTTGCTCGTTGTTCATCAAGGAAAAGTTGTATATTGGCGAGGCCTCGGTTGCGACCTTGTGCGGTGTTATCTTTGGTCCACATGCCGCCAATCTCATCAATCCCTTGACCTGGGGAAACACCGACCAGATCACTCTCGAGTTCTCCCGCATAGTACTCGTCGTTCAATGTTTTGCCGTCGGTGTCGAACTGCCAAAGGCATATATGGAGAGACACTGGAAATCCGTCGTGTTCCTGCTCGTGCCGGTCATGACCTTTGGCTGGCTCGTCACCAGTCTTTTTATCTGGTGGATGATTGTCCCTCTCACATGGCTAGAGTCTCTGGTGGTCGCGGCCTGCGTCACAGCCACGGATCCGGTCCTGGCCTCGTCCGTCGTGGGAAAGGGCAAATTTGCCAAACGGGTTCCAAAACATCTTCGAGACCTTTTGTCTGCCGAATCGGGCTGCAACGACGGAATGGCATTCCCCTTCATCTACCTTTCTCTCTATCTGTTGAGATATAACCTGGGTGCTCGAGATGTGGTCTTTCACTGGGTAGTAATCTCGATCCTCTACGAATGTATCTTCGGCGCCTTCTATGGAGTTATGGTGGGCTACATTGGCCGTCATGCCATCAAATTTGCCGAGCGACGTGGCTTGATCGACCGAGAGAGCTTCCTCGTGTTTTATTTCGTGCTGGCACTATTCTGCGCTGGGTCGGGTAGCATGCTAGGCATGGACGATCTCCTGATCGGGTTTGCTGCTGGGGTTGGCTTTTCCAACGATGGTTGGTTCACCGAAAAGACCGAGGAGTCGCACGTTTCCAACGTGATTGACCTACTCATCAACTTGGCCTATTTTGTCTACTTTGGTACCATCGTACCCTGGGAGCAATACAACTCACCCGAGCACGGCTTGGTCCCCTGGAGACTTGTCATCATCTCCCTTTTTGTCATCTTCTTCCGTCGCATTCCCGCCATGCTGGCGTTGAAGCCATTTATTCCGGATGTCAAAACGTGGCGAGAAGCGCTGTTTGCCGGCCATTTCGGCCCCATTGGGGTTGGTGCCATCTTTGTGGCCATTCTAGCTCGAGCAGAACTCGAGACTGATTCCACCGAGCCTCTAGCCAAACTTCCGGCACCCGGTTCAAAAGATTACAACCTGATCTACCTGGTATGGCCAGTAGTGACATTCTTGGTCGTCTCATCCATCCTGGTACATGGATCGTCAATTGCAGTTTTCACGCTGGGTAAACGCATCAACACCCTAACGATCACTCTTTCTTACACCCAGGACAACGAGAAGGGTCCCGCTTGGATGAACCGCCTACCACGGATCTCGTCTCAGTCCAGATCAATGGCACGTATGGACAGCTCAGAGTTAGAGGCGGACGACAAGCTAGACATTCCTCCTGGCGAACTCCCTCCCGTGGGCATCCCCAAGCTTCGCCTTCGCCGACAACGCGAGGATGAGTACGAAAAGAGACCGGGATCCAGGTCGTCAAGCCTTGGACGACCCAAAAGGCGGAAACGACAAAGTAGGGAGCTTCAGGACCGTCCAGGTGGGCCAATCAGTCAGAGTGCTATTGCACCGGCGAGACTTTCGGAACATGGTGTTTCTCACCCGGGGTCTACCTCAGACACGTTGTTCGAGAAGTCCGGAGAGCCATCGCCAGAGAGTCCACAAGACCAGCTCGTGACCGGATCTCCAACTTCTTCCCCTGAACGTTATCAGCTCGAAGCGGAACATGAGGCGGAAGCCGTGGAATCTATGGGGCGACAGAAACGAGAAAGAGAGCCGTCATCTGAGACACCTGCTGAAGTTGAAGTGTACGACGAAGGGGAAGACATTGTCGTTGAAGATGAAGAAGGCAATGTTGTAGATACCATCGACGCGACTAACATGACGCCGGCTGAAAAGGCCGATGCTATCGAGAAGGCCCGCAATCGGTTGGCTAGAGACGAATCAGGCCAGTTCACCAAACATAAACATGAATCCCATGCATTGAATGAGGGTGAAGAGTTGGAACATCACCTAGAAGAAGCTCTGGGACAACCCCAGAAGAGCATTCGACAAAAATTCGATCAGTGGAAAGGGTTTGGCCGGCGTAAAGACGAAAAAGACGATCGCGTCATAGCTGGCCCATCAAAGAGGGCGGAGCCAAAGAGAGGGCCCGCACATGCCTATCAGTTCGGTAACTCCATCATTGTCGAGGACGAGGACGGCGAAGTCATCAAAACCTACACAATACCTAGTGACGCCAATACTGGGGACAAGAACCGAGAGCAGCAGTTGCGAGAAGGTTTGCGGCGCATGAGCACATGGGTGGGCCTGGGTCGACAGGCTGATGGCGGTGGAACGAGCAACCCGGAGGCTGCCCTCGAAGAGATGAAAGAAGGCAGTGGACAGCCGGGGGAGAGGAAGTCTAGTCTCAAACGACGAGGCTCCCAAGGCTCCCAAGCGTCACTAGACGATGGCCTAAGGATGATCATCTCAAGTTCCAATCAATATGGATTGACTGGACTCCAGAAAAAGGCTCGTGATGCTCCTGGCGCCATCGCCCTGGGATCTGGAAGGCGGCTGTCGACAAAAGACTTTATCAAACAAATGCAGCAACTTGATGCCAAGGGTAAGATCCAAGAGGTAGACGAAAGCGATGCTCCCGAAGCCGTCAGACGCGAGTTGCATCAGGCAGTCAAGATCAAAAAGGAGATGGAGCGAGATGGGTCTACAACTTCCGACGAGAGACCTGGGCGCCCCCGGGCGGAGACAAAGACAGGTGCCAGCTCAAACGACGCACGTCTTGACACTGGCCGGAAAATACAGAAAGAGGATCCGGACGACGATGAGGACTATTTCAGCCCGTCGCGCCGGACCCTACCTGAACGAAGAACCACTGCAGAACAGAGCCAGAACAGTGAGGTCGAGAGCGAAGATGATGAGGATGATGATGATGGAGATGATGAAGATAGGTCCGAGGTCCCCACCCACGACGTGGCGTCCATTGTAGCTAGGCATAGTCAAGGCCAGACTGCGGCCGACTTCCGGAGACGGCAACTCGCCAGGATCCGATCAGCGGAGGAGGAAGAAGATACGACGGAAGGCGAGACCGCTGCGGAGAAACGACGGCGATTAGCTGCTCTGGGCTTGGGTGATGGTGGCGAAGAGTCGAGCAGCGATAGTGACGAAGGCGAGGAACAGCCTCGCCGAGCCGCCGAGGATGCTGTACCGGAACCCAGTCAGGGAGGCCCTTCGACGCAACAGCGGACTCGGATACAATGGGGCGGGGAAAGTGGAAGAGAAAAGGATCCCTATGACATCTATGCTGGCGATCCAATCGTTGGAGCGGCACGGAAACTCAAAAGGATGATGAAGAAGCGTCACGAAACTGGATGAGATCCGACCGCACGACCGCACGACCGCACGACCGCGAGCAGTATCATGTCCGAAGCGATGAGCTGCCAGCCAGTCCGGACCAGCCAGAAACAGAAACGCATGTAGCATTCAGTGACAGCTTTTCTGTCTGGAAGGATGATTGGAGTCCAGGGGCGTCATGGCATGGCAGGTTCAATCGGATTGCGCCTTTTGGTTTCTAGTACCTGATGGTGCGGATGCGGATTGTGATGTTCTGTATGTACAACTTGCTCAGAGAAGGCTCGCATGTCAGATTGTCTGCATTTATCCCCTCAGCAAGCGGGCGGTGGGTGGTGGCTGATTTGAGATTGACATGGTTGACAGAAATCGACCTGACCTGATGGATGTAGAGAGTATATTTGGATACAGAAAGAACAAGCCCGATCTTGATCTGGGTGAATGAAGATGATTAATAAATGTCGAGTTTAACACCTCCCGGAACCATCACCACGTTTCTTGCATATAATATTAATATTAATACACTAATACACACCCACCCCTTTTCGCGACCCAAAGGCTTTGCACGTATGTATGTACTGTGTCACAAAAGACGAGTAAATCTTTCGAGGGCCAACTTCGAAGGGCTTGCCATCATCATCGTCATCATCATTGTCATCGTCACTATTATACACCATGATCATCCCTCATCTCACCGCCCACCTCCCTATACCGACCACCACCCCATGGTCCAAGGGCCGCAAATGCACAAACTACAGCTGAATCAATTCGACCTCGCTAAAGTCCGGCGGCGTGCCACTATACACGCAGCGACCCTTCGAGTCGAGACCTTGCCGCACATTGCTGACCCAGAGATGACTGCTGAAGTCACCCATGCGGTGCACTTCGTCGTCACTAACGCCCATCTCATCTCGGGGCAGCCAAATCACGGGCCGCCGGGCCCGGAGCGCGCTGTGTTGGAATGCCCGCTGCACCAGCTTGTCGCGCTCTTCGGGCGTCAGGTCTTCCAGTTCGTCGTGGACTCCCCCGAAGAGCGCGTCCGCAAGTTCGGTGCGTGCGGCTCGCTGGGCCTCCACGTCCTTTTCGTTTCCTGTCACTGGGTTGAAGTTGTTCAATTTGTTCAACACCTCGAGATGGGGAGACAAGTGACGTTTGTGCGAGGTACGGCCACGCCCTTGACGGTCGTCTTCTCCTGACACATACTGTCGGTCAGCGCTCTGTGATGTCCCATCCCTTTCGTTGTCAACGTTGGCTGCTCTTCGACTGTGCGATTCATCCCGGTCGGCCCATGACTTGCGGTGTTCTTGGCGTGGTTGAGGCCGTGGGATCAAGTTCTTGGTCGTCCCGGCCGTCTTGACTGCTGCCGCCTTGACCATCCGAATGCCTTTGCTCTCTTTATCCAGGTTCATCGCGATTTCTGGGTTCTGCAGCTGTAATGGCTCCGTTTGATGCGACTGTTGGGATGCTGGTCTTGCGCGGCGCTTCTGTCTCTCTCTCTCAATTCTTCGCCGCTCATTTTCTTCGGCTTCTCGGTCTTCTTCCATCTCCCGTCGCTCGTTAAGCTCCAGTTGATCTTCGAGGGGGACCTCTTCGTTCTCATCTTCAATGAGTCCATGCTTCTTCTGCATGGCCCTGGCAAATTGTTCGTCTCGTTGGACTGCATCATCCTCAAGAGTGATAGGGAGATATCTGAACAACGGGCTGAAGGCGTTGTTCAGTAGATATTGATACCCTGCCGTCAAAACGAGAACGACGATCATTCCAATGGCCTGGCCTGTGCACGCAACGTTGTTATGCTCATCTCGGACAAGGAAAAACATGCCAATCAAGGCAATTTCCATCACGTAGACCCCCACGAAAGTATAGTTGATGGCATTGGGATACAGCAAGCCACCAGTGTCGCGGGTGAATCGAGTAACATAGAGCGTGTTGTACCGGTAGACAAACCAGAATAGAGAGAAGGTGATAATGTTGAACAACAGGATCAACGGCGCGATCACTGAGTAGATCAAGCCAATGCAGGCCAAGTTGGTGTAGACGGGAAAGAAGGTGCCCCATTGAATGTTGGACAACTGAGTCTGCCGCTTGAACTTGGCTCGTGCTGTGCTGTCTAGCAGGGGGGCCAGAATGAACCAGCCAATGAGTGAGCCGACTTGCACAAGTGCTCCGGCGCTCACCGACATGGCCTGAAGGAGCATGTACGAGAAGAAATAGTTGCTCGCCTTCGGGATGTTGGTGCCCAGCAGATTAGGAACGTTCGTCCACCCGTCCACACTGGTAAACAGAGCGAAGAACTGGGTCAAGGCAGATGCAATCGAGACGACCAGAAACAGCTGGACGAACAGGAAGGCGAAGTAGTAGCGCTGGACTGAAAGTTCCACGAGCATACCTGACTGGGTTCCTTGGGTCCGCACCAGAAATCGGAGAATGAGAGGAAGGAGGAACATCAACAGACCTAGCAGAGCCGCTGGCAGGACGCCCTGCAGCACGCTTCTGAACCAAGCAGGAATGTCCAGAACCCAGTGAAGCCATGCGAATGTTTTGGCCGCGGTTTCCAGTTGTGAGAGAGCAGAGGTGAAGGCAACAGGGATTGCCCACAGGATGATCATGCCCACCACGACCGAAACAACACCGAAGGTTCGGATATACGCCGACCACCAGGGAATCGACATATTGTCCCAGATAACATCGTTCGGGTCAATCTCGACCAGACGAGGCGCCATCTGTTTGGGTACGTGATGACTGACAGTCTGACAAGCCATATGGGCGGCGACCTGATGGTTGAACTGGATGAATGCAGAGTTCATCAGAGGGAATCGTTCCGGATGAGCTTGATCGTCTTCGATTTCGACATTGAGTCTGGCCACTTCCTTGCGGCAGTAGCGGATAGTGTCGACCTTCTCACCCATCAAGGGGAGCGAAGGCATCCACTGCCAACCAAAAATCGGAAGTCTCATGGTGTCACGATCTTTGTCGCTCAAGTAGCGCCGCCAGACTGCATCGTCAGGATCATGTTCAAAATCCCACTCAAAGGCGGCAGGGTAGTCGATGTGTTCCTTTTCTTTGGTGCCGAGCCCCATTGCTTTCTTGAGCTTCTGAAACGTAGTGAGCGGCTTTTCCATTCGGGTCTTCTCGTCCCTCATTGTACTAGATTGAGAGATGGGACTGCCTAGCTCGATGTCACCTTCGGTCCTTTCTAAGGCTCGTCCACGGCCAATCGCCTCCCTCCCGGTCTTTGAGAACACATCCTTGGCAGCTGGGCTTCGTTTGCCAGTGACTTTTGGGGGTGTGCTAGGCACTTCAGCCTTGGGTTCGGGCTGTTCACCAGAACCTCGGCCAAAATCTTTCTGTTCGCCATCCGCTGGGACGAAGCCGTTGGTGGTATCGATAGTATCGTTTAAACCCCGGTTGACTCCTCGAATCCCTCCAATCATTCGATTTCCAACCTTGCCTATGCCATGTGTGACTGCCGAAATACCTTCCCCGATCATTGGAATGGGAATGCCACGTCTTTCACGCTGTTGACCTTCGTCCGATTCGGTGTCGGATGACGAAATGGAAGAGGAATCGTGGTCAGCCGGGCCGTCCAGGACGTCCCGAAGATTATGGTTCACTTGATGGGGATTCCCGGAGCTCACGCCATGCCCGTGAGCTGCTTGCTCGCCAACCTCATCTCTAATGGTGGCCCGAAGCTTCTTTTCCTGTTTTGAAAGTTTCTTGCCGGCCTCCTTTTCGGCCCGGGCAATGTTTTCTTCGTTCTTCTTGAAGCATTTCTTGATGAGTTCCGTCTCGGCGGCCTCTAGCTTTGCCGCGAGCTTATCGCGTGTCTTGATTTTGCCACTGAGTTCATCAAAGTTCCGGTTGATCCAAATGTTCCTGATGCCGCCGGGGAAAACGTCGTAGAGGCCATCGAGGGCTTCAACAGTGCACCATTTTCGAGGGATCGAGCTGACGAGGACGGTGGTGGCGGAAGCACGAAGTCGGTGTTGCGGAGAGGTCAAGTAGGCCTGGCGCATGCGGATATAGTTGCGCAATTCATCGAAAGAAACGAAGCAGACCCAAATGATCAAACCCAAACCAAGTAGCCAGTGGGCCCAGTACCGTCCGGTATGTTCAGGCGCGACATTTCCCCATGCCAGCTGATCCAGGCCGGTGACATTGGTGCCATTCTCATTGCGGCCGGTTGCCCATCGAGCACCTCGCCCATCCACCATATTCAGAGGGATCAAGATAGGCAAGATAATCAGGGCGGCCGGGACAAAGATCTTCAGGAGAGTTCGTAGGTATCTCAAAAAGAAGTAGGCATCCAGGCCACACTTTTGCACGAATTCGGAGTTGCTCGTATGCAGGACGGGCTTTATCCATTTCCACCACCCGGGCGCGGTTGGTTTCGTTCGCTCTCTTTCCGGGACCAGGTATGTCCTGGGCTGATATATTCTGGCAAATCTGTCTTTTATGAGGAGGAAAATGCCGACTTCGACCGCAAAGATTGCGATGGCGGTGACAAGGGAGGCGGCGAATTGACCGGCGCTCTGACCATTCTTCTGGCCGGCGGCGGTGCTGTTTCCACCAAGGCTTAGGGTGTCGTTGAAAGACATGTTGGGGTCTTAGGATGTCCGACCGAGAAAAGCTATTGTCGAGAGTCGAGAGGGTGTGGTGGATGCAAAAGCATGACTGATGGTCGCGTGGAAGGCCCGCGTTGCAGACTCAGTCAAGATGGGACGAGGACTTTTTGAAGGAGTGACACAAAGCTTTGGCCAACGAGACAAGCTGGGCTTCTGTTCAGTGACGGCGTGAATGAGAGGGATAAAGAGAGAGGAAAGACAAGGAGGCGTTTGTGCAATCGAGCAATCAACAAAAGAAGGGTACGAGTACAAGGAGCTGTTTGTTCGGTTGTAGGTCAACGGGGGAGGGCTTGTTCTTGTTCCTAGGAGGCTATGCTGGTGAACGTGAACAACCAGATCGAACGAAATAATAGCAGATAGCGAGGCAGCGGGAAAGTTGGATGCAGGACGCGGGCTATGACGTGGATGGCGCCTATCGACAGATGCCAAGTTTGCACGCATGCACCCGGGGCCAACCAAAGCAGGACCCAGAGCTCCAGCCCAAGCAGCCCCTTAGATGCCTGCGGAGCCCCTATCCCAAACATAGTCTAGGCGCCGGCTTAGGCGCGCAGGCGGCATTCTTGATCTAACCACATCCCCACCGCTTTGTCCACTGTTCACCGTCCCCCCCATGCGACCAACAGCCAACAGCCTACGGTGCCTACAGCCCTAAGCCTACAACCTGCAACCTGCAACCTGCGCCAACACCAGCGCCAGCGCCAACGTGCACACGAAAAGGCGCCTCGCAGAAACCTGTCCTCACGCGGGCGATCGACATCAACGACGATGGCTGCCACCTGACGTGCCAACTTGATGCGCCGTGTGCCATGTGGCGCAACTTGGCCTCGTACGAGTATCAAGCAAGGGTCAAGGCACCAACAAGTTCACGCCATGCCCCCGCTTGAAACATTTCCAATCTCAGTGATCACTCACTGATGGGTGATGGGATGGGATTGCAAGGCTATGGATCCCGCAGGAAGCCACAAGTCAAAAGCCACCGGGCATCATACCCAGAACCTTATGGAGATTAATATGGCGACCGGAGATTTTATGGCCACAGGAACCTAGTACGTATGTACCTACACCGTATGGCAGCTAGCTCTACTACTAGAGCACTAATACTGTACGGATAGGATACATGTCACCATCTACTCCGTAGCCTGAGAAAGCTCCTTCGGCCCCCATTAACACCCTCGTCCGTCGGCCGAGGCTGAACCTCAAAACGTGGGGTATGGATCTAGTATAGAACATACCACCGCCCTGTTCACACGAGTCCTTCGATCTTACTCTCCTGTAGCCTGCGTTCGTGTCGATAACAAGTTGCTTTTCCTGTCGCATCGACGACAACGGTTACCGAGTATGAGCCCATCGATCCTAGTGTCCACTACACCAGCTGGTGTCACTACCATAACCATCACGCGCCCGCACCGCCGCAATGCCGTGAACCCGTCGACGGCGCGTGATCTGTACGACGCCTTTATCGACTTTGAACAAGATCCGGCGCAGAAAGTGGCCATTCTGACCGGCGCAGACGGCGCCTTCTGCGCCGGTGCTGACCTGGTCGATCTGACCACACAGAACCAAGGAAATCCGGCTTCGTCTGACCCCAGAGACAGGAATCAGAACCATCTCCAACCGGTCCACGGTAGGAACTGCGGCCCAATGGGTCCTTCCAGGCTGCAAGTCCGGAAGCCCGTGATTGCCGCCGTCGCTGGGCACGCCGTCGCCGGCGGACTAGAACTCAGCTTGCTGGCGGACATGCGGGTGGCCGAAGAGGACGCGGTCTTTGGAGTCTACTGTCGCCGCTGGGGCGTTCCGCTCATCGATGGCGGCACGGTACGTCTGCAGGCGATCGTGGGACTCGGTCGTGCGCTGGATATGATCTTGACCGGGCGGCCGGTGCCTGCTCAGGAAGCCCTGAGCATCGGTCTCGCCAATCGGGTGGTTCCCAAGGGCAAGGCTCTCGAAGAAGCCAACAAGATCGCCGAGCAGCTTCTAAAGTTCCCCAATGCTTGCATGAATGTCGATAGGAACTCGTGCTATTACGCCGCGTACAATGCTTCGAGTTTCGAGGATGCCATGCAACATGAGTTTGAGCAGGGTATCCAGGTTTTGGAGAAGGAGAGTTTTCAGGGCGCAGCGAGGTTTGCTGGAGGCTTGGGGAGACATGGAGGATTCGAGAAACTGTGACAGTACGTGCTAAATCCAGGTGTCATGGTCTCAATCGTGTTACGCTTCTACAGCACTACATAGTCGTGCCGCGAAGCGACATTGCTCCATCGTCATAGCCACGAGTTCTAATTGTCATGTCAGCGTCCTCCATAATACCCCGAGCTTTCGCGTCCTCCGTACTGTCCCTGGCCCTGGCCCTGGTATGGGTCTTGATAGGATGTCTGGGATTGGTGACTCTGTTCCTGCTGGAAATAATCACTCCCGCTTGACGCTCCGTATTGCTCATACCCGGCCGGTGGCGCCATAGGCATAGGACTCGGGGATCTTATATCGCCGCCGCCGTAGTGGTCAGCATGCGCCGCAGCCTCGTGCAGCTCTTGCGAGCCTCCCAGTTCGCTACCGCCCCGACCGACGCCGACATCTTCATCGTCGAGCCCCCGTGCCCCACCTCCAAAGCCACCCATGAACTTGCTGTACTTGGTGTACTTGTTGATTGAACTTGTGACGTTGCTAACCCCCGGGATCGGTAACTTACTGGCCATATTCAGCATATCACCGAAGCCGCCTCCACTGCTGCTATGAGCCTGTTGGGGTGATTGTTGATGGCTTCCGTGACCGGTAAGATTGCCTATCATATTTCCCACCGTCCCAAAGGCGCTGCTTCCGTGAGTGCCACCGCTTCCATGCTGCTGTTGGCCAGGGAGAAAACTTGCGAAGCCTCCGAACCCACCAGAGCTGGGCTGATGTCCTCCGCTGGGGGGTTGATGTTGGACATGGGCGTGATCGTTGACGCCTGCCTTGTGGTTTTTGCCTGTGCGGACTCCCTCAGAGCTTAGAGTGGTCTCAAGACTTCGGCCCCTGTCCGGCAAGCTATCGACCCACCTCCGAACAGCGGCAAACATATTTCGATGCACTGCAACGCTCTCGTTCCGGATGGCGGGATGATGGAAAATACTCTCAACGTCGTGCATCACCTGCTGAACAGGGACATCAGGATGCTCCCAAGCATACATCACTCGAGGGGCAATGAATTTGAGAATTTCAGCTGCCACATACCCAGCAGGTCCATTGAGAATGTTGCTAAAATGATCTTTGCTGAGCATCGAATGGGTTGGATCTGAACAGTGAGGGTTGGTCCAGACTTCGTATTGGTGATTCCCAGATGCGCTGATGACACCCTCGCTGCCCGTCTGCAAGGTCTTTGAGATGGCATTGAGGACGGGTCGAACAAACGGTGCCAGCAAAGACAAAATAAACACAGTCAGGGTTTCGGTGATACGGTCAACAAGGGCTTCAAGCCCAGGAATCTTTTCAATGATGGAACTGATTGTCCGCACGACTTTATCCCTGAACGCCAGGATGGGATATATTTGGGCAACTGTCTTGGAAGGGTCGAAGTTCGGCATCCCTTCGAGCCCACTTGGTGCGGACAGCTGTTGCTGTGAGGGCTGCCCGGGCACATTCCCTTGGATCCCTTGCTGGTAATGCTGCTGTGGAGGTGGCTGCTGCTGCTGCTGATGTGACCAGCTGTTTTGGGAGCCTGGATATTGGCCTTGCTGTCCATAGGCCTGGTGTGCGCCTTGGTCGTGCCATTGAGGCTGGATTTGTTGGTCGAAAGGAGCGGAGGCGGGCCATGGAGATTGATGCTGAGGCGGGCCCAGATGTGATTGCTGCTGCTGATAGCCTTGTTGAGGTGGCATAGTCCAGGAGTCCGGGCCAAAGCCTTGAGGCTGTGACGGGAAGCCCCCTTGGGATGCACGACTGGTCTCCCAATCATCTACCCCGCGTGTGGAATTCCCAAATTCTTCAAAGCCCCGGTAACCACCTTGTGCATTGACTCGTGCTTGAGTTTCAGACGATGCTTGTAGTCTCTCGGCTTCGTCACACAGATCCTTGGTACCTGGGACCTTTGATAAGAGCTTCACGAGCGTGGTTAGTGGGCTTGACGACTGCGCGGCTTGTTGAGCAGTCCCAAGAGCATTGTCCATCTCGTTTACTTCACTCTGGGTGAAGTGGTCCGTAGCCTCACCAAGCACTGAGTGATAGAAGTCCACCATGCCGAAAGTGCCGGTCACAAGAGGAAAGACATGCTTTCCACGGAGGTTGATGGCGGTAGCTGCGCCAACGTGGGGAAAGACGTTGTGAAAGCCCATTTCTCTGAGAGCAAGTTCGACATAGTTTGTGTGGGCACCGAAGTCTTCGAGTGTATGAAGTCCTTGGCCTAGATACCGAAGAGCCTCTGCGAGATCTTCATCCTTGCCCTTGAACATCCCATGCCCATGACAATAGAGCCGCCCATGGTGGATGCTGCGCTCGAAGCTGTATTTCACAAAAGCAGAACTGGTGGCCCAGTCTCCTTTTCCGTTGGCAATATAGTTCTTCATTCCGCTGTCCGTATCAATTTGCAACTCGATATCGCGTACAGGGGCGCGAAGACGAGGATCATACTTCCGAGCATCCTCATTGTCGTTGTAATCTTTGGGATTACTACAAGGGTCAGAATCGTCCAGAGTGCTTAATATGACAGAATCAGGTCTCACTCAATATGCTCTTCTGGCCGGTAAACACCGAGCTTTTCGGAGGTGACTTCGAACTCTGCGGTAGCATAGCCAAATGCAAGGAAAGACAGCAACCAGACGAGGATGCGAATCGTCTCTGGCTGGGCCTTCTTGAGGGCGCCGGTGTCCATTGCCTGAGAGTAATCACGAAGCCAATTCCTGTTGCAAGTCGCTTAGGACTGTGGGGGTACACAGAAGACATCAGACAACGCGTACCCGAAGTAGACTCGCTTAATCATCATTGAAGTCCATTTATGGTGACGAATACATGCCACAGTCTTCAAGACATCTTCAATGTCTCCATGACGCCAGTTCTTGCCCTCGACGGCCGAGATCGAAGCAATATCTGGTCGATGGTTAGCAGCGTGGTGATCCCAAGAGTTTAAGCCTGACATACTTCCAGCACCAAAGGCATGGGCTCGACTGGTGAACAATATCAGGCCGAGAATGAGAATCAGCAGGACATTCCGCCTGGTTGATGCCATCCTGGAGTTGCGTGAAGTCCTCTCCGGTCAGCTTCGGTAGCCAACTCTTGGACGGATATGAGCGTTAGAAGTTGCCTTCCAGTAATCTGAGGCAATGCTGGCAAGTACTTTGTGCTAGTATTGTTCAGATGTAGTTGATTGCTGAGCAAACGGATGGTTGTAGGTCTGAAATCTGGAAAGTACACGTTGCAGACAAGGCAGCTAATGATGAGTGAGCACCAGATGAAGACGGACTTTTCAACAGCGCGCAGAGATCTCGCAAGAAGGAGGTGCAACTGAAGCAGCAATGCTACAGAGATATAGGACCGACGTGAAGTGCAGTGGCACAGCCATGTGGTGGGGAAGCAATACTCGGCTCAGCCACGGTCGATGGGCGCCAACCCACATTCCATGGCAGAGCTGCGCCGAACAGAAGCTGTGACAAGGGACGATGCCCTCTACTAGACTCAATGCACGCTTCACTCAATGTTGTTGTCTTGTCCACCGGCCGAGAAGCTCAAGCGAGCTGTGTCAAGTCCTTGTTCAGCAGACGACGGGCCGCAGGAATCGAGAGGTCCATTCACATATGATTTGATGTACGACATGCCGAGGACTTGTACACGAAATGAAGAGAAGAAAGACTCGTGATTTCTGCATCTATGACTAGATATACATCTCATAAACGGTGGCGGTATTTTCACTCCCCTACCGCATCTACAGCATTGACCCGTCAAAGCCCAACATCATTTTTGTAAAGCCAGCCGTCAAACATGAGATGTGCCTTGAGATCATCATTTCAAGCACCATTTCCGACCAGAAAACCACTCCTAGTCAACCATCTGGTATCTTTATATATCTCGTCTCCCAATCCGGACCATTGCTCAATGTGCAAAATAACTCCCAAGGTGAACCACATGCTCCTCGATAACACCCCCAGTGATGACGGTCGTACTCTATCGTAATCGGCCGACCGTGGCATTGCTCAATAACTCCATGCTAAAACCGAGTTAGGTCTTTTTGAAATCGCCGTGTCACCCGTACTCCCTGCCAGGCCCTATCTTCAACAAATGGCTGGTATCATGATGTCAACTTCGTCGAACGCTATGCCTTTCCTTTCGCTCGCGGAACAAACCCATTTTTTTCGTGTCGTGAGATACATATGTACAAAATAAAAGCGGTGAGATGATAAGTGAGGAGGAAACCGTCGGAAACCGAAAGGCAAAGGCAAGCTACATCATAACATCAGGCAGGCATGAATACAGCGACACTCCGACAGCAAGCACGGAGCCTGAGCATTGCAAAAAGTCGAGCTCAGTTACCACCGGCGAGCAGTGGTTACTTGTTGCATCATGCCTGGGGAGATGGATGATGGAGGGCTTCCGATGCGAGTACCGGTGGAAGGGTTGACGATGGGAATGGCGTTGTTGCGGGAACGAATCGCCGAAGGTTGATGGATTTTGAGGCTGTTGTTGTTTGCAAAGGTGGGAGGGGACATGTATGCAGAGGTCGCGGCCGAAGAGATGGACAAAGATGGGGTGATCTGTTGAGGTTGGATCTGGGATTGTAGTGGCGAAGACTCAGGGGAGCCGCTTGACAACGAGGAACGATCGGAAGACCCTGAAGTGACCGACTGTCGCTTCTCGAAGTCAGTAAAGTATGAAGTCGCGAAAAGAGGGGTCCCACCCACCTCGTCGAAAGAGAGAAGGTTCGGGCAGAACTCCAGGTCGTCGTCGAGGTCGAAGGAGCGTCCTGCCTCGAACCTCGCTCGATATGCTGCTAGGCTGGGGACTTCGGAGACAACGGCTTCTTTTACAGTCTTCGGGGCTCGGAATTGTCGATGAGAGTTTTGGGCTGCCGATAAGCGAGGGGCTCTTCGAGAACGGCCATGGTGGTTGTGCGACTGTGACATGGGATGAAGGGCTTGAGCCTGATGGTGCTGATGACCAGGGTAGTAGTAGGTCGTCGACATGATGCAGTTGATTCGCAGCTGTTTGGTGATCGGAAGTAAACTTGTAGTTGGTTGGGGGCAACGAGAGGCGCAGTTAAGTCGAGCAGGCACCCGGGGGGAGAGCTAATCAAACGGAGTGGCAAAACAAAGGCGATGTCAGCTGACACTTTCCCGAAGGGTCTTGAACTGAGTCGATTCGTGTTTCGTGAGAACTGTCCTGGAACGGTGGTGCTGGTGGTGCAAGAAAGCTTCGTTCAAAGGGAGAATAGCAGATAGAAAGTTGGTAGAAGATGGTAGGTTGTAGACGAGAAGAGGCGGTGATGTAGTACTAACGGAGGGCGGTCATGAGAGGCGAAAATTGCAGAACGCAGGACGGGCTGGGAAGCTGTTATACTGGGCGGGCGCTGGTGGGCGGCGGGTTCGTTAGGCTACTTGGGCCCTGGGGAGATGCAGCGCCAATAGCACTAGTCCGGCGACTGGCGTCAGTCGAGAGGACAATTGGCTGCCGAAGACGGACCAACAGTCGCATTACTCCTGCCACGGACCCTCTGCTAGGCTGCTTTGGGCCAAGCGGCCGGGCGCTTTGTGCATACCGGGGCAGGTCGGTGGGCGCAGCCTGCAGGTCAGGCCAACAAGCCACTCGCTGGGCTGCTGGCTGCAGGTGGCAGCTCAATTATCCCTCACCCAACTTCCACAGGCTCGAGTCTGACACACCACTCACCACTCACCACCGGCCACTACTGTACTCCGTACTCTGTACCCTATCTCACCACCAACTACGGACTACGGTGCACCAAAATACACCGCTTGACGTGGGCTCTCCTCCACCACCTGGCTCTGGACCTGCAGATCCTCGCCTCCCACCCTTAACCCTCCTCCGGAATTGTGCATACAGGAGACAGTTGGCAGTTTGGGGGCTCCTGCGTCCTTCAGCCGCCTCAGTCTTGTGGCAAGATGATGGTCCATACTGAGGATGATCTGACTGCTGTGCGGGAGTCGTCCTGTGAGACCGTGGGTGTCTCAGCAATTAAAGAGTGCACACACCCCACCTCAATGCACGTCTCCTGGAGTGGCTGGCAAACACCTCTCATCTCCTCCTGTCTGGGGCAACTCGTGGGGCGTCAGAGAGGGTTATGGGTCCCATTGTCTATATCAAAGACACCAGAAGGGGTTGATGGAAAGTACGGTGCCTCTTTTGTACTGCGTACTCGGGACATATGGACATGTCTCTCGAAATATCTAGAAATTATGCGTCTAGAATGCGTAGCGTCCCTCCTCCGTCTGGATTGGTGGCTGAGGGCTCTCAATACCTAGGCGCGCTATGACGAAACAATCTCTCTTCTGCAGGCCAATCAGCCCCTGACTCATTCATTCCCCGTCGGCCAATCTCGAGCATTCTCCTGCCTGCACTTGACTCGGATCATTGTTTCTCCGAGCACCTATCTACAGGTCTTTATGAATCAGGTAGTACCTTAGTATGTACGGAGTATTGGTAGATCTTTCATAGGCCTCAATTCTTGTAAGAGTACGGAGTATACCTCAAACAAATAATGCTTCACAAGAGACTAGATCCAATACTGGTTGGTGTATCTACCAGTAGAGTGAAGAATATCTTCAATGACATTCCTGGGCCCTGACGTTGCCGGCGGTAGGTTACTTGTACAATGACCCCGCTGGCGACATCGCCTCGTCTGAAAAAGAGATCTTCAATTCAAGAACAGGCTGCCAGATCCGACATAAGAGTTGCCCACGAAAAACAGCGTACCTTCGCCTCGATGTCTTCCATCTAGTCCAGCTGTGGTTTATTCAAACCGCCTCCGTAGCCATTTCAGTTACATCTTCGTATCCTTCCTCTTATGCAGCCCAACCCAACAAGTATACCCGACTATAAACCACGCCTGTGCCCGGGTGTCTGCCCGTCCCTATATCCGTAAGAACAGCAGAACAAGCAATCATTTGCAGCTGCGGTGGCCTCATAACATCCTCCAAGCAGCAGCATAACTCTTCAAAGGCCCGGTGTCCAGGTGAGGTAAAGGTGTGGAAGAAGAGGCAGATTCGTCCACGGGAGTGGCTGTCACACGATCAGATCCTGTCGAGGTTACTGGGAGTATGGGTGGTAGCATGATGAACCAAAGAAGGTGGACTCGCTCCTCAGGCCTTCCGGATGTTATATTCAGACACGCAGGGCTTGCACGCCTCGGTGGTCTTTCTTTTACTATAGCGTGGGTGGCCATGCAGGCTGGGGCAAGTCGGTGTGCCGCTCCAGCATTGGTGATCTGAAGTAGAGGAGGAGCCCGTTGTCGTTTCCGTGCAGCGCCAGTGGGCATATACTGTGTTCAAATGGGATCATCCGCCTCTTCTGCCCTCCTCAGTCTGTGATGGTCGTCACTTGAACGCGGCCTGAGATGGGCATGTGTGGCATCATCCAATTCGATTTCTCTGTCTCGTCCAGGCCCGTCCGTACCCAGCAAACCCTCCGCCTCCTCAGCCTCTCTGGCAGACTCGTCCAGCCCCACGCTTCCGCCGGGTTTCTGGCCCTCCTCCCTCCTGCCGATGACGACGTTGCCTGCGGCCAGGAGACTGGCCCCTCCCCACCACATGCCATTCAACTTCTCGTTGAAGATCAGCCAGCCGAGGATCGCGGTAATCATGAAGTTGGCGCTAACGTTGACGATGCTGACACGCGTGGTGCTGTCCGCGCGCGTCAGCGCCGCCGTGAACAACGCCCACATGGCCGCGTTGAATGCTAGGTTGAGCAGAAAGAAGGTGCCGCGTACTAGGAATTCGACCGTCGGGTTCGTAGGCGAGAGCGAGAAGAATGTCGCAATGTGTGATGAGAGTGTCGAGGTGAGTGCTGTCGTTGTTCTGTGGCACCTCGTTAGAACTACAGCTGCCTTGCGGGGACAAGTAGCAGCGGAAACATCGGGGCCGGATGCCATCCAGGACACGGGGCAAACAGAACACTGGCCAGGGCGGACATTGACATGACTTACAACTTTGCAAAAACTCCATTGAAGGCTGCACATGCACCGCTCGAAATCGCTAAAACCACCCACACTGGCTGTCGGCGCAGTGCGCTTATGATGGACGACTTGTCCATGTCGGTCGCGGTCCTCAAAACAGCTTCAGACTCAGCAGAGGTGTCGTTCTCACGCTTCCCGCGTGTCAAACGTTGCCGTACTTGGGACATGTTGACACCGGAGACGCAGGGCTCTTCATCCGAGAATTATGGACAGCCAGGCCAGCACTAAGAGCTCACGAGGCTGCACTGCGTGCAGGGTGGAGCTGCGCTTTGGTGGACTGGTGGTTGGCTCCAACTTGCAGGGGTCTCTAGATAAACGGCCGACAGGTTTACGGATAAACTACTCCTGCACATAAAAACCTGTTCAGATCGCTGATCAAGTCGCTGCATTCTGTGATTTCTCTATCAAGATGAACCCTGAACTCACAACTCCCTACTCCCATTGAATTTCGCCTTCCCATTCGCGGTTGCTGCGGTACGAGGTTTCGCGCTGTCGCTTGTGTTCTCCTCCATCTTCTGCTTTTCTTTGGCTTCGTCACCGGCAGCCGTACTCTGCTGCTTGTTCAGCGAACCTTCTTCAAACCCCAACGACTTGACAATGCCCAAGCCCTTCGTTTTGCCCTCCCGGAATAAGATGCGTTCTCCAACCGAAAGAAATTCAGGACGTTGCACGAAGCGGAAAGCTACATTGGCACGGTCTCCGGTTCGGATGAACTCACGATCAATCTCGACGACCGCGCATGTTTGGCTGACAGGGCCGACGTGAAGCATTGCTTGATATTTCGGACGAATAGTTGTTGCATGTGAGAGAATTAGCACTTCGGCCACAAACTCCCTGTAGACCTTGGGAGGAATTTCAACTTTAGGAAGCACCACCATGCCTTTGCGCACGTCTTTTCGTCGGATTCGTTTGAGCGCTAACGAGGCCGACTGGCCAGCACTACATGCGGGGACTTGTATCCGCTTGCGCTCGATAGATCGAATGCTCGTTGTCTGAAACTGACCAAGCGAATCTGGTCCAACAAGTACAGTGTCGCCAACGTGTATGACACCAGACTTGACCACTCCAGCGACCACCGTGCCAATGAAGGGGACTGAGAATGTATCATTGACGTGAAACTCGAAGGGGGCTTCACTATCGTAGTGACCATGGTGAGGAAGAATGTTGAGAAATGTCCGGACAAGATCCAAGCACTCTCCGGTAACATTAGAAACCTGGAAGATAGGGCATATCCGTTGAGAGACGAATTGCGTTGCTGTCAGCACCGTGTCTTCGTGGGTTTTGATAAATATCGGTATTTTTCGTGCCCCGGGGGACTTGAGTATTCTTGTCAGCTGCGTAATGGTCTCCTGGAGGATGTTAGGAGGGCATATGTCAATCTTGGTGATGACAACCATCACAGGGACGTTCAAGGCGAGCGCAATGCCCAAATGCTCCTTAGACATCCCGATCAAGCCGTTATTAGCTGCGACCATCAGCAGGCAGTAGTTGGGAGCCGACGAAAGCAGGCCGAAGACAGTGGTCCTCAGGTATTTTTCGTGACCTGCAAGATCAGTAAACGTAATGACTTTGGCCGACCGTGTGCCGATTTCCCCCCAGGTCAGGCTGCGACCTGGGACCGTGGACGTGACGACCTCGCCCCCGGTGTCGAAGCCCATTATTTCCATCCCCACGGAGGAAGTCCGACCGGACTCGATCTCGTGCTTGTGACGAAACAGATTGACTCGAGCTTTCCCTCGACCGTCGTCCAGATTCCCTTTGACAAGAACTCCTAACAAAGTCGACTTCCCAGCATCAACGTTGCCCACCACGGCAATTCGAGTCTCGATCACCTCCTCTGCTGTTGGTGGTGTCTGCCGAATAAGTAGCTTGCCATAGCTTGCATCGTCTTTGATTTTCTTTGAATTGGCTTCTTGAGTGCCTCCGACATTACACGTGAGGAGCACGTGAATAGCGGCTTTGATCAATATCGCCGCTTCGGTGATTCGTCGCAGAGCAATGTCCCATTCGTCTTTTGTGAATTGCATCGACTCGCCGCTGTCCTGTAAACCCAGATCGAACAATGTCTCTCCGTGGCCTTCCTCGATACGAGACTGGACAAGTCCCGCCAGCTGCTGCAGAGTTGCGGCTGCATCTTCGGACGTATCAAGCAGCCAGTCCTTTAATTTCACTCGGCTCGGCCCCTCGGACAGGCCTAGTTGATCGAGGATCTCAAGTTCTGCGTGATCTTCGGTGACAACAGAAGAGACGCCCGTGGAATAGGCGCTGTCGCTCGCAGTCGACTCGGCATACTTGGTACGGGTTTTTGCCTGTTGCTTCTCGACGTAGTCGGCGAAGTCGGAGAGGGCCTGTCCGCACCCGTCAGACAACGCGGGTCGATGTGGCTAAGGGAAATCCTTACAAGTTCTCCTTTGCGACGCTCTTGAAGCGTCTGCTTTATGCGGCTGCTCATGACAGTGCACAACGAGGCGATGTTGAGAACCAGCGGTTTCCGGATAGATTCGCCCCGGCGCTCACCGAGGTATTCGGGTGATCATTTTTGCATCGAAGCTGGAAATGATGATAATCCTCTATAACTGCTGCATTGCGATTGACATTGATGAGGCTAACACGAGATGCGGGAACAAGGTCATCTATAAGTTAAATGCAAGAGTCATGACTTATTAACTGATGCGGGGGCGAGGATTCGAGGCGCAGTTGGTACTAACACACAGTGGTGACAGTGTACGGATACTTGAGTCACCCCTCTGCCCCGGATCTCATCATATTGGCCGCGCAGCCCCCCGTTCTAGCCCAGGCGGCGTGCCTATCAGTTCAACTGAGCCTTGCCATCCGCACTCCTTCATGGTTTCATGGTATGGTCCACCTCAAAGTACTGCGCCTCTTTATTTCAGGGTCAAATGGGTCGTGGGACCGAGGCGACTTGGTTTGATATATCCACCTCAGAACCCGAGCCTCTTTGACACAATGACTCATCCTACTGAGTCAATGGCGACAGGACTTCCGACTCTTACAGCGCCGCGTGCAGTATGCTTCCGCTTATGACTCTGCGACTGGGTGGAATTCGACGGCTGATTGCCATGTCCCTCGCTTCAGGTTTGAGGTCGGACCGATGTTTTCCATCATGCGCTGACGTGTTTAGTTTCAGGATCCCGGCTGCGGTGAAATAAGAACGACTGAGTCGCCTATCGATCGTTAGAATCGGAGGCTAAGACAGTTGGATGGGACAACGTGCCTCGAACAAATAGCATGTCTGATTGTTTCTTCGTAGTCTGCTTTGGTCAAACTCTGGTCTCGCACTGAATGTCTCTGACAAACTGACCTTGACTGTCTCGTCCCCGTCGTCCTCATCTTCGATAGTGTAGATTGTCTCTTCAACTTCTCCAAGAACAAGGTTGCAATGACTATCATAGGCCTAGGCAGTTGTCAGAATGATCTCTGCAGTTGTTGTAACCCTCTGCGCATCATACGTGTAATCTTCCTTTGAGTTCTCGGTCGCCTCGAAGTCGGACGAAAACAATCTCGTCGAGAGATAACCGCACCAAGTCGAGAGGCTCCGAGACGGCCGCGGCTGCTTCGTCTGCCATGTCAGCCATTTTCAAGGGACCAGGTCGCAGCCAAATTGTGGGAGACTTTAAGAAAATGAAATGGTACAGTAGGGCGTTTACAAGTTCATAGTAAAAATGGTCTAGGAATTGGTAGTACCCAAGCTTAGCGCGCCGCTCGCTATCCGCCGCTTTTAGCCCCCCTCACCGGCGACTTGGCCCTTCGCCCTCTCTTGAAGTCTCATTCCTTCATTAGCAGTTAATACGAAGGGCGTAGATTACAAGCTCTCGCTTCACTTGTTGGAGCCGAATTTCTCGTCTTCGATATCCTAATCACGACGGAATCGTGTCTCGCGGATTATTGACAACGGAGTTGTGTTCGGTCACCGATATATTGGCAGTGTCGAAGCATATCAAATCAACCTAAGAACAAGCGATGCCAGGCACCCCAGGGCTATAGCCATTTAGCGTGGTCATGCAAGGAGCAGGCACGATGTGGATGTTGCGCGGGAAAGTATGAACGACGCAATTGTTCTCCCAACACGGCACCACAACGCTCGAGATGACTTCCCAAGACTCGGTCCACGATTGATCAAGCTCCAACGGTTGAGTCGACGTCACAGTCCCAGCAAGTTGACGGACCTGTGGCGGGCCAGGCGAAATCCCCTGCAATAGTATACATTCTGGGCATTGTTGGTAGTTGATGGTGTGGCGAATATTCTGTCAGCTCTTCAGCTTGCAGTGCATGTTGGTCGTTCGGTCAATCGCCGGGTGGCCTGAGCTATCGATGTAAATCTTTTGATCCACGAAATAGAAAGCATCCAGCGGCTCAAAAGGTGCTTGATACTGCAGTCCAACCAACAAGTCCCAGGAAACCCGGTCTCGATCTTCAGAGCTTCGGGCCTTGGGAGTCAACAGCCAACGGGTAGCTTGTTCACAATCGCCTCTTTCAATCCATCAACTGTGTCCACCATCTCCAACCTAAATTTGTTGCACACAATCTGCACATTGCCCCTCTTCCAGTATCCCTCTGGACAGACAACAATAGCTTTGCCGGGAACACGTGTACAAAGCCCCAGCTCGAGCAAACTGATGGGCGCTCGGGCGGCCGGGTGGAAGTAGAGGACGACAATGTCGGCCTGGTCCTGCTTTTCAAGCTCCCATTCCACCTGCTCGCGGTAGGGTGCAAAGTCGATCTCCTCTCGCCACGAACTGTCCCAATCAGCGCGATCCGGATTATAAATTGTCACGGGTGTGTCGACGAGGGAGGCGGAGAGGACCTCGCGCCAGTCGGTTATATCGACTTTGCTCGTGGTGCCGGCGAGGAAGACAGACTTCACGCCTCGGGGAATCTCATCTGAAGGCGCGTGGATAACCTGGCTCCGTGCCGGCGCCATCGTCAGGGACGAAAATGTCTTCCTGAGTGCTATTGGTCGGAAGGAAGTACGGAAGAGAGGGCAGATAACATGAGCTCGGGTCATGAGCTTGGAAGGTTGCCTTGGCTGAAGGAGAAGGCAGACGTAGAAGCAGAGGTCGATAGATATGCTTAAGAGCACTGCCACTCAGGTACTTCCCCGCTTCGCACCGTGGTACCACGTATGTACTTCCTCAGACAGCTCCATCCGTCCGAGTTGCGGCAGAGCTGAGCGAGACGCGAACACGACACTGAAGTGCCTTAGTTCTGGACACATTGGGGCCAGTGTGCTGGTGCGGTTGAGCCTCTTATAAATGTGAATTCGTTAGATCCGAAGCGGGTAGCAGGCGCCGGGGAGGCTCACCTTGTCAAGAAATTGCAATGGAGGCCAGGTTAGACTCGTTGAATTTGGCGTTGAGCAGCTGCCAATTTCCTCCCTCTTGCCCTTGGTCGGGATTGTTGGAACTCTCTTGGGTCGCGTTTTGGGACCTCGAAGCCTCGAAGACCCCGATCCGAATATACCAGCCGTGTGGATTATGTTCAAGATCCTCAGGAGGAAGAAGGATTAGACCAATTATTGACTCTGTTTTGTCAGTCCGTATTGTTTGAGGGTACAGTCGAAGAAGAGTGACTGGAATCTGCAGGCTTGGTGCGTCATTCAAGGTCACTAGATGAGTTCGAGCTGGACCCCAGGAGTATTCGACAGGCTGGACGCGTATGGTATCTAGACCTAGATTGGTGTCGAGATGTAGCTGCGGTCCTGTCAGTGTCACCGGTTGATTGTCGTTGATCCTAACTTCGAAGGTGGACGCTGAATTCTGGCGTTGCAGCACCAGCACCGCAGGAAGAGCATGGCCCTGCAATCTGACGGTTTCACTTGCAATGCGCGCGAAAAGCTCGGAGGAAATCCGCTTGAACACTCTTCCTTTTATGCGTGATTTATATTCCTGGAAATCAGTGATCTCGATGTCCGGCTCCGTATCCAGATACTCCAAGATGGAGGATACATCGATGTCACCATCTACCGAGGCCCACGACCAAGAGGGTTTGCTAAATTTCCGTGAGCTTGGGCGCTGCAACTTCCAGAGAAGGCCGGCTGCTAAACCCGGTGGTAAACTGTCACCCTGCGGTCTTTCTGTTTCTCTGGTACGGAGCCAGATGCCTGATGCAAAGGGAAGTCTCTGGAGCACGCCATAATATCTGACGCCGAGTCCCATTATGGCGGGTATTTTATCGACCATGTTTGTCAACTGCCTCAGGGAATACCTCTGGACGTATCCATACCATTCTCGAATGGCGTCCTCGTTGCTTTGTCCGTTCAAGTGATTCCCTCTCCCTGGTGGACCATGGCGATTCTCCCCATGTGGAGCAGGGAGGTTTACATACCAGTTCTCATTTCGGTTGAACCCCAGGTCGTTGGCGAATCGAAGTTGATAAGACTCGTAGGATAGAATCCTTCGAGAAAGATGGTACTCCTGGAATGTCCAGCCCCGTGTGAAAAGAGGTTCAGGCTGGTTTGGCGCATTTAGCTTCAGGAGCAGGAGCCAACTACTCGTCCCCGAAGGAACCTTGAAGATAAGCTCATCGAGGAAACCTTCCCGATGGTTCTGCGATTTCGAAGCCGCGATGGTGACTTGTGCTCCGCTATATATCTCGGCCTGCTGAAGGAATTCATTCTTTTGATCCTCTCCTTCGTCTTGTAAGATGCACAGAGAGTCGACCCAGAGATAGTGGATTTTCAGCCCCCAGGTCACTCTGATAGCATCCTGGATCGTTTTTGGGAGCTCGCAGAAGTTAATTTGTTTTTGTCGTTCATGCAGGTTTTTCTGTTCAGTCTTGAACAACTGCTCGCCGCCCCAAGAGTAAGACAAAGCGGCGTAGTCCTCGACGTTCTTCATGTCGACTGAAAGGTTCAGCCGCCAGTTCCCTGAATTGTCTTGGTGTATCTCAACTACTCTCCTGGGCATTATTTTCGGGGCCCGGTTGCCGTTCTCTTTGATCTTGCAATCCTGAAGCTCTTGGATCTTGCAATCCTGAAGCTCTTGGGTCTTGCAATCCTGAAGCCATTGTCTAGCAAGCTCAATGCTTCTCTCGCCCGGGATGGCTGTGGGGATAGATTGGTCTGTGACGATGGCAGAAAGCCATTAGAACCCAAAACATGAAAAGAAGACGACATCTCATGTCCCAACGGAAAGTCCCGAAACTAGAAGAGGAAAGCATTGTGGGAGCAACGAATATTTTTGAAGAGAACGTAGACGATACCTGAATCCGCATAAACAACAAGTCTACAAGGCTTGCACCATTTGGGGGCGTCTTTATGCTTCCTGAAGCCAAATTCCTTGATTTCGACGTGGCCTCCCCCATTTTCGTTCTGCGGGATGTTGTACTTGACATAGAGTTTGTAGGCCTGAGGACCCTTGTCCCCGAGCCAGTCTAAGTCGCCAGGGTAGAGGAGCCAGTTGCAAAGAGAACAGCCACCGGCGGCGGCGTCGATCGCTTTGCGAGCAGTGAAGTCCGGACATTCGATTTCCCTTTCGAAGGGGCCATGATCATTCGGCTCATCAAGTCGAAGGGTCAGCTGTTGGCAGTACGCACAAGTGTGAGGATCCATCCCCGTATATCGATTGCGCGGATCCGAGTGAGAATAATGTGGGATACAAGGCTGCAACGTCTGAACCCGTAGTGTTAGAGCCAAAATGATCGCTTCTGTAGGGAATGATGAGTACACGTGCAGGTCCTATGCGTCTGATCGTGAAAGACGACAAAAGGCATTTCGCCGCAGAGGGCTCATCATGGACATATGAACGTGTGGGAGGTTCACACACCACGCATCAGCGTTGCAATGCTAAACAGGCAGCAGTCCTTATCACGAGTGCCAGGGCCAATCGCTTGACTCTGTTGTATCGTGTGACAGCTTGGTGCACACTCGTCCGTTGGGCTGCGAGTTATCTGCACCCAGCCGGAAAAGAATGCAAGCCACAACACCACCGTAGTCGAGCGTAGCCGTGTCGAAGCACGACCAAAGCGAGGGCAAGGGCCTTGGGCAGCAACACCTGACCCAGGGAGCGCGAGACCAAAGCATGACCCAGCCTGACAAGGCTGTCACACACCCCGGCCGATAGACAAACGCTGTGGAAGGATACACTCGCCTTGGAGAAAGGCTGAACGTACTCTCAAGCTTAAGTTAGGGCTTGGATTGAGACTAGGCATTAAGCTTGGATTCCCAATCAGCTCCGGCATCTCGTGGCAGCTCACTTCCCATGTGTGAGAGTCAAGGAGTGGAATCTTCTGGCATAAAGCCTAGCAGGGCCTGGTAAACCGGAGTCAACCGGAAAGACTCCTAAGGCCATGCCATTCATAACATCATGGCACCATATCATCAATTTCAGCAAGGGCTGGCATACGAGGAGGTAATGGTGTGTGATCAGCCAATATCTCGGCATCGCAGCGCAAGGGTGGGCGAGTCTGCATCCAGGTCAACCACATGGCAGCCATTGATTAGCCAGCTGGGACCGGACATCGTTTCTCGAATCGAGTGGGCTGGAATAGGCGTCCAGAGGCTGGCTGGAGCCTGGAGGTGCATGAGACGTTGCTGGCCCCTCGGCTCTCGCTTGGCCTCTTCGTGTCTCTTTCAGATATATCCGTAGATCAAAACTCTTTCCTCGTTTTGCTGGACATGTTCCATTAGACAAACTTTGCTCACCTTCACGCTCCTGGCCATTGACATGTCGGTCGTAATCGGGGCCCTCAGCTCTCTAATTGGATATCTAGGCGCCGCGGCGGCAACTGAAACCTTCTTCGAGCGGCTTCTTTGGCCTGAGCGCTTCTACAACGACGTCCACCCATATGTCTTGCTCCGACTGGCTTTTTTCTTGCCCATGGCGGGACCCCTTCACGGGGCGGCACTCGACTGCCTCAGCACCTTCCGTGACCATGGACTGTACCTTGGCATACGGCGAGGCAAAATGCTTGGAACCATGTTCTATCAAGACACGGAAACCAAGTACCGTCAAAGAACCGATGAGCAACGAAATGAAAAGGAGGTCAAGCAGGACGCGAGAAATGGGTTTTGGGTACAGGTTCTCAGAGAGGTCAAATGCCACCGTCACGCGGCGAATCTCACCTTGGTGGAGAGAGGAGAGATGGCAGAATGGACTCCGCCATTTCGAGCGATGCAGTTTCTCCATCATCTTAGGTTGCGTTACTCCCGTTCACGTCCAGATGGTGCCATTCCAATCGAAGAGTTCAACGTCACTTGGCGAACGTTCTTGGGCACGCTTATCAGCGAAGTATCCTCAATTGCTGTCGCAATTACAGCGGCAGTTGTAGAGCCTTTCAGAACATACTGGCTGGCGGGCTATTTGCTCATACCGTTGGCATTAAAGCTTCTAGCCCTGCTCGTCAGAGTCCAGCGAGAGCCAATTGTCAAGGGCAGGGCGGAATCCGAAAGCGTACTCTACCAAATCCAAGATCCAACGTACGGCTTTGCCATCATCGACGGTGTTCCAAGTGTGGTCCTGCAGTTCTTCCAGCATTATGGACACCCGAAACGAGACAGCGGGGTAGGTGGCCGGAGAGACCGAACTCGGGAGCTACTATCAATGGCTCTCATTTACCTGTTTCTTCTTTACTTTCCCGCCGGATTGATCGGCTCTGTGTGGATGCCCAGCAATACGCAGCTTCTTTGGCTCGGGTTTGAGGCCTACACCATTGTCATGATGCACGTTGTCCGAATCGTTGGATGGGACAATTGTGGAAGGACCGAGGCACGCGTCGCGAGATATCTGGAGCAGAAAAAACTTGTCTTTTTGCGCCGTGCTGACGGGGAGGGAATAGTGGCTTCCCTGGAGACTCGAGTTTTCCCTAGCATCAGGAGTGCGAGGCGGGAGGTAAACATAATCGTCAAGCAAAAATGCCGTGACGGATAAGGCCGAGGCACTGAGGCAAGACTCTGTGTCTGGTCACTTGACCAGGCGAGGACGGTTGGGCAAGTTGAGCTGTGGTTGGCAACGTATGACCAAACAGGCCGGCGGTGGCTCGTCCCAGGTTGGAGCAGCACAGGAGGAAAGGAGATGCGGCAGAGGGTCGGTCCTAAACTTCATGATGCGACAGTCGGGCTGAAAGACCAGGCACTTTGGCACAAAGTCAATCTAGCACAAGGTCAAGCGCAAGATTCCTGAGATCTATGGAGTAGTCAGTAGCGGTCTGGTAGAGGCGAGCCGGGGGTGAGCACAGGGCGGCATCACCCTGGGCCCGATCGGGGGTGAGTCGCGAGCAGATTTCCCAAGCCTTGGCCAGTCTGGAAAAAAGAGCTGCTTGCTACTCCCTCCGACTCTCCGACTGCGGCTCTCAGAACCTGTGAAAGATCCATCCCTCAGATTTTGAACCCCCCATTATCGATACGTACAGACGGCCGGCGTCTCTGCGTATATATATGCAAGGCTCAGTGCCTCTTTCGAGGTTCGTCAATGGCGTTTTGCAGCCGGCGTCCAGCAAGATACCTCACTTGACCATCCACATCCTCCGACGACAACCTCGTCATCTGGCTCACTGCCAATCAAGATGGCCTGTGCCTCACCTCCAGGGCCAATCTCGACACCAACATGCATCTGCATTCGTTGGCGATGCTCCCTTCCAGCTTTTCAGTCACGATACACGGGGTGAAGGCGCGCCGAAGTCCCAAGCTGGAGAATCCCAAGACATTTCCCCCACCGATACGAAAACTCAGGCGAGAGGGCGGGAAAAGAGCGCGGAGAAGACGATTTCGATGGAACAGCTGTTGCAGGAAAATAATCCGGATCGAATCCTCTTGGGCCTGGTCACCAGTTCCATTGGTGATGTCTTCGTTGCCACGGCTGACGACGAAACTTTTACCAGAGCAATATGTGCACTAGACCCGGAATATTTCATTGCTCCCTACCGAAATCTTCATCGCTATGTGAAACCGACTCTGGAAAGTGAGCCGCGTTTTCGCATAGTGAAGTCTCTAGAGGAGCGCATAACAACCTTCATTGGCATCCTTGACACCCTCGTCACTCTCCGACAAGACAGCGGCTATGATATTCCATTAGACATCTATCGGCACCTGCTTCGATGCGCCGCTGCCGGTGGCCAAGGAAATATGGCGCGGAATGTTTTTCGCAACCTCTTGCCAGAGAGAAACATGATACCTGATTTGGAATGCTACAATTACTTTATGGAGGCTCTGAACTGGAACGAGGCCTACGGCAGATTCGAAAGGTACCAATTGAGAGTAACCCCCTACAGCTTGGACCGTCGCTCCAGCACATATCGACGCACGGGGTACACAGGTCACGGAGTAGCAACGTCAAGCAACCCAGACAATGAGCAGTCAATAAGGCTGGAAGTGTTGAGGGTTTTTAATGAACTGGTGCGGCAAGGTCTAAGAGGGAATGAAGCCACGTTCTGCAATTTGATGGTGGCCATGGGTCGTGAGGGGGACATTGTGAGTGTCAAAAGTGTCCTGAAATCTGTCTGGAACGTCGACCTGGACGCTCTGGACAAGTACGATGAAGAGGAACTGGAAAGTCCGACATTCTATGAGGAGGGCTCACCCCTCCGCCCTACAGAGCGGCTTCTCTTTACAGTCGTCCACATATTCGCCACAAACAATGAAATCAGCGTGGCGGGAATGTTGCTTGACTACCTTTCCAGGAATTACAATCTCACGATTCCAGAGGACCTCTGGACTTACCTTCTGGAATGGACTTTCGTTCTTTCGTGCCAACAACAAGGATGGAGAGTTCGCAAGGGATTTGGTGTCGGCCGCGTGTCCTTCCAGGCAGTCGAGTCATTATATGATGTGTTCCACAGTGAACCATATAACATCAAACCCAAAATTATTGATCTCATCTTTCGAGCGAAGATGTGGACACGGCGACATACCCTAGACCGTGCGCTCGACGATATCCGCGCGTGTATGCAGATGCTCGATGAAGAACGAACGAACCTCTCAGTGTTGTACGACGAGATGCGCGAGAAACTGCGCACCAAATACGATGGCATCTTCGAAGACGGAGTGGCATCAGTTGAATTCTTGAAGCTGAAGAGGGAGTTTTTGTTTGCTTCTCTGAGATTGGATTGTCATCTCCAACTGATCATCATTGCGGTTCGTAATGCCTTCAAGCAGAAGGACTGGCCGGGATCCAGACGGGAGGTGGAATGGGCTTACAGGCGGTTGCCTCAACTCGTTGAAGAATGGTCTGACTACCTGCCGGACATCATCCCATACTACACGCCATCCGGGCATGTCAGTTTGTTTGGCCAGGAGCACCGGCAGAGCGCCATTGTTTCGGCAAACACAGCCCAGACGACTAAGACGGGCGCAATGCGGGCCATGTTCGACACTTACAGCCCTGCCCGCCTGCGACATTCTGCAGATTATGTGAGGCGCGGACCAAGAGGTCTCGCGGCTTTCGATGAAGAGGCCGAGTCGGATGAGGACGAAGCAGCCGACTGGGTCCTGAACTATGAACGACATGGGCGGGATGAGCGGCTCGGAAAGAGGCGATACGGCCATCTCAACTACCCTTCGGCCGACTGGAGGACGGAAGAGTGGAAGCCTTGGTCCAAGCATGCTGGTCCCTATCGCTGATACCTCTCATGTCGTCTGCCGCCGGCGGCACATTGGCTCTCTAAGAAGGCAGTGGAGTGAGAGGAATGTAGCATCATTTGTACTGAGTACATAGTCGGGAACAAACGTAGAAGAACTACTTCGGGAAAAATTCTCCGACTTTGATTGGAGACGTCTTCCACCGCGTAGGATTTGTCAATCTTATATCGTCAACGGATTCTTTTGGTCAGGTCCCTATGATCTTCTCAGACCGCAAATCATTCACTACCATGTACCGGCCCAGACCTATCCAACCCCATCGAAACCAGACCATCTGACTTTTGTGGCCCTCGATCATGGCGGCCCTCGCCTTCCAATACCGCGAAATGTCATTCACAAATACCACACGGTCGGCACCCTCTTTGTTAGCCGTTCCTCTGGTGCCCATTACATTCGCAAGAATCGTCCCATAGATCCCGCCCAGCAGCGTGGGGATGGAGTCGAGAATGAAGCTGTATTTGCGCAGGATGTTGATAGACGGGAGCGTGTACAGCGCCACAGGAGAGGCATAGCCCGAGTGACCCTTCATAATCTTCTTCACGAACAACGTTGCGCCGTGGTATAAAGCCTTGTGGTTCGGGTGGTCCGAGATGCCGTATTGATCGAACGTGATGAGGACGTCGATGGATGCGTAAGGGCCTTCGGGATGTGCAGGCACAGGAGGCTTCGCTGCCGCCTCTCCTGAAGAGGACGACTTTGTGTGCTTTGATTTCGTTTTGCGCCGGTCTTTATTCTTCTCCTTCTCCCGCTCCGCGTCTGGCTGCTCCGGGGTCGGAGAGGTCCCATTGAGATGTGGTGCGAACGCACTAGCCAGCACGCGCGCGATGTCCTCAGGCTTCCACTCTTCATGCATGCCATCCTTGAACCGTTCATCATCGAGTACAAAGACATCTTCTCTCCGTCGCAGGCCGAGAGTCACACCCGCCTGTTCTAGTTCTAGGCGTCGGGTCTGTCCGATCCCCTCGCTGTTTCCTGTGCTCAAACACAAGATCTTGAGATGGTTTTGAAGATGTGAACTCGTAAGCGCTTGCAGGGTCGGGTTGAAGAACATTGATTCATCGTCCGGGTGGGCAATGAGCAGGATAATGCGTTTATTGCGGAGGAACGAGGGCACAGGGGGTGCACTGTTCGCGGTGACGTGCCAGAGGGCAAATACCAGAATTGGCGCGAGGATAAATGTGACCAGCGTCGCGGACGTCATGTTTTTCCAACGTTCAGTTTGCTGTCGGGTAAACAATGCAGGTCGGACGTTGCAAGCTGAAGGGCCTGTCTATCCGAACACGGAAAAGAATGACTATGGAGGGTTCAGCTCAAGGCTGGTCTCGGTAGGTAGAAGGAGTAGAGATAGCGATCCTAGTAGTCGTCCCAAGCAAGGTGCACCGCGAACAGAGATACAACTGCGCAACCATGTTGGGTATTCCTTTTTGCGCAAAGCGTGTCGGCTCGAGCTTCAAAGCATGGTGGCGTGGAGAAAGGTGGTTTGTCCTGGCGTTGCATGCATGAACCCGTGGAGGAAACGGGGAAGAAGCGGTCAAGGTGGCCTCAGCCGGTCATCCACTGTAGGTGACTGGCAAGCGGCTGTCGGTTAGGACAGAGCGGCTAAATGGGTGCTAAGGGACTCAGGAGACCTAAGCCTCAGGAGCCTCCTGAGCCTTTGGGGGTCTCGCTTCGGGCACCTGAGAGGCCGCCGACCCGCCAAATGGACGGCGACGAGCGCCTAGAATCCACTGTTACCACTGCTAGTAATCTAAGGTAGGTACCTATAGGTATGATTTATCCGCCAACTGAACCTCAGGATACCTCCGACCAGTGCGTTGAAGCCTGGTGGGTGTCTGGCATTTACAAAAGGCTGGTCACGTGAGTTGTGATGTCGACCGCACTGGCAAAATTATAGGTAGGAAACATGATCATATTCATTGTGCAGCGACTCCTCATTAGGGAGTATTGGTCGAGCGACGTCGTTGAATATATAGCCGGGCGGATATGACCAAAGAGACGAATGATCTTTGAGCCGTAGAGATTCATGCCAATGCTCCGCCCGGGAAACATCAGTGTGGTAGCTTTGCAGCGACAAAATATCCAGTCTCCCGCACCGTTGTTTCTTGCGCATCTTGTCAAGCGAGGCGGCTCTTTCAGAATATCTTAAGTGTGGTTGTCATCTCGACATAGAGAATAGCACACGATTTCTTGAAATAAGGTGAGGGAACAACGGACCCGGACCGGCGGAAAAGAAAGAGACAAACCTCGAGTCAAGGTCTTGAGAGGATGCATGCTTGTCTTTCAACGTGTCAGCAAAGTATTATTGAATGCTAACAGTCAAGAGACCAACCAAGCATTTCCAGGCTCCTTGCCTAACGCCCAAGTCCATCCAGCCATCGAAATTAGACGACAACAGTCAGAGTTGCGGAGCTGCATTGCACAAGACTGAGCTGGGCCGCCGAATAACATCCTAGCCTTGCGTGTCCAGGTATCGGCGCTGGATGTAGCATTACTTCTGGAGGGATTTCTCGCCAATCGCCACAGGGGTCGTGTTCAATACCGGTATCGTGTTGAGTAGTCTTTCGGCGACACCACCAAGCCCCTGCCTTTTTTCGCCCCCTTGTAGATTGTTTCAATGATATCAATCAACTCTTGTTTGTCCTCCAAAACCCAATTCAATTTGTTGTTGTTACCGGTACCGAAGTCACACATCATGTGCTTGTTGCGGAAAAAGAACATCAGGGTGACAGGGTCGTAGAGCTCGTACATTTGTTTAAAATCGGGGACCTGGTCGAGGTCGCAAACATAGATGACGGCAAAATTCTTGACTCGATCGGCTATCTTGTAGAGGACTTCATCCATGCGCATGCAGTCGGGATCCCAGTCGCGGCCAAAACGAATGACAACGAGCCGTTCATCTTCCGAGAGGATTGCTTGATCGACGTGCCAGCCGGTGACAAGGTGAGGAATGACTACGGATCCCATGATAGCAGGAAGGTGTCAATAGGGTTAATGCGTGGCTTGTAATGGGAAAGTTGAAGGATGGTTTCAGGAAGAAAAAGTGGCGCAGTGCGAGGACTCTGTACCCAAGGATACAGTGATGGAATCTGAAGAAGATGGAAGAAGGATGAGAGGTAAGCTTAGCGGGGTCCGTCGCCGGTGGTATCCTGTCAGTCGACTAACATCGGCGCTACTTTGACAGATCACAGCCTTATTGCTGCAGCCTGAGGGCCTAAGGCCTCACTGAAAAGTACCCCGCGAGAAAATTTGGGGATCGGCAAAAAAGCGCCTTGCAGTCTGGAATTCCACAAATTCTATCCGCACTCTATTCGTCTTCAACTCATTCTCTGCCACGACTTCGCGCTGCTCAACATGCCCGGTATCGACCCTACGGCCACCGAATCGAGGCTCTCAAATCCCGATCCTACAGTCGCGGTTTTGCAGAATGATCTGACCTCCGAATCTGTCCCTCTTGCACGTCGATTTCGAGCCCTCTTTTCCCTTAAACATGTCGCTTCTCAGTCCCCAGGGCCTCAAGCGACTGCAGCGATAGAGGCAATAGCAGCAGCCTTTACCTCTCCCTCTGCTCTGCTCAAACATGAACTCGCTTACTGTTTGGGGCAAACCAAGAATCTGGTGGCAGTGCCTTTCTTAAGAGCAGTTCTCGAGGACAAGTCAGAGGATGCAATGTGCAGGCATGAGGCAGCGGAAGCACTTGGCGCACTAGGCGATTTAGGGAGTTTGGGCATTCTGAAGAAAATGAAAGACGATGAACAAGAGCCTGTTGTCGTGAGGGAGACATGCGACATCGCCGTCGATCGCATCCAGTGGGCACACTCGGAAAACAGGAATACTGAGACTTTGAAGCCCAGTGACTTTGCTTCTATCGATCCAGCTCCTCCAATGCCCCTAGCCTCAGACACTCCCTCTATACCGAACCTACAAAAAGCTCTCCTCGACACCTCGCTACCGCTGTTCCAACGCTACAGAGCCATGTTCGCTCTTCGAGACCTTGCCTCTCCTCCCGACCTTGCAACGGCAGAAGCGGCAGTTCATGCTCTTGCTTCTGGGTTTGCTGATCCATCGGCGCTTTTCCGACACGAAGTAGCCTTCGTTTTCGGCCAGCTATCACACCCGGCTTCAATACCAGCCTTGCTCTCCGTCCTGGAAAACCGTCGGGAGGAAAGTATGGTTCGTCATGAGGCTGCAGAGGCACTGGGAAGCCTTGGAGAAGAACCAGGTGTGGAGGACATGCTCAAACAATTCCTCGATGATCCCGAGCAAGTTGTCCGGGACAGTGTGATTGTTGCCCTCGATATGGCAGAGTATGAAAAGAATGGCGATATGGAATATGCCACCGTTCCCGCCACGGTTGTCGCATAGCGGGAAAATCTCGTAAAGAATTTGTATTGAAAGGCGTTCAAGCGTGCTCAACCCCACATGATTAAGCTTAGTTGTTCTGAACATCCTTAAAGCCGCATTCGCATCGATAAAACACGGTGGTACCTTCATCGGCACTACGCAATTGCTTCGTATGATAGAACATTTCCGAACGGTGACAGTTTGGACAATCCCGTGCAATGACGGCCTCCACTTGCAGATCCTCTGCGTTGATGCTCTGCACCTCAGAGTGTTTCGATCGCAAGGCCGAAGGAAAGGCACTGGGCTTGGAGTGGGACGTTATCACTTTGGAGGAGGTGTCCTTCGTGTGTTGGAAGCAATCTTCGCATTTGACCAGGTCATCTTTGTTCTGTCCCGGGACTATGCGAGGGAGAAGCGAGCCGCAGGCATCGCAGAACAAAAGGCTGCCTATGGCGACCATCGCAGCGTTGTAGGTTATGATGTCGGAGAGAATGATAATCTGTAGAAAATTTTGGTAGGAACCCGTGAATGAAGGGTTCCTGACATTAAAGGGCCACAAAAGGCTTAGCGTCAAATCCATCCCGCAATCGAGCGCCTCCATCGATCGCATCTTCCAATATATTGGACCGCAGCCCAGCCTGATGCCTTTCGTCTTCTCAACCACAGCCGTTAAGCCACCCGGCAAATATGTGGCCGCAGCTTCGAGTGCTAGGAGCCTGCTGTCCATCTCTGGCGCATCCCACGTTCTGAGAGGGGCGTCCATAACTACCTACCCTACGGCTGAACGCTGAATGCGGGCATACTGATTTTTGCGCAAATGGCCATGACTCCACAGCTTGAGGTTGTCATCCCACGACAGCCTCGAGATGGCTCCAGCCGAAAGCAACTGTCTGTAGATGAGGCCCTACAGTTCAGTCCGTTCACTATGACGGTACTCCCCTCGCATGGTACGTCAGGTCACTTGTTCATGGAAATCTTTCTAAAGAAGCCATCAGATTGTATTGCCATCCCGCAAGTAGCCCCCTCAAACCATGTACGCATTACTACGCCGGCTGAGCGCCAGGCTGCGTACCGCAGTGAATATCATACTCGGCAAACAAGAGAGCGCCTTGAAGGATTGTTGGATCATCGCCGTCTCCCAGAAATGTATCCTCCAATTTCGAATTTGGGCAATGTCAGGCTCTGACAAGTCACAGAAAGTTCAAACGCTCTCCTGTTCAAAATGACACTCCCGCCAAGTCGAACCTGAATTCAATACAAGAAATGGTTCTGAAGGTGGCCGCAATCGACTACATTTACCCTACCTCAGCTTCTAGTCAATCAGCCTCTAAGAAAGCAACTCCGAAAAAGGCCCTACCCAAAACAGTGAAACCCGGTGTAATGGTGGAAACCCCCCCACCTCCTTCGTCATTCCGGAGGCAAGAGTACGTCGCCATACCTGACTCACCCAAGAGGCGCAAAGTGGGTGAATCCGAAGTCAATAACCAGCCTGCTTTGGCCGTCGCTTCGAAAAGAGAGAAAGATGACCGACTTTTGACAAAGCTTGAAAATCAGCTGGTTGAAATCTTCGATGCTCAAGATCGGCTGAATTCGGGCACCTCAGCCTCGTCTGCTGGTGTGAACACCATTTTCGATGTGCCGAACGACGAAGATGAAGCTGAGCAACGTCTCAGTATACATGTTCAAGAGATATTACAAGGCATATTGAGCCAGTTATTGGCTTCCAGACGCCTAGCGGACACCCCAACCGAATATATCCAACGGCTGCAGCGACTTTGTGAGCCTGCTATCGAAGCGGCGCAAATGGTGAACATGAGAGTCCCGTCCGATACATCTGCTGGAGACATTGCCACTTGGTTAGTCAAGCTTCACAAAGGAGAAAGCGGGGCCGCCGCAGCATGTACCTTGATCTATACTGTTCTCGGCGCTTCGCCAAATGCCGATCTCTCTAATCTGGAGGCGCTTCAATGGTTGCCGAACGTTCTGGTCAATATCTTTGAAAACTGTCTCATACCTGTCATCGAAGCTAGACCAGATGGACCACAGAGCAGATTGTTTGAGGTGGCAGTGACACATAGTGATGCTCTGAAGAGGCTTCTTGATGTCGGTCGGAAGTTGCTGGATCTTGTTGCGACAGTCTGTGTTCAGGTCAAAGGAGCTGGCTCCACTGTTAATTCGACAGAATTTCTTGCGTCGAAACTCATTTTTGTGCAGAATGCCCACGCCGACAAAACATCGGTATTAGGCTCTCAAACCTATGAGCGGATGCGCAAGCAGGCCATGGGGGCGCTCGCAAAATTGTACGCCGCATTTCCTGGTGAGAGAACAGCAATTCTGGATGAAGTTTTGACGTCGCTGGACAAGTTGCCCTCTAATAGTCGAAGTGCGAGACAATACAAGCTGGGGAACGGTAAGAGCATTCAACTTGTTTCTGCTCTCTTCATGCAGCTGGTGCAGACCCCAGCCATGCAAACTTGCAAGGATAGAGGCCGGAAGAGGAGACACCGACACCGACACCGGACCCAGTCAAAGGAACTCGAAAGCTCGAATGATGAAGACTTGGCAAGTGATCAGGAAGAGGACTCCAGCACCGTGCCAGATCAAAATGAGCATGATCCTCTATCCAAGTTAGCGAACACGGCGGACGGCTTGTTTGACGACGCTTTCAGAAGTGCTCAACAAATCGTAGGCTGGATGGTCGACAAAGCCTCAAAAGTGACCAAAACCGGCGACTCCCCCTACCGCAATATTCTCGATCTGTTTGTCCAAGATTTGACAGTGGTACTGCCATCAACAGACTGGCCGGCTTCAGAATTGCTCCTCACAGTCCTGGCTCTGCGGATGATTGCACTCGCCAAAGGCGACAAAGGCGCTTCTACCAAGAACATGGCACTAGAATCATTGGGAGTTATGGGCTCTGCAATTTCTGAGATTAGGGTCACGGCCAGGAATCTCCTCTCCTCCATCCTACGGGATGGGGAATCCAATTCTTCCAAAATTGGACAAGATCTCTCAAACCTCGTCAAAGATCGGGCCCATTTTTTCCTCCAGAATGAAGAGCTTATTGCGCCCGGAGGCCCTTTCTGTGTGGTTCACACGCATATGATGACTAAGGATGAGCAGAGTCTCAGGACGAAATCTGCAAAGGCGTATTTCCTCGTCCAGTACGCTACTTTGATTGTCCGAACATTGCGTGGGCCGCAGACTGGGGATCAAGAAGCTGGACTGGAAAGACTCCTGACCACAACTATCTCAACCATACTTCATCAGCTGGCCGAGCCAGATGAATCACAGCAAGTAGTGGATCAGGACGTGGCCGTCACGAATCAAGAAGCGCAATTGGCCTATTTACTGAGTGTCCTGAACATGCGATTCTGCCGACGATTCCAAGATATTACCAAAACACTGGCATCATCCCTTTCTAGCGACCAGGCGCAGGTAAGGAGTCGCAGCTTGAAGAGCGTGGTTTCAATCTTGGAGATAGACTCGAGTCTTCTCGACTGGGATTTCACAATGGCGGACGACGTTTTCAGGTGTGCTTCGGATGATTCGTCGTTGGTTCGGGATTCGGCGCTTTCTCTGATCGCCAAATTTATCATGCCCAGACCGGCCCTCGAAGAAAAGGCATTCAAACTAGTATTGAAATGTGCAGGGGATGCGAATGTAGGGGTGCAAAAGCGAGCCATGGGCCATTTGAAAGACATCTATCTGAAAGAGGCGAGACAAAACATGAAAGCCACCATTGCGATCGAGTTTCTCCGGAGGACGGCAGACCAGGAGGAGACTGTGGCGGAACTGGCGAGGAAAACCCTGGCCGACATCTGGATTGCCCCCAATTTGGCGTTGTTGATCAACGCAAATGGGTCGGCATACGCCGACGTTGCAGTCGAAGATTTCAAAGTCCATATTGTCGCCTGCGTCAACAGCGACACCGCTGCTTTAGCCCCTCTCCTGAAAGATTTTTTGATTTGGAAGCTCAAAGTTTCAAAAGAGGCCGACCAAGTCCAAGATCTCTACGCACGAATCGTCAAGAAGCTTTTGGATACTGCCAATGGCTCTGAAGCAGGCCCAGCAGATTTGACAACACTAGTGGCGTTCGTTGAAGCTCGGCCACAGACAGTCGTACCAGCGGATCTGACAAGCTTGAAAAGCTATCTGAAGGATTTGTCGAAGTCCGACAACATTTTGAAGTTCAAGTCGGTTGTGGCAATATTCCGCTTTGTACTTCCACACTTGTCGAAAACTCAAGAGCCAATTCTGCAAGAAGTCCAGCTGGACCTGATGAAAGCTGCCAAAAATCTTGCTCGTCGGCAGGAGTTGGAAGAAGTGATGGCTTGTCTAAGGAGCATTGACGGCGTCCTGCACAACACTAGCCGAGTTGTGGCTTTCGCAAAGTCGATCATACAGAATGTGATACAGCCCAAGATATCACCCCAGCTCAAGGAGAAGCTCATGGGTGAGAACCGAATGAGGGAGATTCAGGCCCGAGAAAACAAAGTGAGGGAGCAATCTCTCCGGCTCGCCGGAACTGTGGGAAAGCACCTCGACCTGGAAAACTATCGAAACAGCTTCCAAGCCGACTTTCCTACCTTCAAAACCGGGTCAGTTGCAGGGTTCATTGCGGACAGCATCGTGCCTTTCACCTTTAAAGGGTTCAACGTCGAATTACGCTTGAAAGCCCTGGAAAGTCTGGGGTTGATCTGTCAGGCATGGCCAGGGCAATTCAACAAAAAGCATGTTCGTGAGACGTTTTTCCAAGTCCTGGATGGGGATTCCTCCATCACGCTTCAAGAGAACGATATCTTGAGGATGCAGCTCATAGTGCTTGGGATATTCGAGGAGCTGTATGCAACGCGCACCAGTACGAGAAATGAGACAAATCAGACCGAGGGGCCGGTGGAGGTCCAAGAACTGAAGAACATCGGCGGAGACAGCAAGGCACGAGAGGACGACAGTGCAATCTCGACCATCACCAACCCTCTGGTGGACCGCTTACTCCGAATCGCACTGTCGGAAACGGGCGAAAAAACATTGCTCGCTGCCCAGACGCTTGCCAGTATCGACCGTCAGGGAATGACCCATCCGAAGCAGAGTACAGCAGCATTTGTGGCCTTGGAAACCAACTCAGATCCGCGGATCTCCAATGTTGCCAGAGGTGCGCACGAGCACCTTCATCAGCAGCACGAATCAGTATGCGAACGAGAATATATCCACGCAGTGTTTGAGGCCTTCCGGTACCAAAATGAGGTTTTCAACGATCCTCAAGGAGCCACGGTGCCCGGCCTCAAGGCCAAGCTGTCACCTGCATTCACCATCATCAGCACCAGTGGGTCTAAGTATGTGAAGAAGTTCCTCAGCAACCTCATTTCGAAGCTCAACACGGAATTCTCAAAGTTGAACATGGGCGAGGGGGAGATCCCCGAACACGTTCTTTTCGTGCTGTTCGTGACGCAGAACCTCGCATTGTTTGAGTATAAGAAGATGGATGAATTGCTCCATACTGTGTTGCAGTTAGAACTGGCGTTTGGGAAGAATGGCGCGGAAACAGCGCAGGCCATCGAGACTCGCCTTCCCCCAGTCGTCCCACGCTCGACCAATGCCGACGATGCCCCTGGAACAGTCGAAGATGGGCATGCAAGCGCAGAACCACCGATTCATCCAGAGGACTTGAGAAGGCTGACGGCGGCTGCGTGTGCCATCACACTGGTTTCGGAGGCAAGAAACTACTTGAAGCGACAATATGGACTATCCCGAGATGTCAAAATGGCCATGCAACAAAGCAAACAAACTAAAGAGTTGGCCAAAGAACCGGTGAAGGTGCATGGAATTACTGGGGACAAGTTCTGGAGCGTTACAAATTCGGTCCTGGACTCTCTCACGAGCACAGAAGCGATGATGGCACGCTGCCGAGACTTTGTCACCCTCGTGGCTGTGGATGACGAGGTGAAGATTGCCGAGGAGGAAGCAGAGATGCTCCCGGTCAACAGCATGGCCGCCGAAGCGACCACGAATGGAGTGCGAGGGAGAAAACGAAAGAGTATCAGTGGATCGATTGGAGGCACCCCCAAGAAACCTCGTGGCCGTCCGAAGAATAATGTTGCAAGACGGTCGTCAAGCACATCGTCTCTGGACGACCCGGACGGGACCTTTGCAGGCTGAAGAAAGGCCAGCTGATGATGTTCAATGGGATCTCTGGGGTCGCAAGCGTGAAGCATGCTCACGCATCTGACGAACATGAGATGGGAAACAAAAGTGATGGGTTTAAGAGACGTTTTGGAGGCAGTGGGTGATCAGGCGGGCCATGGGCTGCCGTCGACATGAATTATGATACCCCATATAGTTGACTATCAGGCGTTGCTGCCATGATGGCTTCCTCAAACATAACCAGTCGAGAGACCGAGCAAGATATGCAATGAATATGACATGCCATACTGCTTCTGGCTGGAAAACGCAGGGCTTGTGTTTGCGTTCGCAGTCTGCAGTGCAGAGTAGCCGGTGGACCTGGGGTCGGAGGGGCAGCTCTTCTCTTCTGCTTGTTCAACTTGCTTTTGCTGGATTGAAGGCGAAGGCGAATCCGAGGGCGACGCAGGGGCAGGGTGGCAGGGTGGCAGCATTTACTGGGAGGGTCGCCCACTTCAGCTTCGAGCGCTAGGTAGGGAGAGAGAGGACTTGGGAGGCTTAGGCTCTTAGGCTAAGCGTTCTCTCCGTTTGATATCAGTCTTGGATGGCTGCAACAAGAAGCGAGAGGAGTGAAGGGCCCAAGGCTAGTCGTGTTTGCGTGTTTGCAGCCGGTAGTCGGAGGGGGAAGCAGGGCGGCATCTCAGTAAGTTAGGGAGTGGTGGGAGTGGTGGGTGTAGGTGGGTAATTAGGTCCATTATTACATACAAAAGCCGCAGGTCTCCGATGACGTTGCACGGCGTAACCGATGCGTTCATGCACAGGTCGCCTCTGGTGCCTCCATCCACCAACAAGCTGGCCGGAGCACTGTATCCGTACACACTGCTCTCTTCTCTTCACTGAGGTTTTTTACTCGTTTATCTTTTCGTTCACCTCCTTTCGCTACTCTTCCTCTCGTCCTCTTCCTCTCCTCCTCGAGCTGCCAATTTGGTGTCATCCCAGGATCCAGCATGCGGTAGACCTTCGGGTTTCTCTTTCTCCGAACCATGGAGGCTTTCCCTCGAATCTCCCGCCACGTCCGGCACCCTATCCGAGCCTTCCAGCTCTCTCAATGCCGACCCTCGCCCTCCTCCTTTCGAGCCTCTTTCTGGTCTGCGAAGCCTTTGTCAACTCTGACTCGGACACGCCATCCGCAGCTTGCCTTTAGAGCTCCTCGTTATGTGACTTCTCAGCTCTCCTCGCACCTGGTTTGCCGAACCCCCCCGGGTAGCCTACGATTCATCTCTACGAAAGAACTGCCCAACCACCGTGGTCCGGTCGCACGCTTCTTCTACCGCCTCTTCGCTTGGACCGGTATATTCATCGTCTCCTGCGGAACCCTGGTCATTGCCTTCTTCGTCTACGATGCCTCGACGTACAAGGAAACACCGGATTCAGTAGGCGATGTCCCCGTGTCGGAGGCGGCCTTGTCCCCGAGAAGAGGAGGCCCCAAGAATCTCCCCATAGCCGAGATCCTGGTCGACGATGAGGACTGTGAGAGTATGCGGGCGCAAAAGCACAAGCCTAAGTTGGTGATCCTAGGGTCAGGCTGGGGTAGTGTTGCGATGCTCAAAGAGCTCAATCCTGGCGATTTCCACGTCACCCTGGTCTCTCCGGACAACTACTTTCTGTTCACCCCCATGCTACCATCTGCCACGGTGGGCACTTTGGAATTGCGCTCTCTCGTCGAGCCCGTCCGCAGGATAGTGAATCGGTTGCGGGGCCACTTCCTCAAGGCCAGAGCCGTCGACATCGAGTTTTCTCACAAGCTGGTCGAAGTGGCTCAAACCGATGCGAACGGCGTGGAACAACACTTCTACCTGCCCTACGACAAACTGGTGATTGGGGTCGGATCCACCACGAATCCTCACGGCGTCAAAGGCTTAGAGAATTGCCACTTTCTCAAGACCATCGAAGATGCTCGTTTGATCAAGAACAAGATCCTTGGTAACTTGGAGCTGGCTTGTCTCCCTACGACTTCCGACGATGAAAGACGGAGACTGCTCTCCTTCGTTATCAGCGGCGGGGGCCCAACGGGTGTCGAGTTTGCTGCCGAGCTCTATGATATGCTGAATGAAGATCTTCTCAAATCGTTCCCCAAAATACTGCGGAACGAGATCTCTGTCCATGTGATCCAGAGCCGGGGGCATATCCTCAACACCTACGACGAGGCTCTTTCCGTCTACGCCGAGAAACGGTTCGAGCGAGATCACGTAGGAGTCTTAACAAATTCTCGAGTCAAAGAGGTCACGCCGGACAAAATCGTATTCACACAAATGGAAGATGGAAAGCCTGTGACCAAGGAGCTTCCCATGGGGTTCTGCCTCTGGTCCACCGGAGTTGCACAGACAGAATTAAGCCGAAAGATTGCCGATAAACTGGGAGATTTCCAAAACAATCGGCATGCTCTAGAAACCGACACTCATCTGAGGCTGATTGGAGCCCCTCTTGGCGATGTGTACGCCATTGGAGATTGCTCTACCGTGCAAAACAACATCGCCGAGCACCTGACCACCTTCTTACGCGGCCTCGCGTTCGAGAGAGGCAAAGACCCGGACAAAATCCAGATCACCTTCCAAGAGTGGCGAGATCTTGCCCAGAAAGTCCGCAAGCGTTTTCCTCAGGCCTCGGGCCATCTGAAACGTCTCGATCGGCTTTTCGAAGAATACGACAAGGACAAATCGGGAACCCTGGACTTTGGCGAGCTCCATGAGCTACTCGTCCAGATAGACAGCAAACTCACCTCTCTACCCGCGACGGCGCAACGGGCTAACCAGCAGGGACAGTACCTCGGCCGCAAATTCAACAAGATTGCCGCGGCCATCCCTGGGTTTCAGGCCAATGAAGTCGACTTTGGCGATCTGGACGAAGCCGTCTACAAGGCCTTCGATTACCACCATATGGGAAGTCTGGCATACATCGGCAACGCGGCCATTTTCGACTTCAACGGCATGAACTTCAGCGGCGGCTTGTTGGCTGTGTATTTGTGGCGAAGCATCTATTTTGCCGAGAGCGTGAGTTTCAGGACGAGGTTGCTTTTGGCCATGGATTGGAGCAAGAGGGCTTTGTTTGGAAGAGGTGAGGCACACTTTTCCCCTCCTTTGTTGTGTTGCTTGCAGTACGTCTCTGATATGGCTTCCCCAACTAACGTCGTGACAGACTTGATGAGCTTCTAGCCACTTCTCACCTCGCGCACAAGTTCCATGAGTGGTCAGGGGAGACGCTGTATTATACAACCCTCGGGCTTTGAAAGGCATCAAACCCGAGAACGAGGCTGCACCTTGACTCCCACCACGTTTGTTGGCGGTTGGGGCTGGAGATGCTTTGCGGACATATATCCAGGAAGCCCGTGGCTCTGCGTGACTTGGAGGAATGTGCAGTAGTTGGAAAGACGGCGTCGACTCTAGATGGAGGTGTGCAAATAGGATGGCTATGATGGATGCTTCTCCCAGTTGAGGCAATGGTGTACTGAGCAATGGCCATAGCGGCGGCGGTCGCTTTATTCGAGGATTGGGGGGTGGACACAATACTATTGTTCGCTCGACTTGCTGAAGCCAGAGAGGCCAGTGAAGGCTGTGCTGACTCGATGTTTGGTCCTTTTATGATTGTTTGTTTGTCTGTTGGCCGTCACGTGGATTGTCTTGTCTCGTAAAGACAGGACAGGTGAGAAGTGGGTGCGAGTTACTGTAAATTCCATTGAAATACATACGGAGTACAGTGCCCAAGGTACAGACAGGTAGATAGGTGGCCCCTATGGTACAGTACATACATAGCCGCCAGGTCGGAGTCAGTACTCAGTACATATTACAGCCTGACTATATTTAGTGCTCTTGACCAAGTCCAATCCGAATCAGCCTCGGCCTAATAGTACTACTACTACTACTACTACTACTACTACTACTACTACTACTTTCTACCAAGACGAAGGGACGGACGGAGCGAGGCACGGAACCAGGAGAGAGTGCGGACATATGTAGAGTCGACCAAGCAGTGGGTCAATTTGAATATGATGATATTGCCCAATCGACCGACGGCGGCTTCGTTGTTTGGATATGTTGGCTAACTTGACCGGGCGATAGGAAAGCAGCTCGGCTATGATACACTTCTAACTTCTGGAGGAAGGCTGAGGCTTAGGCTGTTGTTGTTGTTGTTGTTGTTGTTGTTGTTGTTGTTGTTCGTGCGCGGCCTTGAACACCGGCCTCTGGTCCTCCCACCGGGCGATACCGTCGGCATCACAGGTCCGCCGGATCTCGCTGGCGACTGCATCCACCAAGGCACGCAGTTCGGGGTCGACTTGGCCGAAGGTGGCTGCGCCGTGGCCGCTGTGGTCGCGCAGGGTCCGCGCAACGGCCAGCCAGTCGCGCACGGCGGCGCGGGTGATGAGCGTGTCACTTCCTCCCGGGATGGTGGCGGCGATGTGGACGATGCGCAAGATCTTCTTCCGCGCCGGCTTCGAACACACGGGGGCTAGGAAGTAGGCGAACAAGCGGGTGAAGACGTGGGCGCGCCGGAAGAGGTCCAGGTCGGTTTCGGTGCGGAGCGAGTTGGCTAGCAGATCCAAGAACCGCTCAATCTCGAGGCCCTGTGCGTTGACCCCGCCGACGTCCGTGTCGTCGCTCTCCGGCTCGCTGAGGAACGTCGTCGCCAGCCAGTACGGCAGGAGTGAAGAGATGGCCCAGCTGGGCGCGCGGAGCAGGAACCGGTTGGTTTTGCGGTAGAATGGGGACGACGCGTCTGCGAGCACGGGAAGTATGTGCACGGCCAATTCGGCAACCATCGACGGTGGAGCTGGAGCTGGAGCCGAGGCCGATGAGGCTGAAGAATGGTGCAGCGAATGCGAGCGGAGAGTCTCACATACCTCGCCGAGAAGGAGGTACAGTTGCGTCTTTTCGGTGAAGGTAGATTGCTCCACCGCGTGCACCACTGTCTGGAGCGTGTGGAAGGCTTGCACCCGGATTTCCACGTCCGGCGAGATCGAGCACCGTAGAAGGCTGGCCAGCCGGCTGGATTTGATCTCGGATTCAAAGTCTGGTCTCGCCCAGCGGTCTAGGCCGTGAAGTGAAGTCGGTATCGGTGGTGGCGGGGCGAAGGCTTTGTCCAGGTCCAAGGCCAAGTCCAGCCCCTGACTTCCCCGGTCTGCCGTTGCTGTGGCTTCATCAGCCGAGCGAGTCTTGATGCTGATCGGTCCGGACTCTGACGGCTCTGTTGTTTCCGAGGCATCGGAAAGCGATGGGGTGGGTAGCACGATAGGCTTCTTGCGTTGCTTTTCGAAAGACTTTTCAAGTGCCCCTATCGCTTTCTCGTTCTCACTGGCTTGGCTCTTCATCTCCTCTCGTAGATGGTTGAGGACACGCCAATTCTCGCCAGCGGCATCCAGGGCCGAAAAGAACTTGCCTATCCATTCCGCAACGTTCTTGGTAGTCTTTTTGTCCTCTTTCTGAAGCACAAAGGACCACTGCTCCGCGATACAACAGGCAGCCAGACTCAGGTCCTTTGTATCCGACAGTAGCGCTTGCATCTGCTCGAGGCGATCGAGGTATTTGACGGGTCGTTGCATCGTACGTGTGATGCAATTGTCGAGGAACTGATACGTTCCAAGCTCGGGGTGCCACTTCTTGGTTGAGGTGAGACTCAGGAGCAATGCTTGGAACGAGGCTGTGTTAGGATTCAGGACCCCTCTCCCGCCCAGAATCGTCCGAACAACAGGTAGAAATTGCTTGGTGACGGCATTGTCGGGCCACTGGGCGCAGTACCTCAGCAATTGCACAACCAGCGAGACCGGGTTAGAAGTGGTCTTGTGAAACCACTTAGTGGCCAGTGACAAGTCGGCAATCTGCACTAGGTGAGGCACCTCCTCATCGAGTATGTTTCTACTTTCCTGGTCGAGGCTCTCGGACTCAAGCCTCTGGAGCACCTTGCTCAGAGTTGGCCCGATGTCGAACTTTGAGGCCGCGGTTGTTGAAGGCAAGACCTTGTGGTAGGTTGCTATGCATTCGAGCATGGCCGTGCGCACTTGCTCATTGTCTTTGTCGAGAGTTTGAAGCGCAGTAATAAGGTCCTGCAGGGGTGGAATCCGGTCAATCAAGAGGTTCATCAGCCTAGTGGAAGATTGAAGCCATAGCGAAGTGAGGGAAGGGCCACTCTCGAAGCCCTCCAGAACCGAATCAAGCTTCTCAAGAGCCACCGTCAGTATCCTCGCGGCCGACACCATGATGATATCGTCCCTGGTCTGTAGGCTTTTGGTTAAAGTGCTGCGGTCCAAGGGTCTTGGGAGAATGCTTTCAATAACGATCGAAAGTGGCGGAGGTGTTAGCAGAGTTCTCCCTGGCCAGCCAGATTTCGGCGGCACAGGTAGCTGAACGACCGAAAAGAGAAATGCAAACTGGCCTCGCCACAAGGGATCATCCCCAGGGGGGACGAGGAACTTTTGCTTTTTCGAGAAATAGTCGGCCACAAGCTCTGGAGCGGCTCCGAAGATCGAGGTGATGAGGTTGGCTTGTAGAATGTCACCCTCGGGCTTGAGTGTCTGAAGGAAGATTGACAATGCGTGGTTTTTCACCGGCACCTGCACCTTGTCTGCGAAGTCGTCGAAATAGTAAGGTGAGTCGAGCCCCAAGTCAACCATGTTCTCATCCACGTGGATGATTTCGGGGTTGGTCCCTGGAGGGTACCAACCTGACTGAGGGGCAAGAACGGCCTTCGTGGTCGTGCATACTTGGAGCAACAGCCGGTGTAAAGCATCTCGAACACTGGTAGAGAGACCAGCTCCGTCTTCGGCAGATGAAGATTCAACCGAATGATCGTAGAGCTTAGCCAACGCGGACAGGAACCCGGAATTAAAACAGCGACTCTTGATCTGTTTCGCAAGGCCCTCGTCGTCCAGCACCGATCTCTCCAGAGCGTTCAGAGTGTCGATGACAAGATGGGCATTCTGGCTCGGGAGGCTCCGAACGGCAGAATATAACGTCCTTCCATGGGTGATGAGCTCGGTCTTTGCCGCGGAGTCTAGATACTTCAAGTTGGCTAGAAGAAACTCCAGAGCGGCTTCATGTACGGTAGAAGTTGATCTTTCCGAGACTTCGGACGGAAGCTGGGTGAGGAGGCCGTCGAGTCGCCGGTAGAGGTAGTCTCGCCGGCCAAAGACATTGCTGGCAAGTGCGCCCCCATCGAAGCTGATGATGTCGGTCAAAAGCTGTAGACACGGTATGAGAATGTGCTCCTTGGAGCGAGGGAGTGAAAGGGACTTGTCGAGGATGCGTAGCTGGTCCCGTTTTAACAAGCTGTGACACAAGGAAAGGCCAAACTCCCGGAACTCCAGCCGGTGAGAGATTGTTTGGAAGAATTGCACTAGGGCTGATGGAATAGCTGACAGGATGGCTTCGTCACTAGACTGGCTTGCAGAAGACCATGTCGACAGCAGGTCCGGGAAGTCGACCTGGTCATGGGAGGCAGAGAATTGCTGGTCGCAATATTCCTTCAGAATCTGCACCTGGCCGGCCTGGGCAGGCCCATTGTGCTGCTCCGAGATGGTGGACAGAAAGTTCTTGAACCGGTCGATGGCTAGCAGTGTCAGTCTCGGGCCCAAGCTTCCTTTTCTCGACTCGAGATTTGCAGCATCACCTACCTGCTACCGTCTGAGGAGAGCGACTCTGCGAGGGTCGAAGGAGACTGTGTAGTTCGTCGGCGCTCCCGAAAGAGATGGCCGGGGCAGAGGTGCTGCTGTCTACCTTTCTCCTCTTCCTCGACCTTTCCTCGTCGACCGCCATGGACGGTGTAGCCTTGGACTTCTTTGGCGCGAAGATGATGGAGATGGCCTCAAAATACTGATATAGACGGGAATAGAAGGAAGATTCATTCTGGACAAAATCTGTGCCAAGATCCGGGAGCAAATCAGCTGTAACCAGGCATCTCTAGTTGACTCCACCGCCTGTTTTGCGCCTAAACGATGCTAATTCTAATCATGGTATATATTGTGGAACAAGCAATTTTCTGGCGGAAATCAACACAGATCTGGTTCTGTAGTGTAGTGGTTAGCACACGGGATTCTGATTCATCACAATCTTCCCGTGACCCCGGTTCAATCCCGGGCAGGACCTTTCTTTTTACATTTTGGCATGTTTTGTATTTTTGCTGTCTGGAGTACAAAATGATTACTACAACTTCAAGTACTGCTAATAATAATGCTGCTACCTGGTACAGTAGTATTGTCTCTCTGTGGTCTCCCGGCGCCCACTAATTTGAGTACCGATATCCGTACCAAGTACGGAGTACATATACCACGTACCTGGCAGTGAGTGGTAGAAGGCTTTGACCGCCGCTCTAAGCCCCTGGGCCACTCCTACTGTGAAGCCCACTTTCAACTTCTTGGGATCGCAGAAGTCCTTAGGACAGAGATGCGAGGGTTGCATCTAGGAATTTGAACATCCAGATTTGAACAAGACAAGAAGCGAGTGTATAGGCCGGCGTCACTCTTTCTCTTTCGGGGACGAACTCGCTGTCGAGATAACCTCCTCTCGGTGCCGCCCTGTACATCGGGACAGTAGATACTCCTAACAAACCCAAAGGAACCCGTGATAGGCACCAGAAATGAACTAATCGAGGACCCTTCTCTCCTTGCCCTTATACCGTTGTATGCGCGGTTTGGATGTGGTTCCATCTGACGCTATATTCTTCCGACCGCCCGAGGCGATCGATCAACAGACACCTGTGTTGAACTCAAGCCTAAGGCAATTTGCTAATGTTGCTGATATGCAGAGCTCGAGTACCACAGGAGTTTCATCCCACCTGCGATCAATGTTCAACAAGATTGACACACTGAGTCGAGGACCGAGTGTGGGAGAAAGCCTCAGTTGTTGATATCGAAGTGCCTCTCGAGTGTCGCCCAGTTCATGCTAAGCGGCGGCGTCGTTGCTCTTAGGGCGGGCTCCAGTTTGACGTAGGCTTCCGCCGCTGGCACAGCGTTTTGTGCATTTGACTGTCAGCGGTCGCCTCCTGTTGAAACCGACTTCGCAAATATTGGGGGGTAGCGGGGCACCTCTAATGTGCCCGTGAATACCCTTGGCTTGGGAAGGATGGGAACCCTTTTATAGGACTCCGCAAGATCTCTCGTGCCGGCTGGCGAAAGGGCATATTCGCAGTCTGATGTTAGGAAGGCTGGCTTTATAACCTTATGTGGGACCAACGGCCGTGGCTTCAATCCCCAACCATGGCTCTAACTCTTTCGATCCTCATGACCGCTTTTTCCAATCGATCTAGCCTCTTCCTTTTCTCCACATCCCTGTGCTCAAGCACCTTGACTCTTTCCTCTAATTTGGCCCGGGCCTTACGCTCGGTCGCAACCATCTCGTTCGCCTGACCAAACAGTTGGGCCGTGAGATCTTCGAGCTCTGTTTGCGTCTGGGTAAGGTTAGACTCGGCGCGCATTCGGAGCATGCGCTCTTCTTCTAGAGAACTCTGTAAAGATGACATGGTTACAAGCTGGCTATCAGACTGTGCGGATTGAAGAGTCGGAGCGGAGCGATTGGCGCCCAAAAAGGGGTTCTTAGGAGGGGAGAGTGTGTTGTTGGTGTCCGCGGCGTTGTTTTGAGGGAAAGTCGTCGTGGCTGGTGTCAATGGCGGATTTGCCGGATTGGATTCTTTTCTGCGACCTGGTAGAAGAGCACTCAGACTGGCTAGTCTGGACTGCGCAACAGCCGGTCCAGGCCCTTCAAGTGGTGGACTACTTGTAAAAGCTGCCTGTTGTTGTTGTTGTTGTTGCTGCTGCTGCTGCTGAGACCGCGCATGTGCTTCTCTGAGGTATCGAATCTCGTCTTCATAATCGGCCAACTTGTCAACGGCCGCGGCAGCTTTAGAATTGAGTAGTTTCACTTGGGCCTCAAGATCGAGAACGCGACGATGTGCTTCAGCAGCTTCGCTCGAATGTTCTGATGGGAGAGGTAGATGATAACCGCATGAGGGACAGGAGGAGGACGCGAGAGCGGCGGCATTGGCATAAGAGGTTGTCGAGGCGTCAAATGTTGGAGCCATGGCCTTACTGTTAAGGAGGAAGGTGGAAGCTGTCATGACGCATGTTCGAGAACAGGATGGAGAATCGGCCGCAAGGTGGGCAAGCGCTCGAGTCTGAAGAGGAGAGCGTGAGGACAGGAATAGATCGTAGTAATGGTCTATCACCGGTCAGACGCGCCTCCGCAGCCAACCAAGGTGAGTAAAAACTACTCGCGGCTCGCCCCTCTTTAGGACGAGGGTAATGCCGCCCTATACTTACCCTCGGCTCGTGCAGCCAATCATGCGTCCCAAGGCTTCAATTCAGCCTTGACCGGACCCAGCTCCCGACTACAAGGAAAAGTCCAGTAGGAAGTATAGCTGGCTGTGCGAGACACTGGGCCGAAATTAGTCTCCATAAGGCTACTCTCATTAAATTACTCCCATAGTGTTTGATGATGTTGGGAGAGATGGTGTGATAATATAGATACATACATAAAGCCCGTGGCCTCCTTCAACTCTACTGCTCTCGTCGAGCGAGGTGATATCTCCTTAAGGAGCGGGGTTGCTTTGGGTTCTGCCGTCAGGACTTGGTCAAGTCTGCTGGTGTGCCGCGACTCGGTAGGTCGTCAGCAGTTGGTGCAGTCCGTAACAACTATATGGTATGGCGGAGTGGGTCTAAATATGTTTATATTCCAAGAGGACGGGGAGGAAAGGGCTACAGCCTGCAGCCCAGCTGTAGAGACGGTGATGCTGAGTAGGGAAGTGGACGACTGAGGTGAGGGCTTAGACGTATAATAACATTGTGCTGGTCTGGGTGCACCTTGGAGGTCTTTCTTTCTAGATCCTATCCCACATGCACAGTTAGTACGAATAAAGGACTCCCTCATTGGCGGTGTCGTAACCCAGAAGGCACCTGCTGTTGTGGTGTAGGTGGAACATGGACCAAGAAGTATAGTCCCATGTGCCCAGCAAGAGACACTCATGGACTTGCGCCATCATCGACAGACACCAACCGTAAAGGGTTTTCGCCCCTCCTTGACCTCCAGTAATTGGTCGAGTCAATCAATTCCCGAGACCCTGCCACAGCCCAGGCCCATTTTTGAAGGAACTCTGGAGTTGCCTCCCAGCTCTCTGCCCGATAGGGTTCTCCCCACAGAATAAGACCTGGCTCAGTAATGGCGGTGGGTTCCCCGTCGTCTCCTTCTTGCAGGACTATCTGTCTGCCGGCATGAGCCGGCCGCCTCGAAGACGACGGAGGGACTGATGGAAACAGTTTTAAGTTGATTAGGTTGCCGACCAAGTCTTTCACCAACTCGGAATGATCAAAGTCTGACTCCCACTTGATCATGTTTTCTCTCATGGCCGGGAACGGGAGGACGTTGATCCATGATGAGTGAACCATGGTCATTTGTGAAGCGGTCGGCGTGAGGGAACGAGCAGAGGGATTCGGGACCACCGGTAGGATCACCGACGAGTTGGGAAATGATGCAAAGTAGGAGAATGGCCCAGTTCGAATCTTGTTGGTGATCTGATACTGCATCGTCAGGCGATCGAGTATCATTTTATTCTCGACCAGGCCTCGGAAGACATTGTATTTGACGAGATGGAGCAGGGTATGATCGAGTGGTAGGGGAAACGTTGTCGTCATGGTGCCCGCCAGCTGGTCTAAAGGGGCGGCCTCTCGAGGAGCGCTAGGCTCGCTATTTCGCGAATTTGATGGGGCTTGAGCTGATAGAAATAGCTGGTCTTCCAGTTCGTCAAGTCGCCAGCAACCTATGTGGTATTGACGCCGCTTCTTCGGCTTTTTTGAAATGGCATTTTCTTTTTCTCTGGTCCGAGACCCTATCAAGAACAGTCAGGCTCACCAGACTTTTAAAATACCAAATGGAACTGTCAAGACGAAACACGCACTGAATGCCCTTTGGTTCAACCGATTTTGCATTCTCTTCCGCTGTCTCCTTTCATCTGCGGCGGTTGGAACGTCTCTGATCGCCGTGGCGCTGCAATGCTCGGGTTTGGACGCCGACATGGTGGATCCGTAGCCTCATAGGACAGAATGAAGGACACACGTAAGTACAGGAGCAACGGGATGGCACATGAACGTCCATGGTCGTTAAGAAACACGGCCAGCAAGGCTGGTAGTAGGCAGTGAGCCAGGTGAGATGTCGGTAGATGCTGGCATTTGTCATCCCTGAGCTCAGGCCATGAGCAAACTAGACACCTTAAGCCAGACCTTAAACGGCAACAATGTCAGCCAGGCCCTCGGAGCCAACGAGGCTACTTGCAAGAACACTAAAGGGGCCAAGGGGCTCCTTAGGCTATGGGCCAATGGCAGATTGGATATCTTGAGCTAGATCGTAACCGGCAAAAAGGTCAGCCCACCGATATACTACTGTAAGCCATATATGTGATGATACCGGAGTCATACATTAAAGCGAGGCTTCAGAGATGGAAAAAGTGTCAGCCAGTGTCGCCGCATCGGGATATATATCCAGGATGACTTGCCTAAGCCAGAGAGATGCTAGAGTCCTTGATATAAATCAGCCACTGCGTCCTCCATCACCTACTATCATTCTATCATTCCACAACTTCACAAACCACTTAAGAGCACATAACTCGAAAGAATCAAGACCAGCCTTGAACGTGTTGATATAGGAGACTGGGCCTGAAGATGACTTCCATCTTTTCTTTCGTTTCCCGCAACTGGCAGATTTCCTCTCCTTCTGAGCTTCCCAAGTCAACCAACGCCTTGAAGTTTGGTATTCTGGGCGCGGCCAGGATCGCGTGAGTCGTCCAAGTGACCGCCGGTCTTTTGTGTTTATGAGGCATAGAGTACTAACTGTCTCCAGATCAAGCGCATTGATCAAACCGGCCAAGACGCATCCCGAAGTGATCATCCAGACTGTGGCGGCCCGCAACAAGCAGAAGGCTGTAGACTATGCCAAAAAGCACGGCATCCCCCAAGTCCATGACAGCTATGAAGGCACGTACGGTCTTTCCTGCCCTTCTCTGGTAGTATGTGCGCGCCGCGCCGACTGACAGCCTGCGTATGTCTAGCCATCCTCGATGACCCGTCCATCGACGCTGTCTATATCCCGCTTCCCTGCAGTCTGCACTGCGAATGGGCCTTGAAGGCCCTCAGTAAGGGCAAGCACGTCCTCCTGGAAAAGCCGGCAGTTGCCAACGCGAGCGAGGCTGAGGCATTGTTCCACTCTCCGCTGCTGCAGAAGCCCAATGCTCCCATCCTGCTCGAAGCATTCCACTATCGTTTCCAGCCGACGTGGCAGTTTTTCCTCTCCTTAGTCGACCGCCCGAACCTTGAGCGCGTCATCTCCGTCGCCAAGCTGCCCTTGTACATCATCCCCAGGACCGGCAACCAGTTCAACTACGAACTGGGCGGCGGCAACATGCTCGAGCTGGGAACATATGTCATGTGTGTCTTGCGGGAAATCACGGGCGCCGAACCCGAAGAGTGTACCAGGTGCACCGTGCGAAAGTCTCCTGTGAGTGAACTCTGTGATGAGGCTGCCGAAGCAACCTTCCGTTTTCCTGGTGATGTTGTGGGCGAGGCCGTCATGGACATGCGCGCAAGTGCTTCCACTCTCCCCACGTTCAAAGTTACAGTTGTTCACAAGGAGATCCCGGTGGAAGACGACAAACTCCCTCGAGGGCAGCAGTTGCTACGGGTCCGGAAGCTGACCCTGAACAACTTCCTGATGTCGGCAACCTGGCATCGCATCGACATCGAGGACGACTTTATTGTTCGAAAGTCAGCGAGCGAGGTCGTCAAACGATGGACAAAGAAAGAGTCCAAGAAGATCTACACGTTCAGAGACATCGGCATTGATCAGCCCGGTGAACCGTCCTGGATCTCTTATCGTCATCAGCTCGAGCAGTTTGTCAACCACATTCGAGGGAGGGAAGGCTCCGGGCTCTGGGTCAGCAATGAGGATAGCCTTGCGCAGGCGAAAATGATTGACATGGCATACGAAAAATCCGGCTTACCTCTTAGACGCACAAGCAAGTTTGTACAGCTAGAAGCATCTGTATAGAATAAAAGTCTACTGAATTCTTTATCGGTAGAAGGGCGGGTCTATCTAAACGAGGGGACGTCTAACAGAGAACGGTCGGCGCCGCCGCTATATCAAGGTCCTATCCGGCGTCGCTTGCGGTGGATCGGGTTTAGTATAAAGGGTAAGCGTAAAGGTAAGGAAGGTGAGCGAGGTAAGCGTGTAGGGTGTAGGTGAGGGCGAGGGCAAGTCGGTATAACAGCGGCACGGTCGCGGTGAGTCGCACGTAAGCTCCGAGTAGTTGCTTCATAAGATGAGTGACAGCTGCCCCAAGCCCAGCCTCATTTGGGAGGAGACGTCGCGTTAAGACGCGGAGTTCGTTGTTGTTAAGGTCGCCGTCGATGACCTCTGACAGCGACCTCGACAGCGACGTGTACAATTTAACCAACTAATAGAGCGCGTCTGTGGATAAATGCGCGAAATAAGCATGGCTCTGGTACTGTCGGCTAAATGGTGCGCTAGCGAAATTTGCACAACTATTTGGCCGTGGCTGCCGTCTGTTGGCTCTGTTTAGTACAGAGTTACTATTAGTAGGTGCCTAACTAGTGTAATTAATTCCTCTACTCCTCAGCCCCAGTGTTCCTCGGCCCCTCTGCTCCTCTGCTCCTCTTCTCCCGCTCCCCTACCACGATGGGCTAAATCCCTCTCATCCGGCCTTCGGCCTTCCTGTTTTCATCAAGACCTTCACACTCGTTATAGATAGACTCGATTAATCCAGGGGTTTCGTCAATAATTCCTCACCAACCTCATATCCAGGACCAAGATTCTATGCAAGGAATCAGTCCTGTATCCCTCCGACCGTGCACAGCCTGACAACCTGCCAATCTGCCAATCTGACAACCTGCCGACCTGACAACCTGACGTCTCGACCCTCTTTTTCCGACGTTCCTCATCTCGAAGTCAACTTTCACTGACAGAAGCCATGGCCTCTGGTCACCGCTACGAACTCGTCAAGGAAGGCGATGACATCGCGGATGTGCCTCAGCACAAACGGACACCGATCATCTCATCATGGTGGAAATTTTTGCTGTGCAATCTCATTGCAGCTAGTGTTGGAGCGGGAGCGATGTTTCTCATCGTTCGTGGTTCCTTTGCACCGCAACCTAGTAGCAGTACAGCAGCCAGTGTTCCTATATCCACAACCTCATCGACCGGCCTCGCACTTCCCACTCCAACCACCGAGCAGACTCCTTCTGTCGAGCACGTGGAAGCGGAAACCGGGAGTGTGAACCCTTTGGCTGGCAAAATTCTCGACTGCGGGCATAACCCTGAAGAAGCCCGCGCCAAGGGCTGTGTGTACGACGTTATGATGCAAGACTGGGTCCCAGAACCATGTTACGACAGCGTTCTGACCGAAAAATACCTTGCTGAAGGAAACTGGACGTGGTATGCGGACGGTGAAGGCAAGACCACCCTATCGGATGAAGAGATGCGCAAAGGTGAACATGGTGGTGCATGGATGTCAACAAGTTATCACAAAGCTCATTGCATCTTCTCTTGGCTCAAAATCATCCGCGCACTACGCAACAATCGAGGAATCAGTCAGGAATTGCTATCTTACGACCATGTTCTGCACTGCAGCCACGGGGCTCTGAAGGAAAGGTCTGACGACGAGGGTCTAGGCGTCCGGGCGCCCACCAACTATGCGAAATGTGCATTATACGACACCTGGATACAAGATTTGATCCCGGATAAACATGATTCGACACTACGATAATATTGGCCAACTACATAGGGGTGCTTGTTATAATAATGATAATCATATTGAAGTATGGCACCGGTTGTGCTACCAGCTATGTGTTGTGGAAAGTAAGAGCGAGTGAATGGCCATCAATTTGTCTACAGTCTTCTAGACGCTGTCAAGGACGCATCTTTCTTCAAATTCCCCGACTGTCCTTGGTGGCGACGCGACAGCTGTCACTGACAGTGCTGCCGAAGTGTCAAAGTGTCAGGCATCGGATCCATATCATACATGTACACGTATGTGACGGACGGACGGAAAGCTGTCTCGAGTCCGCCAGATGCCAGATGGATCGAGCCCGAGATCGAGATCGAAACCAAGCGTCGAACTGAGCATCAAACCTCTTGCTGTTCTGTTCTTCAATCTGCTTTCGGTGACGCGCTCGATCTATGGCGCCGAGTCTGATGGGTCCGATCATATTAAAACGGTGGACGGGCCTAGGCTGTACTGAGTATGTAGCATCAGCGGCACGAAGCCTTAAGCGGCTTGCTCTATGAGTCCTGTAGATTCGTACAAAACTCCGAGTTTGGAAGATGTAAGCCCAAGCCTCTTCGCATGCGAGGAGCTGGTGTCTCAATGGCAATGCATCCCCCTGAAAGAAAAAGGGTCGTGGTTGTGGTCATGGTCGTGGTCGCTAAACTGTGCCTCCGTTCAGCCTAAACCTCCTCTGGTACTGTATATATACACGTAGGTATCCTTTGTACCTGCTTTGCTCCTTAGAGCCCGCCCGAAACATACTTGGATGAGGGGTATCGATCTGCCATCCGATCTATTCGCATATCTGCCGACAAGGTTCATTTCCGAAGGGACAAATCTGCTTTGTTGACGTTCTGGTACAAAAACGCGCCGAAGTCTTCGTCTTCTGGTCAAATCTGAATCTCCGTCTTCGACGGGCAGCTGCGACTCCTGGAAGAGGCGAAGCAACGTTGCCGGCGTAGAACGTCTCTATAGACTTCGGGAACTGGAACATATCGAGCCAAATGGCTGCCTGGGCCATAGTAGAAACCTCTTCCGCGATACCCTGCCGCTAGTCTCCAGATCTTCTTGATGGTGGTAAAAAAATTCTCAACATTAGGTATCTCAAACCGAAAACAACCGAATGGGAAAAATGCGTTTCGACACCTTCCGACCCCCGCTTAAAAGAAGTAAGGTATTGCAGCACTGGAACGGTTAGTGAACAGAGCTCGCTGGAAGGGAGGGTACCGGAACTTACGCGATCGCCAATGTCGCCGTCACACCTAATACTGCCCTATTCCTCACCTTCTCCCTCTTCAACTTCTCCTCCAAGATCCTGGCCTTTTTTGTTGGTTGCACAGGCAGTTCTGCATCGACATCAGACGGCTCAAGCGCTTGGGCCTTCCGCTTCTTGGAGAACTTCGGGGATCCTTCCAAAGTTTTGGCTTCCTCTACCATCTTTCTCGCAGTCTCCAGTATCTTTTCTGGATCCTCAGGTAGAGACAGTTCTGGCGATCCTGGCGGTAGCTCGACCGTCACATTCGTTTGCGTGGTCTCTGTGGTACCATCAACCTCAACCTTTTGATCCACTTGAACCTTGACCAAATCCTCGTCAGAAACTGATTCAGTGGGCAGGGCCGGCGAGTCAGTCTTGGTGCTCCCGTGTGCAACAGAGGCTGCATCATCCAGCGCCGACTGCAGAGTTGCGCTTGCAGCATTTGCGTTGGCGATGTTGGCTTCCTTCTGGGCCTTGGTTTGTCTCTTTCGTGGGGAGGATTTGGCTTTCGTTGGACTTGCTGCCTTGCTCGGAGAAGCTGACCTTGTGGCTCTCGAACGAGGCGTCTTGGTAGGAGGTGGTAGCTTGGTCTTGCCCGCCGGTAACTCAAACTTGGGAGGCGCAGCAATGGGTTTTTTGGAGCTTGAAGGTGTCTGCGACATCTCGGCTGGATCGAGTAGCGCACGAATCCACTCCATCAGTCCATAATCCGCAGCAAGTTGGAGAGCTATCACGTATTGTCAGTTCAAAATGGTCAACCAGTGGATGGGATAGCCTACCAAACTCCGGAGCTACCCAGATATTGCCTGCGACCTCGTCCTGGCTAGTGGCATGGAGACTCCTAAGGTAGTCGCGCTCTTCCTTTTCTTCCGCATGACTTGCCCAGGGAAATGCGATCTTGAACATGCCAGTCGCGCTCACGAAACCGTCCTTGCTTCTCCTCTGTGATCAATGTCAGACGTGGCGGGGAGCTCTTTTATATTTCCAAGCATACCATCAGAAAGTATCCTTCTGGGTGAGGTTGATTCTGCTGAGTCGAAAAGATCTCGGAACCAGTGAGGTCGTCTGGTAGAGGAGCCCGGAGGTGTGCATACTCGAAGGGGCCCAGGTTCTCCGCCTTGGTCGCGTTCGAGGTCCCTACTTGCCCAGGCTTAACAGTCAACTTTGTCTTGCCGAGCCGCCTGCGGGTGACCAATTCTTCATCTGTTCAACCGTCAGTTCCATCTATAGATTGCATTTGCCGGCCACCATTTCTCACAGGACGGCGCCGCGCCAGGCGCAACCAACGGATTCCGTTTTGCTGGTAAAGATCGCATCTTCCTCTTGGTGATTGTGATGTTTCGCGAGAGCGTACTAGTAGGAGAGGGATATGAGGCTGGAGATCTCGGAAGATGGCTTGTTGCGCAAGCTAGAGGAGTAGTCCGTAGAGGATGGCGATGCGATAATTGTCAGTATTGCCGCGCGTGGTTGGATGGACACTGAAGACGAAGATGAGCGCGAAAGAGTCGAGGTAAGCCGCCCCAATTGTGGCTTTGCCGTGTGGTCGGTAGAGGGATATCGACGACGCGACCAGGGAGATGATATCAAGGGACTGAGGGACTGGGGGACTGGGGGGACCGCGATCGGGGGAGGGGAGAAAGAGGAAGTAATTACTCGGTAGGTAGACGGAAGATGAGGTATTGTCTAGACCTCCGCCACCTGTTGAGTGATGGCGGTGGTAATTACACGTACTCCCTAAGGAGGTACCTTACCTGCCCGTAAGCTAGGTCCTCCGTACTGTAACGGGTGGCAGGGGGGAAAGGCCGGCAATAATGGAAAGGCCGGTGGTTGGCTAAATGAACTGGTCTCCCCTTAGCACCTACGTAACATACCTACCCGGGCAGTCTTTAGGGACCAGACCCCTAAACTTGGCTAGCGCGGACGCCCCTAACGCTCCATTAGGATGCTTATATCTTACTAGTGAGGGTGCCTTGACCCTCATGCCCCGAGCCACGTCCCAGGGCTTGCGACTATTCAATGAAATGAATTGAGGGGGCTGGACTGTCTGGATGTGAGCCTGGAAGTGGAAGGGACCAAGTCCTGACCCTATTTCGGTGCACACTGAAAGTTGTATGGATACTCCATACCGAACACCTAAATGCATCGGCAGGAATTGCTCAGAGGCTAAACCTCAATCATCTTCTTTGTTCTTCTTCGCCCCCATGCGATTCTTCAACTTCTCCTCCTCTTTCTCATCGCCAATGTCCAGCACTTCATCACCACCATACTCCCAGCTACCGATCTCCCGGGGGCCATCCATCCCCTTCGGGGGAAGGGCCCATTGCGGCGCAGGACTGCGATAACTCCAGCTTCCAGCTACATCTGCGTAGGATAGTGCATGGAGGTATATTCCCAGTTCGTGCGGTCCGGGATCTGAGTACAATGGCGTGTCGCACACTGGACATCTTTCCCCCGTCATTTTCTCTCCTTTTCGTTTATTGTAGTCGGCTACCATCTCATCATGGGCTTTCACGAATGCACCGTATTGCGGATCATCGTACATGGGGTTCTCGCCAGACCCTGCCAGTGATCCGGCGTGTAGAGTACCGGCTGGCAATGGTTTGAAGTTTGGATCGGCCTGTGAGACGACGGACGATGGTTCATCTAATCTGGCTGCATCCGAAACGGTCATCTGTTGCGTCTGCTTCACGAGCTTCGCCAGCCGCTCCTGTTCGTACGAGACTGAATCTGACACCTCGGTCTTCCCTATTTTTTTCAGCCTCGCAATGATCTCCTCGTCATTCTCACCCGTTGCTTCATTCCGTGCCAGGCCCGGCCCGAAGACAGCTCTGTTGCTATAGATGGGGTCGTTCGTGATGGGATGGCCGAGGAATTGGAGATGTACTCGAATTTGATGTGTACGGCCCGTCAAAGGCAGGCAATGAACAATACTGTAGCCTTCATCTTCGCTACCAGAGATTGCGGGCCCCGGTTGAGCGACTTTGTCGACGGAAGATGCGCTCTTCGAGCCCTGCCCATCGCCAGTATTTGACAAGATTTGAGGCCGGTGAGGATAATATGCTACCCGCCGGAATAGCGTTTTGGCAGATTTTCCACTTGCTCTAGCTCGATTGAGGCCAACGATCGGACTGATTTGGAGAATACTCTCTTCACATTTGATGATACCACCGCGCATCGAGTCACCCGCCCAGCCCACTCCGTCTGGGAATCTGCCCTTGACTCTTGCAACATATTCTTTGCGAACCGTCCGCCCACGTAGCTTTTCACTGATCACCTCCGCCTCCCTGCTTGTTTTCCCGATGAACATGACCCCACTTGTCAGACGATCGAGCCGGTTGCAAGGTAGAGGCTTAAAGGCAAAGTGCCTTTCTGATTTCATAATCTCGACAACCGAGTTGTAGTTGTATCGACCGGCGGGGTGAACAGGCACACCAGCAGGTTTGTCAATCACAATCATCTCGTCTGTCTCGTGGATGACTCGAATCGGTTGTGCGGTGACCGGAGGTTCATGTCTGTGTAGGGTATGCGAGATGACATCCCCGTTCTTCACAATGGTATGAATATCTGTACATGGTTGCCCATTAAGCGCAATTTGTCCGGTTTCGATGGCGTTTCTGTAGTACTCGCGGGTCCGGTCTCGAAATTCGGATGCGAAAATGTCCAGAATCTCCCGTCCGCGCCATCGCTGCTTGCAAAACGTGTTGTATGTGAAATGGTAGGGCGAGACCCGCCGTAGACCGTTCTCGATGTAATACGGCCGAGGCCACGGATCGCATGGGGTCACAACGGTCGACGGAGGTTCTTCGAGTGGTTTTCTGTCATCGTAGAAAGATTTAGTCTTTATTTCGGGTATCGTCAAGGCCATACTCGGGCTTGGATATCGGCCGCGGCTTGCCAGATAGGCAAGCACGCGTGGTGAGGGAGCCAGGGATACTTTGTGGAGGTTCCCAGGGAAGTTTGGAGTGGTCGCCAAACACTTCTTAGGAAGGCAGTGTTTACCTAGCAAGATTTTTCCTGTCGTGGCGGGTGCCCTTAGCCGCGGCACTGGACTATTGTGGCGGCCACCCTTGATTCAATTGAGAATTCGTTTTCTCTTTCCAGTACCCAACAAAGCCTGGTTGAACTCTCCGAGGACGATGTTAGGCTTGGATGTATCTTCCAAACGGAAAAGGAAGCCCGATGACTATCCTTATCATCTCGACTACAGAACTCGCTGGTTGGTCTTGTTGCCAATTGCCGCACCAAATGACACTGACTTGTCGTACAGGTCGGACAATGATGTCTACCATCATATGAACAATAGCATATACTCCTTCTTGATTGACTCAATAGTCAACGCCTACTTGATAGAGAGGTGCGGTATGGACCCTGCAACTTCGAAGCAAGTTGGCTTAGTGGTCAGCACGTATTGTGACTACTTTGGATCCGTCAGCTATCCATCAGTGCTGGATCTGGGACTGAGGGTCGTCAAGTTGGGCAAGTCTAGTGTCATGTATGAAGTGGGAGTCTTTGAGCAAGGTGATAAGCAAGTGAAAGCTGTTGGAGGCTCAGTCCATGTCTTTGTGGAATCCAAAGGACGACGACCAGCGAGGGACGGAATGGAACTTAGTATGAGGGAAGGACTGGCACAGATTCTCGAGCAGGAGAAGGGTGCACCCAAATTATGATCGAGACCAGATGTGGCTGAGATAGTATTGATTTCTCTCTTCGTGTTGTCATCTTTGACCGCACGCTCCGTACCATCCCCATAACCCGGCTGTCAACCGCAGGACGGCGCGGTCCATTTTTATGCACCGTAAAACCAGCAGGGCTTTGTTGTAACGGACCGTTCATTGAATCATTGTCTACTAGCACAACCACCAATTGCATCCCCCGTCTCCGAAGCTTCCAGCTTATGACTCGGTCGTGATCTTAGCCTTGCCGTTGGTGACCTTGACACCCAGCGCCTTCGCCTTTGCAACAATCTCAATTCGCTTTCTTGAGGAAACAGCAGACGCGATCTCGGCGGCGTAGGTTCTGTTATGCATGAGAAGGAGCTCGACGTCTCGAGGGTTGTGGACGAGGAAAGCCTTGTGGCCTGAGGGGATCAAATGTCGAGTCTTTTTGTTCGAGCCGTAACCAATCTGTGGAAAACCTCCCCGTCAGCACAAATATTTTAAGGCTTCAATGCCTTCCTGTGGCATTTGGTTGAAGACTCTTCGTGCGTTCCATTGCCTTCTCAAATCGTGCAAGATTGAATTCACATACCGATGGCATCACAATCTGGCCCTTGAACCGTCTTCGAACTCGGTTGTCAATACCCTTTGGTTTTCTCCATGCTGAGGGCACACATTTGAATGTGTCGGACTGGTGACGGTTCCACTTCTTGGGATGCTTCTTGACGATCGGAACGTGCTTCTTTGCGGAAACCATCTGCGCAACGGTCAGTGACGAAGAGGAGACTTGTGTGCGTAAGTATTCGAACCTTGTCGAGTATTGGCCGTTGCACTTGAAGCAGATGCAAGAGGTTGTGGTGGAAGTCGTTGTCTCCTCCAGATCGCACTTGCAATCGCTCAATTTCTGCGCCAAGAGTTCCAAATTTGTGGGCGACTGGTATCAGAAACTAGTCCATTCTGGGACTAGTGTCTTTATTCCTGATCCAGCTTTGAATTTGAGCCTCGTGCCACTCACTACCATCGAGTAAGGTATCTATGATCATAGTCCACATTCTATGACATCCATGGGCGTTTGAGACCGAGTACTTGACAGGGCCGGCCATCGGATTCGATGAACTACACTTCCTGGTGCTCCAACTTAATCGGTACCCCGCCCTGCTCTCCGCTACGCAGCATTACCTCAATCAGCTCCAGGTCTGCGAGAGCTTCTTCAGGCGACTGTCTCTCATTGCTAGTGCCGGCTACTAGAGCTTCTCCCCATTTCCTAACTTCCGGTGCCACCCCTGTGCCTTCATCCTCGACTTTCTCGGTTTTGCCGTCAACTGTGACTTGATCACGGGAGATGCTAACGGAGCCTTTTTCGGAACCAATGTTCCACTCACTCCCTTTTGCGGTCGTCCCAAATGACATGGAAATTGTACCCACTGCGCCATTCTTGGTCTTGCCAGTGGCCTCGACGGTGTCGACAGGAGGGAGATGCTCTTGAAGCTGTGCAGAATGCGCCGACAGTGTGACCAGCGGATTGTCCTTACCCAACATCAGTCGAAGGGCTGCTACAGTATGAACGCCTCCGTCGAGCAAGAAGCCTCCCTGGTGTGTAGGCGTCTTGCGCCACCTGTCATGTATTAGTGGTCTTTGTCTGCTTGAAGCACGGGACTATCTTACGAAGTCTCGAAGTATTTGCCTCCTTCGACCAGAGTCTGCATGCGGCATCTGAAAGTCAACTGCCGGCCCTTGGTTTTGACGGCTGCAGCAGCATAATCAAAGGAGTTCAGGTATCTGAAGTTCTCTGCCACCGCCCAGGTTACGCTTTTGGGAGCAATCTCAGAGCGATACCATTTGATGAGATCAACAGCGTCTTTCACGCTCTCGGCAACGGGCTTCTCGGACAGGACATGCTTTCCTGCTAGCAATGCCCTGCGAATGTAGTCTGGTTGATTCTTGATGGGGAGGGCGATGATGACTGCTTGGACATCAGTGCGGGCCAGGAGATCATCGAGTGATTTCCCAGCCCCGGCGTCATCCGAGTAGAGATCAATCTTGGATTCGTCCACTTCAAGCGTCCTAGCAGACTTGAGGGACCGAGAATAAACTGCCTTCAAGGTCAGGTCTTTTGCAGCCTCCACAGCTGGCTAAAGTAAGAGTCGACGTGTCAGCAAATAAAAGATTCTTGGTTGGATCGACGCGTACTTTGTGCTCCTCCCGGGCAAAAATGCCTTTAACAAAGTCATTATCACTGTCCCAACATCATATCAAAGAGAACTTTACCTCCACCGAGAATAGCGACCCCAACAGCCATTGTTATGGTCGAGGGCGTTTGCAAAGGCCCGTCGCTATCGATGCAGCGCAAACACCGTCCTTGCAGTCAAGCTGACGAGGGAAACGAGACTTATGTACTCCGTGGTTAACAGCAGCTATGTTCTGTTTAATGTAGCCTTTTGCAACCCCTGTTCGATATTTCAACCTCCCAAGGGTCCCACCAAAGATAGCCTCCTGACTGAAAACATTCCAGTCACGTGCTTATGATGTTATCGCCCTTCTCGATAAGGGGTTATCGATGCGGTGTCATGACTCGTGACCGCCGGGCGACATCACCCCAGTCTGACTCGTGTACTCTGTACGATGGACGGAAGGAGCAGGGCGCGGCATGCGTGTATTAGTCTGAAACTAGTACGGATGTAGTAGCACTAGTGCGGACAAGATCGCACTAGCACCCCTAATCGTCGTGCTAACAACTGCCAGCAGCGTCATGCGGCGTGCGCCGTGTCGTGTCGTGGCCATGTCACACTCGTCAGAACCGACTGCGCCCGGCTGGAATGTGAATACTCCCGTGCTCCGTACAGGGATATCGCCATCATGGCGACATCCGATGCCTATGCCATGGCAGCAAGTGGTTGAGTATCGTCGTTTGCTCTATCTTCCTCCCCATCTTCGTCTACTACCTATTGTGCTACCACTTTCCTGGATATTTCAGCTCAACTGTTGGTCTCCTTAGGACACGACGTCAACCATACCATAGTATGGCTCACGCATCGTCTCCGGATACTACTACGCGACCTTCGCTACCGTTGGAACTCCGTGCGGCGACCCGCGAAAATCACCACGCCCTCAACACCCTGATAGCCACACGCCTACTGTTATGTCTGTCTCCTCATGCGGACAATCCCCTCATCTATGCTAAAGGCATGGCTGCCTTTGGACAGGTCTATTTTGCTTTTGAGGATTTTCTCACTGCGTCTCTTGCCAGTGGTGACCAAGACCCCCGGTTCCAGGAGATCTACAATACACTGCATCTGCCTCAACTTATACGGACTAGCCGACTACAGCAAGACATCGAGACGATCAAGTCAAGGTTAGAAGGGTCCGCCGCGGAAGAGGTCAATCTTCTCGAGCACGAATCCAAAGCCTTCTATTCGCGCATACAGGGCCTCCTGTCTGCAAGGCCTCATGTACTGCTAGGCTATGCGTGGGCCATGTACCTTGCTTTGTTCAATGGTGGGCGATGGATCCGGAGGCAGCTTGTCTCGCAGGGTCCCGGCTTCTGGCATGGACCACCCATTCCACTGTCGTTCTGGGAGTTTGATGGCGATGCAACCGCGGATTCGGAAGGCGAACATCTGAAAGTGTTATTTCAGGAAAGACTACTGGCCGCAGCCTCGCTCCTTCGAGACGACGAGAAGGACGACGTCATCAAGGAAACCACTCGGTTGTTTGAGCTTTGTTCCGAGATTGTGCACTTCCTAGACAACAAGTTAGACACAACTCCCCGCTCTCAACCCGACACTGCAGATTCTCGTTTACGTGGTTCATTTGGAGAGCTATCGCCGGTTACGGCAGCTTGGCAATACTTGACTTCATCATATGAATCTCTAAAAACGGTGACCGCGTGGGCCTGGAATACAAAACAGCCTAGCTGGCCTAAAGCTTGAGAGCGGCTCTAGGCTAGACGAGCCACACGCTGCAACTCTCGTGCAAATTTGGCTGATGGGATCTTCGAACCATTCAACTGCGGCATGAATTGGACGTCAGAAGGTATGGTATGGCATGGCGCTGTTCGGTTTGAGGTTGGATCATCCTGCCAGATATCATCCTCTCGAGATTCGTCGCTTATACTGGGGATATGGCCACTCTGTGTTCGCAAGGGGCTTCAAGTGCATCTGCCCCGAAGGCTGTGGCTGTTCTTAACCCGATGACCACTCCAGGCAGCTACACATCGACGGCGGGAGCAGAATGTCTTTACAATCCTACAGACTATTAGTAGACGTCGGAGCAAGCGAAGCGCCTGGAAGTGCGAATATGTCTGGGTACGGAGTACTCGATACTAATTACGCCTCCTGTATGTACATATGCATCTCACAACCGGCGACCTTGTCTGTACCTTATCAGACATTTTGTCCAGCCCTTCGGCCCTTCGAGCTTCTCTATTCTCGTTCCATCTATCAGTTACCTCCCACCGCAGTCATTTTTGGCGTCTTCCTTCTTCAGTCTTTGCGCCGGGGCGGAATGGTCGAAGAGGAAGTCTTCGATCCACCAGAAACTGAGGTGCAATCCTCACCACGGAGACAGAATGAGTCAACCCCCGAGGCCCTGCCGATGGGACTGTTCATTCTTGACCAAGCCAATGCCACCTCTAGCGAAGAGACCGCAATGCCCTGTCTCGGTGGTATGGGAGAGATCGCCATGCCCTGGCTAGATGCCACCCATGACAACTCAGGGCAGATAACGACAGAGCATCTTCTACAACAGGGACCGTCTGGCATTTCGGACCAGGCTCCAGTGGAGTCTATGACTACTCCCCGGGGCGTTTGAAGCCTTAGCCTCCGAAGTAGGACTCGCTGGAGCCACCGCGCATGATCTTTTCGCGCCTATCTAGGGTACCCTAACCAGATATCATCCGCGATGCGTGCGAGGTACGGAGATTCTCACAGACAAAATACGACGCTGGCCGGGACGCTGGATCAATTACCTTGGCCAGCCAGGACAGCCAACTCTGGATCGCGTCCCGAGGTCTTTGTCCAATATCCAGAACATACAACCTATGCGGAAGACAATGTGGAGTTACATCAGTACCAGTGACAAGTGATCACTGACTGGGGAGAGGTGGTTATAGGGATGTCTGACTCTTTTGTGGGATATGGGAACGTAGTATGATGCTCAAGGCGGTCGGCATTTGCATCGATCTGATGGATCTATTGAGATGAATCGAGGGCTGATAATGTATGAGATTGTTCCCTTGTGTTTATTACATGCGCCCATAAGAAAGCCGTTTCAGCATGATCAGAAGCACATGGGGCCCATTTCTCCTTCGAGTCGTTATTTTATTTCGTATTAGTCCGGATTAGTTTTCTATGGGCGCCGTGCGG